GTCACTCGTGGAGGCCATCGCCAAGTCCTTGGAGGGTGAATTCAAGAAATATCTTGCAGGCCTCATCCCTCCCATGCTGGACACGCTTGAGAATGACAGTACTCCCCGCCGCCAACCTTCGGAGAGGATTCTTCACACCTTTTTGATATTTGGCACCAGTGGGGAAGAATACATGCATTTGATAGTTCCTTCGATTGTACGGCTCTTCGACCGAACTCAAAACCCGCAGAGTATTCGAAAATCAGCCATCGAAAGTCTCACAAAACTCTCAAGACAGGTCAATGTTTCTGACTTCGCGTCTCTAATGGTCCACTCCTTGTCCCGAGTTGTTGCAGGCAATGACCGCATTTTACGGCAGGCCGCCATGGACTGCATCTGTGCTCTCATCTTCCAACTGGGCCAAGATTTTAGCCACTACATCAATCTTCTCAATAAGGTTTTGAAGCAGCATCAGATCACGCATGTTAACTACCAGATCTTGGTGGCGAAGCTGCAGAAGGGAGACCCGCTTCCGCAAGACCTCAATCCTGATGAAAACTACGCAGCCCTTGCAGATGACACAAATTACGCAGAGATTGGCCAGAAGAAAATGGTTGTCAACCAACAGCATTTGAAGAATGCGTGGGACGCTTCCCAAAAGTCGACGCGTGAGGATTGGCAGGAGTGGATACGACGTTTTAGCGTGGAGCTGCTGAAGGAGTCGCCCTCTCCGGCACTGCGTGCCTGTGCAAGCCTGGCAGGTATCTATCAGCCTTTGGCACGAGATCTCTTCAATGCCGCCTTTGTGTCCTGTTGGACGGAGCTGTATGACCAATACCAGGAAGAACTTGTCCGTTCAATTGAGAAAGCTCTCACATCGCCTAATATACCTCCAGAAATTTTGCAGGTCCTTCTAAACCTTGCAGAGTTCATGGAGCATGATGACAAGGCTCTTCCCATCGACATCCGTACCCTTGGAAAATACGCCGCCAAGTGCCATGCGTTTGCCAAGGCTCTTCATTACAAGGAGCTCGAGTTTGAGCAAGACCAAAACTCGGGGGCAGTAGAGGCTCTCATTACCATCAACAACCAGCTTCAGCAATCCGATGCCGCTATAGGTATCCTGCGAAAGGCACAGGCCTATCGGGATGTGGAACTGAAAGAAACTTGGTTCGAAAAGCTTCAGCGCTGGGAAGAAGCTCTTGCCGCGTACAAACGACGCGAGAAGATCGATCCTGACTCCTTTGGAGTCACGATGGGAAAAATGCGATGTTTACACGCGCTGGGCGAGTGGAAGGTCTTATCTGATCTCGCCCAAGAGAAATGGAACCAAGCATCACTCGAACACCGAAGAGCAATTGCTCCTCTAGCAGCCGCAGCGGCCTGGGGAAGAGGCCAATGGGAGCTGATGGATTCCTATCTTGGGGTCATGAAAGAGCAGTCTCCAGACAGATCATTCTTCGGGGCTATTCTCTCAATCCACCGCAATCAATTTGACGAGGCAACGATGTACATTGAGAAAGCGCGAAATGGACTCGATACCGAGTTGTCTGCCCTTCTTGGAGAATCATACAACCGTGCCTACAACGTTGTTGTTCGTGTCCAAATGCTGGCGGAACTCGAGGAGATTATTACATACAAACAGAACATTGGCGACCCCGAAAAGCAAGATTCCATGCGTCAAACGTGGAACAAGCGATTGCTCGGCTGTCAGCAAAATGTCGAGGTCTGGCAACGTATGCTCAAGGTCAGAGCTCTGGTCACCTCTCCTCGGGAAAACCTTGATATGTGGATCAAGTTTGCCAATCTTTGCCGCAAGTCAAACCGGATGGGTCTTGCAGAGCGGTCGCTCGCGTCCCTGGAGACCGTTGTTTCTGATAGCAATGGTACACGAGCCATCGCTCCACCAGAGGTAACTTATGCTCGATTGAAGTTTAGCTGGGCTACTGGACGACAACGCGAGGCTCTTCAAATGCTGAAGGAGTTCGCAACAAATCTCACCGAAGACTTTACGCGCTTCAACACCGTCATGATTTCTCAAGCCGAACATAACGGTATCAACGGTGTGAATGGCATTGCTGATGCCAACCACACTGACATCATGGGTCTGCGTGAGCGCATTGGGGATGTAGCGAAATTCAGGAGGCTACTTGCCAAGAGTTATCTTCGATTAGGCGAATGGCAGACTTCTCTGCAGCGAGGTGACTGGAAGCCAGAACATGTTCGCGAGGTGCTCAACGCTTATTCAGCGGCCACCAAATACAACCGCGATTCATACAAAGCCTGGCACTCTTGGGCGTTGGCAAATTTTGAAGTCGTGACTACAATTGCTAGCCAAGCTAGCCGAGATGGCACGACACCGGCCATGGTACCAGGCCACATTGTCACCGAGCATGTTATCCCCGCAATTCGCGGCTTCTTGCGGTCTATTTCACTGTCGTCGACATCGTCATTGCAGGATACATTGCGACTACTCACCCTCTGGTTTACCCATGGAGGCGACCAAGAAGTCAATGCCGTCGTTACAGAAGGGTTCACCGCGGTGAACATTGATACGTGGCTCGCGGTTACCCCCCAGCTAATCGCACGGATCAACCAGCCGAATATCAGAGTTCGGAGTGCCGTTCATCGATTACTGGCCGAGGTCGGTAAAACTCATCCTCAGGCTCTTGTATATCCCTTGACCGTTGCGATGAAATCCAATGTTACTCGACGATCACAATCAGCTAGCAACATCATGGACAACATGCGCCAGCATAGTGCGAGATTGGTTGAACAAGCGGATCTTGTGAGTCACGAATTGATCCGGGTTGCAGTCCTTTGGCACGAGCTTTGGCACGAAGGTCTCGAAGAAGCTTCTCGACTGTACTTCGGGGACCATAATGTCGAAGGCATGTTTGCAACTCTTGCGCCTCTGCATGAAATGCTTGATAAGGGGGCTGAAACATTACGTGAGGTTTCTTTTGCCCAAGCTTTCGGGCGTGATCTTGCCGAAGCCAAGCACTACTGTATGCTGTATCGCGAAACCGAAGAAATTGGCGACCTGAACCAGGCATGGGACCTCTACTACACTGTCTTCAGGAAAATCAGCCGGCAGCTCCCGCAATTGTCAACTCTGGACCTGAAATATGTCTCCCCCAGACTCAAGGACTGCGTGGACCTCGACCTGGCTGTTCCCGGTACATACCAAAGCGGCCGGCCGATCATCCGAATCGTTAGCTTCGATCCTATATTGCACGTCCTTCAAACCAAGAAACGACCGCGAAGAATGACACTGAAGGGCAGCGATGGAAACTCTTACATGTATGCCCTCAAGGGACATGAAGACATCAGACAAGATGAACGAGTCATGCAACTATTCGGCTTGGTCAACACGCTTCTTGACAATGACGGGGAGAGCTTCAAGCGTCATCTGTCTGTGCAGCGATTCCCAGCCATTCCATTGTCCCAGAGCTCTGGTCTCTTGGGCTGGGTGTCAAATAGCGATACTCTCCATGCGCTGATCAAGGAATATCGGGAGAGTCGTCGCATCTTGCTGAACATCGAGCACCGAATCATGCTCCAGATGGCGCCCGATTACGACAATCTCACGCTCATGCAGAAGGTGGAGGTGTTCGGATACGCCATGGACAACACCACCGGAAAGGATCTGTACCGGGTCCTGTGGCTCAAGAGTAAGAGCTCCGAGGCTTGGCTCGAGCGGCGGACGAATTACACTCGGTCTCTCGGTGTTATGTCAATGGTGGGCTACATCCTTGGTCTGGGCGATCGCCATCCTTCCAACCTTCTCTTGGACCGAGTGACCGGAAAGGTTGTCCACGTTGATTTCGGTGACTGCTTTGAAGTTGCCATGCATCGGGAGAAGTACCCGGAACGAGTGCCATTCCGACTGACCCGTATGTTGACCTTTGCTATGGAGGTCAGCAACATCGAAGGAAGCTACCGGATCACCTGCGAGGCGGTCATGCGTGTGTTGAGAGAAAACAAGGATTCGTTGATGGCTGTTTTGGAGGCGGTAAGTACCTACAACAGCCCTTTAGTCTGGATGTAGCATAACATACTAACGTGTATCTTCACAGTTCATTCATGATCCTTTGATTAACTGGCGTCTGGGAGTGCGCGAGTCCCCCGACCGGATGCCATTTTCCTCGGAACGCCGCCAGTCAATCATCTCCAACATCAACGTCGACCATGGTGTTCAGCCCAGCAACTTCTCCCGCCACCGTCGGCCTTCGATACTCGAAGGTGGGATCCTGGACGCTCAAGAAGGAATCCCGAATGAAGCTCGCGAAGCTCAGAATGCACGGGCATTGCAGGTCCTTGCGCGTGTCAAGGAAAAGCTTACGGGACGGGACTTCAAGCCCAATGAAGAGCTCAATATTAGCGACCAAGTCGATAAGCTTCTTGCTCAAGCAACCAGTGTCGAGAACATCTGCCAGCACTGGATTGGATGGTGCAGTTTCTGGTAATCATCCAGTATTTTGTTCTGTCGGTTTTGACTTCTGGAGTCTTAAGATGGCGCAAACTGATCTGATGGGGGGTTTTTTTCCTTTCTCTTTTTCTTTTGAACATGGCATGGGATAATGTCTCTTCGTCGTACTTCCTTTTATTCTCTATTTCTCTTTCTTGTTTATTTGTGTAGACTTACCTCCTTTTTGTTTATTTTCTATTATTGATTCCCGTTGTTATGTTGGTTTGGCATGTTGAATGCTGTGTTCATGATCAATCTCTTGATCCTAAGGAACATGTACAGCAGTGAGCAATCTAATATAGAGATTGAATTGAATTTCCATCGCCAGAGTCATCCAGAGCTCGGACGTACTGTTGTACTTTGTAGGCACATGAGGCTAAACATGCCGGCCGCCCAAATAGCCGAGGTCACGAGCGATGCGCGCCTCCATCCATTCTTCCCGGCTTCCCCTTGGCCTCGCTCCTCCACACATCGCGCGATGTGAGCCTTTGGACTCGGCCATTTCTCTTGGATCTCCCATCTGAAGGGCCCTGCTAATCTCGCGCGCATAATGGCATCCGACTCCACCGGCAATGTGGACATCCAGCCGCACGTCCATCCGGTTGTTCGCAACGCTCTCCGCATTTCTCTGAGCGCCAAGGAATACAAGACCCTGCACCATCTTGTGGCCCAACGTGCGCCTTCATTCCAGTCCAGACTGCCATCGCCATCGAAATACGAAGCGATCGTTCGGTCTCAGAACAGACACAATGAGGCGGCCTTTCGCACGTCGGCGCGCGTCTTCCTGGTCTCGGGAGCGTTGTTGAAGCTTGTTGATCTGGTTGCTCGCAGAATCCGGGGAGAGGCTTCGAGGTACAGTTCTCTGCTGGCTGACGATGTTTCCCTTACTAACACATTCGCGACTTTGATCGATAGCTCTAGGAAAGATCGTCGCATCTCGCTTTTCCGCTCCCCCAACTTCCGGCTCTCCCTCTCTCTTTCCCTGATGCTCCTCCTGCATCGACTTCTTCATCGCTTCTTTGTCAGACTGCGCGCAAACCTCCGCACCGAGGAGGCCGAGCCGTTTCGTAAACGGAACCCGCGTGTTTCCAAGGCGCTGACCTCACGATATGCGCCCGCCGTCGGTGCCAGCTTGGCGGGGTTTGCGCTGGGGATCTGTCCTCAAAAGCAACTACGGATGACAGCCGCCATCTACACAGGCACGCGGAGTTTGGAGTTCATTTTTAACGTGTTTGATGAGAAAGGATGGGTCGAGAATCGGCCGTGGTGGTTTGGAAGCTGGCTGTTAATGCCTATTTCGTGCGCCCAGTTGTTCCACGCTTTTGTTTTTGACCGAGAAACCACGCCCGGGGTAAGCTAGCCTTATGAATCGCGATCCATTGATAGTGGATTTACGGCTAAGACATGCTGACTGGAAATAGTGGCTTGGAAAGGTCATTATGAGGCTCTCCCCCGCCTACATTCATGGCCGGCCAGAAACGTTGCCTGCCGAGTTCCCATGGCCTGAGAAGGAAGCTATAGTAGACTCGCTCGCCACTGTTGCAAAGCTACGATGGCCGTAAGCACCCTTTGAGCAACGCTAGGCCGGTAGATTCTAACTTGGTTAAACAGAGCATTCATCTCGCCCATTCTCCATCCCGGTGATCCCTACACGTTACCGTCTACGATCAAATCCATCTCCCCGATTACTGGACCTGCACACCCGTCGATTTCAAGTCTGTCATGCGCTCTACTCCATCCGGGCTGCCCGAGCTGCGGCACGACGTTTCTGCATCACCTCCTTCTTTCCGTTCCACCTCTGGCCCGATTTATAACCATGGTGACCCTGGCGCTGTCGGCACTGAAGTTCAAAAGTTTCCTCACCCAGCCCATCACCTCAATCAACAATCTATCGAAGCGGATCATTGCCTTGACTGGCATTCTTTCTGCCTCCGTCGGTTCTGCGTGGGGAAGCATCTGCCTCTGGAACGCCATTCTCCCCCGGTCCGTTCTTCCCACGCAGCGATTCTTTCTGAGCGGAGCAGCGGCTGGCGTACCATTCGCATTCCTTAGCAGCAGCCGTAATATATTCCTGTACTTTTTCCGCGCGGCCGTGGACTCGGCGTGGAAGTCGGGAGTCAAGCGTGGTCTCTGGAAGGGCTGGAAAGGCGGGGACCTGTTTGTGGTGGTGATCACCTGGGCACTCATGGGGTCCATCTTGGAGACTCGGCCCTCCGCGGTGCAAGGAAAAGGAGTCCGGAAAGCATTGGCATGGATGCGAGGGGATGGATATGTAGACCCAGCGGATGCCGCAGCAAAACGGAAGTCGAAGAAAACAGCGGCAGCAAAGAATGCCGAGGAGGAGACCTGAGTGCGGGGAAGAGGGACGAAACCAATTTGCCTTTCGCAAACATGCGGAGAGGGAGCTGTACTTAGTAGGAGTTCTGAATCTGATGGTCTCATACGCAGTGGTGCTTGTGTTTTCTCTGCTGCTTGCATAACCGGGGCGACCTTCCTGTCCGGCCAAAGAGGCAAGTCGCGCCGGCCAATCACGGGCGGACCTGCCTGTTTGACCAAAGCGGCAGGCAGCTCCACGCGGGGAAAATCGCCCGTCACGAGCTTCTTTTCCTTTTCCTTTCTTCCTTCTTCTTCGCCTGGAGGGGTTTCTTACTCTCATTGCCTTTGTACCCCTACGGCTTTCCGTGAAGAGCAATCGGATGCGCCCCGAGACCCTCATGTTCCAAGCCGGGAATGCATTTCGATGGCGCAGGAAAGCATTTTCCGACCATTGGGACTGCAGCAGATGGATTCCGGGGTAGGAACCAGGTCTCCACTCCACCCAGCATCCCGAAGCTCCAGCAAGAGCCGTTTAGTAAGAGTCCCGATGTGACTGACGGCCCTGGACCGGCAACACTAGCTGCCCTGGCTGGTCCTGCTTAGGCAAGGTCCTCCTCTCCTCAATTCGACGCCAAGTCCGAAGGGGAACTTGACCGACTTTGCGGTCTCTCCAGTGATGGTCCCCGACCGAATAAATTCCCGGCCGGTCCTCCTCCATGGAATTCTTCTTCGCTTGAATCCTTCAATTCAATTCAATCCATCTCCTTGATTTCTCCTCTCTCTCACGATCTTCTGTCTCTTATCACATCTCCTCTCCCGATCTTCTTCCCCTTCTCCCTTCCATCATCACCATGTCTGCTACTAAGTTGAAGGTCGGCTGTGCTGGTCTCGGCCGCATGGGCAAGCGCCATGCCCTGAACTTCCTTCAACGGACCCCCCGTGCCGACCTCGTCGCAGCTAGCTCGCCGGACGACACGGAACTGGAATGGGCCAAGGTCCACCTCGCTCCTTACGGCGTGAAGCTATACAAGAACTACGATGACATGCTTAAACATGAGGGCTTGGAAGCTGTTGTCGTTGCTTCTGCCACCGCCGTGCATGCCGAGCAGGCCATCAAGGCCATCGCAGCCGACAAGAACGTCTTGTGTGAGAAGCCGCTGTCCACAAGTGTGGAAATTGTATGCAATCATTCTCCCATTTGAGGAATAAAAAGAAGACGAGGAAGGAAACCGGTAAAGCTAATAAAACTCATTTGAACAGTCTCAATCTGTCCTGGACGCCGCCTCCAAGAAACCTCACCTCAAGGTGATGTGCGGTTTCTCCCGCCGCTTCGATGCCTCCTACCGAGATGCCTTTATCAAGATGTCTGCCGGCACCATCGGCTCACCCTCCGTCATGCGCAGTCAGACCTGCGATAAACTCGACCCGACCGGCTTCTTCGTCGCCTACGCCGAGTTCTCCGGCGGAATCTTCGTGGATTGCTCCATCCACGACATCGACCTCGCCCTCTGGTTCTTCGGCCAAGACAGCAAGGTCAAGACCGTGTCGGCAGTGGGTATCACAGCCGTGGAGCCCGATCTTCGCAAGCACAACGACCGTGACAACGCGGTCGGACTTGTTGAGTTCTACAACGGCAAGATCGCCTACTTCTACGCCTCGCGCATGATGGCCGCCGGCCAGGAAGATACAACCGAGATCGTCGGCACGCAAGGAAAGCTGGCGGTGAACACGCAGCCGGCGCTGAACCTGGTCAACATCTACGACAGCGCGGGTATCCGCCGCGAGGTGCCCCAGCACTACTATGACCGGTTCGAGTATGCGTTCGTCACCGAGGCCAACGAGTTCACGGCGGCCTGCCTGGAGAACACCGCCGTGCCGTTGAAGCTCGAGGGCGCCGTGCAGGCCGTGCGCATCGGAGCTGCGCTCCAGGAGGCGCTCATCACGGGGCAGAAGATCTTCTTCGACGAGCAGGGCAACCGCGAAGAAAAGTCCCGACTCTAGATGCATGACTATTTGACGATCCCTAATGTGCTTGTCCATTTTCTTCCTGTTCTGTCAGCCTAAAGCATATGTTTTACGATAATTGCGACGTTCGTCCTTGAGTATTGATGTTGGAAATACTAGATTCAAATAGATCAAATACAATTCCAATCTGCTTTCTCATGACAATTTTTATTCTCGAGAATCACCCTCCGTGAACTGAAGCACGCCCAACTCTAGATCAAGTCCAACTTCGGCCGGATGTATCATGTGTCTTTACTAAACCGTCTATCTTCTTCGGCCCCTTCCACCTGTAAGCAGCGCTTAGTTTCCTACCATCTTTAGGGCTTTGTTGGTTATTGTTGTTTTCTTTTTCACTATCCAGTCTCCATGGATTGAAGTGAGACAGTTTCTCTCGGAATACCCGTTCGACCCACCGACTGGGGAATCCGATTTCCGAATAATTATGGGGCCTGCGCTTTCTTCCTAGAATGCATCATGTGGAGCAAAATGGGGAGAAGGGGCTTTTGAGATTGCACGTAGATTTACGACTATAGAGTACGCATATAGTACACATCTGCAATAGAACTACTTGTGTGGTTGAACGGGATTGGGAAATGAAAGCATGTCGAATAACTGGACCTTTTTTTTTTTGGTGGTCTCTTAATTCCATGTAATGGGGTTGGTTCGTAAATCATCGCTATCATCATGCAGGAATCACAAAAAAGAAAACAAAATGAGTACATCAGAAGAACAAAAAGAGCAATACAGTCTCTATCGTATCGAAATCAGGGTATAGATAATTTCTCCCGTCTACCACTTGATCACCCTGGTGGGGAAGTATTCGTTGATCAGGTCGAAGTAGTAAGGCTAGATAGAGAATAATGTTAGCAATACTGATTATGGACAATACATGGAGGAGGAAGGGAAGGAAAGTATTACCTTCAACTCTTCGACTGTCGGGACGTCATCGCTCTTGCTGTACAGGTCGTAAGGGTTGAAGGCCTTGACGGCCTTCAGCATCTCCTTGTCATGGTCGTTCATGAGCTCGTGGTAGGCGCCGGCGTTGTGCCAGGGGTAGAACGAGTGGTAGCGGATCATGGCCAAGGCCTCGTCCGGCAGCGTCGACTGCTCCTTCACGACGTGGTAGAGGTACTCGTCGTGGCCCCACGAGAGCATCACGTTGTCTAGACCGCAGCCGGGGCTGTAGATGCCGAACTTGCTGCCGTAAATGGGGTGACCGAAGTCCTCGTTGTCCTGGAAAGACTCGGTGCCGTAGATGATGCGGTCGTCGAAGGCCAGCCCGACGGGGAAGGTGTCCCCGACGACGTCCCACTGGCCCTGGGCGTCGAAGAAGTACAGCAGCTTGCCCAGGTCATGGATGAGACCCGTCAGCTGCATCCAGCGCGGCTTGCCGTCGCGGCGGATGGCCTCGGCAGACTGCAGGAGGTGCTCGATCTGGGAGAGGCTGGTGTCTGGGTCGGACTCGTCGATAAGGGTGTTGAGTTTCTCCATGGCCTCCCAGACGGTCATCTCGGCACGGGTCTTGGAGTGGAACTCGTTGCGGGCCTTGAGGTTGTAGGCCACCGTCTGCTTGGTGTGCTGCTCCTTGTAGAAGTTCTTGACGCGGTCGCAGGCATCCTCGTACTGACGGAACTGGGTTTTGTCCTTGTTCTTGTCAAACTCGGAGGCCTCGTACAGGCCCTTCTCTTTGTCCTCCTTCTGCTTCATATTGGCCTTCAGGACATTGACGTCGTCGATGGCGTCCGACAGATCCTCGAGGGCCTGTCCATCCCGCTTGGTGTTGAAGACGGGAGTTTCGGGTGACACAGCGACTGGTGCCATTGCGAAGGGGTATGAAAACGAGATTTTATGCGAATTTCTCTTTTTTTGTGCGTGTCAAATCTGACTTTTGTTTGATTCAGACTTGGTGGGACTTTCTCTTTTGGTAGGGGTATTCAAGTCTGTGCCAAAGGATTGCTGTTGGAGAGATAAACCGCCGTGGGAGATGGCAGCATAAATATGGAGAACCAGCGTACTAGGAATGGCAATTATGGAAACATTCCCCGAAAACCGACGGTTGCAATTAGTCCAAGGATCTCCTGATGTCGAGTCCAATACCCCAGAGGACCGACAGCCGATGATCTGCGTGGGCATGGCGGTGACACCAGGGTAAGATCATGGCTTGCTCATCGGTCGGATTTTGGGTTCCGGGGTTATCAGTTCTCGAAACACAAGGGCTGGGGATGATCTCCACTGCTGCAGAACGTGGGAGGATCCCGGGGACGAAAGGCACAGATCTGGATCTCGGTGGGGATTGTGATGTCAACGCTTAAGGATTCTGGTTTCCGACGGTCGAATCACCCGCGATGGAATTCATGCAGGCCGTTCTATTTTGATTGTCGCGCAGATGGTTTGCTGAGAGTTTTCCGTCCCTCTGATTCTTATTTTGATCAAAATGCGGCTCCCCTCGAATTCTTCTACATCGGTCTGGATTCCCCTGATGGGCCGTGGTGATCCATCCCTTCATCGCCCTTCGAGTCTCCCACCGTCGCATGCTGAAACCCAATTCCTGCCACCAATTCCCGTCGGATTATTAATGGGATTGTCCAGAGCGGATTCGGGATCGCCAGAGACGGAGATGAGGATTCCATCATGTCGGTATCTGGTGCTGGTCACCGAATGATTCGGACAGCAGCGAACGGCGGAGTGGTTGGCTTCATTGTAGACTGCAATCGTCAGCATCACGGTCAATCCAGGACCCTCATGGACCCTCACGAAGAAGAGAAACCCACGGATTCCAGGAGAGCACGATGCCCAGAGAAAGACGAGGGGACCTTCGCTGTGAATTAGTCCGAGCACGAGTTGTGATTGATGGAGCGTCGGGCGGGGTTGCTCCGTCGCATCTCGACGGAGGGGCGGCGCGGGGTGTTTTGGGGCAGCAGTTATTAGTTATTAGCCTTCTTCCTTCTCCCTCTGTCCTTTCTTTCGCTCTTTCTCGTGCAAAGTCTCTCCTCGCTCCTCGCCTCCCAAGCTGTATTCCCGTCTCGTTTCCCTATTTTCTAGATATCGATCCATCATGGCTGTGTCCGATACCCGTTTCAAGCTGAACACTGGCGCGGAGATCCCCGCCCTGGGTCTCGGTACGTAACTCCTATAGTTCTTCATAATTGAGCCTTCTCGCTCTGTCAATTAGCACAGATTCACTGACTTGGCCATAGGCACCTGGCAATCCGGTCCCGGTGAAGTCGAGAGAGCCGTGAGCCACGCTATTTCCGTGGGATACAGGCATATCGATGGTGCTTTCTGCTACCAGAACGAGGAGGAAGTCGGCAAGGGCATCAAAGAAGCCCTGGCGTCGGGCAAGGTGAAGAGAGAGGATCTCTTTGTCACCACCAAGATCTGGTCCACCTACCAAACTCGCGTCGAGGAGGCTCTGGACCTGAGCTTGAAGAACTTGGGCTTGGACTACCTTGATTTGTATCTCGTCCACTGGCCTCTGCTCATGAACCCCGAAGGTAAGTTTCCACCTGGTCGTTTTGCTTGGCCTGTTTCTTCGAGGTATTCGGGTCTAACGTGCCCCAGGAAACCACCCTCTCTTCCCTAAGCACCCGGACGGATCCCGGGATATCATCCACTCGCACTCCCACATTGATACCTGGAAGAGCATGGAGAAGCTGCTGGCAACCGGCAAGGTCAAGGCAATCGGTGTCTCCAACTACAGCAAGCGTTACCTCGAAGAGCTGCTTCCCCACGCCACGGTCATTCCCGCGGTCAACCAGATCGAGAACCACCCATCGCTTCCGCAGCAGGAGATTGTCGACCTCTGCAAAGAGAAGGGCATTCACATCACTGCGTACAGTCCTCTGGGCAGTACTGGCAGCCCGCTCTTCTCGGCTGAGCCTATCGTGGAGGTTGCAAAGAAGAAGGGTGTCACTCCCGCCACCGTCCTCCTGAGCTGGCATAGTAAGTTCCCCCGTATTAGGACTTTCAATGCGGTATCACGCTGACCTTTTTCTCCTTTAAAGTTGCCCGTGGATCCTCTGTGCTCGCCAAATCAGTCACGCCTTCTCGCATTGAAGACAACCGTAACCTAGTCAAGCTAGATGATTCTGACATGGCTACTATTGCCAAGTACACCGACGAACTAGCTGCGAAGAAAGCATTCCAGCGATTCGTCTACCCGCCCTTTGGTGTTGACTTTGGATTCCCTGACAAGTCTTAAAGCTCTCTGTCCTGTGATATTCGCCACCGTCGGTGCCATAGAATGTGCTTTGATCATGATATAGAGGCAATTGTACAGTTGGAAAAGGGGACCAAGGACCAAGGGCAATGACGACATGTAAATGACTTTTGATTCTGTATGATCTGCATGAGACTTCAATATGATATCCACCAATTATCGTGACTGCTCATTCCTGCCTCAAAGCCATCGTAAGGTTCCGTGATCCTCTGTGAAAAGATGCTCATCGCAGAGAGAAAAGGAGGAAACAAAACAACCACCGCTTCACCGCCTGGATGGTCACCGCCCTCCATTCTGCCTGACTTCCCCCGCATTTTGTCTTGAGTTTCTCCAACTTTCACTTTCTCTCACTTTCTCTTCCTCCTCCATTTCTCGTGTCCCGACTTCCCCCCTCTGTCTCCCCCAAACAATCCCCCTTCTCCCTCCTTTCTAGCGGCCCTACTCTCGCGCAGTCAGCGGGCGGGCGGGTTGGGCTGCTGTCTCCGAGCCCACAGCTGTGGGCTCGGAGACAGCGCCCGCGATCCCCACCCACTCCCGCTTCAGCTCGACCTCTGGAGGCGAGGTCTCTGGCCCTGGCGCGGTGCCTGCGAGGTATTCCCGGTACCCCAGCTCTTCCACCCCAGCAGAGCGTCCGGGACCGCTCTGCTGGGAGAGCAGGTGGAGAGCCTGCTGCCGTCGTGCCTCCCTTGTGCTGATCACCGCCTGGGCAAGCCTCACCGACAGCACGTTTCGTGCTGTCATAATTGTGAAGGTCAAACTAAGTTGTTTGAACGGCAGGTTGATCAAAATGGCGGACAAAACGACAGCTTCCTTGCTTGGCTTTTGTTCGTGGACAGTGGAGAATGATCCAAACTTGACTTCTGACAGCTTGGGGTTGGCCGTCACAGCGCTGGGAGCAGGTCTCAGAGATTCGGGGATCCGATCTGGTGTCACTGTGCTCTGTGCCCCGGTGAATAACTCAAATCCCCCATTTTCCTTCATATACTTGCAAATAAACTCCAGCACTGCAGTGATAAGCAGCGGCGCCCAGATATCTTGAAGCTCCCGAGCTATGTTCTGGTTGTGTACCTGCTCGTGTCCAGGGCCGACGCCGACTTCCAGGTTGACTGCAAATTTTGTGATCTCGAGGCCAATGCAGAGAATGAGTTCGGCTGTATCCCAATTGACAAGCTCCGCAATCATGGTGAAACCCGCCTCGGCAACCGTGTGCAGCTGAAAGAACACCCCCGAGGTGGCATAGCATATGGCGAGATCGGCCATGGCTGCGTGAACGGAAAAGCCGAGCTGTTCTCTGGCATCTTGGGTATACCCCATTGTTGCAAGCGTTAAATCCCTGAGTTGATTAATCATAACGATGGGATATCCATAGAGATGCCAATACGCCAATTCGAATCCTTTGATCATACTAAAATTCTCTCTGACGACGGCAACGAGCTGATCCCTGGAATGAAAGCACGCAGCAGCCAACGGGCTTTGAGTGACCACGACCTTGTGCACCCGAAATTCGATTGGCAAGAAATTATCGGTTGCGGATCGGAGCACAATAGAGGAATCACAGAATTCCATACGGAACAATTTGCCAAACAAATGGCTGGCGAGTGGTCCCATAAGGTCGGTTGGCCGGACTGGCCGGCTGGGGGGAGCGACCGACATCTCTGAAGCAACTGCGCATCCAGTCGATTAGCCATCATGAGAATTTTTTATCCACGAGAAACATCATTCACCTGCATTCTTGTCATCGGTTTTATCTGCAGCCTCGACTTCATCACCTGACTTCCTTTCCGTCTTGTTTCCATTCTTGTGCTCGGTGATTTGCACAGTCTTGATCTCGGGCATCTTAGTTTTGTCCTCCGAGTTTCCTTTGGCATCGAACTCATTCATGCTCTCATCCTCAACTGACTTCCCACTCATCTCCTCAGTCATGTTGTGACTCTTTTTGTCTTCCTGAAGGTTCTGGTCATCATCACTCGACGCTTTCTCCGTATCACCCTCAGTCTGTTGGCTGAGCTCCTCAGAGTCACGACCAGGTCTTTCCGACATTTTCTCCCTGCTATTTTTCGAAACATCTTTCGAGCCCTTATCCACAGCCTGGGTCTTACGATTGACATTATCCGACTCTTTTTCGCTGTTTTCTCTCGGGCCCTTGTCCTCCGTATTCGGACCTTGGCCTTGGTCGCTTGGAGGCTCTTCCTGGTTGTTGCTGTCGTCATCAGGGATTGTGGTACCAGGGACGGACACACAAAGGCAGCAATCTCCCAGGTGATGCAGACAGCAGCATGACCATCGAGGGGGGCAAGAACAATTCTTTGGATCCCTATGCACACAGCATCGGAGATCAAATTTACAAGCCACGCGTCTGTGTATGTGACACACAAACGGATCGGATCCATAATTTTCGACAGACGATGGCTGTTTCGTCACCCTATCTTCGTCACTATGGACGCTCATCTCTCGGATAGTGGTGCTTTCAGATGAGGTGTCCTGCTCATTCTGGACATCAGCGATAGATTCATGGCCCAACTGCGGACCGGAGCCCTGGGCATGGCTCAGGTCCAGGTCTGCGCGATCGGTAGGCGTTTCGCCATGGACAATAAAGGGAGTCGCGGAATCCGCAGTGCCGGGCGGCTTTTCAGAGATCCCTGCCATGTCAGCAACATCGGTTGAAAAGAAATCAATTCCGTCGCTCTTATCGTCGACATGGCCGCTCTGCGGCGAGTTCGCGGTCTTCTTTTTATTCTTTCTCTTGTTTGTTTTCTTGGCCTTGTTGGCCTTGCGTCGCTCGGCAGGGCCGTCACACTGCGGGGGCATCGGCGTCAGGACAAGCGAGTCCGGAGAACGGGCTCTACGCAAGTGCTCCATTTCGCCCGGGAAGTGAGACACACGCGAGATCTCGAAATAAGAATCAAACGAGTCAACAGAGCAGGGTAAATCGGCGGTGCAGAAGGTATGTCTTCTGCCTCTGCCCATGCTCTGTGGGGTTTGATCCTGCTGATCTCTGGATTTGGTTTGACCAGTCAGAAATAGTCCCTTACTGGGCCAATCGAAGTGACGGTCGAGAAGAATCAACTTACCGCCAGAGCGACTTAAACGAACTATGTTGAACCTCGAAACCAAACCAGATTTACAGCGAAGTCGATGTATGAAAGTGGAGCGAAGCTCGCAGCAGAGTTGGCAGATGGAAAACAAAACAAAGCTTCACCAATGGTTGAAACACCAAAACAGAGCAAAAGTCTCAGAAAATTGGAAGATGAAAACAGAACAAAGCTTCACAGAACAATGGAAGTACAGAAACAGAGCAAAGAAGCTCACGGGAGAATCGAAATATGAAAGCTCAGCTCAGCTCATGAAGAGGGAAAGTGAGGATTGGAACTGGTTATGGCGAGAGAGAAAAGAGAGAGAGACATGGAAAAGAAGAGGGGAGGAAATCTTGTATTTCCTAACTTCAACTGTTTTCCCTCCCTGTGACCTACAAGCTACCAGCCCAGTTAATCAAACTTCCCCCTCTTAAAAGTGGCCATCTCACTTCTTGGACCTGATCCCTTCACATTAGCTTTTCTATCCAAGTACCTCCCCTCCTTCACAGACTCCAACTTATTCTCTTCCCCACTAATTATACTATGGCAAATCAAACCTCATCCCATATTTATCCTCTATCGTGTACTTCATCCCCAAACCCCTTCCTACTAATCCGTTCATTGACTTTCTTCCCCCGGGCGTGAAGTGAGGGCTCCCAGCCCCACGTGATGTAGTGAATGCACGTGACTCATTCTGTCTGTGAGTGTGGGGCGGTGAGCGAGCCAATCACGTGCAGAGCAGTGGTCAGCATCTTGACAATGCGATTTGGTCTTACCGTTGCGCGGTCCTTGGTGGGTGAATCTTTTGTGTTTCTTTTCACCTGGTTGTTTTCTCGATTTCTCTTTATTAGAAGTAGTCACACCCCCTTCTCCCCAGATGTGGTCTGGGTGCACATAATCCAAGTGCCTTGTTAATGTTCTAATGTTCCTCCTATACCACAGCACCCCAAGTGGAACAGCACAACAAATAATCTGTCGCATTGTGCACATTTTACAATACATAGGTCTAATGAATGCAGTGTAGATCCCCTTTTTAAGATATTTGCATTTTTGTTTCGGTAGTCTATTCTGCTGAGATGGTAGACAAAGCCAAGTCACATGGCCATGCATTTGCAACAATGGCAATGGCAGTGAGCGTTGATAGAAACAGTCAAGGAAATGTTGTCTCAAGGAAAGAAAAGAAAAGTTAGACAGGTCAAAAAGGAAACAAGATCAATGAATAAGGAAAGACAAGCCCGTCCCGCTCAACATAACGCAGTTGGTATATCATCATGCGCTGAAATTGGTAATACAGAAAAGAAATCAGAAACAAAAAGAAAGGTATCTAGATCAGACATCAAATCGAATCAAGTGTGGCACAGGTAATACATCCATGGAGGTAGAAAGGTAGAACAAGGAAAGGAAAAGAAATCGAGAGGGAGTGAAGTTTTGGGTGTCGACGATGAAGGCCAAAATGCTCAAATCAAAACATGCCGCCTTCCATCGGAACGGGGGGCGGGGGGTATGCTGGAACAGCCGGCGGCGTCTCAGAGAGGGCCTGTTGCTGACGCGCCCTCGCATTCAGGTTTCCTCCTTCGCTGGAGGTTTTCCGAAGCCGATTGTGTCGGGACTTGGGTCGTCGCTCGCCCTCGTCAGAAAAGGTGCTGTGCTCATCCATAGGGGTGCTCGCCGTCGAAGCTGCGTAGTGCGATTCATGCTTCTCGCCCTTGATGGCACCCAGAATGGTCTGGGTGGTAGTCTGGCGGCGGCGGCGAGGGTTCATTGGAGGAATTGGCGGGGTTTCCATACCGTTGCTGAGGCTAGCTCCAGCGGGGAGACCGACCGTGGGAACGTTGGACGTGCAAGACACGAATGTGGGTTCCGAAATTTGAGTCTTGTTGATGGGACGCTTCGGCAGGTGGCCGTGTCCCGGGGCCCGCTGGGGAACAGCAGCTGGGAAGGTAGCAGCCGGTGTGATAGAGGGGTCGGGGGAGGCGTCTTGCAGAGGCGGAGTGGCATTGGCGGAGTAGGGAGCGATAGGAGAAGGGCGTGGAGAGTTGCCGATCATCGAGGGAGGGACAGAAGGGGGAGGGTGAAGAGGTCGATCGGGGATACTTGGGGTCGCTGACCGGCTTCCACTGCGAAATCTTCCAGAAGCAGCGGATGGCGCACGCTCATACATGGGCGGCTCGTTGACTTCCACGGACGGTCGGTTAGAAGACGGGACCGAGGCCATGCTGCGCTGCTCGAAGTCATGGAACGCAGGTGGTCCGGGAGGAATGATTTCCTCCACGGTTCCCAGATCATCTCTATCGCGCCGGGTGCGGCTCTTGGAGCGGCCAGAGGCATCGGAGCTCGAGCGGTCCCTTTGCGATCGGAGGCTTGAATGGGGCGATGCGGCACGGCTGCGGCTGGACTCGCGAGAATCCTCCTGGCTGGTGCGACCCAAGGCCGCCATCCGAGACCGCACGGATTTGTCGGGGGCAATGTGTGGAGAGCTGGAGTTGGAGTGTTTTCCGAGGTTGAACGACGGCCGTTCCTCCTCTTCGCGCCAGAGCTCATCTGACACCAAGGCCGGGGTAGAGGCGTTTCCAAGGCCAAGCACCTTGGGATTCCTGGGGTCCGGTCTGCCGAACAGATTGTGCTTGCCCGTCTTGTTCTTCAGGAGAGCAAAGGCGTTGCCCGGTCTTCCCGGACCGTGGTCTGGGGTCTGGCGACCAGAAACAGGGCTAGCCGACCGACTCTCGTTCTCAGCAAATCCCTTCAGCTTCTCCTGTACCTTTCTCCGCCGTTCTGCCAATTCAATGGCAAACTCCTCCCGCTCTCGTTGTGTCTCGGTACTAGCTTCACGTCTATGTCGACGCATCATCTCGCTTTCCCAAGAAGAATGGGGGCCGCCTCTCGGCTCGATGGAGGAATTGGGGGTGGCGGGCTGCAGCGCGGACTCTCCCAGGTCAAATCGCTTAATGGAGGCGTCCGGGAGAGTGTCACCACCTGCAGTCTTCGGGGCAGACACGGGGGAGGGTGGCCGGTAAATAGACGATTTATCGCTATCCCGTCGAAGATGGGTACGGACGAGACCGCTTAGGCCCAGGCCCGACGGACCCAGAGTTGGCGAATCAGGTTTCTCGGGAATCGTATCTCCGTGGTCGGGGGATCCTTCGGCATCCTCATTTTCTGCGATCGGCTTCAAATCACCCAAGTCTGAGTACCTCACTTCCGGAAGCGGGTTCTTCTGCTCCTCCGGAGTTGAGGGCTTGGTTGGTGTTTCGGATCGGAAAGCAGGATGCACCAAATCATTGTAGTCTGCCATTTCCTCCACGATAGCATCGCCTTCATTGTCCGAATCACTGGGGCTGGAGTTCGACAGGAAGGTGGTGTGTTCTTGTCTAGGCGGCGAGGCGTTGGTACTCGCCGCAGCGGACCGGCCGACCGGAGGCTGGATTTCGCTATAATGAGAGGAAGCAGATCCGGCCCTCGATCGTTGACTTGCGAAAGACGGACCCCGCGATCGTCCAGTGGGCTCTTGCGGAGTCGCCCGTCCAGTGGACGGCGTGTCCCTCCCTTGATGCATCTGAAGCTGGCGTCGAGTGAACTGGCTGTCGTCATAGGGGGTTCTCGGTTTGTTGAAATAGCCCATGGCCGTAGCTTTTCCGTGATCTTCAGGCTGCACGGAGGCCCTTATCGCGCTCCCTTCCTCCTTTTCACTGGCTGGGGGGCTCAATGGAGGAGCCCCATATCCAGATGCCGTCGGCGATTTGCGTTCTTTAGGCTCGGGAATCGGGGATGCCGCCAATGATAGCGGGCTGGCGGGCTGGGCGATGCCACCTGCCGGGTCCGCGATAGCGAGTTTCTGTAGTCGTTCGCGCAGGTTGGTGGCACTTCGAGAGTAAGACCGGTTGAGAGGAGGCATCTCCGGGGTGCCGGCTCGCTGACGGCTCAAGCTTTCCAGCCGGTGGAGTGTTGAGTTCTGCTGGTTTTGGGCGGATTGTGCCAGACCTTGGCCATAGAGACGACGCGACTTGACCGAGCTCCGCTCGGAGGCCATGCCCGAGTATGGTGGTTTGGAGGCGGGGGTCTTCTCCTCGCCAACACTACCGGACAATGTTTGATGGAGAGGCCCGGCGAATGACGGTTCATCGAATGAAGTAGCAGCTGTCGATGTGCGACCATTGGCAGTCGGCCCCGACGCTGTCGAAGAAAACGTTGTTCGCTTGGCAGATGCACTAGACAAGGCGTCTTCAGACTCCTGACCTTGAGCATCTTGCAAAGACTCCTCGTTTGCCGGGTCCAATCTCAATCTCTCTCCGGAGCGTTGCCGCTGGAAAGCAGACGTCGTCAGGTCATGCTCGTAGACTACGCGGCCTCCAGTGGCAGTGCGTCCCGAGTCCAGACTAACTTCCGACGAAGTCGCCTTGTTGGGGATTTTGTACACTTTCTGGCGTCCACCAAAAAGATTGTTTCCTTCCGTACGACGAGCTCGGCTCATGATGCTGCCTTGTTGTGACCGATCGTCGTCTGTACCGTAGCCATCGCCGCCCGAAGCGTAGGAATCCGTACGCCCCAGGGCCACGGATGGTCGACTCTCATTTATCGAGACTTCGTCGATATCTGACAGCAAGTTCGGGTTATGTCCAAAGATATTCAGGCGGGAGGCACGGCGGGGGAAGAGCACGCTATCGTCGCTGGCTTTGCCGATAATCGAGGCCGGGTCGTCTTGTTCTCTGAGCATACTAAACCGCGCCGACAGTTTAGGCATTATCAGACTGGTGCGGAAGTCATCGGACGACGGCAGCGCGGTCGAAAGGTCAAGTTCGGGTGTCGGCTCGGGTTCCTCCTTCTTGCCCTTCTTCGTCAATTTGGCCGTGAACGACGACTGCGAGCTCTCGGGGACCTCGACCTCCTCCTTGGCCTTCTCCTTCTTGTTCTTACGAAATCGATTCATCATGAGGGGGGTTTCGGAAACAGGGAAACTGAGATCAGACGCAGGTCGATAGAATCACTCGGCGCGCGCGATGCGAACAGATTTCCCTGGAGGCCGAAATTAAACGGAGGCAGATGTCACGTTCACGCGAAATCAATAGGCACCACGAATACACTAGACAAGATTACGGGCCAACCCCAAGAGTTAGAATGGGCACTTGCAGGGAACGTATTGCATGAGTCGACGGGAGCGTAAGCGACTCACGAGGGGGGGTTGCCAGGTCGTGTAACGGATTAATTGGGGACAAACACGACGTAAGAGGCGAGAATCGAATGCTAGCCCGGGAGCATCTAATAAATCTATCCAGGATAGGCAGTCGATTTCTAGTGAATTTTTCTGCGATTCGTTCCAAAATCACGGAACCATCCCCTGGGGTGCGGAAGGGCTCCGGATCGTCTCAATCGAGACTGATTGCGACGGCGTAGCCAGGCTGAAATTGACGGACGGACAGTCAATAGTGGGAAATCAATGCAGCGCGGGCTGAGCGAGTTGGCGGAGATTGTGAGACGGGGGGCAGAATAATTTGAGATAATACGGGACGAATTGGTCGCGTTGGGGGGGAATTCTGCATGGGACGGGGGGAATGTGGCTGCACAGTTGCAGCGGGCGCGGAGTGGGATAATTGGCTCTGGCGGACGTCGAGCGGAGCACCGAAAGAATGGCAGGTGGACGCTGGGACGGGAAACGACTGGACGGGGTTGGGAAAGCGAGCGAGCGAGCGAGAGAGAGAGAGAGAGAGCGAGAGAGCGAGAAAGAAAGAAGAGCGAACGCGGGGATAATTAAGAACGAAGAAAAAAAGGCAGACGATGGAAGTGGAAGGAAGAGATGAAATGAGGGACCCAAAAAGGGAAGAAGAAAAACAGCCGTTTGTTGGTCTCCTCAGGCACAGACAACCCAGAAAAGGAACGAAGGGATCTGGATTCGATCGGCATCTGTCTCTAATTTTTTTATTTTTTTAACCCTCCGCCGTATATTAAATTTTTATTTTTATTTTTTTCTTCTCCTCCTCTCTTCTCCTCTTTTCGCCCTTTGGTACCTGAGAACAGTCCAGAGCGCACTAGAGGAACAAATTATTGGGTCCATTGGAGACGCCGGCGAGTCTTGGGAAGCGGATCGACACGAGATTTGTACTGTGAATTGTGATTGAAGAGATTAACCCAGGCCGTCGGGGGATTAAGGTTACCGTTCTGGATGCTTTTTTGATTGCGTCTAAATCTTGGGTACTATGCCCTAGATAGGTGGTCTACAGAGTAGCAAAGGTGCAAGTAGAAAGTAGTATGACGGGCGTCTGGCTCAAGAAATGAGAACACCGGTACCTGCGATCCCCACCGAGCAGCGGCGGCAGAGGAGGTACCTGAAGTTCTCAGAATCAACTGTCACGGAAACCATGGGAGAGCCTTGGGTTACCGTACGGTACCTCGGAGGCGACCCGCAGTGCCCCTTGCAGTCTCCACCCGCAAGAACCGCGAATCGGATCGCGCAGTAGCGGTACAGTACCGTACGCACGGCAGCCACGTCGCTGTACGCAGTACGCAGAGTGAGTCCTGCGTATACCTACAGTACCTACTGCGTATGCCTACGGAGTAGGTCCTCCGTTGGATCCATCGAGGCAGAGATGTCAGTGCAGATGATGTAACGCCTGAGAGGTTAGATTGTGCGTTCCTTGTCTTTGAAGATCAAACTCAATGGCCCGGAAAAAGTACCGCACATCGCTACTCCTCCGTCGACCACTTCTCCCCGCCGAACAGGTAGACTGTGCTGCCTCCCCCGTCGTGAAGACATCTCCGACATCGACCTTCCACGGCCTTTCCAATTTCTAGCCCGTCGCGTATCACGGGATGTGGGCCGATCGGACCTGAAGCCTACCCAATGCAGCCTCAATAATGGTGCCCTAGGGCCACTGCCATCATTCCGACCTGTCGCAGGAAATTAGGACAGGAGCAAGCTACTCCGTTCCATCCCAAGCGACAGGACGGCGCCGCCGACCAGAAATCATGGTAACTTTCACGGGGGGCGTCGACGGCATCAGCTGAGCCACTCTGGCGGATGCCACAATTGTGACCTATCGTCGGGGCGTGGTTTCACTCCCTCAAGCTATGCGCTAGATGAGTTCCGGAAATTTGGACGGGCGGGGACGATCCTATCGACTTGGTATATGATGGGTGAAGTGCCGTTGGGGGATGGGATTTCCAGCAGTAGTGGATGGTCATATGCCGAAGGGACGTCTCCTATTCCTTTCTCTCCATTTTTTTTATTGTATTTTGATTTTTCCTTCTCCAAGTCAGCCACACATCAAACTATCGCATGTATAGAAAAGTACTCCGTAGTTCGGGCTGATCAAGCAGCTTTAGGATCCAAACCTAAAGATCCGGATGAAGCTCGCCGGGCAAGACGAGAAACAAAGAAGACTGCACCCGACCGCCATGATTGAGCGGTAATTGGCCGAGAACCGACTGGAAGAAAGTCAAATCTTCGTTCATCCGTCTGGATGAGAGACAAAGGATGTCGGAAACAGGTGCCCCATGCTTGAGCTCATACTGCGTCGACACCCAGACCGATATATATTTCAACCGGGTAGAAGGCAGCAACCCGCCCCGTACAATGGGCAAGTCAGGCCCCCCACGGTGGTAATACAGGTGTTATCTAGTAGTAGGCACTATATCCTGGTCAAGCTAAGACTCCGTCAAAAATAAATAAATACGCACAAATATTCCTTCACCCAGTCCAGAATGATCCGTTATCGATAGTTACCATGAACAAGCCCTCGCCCGACACCGTGGAATCCCTAGAAGATTCTCAATTTCGCATGGTGTGCCTCGTAGGGTAAGTGAGCGGTGGAACCAAACCGCGATCGTCGACCGAGGACCCAGAATTCAGGAACGAAAGAATGGATTCCGACGGATTGGACGCTAGTCGGAGGAGAGCAGGCCAGCTACGGAGTCGACGAGACGAGGCTAAAGGCACTAACAGCCCTCGCTACTACGACTCCGTCAGTCCGTTCGAGACCCAAGCAAATAGTTTCGCCATGACACATGACCGGAATGAGGCCATGACAGCCGTTGGAAAGGGTCCAAGAAGGCTGAGAAGTGGGAAGGTCCCATGGTTGATGCCTGGGTAAGTGTGTATCAAGTTCTTCCCACCTGGAACGAGGCAGTGAGGCACTGGGTGGTTCTTGAGTCTGAAACCGGGGGGCAGCAGGAAGAGGACTAGGCCAGGCTAGCAGTGTTCATTCTCCATGGGGGGAAAGGCCGATAATTTGGACGCCTGAAACCCAGACCAACAGCGTATGGCCTGAGCCTCGCAGGAGGTTACAGATTCACAGCCTATCGCGCACCAACAGGTTCCCTGAAGAGGCGGAAGAAGTGGCTGTGGAGGTGGAAGTAATTCCCACACAGAGAGAGACAGAAGAGAGAGAATAGATTACCGTACCGAACGGGACATTACCGTGGATTCTTCCCGATGAGGTCAGTTCTACTCGGTCAAAGAATCAGAATAATAATACGGAGTAACAATAATCTAATCGACGAGGAGGATTATTAATGCCATTGCCGAAGAGCAGAGAGAAAAACAAGATGAAGAGCCCCAACACCCGATTTATGACGACAGAATCCCCGTTTCCTGCCGCGCCGCAGGAATCCAGAGCGGTCGGTCGCCCTTCAGACCCGTGGGTTTTGATCACCTTCGTTAATTAATCCAATTTCCCTCCCGATAATTCTCTTCCAATCCGATCAAGCTTTTGCCGGCGCCGGACGGGGAAGCTGTTCTCCGTTTGTCCTCCGGCGTTTCAGCGGGCGGGTAAACTTCGACCGGTTTAATGCTATTCTGATCCGATTTTTTTTAAAGATGACTTGAGTTGTGGTGGTGCATGATTCAGTTCGGGTCTGGCCAGAGTGACCAAGGGAGCAGCGATCCTCTGGAGCATCGATCCGATAGAGTTCGACCATCTCGCAACGGCGAGGCCCAGGGATTCAGGGATGCCACGAAGGGCTCTCCCCTGGTTTGAGGTTCACGGGGTAACTGCGACGGTTTATATGGCCGGACAAGGCAGAACAAGGACCTTCGCAAGAGTGATGGTTCGATTGTCTCGCGCCCTTGCGGACGACCACTTGCGATGACGCCATGGACCACCACGGCATTAATAATCCGATATCCACTCCCCTCACTCTGGCGACCTTTTCCCCTCCTTCCATCGTAGCTCCCTCCGTCCTGTCGACACCTATTCTCTATACAATTAGTTCTTTTCTCCCCAAAATCTACCATGCAAGTTCTTCTCCTCGGTGGTCACGGCAAAGTCGCCTTGCGATTGACCCCGCTGCTACTCAACCGCGCCTGGAACGTCACCAGCGTGATCCGCAACCCGGACCATGAACCCGAGATCCTTGCGTTGGGCAAGGGCACCAAGGGCAAACTCAACGTCCTGATCTCCAGCCTGGACGATGTCAAGAGCGACGCCGACGCAAAGAAGATCCTGGACGCCGTGTCCCCGGATTATGTCGTGTGGTCTGCCGGTATGCATGCGCCTTGAATAAAACCCCTTCCCTGTCTCCCTGGCTTGATTTTAAAGGTCATCCTGCATTGCCTGCATGGCTTTTTGCGAATGACCCCCACAATCAATCTTAGAAACAAACCCACTAGAACTATCGATCTATATCTCTCGATCTATCTATATGCAGTAGGCTAATCTGGGTGGTTCCCCCCTTGATCTCTCCGCCTCCCTCTCCTCCCTCCTTCTCACCCCTCCACCACCCCTAACTCCCAGACAGAAGGGATACGGGAACAGGAAAGGAAAGAAGGAGAAAGAGGAGAGCGGGAAAGAAGGAGGATCAAGAAAAACCGGGGAACCGATAAACCCCCCTGCAAAGGCGCTGGCGGAAAAGGCGGTCCGGAACGGACCTTCGCGATAGACGAACGAGCCGCCAAACACTTCCTCTCGGCATCCTTCGCCTCGCCGCGCGTCACCAAGTTCCTGATGGTCTCCTGGCTCGGCAGCCGGCGGGTGCATCCCAGCTGGATGGCCGACTCGGACTGGGCCGGCGTCCAGAACGTCTTTAACAACGTGCTCCCCGCCTACGCCAAAGCCAAGCTTGAGGCTGACGAGTACATGACTGCGCTGGCGGCGCGGCGCAAGACCCAGGTGCGCGACGGCACGGCGAGCCCGCTCCAGGCTATCAACCTGCGTCCCGGGACGTTGACGGACGAGCCGGCGACCGGGAAGGTCGAGTTGGGGACGACGCCCGGCCGCAGTAAGGTGACGAGGGAGGACGTGGCCATCGTGGCGGATCGGCTGTTGGCGCGCGCCGACACCGACGGCTGGTATGACCTGGTGAACGGGGATGAGCCCATCGACGAAGCGGTGGAGCGTGTGGTCAGGGACAAGGTGGATGCGGTGGAGGGAGAGGATGTCGATGGTATGGTGAAGCGCTTCTTTCCTTGAAATAGATGGTCCCGTTCGCTTATGACCGAGGGCCGGGGAAAGACTACCGATATATGAGAAAACGAATATATTGAATAGTTTACCGAAATGATGCGTCGAGAAGTGCCCGTTTCTTTGCTCTATTGACATGATTCATTAATGATAGGCTATACGAGACGTTACAGTTTCGCCTTAGGCGCGGAGGCCTCTTCCTTGGCCTGCTTCTTCAGCACGCGGCGCAGGATCTTCCCGCTGACACTCTTGGGGATCTCGTCGACAAATCGCACTCCTCCGCGCAGCCGCTTATGATACGCAACTTGATCATCCAGCCATTTGACTATCTTCGCGGCCTCCTGCTCGGCACTAACACCCGACGCCTTGCTCTTCGCGCTGCGCACGATAAAAGCCAGCGGCACCTCGGTGCCGTGCGCTTCACTCTCCACGCCGATCACCGCGACATCGTCAATGGCCTCGTTGTCCACCAGGAGTCCCTCCAGCTCCGCGGGAGCCACCTGGAAACCCTTGTACTTGATGAGCTCCTTCACGCGATCCGTGATGTAGAAATTCTTGTCCTTATCTTGGTAGCCCACGTCTCCGGTCTGGAACCACCCGTCGGGCGAAAGACAGCCCGCCGTGGCCGACGGGTTGTTGTGGTATCCCTGGAAGACATTGGGACCCCTGAGATACAGCTCGCCCACCTCGCCAACGGGAACTTCGCGCGGCTCCGACCCGTCCTCGGGCATGGTCATGTACTTGGCTTCCATGTTGGGGAGCAATTTGCCGACTGCGCCGATGCTGGTTCGCCATTCCTCCCAGGGCTGCGTGTGCGTGGTGGGGCTGGTCTCGCTGAGTCCGTAGCCCTGCTTGATGCCCGTCTTGATGCGTGCGTACACCGTCTCCACGAGTTCTTGCGTCAGTGGGGCGGCGCCGGAGTTCATCATGCGCAGACTCGACAGGTCATATTTGTCGACGACGGGGTGTTTGCCGAGCAGAAGGACCACCGGCGGCACGACGTAGCTGAATGTGATTCGGTAGTTCTGGACGTGGGCGCACCACTTCTCGATGTCGAATTTCTGCATCACGACGAGTTGGTAGCCTTGGTATAGGGTCTGATGGACCAGACAGGTCAAGCCTAGCGAACACGTCAGATCTGTTGCGAATCTTCTACAAGGGATAAATGTGGTACGTCGCGTCGAACTCACCATAAATGTGGAAAAAGGGAAGGAATGCCAGCACCCGATCTCCTTTTCCATCCGCGCCCCCGTTCCAGGTCAGATTGCCGGCCTCCCCGGCCGCCAGCTGCAAGGTGTTGGCGATGATGTTCCTGTGCGATAGCATCACGCCCTTCGGGACTCCCGTGGTGCCCGATGAGTACACGAGAAACGAGAGGTCCTTTTCGGGGACGATCTTCATCTTGCGGAACCTGGTTGCGCCCGAGATATTCCGGATGGACGTGAAGTGCTTGATCTTCGCCTGGGGATCACGCTCGTCGCCAATCAGGAAGATGCGGTCCTCGGGGATCCCGGCGCGCTTCGCGGCTGCGGTGGCGACGGGGAGTTGCGGGACCTGGGTTGCCAGCGCCTTCGCGCCGGAGTTCTGCAGCTGGAAAGCCAGCTCTTCGACGGTGTAGGCGGGATTGGCGGGAGAGATGACACCCCCGGCCCAGTGGGTTCCCCACATGACGACGGGGGTGTCGATGCTGTTGGGGGTGAACAGGGCCAGCACATCTCCTTTGCGCCAGTCCCAGATGGCCTTCAATCCTTTGCCGAAGGAAAGCGCGGTGTCCTTTAGACTCTGATAGGTATAGTATCGTTGCGTTTCGGCATCCTGGTAGATGACTAAAGGGGGCGGTTAGCTGCGGGGAGAGAGATGGGAGATGCGGAGAAAATGAGCTGGCCGGCTCGCAGTCGGGGGAACTGACTCTTGTCGTCAGGGAATTGCCTTCCCTCGCGCTCAAATAGAAACGTCCAGAGGTCGACATTGGGAATGTCCACCGGAGGATAATGTGAAGAGACGGGCATGGCGACAACTGTGCGGGGAAAGTTGGGGTAAACGGGGATGTTTATGGGGGATGATTGCAACTGTGGCCAGACGAGTTAAGAGGTTAGTCGTTATATATATGCACAGCAGGAGGCAAGAGAGGATAGAAGAGAGTGAATGAGATACGAGAAGGATGGCTGGCAGCTGTGTGGAAAGTTAATGGATTGAGTAATCCCGCGGCGACTCGCCATTCGGCCCTCGGCATTCTTCGCTTGGAGGCCGGCAGTCAACCGTTGGGATTGGAACCGCCGTGGCGGAGGAACTGTTCCTCCTATGCTTTCTGGTTCCTTGATTACATTACTATCTTGCCGGATTTCCGAGATTACTTATCTCTCTTGTGTCTTATAACTAAACAAGTCGAGTTCTTTAATTGTGAACACGTGGTCCTGGATACTCAACCGATCTCTAGCAAATCCCGAATGAGAATCCATTCATCCCGAGTGTTTCGCAGTCCATGTAGATATTGTTATACGAGGGGATGGATAGAAGATCATCGACAGAATCAGAACGAGGAATGCGTCAACGCAGCTTCTCCGAGAAGCCAAAAGTGGAGTGCAGCTGACTAAACGCGGGGGTCTCCATTGCTTCTTCTTTCCTTCTGTCTGGGAGTCACCCAAGTCCTTTTGGACTCTGGACTTCCGTGGATTCGTGCTGGATCTGGTCTATGCAGCGCTATTCTGTTAGGCAGCCGTGACCCGTCCCTCTGGCGATAGTCTTAACGGACTACACCAAGAGAATGAGGCGACTGCTCTCATATTCCCCTGCAAACCCCATGGATACCAAGTGATCGTGGACTCACTCCTGCCTGCACGGTAAGGCACTCGCTGGTCCGAGTGTGCGGCCGATTTTGGTGTTCTTCCTCCCCACACCGCCTCGCTTACCGACCAATCAGAACCGCCCAATTACCCGCAATCTTGGGATATAATCCATTCTAATGTTAGTTCCTTTGCCTTCGGGCATTTGGTCAATTTGAAACGATACAGAGAAGATTAGCATGGCCCCTGCACTAAGGATGACACGCTCAATCAAAGAGAAGCTACCAGTTTTTTTTGCTTTCCTTACCGGCCCTTCTGTGAGGTGCGGTGTTTGTAGTGTTGTAGCTGTGGGTTGGAGGTGGGCGGTTCGAATCGCGCTGGGGTCGATACTTTTTTTCTTTTTAGTTGCTGGGAGCTTTTACTAGTATATAATAGCCCACCACCTGCTCTTTTTCCACACCGATGCATTGTAGGGAATTTTCTGTAGCGCAGTAGGGATCATAATCTGGCCATATATTCATACAGCTAATGCAAGGTCTTCTATACAAGTCTACGGGGATAATTGTACATGCCCAAGCCCATTACATCAAACTGGTTCGCCCCCCAATCTCGTTGCCTGCCTCGCCGTTGGGCATCTCGCCATTCCTGCCGAACACGAACTCACGGTATATCCCCTGCAGCCGTCTTCGCTCGGCATCGCTGAGCGAGCTGCGTGTGCTGTCGAGCGATCGCTCCATGTGCTCCCAGCGAACGATGATCTCTTCGCGCGGTTCTTCGTGGGCAGCCTCGTTCGTGGCCGGCGTACTGGTGTTCGCCGTCCCCTGCTCCATCTGCCGCTGGCGGCGTCGTGCATTCTTGATCGCGTCGAGTTTGGATGCAACGACTGCCGGCGACGGCATCGAAACAGACCCATTCTGCTCCGAGTTCGAGTACAAAAACTGAATGAAGGACTTGGTGCTGGTGCCTGTCGACGATTGCTTGGCACTGTTGCTCTTCGTCGTGGGTTTGTCCCCGGAGCGGTCTCCGAGAGCGTCGTGGACGGCTTCCAGATGGGCATTGTATACAACCGCCTGCAGGTCGGCTCCGGAGAACCCTTCAGTCCTAGCGGCCACCTCGTTCAGCCTAGCGGCCACCTCCCCATCCATTGCCAGCTTCTTACTCACGGCCTGGATGATATCGATGCGGTCCGACTGACTGGGCATGTCGCAGAGTAAGGATTTGTCCAAACGTCCCGGACGCAGGAGGGCCGGGTCAATCAGATCCGGGCGGGACGTGGCTGCGAGAACGTAAACCCCCGAAAGCCCTTCAGCACCATCCATCTGCGTGAGAAGCTGGTTGACCACGCGGTCGGTGACACCGGTGGAATCATGGCCACGCTTGGGTGCTATACTGTCAAACTCATCGAAGAAAAGGATACAGGGCCGGGCGGCCTGGGCTCTCTCAAACAGATCACGCACGCTCTTCTCACTGGCACCGATGTATTTATTGAGGATCTCTGGTCCCTTGACGCTGATGAAGTTCAGGCCGCACTCTCCCGCCACGGCACTGGCTAGAAGCGTCTTTCCGCACCCAGGGAAACCGTAGAGCAGTAATCCCGAGCGCAACCGGAGCGGGCATTGCGCAAAGATAGGGGCATATTTGGTAGGGTATTGCAGGGTTTCCAGGAGAGTTTTTCGAGTCTCGTGCAAGCCACCAATGCCAGAAAACGTAGTCGTAGAAGAAGTCAGAGTCACATTACGGAGGGAAGCCGGGGTAAAGCCCTTGATGGCGTTTTCAAAGTCCTCAAATCCAAGAGTGATTGCTCTCGACGCCGCCAAGGGGTCTTGGACGGAGCGGATCAGAGCCTCATTTCGGGCACGAGAGACATACAGCACCAGATCGCCGGGCATGTATCCATCGGTCTTGCCGGCCAACTCGAGGAAATCGACGTCCCGTCCGAGCACAAAGCCATCCGCACCCGCTGAGCTGGGACGACTACCTGGGTTCGAAGGATCCAGCCAAGAATCCTGGGTAGAGGAGCTCTCGTTTCGCACATGGCCATTCATCGAGATGCTCGCCTCTCGATCTTGAATCGTCAGTTGCTCGAGCACCTTCCGCCGTCCTTCCTTGTCCGGGGCTCGCAAGTGAATGATTTCGCGAGAGACATGGCCTCCGATGATGATGTTGTTCAAAGACTCCTTGGACTGTGCTGTCGCCAGCAGTACCACCGGGGAGTTCATGGAGCAGTATTCGCGAACCATAGAGCAGATAACCTCACTGTTCTGGCGACTACGGCCGTTGTCTCCCCCGACCTGCAGCTCGGTTTCCACCGGGCAAAGCTTGTCGAGGTCGTCCAAGATCACAACCGACTGTCCGCCGAGACGAGCACACCAAGACGCCGACATGAAAAGACGATTCAGGGTCTCCTTGATATTAGAGATTCGAGTCTCATCTGTCACAAGCTTTCGACAGGAGAAATATTTCACGTTAAATAGGTATTCATTTCGCACACGGTGTGCCAACAGGTGGGTGAGAGCCGTCTTTCCCGAGCCTAAACCACCCGTCAACAGGATGGAAGACGACTTGGTTAAATTATCGAGAGACTTTGATATGATCTGATCAATGCCAACCATTTGAGGCACAGTCGGTGGTATGGGGTCATCTGTGGGCAAGGCAGACGAGCCTTGATCTGCGGGCTTTGGTATCTCGGATTGTACCTCAAGAGGCAGCTTCGAATCCGATCCCAAAAACCAACCAAGAGGCGGCTTGGAAGTTTCAGAGTTACTCTTCAATGGAGGATCGAACCGGATGATCGCACCATCAAAAGCGGACACAGCTTCATTGTCGGCCTTCGGCAAGATCATTCCATCTGTCAAGGGGCCTGAGAGCAACCCTTTGTCGCTCCCAGAACTACCATAAATCACCTTGATGCGCTCGGCCAAGGCATCTTTCGCGGCCGTGGTGTCTGCACCAAACTTAAGACCATCTTTCTTCTTGGATGGATCGGAGATGAAGGGGTAGACTTTGAGAGACTTGACCGCCGACCGCTGCAATGGTGGAGGTGCGGCCTCGACACGAACAATACCACCTACCATGCTCTCGGCATTTAAAGCCGAGCACAATAAAGATGACACGGCAACATGCTGAGTATCCGGCGCATCAACCCACGGAACCAACTTGGCCACGATTTTGGAGGCGGGCAGGCCGGCATCGTTTGCTTTTTGTTCCGCTTGGTTCAGCTGCTGTTGGGGATCCGGTGGCGGTTTGAGGCCGGCAGGTTGAATGACTGTAATACAACCCCAACTGGCGCCCCGGAGTTCGTTTGTGGCAAGCATGTCGGCATCGACCCAAACGCGAAAACCCTCATTGACATCATCCTCAGAATCCGCATCAAAATATTGTCCAGACAATTGGCGGTCGATACCTCGGAAATAGAGAGCACCTCTGCTTGTCGAGTCTGTGCGTCCCTTGGGTCGCACTGTGCTCCCACTACTTCTTCCTCCGGCACTCCTCCGGCTGCTGCCGGCGACGCTTCGGCTGTCTCCGCGGGACCCTCGCGATGACTTGGCCCGCACCTTCGGAGCAACGATGACTTCGGCATCAGGGGCGATCTTCGCAAAGGCAGAGGTGGTGGGTGGGGCAGGCGTGAGCGAGGTAACGACTATGTTGGCGGTCGACGTCGGTGAGAGATGCAGTGCTAAGGGGTGCATGTGATCTGCTTGAGTGGTCTCGAAGGCGGGATTAGGTAGAGCGCGGATTTGCGACAGTAGGTTCAGCTCTAAGAAGGTCGCATGCAGCTCGATAACTATCACCAAGGCCCGTCAGTAATTGCGACCAATGTCATTCCAGGAAGCGGGGGATCATACTCTCCCAGTCCTCCGGCGTCAGCGGTTCAATGTTGATTGTATGGGCCACTGGGGGATCCAGATGGATGAAAATCCCGACCTGAAAACATTAGTAATTAAGAAATCCAATGGTGTTGTAAACGAGGAGCACTACCTTTTGCCCCTCCGTAAGGCCCAAAACTCTGCTGAATGTGGTATCCATCTCGACTGTAGCGACATCTTGTTCTCTGGCAGAGGGACCGCTGCTAATGCCATCTCTCCCGACAACTGGCGCAAGCTTTCGCTTGCTCGGCATTCCGGTCCACCCCAGATAGCATGAGCGTTGCGCCGAATTGCCATTGGCCCTTCCGGTCGTCGGTCTATATTGTAATTCGACAATGACATTTTGCGCCGTCTAAAGAGAAAGTGAGCCATGCTGAGTCGCCCTCTGAGGGGATGGGGAAGTCGGCGTACAGTGTTCGCATTGACCAGCAGCGCGGTCAATGACGGCGGGAGGTTAACCAGACAGTTCTTCAGCGGCACGAGAGCGACTTCCGCCGTCGTGGAGGGCTTTCGGGGCGCCATTCTCAGGCGCTCTAGAGTGAGGATGTTCTGCTTTCACAAGCGACGCAGGGGTGAGTACAAAGGAGCTCTAGTGAAGAGGGAGAGAAGAGACCACAGCTCACGATCTCCCCGGACTTGCGTCGACTCCGCAAAGCAAGTGCCCGCCAAACGCCGGTTGGCCGAGGCGGCCCGCCTCGTGCTCTTCGGACCGAGACTTGATCCGCTCCGGAACACGTGCTCCCCGGCTAGATCGGATCCGGACTAGCGCCGCATCCGGAATGGGCGACGCGTCTCTTTCGCGTCGCGACGTGTTTGTGCGCCTAAGGCCAGCACCAGCTCGGGCGGCTCTGCTGAGATCCACCACCACCGACTAACTTCTCTTCTCCGAGAAATCCACCAAGAGTGCAAAGCGATCGCTTCCTGTGGCTCCGACCCATGCGATTTTAGTACGGTCGCCATTTGCAACCCCCCGAACAGCCAATTGCCTTGGTTAGACCCTTTGTCGCATCATGGCTTTGCTTCAGTACAACGCCCCTGTCGATTATGCGGCGCAATTAGACGCCTTCAAGGACTTTCTGCAGCACTTCAAAACCTTCGAATCGGCCTCCGCCTCCGCTGCGACCGAAGCTATCGAGGACCTGCATATCGATGGAGATCGCACTAGCGACGAATATGACTTTATGGACGATGCGGAGGAGGGTGAAGGAAGAGAGGGGGCTGCCCGCAGACGCCGCCAACCAAAGCTCAAATACATGCAGATGTTGCAGGATGTAGCGGATCGGGAGCGGTCGAATATCCTCATTGAGCTCGATGACCTGGCGACCGTGAGTGTTTCTTTTCCGCCGTTGTGCCGCGTGCGTCCCTGTCCTAATATTGTTTTCTTAGTTCGAAAAATCACTCCCCGAAGATGTGGACTTGAAGCTCGTCGAGTCTGTGCAGAAGAATACCAAGCGATATGTCGATGTTCTTTCGTCAGCTGTGGACGCTGTTATGCCCAAAGAAACCAAGGAGATTACGTATGTTGTAATATCGCATATCTGAGGTGGATACAATAACTAACAACGTACAGGTTCAAGGATGATGTTCTAGATGTCATCATGTCGCAACGCGAAAAACGAAACGAGACTTCGAACATGGCCATGGAGGCTGACATGGATGCAGCCGAAGAATCTCCGATATTTCCGCCGGAATTGACCCGTCGATACACCCTGAATTTCAAGCCCCTCACACCTTCAGGATCCAGCAGTGAGCGCGAGGGCAAGGCCCTTGCCGTCCGGAATGTGCGGGCAGAGCATCTTGGTAGCTTGATCACCGTTCGCGGTATCACCACTCGTGTCTCGGACGTTAAGCCCGCGGTCCAGATCAATGCCTATACTTGTGACCGCTGCGGGTCCGAGGTTTTCCAGCCGATCACTACAAAGCAGTTCATGCCCATGACGGAGTGTGTGTCGGAGGAGTGCAAGAAGAACAACTCCAAGGGACAGCTGTTCCTTTCCACGCGGGCTTCCAAATTCGTTCCCTTCCAGGAGGTGAAGATCCAGGAGATGGCAGACCAGGTGCCTGTCGGTCACATCCCTCGGACTATGACCATTCACTGCCATGGGAGTCTGACTCGACAAGTTAACCCCGGTGATGTTATTGATCTTGCAGGAATCTTCCTGCCTACACCCTACACGGGTTTCAGAGCTATCCGTGCCGGGTTACTGACGGACACCTATATAGAGGCTCAGCACGTCACGCAGCACAAGAAGTCCTACAACGAGATGGCCATGGACACTAAGACTCTTCGGAAGATTGAGCAGTACCAGAAGTCTGGAAACATGTATGAGTACCTGGCTCGGTCAATTGCTCCCGAGATCTACGGTCACCTTGACGTGAAAAAGGCATTGCTTCTACTCCTGATTGGAGGTGTCTCGAAGGAGATGGGTGATGGCATGCACATTCGTGGTGACCTGAACATTTGCCTGATGGGTGATCCTGGTGTTGCCAAATCTCAGTTAATGAAATACATCGCCAAGGTTGCCCCCCGAGGTGTGTACACGACCGGTCGAGGAAGTAGTGGTGTCGGTCTTACGGCTGCCGTCATGAGAGATCCGGTGACAGATGAGATGGTGCTGGAGGGTGGTGCGCTGGTCCTGGCCGACAATGGTATTTGCTGCATTGATGAATTCGACAAAATGGACGATGCAGACCGGACGGCTATCCACGAAGTGATGGAACAGCAGACGATTTCCATCTCCAAGGCTGGAATCACCACCACGCTAAACGCTCGCACGTCCATCCTGGCGGCCGCTAACCCGCTCTATGGACGATACAACCCCCGGATCTCTCCGGTGGAGAACATCAACCTGCCCGCCGCATTGCTTTCGCGTTTCGATATCATGTTCCTTATCCTTGACACGCCTTCGACCGAGGGCGACGAAGAACTGGCACACCACGTCACCTATGTCCACATGCACAACAAGCACCCCGAGACCGAGGACGCCGGCATTATGTTCACTCCTCACGAGGTCCGCCAGTACATTGCCAAGGCACGCACCTACCGACCGGTTGTCCCCTCGAGCATTTCGGATTACATGGTCGGAGCGTACGTGCGCATGAGGAAGGACCAGAAGACCGACGAGGCCAACAAGAGGCAATTCTCTCACGTTACTCCTCGTACTCTGCTTGGTGTCGTCCGTCTTTCGCAGGCCCTCGCGCGTCTTCGCTTCAGTGATATCGTCGTCACGGAGGACGTCGACGAGGCTCTGCGCCTTGTTGAGGTCGGTAAGTCATCCCTGGCCAACGACGGCCACGGTGGCGGCGACCAGAGCCCTACCAGCAAGATCTACAACTTGATCCGCCACATGCGTGAGAGCGGTGCCGCCGCCATCGGAGATGGCGAGGAGGGCGCGCTCAGCATGCGCAGAATTCGGGAGAGAGTGCTCGCGAAGGGCTTTACGGAGGATCAGCTGAAGATGGCTATTGATGACTATGAAAGTGTTAATGTAAGCTTTTCTTCCTTCGTGCCTTGTTTGCCATTGAAGAATCTGGTTACTAACATGTTCTTTAACAGGTCTGGCATGTTCTTGGGGACGGTACACGTCTGGTATTCGTTGATGTTGATGTTGACGGAGAAATGGACATGTGATGGGAGTACATCATCTAATCACTGTATTTGACGAGTGTTTTCTTTTCTAATGTTTACATTGGCCATGATTGATTGACTGGCTTATGAATTCTGTTCCCTTCATGGTTTTCTTTTTGATATCGGGAGAGGTTGGTTTCAGTCGTCTGCGAGATCTCATTGCAAACGGGTCGAATCTGGAACCGGTGTTTCTGGAGTATGTAGCTGATAGTCATTTCGACGAGAGGAGAGGGTCAAAATCTGATATAATACATACATTCTCGGACAACGAATGCAGTTACTCGGATTATTTCCAAAGCTCTTTCCATTGCGGTTGACTATCTGTTTAACACTATATATGAAGGAGTGACTGACATTGACCTTACTGGCACACATGAAGGAATGTAGCAACACCACGACAGATTCGACCGACGCTCGACAGCCCGGACAGCTCAATATATACACCGTGATGTATACATATCTATCCCAAACAACCAACTACTAAACAAACCCCAAACCTTTCACCACCCGACCACTAGAGCCAAACGCTGCTCCAAATCAGAACCAACACCAACACCCAAAGCAGAAATCTAAACCGGGCACTGGTTGCGGATAGGCACCTCAGCGCAGAGGTTGGGGCCGGCGCCGTTATGGTTATCGCAGAGGGTGTTGCACTCGGTGGACTCGGGGGTGAAGACCAGGAACTGGTAGTTGGGGACGTTCAGACGGAACTGCTTCCGGATGTCGTTGTTGTTCCTGGAGGCCTTGTAGCCGGCGCGGCAGGCGCAGTGGAAGCGAGTGCCCGTATTGATGCACGAGGTGGTGATGTCGCAGCTGTTCTGGCCCGAGATCGGATTGCAGGTGCCGCAGGTCGGGGGACGAGGGGGAGGAGGACCGGCCAGGGCCAGGGAGGAAGAGCCTAGAAGGACGAGGGTGGTGAGGATGGCGGAGGTCTTCATTTTGAAGGTAGATTTGGATTTTGAACTTGGTGGTTTGGTTGAGCTTGAGCGAGGAAAAACGATTGGATTGAAGCGATGGGAGAGTGAAGGCTGATGCGGTGCGATGCGAATGGAGAGGATATTTTTGCGGTGCCATTGACCGGTTTATATATCCATTTTCTCTGCGTATCGTGCCTATTCTCCGACGGCCTCGCGCTGACAGCACATATCCCTGACCAATTCTCGTCTTTCCCCGTATAGAGAGAGACACAAGCCAGGCTTCAATAGTACTGCCTCCACCCCGTAACGCCACCTGCGAAAGGGAAAAAACACCTCATTCCTCTCCACGTCATAGAAACAGGTCAACAAAGAAAAAGCTAAACGATGTGAGACATTGTCTCGAACACTTTGACATCTCCTCTGGTGCCCCAGAGAAACAGTGCTCAGGTCACGAATGGGCGGTTCGGGAATACGAGGTCTACAACCCCGTCCTGTTTCTTCCCACCCTTGCATGAGTCGGGGTACATGGGACTGGAATGGACAGACTCGACCTGACGTTGTGATGATGCTGATTTTGGTCCCTTCGGTCATAACCACTGTGGATGGTGGACAAAAAAGAAGAAAAATCAAGAGAGAGCTTGACTGCTTTCCCCGGACTTTCAAACCGCACTAGACTGACCGTGCATGAGGCAAGATCCGGGGATGGACTGGACTGGACTGGATGGGGCTGGACTTGTCATCTGTTGGACGCTCTTGGTACTTTTCTCTCCCCTGTGAGATTGCGACTTGGTCAATGCCTGCCTCGTGTTATTGGTGTCTATTAATGGAGAACACAGGAGCTGGACTCACGATTGGACGTCTCCATTTCATTGTTTACGATACGTGATGCAGGCTGAGGAGGTGTATAGACCTGCCAAGATCCAATTGAAAAGGATCGACTGCTGGAACTGGGCAAATCGTGGCCAGTGGCAAGCGAATTGAAACTTAATCGTTGTCGCTCAGCCGAGCAGCACTTCGGGCTACGGGCATATACCTTGACACAGGGGAGTCATCACCGATTGGTATGCAAGCCACTCATCCCTGAGAGACAATTTAAAAATAGGAAGAAAGTTGGGGGGATATCTACCAATTAGACCAGTAAGACCATAGGTACCCGAAACAGCGTTCGTGATGTCTGTAGGCAAGGTCGTACCTATAATATCCAAATCCGAAAGACATGATCGATTCCAGCCAGCCACTATCACTGGTCATAAAAAATGTCTACAGATGTACTTTCGACCCTTCGGGCTCACCGACTAACGCCAAAAAGCTCTCGTGGACTTCCTCTGTCAGATCACTCGCTTGCATACTCCGTCCTTTGGCCTTGAAGGCACGCCGAGAGCAGTCTCGCGTAATGGCACTGCCTGTCCAGGCAGCCAGCAGAAGTGTCGTGGCGGGCGACATGCGTCGGTCCTCCGATTCCAGTTCTGTCTGAATATCCTGCGGACTCTGCGCCTCCTTGGGATTATCCTTCTCACCGGAGTCCCACAGCCCGTTATGATAAGCCGCTCGCCAGGCGAGAAGGGTGCCCAATGATCCGGTGAGCGTGTCGCCCTGGCCCCCGCTACGCTTCAGGCCACCCGTAATGTCGTTGATGATGCTGGTGATTCCGTTGGAGATCACGTCGTGCGGACCCTTTTGGATGACCGTCACGCCACCCAGCGCCTTAGAGAGCTTCTCACAGGCTTCTGTTTCTCGCCTGGTGCGGTCATCGCCACTAGATTCCGAGGCGACCTGGGCCAGACTGGGTACATCGATCCCCAAGGCCTTGGCCAGGCGGCTGAATTCGTTCACGTTCGGTGTCAGGATACATTCTTTATACCCCTTCACCAGATCCGGATCATCCGTCACCAACAGCAGGCCGTCGGCGTCCAAGACAAAGGGAATTGATCGAGACCGGGCTTCTCTCATCACCTCGGCGACCACCTTGAGCGTCACGCCGTCACGACCCAATCCCGGGCCTATGACCAAGGCGTGGAGGCGCGAAAGCATGGAGATGATGGGACTGGCAAGGGCCGGCGCATCGATGGAATTGGGGTTCCCCACCGTCTCGCTACTAGGCAGTAAGGGATGGACCATCAGATTTGGAGAATAGGTTTTCACAACCTGCATGGATCAATCAGCCAACCCGATCAGAAAAAAGACGGTTCAGAATATCGAGTCTTACAGTAGCTGCAGATCGCTCGCAAATGACATGGCTCTGTTTGCCGTTAGACGATTACTAAATCATGTAGGGAGCCTGACGGCAAATGCGGGTGTGTCATACCATATCGCACCCTGTCGAACGGCATGCCAATTAGCATCGACAAGATGACATGGTGATTACCTGCGGCTTTGATGTACTCACCTAGTTTTGCCGATGCCATAGAAGAAAAGTAGGGAGCCCCCGTAAAGCTGTAAGATGATCGTGTCAGTCTAGCTCGTTTGGCGAGCAACGTGGGCAGCATACTCCGCAGAACCTCCGATGACAGCAACACGCCCATGTTGTCCTGTATCAAATGTCAGCGGACTTTCCCATCCCCTCAACATGCACTTGACACGGAGTGCAAAGACACTGACCTTTATGGAACTTTTCCAACAGAGGCGGCACAATCTTCCGCACCTTATTGAACAAGACCTTCGGAGAGGTTGATATATGATGCACCGGCTCCATGTTTGGACGTGATGAAGATGAGAAGCAATTAATACCCGATGACGGTCGCTGAAAAAACAATGCACAGTATTGAGGAAAGTGGGCTGAAGATGATGAGAAGGAGAAGAAATGGCAGACTGGGCGACAGCAATATCGCCGGTGATGTCACCGCCTGCCAGGTGGGGCTCGATAACAACCAGCGAGCCTGAAGAATGCGACATCATCCTGACATAGAGACGATGTACCGATGATTAATCTCTTGGTGTGCCCATCAGGAGTCTCAAGCGCTAGTTCAAATCACTGGTCTATGGAATACCACCGGTGTCATGCCTGGACTGGGTTCTGGATCTACCTACGTATGTCTTTTTGGCCCAAGCCAATTACGGCGTCAAGGAAAACAACGATCTCGGTCATGTTTTCTCGAAGGCCGTTCAAGCGGAGTGGCGATATTAATCCCCAAGCTACATAGTGTGACATGCTACGTGCGCGTCTGGAAGGAAGCGGAGGAGAAATATGGGAAGAAGACTCTAGATCCAAGAGAAATAAGAACCGTGTAAATCTGAGCGGTGTGAAGCTATGTATGTGAACAAAGGGTGAGTATTTGTAGAATAAAAGAAAAGCAAATGATCGAACCATCTATCGACACCATGACGCTCGCTGATGCTCATAGCAAGTGGAAGCAAACAAAGAAAAGAATAGCAAAGTTGTGTGTTATGCACCCTCGGGGTATACCTCGCTGATGCTCCGTGTCCAAGTCAAGAAAATGCTGACGAAACCCATAAGAAATTACCAACAAAGAGAAGACAAGAAAGGAAAAGAAAAGAAAATGGAAAAGGTAAGAGAAGGTACCGAGAGGAATTCGAAATGCTTGCTTGGTAAAACTCAGCGTCTCCTGGCTGCCAAAGCAGCAAGTTTGTTGCGACGGTCCAGCTTGTCTTGCTTGGCTGCTTGTTCCGCACGCCATTCTTCTTCGTCCTCTCGCCTGGCAGCGGCTAATGCCTTGGCTTCTTCCTCCTCCACATCGTCGAAACCTCCTTCCATGTCCGAGGATGCGTCGGAGTAGTAGTCATCGTAGTCATCTGCATACTCTCCTTCGTCCTCTTCGTCCGTTCCAAGATACTCATTCATCCTCGATCGTCCTGCACCTCGGCCCTGTGATTTCCGATCCTGAGGATTGACTCGACTGGGTAACCCGGCCGTTCCTCGGTACTCAGGGAGCGCAGGCGCCGGCGGGGGTTTTGCAGTGCCCTTGTATGCCAGCTCTTCCGGTTCACGTTTCTTAACAGGTTTGCCATGTGCCGCGTTGGGGGCTGATCCCGACTTTTTGGCGGTTGGGTCTTCTTTGCCCTTGGTCTGCGCTTCCTGCGTCTTTTTCTTGCGCTCCACCTTGCTGAGTTTCTCCTTCGGAACAGCCTGATGCTTAAACATGCCCACTTGTGACGGCGCTTTATCTTGGAGGGCCTTGGCTTTCATCATGAGATCCGCATATGATCCTTTGGGTGGTGCCTTGGAGGATGCTGAGGCTGGTTTTTGAGCGCCGGATGTATTGCTATTGATAGATGGTTTAGAGGGTTTGGCGGGAGAAGCGATGGTGGGACGAGGCTTGGCAGACGTGGATGCTGGGGCTGGTCGCGAGGGTAGAGGTCGACGAGGCCCTTTGGCATCAGGCTTTTGAGTACGGGGCAGCTGCTCCTCAGCCTTCCTTTTCGTGCCCGCAGCCAGTGTCTTCCGCTCGAGGGGCGCTTCACGGGGGGTTGTGCTGGGCTTGCGGACCTCAGATTTGGCGTTGGAGGATGAAACCGGCGCTGACAAGGATGAAGAGGATGGTGGTAAACGAGAGGGTTTTCCCGTCTCGATGGACGAGAGGACTGAATCGAGAAACTGCCGCGAGGTTAGTTGAAGTCACAGATAGACCTAGAAAAGGGCCTCTTACACTCATTTTGGCGGCTGGAATCGATGGACTGACGTCGATAGGGATAGAAGACGCGGGGTATCAATAGGCAAAATTCACCGTCGATGATTAGTACAACGGGATAACTTCATGACTTCGTTGAATCTGTGAAGCTAGCGCTCGATAAAAAGCGATAAGACGTTTCCACGCTCGAACCTGGACGGCGTGAGAGGGGGAAACGAAGCTCTGGCGGTTAACGCGGTGGGTAGAAGCGCTCAGCACACCAACGTCGTCCAGAAGAGAGCGTTGGGAGAGAAGGAGAGGACAAGGAGCGAGTCGCCATCCTGTCTTCTAGAAGCACCGAGTCACGTGCAGCATCGAATTCAGACCAAACGGAACCTTACCGGATCGGGCAGCAACCGCCTGAGCCACAGGCGCTCGCTTAGAAGCCCGGGCGCTCCAGCCACAACCCACCAGCCGCGGCGCACTTTTTCTCAGATTTTAGCCCTGTTCTTGACTTTCACTTCCTCCATTCTCATCGCCAACTTCCCGTCGAACTCTGACGTCTCAGTCTCCGCCCAATCCCAGCGGTTAAATCGATTGATTCTCGTGTTCGAATACACTAAATAAATCTGTACGTGTCATTTTTGCATCAAGCCGCCGGTCTTGTTGATCTTTGCGCCTGGACATCGAATTCTAACGGAGTTGTCAAATTTAGATCAAAATGAAGCACGTCGCCGCTTTCCTCCTCCTCACCCTCGCCGGCAACGAGTCCCCCTCTGCCGCCGATGTTAAGGGTGTCCTCTCCTCCGTCGGTATCGACGCTGATGAGGAGCGTCTCACCAAGCTCATCTCTGAGCTTGAGGGCAAGAACCTCCAGGAGGTTAGTTGACACAACTGGCGGGCTCGCGCTAAGGCGCATACAGAACAATTACTGACCATTTCTTCCTACAGCTGATCTCCGAGGGTACCACCAAGCTCGCCTCCGTTCCCTCCGGTGGTGCCGGCGCTGCTGCTGCCGCCCCCGCCGCTGCCGCTGGCGGTGACGCTCCCGCTGAGGCCCCTAAGGAGGAGGAGAAGGAGGAGTCCGATGAGGACATGGGCTTCGGTCTGTTCGACTAAGCGGTTTCACCCATCCGAGTCCATGAAAAATTGCGATAATTCGTGGGGGAACAGGATCTGGAGTTGGGGGAAGAAATTTGCCCAAGGAAATGGTCAAGCTTGCATATTTCAGGCTTTCCTGATGCAGTTACGATTTATGCATACGTGAAGTTTAGCCAATACAGATTGTCTGACCTCCTCGAACTTCGTTTTATCTTTGCTGGTATTTTTGTAGTATGTAAGTTGATTTCTTAAAGAGACGGGCTTATGACGGATGGTTAAACGTTCGAGTACGAAGTATACGCGCGCGAAATCATTTGCTAGATTTCCCCATTCATCCCAGTATCACGTATCAATTTGCGAAAGGAACATGGTAATATGACCCCAAATGTACCCCGGGCGCAAGATCTATGATAGCCTCCAATCGCGACCGTAGAAACGCGATAAGAAACGCCGTAGACTGCGCCGGACAATTTATAGGGCTGGGCAGCGCAAGCCCTAAGACCCGTGCTGAGAAGGGACTAGTGGGGTAGGGCTATTGACCTAGCCGGGTCGCTTAGCCCGCCCACTCCCAACGCAGCGCCGCAGCACAAGAGTTGGCCCGACGAACGTTCATCCAGCGACACGACACCGACAACCCCATCGTCCCTTTCGCTTTTCGAGTCCCGATCGAAAAGCGACCTTGAGAGGAACACCCGCAAAAATGGCTGACGAACACTACGTGAGTGATGACTTGTCCAGACAAACACTTTTTCAAATGTCTTTAAAGGGACGCGAAAAGCTGACATATCTGACCTATATAGAACGCTGAGGAGGCTGCCGGTACGTTTGACTGAACATTTATCACCCTTCACCTTGAACCCTCCCGTGGAGACGATCAAATACGAGATATGGAAATGGAATCGGATAGTGTTTGGCGATTGGACGGAATAAGAAAAAAGTTCGATCTTGCGATGGAAAGGGATGGAGGAGGGGGAGAATGAAAACGCCATCACGATATCCACGAGATTCACGAACAAATGGACATAGGATCAGAACGCTGACCAAAGATTTTCTTATCGCCCAACAGAGATCAAGAAGAGAAGACAGTTCCGCAAGTTTACCTACCGCGGTATTGACCTCGACCAGTACGTGATAATCCCGATCTCCACCATCATTTCGCCTTGCGCCCTAGGATCCCGAAACGATATCTCCGATCTCAGCAATCAGTATCGCCGTGTCGGGAAGGGATTTGGAGGGCCAAGGACGGGTTATATCGGCCTCAAGTGGATGAAATGATCTGACCAGACTCCGCTTTACTGCAGGCTCCTTGACCTCTCCTCCGAACAGCTCCGTGATGTCGTCCACGCCCGCGCTCGCAGAAGGTTCAACCGTGGCCTGAAGCGCAAGCCCATGGGTCTCATCAAGAAGCTCCGCAAGGCCAAGCAGGAGGCCCGCCCCAACGAGAAGCCCGACCTCGTCAAGACCCACCTCCGTGACATGATCGTTGTCCCCGAGATGATCGGCAGCGTCATCGGTATCTACTCCGGAAAGGAGTTCAACCAGATCGAGGTCAAGCCCGAGATGGTTGGCCACTACCTGGCTGAATTCTCCATCTCATAGTACGTTGCGCCCTGGCATTCTCTCTCGCAGAGAGAATTTATATGTTGCATCGAGAACTTCGCTAACACCCCCACAGCAAGCCCGTCAAGCACGGTCGTCCCGGTATTGGTGCCACCCACTCTTCCCGTTTCATTCCCCTCAAATAAAGAAGAAAAGCTTTTTGGAGTGTCGCGTGGTGGAGGATCAGGCGTCCGGATGTGGGAGAACAAAACAAATTTCGATGGATACCATATACTGCCTTTATTTGGATTCATCAACTTGTATGTCAAGTGCGGGTCAGCTGTTTGCATCTCAATATAAAGGTCTTGTCGGCATGTGAACGAACTCAAAAAATTACGGGATCCCTGGAGCTCCGATGATGAGATCCCTTGTCCCCTGTTCTTTGGTCTGGTTGTCTGGCTTTTGATACCCAGGCCGGGGACGGAACGGAAGGCTTTAATCTTATTCCTTTTCATTTTAGCTGGGAATGGGGTTGGTCGAATTTTAACGAAGTTTTTTTTCTTTCATCGTTCTACTTATGCCCTCCTTGCTATGCTGTAGAATGGTGCGTAGAGCACTTGTAGGCTTTCAATGCTTGGACTTGATAGCAGTTTTTGGACGACATACTACTAGCACGCCATGACATCTTTATTTTATATACTCCACACACCTCAATAGCACCGAGCTACTCACGCCCAACCGCCAAATCCACCAACCTTTCCATCTTTTCCCACTCCCTCTTGATCTCCGCACCCATAGTCCTCGGATCCAACCCATTAACTAGAAACTCCCTATGCACCTCGGCAAAAGCCCCCTTCACTATACCCTTGAAACTCGGCACGGTGCAGCACTCCGCCTCCCTGTTGACCAGATCACTGAGCACAGACCAAATAACAAGACTGAAGTTCAACTCAAACGTCTCCAGCCGAATCGCGTCCCCAGACGACTCCTCCATCCCCTGCGATAGGTGGATCGCGAGCTTCGCGAGCGCCCAGGCATGCAGACAGCGCAGAGGGTGCGCGGCATGGGGGTAGACGACGGGGTCGACGCGAAGGTAGCGGATCGCGCACTGGACGAAGGCCGTGTTGAAATCCCCAGCGGAGAGGAGGGAGGTGATGAGTTGGTCGCGGAGGGAGAGGTAGGGCTGTCGAGTGATGGGCCAGGGCGGGGAGGTCTGGCGCAGCGCGCGCATCGCTGATTCCAGCTGGGCGATGAATTCAGGCGATTCAATGTCCACGGTGGAAGCGGCTTCGAGGGCCTCGCGGGCTTGTTTGCCCACTGTTTCCAGGACGGAGGGGTCCGGTGGCGATGATGTGTTGGGGAACTTATCGGCCGGTCCGTCGGGGCCCTGTTCGCATTTGGAACACTGGCAGTCGAAGTAGTATCTCTCGCGTAGCTCGGTGCGACGGAGCTGGTAGGGGTTCGTGGTGTCGATGTATGAGATGAAGATCTGCTCGTCTTTCTGGATGGGCCGGATGGCTTTGACGAAGAGTTGGTCGCCATCGAACCCGACGACGGAGTTGTAGTCGCAGGAGTGGTTGATCAGGGCGGCAAAAGGGTGTAAGTAGAGACCGATGCGGTCGTATGACGGATTCGTCATGTTGAAGGAATTCAAATCAAGCTGACGAAGGCAATCAGTACTCTGCTAAATTTTCCTAATCCTTCAAAGAACCGCTCACCCTGGCCCCGAATGCCGATATCGTTTCCTCCTTCACATCGGTCTCAGAATAGACCTTGACTGCCTTCGACGAGAGCCCGATGCGTTCAAGCTGAGCTGGATTCTCACGCTCAATATCCTGAACGTGGGTTTCTAATTGGAGAAAGAGATCTAGCTCCTGGGGAGTACATTTCTGACGCTGACTGCGCAAAACTATGCGCAGGACAGCCCTGGCATTGATGGGTAGGACGCGAGGCCTCAGCTTCTGATAAACGGGGCACTCCAGCGAATGACCGGCTTTCCAGTCCTTGGATTGACATATCTGAGGGGTTAAGTATGTTAGTGGAACACGGTATCTCAAGAATCAGAGACTAACTAACCCTATCACAATACTTTACCACCTGACATTTAGTACACGCCTTCAAAGCCGCATCCACATTCCCCAATTGCCTCTTGCCAAAGCATCCCGAGCATGTATCATCCAGCCTTGGCTTCTCTAAAACCGCCACAAAGGGGGTTTGGATGGTTAGGACGTCATCTCCGGTTTTCAAGCTAGCGGATGCAAAGAGTCCTTTCCCTAGCCCTCCCGGTGCCTGCCCAGGGTTGGCCTTGGTCGATATAGAAGGAAATTCGGTCGTAAGTGACATGATGGAGTCTGATTCATGTATGCATTCAAAAGGCGTCAATTAGGCCCTGAAGAGAGCAAATAGACCAATCCAGCTCGTACTGCAGTTGTATTTGAGCCAGACGATATCAATCGGGAGGCCCGAGTGCACCACTGAAAGTGTAGAGATCAGAAAGTGTTGCTCATGCGAAGAATCGATGGACCGTCACGTGCTTAGTCATCACCTGGTGGAATTCCCGAATATTTTGATGGATGTTCAAGACCTACAAGACACTGAGTGAAGTCTAAGAGAGGTGAGATTTGAATTCAAATCAATGGAGTAATACTATACATAAACATCATAAATAAAAACCAACTAAGGATTCTTTTCCACGCTCAAGCACATAGCCTGCCTACTAGAAATGAAATTGACAAAAAAATAAGACCGTGAAAAAGGGATAATCACAAACACAGCACGAAAGAAAATTACCACCAGAGCCCCTGGCCCATGGTCCACTTATCGCCTGGAAAAAAGGCGAAGCAGGAAGCCCGGATACCAGGGCGAAAGTAACAAGTCTATCAACCTAGGTGCCTTATCCGCGACGCCAAACAAGGCGGCTTTTTGGGTGCCAGGAAAGCCAAAAAGAACCAATGCAACACCGGACGATTATATCTATAAAGAATCAAAAGAAACAAACTTTTTTCCTTTTGGGAGGGCGGACTTTTCGTTTACAACGCCTGCTTGCCACCGGCGAAGTCAGACCAGCTGCGGACTTCGGAGGGGATGCCCTCGGCACGGGGCAGCTTCTCGCTCATGGCCTGAGCAAAGAGAAGAGCGGTCTGGAAGACTTGAGTTAGTACCTGATTACACGAAACATGATAGAGAAGACGGGAAGAAAAGACGTACCTTGGTTTCCATGAAGAGAGGCACACCGAAGTCGACAGCGTTACGTCTCATGACGTAGTCCTCGTCGAGCAGGGTCTTGCCCCGGCTCTTAGCAAGGTTGAACGCGCCACGGATGTCGTACTTCTGGAAGACCTCACGGAGAGCTCGCTTGTCCTTCTTGGGGAACTCAATCACCTGCACGGAGACGTTGTCCTTGGAGGCGGATTCGATGTGATCCTTGACTTCGGGGCTGGCAGCGAAGAACTTGTAGCCCAGAGGGTTCAGGTAATCGACAATCTGGGCCAGGGCAGCGTTGTTGATGTCACCACCAAGCAGGATACCCTCGCCAGGCTCGGGCACGCGGAAGTTCATGGTGGACTGCAGAGAAGCCCAGTAGGCCTCCACAACGTCCTTACCGAAGCAGGCAATTTCACCAGTGCTAGCCATTTCCACACCAAGGAAGGGGTCGGCACCGGCCAGACGGGTCCAACTGAACTGGGGAACCTTGGTTGCGAGGTAGTCACGCTTGGTCTTCATGAGATCCACGGGCTCGGGGACATCACGTCCGACAAGAGCCTTGGTGGCAGCGTCAATGAAGTTGGTACCCAGAACCTTGGAGACGAAGGGGAACGAGCGGGAGGCACGGAGGTTGCACTCGATGACCTTCAGCTCGGGGGCGGCACCCTCCTGGTCGGCCTTGATGATCTGCATGTTGAAAGGACCGGTGATGTTCCAGGCCTTGGCAACCTTCTCGGCGATCTCCTTAACTCGGTCCATGATAGGCTGCTCGAGAGAGGCGGGAGGGAGAACAAGGGTAGCGTCACCGGAGTGCACACCGGCGGGCTCGACGTGCTCACTGACGGCATGGAGCAGAAGCTCACCGTTCGAGGCCACAGCATCGACGTCAATCTCCTGAGCGCCCTCGATGAACTTGGTGATGACAACGGGGTGGTCGGGGGAGACGGCGGCAGCGTTGAGCAGCTTCTCCTTGAGCTCGTCGTGGCTGTAGATGACGTTCATGGCCGCACCAGACAGGACGTAACTGGGACGAACCAGAACGGGGTAACCGACGGACTCGGCGAAACGCTCGGCCTCGGAGACGGAGGTAAGCTCCTTCCAAGCAGGCTGGTCAACGCCGATGCTGTCCAGGATCTGGGAGAACTTGTGACGGTCCTCGGCGTTGTCGATGTCCTTGGGGTTGGTACCAAGCACGTGGGCGCCGCCGGTCTCTTGCAGACGAAGGGCAATGTTCTGAGGAAGCTGACCACCGACAGAGACGACAACACCGCTGGCGCTCTCGAGCTCGTAGATATCCATGACACGCTCGTAGCTGAGCTCCTCGAAGTAGAGCTTGTCAGCGGTATCGAAGTCGGTGGAGTAGGTCTCGGGGTTGTAGTTGATCATGACGGTCTTCTTGCCCATGTTGCGGAGGGAAAGAGTGGCGTTGACCGCACACCAATCGAACTCGACCGAGCTTCCAATACGGTAGACACCGCTACCCAGGATGATCGTTCCATGGTCATCGAAGGTAACATCGTGGGAGGTGGCGTTGTAGGTGGTGTAGAGGTAGTTGGTGTCGGCAGGGAACTCGGCGGCCAGGGTGTCAATCTTCTTCACCCAAGGGCGGATACCGAAGCTCTTTCTGCGGGCGCGGACGTCGTCCTCAGTCGCGCCAACGAGAAGAGCAATCTGCTTATCAGAGAAGCCGAGCTTCTTCGACTTCAGCATCAGCTCTTCCTGAACGCCGAAGAGGCTGCCGATGTCCTTGAGCTCATGGTGGCAGTCCACGATGTTCTGGAGCTTGTAGAGGAACCACTTGTCGATCTTGGTCAGCTCGTGAACCTTGTCCACGGAGTAGTTCTCGTGGATCATGGCCTGGCCAACGGCCAACCAACGGCGGTCGGTGGGGTTCTTCAGGACGTCATCCAGGTTCTCGAACGAGTCGCCCTGGAAACCCAGGAATCGGGGGTCGACCTGGCGGATGGCCTTCTGGAACGATTCCTCGAAGGTACGACCGATAGCCATAACTTCACCGACAGACTTCATGGAACTGCCGATGTCCCGGTTGACGTGCTGGAACTTGCTCAGATCCCACCGGGGGATCTTGGTGACAATGTAATCCAGACTGGGCTCAAAGTTGGCAGTGGTGGTCTTGGTCACGGCATTGGGAAGCTCGGGAAGAGTGTGTCCCAGACCAATCTTGGCAGCGGTGTACGCAAGAGGGTATCCAGTCGCCTTGGAGGCCAGAGCGGAAGAACGAGAGAGACGGGCGTTGACCTCAATGACACGGTAGTCGAGACCATCGGGCTGCAGGGCGTACTGCACGTTACATTCACCAACGACACCCAAGTGGCGGACGATCTTGATGGCGGCGGTACGGAGCATGTGGTACTCCTCGTCGGACAGAGTCTGACTGGGAGCAACAACGATACTGTCACCAGTGTGAATACCCAGGGGGTCGAAGTTCTCCATGTTGCAGACGGTGATACAGTTGTTGTTGGCATCCCGGACCACCTCGTATTCGACCTCCTTCCAGCCCTTGAGCGACTTCTCCACGAGCACCTGGGGAGACAGAGTCAACGAGCGAGAGACCAAGTTGCGCAGTTCCTCGGGGTCGTTGGCGAAGCCGGAACCCAGTCCACCCAGAGCATAGGCGGAACGAACGATGATGGGGTACCCGACTTGCTCGGCAGCCTGCAGGGCCTCATCGATGGTGCTGACAGCGATAGACTCAGCGATGGGGATGTTGATCTCGTTCAAGGCCTTCGAGAACAGGTCACGATCCTCACTAGTCTCCAGGGTCCGGACGCTGGTTCCAAGAACCTTGACACCGTACTGCTCGAAGGTACCCATGCGGTTCATCTGCACACCCAAGTTCAGGGCGGTTTGTCCACCGAAAGAGAGGAAGATACCGTCGGGGCGTTCCCGCTCAATAACGTAGGTCACATATTCGGGCGTCACGGGGAGATAGTAAACTTCGTCCGCAAGCTTATGATCGGTCTGGATGGTTGCGATGTTCGGGTTGATCAGGACGGACTGAACACCAGCCTCCTTGAGCGCCTTCAGAGCCTGGGAGCCTGCAATGTTGGGAAAAGAGAAATAATTAGCATTCCGATTCAAATACAACCCAATGCTTAATTATTCAATATTTTTTGCCCAGACACTTTTTTTTGGGGGTTCCGCTTTTACTCGAATCCCGGACTCTCCAGCGATTACCGGAGCCAAAAGCTCGGGGAAGGAAAAGCGCGGGCTGGTGGATCAGAGGGGATATGTGACTCATAAATCAACCTACCGGAATAATCGAACTCTCCGGCCTGTCCAATGCTCAGACCCCCACTACCGATGACCAGGACCTTCTTGACATCGACGAGATTAGGCTCAGTCTTGAAGATGTCGCTGTTCATGTAGCTGTCCGCAGCGGGAGCGGACTCGGCCAACCGGCGCAGGGCACTCGAGAAGGAGCGCAGCTGCTGCGAACGCCATGGCGAAGGCGCGGAGGTCTTCTGCTGCAATCGCAGACTCGATGCCGTCGTACGGGCAGCGGTCGTCTGAGAAGTGAAGGAGCGCAGCGCAGGGAGAGCGGAGCGACGAGACTCGACCGCACAGCGCTGACGCAGGAGGGCGGACGTCGCCTGTCCGCAACGAGCGGCGAGAACCATTGCGCACTGCGCCGCTGGAAAAGAAGAATTTAAGAAAGAGGGATTAGAGAATCAATTGACTCAATGGACAATTGTCTTTTTTTTTTCTTCTTCTGGGGATTACCAGGGGAAAAAAGGGCCCGCCTGTCTTTTGAATCAAATCAAATTGATGACGACGGTTGACCAATTCCCTTCTGTCCCGCTATTTATGCCACACGCCCAGAGAATAAGGTCAGGTATGGGGAGGCACCTTGAGGAGGGAAAAAGAGGATTGGGATCTGGCGTACCAGTCGGAGGGAAGTAAGGGGGGGGGGAGGAGGGAAGAGGGAGACGGCGTGGCCAGAAGGGAAGGGATGAGGGAATAAGAATAGGAATAGGAAAAAGAAAGGAAGAAATCCGAGGCAGAAGAAATAGCGACGGAGAAAAGGCGTGGGCAGCGGATGAGTCAATGCACGGCCAGAGGAAGGACCAGAAAATCGGGATAGTCAAGAACTGACCAAAGTCTCCCAGGAACTCCCCAATGTGTCTGGCGCCGATAAGAGCTCCGGTGTGCGGAGCGTCTTTTTTTTTTTTTTTTTTTTTTCTTTTTTTTTTTTCTTTTTGTCCTTTTTCGTCCCGGCCTGCAGTCTGATTGGCCCGTCATGCGTGGTTTGGCAACGACAAGCGCACACCGCCTTGGTCTCCCGCCAATCCGCGAGAGACGCAGGATATACGGTCACTACGGCCAGCCACAGACACCACAGCCGCCGGGACGCTAAGCCGGGCCGGGCGTAGCGGGTGGATCGCGGGTAAGTAATGATAACAATACAGATCACTAATGAGTAATTCCATTCGACCTGCTCCGTCGTACTAGCAACTAACCCGCCGGATGTATACTACGACGGAGTAGATGCTCCATAGCTATGATCGGAGACGGTGGAGGCGCAATGCTGTCAGTGATGCTCCAGGTCGGAACAGGGAAAGCAATTGAACTCCCCGTTGACTCATAATCTCTTCGCGAGACCCAGTCAATAGTCGCTAAACCTAGCAAGAAAAATTTTCTGACTAGAGGCAATCGGTAGATCAATTACTCTTCAGATGCAGTGCGCCCCCGCTGCGTTTGTGCCTCGCTACCGCGCTAATGGTCTTTAGCCCACGGGACCACCGGCTTTCGGAATCCCCACGTTGGACGGTATTTTGGCTTGCTGACTGCTTTGCCCTTGCCTTGACGACATCACAGAACTTTATTTGCTGCAGGACAATGGCCCTTGCCATTCCTGCGCAGATTTATAGATTAACTGGCGAGGAACTTTATCGGTCTGTCAAACCCACCCGGCCATTCAATCCCGCCCACGGCCCTTTCGGACGCCCTTCGCTCCGAGTCATTCGTCCGCGTGACCGCGTTGTCTGGGCCTCCTGCGCCCAGATGTCGTCCTCAGGCTCCTCGTCTTGGCACTCCCGTAGCGTCTCGTCGAGATCTTGCTTCATGATCCCGTACACTTCCCGCAGCACCTGTTGCGCATCTTCGGCTGCCTCGCTGCCCTCTTCTACCTTGTGTTCCACGTACTCCCGTTCGTTCGTCCCGGCGGCCTCGGAAGCAAAGGCCCACGCCTCGGCCAAAGCAACGAGCTCGTCCGTTTTTGTCGGCTCGCTGGGCGGTGCGGCATGTCGAGAATTGAGGGCCGATGCCGCATTTTTGAAGCGTGGTTGTCGGGCGAGGATGGGGTATTCGGGAAGGAGATGACTCTCGTCGCGTAAGCGATTCAGCATGCGAAGGGTCGTAGTCTTTTCTTTGGAGAGCAATCCCGCCAAGTAGAATTTTTGCGTGGCCAGCGCGCGCTGACTTTTCGAAAGTGGGAGGAGAATGTCATTCGCGAATGACAGTACGTTCACTGGATCTAAGGACGGCGTCTCTTCATTTGGAGATTGAGGGGGTTCCACGGCACGTTCGGGAGGATTGGGAGTCGCATTTGCGATCGGCTGGCAAGCCCTGGATGCCGCATCTAGAAGGCGTTTACGCGCTTCCACATATGCACCGTACTGCTCTGCAATCTGAGCTTTTTGCTCCTCGAGCAAAACTGCAGACTCCTCGATCTCCTCGACCGGCGGTTCCCGTATGGGACCGTCATCACCGCTCCCAACGCTCACCAGCTTCTCCTCCACCCATTGCACCAGTTCGTCCCGTGTTCTTTGTAGAGCCACAAATTTTGCGGCCGGTGGGATTTCCCCCTGCATTCCCTGTTCGGCCTTCAATTGCTCTAGCAGCATCTTCTCTCGATCCAATTGAGCCTTTGCTCGGATCACGGCCCTTTCCAATTTATGTACTAACTCCTCAAGGCCATCCCCTGCTTCGGACTTATTGGGTTGGCCCTCTCCCAGTTCCTCGGCTGCCAAAAGGTGTTGGCTTCGATTTTCGTTGCTCTCAAACTCTTCGGGGGTAGGAATGTCTCGCGTCTTCAGTTGATGCAGATAATGCTGAAAGACCTGCAATTTCGCATGTTTGCGACGATCGCGCAGCAGCCGCAAGTAAGCTTGTAGATCGGACGTGGGATCCGAAGGAGTCGTCTCGGCGGGAGGGTTCTGCGACGCTTCCGATATCGATTGGTATGCTTTCTTTGCCTCGATGTTTGCTTTTAGTGCCTGCAGGTATTCCCTCCTCAAGCCCGTAAACTCCGACGGGATCCGCTTCACGTCGACAACGGCATCCTGCGGCGCGCAGAGGGACAGATGGGATTGGGCATGCAGATCCGGATGGTCAGGATTGTCTTCGGCGAAAACGATGTGCGAGCGGAGATGGACGGTCAGAGCTTGTCGGATGCGGAGAGCTTCCTGGCGGCTCTTGATGTAGGGAGCCAGCGGTTTGGCAAAAGGCGGAAGGTCAAGGTGGGCAGGGTCATGGCCATTTAAGTGGGCCATTGAGGCAGGTCTGGTTATAGTGGACGTTAGATATACACTAGAAGGCTCTAATTGTCTGATGTCAGCATTCTCGGGATCTGAAACAACGGGGTGAATGCAAGAATGGAGAGACGAGGGTGTTGATTGCCAATGACGCTCCCTGGAATTTACCCCGGATCTTTGGGCGGTTGTTTGTTTGTTTTGCTGCCTGTCACATGACTGGGCCTCGCCGTATTTCGGCCTGCGGCCTTGGGGGAGGACCAAATGTTTTGAGGCATCCATCTATCGGATCGATCTACGGAGTACCAAGGTCTCGAACTATTGTCATTGCATTGTGTCTTGAAGCTGCATTGGTCTAATATCATTCTTCCGGCCATAAGTTCATTCCATCTTAACTCATCACATGTGTTCTTAGTCGTCAATAACGTTCCAATCAAGTATTACTTGACTCACAATCTAATCTCACAGCTCGATAGCATCCGAAATACCAAGCGATACTTGTCCCTGTCTGGCCGCCACTCGAATGTACGAGAAATCTGTAACACGAATGCTGATTCTCGTCTCAAAGCCATCCCGCCTCTGCGATGTGAGGAAAGTGGTCTCGTCGGAGTCCTGCGATGGAACAGAGTAAATGGCCCAGTTATCATACTCCGTTGCCCCGTTCCAGCTCATGTATACATCGGAAGCAAAATCCGATATTTTCTTGGCTACCCCTGTCGGTTTCCAAAACGGCGTGGCCCTCCATCGGGACTTGGAGGCGCTGGAAGATCCAATATGGCCGGGATGACCAAATTGAACGGAGAAAACAACCTTGCCATCACTACCATACTCTTTCAACTCGGGAACATCGCCATAACCAACAAAGAGACGAGACTGCGATGTGGCTGGATCTAGAAGTTGGAGACTTCCCCCATTTTTGGAATGGATCGGGTCATTCGGGTCAGACACTTCACGGATGGTCGAAACTTTGCGATTGATAAGATCGACGTGTAGGATCATTGCAATACTCTCGCCATTACTTTCATGGTCGTTGTTTGCATTGCTGAGCAAACTAAGTGTCAAGCTTTCATCGGTTTCGTCATACACGCGTGTGTTGTGCTGCCACGAGAAACTGACCTCGTCGAGTTCAAAGTCACCACCATTGATGCCCTACAGTAAAGTAAGTATTTGGTCCATTACATGGGGTGGAAAACATACAGAAAGTTGCCACCGGACCGAACCATCCCTGTTGAGATAAAAGACAGAGGAGAATCCTCGCAGAGACACTAAAAAGCCATGCGCTGTCGGAGCAATTGCGTTGAGTTGGTAGGGATCAAACGGCAGTTCGCGAGTGCCTGTGCCGGTAAGATCTACCTCCGACAATTCGATAGGAATGTGGTCAAGGGCATTCCATGAGTACAAAATGTCATTGGACTTCACCTCGATCTCATAGAAAAGACAACCAGCCACATAGTGACCAGGCTGTCCTCCAACGGCACTGAGGTCATGTTCAGTGACGTTAATGACAGGAACAAGAATAGTATCCCGGGCCGTTACGTGGTGCTCATGGGCGTCTAGATAGGAAAGCTTGGTTTGGCCATCGGGCGTGATGTAGTTGTCCTTCAGAGTAATGGTGTATAACTCGTTGTAGGCATTGTCCAGGACATGAACAGTACCATAGCCGTATCCCGGGTCGACATACTGGCCAGACCAGAATGTGATCATGTCCTGACCTGCTACATTCTGCACCCTGAAACCTCTCGCATTGGCATGCGACCCCTGATAGACCAAATCGCCATTGCCGTCATAGATGGTAGGGCCAACGGACGAGGCCTGCTCGCCCTGTAGGGCAAGAAAAATGTATCCCTGGCCCACATCTCCCGTTTCGTTGATATTCAGCTGGGGGACTCGCCACGGAGCAGTGGTGAATGTTTGGTAAGGCCAATTATCTGCAGCCAAAGCTCCGAGAGACAGCATCAAGACGCCGCAGATCGACGCGCAGTGATGTTGCACCATCGTTTATTGAATATGCAATGTAGCAGAGATATTGAAAGGATAAAAATAAGAACTATTGCATTGCAGTTCGCAAAACCCCACCGGCGCCCGAGAGGATCCGCCACGCTACTTGAGTGCAAACCAAAGTCCTTGTGCTCATTTTGTTGCCTGGCTCCTTGCCTTATCCCAAGTCTCGGCGTGGAACCGAGTTGAGGTTTCAGGGTGCAAAGATTCAGTCGTCCCTTGCATCGGATGCAAGCCGTACGAATGTTCAGCTGAGTGTGGAGTGGCAATTGGATCAGAAGACCACATTGATTTCGACCGGTGCGAGCAGTACTCCGTAAGTAGTACGGAGTAGTTCGAACATAAGGCAGCTCGAAGCAATCAGTCGGCCTATCAGTCGGTGCCTGAGCTGATAAGTCATCCAGAGCTACGGTTCCATAGATTAGCGCGTCCTTTGTGGCTCATCGACTATGACGAATGATCCAAAGACGTTTCAGTATTCTGCGGCCTGATGGAGATGATGATCGGCCAGTGATAATCCTTCGATGACGCAGCAGGAATCTCCGCAAACACACCATAGCCAAGTGGACTCTATTCTGAATTTCTGATGGATGGATGAAATAAATAAACACCAGTCGACCAGTCACGTTGACGCATCCGATTTGACGGACTGATTGGCATGTTTCCAAAGCCCTAGATCCATTCCTCCAATCAAGGGGCGAACTCTCTTTCATTTTTCATCGCTGTCTCTCGCTCTCTTCTTCTCTCGCTACTCCCCCCTCTTCTTTTCTTCCCTCATCACCATCTCCATCATGCCTCCCGAGATCAGTCCCGTCCCTCTTTCTTCCCCTCGAACACGTCCTCGAGCAGCCACGGCAACGCAACCAACCACTTCTTCCTCTGCTTCATCCCGTCGGCCATCTCAAGCCATGGGCCCTCCGGCTCTTTCGCTCGGTCCGAGCGATCAGGAAACCGTCCGGGAAGCGACGGGTATGGACCCTCATAGCAAACAATTCATGATTCCCGGATTTTCTGATGGCACTAACGCCTGTCTAGGTCCCTTGCGCCATCCCAAACCCCTCACTCCGTCAGATCTGCATTCTATGCTGGAGCAAGAGCAGGAAGCAATGGTATGCCCAGTTCAGCTCCTAGGTTCTCCAGCGTCTCTTCGCCATCGGGACCACTAACCACATTTGATTGCTTGTTCTAGGTCAATCGTTTGTCCAGAGAGCTATCTTCCTTACGCCAACAAACAGCTTCCGTCGCATCTACAACGTCGTCGGCCTCGACCAGCTTCAACGATCCGGTCGATGCTCTGCACACATCCCCTCACCTCATCAACACGGCGCATCCTACAGCATCTCGGCGTCATCGCTCTTCTTCCAGTCTCAGCTCTTCTTACGTCCCCGCCGTCCAGGGCTCAAGGGCGGGAAGTGTCGCCGGAATCGCACCATCGCGGGAGGTTGGTCTAGCGTCCCCACGCCCGGGTGATCCTATGCGACCGGGTCGAAGTCGGGAGCCATCTTTGACCTCGTCTCGACCGTCCGAAGGGGTCCTGTCCTCGTTTTCGCCTTCATCCTCGCAACATTTACCTTATCAGTCCCTTGATCAGTCCTCGCATTTCCCCAACGCACCCACACATGGCCATCGTAGCTCTCTCTCGCAGCAGCGATCTCGAACTACCTCTACTGCCTCCCGTCCCGACGAGATTGCACACCAACGGGCGGAGCTCGAAGTAATTCGGCGAGAGAATGACGCATTGCGACGTCGGGTGCGCGAGCTCGAGTCCACTTTGAAAAAGCAGCGCGAAAATGAGTCGACGACGACGACGACGATCTCAACCGCAAGTGGGACGTCTGCGCTTACCGATGGATTACGAAAAGCTTCCCTGACCGACACGAGGGACGACCAACATTCTTAAAGGCTTCTTTTTCTTCTTGCTCTTTTTTTTTTTCTTATTTTTTTGTCCCTTTTGCAATCTAGAAAGCAGGATCTTTCGTGGCTCTGGACGGGAACAGGTAGCAGGCAATGGACAATTATGACGATGAATGAACCCAATAATCCACTTTGCACTAACTGCATTAACTGCATAATTGCATTGCCCGCAAATTCATCGCTGCCTGGGTGCCTGGCGACATGTGACGACGCCGCCCCACTGTGGCTGAGCGCTGCCCCTCCCACGTCATGAGTGGCTGCCCTCCTCTGGCCCGCTCCAAATAAATACCTTCTCGTTCTCCTTCTTCCTCCTGCAATTCAATTCATCTCAACCCCGATCCATTGTCTGCAACAATACTCGATTCTCATCATCTATCGCCTCCTTCATCACCTACCATCATGTCGGAGCGCTCCACTGTGCACGTCTCGGGCATCTCGTCCACCACCTCCGATAAGGAGGTCCAGGACTTCTTCAGTTTCTGGTACGGCCATCCTCGCCCTCGCAATCAAATCAGCAACTGACCCTTGTGCAGTGGCAAGATCACCAACATCTCGGTGACCCCCGTTTCCAGCGAAGCCGAAGCGACCAAGTCCGCCACGGTGACGTTTGAGAAAGAAGGGTAAGTCGACATTCCCCCTACCCCGCACCTTCCCGCTTCCAACCCCTGATTGCGATGTTTTCTAACCAGCCAATTTCTAGTGCCGCCAAAACTGCCCTCCTACTGGACCAGACCCAGCTGGGCCCAACCGCAGTCAACGTCCAGGCCGCCCAGACCCTGGAAGATATTGCCGGATCGCATGGCGCCACCGCCTCCGAGGCCAAGGATGAAAACAACCACGACCTCGAGCAGGAGGATAAGCCCAAGTCTCGCATCATTGCCGAATACCTCGCCCATGGCTACACGGTCAGCGACGGTGCCATTCAGAAGGCCATCGCCCTCGACAAGAAGCACGGATTCTCCAACCGCTTCACCTCCGTCCTGAGCAACTTTGATCAGAAGTACCACGCTACCGACAAGGCCCGCGGGTTCGACGAGAACTACAAGCTCAGCAACAAGGCCGCCAGTGGCTGGCGCGGTCTGAACTCCTACTTCACCAAGGCCCTGGGCACCCCCTCCGGCCGCAAGCTGCACGAGTTCTACATCCAGACCGACAAGCAGGTGCGCGACATCCACACCGAGGCGCGCCGTCTCGCAGACCTAAAGTCTGGCAAGCCTGCTCAGGGTGAATCGAGCGAGGCGGCTCCGGCGCCCGCCAGTGCGGAGGCCGGCAATGTTCCTGAGCCCGTCCCCGCCGCTACTCCTGCTCCGGCCACGCTGCCCGCCGGTGAGGCTCCGGCCCCGGGCACTGCCCCTCCTGCGGACCAGAAGGCATGAATGAAATGAAATGAACTGCAAAATGCAATGGGATTCGGGTCAATTGGCGATGTGTTTCAGTTAAGCGTCTTTTCAATCTGAAAGCGTGTTGTTTATTTTCCATTACCTTTCTGTCGGCATAATGACGATCAATCTCGTGTATTATTGAATGTTTTTTAATTTCTATCATTCCGATTCCTACTGGGTGGGACAGTCCTCTGCTCTTAGTATTAGGTAGCTAAGCTAATATGCGTTGAGTATTTGAATGAAAGGATTAAGTCTCTTCCATCATCCCTGACGAACGTCGACATAGTTCTTCTACAACCCCATACATAGATAAACCAATCCATAGTGAAAACAGTATCCAATTAAAAAATTAATTTACATCTCTCATTCCACCTCGCATAAACATAACCACATTCATAAGTATCAAATATCATATCGAAAAGAAAATCCTCAGTTCCCAGGTCCCTTAGTAAACTTCTTCGCCTCCACGTCCTCAAGGATATGCTTGGGGTTACTCGTCAGGCCGCCCTGCTGCGCCTCCTGGCGCGACTGCTCCGACGAGCCCTTCAGTTGCGAGGTGATGTTTCCCGACGAGGGCGGCTCCTGCTGCTGCGCGCCGGTCTGGCGCTCGGGGTCGGGCGACTGGCGGCCTTGGTTGGGGGCGGACATTTTGTAGGGAGAGGAGGTCTGGTTGGTACTGTTAGTGGTGGCTTGGTTGGCTTGAGTTGGGGTGTGGGATTGTGGTGGTGGCGGACCTGAGGTATATAGGTTGATAGAAAGCAAGTATATATATACTTCGATGTATATGAACACCCGTTTGTATCTGGGTCGATTGAGTGGAATATAGGAAGGAAGGAGATGCGGAGGAAGAATCGATGAAATCTAAACTGTCAAGCCCAGCGGAATGCCAGTTGTTAAATACTGGCCGGAGTCGCCATCGCAGGTTGCTTGTGGTGGTCATCATCATGACGTCTGGCGGTCATGACCCACCCAAACCGGACATGCCAGATCCAGCCGATGCCACTGCCTGTTCACAAATGTCGCTGACCGGGATCCAGACGGAGGAAGAGATGGACAGATTGACGTTTAGTGTTCATTCTACTGTGCGTGGATTGCATAGGTGCTCTGCCACATTCTACTTTGGGTGGACTTGTTGAGTTTCCGATGCTTGGATGGATGGCGTCATTGGGAGCTGTGGTCACGTGGAGCATGTACAACAACACTCGATCAGCTTCTCTTCCCTGTGCCTTTTTTTGCATATGGCTATATAAGATAGCGAGGAATGTCTGGAATCAACCACGCCAGAAAGAACCCGTCTCATGGAAATGAACAAAGTGGATAGAGAAGAAAGTATGGAAAAGGTCCATTCACAGAATTAATTGGGGGAATCAGAATCTGGTAAATCTGTGCAATACAAAGGATATAAAATGAGGATGAGAGAGACAATGGGACTTTTTAAAGAACATCAGCAGTCACACAACCGCGAGAATTGAATCATCAGAAGAAAAGTGAAGGAAAACGATCTAGACAACATGGAATATCGAAGGAAAATGAGATATGGGGAAGACAAGGAAAAAAGAAAAAGAAAAAGAAATACGTGTCCAGCCAGCGTCCAAAAAAGAGACTTCCCAACTGGATTAGCTAGCTTATTTTTGATATCGTAATCTCAATGACTCCAGCCAAAGTCAACTGGCTCATCTCGTTGACTGGCTGTTCTTGTTTTGGTTTGTTTGTTTGTTTGTTTTTTTTTTTTTTTTCTCTGGACAATTTTTTTAGTTTGCTTGTTCGTTCTTCTTTTTGCTCTCTGGTTTTTCTTTTATCCTCCTTTTGCTTTTCTTTGGCAGCCGCTTGATGAACTTGTTTTAGTTTCCATTCGTTTGGAGTCCGGCCGCCGCCGCCGCTTCTGCGCTCGCCAGGGCCTTCGCATCCGCCTCGTGGAAAACAGCCTCGATCACCTGTTGCTCCTCCGAGTTCAGAATCTTCGTCAGGTTGTCATAAAGCTGTGGCTGCTCCTGCTGGAGGTCTGCGTGGAAAAGCGGTTAGCGAATAGTTCCGCTGGAAAGTAACAAGGGAACACATACTCAGGAAAACTTGTTTGAACAAGCCGTAAGGCTCGATCTTGTCCAAGGGAGTCTCAAGAAGACTCTCCTCGTCCAAGTCATCTTCCTCATCATCGGCAAAAGAGCCGAACTTCTGCGCCTAAAGCACCCGTTAGTATGGGCATGTGGGGTTTCCTTCGATGATGCTTCACTTACCTCCTTGTTTAGGAAATCAAGATACGCGGCACCTTCATCGGCAACGTCGCCATCGAAAGGAGCCTCGGTTTCATCCTGATCAGTCCATTCGATCTCACCATCCCAGTCATTGTCTTCATCAACCTCGTCGCCCTCGTCGTCAAACGTGAAGTCGGATTCTTTCGTCGCGTCCTCGCGGTCTTGAGAAAAATTAGCATCAAGGCATAGACTGGAGTTAGCAAGCAAAGGAAACGTACTCTTGAGAGCGGCAGGCAACGTCTGGAATAGTCGGACAGCTCCCTGCAGCAGACGGGGCCAGCCTTGTTGCACACTCGCCGGAACATCGCCACCCTTCAACGTCAACAGGGAGCTGATGGCGGCAATCGACAGCTTCTTGTCGTGAACACGTCGGAAGTTGTCGATATTCGAGAACCAAGTGCTGAAGAACTTGTTCGTCCAGCCGTTGGACTCCAGGACCTGGAGACTCAGCACGGGGTTGTAGTAGATGGCGTTGATCACCATCTCCATGAGGTGGATCCGGTAGGATTTCGTCTTGGTGTCACCGGCGTCAATGACCCGCATTGGCAGCTCAATGAAGATCGGAAGGAACTGATCGATGTAACCGCGCAGGTTCAACATCACGGTCTCTGCCAGCTTGCAGCCGCATATCCGGTCCACACCGCCAACCTTCTCGTCGCTGAAGATGTCCTGGACCATGCCAACAACGGCCCCAAGGTAGGCCGGGTTCTGGACCATCATTTCGGAGCCATAGGCAACGTAGTTGTCCAGGGCCGGCAGCATATCTTCCAGGTAGAGCTCGGCACCAGCCTTGAAGGTCTTGTGGATGAGCTCGAATGCCTGCCACATGGTGGGCGAGATCGACTTGGAGGCAAATGTGCAGCTGTCGATGATCTCGAAGACCTCGTTGTAGAGGTCATACAGCTTGTTCTCAAGCGTGATGCTAATAACAGGCATGAGAATGGTTTCGAGGTGCAGGAGCACATCGGGGGTGCTCTCAAGGGTGAGAATGAGGGTTCCGATGGTCTGCAGAACACCCAGAGCAGTGATGCTCTTGTCATCCAAGAAGTCGCCATAAGCGTCTTCGTCGCCCTTGGCAGCGTTCCTCTCGAGAAGCTCACCAACAATGCGCATGTAAGTATCACGGAGCTGCTCGCTGAGGGCCACGGCAAACGGGGTGAGTTCAGCGGAGAAGACCTCAACAAAGTCCTCCATGACGTTGGCCAAGGCGTCCACGTCAACCTCGTTGGCCAGCTTAAGCAGCTGCTGCATGATCTGGGGAATGTTTGCCTGCATTGAAGTCCTGATGATATCGTGTCGGATGAGGGGCTGCAAAGCAAGCGCCGCTTCGACCCGCACAGGGAGCTCGGGGTCCGTCATCGACTCCAGGATGTTCCGGTAGATGATCATGAGGTTGTTGGGATCCTGGAAGTCCAGCTGCTCGAATTTCTCCAGGGTGTCACAGGCACGGGCTCGGAGGAAGCCATGGGGGGACCGGAATTCAGGGAAAACGTGACGGACAAAGAAATATTCGACCTGGTCGGCGATGGGGCTCTTCTTTCCGAGAATAACGGAGGCAAGGGAGCCAATCATGCGCAGGGCACCCTCCTTCTCTCTGGGCAGCTTCTGGTCATCCGGAGCAGCTTCATACTTGCTGACGACGCCGTTGACGAAAGTGAGGATCGAGAAAGTCTGCTTCTTGCGGTTCTTCGTGAGGGCGACCAGGAAGTTCGTGGCTGCGACATCGGGAGCCGAGACCTCCTCGTAGTAGTTCAATTTGCGGTGCAGATACTCAGACGGGTCGGTCTGGAACAATTCAATGTCTTCATCCGACTGACACAGGATGGGGAAAATGAAATGCGCGACCAGGTTGTCCATGTGCGGCTTGAGGTGATCCCACATCGCCTTCGGCTTGACGCATTCTTCCAAGTAAACCAGGGTGTAGGAAAGAGCGGGGTTGCTGAGCCACTGGCCCTTGGACACCCACTTGTCGATTTCTTGTAGGTAGCCCTTGAGGATTTCGGGGGCGAACGTGGTGATAAAGGCCTTGCCGTATTGCGTGTAGTCGGGAGTGCTGGACTTGGTCATAGTCGTGGGGTTTCCATATCTGAAGATTCAAAGATCAGAAGAAGGCAAAATGTATATATCCCGGGGGAGGAACACCCACCGAATAAAGAGGCGGTTCAAGTTGGCGTATGACCATTTCTTGCACTTCCACCAGTGGTTCAATTCCCTCTCCTCCTTCGACTCCAGCATGGAGCTGGCGGGAGGATCCTTGGCAATGATCCTCAGGAACAGCGTGCACCAATCAACGGTCGCTTGTTGCGTTTGCAGGAACGGCGAAAGCTCGAACTAATATCACCACCAGTCAGTTCCGAAAATCGATTCCCAACACACCGCCGGCTCGCCCTGGTAGGTGTTCTTCCGAATCCACTCACGTAGATAGCATGCTTGTATGACTTGACGACAATCCGGAGCATCTCCGCCGCTTCGATGCTTTCTTCGTCGACCAGCTTCAATCCGATGTTGAGCAGTTGAGGGAACGAGTGCTCAACGATCTTGTCGAATTCCTCCCGTTTTTCTCCGGCCTTGAATCGGTAGACGCGGCAGATGGCCAATAGACATTGCAAGCCGGCGTAGACCGAGCTGGCGTTGTTGGTCGACAACAGCTGCAGGGTGATATCCAGGAAACCCGGCCACTGTTCCGGGAAATCATGCTGAAGGATCTTCTGAAGGAGCGGAACCAGCTGCGCGCGAACGTTCGGCGGCGTCGAGGCCAGCGCCGGGATCAGCCTCTCTCGGAATCCGGGTTTCTCCTCCTCAGGGATAGGGGTGCGGAGGGGGGTTTCTTCGACAAGGGACCAGCCACGGTTGATTCGGTTTTTCAGGTAGACACCGGCTACAAGGGATCATCGAAAGATTAGCTGGTTCGGAAAGACGCCCAGACTGGGGGACCAGATTTGATGAAGAACAGCAGCAGCGAATGGAAAGCAGACCGGAATGACCTACCGGAAAGTTGGACGGCATTGTTCTGCTCCCCCTGCAGAATATCCAACAGCGCATTTATGAAGCCAGGCTGAGTTTCGGCCTACAAAAAACATCCGACAAGACGTAAGTACTAGGGCGCCCGAAAGTTGAAAGAAGGCCCATCATAAAAAGCATCCCACACATACATATTTCAGATCCAATTCCGCCTGACGTCGATTATCCGCATTCACGTCCAGCGTCGACTGTATACGGTCCCGAAGAGCTGTGACATCCATCTCGCACCAGCAACTGCCCCCAGCAACCAAATTCCAGCTCCGAATAGATAAGGCCCCGTTGCGCAATGGTGGGCCGGCAGGTGAAGGATAAGGGAAAAGAAGGGAGAGGGGCCCAGGCGATAAAAAGTAGCGGGGGGGAGGATATTAGATAGGAGGGTGCAAGACTGCAAAAGTGCACTTTGGGTTGGTTGGGTTTGGTTTTCTCGTGGATTTTCAAGCGTGCCCGCCCCGCGCCTGTGGCAGCTAATCAGAGCCCTCGCCGCCACGCGCGGTAAGAGAATTTTCCTTCTCCTGAATATTTTGCCCGCCGTTCGCCGTCTTTGAGGCTGGAACCAAGGCTCGCCGGGTCGAGAGAAAATTCTATTTTCTTTGGTCTCCTTTTCTTTGTGATTTATGGTCTATGGGTTTACTTGGACGGGGTTCGAGCAGGGGGAAATACTGTAGTTCGTAGTAGTACGTGCAGTCCGAACACACGCCGCCAAACGAGGAATCAGGCAGAAATTTCTCTACTAGGAAATCAACAGGGCATCAAGGCCTCCATCCGGCAGAAAAAAAAGAAAAAAAAAAACGGTTCTCTCTTCCCCACGTGGTTTCCCGCGTTTATCACAAATCCAATCGTCTCCTGCTCTCCGCCTACATATACAACGATGCCGCAAAGATCACATCGCGCTTGATCTGCTCCTGCGCCTGTTGCATCTTGGTATACAACGTGGGATCTCCAACCAATTTCGCCGCATTTTTCACCTCCCGACACGTCTCGTCTAGTCGAGTAATGGTTCGCACGATGGTGCCTTCCATCACGTCGGTCAGATCCGTGATGCGGTTGAACGACATTCCGCGCGCCCACTCGTAGACGACTTCTGCCAGACCGAACCGCGGCTGGCTGGCGAAGTCGTTGCTATCTTCGCTAGACTGGATCACCTGGTACTGGACCTGGAAATCATTGACCTTCTCGGAGATCCGGACAATGGCGTCCCGGCCCTTTTCGAGACGAGGCGTCAACGTAGGAACATTCTCCGTCTTCTCCTGGAAGACAAAGGCAGACAGCAGGGCGACAATCTCCTCCGGTTCGTACTCGGCCAGCACGTTTTCGAGGATTAGCTCCGTGAGGACAAGCTCGTCGGCCGAGTGGATCTATCGGGTTGGGTCAGTATGTGGATCAAATCGTTGTTTCCGATGGGAAGCTCCCCAGATACGTACCTCACAGGCCACCTTTCCTTTCAGTTGAACCCGCGACTGCTCATCTATGAATCCCAGCTCTCTTAATACCTGAATGCGCTGTTCGTAGTCAGGGAGAAGTTGCAGGTTTTGGTCGGACATGAGCTGCTTCAATTGCGAGATGTTTTCCTTGACCTGCCACTCATCATGTTGCATTTCAAACTTGGAAAGTGTCAGTCAGGATCATGGGTTGATGACGAAAGGAATGATTACTCACATGCTTCAAAAAGCTGGGACATTGTAAGCACCGGCAAGATTGGATGATGTCCGATTGAGCCTGGCGTTTTTCTAGAATGTCTCGCACTTGCAGTTCCTTGATCCGAGCCCAATCCAGCTCGTCCCAAATAGGGCTCGACCACGAGGCGCATACTTTGGATAGCTCTTTGTCTGCAAACTTCGCCGCCTCTGGATTTTGGATTAGCCTTTGCCAGTGTTTGAAATTGACCACGACCTACCTTTCTTGATATTGAGGTACCAGATAGGACCACCAAGCTTTACCAGAGTGTTGGTAACACATTCAAGGTCTGTCAACGGTATCTTCTGCACCTTTAGATTCATATCCGCCGAGTGAGTCGGAAGCTGTTGCAGCAAACTGCGGAATTTGGACAGGAAAGGAAGAATGTCGCTTGGGTGGCGCTTGCTACCCAATTTACCAATTTCCAGAACTTGGATGTTGGGGGTCGATCCGCCTCCAACTCCTTCCTTGACAATGATACCGGCAGTCCGATATCCTTCCTATAGAGTTCTTAGCCAAAGTGGACTCTATAAAAAGAGAGAAGATGGAAATTATATCCTTACCTTTCGGTACACGATCAGTCGTTTGGGCACAAGAAGGCGCTTGCCCACAGGCGATGAGAGAAGTCCAACGTTAAGCTCTCTAGTTAGTTTCTCGTACTCAACTGCCGCATCGTGACAGGCTGCAAGATCAATGTCGCAGATGTCACATGGCTCGCGCTTAATTTTCGCCAGACTAGCCTCTGAGAGTTGGACCTGTTTCTCATGCTCCGGCAGTAAAGCTTGGGTAGCGTTCTCACTGAAACTTCGCTTGATCATTTCTTCGATCTTCAATGCCTCCACACGCAGAAGGTTCAGAATCATGTTGTACGTAAGTCTGAACTGGGATCGAAGTTTGGTCGGATCGCCGAGAATCATCTTCCTCAAAGCACCAGCAGGAGGCGCCTCCTCCCGGCCCCCGTTAACGATTATCACATAGCCGACATTGTCAAGACCTCGTCGTCCAGCACGCCCGGCCATTTGTGTATATTCGCCGGGCAGCAGGTCTCGGAATCCCTTGCCATCATGCTTCCGGAAGCCGGAGAAAACGACGGTTCGAGTAGGTAGGTTGAGACCCATGGCAAATGTCTCTGTCGCGAACAGGACCTTCACCAAGGATTTCGCAAACAGAATCTCAACAATCTCCTTCATGATTGGCAAAAGACCTCCGTGGTGAACTGCAATTCCTCTGCTTAGCAGGTCGCGAAGCCGAAGCACCTGAGGAAGGCCTCTGTCCTCGGGCTTTAGTCGAGTAAGTGATTTCTCAATAAACATATGTACCAAACTCTTCTCCGAAGCAGTGCAAAAGTCCTGGTTCGAGAGTGAATTTGCATTTTCTTCACATCTCTTCTTGGAGAAGACGAAGATGCAGCCTGGGAGCAAGTTCTCTTTACGCAAATGCTGGACGAGCTGGACCCAGATCGTCTTATCTTGCGCGGCTGTAGTCCGTCCTCCACCTCGTCCTGTGCGAGCAATGTTCCCAGAGCCTCTATTTGCCGGTTGTCCCCTGCCCCTTTGGGCGCCGCCTCCACGCTGCCCATTGCCTCGGGGACCACCTCTGCCAGGGGCTTGTCCGCGTCCTCTTCCCTGTTGCCCACCTCTCTGCGCCTGGGACTGGGCTTGTGCCTCGGCTGCCTTTTGAGCCTTGATCTTGTCCCGGCCCGAGATAACATTGTCGGCTTCCTTCCAGCCATTCTCAAGGAAACGCTTGTTGGAATCGACGATCTTAAACTTGTCTTTGCCGGCCCAGAGATAGTGTTCCAAGGGAACGGGTCGTTTAGCAGTGGAAATAACATAGATGTCCTTCTTCTTTGTACGGCCAACCCACGATGCGAACTCTTGCGTGTTAGGGACTGTCGCAGACAAGAGGATCAGGGTGACATGCTCGGGGAGCATAATGATGACCTCTTCCCAGACAACACCTCTTTCAAGGTCGTTCACATAATGTACCTCGTCGAAAATCACGAACTCAACATCTCTAATTAGATCCGCGCCGCGGTAGAGCATACTTCGTAGAATTTCAGTGGTCATAATAAGGCAGCTTGCCTCGGGGTTGATCTGAACATCACCGGTCAGAATACCGACATCATCAAACTCATTCCGGAAATCTCTGAATTTCTGGTTGCTCAGAGCTTTGATGGGAGATGTGTAGATAGCCTTCGTCATGTGCTTGGCAGCCAATGCGATAGCATACTCAGCGACAACAGTTTTTCCAGCCGACGTATGCGCTGCGACGAACACAGAGTCACCTCCTTCGAGATGATAGACAGCTTCTTTCTGGAAAGTGTCCAGTTCGAATGGCCATTCTCTAGCCATGTCTGGGACGAGCTCATTGAAATTGGTGATTTCCTTGTTAACATCGACAACATGAGCCCATTCTTTGCCGCCTTTCTTCTGGGTTCCTGCAAAGAGCGGTGCATGGGGTTCCAAAGCCGGGAACTCGACAGGGAGAAGAGCATCGATATCCTCTTCTTCCCCGCTTAGCTCCCCTTCATCCTCAACCTTCACCCCTCCAACGTCTGAGGCCGTCTCATCTTGATCAACATGAAGGTCGGTTTCCTCCTGTTGAAGAGTATCTTCAACCTCCTGGTCAGCCTCTGCAGATTCTTTGGACTTGGCCTGATCGAATTTCAGTCCCCTGGTAAAGCCCGGGGCTATTTCTAATAGACCGTCTTCGCCCCCAAAGTTGATGATGCGATCAAGACCGGTTTGTTTACCACCACTTCGAGATTGTCCTGCCGTTTGGGTTTCGGATTCCATTTCGGCAATTGCCTCCACGCCATCCAAGCCACCCGGAGCGAATGGGAAGAAACCGGCTGCACCTCTGACAAAGTCCGCGCGCCCAGCGGGTCGACGAAGGAGAGATGTCGAATTCTTCGCATTCGCGCTGCTGGCAGGGACAGTCACCTCATGATAGCCCGTAACCCGTCCTTCCAATCCTTCGCGGTCGAAGCGGACAATGGTCCGCGTTTGAGTGCCAGCGACCTCAAAAAGGTCTGTATAGTCTGTGGACACATCCCATCTCCTGCAATAAAGGTCAGATATAGAACACTCAGTGTGCAGGGAAATCGTCAAATTAGAAAAGGTGGAATTCCACGGAGTCCTGAAGCAAGACCGAGTAACAACACAACTAGAAGGGAAATGATCTAACCTTTGCAGACGATTCAGCCATTCTGGACTAAATTGGGATGACGGGGCTAGGAATTCGTTCTCTAGTTCGGCTTTGAGATCTGCAGCATCCTGGCGTGTCTTTTGTCGCGGTCCGCGATTCTGATATGAGCCGTTCTCTTCTTCAAGAAGTCGCGCATCAAACGCCGCTCCACTCAGCCGCTGCGTATTCAAATTCAACTCCGCAAGAGTTGAGGCAAGTCCTTCTGCCATCTCAGAAGATGGCAATGAGCAAGCTATGTCCAATGAATGTATCTGTCAAGAGACCGAGACACAGCACTTTGATAACAGGCTACTGAAACATGAAGATTCGTACAGATTGACTAGAACTGCAGCCTTGTACAGTATTCAATAGGGAGGATGTGAATGGTTGAATAGGGGGTGGCTGGATGGCAATAGCTCGCCAACATTCACAGGTTGTTGGCGTGGTTGAAGGTGAGAGCGTGAGAGGCCTTTGGGCGGCATTTAGCGGCGGTACCGCACACACAACTCGCTGACGTCGTGTGGGGACACCAAACGGCACTAAGTCGCTTCTGATCGGTCGTTTCCAACTGCTTCACGGAATTCTCCAGAACTGCTTCTTCTTCTTTTCTTTGTCTATTCAGGAATTTTGAGAAATTCTTTCTTCTGCCAACCCTTGCATTTTCGATCATTTGCTTCCTGACAAGAGATATTTGCAACTTTTATTCCACATTAAATGATACCTGAACTAATGAAAATCTTCCTTCGCAATTTCCTTGGCGCCAGAGGTAAATGCAAGATAACAACCCAAGCCGACGATGTGAACTAAGCGCTTCCGAAAATAAAAAATGGAGGGGCAAGAATAGATGAGACGCCATTGAAAAATCACTCCCCGAAGCCATGATCAACTGCTTCTGAAAACTCGGGAACTTTCGTGGCCTCCGAAGGCCCAATTCCTCTCACAGAAAGGGGGCATGGCGGTCCATATTAAACACAGATAAAAGAGAAGAGTTGATGTCGTTGGACAGAAAAAATAACTGTCCGCCGCACAAGGGAAAGTTCTTGCAAAGGCAAATAGAAAGAAAATAAATCGAAAAGAAGGACCGTAAAGATATGGGAGGACCGCTTTATCGGTAACTGACGACAGGAAATGTTTTCCGATCTCTTATGTTCAGCTGATATTCAAAAATCCCGTCCACTGTGGCAATATACCTAGAGCAAGTCAAGTCAGTTGTTATCATTCTCCCGAAACCTGGGAAGCACCAAAGATGAACTTACAGCGTTCTACCGTCCGCGCCCCAACCGATTCCGGCTGTACTACCTGTATCTTGGTCCCTATATCCAGCTCCCAAACTTCGATCGGGTAGTTCATCCAAGATACTCCGCATCCACCGAGAAGAACGAGACTGCTCGGAGCCCAACAATTGTTGTCGATATCGCTCGCGATGGTTGTTTCGGTTGTGTGCTTCACTGATTATTTGTCGTTGTCGACGGAGACGTTCCAGCGCAGCGACGTTGGTCACCAGCTCGGAGCTAGAGAGGCGTGACGGCTCATGTCGAGCCTCCGATGTACCATCTTGTCTCCCGGATCGTCGGGATCTAGAGTGGGATTGATGAGTCCTCGGTCGGGGTGTAGTGTCCATGGCCGTGTTCGAGTAGTCGAAGTTAGCGGATGGGCGACCGATCGTGCGCTGGGACTGGTGTGCCGTGCTAGCCTCGTTGTTAGAGCTGCTGAGGTCATTTGAACTCGATTCGCTTGACCGCAGGGGATTTTCCGGTGTAGCAGACTGCATCTCGGATGGTGATGCGGTCCAGGTGAGTGTTATGCTTGGCTGAGACTCTAGATTTGGGTCACTCGTCTCTTGTGTACGACTTCCCGCGTCCAAAGTGTCGTGTGATAATACCACGGAGCTTTGCCGCCGAGCATTTGGTCTGCGATTGAGAGATATTGCATGAGCAGGATGGGTTTCCCGCGGCACTCCAGTCGACGGTTCGCCATGACGAAGGGGAGACGTGGGACGAGAAATACGATTGGGCACATCTGTGGCACCTTGGAATCGTGAACGAGGTATGGGCTGTGGATTCGCATTAGCTCTAGCCCGTCGCTCCGCCAGACCTTCATCCAACGTCGACGTCCAGCGCGCCGTGTTCAAAAACTCCACGATGAGTCTTTCCCTTTCAGAGATATCGTGTATTAAGCTTTCTCGCATTGGCAGATTGTCGGAAGACCCTCGCTGTTCATTTGACGGGCTCTCGATCGAATCGAGTATCGCTCTCTGTGCTGCGTCAACTTCATTGCGTGATTCCAGGCTGAATCGACTATCAAGGTCAAACCCCAGAGCCACAGAATCATCTAAAAGGGGCTCGGTCCGGATTTCCTGTATGCCGGGCTCGTTCATATCCAGCTGGAGGATCTGTCTACGAACGAAGGCCTGGCGAACATCTGCAATCCCGGCCCGCCCCTTCTCCTCCAGCCACACCAAGAGATCCCAAGGCTCGGGTGCAAACGTCATACAGCGCACAGCACCTCCGTTGCAGCTGAGCCTTGAAGAATTGAAATGGCATATGACCGAGCTTTTGGCATTTGGCTCACTTCGAAGTGTCTTGACGTCAAATACGGTAATCACCCCAGACTGCGATCCGATGGCGCACAGTCGACTGAATTGCGAGAATGCGATGCTAAAGCAGCATCCGTCATCGAACCGTGTCCCAATGTCCATCTCTACGCAGCTGAGCAGATCCCAGTTCCAGCCAAAGAACTTTTCGCCGTTTTCCATAAAGGTGGTCGAATCGAGGTCGCGAGTAACGTCATAGAAGTACGCACGGGTCTCGTCCCCGACGGCGGCGAGGATGCTGGAGTCCGGGGACATTATCGCATAGTTCATGCATGCTTGGTGATGTAGGACTTTGACAACTTTTGAACGGGTAAGAGAATAAATGGTCACGGTCTTGTCGTTGTTACTATTGAGAGTGGGAAGGGAGAGATTAGCCTGCTGCGATCAGATGGCATGTCGCCGCATTCATACCTAAGGACAACAATGTCTTCAGCAGCTGAGCCTTTCTCGTCTCCGGGCAAACGATGAAGGGTCACCGAATTGACAATGCTCCCACCAAATTTATGCAATTGCACGTCTGGCAGCTCCGTTCTGCCCGACTCGCGGGAAGCTCCGGGCTCTTCGCCTGGCAGCCACGAAGGAGACGACCTGGCGGACGATTCAAGATCAATTGGCAGAGCGCTGTCCACATCCGATGACTGGGAGATTACTGAGCCAGAAGCATCCCGGACACGCCCATTGCGATCGGCCACGCTGACAAACGCGCATTCGCCATTGTCCGAACCCCCCACAGCTACCCACCCGTTACCAGCAGCCAGGCATTTCGGTTCGAACGGTATGACTGCCAGAGTCTCCCGCTTTTCGGTGGAGATATGGATCGCATATATGACTCGGTCGACAACGACATAGATCCTGTCGGGGTCGGCGGTACTGATGTAGTTGCGGAGTTGTTGGTGGCTATTGGGCCCGTTAGCTCAGAACCCGACCAGCGGGTAAAATCGACGTAATCCGGGGGGACGGACAAATTGGGGATCTTGAAGGGGAAAAAACGTCGCTTGGTCGGGAGAATCAAGGCCTCGGTCGGATGATACCTGGTTAAGCGAGACAACGTCAGCTGGCGGGCGAAACAGACCATCAGCTGCAGGATGAGTCAAGACCAACGAGAGCGCAGAATCGGTCGTCATGGTGGTTTTAGTGTCCGGGATCAACGTGACATTGTTGGATTTACGGCTAGAAGGAGGCACTGCCGTTGCGAAAGCGACGGGGTGAAAGTAAAAAGCGAAGGGGAGGTTGACCGGGGACTGCGGCGGAGAGAGGGAGGAGGAAGAGTCACAAGGAGGATAGTGAAGTGGCGATGGACCGTCAGTGAAGGGATCGAAAGGTGAAAAGCATGCAGCGCTGCCTGCAGCCTTGCGAACGGGGTGACTAGCTCGAGGTATGCACTAGCTGGAGTACAAGAACCCAGAGATCCGTTGATCTCTGCTACAACCTTGTCGTTCACGACTTCCGGAGCGTCCTGGCTTTGGGGCGGATGACGTAAGACATGACACCTTCAGTCCGGGGAACTTTTCTGCGGGCGAATGCGGCCGAGTCCTTCGAGTCCCGCCGCTTCCAGTTCGCTGGCCGCCGAATGCGTCTGCCGCTGTCGATAGTGGACTCTAATTATAATGATATAATAGTTGCAACTGTCTTCATGGACTCTCGGCTCTGCCGGTGTGTGAGATCTGCGCCGAACAAGCACCCTATCCGCCGTCCATGCGGAGTGAGGCAGGCAGCAATTTAACCCCATTGAGCAATCGAGCATGTGGGATCCCAGGACATTCCCTGATTATGGTTTATGGCGCCAGCGGATTCTGCATCTACCCGAATAGAGAATCGCGATTATCCGCCTGCAGGGTCTAACCCAGATGATATATCAGAACGTGCATGGAAAGGGAACGGTAAAGCAATATATGCAATGCCGTTTAATAGCTTGACTTGGAGCTTACATCCTCTACGGAATCTGTTATTGGGTCTGGTTTGGCTCAATTGGTGGGTGTAATATAAATCTGCCTTTAGGAGCCAACTAGGCTACTATTTAATGTCTACTTCCTTAATCATCGACAGCACAGCCAAGGGAAACAGTACGGCGTAGGGGTATGACTACAGGCGTCATACATTCGCTTCGTCTTGGCGCTTTAACCACCCTTCCTTTTATGGTAAATCATCAGTGCCGCTCTAACCACATACTACATTCTGGCCGTTGGACTGTTTCTGCCAACACTTCGATATACTTGATAGGGTATGTTATCTCATTTTCTTAATGATACTTTGTCTATGTAGCATCTCGGAGGACACGTTAAATAAAACCCGTATTTAGCTCGAGAAGTAGCTAGGATATATCTTTGCACGCACTCCGTAGGTAAGCGCTACCTTAAACACGGCATAGATTTTTCACCTGTACGTCATTGGCCGAACTAGATAGAATAACACGGACTGCCACAAAATCTAAACCCATCCGTTATAGTCTAGGACCTCTCAACTATACTACTCCATACTCCGTAGGCTCTGCATCGACACTGCAAAAGTGTTCGGGAAAAGCTCGGATAACCGGTATTCCCAGACTCTTAAGCAATAAGCCCCCAGTCCCACTCGGCATTCAGAGACGATGACACGAAAGTAGAAAAGCAATGGAGTGGCCTCCACCTTCAGCTACTAACTAAGACCATGACTAACAAGAGCAATTGTCCACGGAGTACGCCTGCTGCTCCGTAAGGCACTACGTATGGCCAGGTCCACTGCGATCTTTTGCCTCCGAGGAAAACAATCGGAGCTGCAGCCGGGCGCCGTGATTGGCTCGGTTAGCAAGCGGTCTAAAGGACGGCCGGCTATCATTGGCCGCCCGACGTTGCCCGTGATTCTACCAAGTTCGACGAGCGGGCCGAAGCTCTCCGTGCAATTCTTTTTACGGCTGCTTGCCCGTCTCCCTTCTTCTCGCGTTCTCTTCCTCCGCAAAAACTTCATCTCCATCACACCTCTCCCTTATCCCTTTAATCTACTCCATCCTCTCCCTCCTCTATTCTCCTTCGATTGAATCGACTGGAGCTTCTCGTTTCTCTTCTCTAATTCCCTGTATTTTTTATTCCTATTTAATCAATCCGCAATGTTGTCCTCTCGCATCTCTCGCGCTGTAAGTTTCTTCACCCTCCGAGCGTCGGTCAATATGCGCATCAGTTCCAGACCAACTGACAATGCCTTTCTCTTCTAGCTCCCCCGCGCTTCTTCTCTCGCTCGTCCCTCTACCTTCAGAGTCCCTACTACATCCTTCCGGAGATGGAACTCGACGGAAGGCGGCGAGGAGAAGGTGAAGGGCCAGGTCATCGGTATTGACTTGGGTAGGTTTTTTCGACATCAATGGAAACCAGTCAATGAAATTCTAATCGCAATGTTTAGGTACCACTAACTCCGCCGTTGCTGTTATGGAGGGCAAGACCCCCAAGATCATTGAGAACACTGAGGGTACGTGAAGAATTTTTTGCTCCTTGATTTGGCGGTCAAAGCGCGAAACGGGAGCTTCCCCAACCATCCGTCACCATTGTACTAACTTGGACTCAAGGTGCCCGTACGACGCCTTCCGTTGTCGGTTTCGCCCAGGATGGTGAGCGTTTGGTCGGTATTGCTGCTAAGCGTCAAGCTGTTGTCAACCCCGAGAACACTCTGTTCGCCACCAAGCGTCTCATCGGTCGCAAGTTCACCGACACTGAGGTCCAGCGTGACATCAAGGAGGTTCCCTACAAGATCGTCCAGCACACCAACGGCGATGCCTGGGTTGAGGCTCGCGGCCAGAAGTACTCTCCTTCGCAGATTGGTGGTTTCGTCCTCAACAAGATGAAGGAGACTGCCGAGAACTACCTCAGCAAGCCCATCAAGAACGCTGTCGTCACCGTCCCTGCCTACTTCAACGACTCCCAGCGTCAGGCTACCAAGGATGCCGGTCAGATCGCTGGCTTGAACGTCCTCCGTGTCGTTAACGAGCCCACTGCCGCCGCCCTTGCCTACGGTCTGGAGAAGGAGGCCGACCGTGTCGTCGCTGTCTACGATCTTGGTGGTGGTACCTTCGATATCTCCGTTCTGGAGATCCAGAAGGGTGTGTTCGAGGTCAAGTCCACCAACGGTGACACCCACCTTGGTGGTGAGGACTTCGACATCAGCCTTGTCCGCCACATCGTTCAGCAGTTCAAGAAGGAGTCCGGACTCGACCTCTCTGGCGACCGCATGGCCATCCAGCGTATCCGTGAGGCCGCCGAGAAGGCCAAGATCGAACTGTCCTCTTCCCTCCAGACCGAGATCAACCTTCCCTTCATCACCGCTGATGCCAGCGGTGCCAAGCACATCAACCACAAGATGACCCGTGCCAACCTCGAGTCCCTGGTTGACCCTCTGATCAGCCGCACCATCGAGCCCGTCCGCAAGGCCCTGAAGGATGCCAACCTTCAGTCCAACGAGATCCAGGACATCATCCTGGTCGGTGGTATGACCCGTATGCCCAAGGTCACCGAGTCCGTTAAGTCCATGTTCGGCCGTGAGCCCGCCAAGTCCGTCAACCCTGACGAGGCTGTTGCCATTGGTGCCGCTATCCAGGGTGCTGTCCTGGCTGGTGAGGTTACCGACGTCCTGCTGCTCGATGTCACTCCCCTGTCTCTCGGTATCGAGACCCTGGGTGGTGTCTTCACCCGTCTGATCAACCGTAACACCACCATCCCCACCAAGAAGTCCCAGGTCTTCTCCACCGCCGCCGACTTCCAGACCGCTGTCGAGATCAAGGTCTTCCAGGGTGAGCGTGAGCTTGTCAAGGACAACAAGCTGCTCGGAAACTTCCAGCTTGTTGGCATCCCCCCTGCCCACCGTGGTGTTCCCCAGGTCGAGGTTACCTTCGACATTGACGCCGACTCCATTGTCCACGTCCACGCCAAGGACAAGTCCACCAACAAGGACCAGTCCATCACCATCGCTTCCGGCTCCGGTCTCTCCGACTCCGAGATCCAGTCCATGGTTGACGATGCCGAGAAGTACGGTGCCCAGGACAAGGAGCGCAAGTCTGCCATTGAGGCTGCCAACCGTGCCGACTCCGTCGTGAACGACACCGAGAAGGCCCTCAAGGAGTTCGAGGACCGCCTGGACAAGGCCGAGGCCGAGCAGATCCGCGAGAAGATCGCCAGCCTCCGCGAGTTCGTTGCCCAGAACCAGTCCGGTGAGGGTACCGCCACCGCCGACGACTTCAAGCAGAAGACCGACGAGCTCCAGAACGCCAGCTTGACCCTGTTCGACAAGATGCACAAGGCTCAGTCCGAGCAGCAGCAGCAGCAGTCCCAGGGCGGCGAGGCCGGCCAGCAGGGCGAGAACAAGTCCTAAATGTATTAAACCCTGATTCTGTTGAAGAATATGGGTGACCCTGTATTTCTGTTTCATCTTCCTTTTCTTCGATTCCTAGAGACCCCTCTCTTCGTGAATGTTTTAACACGCATATGATATGTATACATACTTTGATAGCTTTTTACTTGGTGTCTGGGGGTTTTATTTGATTTCCTTTCTATCTTTGTCGTGGATCTTCTGTTTTATCAACTCCCCGCTTGCCTTTCATACCTCTTTTGGCTGGTTGAGCATTTGCGTTGGTTTTTTTTTTTTTCCTTTTCTTTTTCTCGGGACAACTTGGTTGTCTTACCATGTAACTTAATGACATAACGGCTGGGACCACAAAAAAAATCAGGTTGTGGTGGGCTTGGGAGCGTGTGACAATAGAACAAGAAATTCTCCTCTCGATTCAAACAAGGTCTTCTTTCTTCCTCTCCCCTTGAGACATGGACAGAGTTCCTCTGCTCAGCACAGTCGCCACTACGGAGTGGGTGGTCTTAGTCTGAAACTGTTGTTACCCCAGGAGGTGGTTCAGTTGCCCACCTCGTCTTCTGGAATCGCGTCGAACCGGCAGTGGGTCAATTACACTTTTTCCATTGTGATGGATGAAGCCCAGCTTACTCCGTACTACCTGATTGTCATAAGAGAGAGTTTTAAGACGACGGGGACAAAGGGAGCCCATGCCGACCAGAGTCCCGAGTACAGAGTAGCATCGAGATGAATATTAATATCCGGATTAATTAATATGAAGAGAGAGCACTGCATGCATCGAGCAAAAGTACCGACTAGGCCAGCTTAGTTCTCCTTTCACAAACAACTGTGGTTTTGAGTCTGGACGCCTCTCACCCTGGCCGCCAACCCTGTTAGATTCGAACTAGTTGGCGCCCGGGAGGGTCTTTCCCAGTACTTTGCGGATGGATTTCCTGGGTGTCCGGCCGTTGTGCATCCCTTCCTTCTGCATACCCTGGAGCAGTTGGTGATAAGGACGAGGATGGGCGATTTATGATTACGGAGTATGGCACTGGCAAAGCAACACACGGACACACATTGCATCGACCGGCGTTGTCCTTTGCCAGCTGTTCATTCACCATCCCTACTAGTTCGCGGATGATCACAGGATGGGCTCAATTTAATTAAAATCGAGGCCATTTAATCAAGGCCGAGTGACGAATCAGATCCAACGCCCGGCTCTGAAAAAAAACCAAATAAAAACCCACCCTGCCGTAAGATGGGTTTTTAGCGGGCTCTACATCTGTCGATGGGGATTGTGGGCTTTGGTCTTTTTTTTTTTTTTTTTTTATTTCCCACACTTTCTTTTTTTTTGTGCTGTCTCGATTCTTGGGAACGGGGATGACATTGTTATTCCTTATTTGTTAGTATTCTCAACTATTAATTTATTACTCTGATTTTTCCAGTCCTAGCGGGCCCTTTGCCTTGACGGCGTAGTACTTTCAAGCCGGGCATTCTCTCTGAGTAATAAAGTCATCATTTTAATTTAATTTAATTCTCACTAGAGCCCACTTCTTTCAGGATCTCGGGTTAATGCTTGCAGTCGAGACCTCCGTCGATTTCTCGTTTTTGCATTTTAGGTACCCAGTCTGACTGACTTGACACTGGAAGTGTGTGTGTGTGTGGTGTGGACTGGACTGTGGGAAGGGGGGCAGGGCAAAATAGTCAGCCAAAAAAAAAGAGGATCCGGTATTTCGTTGTTTATTTATTTTTTTCTGCTTATGACTACATAGTACTGCGAGTCCGTGTTATTATTCGTCGTCTGATTCCCACGCTGAAGTACGTTGCTGATAATTCATCATTTCGATGATGGTGGTGATGATCCCTATGAACTTCTACTTGTCCGTAAGTACTTGTCGGTCTCAATAGTAGTCAACATCCTTGCATGAGCAGAGACAGTCGTGAACAATAGATTGAAAAAAAAACCCCCCATCCGATTTGCTCTCCTGCAGGAAAATCCCGTGGAAAACGGTGCTGCCAATATTCATGCTCGAGAACAATAGAAGAATCCGCCCGCAGAATCCGGTTTTTTTCTGGGCCTCCCAACTCCCAAGTGTTTGGGGAATGACGACGCGATCAAAACCCACTACTGTGCCTCCGGTCCATACATCGTGACATGCAGAGGAGAGTCGCATACAGAGTAGCACTGACAAGGACCGGGGTGGAAGAAAGAGAGGGAGGGAGAGTCTTGAGCATCAGCCGTTGGAAAGAATTTTTCCTATTGGAATGTAAAAAGGGGGGTTGACAGACAGACACAGACAGACATCCATGACCAGGACGAGTGGGGAGCCAAGGGGGGGAAAGAGAAAGAAGGAGGGAAAGCCAGGCCAGCGTGATGCACACCTGGTGGAGCATGATATGCAGGATTGACAACACTTTTTGGACTTATCGATCCAGTCGATTTGAATAGTTCGGGTCAATATGAATGGTTGAGGAGGCAAGGCGTGGCTGCAGTATGGAGTAGGAAATTGGATTCCCAGTCAGAGTCTGTCAGAGAGTAGGGTCTATTCTGTATGATCCTACTACTGCGTACTCTGTACTCTGTAGTGGCTGCTGAATTGTCCGTCGACCTGGTTGATCACTCTGCCATGTAATCGCACGAACGACCATCCCCAACAATCGGCGATGCCCACATTTTCGCTCGTCCTTATCGACATGCACCGGGGCTCCACCGGCCGACTTGCAGCAGCCAGAACAAATCAACGCTGCACACAAATGCAGTCAATGCATCCCTCGAGGGCGAAGAGGGAGAGACCATGGCGACGGATTATCATCGACGTGGTAAGCGACGATTCCATCAAATTAATTATGACTATTAGCATTTACTGATTACTTCGTCTGAATTAATCTTCCTCCAGATTCATCGTGGAGAGAGCCATGGATGCATCAACCGTCCGGCCCAAAATGACGAATTAACTTCAAGGGGGGACGGCACAGAAAAAGAAAAAAAAAGAAAGGAAAAAAAAGAGGACCAATTGGCAATTAATCCCCATCGATTGATTAATGAAGAACCCCATCAAAAACTAGTCGCTTCCTTTGGTTCGTGTTTTGGCAAAACGTCGCCTTCCATCATTTGTCGATCGACTGTGCCTGTTCCAGGAAGAATCCTCTGCTGGTCCCCACTTGGTCCTTCACAGGAGGCCACATTCCAGTTTCATTGTGCCATCCAGGACTGCGCTGTCCTCCCCCCCCTCCTTCTCGTTCTCTCGCTGCAGAGACGCAGAGGTCGATATCTTCCAGGAATGAGGAAGAAGCATTCGATGGATTTGACGGCATGCTGCGTCCACGGAGTACAGAGGCCATGCCTCGGTATTTCCGTCCAGCACACTACCGATCTTCCATGATCTTCCACATTCCTTTTCGTTTAATTGCGTTACATACAAGTAGTAGATCATCGCCCGCTCATTGGTCCCCGGTCGCTAAATATAGGTAAGCAAGTAATAGAGTCAATGAGTAATGGGTTGGGTTCAGGAAACCATCGATAGTCTTTTTTTTTTTTTTTTTCTCTCTCTCTCTCTCTCTCTCTCTTATTTTTCTCTCTACTCTCCTTGCCTGTGGAAGGAGTAAGCACTCATGCAGAGCTGCAGACGAGTATGGGGATGATTGCAACTGCCATGGCGTGCTTAGCTTTCCCCGGTGACAGTTCGACGCACAGTGCTCCCACCCTCGCGAGCGGCGGGCACAAGGGATGCTGATAAATAGCAAATTATAGATCGATGAATTGATTATGTTTGTCACTAGTGTGACAGTAGTGGGTTTCTATTCGGAGAGCGTCTAGCCTAACACAACGCAGTGGATGATTGGGGGGGACCAGATCAAGCAGCGTGGGTATTGGGCCAGTCGCAAGTAATAGTCCATCCAGACTGGCCGTGCATACTGGATTGATTACTCTGGAGTCTGGACGGAGGATTCTGTACGAAGGAGGGCCTGTAATGGAAGTCATGGAAATTAAGGCCCAGATTAACCATGGGAGTTCCTTGGTACGGAGGACGGAGGATCGATGAGAACGAGGGGAGAAAAAGGGAAAGAAAAGCAGGAGAACAGAAAAACCTCCTGCCTGTAGAAGCAAAAAAAAAAGAAAAGAAAAGAAAAGAAAAAAGAAACAGAAAACCGGGGATTGCAAAGCATCCCATGCGATGTTTGTTTCCAACTGACCGCAAGAGACTACGCAGTAGGCGTGGAGCTAGTCGTCTTAGTCGACGGTTAGTCGCCCCGAGCTGTCCCAATCGATCTGGTTTGGATTTATTTTGGTCGGGCGTGTCTCTGGCTCATTTCTCCTAGTGTTCTTTAGTCTGTCGCCGGAAGTACTCTTTTTTTCCCCTGCCCTTTTTCTTTTTCTTCTTTTTTTCATTTTTAAAAGAAAGTTTCGTTCTTGAGGAAGCTAACGGAGTGGATTGGCATTGGCTTCCAATTCCATTCTATTCGCGATAACCTTTTTTCCCTTCCCCCCCCCTTCTCGTCGTTAGAATCCTTTTGAATGATTTTCCAATCCATTAAATCCCTTGCGTGGCCGTTGACCTTCCACTCCGCCAGACGACAAATCAGCTCTGCAAGACCCGCGGGAAATTTCCAGTTCTTTTTCTGAGGTAAAAACGGGCAGGGTGCAGCGCGCTAGCGGTTTGTTTTCCCTCGGGTTTTTGTAGTACTTTCTTTGCCTCTACTGGCCTCAACTCTACTCTTCTTCACTTGATTCTATCCTGCAGAGTAAGTCTTGATTCCTCGTCCACTTGCTCGGGCGCATCGCAATCAGATCCCGATCTATTCGTCCATGCGTCTCTCCGCACTCTGTTCCTTTCCTTCTTATCGTCCGCCCTCCTCTCTTATATCCTTCCCTGTGCTCTCTCGCCCTTCCGTCTACTATTGTTCGCTTTAATTTCCTGTCTTCCTCGGCTTCCTGACTAGCTCCTTTTTCCCTTTCCATTTTTTTTATTCTTATTTTTCCCCCTTGACATAATCTTCTCGTTCTATTCTCCTACCCTTACCTGTCTTTTCTTCGTTGCTTAACCGACAACCGTCTGCATGTACATGCCCCCGAACCACCAGCAGTAAACCTTCAGATCACTGACCTTCGAGGCGTCTCTTAACAGGGTCGTCATGACGGTTGCCGCACCTCCTGTGGCCCCGGTCCACGAAAATGGACTGAATGGAGTCCCGCATGGACACCATGTGAATATGGGCTTGCCACGTTTCCATCCAATTGCCATGAACCCGTCTCAGATTGCACACCATGAGCATATGATGCAAAATCACCACCACTTCCGACCTTTCCAACCTCCGCCTATGCAAGAGCCCGGTCCCCCGGTACCGCCGCCGCCGCATCATCCGGCCAACATAGACCACATCGAGTCGCGTCTAAGGCAATTGGAGCACGAAGAAGCAGCCCGTATGGCAGCCCGTAGCCATCTACTTGCCGTCCGGAAGCGAGAGGACGAAGATTACCGTAGGATGACCGAAAATGCTGAGGCCGAAGAAGAGGTATGATATAAAGAACCGAAACACTCCCACATAGCAATGGTTTGATCTAACGCGGGGATGTTGTGCTGGTTAGGACCTACGTAGGCAACGGAAACGCCTGAAGCGAGAGTCGATGGGACTCGGATTTAATGCCGGCATGGATTCTCCGCCACTTCGCCCGACACCGCCGCGTCGTCTCTCGGAGACCAATGCGGCCACCACCCTTGCGTTCTTCAAGCAGCAGAGTCCTCCGGAGCCCCGGCCAATTCCTCCACCGCCAGTTCAAGCACCCCCGCCTCACCCACCGCCACAGCACATTCCTCACGACCCGACGGGAGCTACTTCCATCCGACGGAAACAGAAATATACCATCAAGAACGTGGAAGCGTGGGGGGAACGCCATGGACGGCCGGCGGCGCATGATCCTTCCGGACGCGCCCTATGGAAGCGACCATCGGATGGGAGTTTGGTGTACCTGACATGCCCGGTGTCTGGCTGTGGGAAGTCGGATTTTGTGACTCTGCACGGGTTCATGTGCCATCTGACCAAGAAACACAAGGACCGCAGCCTGGGTAGTCAATCCAGGGCCCTCGAGGTGTGTGGAATTGTATATGACCCGAACGCTCCTCTGCCACCGATGTCCACGGTGAACCGTGCATCAACCGAGGAAAGTCGTCTGGAATCAGCGCCCACCGACCCGGAGGGATACCAACAGGAGGTCGAATATTCGTCGGCGTCCGATGACGAGGAAACCGGAGAAAAGCCGTGCCCCGTGAAGACCGAGTCTTCAGATCGGGCCTTGCCTACTCCCGCCGCGTCTCTACCAGCCGAAGAGGATCGCCCCAAGGCATCCAACCCCGGCACCTCCACGAAGCAGTCCATCTCCTCCATCATCGACCGGGATCCCGAAGACGATCCCCGAGAGCGGTTAAACTCCATTCCTCGTCCGCACGAGACCGTATCGCGAGCCTCTCCAGAGCCAAGGCGCCCTGCCTTGGACGAGGCTGAAATGCCTCGACCCCGAGATCTGGAAATCGAGCGCAGCGTGTTGAAAGAAACCGCTGAAGCTAGATAAATAATAATTAAGAAAAAGAAAAACCAAAGCAACAAGATTGGTCGCCCTAGCTTGTCTAACCCTGTCTCTCCGAGGACACATCACTTGCATCCCCCTCCGCCTCCACCTCGCATAGTATGAGCATGCTTTAGCCTTTGCGGCCGTTTGCCGCTTTGCATCAATACCCTTCCATTCCTTGTGCATTTACGGGTGGTTCTTTGTATGTTTCCATAATAGTGTAATGCCTCTCATCGCTTTGCTGGTCATACTCTCTGTTTATATTTATATTATGCAATGGACTGAAGGTGCCAATCAATCTTGAAGTGTTATTCCTTGCTACGCAAGGTGACAGGTAGTCTGCGGAGTATGTCGGTCGATTCTATAGGAGGTTACCAGGGCATGACATACTTCCTGGTGCTTCTACGTTTTTCCTTTTCTCTTCTTTCCTTCTCTTTTCTTTCTCTCTCTCTTGACAATACTGAGCTCTATGGTTTCGCCTAGATAGGTAAGATTGAAATTACAGTTGACCCATACTAGGTCTTCATGAACAATCACTTATGGACATGATCATTTCAGCTATTCCCATCCTGACCATCTCAACTAGTGGTCATCAGTGCGTATATGCACCTACTATGTACACTGCATCGCAAAAGAAACCCTCTAAACCACCCCCGCAGCATCCTCCCGCAACAGCAACAAATGCACCAGATACCCCGACCCCAACCGCAGTCTCTCCCCAGCGATTTCATCACTGACTCTCCAGACACGGAAGAAGCGCATCGTCTCGCGCAACCACGCCTCGAAGACATCGGGCGACCGTTGCTGCTGCGCAATCAGACAGATCGTGGGGGGCCGAGAGCCGTCGCCGTCGCCGCTGCCACTGCCACTTTCCCGGTAGACGGGTCGTAGACGGCAGATATCGGCGCAGGTGCGGACGAAGGGAGCTACGAGGGCTTCGTTGTAGATGCAGTCGCAGGAGACGAGGAGGTCGAAGCCCTTGTCCTCGGCGTCCTGGTCATCGTCGGATGGGGCGTCTATCTCGATGCTATCCTTGAGGGAGCTCGGGATGTCGGTTTCCCAGTCCAGCGTGGTGAATGTGATATTGGCGGGAGTCGGGGACGAGGACGTGGGTTTTGACTTGGCTTTCTGCTTCGGGGGCTGTTTCTTGCCCTTGGACTTTGCCGAGGCGGTGGTTCGCGCCGAAGACGACACTGAGGCGTTGGTTTCCAGGTTCTCGCGCAGTAGCCGCTGCACGTATTCCTGGTCCGTGGCGATGTAGTGCCGCACGCACGGGGCCAGGGTGAGGGCCATCAGGCCGGAGATGCCGCATCCGAGCTCGACGACGGTGGAGGACGACGAGAGGAGGGATTGGGCCCAGAGAGGATTAGATGACCGCGTGGAGATCCACTCGGCGAAGAGAGGGGTGATTTTCCAGAGGACTGGGCAGGTTCTGGATGTCAGATGGATCTCCATCGGTAGGGATCATGGCATAGGATGGAAGGGACGTACCTGCACCGGTCGTGCCGCCGGCGCGAGCGGAGGACAGCAGCGTCGGGGACTGATGGACGGTGTAATCCTGGCCGTGGATAGACACCTCGACGGAGGAGGCCCGGGAATCGATGATGCCCAGGTTGGCGGAAGGGATGGGTTGGGAGAAGATGAGGAAGGATTCTGGGACGTTTACGGGGCCGTGATCAGCGGGATGCGTTTCTTTCCGCGTGTCCGGCCATCTATGGACGTACCCTCGTCTGCATCGTCGACCTCGGGGCCGAGCGAGGCCAGGAGATGGGAGAGCTCCTCCATGAGAGGCATTGGACTATTGGCAGCTATTGTGGGTTGCTTCGATTATTGCCGAAGAGTCTGGCTCATGGTCGTATCTGGAGGCTATAGATGAGCTTTTGGGCTACGGACCGTGGCCATTGGATAGACTTACATTTCGAACTTTAGAAGTAACATTGGAATGGATGTCAATGAGGAACGGAAACTCTGCGTTGTGATGAAGCCACGCTGATTGGCCGTTGGCGATGACCCGTCACGGGACCGCCAGCGGCCCAATCAGGATGGAAAGCGACAGGTAATGCGATCGAATGAGAATGCAGCCTCCATGAAAAGGATCGCTTCATGACATCATCTGACAGGGATCGAGTGCTTGATGTTGTTAGTCGCCAGAAGTATCATGATGCTTGAATTCCACGAAGCGTGGGGATCGTGATGGTCGAGTTGTTGGGGGAAACCCTGTAAGTGACCAGGGGCGAAGTGGCCGAGAGCCAAACCTTGCCAGACCAAATAAACCAAATAATTAGCATTGGGTTCCTGCTGGGAACCGCGGCAACCAGAAGGTGGGAGCCGACGGAGTCACTTTGCGGCAGGCCTGGACGCCTGGGGTCGCAATCTCATCTCTCAATGGAGTGCAGAGACAGGATGTCTCGAAGCGCAAGGGAGAGGAGGCTGCTCGCAGGACGCTGATCGCATCAGAACCCCGACTACGGAGTGAAGACCCAGACTGACGCTGGACCCATCGGACCGGCGTCGTCATTGGCAGCTCGAGTCGCCCTGAGCCCGCATCCAATTCCAGCCACGAAAACTCTCTGACTTCATCGCCGCTCCTCGCCTTCTTCCTCTCCGTCCTCACCTCCCCAATTCCCTCTCCTGCCATCCCTCGTGCGCTTCCACCCGCACCCGTCTGCCTCTCTCTCCGTGTCAGTAACTAAATTGCTGGCACTCGGTTGCTCCTCTTTTTTTGCTTTTTCTATTTTTCTTTGGTCTCCACCTGGTAAGTTAATTCCACCTCGCTCTTGGCATTTTGAGTTCTGCCACTCCGCAATGAACCTGTGGTTCCTGCTCGTGCTGCGTCGATTTGTCGTACTTCGCCTTTGGCATCCGAGGCTGATTTGCCTCTCGAGAGGGGAATTGTTTACTGACGGGCAATGGCTCCAGGTGACCCTCATCCGTCCCCTTTCAACCTCCAAACACATCCACCCCGTCCCGTTCCAACATGTCGAAAAGAGACGCTCATCTCCAACCGCGCATGTCCAAGAAGGGCCCCTTCTCCGTGGAGGCCCCGGGCTATGAGCGCGTTGAGGGCGAGACCATTCCCCGTCGCCTCCCGGTGGCCAAGGACGGTCTGGTCCTGAAGCCCTCGGAGGATGTCGCAACCGTCTACGATAATTTCCGGCGCTCTGCGCGGGTCTTCGGCAACGCGAAGGCCGTCGGCAGCCGTCGCCTCATCAAGACCCACGTCGAGAACAAGAAGGTCAAGAAGGTCATCGACGGCAAGGAGCAGGAGGTCGACAAGCAGTGGTCCTACTTTGAAAAGAGCGGCTACTCGTACAAGAGCTTCGTCGAGTATGAGCAGACGGCGCTCCAGCTGGGCGCCGGTCTGCGGAAGCTTGGACTCGAGAAGGAACACAAGGTTCATCTCTACGGTGCTACAAGGTGCGTTGTCTAGAGTTCAGGAAACCCTTCAAGCAATCTGGCAGAGTTGATGGCTAACGCTTGTTTCTGCTCTTAGCGCCAATTGGCTTCTCATGTCGCACGGTGCCTCGTCTCAGTCGATCACCATCGTTACCGCATATGATACCCTGGGTGAGGACGGATTGAGACACTCTTTGGTCCAAACCGAAAGTGCCGCCATCTTCTGCGACCCCGTACTGATTCCCGCGGTGGGGAGCGTCCTCAAGGATGCGAAATCCATCAAATATGTGATCTACAACTCTTTCGAAGAGCCCAAGAAGGAGGATCTGGACCGCCTGAAACAGGAATACGACCATCTGGAGATTCTGAGCTTCGACGAGCTACAAAAGCTGGGCGAAGAGAACCCCGTGGACCCCGTTCCCCCTACCCCGGAAGACCTCTGCTGCATCATGTACACCTCCGGATCGACGGGTCCGCCCAAGGGTGTTCCTCTGACGCACAAAAACGTTATCGCCGCTAGTAAGTCTAACATGCGTACCTTTTTTTTTCGTTTTTCTTGTGACTGTCATCAGTACTCAAACTCACAATCACTTTGAATAGCTGCCGGTATCAACGAGATCGTCGGACAGTACATCGGCCCCTCGGATAGTCTCCTCACCTACCTCCCGCAAGCGCACATCCTGGAATTCGTGTTCGAGAACCTCTGCCTGTTCTGGGGTGGTACCATGGGTTATGGCAACCCTCGCACGTTGTCGGACGGCTCCATGCGCAACTCCAAGGGTGATATTCGCGAGTTCAAGCCCACCATCCTCGTCGGTGTTCCAGCCGTCTGGGAGACGGTGAAGAAGGGTGTGCTCAACAACCTGAACAAGAACAACTTCCTCGTGAAAGGCATGTTCTGGGGCGCCATGTCGGCCAAGAACTTCCTGATGGCAACCGGTTTCCCCGGATACAGCGTGGGTGCGTCGCTTCTCGACACCGTTGTCTTCCGCAAGCTGAAGGACGCCACCGGTGGGCGGTTGCGCATCATGATGAACGGCGGTGGCCCCATCTCGAAGGACACCCAGAAGTTCCTGTCCATGGCCATCGCGCCCATGATCAGCGGCTACGGCCTGACCGAGACCTCCGCCATGGGTGCCCTGAACGACCCGATGGCCTGGAACCCCGACGCGCTCGGCGAGATGCCCGCGTCGATCGAGGTGAAGCTGGTCGACTTCCCGGACGCCGGCTACCTGACGAAGAACAGCCCCCCACAGGGCGAGATCTTCATCCGCGGCGGCAGCGTGACCACCGCGTACTGGAAGAACGAGGAGGAGACCAAGGAAGCCTTTTCGCACGACGGCTGGTTCATGACCGGCGACATCGGCGAGTTCGACCAGTACGGCCACCTCCGGATCATCGACCGCAAGAAGAACCTGGTCAAGACGCTGAACGGCGAGTACATCGCGCTCGAGAAGCTCGAGTCCGTCTACCGCTCCTCCCCCGTCGTCGGCAACATCTGCGTCTACGCCGCCCAGGACCAGGACAAGCCCATCGCCATCATCGTCCCCGTCGAGGCCGCCCTGCTGAAGATCGCCCGCGAGAACGGCATCGAGGGCGACTCCGTCGAGACCCTGGTGCACAACGAGAAGCTGAAGGGCATCGTGCTGAAGCAGCTGCAGACCGCCGGTCGCGCCGCCGGCCTCCGTGGCATTGAAATCATCAACGGCGTGGTTCTCTCCGACGAGGAATGGACCTCTCAAAACGTAAGCTCTTCCTTCAACCCCTTGCCCAAATCGAAGCATTCAAAGCTAACACCGGCATCTCCAGGGCTACATGACCGCCGCCCAGAAACTCCAGCGCAAGAAGATCGTCAACCACTTCCAAAGCGAGGTTGACCGTGCGTACGGCAAGAAGAAGGACGTTTAAGTGCAGAATACCAATATCAAACCCAAGCTATTTAATCTGTGGTTGTACGAGGAATCTTTTGCTTGATGTTTGACTTTCCATTACTAGTTATATAGCTCTTCCGGCTTTTGTTTTGTGTCTTTCCTATTTCCTATGTACTGAGCTTTTTTTTTCCTATTTGATCCTTGCATCTGATTTGATATCATTGACTGTTGCTGTGAAATCGGATGGCTTCTTTTCTTTTCCTTTCTTATTTCCTACGCAATTGAAGTTGCTCCTTGATTTTGTTGGCGCAAGCAAGTATAGTATAGACTTTCTTCTCTTCTCATATAGGATGTCGACCTGATCTGATATGATCTGCTTGTCAATATCAATCATGTTCTTGACTCGAAGATCCAAATTGAGACTCATACAGTGATGTATCGTGTGTTCTATAGATGTAGTAGTAAATTCTCCCATCGACAGACGGCAGGATGACTAACACAGAAACACCTCAGGCACCAACACAGCAAACGGTCCCTCTGTCACGCTAAGCCCGATGCCGCCTAGCGCCGTCTCCCAACAACGGCCAACTTCGCAAGCAAACCAACTCCGTCGCGACTTGAGCGGCCTGGAACTCCTCCAGTCAGCTGCGATACGAAGGGCACCGATCCCAATTTAAGTTTGAGATCTTTTCCCATTTGCAATTGAGCATTTGTTTTTATTCTGGTTCCTTCCGCCCAAAATGACGTTCTGGAGGTGAGTAGGAAAGCCTACATCCTAAATCTACGTCCGGACCGAATTTCAACTGACCTCGTGCGCTTCCGACACGACCAGCTCGTACCGTTCGCTCTCGCCCAAAACAAGGGCTCTGTTTGGAATCGGCGTCATGGCCTGGGCTTCCATTGGACTGTGGGTATCGCCCCAGGTGGAGGGTGCCATGGGCATGGTGCCTACCAAAGAGCAGCAGGACGATCTCGATCGCAAACTGGCGCTCCGCGTGTCCAGGGTAGATAAGGATGGTGATCATTGAAGAGGGATGGTCAATGATTTCATTTGATCCCAATTCATTTCTCCAGGGGATGTCCCAGAGGAATCAGCGGAGGAGGGCATAGGGAGTGGACGGATTGACTTTGGGGTGGGAAAAAAAGAAAGATCGATAATCCGCTTTATTTTTCTTTTCGATTGCGACTTCCTTTTCGCCCCCCATCATTTCTTTCCTCCCTCGGTCTTTTTTCTCATTCGGTGAAAGGAGGAGGGGACTAGGCAGGCGGCTGGAGTCACCTTCTCTGTGTGACCTTGCCAGTTTTCCCGTTCGTTGTCAGCCAGCGCCAATCTCTTGTCATCCTCGAATAATTGGGCCTGAGAAAAAAACAAAGTGGAGTCGGGAGTCGCGGAAATTGGGAGGCGAAGAAGGAGGGAAAGCGAAGAGAGAAACCACCGTGCACACTCGGGAGGATTTGAAAAAAAATAAATAAATAAAAAACAAGGAGCGATGAGACATGGCCAACCGGGTTAAAACAGTGCCCGGTCAATACAAAGACATCAGGAAACGGGCTTTTACTCTCAACTCTCGTCGCGTGTCAAGAATCGTCAGAAGTTTGTTTGGCGCAACACAACATCCGGAGACCGTTTCGTGAAACAGAAAGGTCTAATGCATGAAATGCTAGGATGTAAACAAAGGGACGCAGGAGGGCCATGGGCATGAACAAAGAGCCAGAAAGCAAATTGAAAAGTTGGATGGTAGCCCGGAGGGTTGACTACCTTGTAAGTTAGAAAGACCGAACCAGACCAGATCAGACCGGGATTGCATAGCGACAGGAGCGCGAGTGGGAAACAGACAAGATCTCAGCCAGGCTCCCCTATCATGGGTACAAGGCTGTCTTCCCATTGACAAGCATTCGGATTGAGATTAGCGACGAAGAAAAAGAAAATGCAAAATGAAATGAGAAAAGCCCTCCAGGACGATCTGAAGATCAACACTAGCCAGAAAAGCATCGCGGTCGGACCGCTCTCCATGACCAAGGATTTACATCGTGCTGGGCCCATGACCATGGGGGGTTTTTTTTCCCCTCCCGCTTCTCCTTCCGGTCAGCCAGATTATTTGACGTACAGGAGGACATGCAGCCTCTCCAGGTTTTGACGCCGCTGGATTATCCAAGGCAGATGGAAAGGCTCCTGGGTATGCATACATCCCAACTGAGTCCAGTTGGAGGGATGGAGGATGGAGGTTTCAAGAGGAGGAGGTCATCACGATGGCTTGAACCCTGGTCATTGGCCAGCCTAACCGGGGAGGGCAAGAGCGAGGCAAAAAGAGGAAAGGAGGGAAGGTGAGGGGGCCAAGCTGAAGCCGAAGGGGCGGGAGAAGGACGCAGATTGGATGCAACGGGTTGCACAATTGATTCGAGGATGTCCAACAGCGACGCCGCGTCCTCGTTGGCCCTCCCTCCCATCCAGTCTGCTTTGGTCAGGCAGACCCTCCTGTGGACTGCAAGGCTCTCTTTGCCTGCCCTCCCATGGTTGATCTCGCTCGTACGACGTACATGCCGAGCTCATTCTACCCATACGATACCGTACAGGGTACAAAAGAGCATGAAGACTGGCTGGACCCGCCAGGCTCCGGGCCTTATTGGTATCTGCAGTTCTGAAAAGTGCGCGACGCATCCAGTGCTTCTAGCCGCGCTAGGGGTGGACAGAGAATAATCCATGATGCAAAGAGAATGGCCAGCTGCAGGTCTGATTGGGGCGGATCTCTTTCCAACCCATGCTGGATGCTGTTGGGGATGAAGAGATAGATAGGGGGGTCGGGATCATGGGCCCGGAAGCGATGTGGGTAGATGAATGGAGAGGATTGCATTGATATTCTATTTCTCCATTCTCATTTTCTGCAAATGGTTCCAGCCCCTTGCCCCCCAGCCTGTCTGTGTCCGGAGCGATGGACTGGGACCAGCACGTTGAACGGGGGAGGGCGAGAGGCAGAGCGACGCTCGGGGCAGGAACAGGAGGGAGCGAAGTAGAGATACAAAGGAACTAAACGGGGAAGGAATCGGAACGTGCCGAGCGGGTCTTAGTCAGCACCCGCCGGAGAGTCACGGGAGCTGCCGATGACATAAGCGGGCCTAATGTATGTCCGGTCGATCATCGAATCTCGTCGATCGTCGATTAGTTCCATCTTCCTTTCGACGTCGTCCGTTGCATCGGATCGCCTGATCTTGCCTCGTCCGGTCGCATGCTTCTCTTCGTCAATAATACTCCGTTTAGCGACGAGCGCATGGGGTGAAAAAAGAAAGGGAGAAAAAAAAAAGGAAAAGAAAAGAAGGCGGCAGCAACAAGTAGGCAGCCGCATCGGGATGACAACAAAGACCCAAAGGAAGCCAAAATAAAAAGAAAATAGAAGAAAATAAAAAATAAACCAAAATCGGGAAAAATAAAAAGGAAGGAAAATAAAACCAGAGACAAAAAAAAAAGGAGGTGAGTCCACCGTCAGTGGCCTCCAAGGACAGCTGCTGTTGGCCGACCGCCAGCCTGCCAAATGGCGATCTTGTCGTCATTCGGGCTAAGATCGAGGGAGTTTCTTTTTGCTTTTTGCGGTTGTATTTTATTTGATTTGAATTTATTTCCTCTGATTATTCTCAACCGCTTTTTCCATCCCATCCAGGGATTTTTCTTTGATCCTCCAGGATGCTGTCGGCCGGACCCGAATCTCCCTCGCCCGGCGCCTTTTTACTCCATTGGCCTGAGGCTGCCGTCGGGGAGCGAACACGTCGCCAGGCGCTGCTAAATTAATCGCTCCCCGATGCGACTATTGTTCACTCAGCCAACCGCCTGCGAGGGGTGAAACTACCGAGGGAAAAATATCCCTCCCCCTTGTCTCTTGCTGCGACATTGACAGCGGGACAGTCCCTGGAGCAGCGCAACATCTCGGAGAAAATCCATCCACTCACGACCCATGCGTGTGGCCCCCCCCCCTCCCCTCCATCTTGCCTGGTCTACGGAGCGGTTTCTTGAATCTGACAGATCCCAATTTCTTTTCTTTCATTTCGTCTTCCCTAGCGCCGTCGGTTGCCCCCTTGTCATTGGCTTGCCTGCGACGGGTACGGCGGTACCTATCTGCATCAACAGCTTAACCACACCCTCGGTGACCTTGAGTCTAGCCCTCCTTACAATTGGAAATGCCTAATAATGAAAATAAAATAACATGAATCGATATGGGTCAATATAGAAACATTCTGACGAGTCGTCTACCCCGTAATTTTTCGCTTCTTCGCACACTATGCCTTCCGTCCATCCTTCCAGAGGAGACAGGGTAGTAGAAAAATAAGAAATACTCGAAAAAAAAGTAAATCAGGAGGAAACGAAAAAGAAAAACAGAGAAGAAATGGGGCATAAGCACAGGCAGACAGAAGAAGAAAGGCATCCAGTCCTCCCAAAAAGGGGGATCGTCAGACAATAGAGATGTACTCGACAGAGACGCAGCCCGACCTGTCCGATAGGACAGTCCGCTGACTACCTAGTAGTTCATGCTGATGCAAGCCTCTGCTGCCATGAACGTGTCTCCAAACCACTCGAGCACTCTGCTCTAGATTGGCAGCGATGACGAAACCGCGATTTCCAAGGTCCAACAGGGAAGTGTCTGTACTTCTCATCTCGACCAGCGCTCGATCTCAGCACAATACTCATCCAAGAAGAGTCAGAGGAAATTAGGAAAAGAAAAGAAAAGAAAATAAAAGAAAAGAAAATCAAGAGAAAAAAGTAATAATAAGATCGAATAAAAGAATTAAACCGACATCCGATCAGCTGATAATGCATGGACAAAGTGGAAAGGAAGTAAGGGAAACAGGGAAGGGGAAAGAGAAAAAAACAGGAAAAGCAAAGACAGCCAACCACCGATGCTGCTATGCGCACAGACTGTGGGAAGTTGGATATCGACCATACGGGCCACCTCCTTCACTGGTCCGAGCAGGGCAGGCTGGGTCATAGCCCCCAGAGGTATGATGATACCCCGGAGGCGTAATTTTCATCGGAGGTTTCAGGTAATGGGGAGACTCATGCTGGTGCTCGTGGGGCATCATTGAAACCATCGAATTAAAGGCCTCGGGGTAGCTGGTGCCGGGCTCCTCGCTATTCTTAGATATAGAGTCGTACCCGAAAGGGGGCAAATTGAAATGATACTGACTTTCTGGCTTGCGGTCCATGACCCCAAATCCCGGGTCCTGGTAGGAATCCATGCTGGAGGTGCTTTTGATGGAATCCATCGGGTCCATGGAGTCATTCAAGACCCCAATGTCGAAGGCAGATGACGAAGACGACGATATATGCGGGCTTTCGCTTAGTGACGATCGGTCGGGTGCTGTCATTTGATGGTAATCAGGCCGACCGTAGTGTGGACCACCGCGCTGAGATGGGTCGTACGACATCAGGGTCAAGTGAGACCGTGAGTGTCCAATGCCCGGAGGTAGGACAGCCCCTCCGGTGCCGTCGCCTGAGCCACCGCGTCCTCCGCTAGGGTCCATGCTGGTCGAGCTGTCTCGACGGCCGTCTTTGTAATGGCCCGGAGAGCGGCCGCGGACCACCATTGGATGCGATAGCCTTCGGGCAATCTTCACCCATTGGGTCTCCTCGCCGCCGACCGGATTCGAGATTTCCGCGTAGAGCTCGACCACCAGGTTGTAATACTGCTGCTGGGCCCGCCGCTTGCCATTGTTGGCCGTGGCTTTTTGAAACTGGATCCGCTCAAACGTATGCTGGGTGGGGGGCTGCGAGGGCTGCGGAGGGCTGCTGTAGGGTGCGGCGTAGTCCACCGACATTCCACTGGGGGGAGAAGTCGTCAACGAGAACCCATGCTGGCTGCCACCACCTGTGGAACCGTGGCTCAAAACCAAAGGCGGCGGGTGACTAGGTTGCAAAACAACCCTGTCTGGTTTTTTCTCGGACTGCTTATCCCGCTTGGGGGTATGCTGGACCAGTTCCCGGGGCTCGCCCAACTGCGCATTCACAATCGCTGATATTGACATGGCAAATGAAAGAATACGCTCCGTCGAATGATCCGTGAATTTGAGAAAAAGCGGAGCGTGCGTAAAAGGAAGTAGGGAGAAGGAGCAGGACACCGAAAAGTAGTTGCGTCGATAGCAGGTCCATTTGTCGTCGACCTGGAAGAATCCTTTGTGGATTTTCGCCTGGATTTCCGGTTTGATGGTCTGGTTGCCCGAAACGATGGATTGAAGGACGGCAGTGTCGTGAAAGGGAGGAGCATCTGTCGGATGCGACAGACGCTGGACCGAATCATACATCATATTCGGATGTTGCCCCAAGAGCAGACTCTGCGGACGGTCCACCGTCCCATCGAGAGCCCTTGGTGTAGTCGTATATGGCGAAATCCGTGACATTTCGCTCAGACTCGTGAGCGATGGGAACGTGCTTCGAAGGGTATAGGTCCCCGGGTAGCTATCTCTTCCCATGATGCCCGCGCCTCCTGAAACCCCCGTACCCTGCGATTGTACGGCCGAAGACATCCCGGCAGGCGGTTGTCTGAATATAGAATCATCGTCAATGGATATACGCCAAACTGTGCGCTGGGAAGAGAGTCTGGCTTACAGGGGAGGAACCCGATGGGGCCTGAAGTCGGACATTCTGTCATAGGGTAAACTTGGTGAATGAGAGTAAATTGAACCAGAAGCGGGCGAGAAAGTATCTATATATTTTGAGTTTGGTGCTATATTAGCGAGATAGAGTGAGAACAAAGAACCGAAGGGATACTAACCGGAGCATGAGTCGGTGGGACTCATGAGAATGGTGGGTGAAGTAGCGAAGCTGAAAGGACCACTATAGGTCAGCAAGGTTTATCTGCTAAGTAGGATCTTGCAAGAAAATCTTCAAGTCTCCGAAAGGAAAGAAATAAATATTAAAATAAAAGAAGAGAAGAGAAAATGGACGCAGTGAATTCCCACACAGCACAAGTACAATGCATGTATACATGGGCCCCAGCAGATGGGTGTGGTCAAAGATCGCAAGGACATATTGAAAGCTCAAATAACATGAGCAGGGAGGCGATAGACAGGTGCATACATGTGGCATGGGTATCAGAAATAAAAAAGAAACAAAAAAAAACTCATGAAAAACGAAAATGTGAAAAATAAAATAAAACAGCAGGAGGAATAATAAAAATAATCATAATAATAACAGCAACAATAATAAAGGACCATAGCTCAAGACATTTCAGACGCGAAAGGGATGCTGTGACTAGTGGCTGCAAGCGGGCGAAGTGGAGCACAAAGAGCAGTCTGAATTAAAAGACAACTTACGGCATATCCTGCATCGCAGGCTGTTGGGCGTTGTACCTCAAGCCGTTGGTAGCAGGTATCGAGACCGGCTGCGCTAGAGGATGTCCAACGGCGCTTCCTCTGCGGCTGGTCTCTTCGTCGTCCAAAGGAAAACTGATCGGCCCTGAAAACGGACGCTGCGAGGCTGTATAGTCACTGTCGGTGGTAATGGGACCATCCATTTGGAACGAATTCTGGAGAAGAGTTGCTGGTGTAGGAGCAGAATTAGAGCGAGCAGGTACCCAATATGCATATACAACAAGGCGAACAGATGAGGCAAAGGTAGGGGCAAGAAAAAAAAGGTACAACAGGTATCGGAATTCCACCAGTCCAGAATGGAATAGGGTCCCTCATCCTTGTCAGCCAAGGATACGGGTACCTTTTGATGTCATGCAAATACAGCAGAAGAGGCAGAGGAAGAAGTATCGTGTAACGAGGGAAGAAGTTTGAGATACCAACGAGATGGGAAAATAAACGTCGGATGTAGATCGCATGTCATAAGCATCGGGGTTTGATCACGGGGGCAAATTGAGTCCGCGGCCGCATAAAGGAAAGGATAATAGAAACGAGGGGAAGAAGGTGAAAAAACAAAATAATTAAAAATGAAAAATGAAAAAAAAAAAATAAAAATAAAAATTAGAAAAAAAAGGAAAAGATGGGACTTACAATGATTCATTTGCAAGCCCACGGAAACACTTGTCGCTAATCAAATCAGTTCCGAAAGCCAACTCGTGCCTAGAGATCCTAAGGATCAGCCCAAACAGCGCAAGCGCTAAAGTGACGCCCAAAGGACTAGGCTTCGATGGCTGGACAGGGGTCGATCAGGCAAGAAAGATGCCAGCGAAAAAGATCGGGAGCAGCAGTTGGAAACTTTGGCTCATTGGACTCCGAACGGTGCGGCTCGAAAATAATCGAATGAAAATCAGAGATGAATAATAATGATAATAATAAAATAAAAGAACAAAAAGATTGTCGCTTCTACTCGGGAACTTTTCGAGGTCAACACGGCCGATGAAGCTGTACGTGGTTCTAAGTACCAAGTCAGTGTTCGCACCAGACCATCAAGACGAGTAGCTCGATGACAGTGCGAAAATTCTGGAGTGCAGACGGTTGTCGGTGGCTTGAAAAAAGATATCAACCACAAGGATTCAGCGGGGTTTACCAAGCACAGCTTGATCAGAGGGTTAAATCAATGAAGAAAGACAATCAAGTCAAGAAAGCGAGAAGAGAAATGGTGGGGATTTGGGAGAAGTAGCTGGTGAAGAAGCCAAACACAAGCGCAAAAGGAAGAGAAAAGGGAGTAAAAAAAGAAAACATGGCACGTTCCACCAGTGAATTGCTGTTCTTCGCGTTACTTGATGACATCGTTGGAAAACATGGACAGGACCACTTGCAAGTTGGTGTCTGAACAATGTACAGAGGGCCTTCAATGACAAAGGGTAAAGATGAGGTTGCTGGGAATTCAACGGTCACATAATAGAGAAGGTAAAGATCAATGAATAGAATGAATAAGCAGAACAAAGCCGTCCGACGAGAATCGAGGCATCCAATAGAGTAGAAGATAGAGGGGAAAAGAGCCAACTCAAATACGTAAAAAAAAGGCAAGATCTGGAGGACGGGAATGGAGAATGAAAGGGAATGTGAGGCATCTGATGATAAGACACAGAAAGAAACACGGTAGGCGAATAAAGCACCAAACTTGAACTTACTGGCGTTAGTTGCGTAATTGAAAGAGTCGATAATCCGATGAAGTCAACAACAATAAGTTGTAACTTGCATTTATTGCTGCAGACCTCGAAACTCCGCAGCAACTCTATATGTATAACCGATCGTGTGTAGGGTCGACTATCTAAACAAAGGGTCTTCTTCTCACGGGGGTAAGGCTCGGATAGATTGACTGAATGATAGCAATAGAGAACGGATCGTGCTGTTTCATATTCTGCTGTCAAATGGCAGGCTGGATGATGATCGCGGCAATGAAAGACCTAGGGCCGATCGAGGAATCTGCCCGATTGATATTTGTTTCCAAATACTGAGAGGAATGCTTTTGCTCATGTCATGTTGGGTCTTTTTTTTTTTTTTTTTTTTTTTTTTCTCCTTCTTTCCTTTTAGCCACACCCACACAGTACCCGCGTTCTCCGATTCTAGCCTGGCTGGCCCCTTTACTTTCAAGGGAATGACCCTGGTAGGCGTGCGGCGAAATTATCTGCAGAAATTCGTTGCGCACAAGCCTTGATAGCTTCACTCAGTTGCCACTTTTTGCCACGAGTTTGTTATGAAATTTGACTTCTGTCAGGGCCAGCGAGGATCTGCTACACTCCGGCAGTCAATCATGGGGGTAAAAACAAAAGTTATACATTATGGGTGACGGCAGCGTTAAGGGGTCCAAGCCCGAAGGCACATTTTGGGGTGGCCTCTTTTTTTTTTTTTTTTTTTTTTTTTTTTTTTTTTTTTTTGCTTCGGTTAATGCCAACTCCATTTTATTTTTCTTCTGTCTTCTCCCTGGAATTTGTTTTTGTTCGTCATCCTGGAGGAAATGAAGCATGAACCTTCAAGGAGAATATTGTTGCATTATCCGAATTAGCGCAGGAAAAGAACTTAGACCCTGTCAAAAACGTTGGAGAGACACGGCATTGGTCGAATTCGACGTTACATCCCTCAAGTCCAAGGCCAGACAGTCTCAGAGCTGCACAAACTCTGAATAGTCCCGAGTGGGATGAACTCCAACGTTAGCATGATTCAACAAGGCGCTAAGCCGGCCAAACCGTTCTATACAGAATAATTGCCAGCATAGTTAGCTGTCTTAGCGTGAACACCCGGCCCACGGCACAGTGCAGCAAAACAAATTAAGATGGCGCTAGAAAATATTAGTTTAGCGACGATCACCGCCCCCGGTAATCCCGTGCAGGCCCCCAGTCCCATGACGGAGACTGTCGACACTACTGAGCTTGGGCAGCCACCGAGGTCCAATAACTGTGCCCGCGACGGAAGAACGGTCTATGTTGAGTGCTAGGTAGGGGTTGTGGACCCATTAGAAGACTCCATGTTCTAGACGTGACGCCTCTTTGGGGCCGTCCCAAAGAAATTTCGGGGGCTCGAGGCACGAGCATCGGCTCTTGCATGGAGAGATCAGGCGATCGACGGTTTGGATCCAACAGCTTTTTTTTTTCTCTTTATTTTCGTGGCAGTTGTTCGCTCACCGACACCGAAGACGACAATGCATGATAGAGAGAGTACCGAATGGGTTAATGCGGCCTGGCTGTACAATGCTGGTACACGGACTTTGTTGTGGTCGGTAACTTTGAGAACCCCCGGGAAATAATGATCCTGTCTCCGTTCTCTCCACAGTCCCAGAGGCAGAGGATGGAGGAGTGGACCTGTAAGCAGGAGAGAGAGAGTGTGTGTGGAGAAATGGGTATTCTATTTTTCTTTACACAGCATAATTTCCAGAATCGAGCTTTGCGGCCCACCGATTCGGGAGCGAGACAGCACAAAGAAAGCCGGCGGAATCTTAGATGGCCAACCCATCTGCTTGATTTCCCAGCAAGAGTGAGAGAGAGGCGTAAGAGAAGTGGAGCGACCACCCAGGAAAATTATTTTTCATTTTTTTTTTCTTTTTCCTTTTCCCTTTTTTTTCATGGGGTGGATCATCTTGTGGCTGAATGATCAGCCAGGCTTGCAGGAAGCTAGTTGGTTGAAAAGCGATATGCACGGTGCTGAAAAGGAGCCCAGGCACCATCATTGGCAGAAGGCGCCAGAGCAGATCCATTCAAGACCGGCCATTCAAGGCCGTCAGTACGGAACAGTCCGTATGGAACACAGGGTAGCTATTGGAGGGAGCCCATGTTGTGCAGGACATATCCGCGGGATGCGGCGCGAATCCCATCGTAACCTTGGACAGGGGTGTTCAGGGATAGTGGAGGGGGAGGTTGCATTTCAGACTAAGGGAAACCCAATAAGCAGGATGCTTAGGAAGATTCCAAGAAAACAAACCCATAGTGGATGGAGTCGACTAATCTTCATGGAATATTGGGTTCCGACGCAATAGGAAGCCAAGAAACGCCGGATGGCAGAGGATGATGTTTACCGATTGACTGGTAACACTTCGATGAGAGAGAGAGAGAGAGAGGGAGAGAGACAATCAAAGTATCCAATGGAAGGGAAACCCCGCTAAGCCCAAAGGAGAGAAACCCAGGAAGGATGGCACGTGCATCTGGCGTAGGCCCGAAGCGGACTAGCGGCACGATCGATAGTGCGTGACCCGGGGCGCCCTAATTCCTCCTGCTCCTACGCAGTACTGCGACAGTCCTAATCCTTCTCCTACGCCGACGCCAGACGACGCAGAAGAATCCATGTCGCGATGTACTCGCTACATTGAGTGGATCAAAGCTAGTCAACTCCCGGTAGGGTGTCAACGCGCTATCTGGCTGTCCTGACAATGAAACCAGTCAACATCCCGGTCTAAGTTTGACTGCTCCCCTGCTGGCGTTCTGTTTTCGTCCATGGTCCAGTGGATTAAAATATTAAATGGCTCATATAGGCCCGGGATCTCGGTCGTCGCAGGTAATAATGGTTCCTATTATGACCATTATGATGACCAGATATTATTAGTAGCGCCCGCCTCCTTTGGTTCCTTCCTGACCACCGTTATAAAGTATAAGCTTCCTCGTCCGTCAGATGTTTCAGAATATCCCAACAAGGTTTTACTAGTATGTGGTGTCTACCGTAGACCCTCGTACCTCGTTGTAGGGAACGAGGGATGCCTAGAGGCTGTCGCGCACACGACAAACTTCCTCGCCCCCTTTTATGTGATGGGATTTGATTTTTATTTTTAACCGATCGAACTGCATTGAATCTTTCCCCCTCCCGCCTTCTGGCCCTATAGGTGGGCCTGCGCCCCTCCCTTCCCCCAAGGAAACTGTATGTGAATTATTTCTGGAGGATTTATTATTCTGGTTAGGTTGGCTTAAGGTTCACGCGGTGTCGTGCTCTTCTTTTCCCCTCGGAAATACTACATTGGATTCGCCTCGACTGGGTGCTCGGACTAGCAGGGCTACCAGCGGCCTAGTCCCAGCGGGAATTCTCCCGATTGCTCTTGGGACTCCTTGGAATTAAACGGCTTTTGCAATCTGCCTGCTCCATCTTTATCTCGATCCCGTTTCTTTCGCCGATCCTAGCCTGCGGTCGGTGGGTTTTCCCTGACAGACCCTCCTGTACCACCACGGGTTAAATTAGCTTTTCCGTTTCTTTCTTGCGTTCACGGGTCCTGGACATGACGACCAAATCAAAAAATTAAAAATGAAATAATAAAATAATAAAAATGGAATTCCGTCTGCGGCTGGCCGTCGATCACGTTTAACACGGAGAAGGAAAAGGAATGAATGGCCTTGAGTCAGGGTCGAACAACGGGGCTTGGAAAGGCTCAGCGTGGTGTCCAGAACATTCGGTTCTTATTTCCGGGGGTCTTGCTCGCTTGGACTCCACGTTTCGAGCGGTGATCCCTGATAGGCCTGGCCCTTCTAGATTGTGAGATTCGCCTGTACCATCATCGTGGATGGCTCTTCCCACCGAGCTGGTTATCGCCCCTGTTGAAGCGGGATTACTGGCACACAATGCTCAGGGCCCGTTCTACGGCTTCGAATCATGCTGTCGTAGTACACCCGACCGAAAGCTAACGGACTCTGATGGTTTGGCTGCAACGTGTTGGATGACATAAGAGATATGTCTTCTGGCCCTGAGACGAAGATCGTGGCTCGCTGTCCTGCCCTAACTAACCCTTACAGTCACGATACGTGGTTGATCAGCTGCGATGTCTCTGGCTGGTCAAGGAAAAGGGGAAGAAATACAAAAAGAAAAAAAAAATGAAATAAAAAAATGAAAGAAAAAGAAAGAATTCCATGAATATCTTCTCATCTCCAGCAGCCTCGTGACAAACCAAGGCGCGCTCGAATTTCGTGGACCAACCGCCCGAGCGGACCTGATTCGACGTGTGTCAACGGGATTTGGCTTTCCTGGTCGGTCTCACCTGTGCAACGGACATGACGAGAGCCTGGACAATCACTGCCAGATACCGTCAATTCTCGCCAGGTCCTGGTTTATGCTTTGCGGCCCTCAGAACGGTAATTCCAACCGGAGGAATCCAGTCTCGATGTTTGTCGTCTCTCGCTGCTCACTCCAGGTATGCTATGCTGACGGACTGCAGTTTCTCCTGCTGATTCCAAATCACAGAAATACAACATGATACAGCATACACCGGATTCTCCAGTCCGTATGAAGCGGTCCGTTCCATTCCTTTCGCACCGTGGGTCTCGACGATCAGGACCTCTCCATCCTCAAAACTATTTCCGCGGCATCCATGGTCCACACCCATTGGAATATCCGGCATGTAATCCACCCCAGCATTGACTTCGCCATGTGGAGGCCCCAGTCGAAGGGAGCCAGCATTCAACGTCCACTTCTCCCGATACCAAAATACCAAACGAGAACAGAACAAGGGGCGCCACCGACCCGAGGCAGAGGGTGCCGGATGTACATTTCACTCGTGGATGACATCTGCTGTCACACAAGAGGAGGAAACTCGGCCATCGTCCTGCTCAACTCCGGCCGATAGCCTTGACGAGTTCCAATCCGGTTCACCGTGCGCTACACAGAGACCCCTCCGTGTTGACAACCCTATTCCTAGCTCCTGCTGCAATGTAACGGAGGGCAGGAGTGGTGTCTATTGTTCCTCCTCTTTGTCTTTCTTTTCTATGTCTTTTTGTTCCCCTGGAGGTATTTGTGTTTTCGAACTCCCTCCAAATCCCGTTCGTCAGGGTTTCCAGCCCGTGTTCTCCCCGCCATTGGACATGATCCAATCGATGTTTGTGCATTGTCGACATCGGGTGTGACTCTCGGATGATGCTACCATGATACCACACCATGCAACCTTCGCTTTCCCTTGGCTGGGGCAAACTGGGGAAGGTCTAGATGGAGCCATTGGCTCGGAGAACGGATCTATTTCCCAGGAACAGTAGAAACCAGAAACCCCCAAAGGCAAATAACATCGACCCTGGTTTCCTAGATATTCCGATCGACGAGCTGAAGAAAACAACTCCAGCAAGCAAGCACATGTGAGCGATTTTTTTTTTCTTTTCCTCTTTTTTTTTTTTTACCCTTCTCCTTCTCTCCACGGCTCTAGTGAAGTCCGTAAGTCTCGGAGTTGACCGAAAGTCATCCGTGCTGGAGTGGATCAACCTAAGAGATGGTTGACGTAGGAAGCCGGACTCGGTGCCTATCTGGGAAGCGTGGGATGTTTAAACCTTGGTCAAGAACGATAGTCGCAGTCGCTATCATTCTTCTCTGCATGATGGAGAAAAGGGTCCAGGTAGTGTACACCATCGCCTGGATCATCTTACTCAGTCAGTACCACAGCCCAGTACAGTAGGGCTGTCTGCGTCTGGACTTTGGCCTGTCAGCTTTTCTGGGCCCAAAGGGGGAGGGGGACAAAAATGAAAGGAAGGGATGGGCCATTGCGACGATGACGACGATCCTCCAACGCTCCCACATAAAGAATAGTTCGGTTTTTTCTTTAGCTTTACCATGAGTTTTCTATGCATGAGTCCCAATGGCTTCTCGGGCAGGATATGTAGATTCCATGCAGAACGGTGATCGGCGGAGATCCACGCATCCAGTTTCATCTTCTGGTATATCATGATTATCACATTCCATAGGATGTGGAAAGCATACCGACCCAACGGGGCACCGTTTGGCAAAAGACATCCAAGGCTCGCACACCATCTACGGAGTTCTAACTTTACGGGAATACGGTAGCCTTGGGGGGCGAGAGAAGCCCTTGCATGGACATTCCTCTAACTCGTTCGTTCGTTCGTTCTTGCGCGTCAATGCTTCGTTTTCTCTCTCGCTTGGCCCCCCGCGGAAAACGCCTTCTATTGTCTTCTTGCGTCTATGGGTCAGGTAAGCATGCCGGACTTGGGCGCTTTGTGGGTATTCTCGGATATTACCGAGACCATCAGGTAAGGTGGGAGGCAATTCTTCTCTTTTTTCTTGAAAATCTAGGTATCTGAGATGAAGGGGTAGGTAGGTAGGGAGGTAGGTAAGCAGCACATCAAATGAAACCCTCTAAAACCGTTGCTTTTCTTTGTATAAAAAAAATCAAGCAAAGTAAATGACACGTTGGAGGAAAAGGGGGCCTTTTTTCGATAATCATCATTATTGACCAGATCATACAATACAAAGAAAAGATCGATCCTCAGTCATGAAGGAAGCCCGCCCTACGGGCGAATAAAAAAAAGTGATCCAAAGTGTCGTGAAGCAAGATAAGGAGATGCGAAAAAAGGAGAAGAAAAAGGGGACGAGAGAAGTTTTTTAAGTAGCACGCTTGGCGAACTCGACGCGGAGAATGAGATGGCGATAACCGACTGGAGAGAGGATATTGTGTTAGCTTTGCACGCAATGGGATCAGCGGACAGAAAAATCAATGGGTACGTACAGCCGTCCATCTTTTCGCAGGCGCGAGCAGCGTCGCTTCGGTCCGCGAAACTGATGAAAGCGAAGCCCTTGGCCCGCTGGGTCTCTCTGTCTCGGGCCAAAAACACTCTGGTGACACGACCGAAGCGCTCGAACAGATCCCGAACCTCTGCTTCTTCGGCCAACTCGCTCACCTGGTGACGAGAAAGTTAGCATGCAAATTCTCTTCCCGTTCGGGGAAACCCCAACACCACCCCCGAAAAAAGGCATGAGCAGAGGGAGACTCACGTTCGTAACTCTCAGTGTCGCCAGATCGTCCTTCTCGTACTTGCCAGCCATTCTCTCGCCGCCGCCAGCAGCACCCTTCCGCAGATGAGGAGGCACGTAGCTGGCATTGCTGGCTCCAAGACCACCAGCAGCACCGGCATCCTCTGCTCCACCCTCGGCGCCGGCGCCGCCAGCAGGCTCGTCGACCGGAGCCATGGTGTCCTTGAACGGACAGCGAGCGGTGAAATGCTCTCCGCTGCAAATACGACACTTGACCTTCTTGTCCTTCAGCTGGTCCTTGATGCCGCCCTTCTCGCCGCCGGCCTTCTCCTCCTCCTGGGCCTGGGCCTTCCAGTTGATGCTGGGTCGGAAAACGATGTTCTCGCCGACGGAGGTGGTATCGAACGAGGGTCCGGCAGCGTGGCCCTTCTCGAGACCGAACTTGTCCCAGGCGCGTCGCTCAGCGACCCGGGGGTTCACATGTTCGCGGACCACGGTGGTTTTGATGCGGCGGGTCACCTTGACCTTCTTGTTGTCGTCATTGAAGCGGTACGAGATCACGGTCTTGGTTCCATCTTTGTTCGTCGTAACTTGTTGCGGGGGGAGAGCGGAGGGGTCATCGAACTCCTCGTCGTCGGCCCAGTCGGCGCGGCTGAAAATGGAAAAATTTGGTCAGAGGATGAAGGAGACGGACGTGCGCTGGATTTTGGGACCACTTTTCACTTACTTTCCTAGTTTGGACATTGTGATCTGTGGTGATGTGAAATCGTTGCTGATTTTCTCGGATTTCAACGAAAGGTTGAATCTTTGGTTGTGGATTTGTTCGGCGCGGCAAATTCCCTGTGGCGCAGGCCCCGTGCCTGTGGCTAGTGCCGCAGACCGCTTGGTCACGTGTGCATCGGGGCGCTCGACTACGCGATGTTCCTGATGTCTACTCCTTCTTCTACCCACTCAAAGCTGGAATGATCGAAGCGAAGGCTTCATTCAAGAAAATAACTATGTGTTATACTCAGCGTATCAAATGAACTAAGATAACCGACGCAAAATATGTGACGAGCAACTTTCGCAACGGTAAAAAATAACAATGACAGAAAGAATAATCATGAAAAAAGATCCCCCTTTCCTTTCGAATTGCTTTCCGAACCGATCAAAATTTGATAAACCAAAAAGAAAAAAGGAAAGACCACCGTTGCAAACCGAAGGATGACAGCCTGACATCAAGTCAGACGTAATCCACTTTCACCCGGCCGTGATCCTTGCCCTCATACCAGAGTGTATATTCGCAGTGGGCCGAGTAATAGACCGCATGGATTTCGAAAGAAATTTCGTAATACTCTTCGCCATCTGCACCAATGCAGGTTTCAAGTCTGTCTTTCTGGATTTTATCCAGTTGGGGATTCAAGACTGCGTGTCGCTTTGTTTCTATATGACGCCTGGTTAGCAGACTGAACATGAAATATGGATGCAGAAGAGGTATGCTCACGACGATTGAAGTATAAGGACGACGTATCAGTGTCCAGCTCATACAATGTGACATGGATGGAATCGAATGGTCCTTCGCTAACCCGCTGATGTTTACACCATTTGGTAATGACGGGTTTTGCTTCTTTGATAGACTCTCCCTATCGTTGAATTTAGCTTTCAGTCTTTGAAATGCTTTCTTCCTACTAACCTTCTTGATGAACCATTCCATGACATCAATAACGTAATTTCCCTCGAACTCGTGCCAATACCTATAATCGTCAAAACGCGACTCAAAAGCTAAGGGTAAATGCCAATCACTTCTTGTTTCTGTCATGAACAGCTCGATCAAAATCCGTCCTTATAAGCAATCCGTAGTGCTTTCGGGCCTTGCGTGATTCGATACGTATTTGAGGTGCTGAGGAAGACATTTCTCCTAAAGTCTTCCTCAAGGCGCCTCTAACGACCGCGGTCCAACCATCTGAGGGAACTAATATTTCAATTTCAGGCAACGAATCTCTGAGAAGCTTCTGAAGATAAGGGCTTTGTCCAAACCCCCCGACCAATATGATCGCTTTGACTTCCTTTTTCGATATCTGAACCTGCTTTTTTGCGAGGTTAATGATCTCCCCGAGGACAGGCAAGAATAGTTGCGACATCTCGCTTCCAGTCATCTGAAGGCGTCCTCGCTTCACTCCGAAGATTTCGTTGTCTGGAATTCCAGGAACAGTAATGTTGAACAATTCCTCCGGGTTGCCATCAAACCCCCGTTTCACAGCTGTCTCGAATCGGTCCATGGCGCCATTGAGAGTGTCCAGTCCCCACTCTGGTGCAGAAGAAAGTCGGTTCTCCAAAAACTCCTCGAACTTCCGATTTAGAAAGGTGCTGCCACAAAGAGAACCATCTCCTGGCGCAGCTTCTTTAAGACGCAGCGTAGGCTTTAGCTCAACTATTGAAAAGGTGATCAGGTCGCAGGTGCCACCGCCGGCATCAAGTAAGACCACTGTGTCGTCTACTTCCAGACCATGTGGATTCGACGCGCATAGCGCATGTACAGCAGCTGCTTCCGGCTCGGAAATGATACGGATATCCGATGCTTCACCGAAACCCGCGGCATGTGCACACTTGATTGTGGCTACTTTTGCTTTTTCGGACCACATCGCTGGGACCGTGAGGACAAATTTCAAATCATTGCTGGTGATGGAAGGAGATTTCTGGGTCTTCAGGACCTTGATGATTTGCTCGTATAGATGGCAGAGATAATCAGTCACAGCCTGCTCGTGGGTCGAGTGATATGGAATGGGGTTATCACGGCGGTCTTTATAGGTCGAGGATAAGAGCGTTTCAAATTTGAGCTTGAGTTCAGGAGCAAGCTGAAGCTTTACCCACTTTACGCGTGGCATATCGGAGGGAATCTGAAATCCCCAAAGAGACTTTGGTCCAGAATCGTCATATTCGTAGGCAATCTCGCTGGGTACCTTGTCGCTTGTCATTCCATTGATAGTGCCAGATTTGTTCCGCGGCCAGATGTTAATGACAGTGTGGTTGTCGGGCTGAGGAAAATTCAGTTTAAACAGGACTGTAAACTCAAGACAAATTGACTTACATTATTCGTTGAGGCCCAAGCAACACCTGAGTAGGTGGTCCCGAAATCCACGGCAACGATAATTTGCTCTTTCATAGAAGCGTCCGGCATTTTGCTAGCAGAATCTGGTGTCAAATCCTCGTGGTTGAGGAGGATAAAAGGTATACTTCTTCTGGGGAGGTGAGGTCGTATAGAAGACTATATCAGAAGGGAGGAAAAGTAAAGAAACGAAAAGTGAAGGGACGCTTAGATGAGAGCTCAGGTCACGGAGGTCAAGCAACGCAAAGGATTATTTAAGCCGATGTTCCAATGAAAGAACAAGATCTCTTCTCTGGATCAGCATTTCTTCCTTCCTTATACTTGATCCCATGCCTAGGGCTAGTCATTCCTATGAAGCCTTTTTGCTCGCCTCATATAAATACCACAATCCAAACCGAGGACAGTGAACTCAACCTCTTCCCACTCTTCGTTTGATCTTGAGCCCAAAGATGGATGATCTGACAATGGAAGTTGAAGGCTGCTCTGTAGGTTACTTCCTACCTCTAAACTTTCAATGGCTAACCGTCGCATGTTTAGGCTGCAGGGTTGCCTTTCGGTCGAAACAAAAAGGGCAGTTCATTCCATCCCCAGGAAGAAGAGATACATCAGGAGCAACACGATTGGCTGGGCATCTTAAAACATATGGACCAGTACCAGTCCCAGCTGTGGCGCGATGTAGAGGATCGTGTGGGGGATTTAAAGTGTTTAGAACATTCCTTTTCGAAACTTATGCACGATAAGGACGAAAAATTACAACAAAAGGAACACGAATTGGGCAAATTAAGGAGAGAGAATGAGAAACTGAAGTCCGAGAATCACGACCTACGAAGGCAATTATCCAGCACTGTCCCAGTCAGTCAAATTTCCGACACGACCATCCAAGATGAAGTGATTTTAATCTACCAAACCGTTTCGGACTTTGCAGAAGGATTCCCCGATGTTGCTAATTTCCAAATGTCTTTCGCATATGCTGCCTGGCGCCTGGGCATTGAGAACAAGATATACTCCTCATTCCACGAATTCACACAAGCTTCGAGCGCAAAGCCAGAGCTCCTGGCATACATCACATTTCGGTACCTATGGAAATATTTGTTCAAAAGGTTGCTTGCTATGGTTTCAACGGATCAGAATTTTCTCCGCCATATGCAAAACGAAACACGCATCTCGGAAGCTACATACGGCATGTACACTTCCGCTGACTGGCAAGATGATCGCAACTAATTTCAAACAGATACCCAAAGACTTCATGCATGGATATCGCACGCTAGAACCCTACTTAGACCGCATCTTATCCAGTTGTCAGCCGACATACGCGAATCTTTCGAGGGTTTTGTTCCCGAGAATGGCTTCAACCAATACTCCCCTTACTTTAAACTGGAGGACAAAATCATACCATTGACCACAGACCTCATGATCAGAATGAGCTGCTCGCCGGAAAGTTACAGATGGGAGTGGTGTTTTGATCCTGTCCTTATATTTCCGGAGAAAAGAGTTTTCAAAGACCACCTGGACCATTTCGTCATCATGGATGCCGAGACACACAATAGGGTGTCGGAAAGGGTTCTCACTCGATTTCCTGAGCGTAAGGAATTGGGTACGCTTCTTTTTGTGATGCTCCCAGCTTTATTTCGGTGTGGCAAGGAAGGGGAACAAGACGTACTGATCAACAAGGCAACTATCCTTATTCGAGTGGACGACTTTACACAGAGTGGTAGCTGAGAATGACACCAAACCAAGTATGGCTTGAAGATTGGCATGGGTCGAAGGTATGACAGGCATCGTTTTTGTTTTTGATGGCTACACCTAGCTCGATAAGCCAGGCTTTTCAACGACTGTTGCTTGCGAAGGCGTTCATGGCTCTATGCGTTCTAGTTGGGATTGAAGGTTTCTGTTCTTTGGCTTTATTTATTCCTTTTTTTTCTCTTTTACTTTGCGTTAACTGTTGTCATTCATCACGATTTCAGGTTGAATTGATTCTCATTGAGCAAATGCATCGTTAGCATCAGTAATTAAACATCTATTTACAGTCCCTGTCGCAAAGTCCTAGCTCGACATTTCCACATAAAAATTTCAAAAACGAAATGAACCCATATGAACAAACTATATACCCAAATGCATGTCTAAACCTTGCAATCAACGCCCGTATTTACCGACCAAATATTCTGATTTCGAGGGGTCGTAAGATCATATACGACGCCGACGCGAAGGCGAAAGCCAACTCAAAGCCGATGTCACCGCCAGTAGGTGCCTTGCCCGCATGCAACGCAATAGGTCCCACCCACCACGACTGGCTCATTCCGGTGATCATGCCGGCAACGCCGAACCCAAACGCAAGAGAAGCGGCAATGCCGGGGGGCAGCTTGTCGCGCTTGTCATACAGCTCGGGGCGGTATCCCGAAAAGCCTCGCTTGAAGACGAAATGGTCGGTGAGGGAGATGCCGGAGTATATAGCAAGCCAGTATGCAATAAAGTTCATGAAGTTCTCCAGGATGGTTTCAAAATACGAGTATCCCGGAATTCCGATGGCCACCGAGGCGCAGGAACCCAGGAAAACCCAGATGAATCGAGGGAGTTTCTGGGAGTACCGACTCAGAACCTGAAGGGTAAGAGCGACGGAGTAGATGTTGGGGCAGTTGTTGGCAATGATGGAAAGAGCAAGAATGACCAAGCAAAACTTGCCGAAACCACCAAGCGGCTCGAGAACAGCGCCGAGCAGACCGCCATTTCCAGACGTCGAATAACCCAATGCATATTTGTTATCGCCGCCATCGATGGAAGTAGCGGTCATGACCGCAATGCCAAGCATCTGGGTGAAGAGCAGAGGAATGATGAGTCCGAGCCAGGCGGAGAAAAATATCTTGCGGCGACTGCGGTTTGCAGGCTGGTACACGGTGTAATCAGCAGCATAACTGGTCCATCCGGTGGCGAAGCCGTAGACAGTGGAGCCGAAAGACAGACAACCTCCGATCTCAGAAGTTCCAACTCCCATTGAGATGTTTCGGAAATCGCCGGAGTGGGCAAAAGTGCCGAACACGATCACGAAGACGATGAAGGTGGGGATCCAACTCCAGTACTCATACATATGGACCACCTTGTATCCTGCGAACGTGACAAAAAGAGTGCAGAAAGCGATAATGAGGATGCCAGCAAAACCCGGCACGTCACTGTTTACTGCGTTCAACAGCTGGGCACCCACAATGGAGTTGGCGGCGGACCAGCCCACACAAGCCAACACATTCAAGCAGGCAACTAGAGAAGAGAACGTAAGCAATTGCCTTAAGTCGAATGAGCAGTTGAATCGGGTACATACTGAATTTGGTTGCCCACCAGCCGAACCAGAACCTGGACAGCACCATTTGTCGTAGACCGAAGGGAGGACCGAAGCACGAAAAGAAGCAGACGGTCATGATACCCAACAGGTTGAAGAAGATGTCGACCAGGATGGCGTCGACAAAACCGAGGTTGAACAGGGATTTCCCAAGGACACCGATGGCGAAAGAACTGACTACCATGTTGGCGGCCAGCCACTGCGACGGGTCAGTTGGGGGAGCGTTCTTGTCATGCCAGGCAAGAGCCGACATAAGACCATGCGGTAAGGCTAAAAACACACCATGCTGCCAATATTGAAATATGACGTGTCCGTCTGCTCATCCGCCGGCACCCGCTCAATACCGCGCTGCTCGATATTGAGCTTTCCAGCCAGACGCTGCACCTTAGCGTAGAGAGAATTGCCGTAGGCAAAGCTCTCTCCGGGAACCGCTCCATCGCTACTGTCATCGGCGGGGAGCTTGGCCACCTGAGGCGCCTTTTCCAGATCGGGATCGCTGCTACTGCCGCCAAACATCGCGTCGAGATGGGATCCGACCAAACCGTGTTTCAACGATTGTGTATGCAAGTCGGCACGAAAAATCCCCACCAGTGAAGGAGGAGACGTGGGAGACGGAGGGATGGACGAGCTAATTGAGCGAGCTCACGAGGACCACGAAGGGTACTTCGAAGAGGGGGAGGGGAAACGAGAGGGAAAGAGGAAGCAGACCGGGTCTCACATGGTTCTTTTTTCTTTCTTTCTTTTCTTCGACAGAGGGAGGGAGGGTCAGCTACTAATAACCACGGCGCTGGGAGGCTGGAGCTAAGACAAAATCTTTTCCGCACAGTCACATCTCTACGAGGCCCACAGTGGAAGCTGACCAGGTCCAGCGGGAACCACCAACGAGAGGAGAACGATAGCCGGAGAGTGACCGCGACCGCGTCCTCCGAGAATCAGAGACGCCATCGCTGGTCGCGTGTGCAGCCCGAAGTCAAGCCTTTTTTTTCTCGTTTCGAGAATCCCAACGGGCCCGCCTTGGCTAACCCTAACGGACCGCCGCTAGTCCCGCCTGGGTGGTGGATGCGTGGGTCAGGCACCCTCCGTGTCTGCCATTGGTCACTAGCGTTTCGACTGGGAGGGCCAAGCACCACATGGGCTGAATCGCCCGCGCCCTGATTGGTGGCAGTCCCTGACAGACCCAGGTGGGTCCGTGGCGAATGTTTTCGTCCGAAGGTGTCCTCCGATAAGATTGGGCCTCTTGATAGGCAGTGCAGATTGCCAGGTATCCGGCCCGAGTAGGAATGATAACACCCGACCGATTCCCTGTTATCCTACGAAGTATTACGGAGTAGGTACCCCCAGATCTATCTCTCCCTATCTCGGCTTCTTCTCAATCACTGCGCTTGGAGCTCTCAGCACATCGGTCATCACCGACAGCCCCTTCACTCCCTGTTCATCAAACCCGCCGTGATCCGAGTATTATATATCTTGTACGGAGTATGGACTATGGAATCACGGCATCAAAAATACCATCCGACCCAACCCTGCCTATAGCTCCCCCAACCCCCTTTTTAGTACACGTTCATTGAAGCCCGCTCCCCAGGTACTCCTCAATTACCCCACGCTAGTATCGGAAACCTACGCTGCCACGAGGACGAACAAGACCGGGGTTCGCCGCGTCAAACCCTGCAAGGCTGCAACTGCAACACCATTATCAGCCAAGCTATTGCGAAGCTTCGGCTTATGCATGTACCGTCCTTCCTGTAATACGAGGGATCATTATAACTGGATGATCGTTGGAGCTTGTCTATGATAAAGGATGATAGTCCTAGTCTCTATTTGGACGTAGCTGCCCTTTCTGATAAGGGTTAATTAATAACTTAATGGTCTTAAAGGATGATGTCATCCGCACGGGGATAATGATATATTTGGTATAGCACTCTCCAAACATCATCCAAGATTTAAATTTCAGATGTAGCCGGAGAAGGAGGACAGTTCGAAAGACAATGTTTTATTTATCTTTGAATATCTTGGTTTCATTGTAAGAAGAATGGTGGTTTATTGACAACAAAGACCTAGCAATTGGGTACCACATTCCTGCTATAAACATCTACTTGAGAACATCCTGGGTATCACTCGGCTATATAAGCCTTTATGACCAAATCATTCACTCTCTTGGCTGAATTTGCCCCTGAACAATGCCATTGGCCTTCACCAGTAGTAATGATAGGCACTGGCACACTTACATAGTCCTTTCACAGCCATTGCTTTGTTTTTCATGTGCCAATGTCCACTTCAACGCACCTTTAAAGATATATATTTATATCTGCCTTTTCAGTAAGCGCCAAGCAGACTATATACACGTGACCTGTCAGCAGCTAGGGATGCTTCCCAACTTGCTACCTGTTCAAAACCTTGAATGATTTATTTTGTTGATCAAAAATCGCCGTCTCTCAGACTCAGCCTGACCCAAGATTTACCACTCTCCGGAAGAAACCAAAAATATGGTTGAAAATAAATCATATTTTCTATCAAAGAAACTCACAATGATATACTAGAAGAAAGTGCAAACGCTGCAGTCCACGGTCATAGAACATCATAGTAAAATGCATCAATGCTCCCGACCCCGATCCCAATACGAACACGAAAGAATCAAATTATTTACAGCTTAGCAAGCATCTTGTTGCCCTTCTGCAACAGAGCAGCGGCATCCGTGACGAGCTCGTCAACAATAGCCTTGGCAGGCTTCTTTTCTGACACAACGGCGGCGACCTTGCCCATCAAGAAAGGGCGAGCATTGTCCAGGGTCTCGTCGTCGACATCGTCGGGCAGGTTCTCGAAATCGTGCTCGACGGGGATGACACCCTTGGCGGTCAGTTGCTTGATCTCTTCCGCGCGGTTCTCTTCCCAGTTCTTGATGTACTCGTTGTTGCGGACACGCAGGGGACGGCCCTGCAACATGTTAGCGGGGATTCTTGTGTCATTATCGCGTGCTCCGGATAACTTACAGTGAAGATGATGGTGCGAACGTTATCCTCAAATCCGGCGGTGCGGACGGCCTCCTGGTGAGCAACAGGGGCACCGGCCTCGTCGGACAGGATGAAGCGAGTACCAATCCATACGGCGGAGGCGCCAAGCATAAGAGCAGCGGCAACCGAGTTACCGTTGAAAAGGCCACCAGCGGCGACGACTTGCACGGGCAGACCGGTCAGGGGGCTCTTCTTGCCCTGGCAGAGCTTGGCAACGGTGGGGATGAGAACGGTAGTTGGGACATCACCGGTGTGTCCACCACCCTCGCCACCCTGGGCGCAGATGATATCGGCACCAGCATCAAGCGACTTCTGGACGTGCTTGGGGTGACCGATCATGTTCATGTACAGGATACCGGCGTTGTGGAGACGATCGACAACGTGCTTGGGAGGGATACCGACGGCCGAAACGAAGAGCCGGGCGCCGCTCTCAATGATGATATCAACGAGTTCGTTAAGCTTGCCCTTGGTGTAGTCATAGCTAATGAGGGAACAATGTGTTAGCATCCGTCATTTATTCCAACTGGACAGCTGCTGCCTAAGGTTGGGTCTCACTTGGTCTTGCGTGCGCTTCCTCCAACCTGGGGAAGCAGAAGGTCGACACCGAAGGGGGCGTTCTTGTCGTTCAAGTAGCTCTTGAGCTCCGTGATCTGTTCTTGAAGCATCTCAGGGGTGTAGCCGACACCGCCGATAACACCGAGACCACCAGCGTTGGTGACCGCAGCGGCCAACTTAGGACCGGCGGCCACGTTCATACCTGCCAGCAGGATGGGGTGGTTGATCTTGAGCTGATCAGTGAGGGTGGTACGAATTTGCTCTGCCAAAAGCTGAGTTAGAACGAAGGTGTCCTCAACCGGTTTTCGGTCACACGCGGCCCCTTCACATGCAGAGAGGCGTGCGCGGAATGTGGGCAAGAGAACTTACGAGGAGAAGCCATGATGAATGCGAAAGATGGGTATATGGGTGAAATAAAGGATAGATCGTTATCAAACAATAGGGCGAATGTATCGAGAAGAAGGAGGAGTGTCAGAAAGTGTGGGGAAAGAAAGACAATGCGTTGATTCTTTATAGGGAGACCGAGGGCGAACCGAGGGCGAAGAGCGCCGGCCAGAAAAGCCTCGGCCCAACATTTGATTAGACCAGTTTATTCCCCGGAGTTGACACTGCCGATGACTAACCGCGCGGGGGCGGTCACGCGCTGGTCAGCTGATCCCGCGTCTTCCGCGCGGTAACGTTTTTTCACATGACGTAGGCTGCAGTTGTATCTCGACCGTCAGCAATGGCTTCCGGCTCTCATCTCTGGAGATCTTCCGGTGCGGGGCTTCTGCACCTTCCCCTCCACAGAAGAGCCTGCGGATCGCTCCCAAGAACCGTCAAGAGGTAGGTCTGAGGAAGAGGAACGTGTCCGTCGATGCCCCGCCCTTGATGCCGAATTAACATTTGCATAGATCTCTCTATACGTCCCAGTCCAGTATGTGCACCCGGTTAACACGGGAGTCCTGCTATACAGACTCTTCCAGATGGAGCGGTTCAGCTCTGTCTGGGCGTTGGCGATGGACGTCTGTTCGACGAATCTAATCTGTTCAATCAGCAACCCCACCGACTAGTTCTCTTGATAGACGATCATTCTCCAACTCTAATACCCTTACTTCCAAGAATGAGTCCCTAAAACCATCCATACCTGCTCGAACCTTCTCCAATGGCATGGTAGCTTCTTCCAATGCCAGGATGAACCCGGTCGAGACTCCCTCCCACCGAGCTTTCATAGCCCTGGGAAGCAACATGGGAGATCGAGTGGAAATGATCGAGGCGGCCTGTCGAGAAATGGACCGAGCTGGAATCCGGGTAAAAAGGACCAGTTCGCTATTCGAGACAGCCCCGATGTATGTTCTCGACCAGGATGCATTTATGAATGGTGTTTGCGAAGTTTGTCTCCTACCTTCCGAATAGGCTCGTCAGATCGTGCATCGGCCCTTACAATAAACCAGGTCGAGACTAGCCTAGAGCCCCTTGAGCTACTAGATGCCATTCAGTCGATCGAAATCGACCTTGGGAGGAAGAAGATCATCGACAAGGGTCCCCGATCCATCGACCTAGATATTCTGCTCTACGATCAGCAGGTCTTCTCCCATGAGCGCCTTAACATCCCGCACAATTTGATGCTGGAACGTGACTTTGTCCTACGGCCTCTGAGCCAGTACGTCAAACCCTTTCCGTGACCGCATCTTGAAGAACACAATCTAAGCAGAAACACCGCCAGACTCATCCCTCATGAAATCCCTCCTTTCCCCGGACATGAAACCACCTATCTTTCCCACCTGAACTCCCTCCCTCCGCCAGATCCAACCCCAGTATCGACGACATATATCTCCAAAAACTTCCCTACCCTTCATTCCACAGATCCCCATCGTCCCACCCACATTATGGCCATCCTCAACCTCACCCCGGACTCCTTCTCCGATGGAGGCAAGCACTTCTCCAGTGACTTCTCAACTCTCACCAATACCGTGCGCGAATTCATCGCCGCAGGCGCCACAATCATCGATATCGGCGGCGAAAGCACCCGCCCTGGCTCCGTCCCCGTAGGAGAGGCCGAAGAACTGGCCCGGGTCATCCCAGCCATCCGCCACATCCGCACTTCGATCCCCGAAGCCGCCAACATCGCCATCAGCATCGATACCTACCGAGCACGCGTCGCCGAAGAAGCGTGTGCCGCCGGCGCCGACATCATCAACGATGTCTCCGCCGGTCTCCTCGACCCGGAAATGCTACCCACGATGGCGCGCACCGGCAAGACTGTCATTCTCATGCACATGCGCGGCAACCCCTCCAACATGACCAAGTTAACCGAGTACCCCAACGGCGTGGTCGCCGACACAACCACCGAGCTGCAGGAACGCATCGCCGCCGCAGAAGAAGCCGGCATCCGGCGCTGGAGAATCATCCTCGACCCGGGGCTAGGATTCGCCAAGGGCCAGCCCCAGGATCTCACCATCCTGCGGGATCTGCAGCAATTCCGGACCCAGGAAAGCGGGCTCGAGGGACTGCCCTGGTTGATGGGACCCAGCCGGAAAAGGTTCATCGGGAGACTAACGGGCGTTGAAAAGGCAAGTGAGCGTGGCTGGGGCACTGCGGCCGCCGTGACGGCTAGTATTGCCGGCGGCGCGGACATTGTTCGTGTGCATGATGTTAAGGAGATGTGGCAGGTCGCCAAGGTGGCAGATGCCATTTATAGAGGCTGATCGATGCGATGTGCCTTGCTGTTGGGTGTCTAGGAGTTCTTTGACGGGACATGATGATTCAACGGGTCAAGATTTTGTATATTTTCAACAATATCAAATTATATAGATAGAATAGTCAGCATTTTTTTAAATAAAAACATTATACGATCCGATAGTCTTTCCATGTTTGAATCTTGGATAATTGTAGTTCCTCATCGAGAACCCCTTCAGAGCACAAGGTTGAAAATAAAATAGATTGTGTTTATTCAAATTTTAATTGTCAAAACTCCTAGCAAGACCAAGCCTACTTAGATTGAAAGAATATACAGGAAATCGTCACAAATAGAAACAGGAGCTTGGGGAATGCCAATTTAATGATTTTCAATTAACTCAAAACCACAAAGGCAACTAAACAGGGGAAATGGAATAAAAGTAAAAGCAACCAACTTAAAACATGATCGAGTCGAGACAAGACGGAGGGATTGGTCTTAGACTCTGCAAGAGCCACCGTTCAATAGACAGTGATTATAGTGGTGGCCTTCGTTGTCGATTGCATTGGATTGAGAATGTAGGCTGATTTGGGGGAATACGAATGATGAGAACGCCATGTATGACTCAAAAATAAAAAATAGAGCTGGGCAGCAAGGACGAAGGAAGAACAAAAGCAGCATCCATGCTGGCGATATTGCGGGTGCGGTCAAAATGAGCTTCACTAGGCGGAAACCCTTTAGCTGTTCAGATAGCTGCGGATGGCACCTAAATCATTGTTAGCTTTGGGCGAAGGAACAAAAAAGACCGTAGGGAACACAAACCTTGCAGCTTAACGGCTCCATCTCCAACGATCTGCGAGAGGTTTTCTAGATCATCACCGGCTGTGATGCCAAAGCGGCGGACAAAGTCCTTTGCTGCGCCTTCCAGGTCTCCGTAAGTATCGTCTGCGGCAGGAAGGTCGTCTTCAGGTCGGCCAAAGTAGGAGTTGCTAGAGATCGCAGTGGCACCATCGAAGTTTCGCAGGCGCTCCTTGGCCTCCGCCTGCGCGTTGGGGTCGAATTTTTCCCGTCCGAAGAACTCGTCCGACGAGATACCCTTCTGGGTGCCGAATCGATCCTTGTTCTGCTTGATCTCCTCATCTGTCGGAAATCATTAATATTAAGTATAAGTCGGTGAAATGAGCAAGTGTGAGGGATGCCTACCATCGGCAGCCGTTCTAGTCGGGCCAACCGACCCAAAGCCCAGCTTCTTGGGGGCGGCAGGCTTTGCGCTGACAGTTTGACCAAATCCGAGCCGTCCAATGCCCATACCCAGACGCTCAACGTCGTTAGAGTTTCGCTCCTGGGAGCTCTTGGTGGCACCGAAGCCTCCCTTGCTCGGGCTGATCGGTGTCGGGGAGGCAATGGCGGTGGCTCCTGTGTTGGCGGTCTTGTTCTTGGCATCGGCCTCGGCCTTTTCTGCCTCGGGGTCATAACCAAGCTTCTCGATGCGCTCTGCCTCCTCCTTGGCTTTCCTCTCCGCCTCGTCGAAATCGATAATCTCCGCGCCACCAACTTTTTTGGCCCCCAGCTTAGGGGCCTTCTTGGCACCCAGAACGCTGGTCTTCTTCGCAGGACCCGCCGACGTAGCCTTTCGGACAGAAGTGCTGGCCCTGATCGCAGCCGGAGCAGGCGAAGACTCCTTATCGGAAGCCGAAAGCGGGGACTTCGAGCGAGCGCCGTTCGCATTGGCTGCGGCAGCGGTGTTCAAGAACGGGGTGCCGTTTCGGCTGACAACCGGAGGAGTGCCAGTGCGGGAGGGAGGGTTGCTGGGACGCTTGATGGACGGTTTATCCCACGAGGAGAAGAAATCATCCTCGTCAGCGGCAGGGGTGCTGGAGCCATTCGACGAAACGCCTGCGGGGACATCCGTGATCTCCACTTCACCGGGGTACCTGAGGGCAAGAATCTGCGGTTAGTTCCACTAAATGCGACCGAAAGATGATATGAATCACTGACTGCTGAGCATCCTGCGCGGCCCGCCTCTTCAGTTCGTCCTTGTACTTAACGGCAGCATTGCACGTGTACTTGACCTTGGCGTCCTTGCTGGCGAGGGCGGCAGACCCGCCATGCGATTGGAAATATTTAGTAGCAGACTCGTTACCGCCGACTTTCATGAGACGGAGTTGTTCCCATTGCCATTCTGTGAGGTGCAGATTAGCGCCGCAATGGAATCTCGACTGGAGAGGCTCGGGGGGAATAGATCCATACGGTCGAGGTTCGTGGAACGAACAAAGGAAATGTGGACACCCAGGTTACGATGGTTGGACGAGCAGTCCAAGCAGAGATAGATACCGAAAGGTACCGACGACCAGGTAGGATTCTTAGAGCTGCAATCGAAGCATACCTATGCAGCCAAATAATCCGTCAGCATATCGCCGCTCAAATCACTCAGCGGGGAGGGGTTTGTTTTGCGCACCTTGTTGGCGGGTTTGAGTTTGAGTTTCTCAAAGATCTTCTGGGACTCCGCCTTGGAGGCACTCATGGTGACGAGAAGGAGAGAGTAGGGGCCCGAAATAAGGGGGAGAGACCGTCACGCAGACAAGACAGGAAGTCGAGAGAGGGAGGAAGAGGATCCAAAATGCATTCGGGAGAGCGAACGTGGTCGGAATCGCTGTCGAAACCGGGCCGCCGGTTTTGCAACTGATGGCCGTATTTTTCACTTCCGCGCGCAGAGTCGCCCGGGCCGAAGCCCGCCTGAAACAAGATCTAAATTAAGATGCTACAATTAGCCCCGAAACTTTTACATGAAGTAATAAAAGGTAATATCCACCGCCCACAACTCTAAACAACCACACTTTAAACCGGCCAATTTGCCGCTCTCAGCCCGGGCGCAGTAATGCAAATACGGCCCGTGCGGAAACTTTCAGGCGGCGGCTGCACGCCTGAACCGCCAGGCCGCAGTGGGCACGTGACCGCTCTCTCCCCACATCGGGAAATCGGCGGGCGACCTTCTTCCAGGCGTCGCTGCAAATTTACGGGCCTCGCCGGTCATCGCCTGTGCAATCTTTCCATGCTCCCTACGGCTGCGCGACCTACTGCGATTCAACGGGAACCCGGGTGACGCTGCGGCCAGCTGTCGTCATGAATCCGTACCTTCGATCGAGCCCTGTCTTTTCGCGGGCTTCTGCCCTGACCTTGCGACCTGCTGGATTTCCCCGCACGGCGGAGTTGGCTCGCCGTTATGCGACTCAGAGTGATATGGGTCGAGGGGCCCCGGGGACGGCTACTCCGCGAAGAAGGAACGTTACCGTCCTGTCGGATGATGGGCGATACGAGTGGGGAGAGCTAAGCGGTCGGGAAAAGGCCGCTCGGGCAACGCAGCAATCGATCAACTTCGTGGTGGTCCTGGCGGGTGCCGTGTTGACGGTGAGTGGATCTGATCGGGCAAATAACTGGATGGGATTTTGATCCGTTGCTAGGGAGGAGTCTTCTACCTCCTCTATACCGAGGTTTTCTCCCCGAACAGCCGCACGTGGCAGTACGAGAAGGCCGTCGAACGCATCCTTAACGATACGCGCTGTACCGACTTGCTTGGAGATCGCAGGGAGATTAGGGCTTTCGGAGAAAACACCTCGAGCAGATGGGCGCGGAACCGCCCTATTGCGTACGTCTCTCATGTCCTGTGATGTGTCGGCAGCACTGACAGAGTCTTTAGGAGCTCGGTTGAGAAGGATCGTTTAGGTCGTGAGCATTTGAAGATGAACTTCCATGTATGTGACTTGACCCGGTCCCACACAGGCGTGGAGAATTAACAGTGAACAGGTCGAGGGACCACGCAATGCCGGTGTGGTATTTGTGCACATGATCAAGCCTCATGACCAACATGACTGGCAATATCAGCTTCTTGCGTTGGATGTGAATGGTTAGTTCTGCCACTTGTGCCTTCGTTGCCTACATGCAGTATACTAATTCGTTGGGCTTGTAGGTCACTCCCGCATTGTCCTCGAGCAGGCTCCTGAGAAACCAGGAGTTGGCAAAGCACTGAAGCTCCTCGGTATCCAATGGCGTTAAATTCCGCCTTCATATATACATCGCGACAGCTATATCATGCATGACGTACGGTCCGCTATGACTCGGTTCCTTCACCAGAACTGGGATGTCGAACCTGCATACATATTGGCCGACGAGGAAGGATGTCGCCGAGCCTGGCATGTTGCTGCATTCACTGGAGCCAGGAGGCCAAGCTCCTGCCTCGTATAAGTACGGTCTTAAATGGATCCGTGGCTAATATACCCACTTTACCCAACCCATCATTGTATCATAGTGTATTATTCATGAAGTTCACTTATAATTACAAAGCATTCTTGCGATGGAAATTCGCTACCTACATCATGTCATGTCTTAGGCCACAATCAATCGTCTTCATAAACAGTATCAACATTTTATTGAATACAAAAGTATTAACAACAAAGAATTGTCCTTCATAACACATCAAACATATACATTAAACCACAAGAATTTCCCCTATACAATCCGAGGACCCTCCAGAATGGGCTTCGCAGCCTCTGACCTCCACCAGCTCTTGCCCTCCTCGCCAGGGAAGGCAAACTCATCCATACTCTCCGGCTTCATCTCAACGCTGTATCCCGGCTCCAAAGGAGTCACGTAGTATCCATCCCGCACGCTAGAGGGGTGCACGAAGTGCTCGTGCAGGTGGTCGACGTACTCCAGCACACTCTTCTTACCGCTGACCACCACGTAGTCAATGGTGCTCAGGTGTTGCGTGTACTCGGGCAAGCCGACACCACCCGAGTGCGGCACGATGGGGACACCAAACTTGCGCGCCAGGAGCAAGATGGCAAGGACCTCGTTGACACCGCCGACTCGGCAGGCGTCGGCCTGGAGGACGGTCAGGGCTCCCGCCTGCAGGAGCTGCTTGAAGACCACGCGGTTCTGGCACATCTCGCCGGTGGCAACGCCGATGGTACCGTGGGGGGTGTTCTCGAGGGCCTTCCTGATGGCAGCGTGGCCGAGGATGTCGTCGGGGGAGGTGGGCTCTTCGATGAACCAGGGCTTGTATTCGGCGAGCTCTTGCATCCAGGTGATGGCTTCGGGGACGGACCAGACCTATGTTCAGAAACGTACCTTGGTCAGTGGTCTGATGTTCTTGTCTTGATGAAGTGAAAGAGAAGAAAAGGTGAAGGGAGTGAGATGAAGGAACGAGTGCTTACCTGGTTAGCATCCACCATCAGAATGTTACCCTTGTCATATCCGATAGCCTCACGGGCAATGCTCAATCTCTTCTTGTCATCCTCCAGGTTTCCTCCGACCTTCAGCTTGAAGTGCTTGTATCCCTGAGTAACGCTCTCACTCAGAAGAGCCCTCAGCTTGTCCTCTCCATATCCGAGCCAGCCAGCACTGGTGGTGTACGCGGGCACGGCCCGGCTCTGCTCCGCCTCTTTGATACGCTCCTGCTTACCGGACTCGACCTCCTTGAGGAGAGCGACGGCCTCTTCTGGCGTGATAGCATCGGTAATGTACCGGAAGTCAATGCAGCGGACAAACTCCTCGGGGCTCATCTCGGCGACGATGCGCCAGACAGGCTTGCCGAGGGTCTTCGCCCACAGGTCCCAGAGCGCGTTGACGACGGCTCCCAGGGCGAGATGGATCACACCCTTCTCGGGTCCGATCCATCGCAGCTGACTGTCGGAGACAAGGTAGCGCCACGTCTTACCCCAGTCGGCCGTGAGCTCGTCCAGGTCTTTGCCCACCACAAGGGGAGCGAGAAGGGAGATAGCGGAGCAGACGATTTCGTTTCCGCGACCAATAGTGAAGGTCTGCCAGTGGGCACGGTCAGTAACTGGGTAGTCATAGTACACGAGATTAGGGCTCTTTGCACGTACCATTCCATGCCCGATATGAGGGGAGTCCGTGTTGACGAGACAGTAGGCAGCGGAGTAGTCGCCCGCAGCGTTCATGGCATCCGAGCCAGTCTTGTCGAGGGAGGTCTATGTTGCGAATCAGCAACGAATTGACTATCGCAATCGTCCTCGAAATTGATTCTCTTACCGGGAACCTCACGTCCCGCGTGGTAAAACCAGTGATCTTCACCATGGTGTAGAGTATCACGCAATGGAAATGTTTATAGTATAGATTGATGGGGATACTTCAATGTCCCGCTGTTTGATGCGCAAAGAAGACAGCCAGCAGCCACAATGCTTCCACAGAAAACACAGAATCAAGGGATACGAAGAAAAGAAATCAGCCAAATCCTCGCGCGGGAGAAAGACGACAGATATAAGAGCCCCCTCACCCCTCCAAAAAACCCCCGCGGACAGCAATTGTTCCGCCAGCGTGGGGAAGTCTACACTGATTGGTGGAGCAATTATTCCTGGCCGGGGAACCCATTTTCCCACCAATGAGAGGAGGGCATCGGACTGTCGGCCGGCCTCCGCGTTCCTGAGTATTGTGATACGCGACGGTACGCGATCGTACGCCCTCAGCCCTAAGGAAGCCGTCTAAAGAATCGGCCGATACGGTATTACACGGCGAGGACCGGCCGATCTCCGCGAAGTCTAGGTAGGTATACATCTATACGTTCATCGAAGATGCAGGATAGCCTACCTGAAGATGAATGGAAGTGGCAGGCGCCGTAGAGCGTAGAGTGCCGGACGAGAGTCCCAACAAGAGCTACCGCGGACAAGAACAAAAGAGTATCATTTGTATGCGCTCCTCGCTGGACCGGATTTCTTTCCGAGCATCATATCATTCCCATGCAAAGGTAATTCCATTCGCCATAACCATAGCATAAACAAACGGTGTCAGTGTCAAATCTCAAGCCCATCCGATCGATCCGCCATGCATTGCCTAACCAGAGAGACCTCGCTTCTCGCTTTCCGAAAAGAAGATGATCATTCGCCAGAGTTTTCGAACCAAGACCTCTGCCTCTTCGTCGAGTGCCTGTACGAGTCGCGTTAGAACACCACTGCCAGCAACAAGTTCGGGGATGAATCAAGGAACTTACCTCCTCGAGCTGCTCCACTAATTCCTGAGGAGTGCCGTGCTTCCGAATATGCTCCTCCACCACATCCACCAACATCTGCTCCTGAACTCCCAGATATTCCACAATCTTCTTCTCCACGAAGGGCTTGAGTTGTTCGCTGACCACGCTCTCGTCCACGAACTCCCATTTGACGTCCCATTTCCAGAGTCCTTCCTTGTCGGCCGGAATCTCGCCCGCCAGCTGTCGGGCAGCTTGGGCACGTTCTTCTTCGGTAAGTCCGGCCGCCTCGGCAGCGCTGTCGAACTTGATCGGAATGAGAGGACGTCTCGCCGTTGCTTCCGGCTCTTCCTCGTCCTCCAGTAAACCTTCGACTTCGGCGACCGTCCGACGAGAGGTTGCGGCCTGGGCCTTTTGCGCGGCAGCTCCGAGGGAGAGCTTGAAACGCTGTGGCTCTCTCGGGGCCTGAGGGCGAGTCTCGAGCTCCTCTGCCTGACGAGCAAGGAAGTCGTCGGCCATACCGCGTGCTTGCTCCCGTTGCTGGACAGAACGAGCGCGCTCCCGCTCTTCGGCCGCACGATCGGTATCGTCCATGCTGATTTCGCGCGCACGGAAGGTGGCACGGCTGCGTAACCACGCTCCTCGGTCGGCATAGTAGTCATCGACCTTACGGCTAGCCTCGACGTCGTCGTTCCATTCCCCAAGTCGTTGATCGGCCTCTTCTTTCACTTCCTGGAGTTTGGATTCCTCTTCCTTGTCTCTCTTCTTCTCCCGCTCCAAGGCTGCGGTCCTGCTTCGCTCACGGTTGAGCCAGCGGCGCTCCTGGTCAAGGAATTGCTTTTCTTGTTCGGCGTCCTTCTTCTCCTGGCGTCTGCGCTCCAGCTCCTCATCGCTCGCATCGGATTCCTCATCTTCGCGGTCGATATAGACTGCTGGTCCGCCATTCATAGATCCACCATTCACAAATGACACCCCCTTCTGGTAGTCTTTAGGGATTTGAACCCCGAAGCCCTTGGGCCCCGCAGGAGCATTGGGCATGCTACGGTCCCTGGGACCAAGAGGCACGCCGTTTGCGCCAGCAGCAGGCCCACTAGGAGCAGATGGCGGTGGGGAAGCCAGCCGGTTGACGCGGGAGCCTGCATTTCGAGCTCGCTCCATCGATTCGATCTCTTCCTCCCTCTTCAGACGCTCGATGTCCCGGCGGTTGCTTCGCTCACGGAACGCTGCGATTTCTTTCGCAACAGTTTCCCGCATATCCGGGGGGATGTCCGACAATTCGTCTTCGATAGTGATGGGGATGGTCACAACTTCGGCCGAACCGCCCTCCCCTTGTCCTTCACCGTCTTTCATGGTAACATCTCCCTCGCGATCGATTGCCGAGACCTCTTCCTTCTGAGTTGGCGACGTAGGTTTGCACAAGTCAGAAAGAACATCCTTGAGAGTCGCACGCGCCGTGTCAAGTCGCGCCTGGCTCTCCGCAGGGTCCTGGTCGCCTTTGGTGGTTTCGTATTGCTCCAAGTATGTCAAGGAACTTTCGTCAACGACAATCTAAAGAGAATTTCAGTCAGCCTTGATTGTTGCTCTCCCTTCCCCCTTTCCAGCAACCTACCAGTAGTGTGCTTGTCTCCACCTCCTGCTCACCCTCCTCATCTCCCTGGGACGGTGCCTGTCTTTTCAAAGGCACTTGAACGTCCTTTAGTACTTCAACGGCAGTACCTAGACTTTCAGGGTCCTCGTACTCTGCGAAACCGAACTTGCACGGTTTTTCATCCGCGTCCGTAGCGCGGATCCAGCGCCTGAGGTTCCCGGCAGATCGTAGGATTCTCTCCACACCCTCGTCACCGCCGGCGCCTTCCGTGATTCCGCCGACAAAGATCGTCCTCACGATTTCTTCCCGCGTCGGCGGTTGTAGTTGCATCATGGCATCTCGAACATTCTGGCGCTGAGAATCCAGGCTCGCCGAGCCCAGTCCGGCACGTCTCCCGGGAGCATCACGTTCTTTGCTGGTATCTGGGGTGGCGGATTTTGGTGGACCGGATGTCCCAAGGCGAATCACAGGAGCCGAAAAGTTGATATTGGGCATATTGGGAGGGGGTTGGAAATTCGCGGGGAAGCCTCCCGGTCGTCCTGGCTGCTGGGCATTCGCCTGTTGCAAGCCTGGCGGGGGAGCAGTTCCAGGAGCCGCCATACCGGGGGGAGGAGCTGTGGAATTAGTTACGATGATGACGATAACCAGCAGAAGATTGCAGGTAATGGTTGGACCTACCCATGCCTGGGGGTGCTCCTGGATAAGCCCCGAAATCAGGAGGCCTGCCATACAGGCCGGGAGCTTCAAAGGTCAGCATTTGGTTATCTCAATTGACGCACAGGTGCATCCAATCTGGTCTGGGATGCGATAAGGCATACCTTGGTAAGGGTTGTACATTGCGACAAGATTCGCAGCTCCGGAGCCTCGATCGGGGTAGCTGGAGAAAATTGATCGCCTCTTAGAAAACTTCGCGTCTGGAGGCCAAGGAGTCGATTTATCAAGAAAATATAAAACGCGGATTGAGATATTAATGGGATCACCACCAAGAGAAACGAGTCGCGAACTTGGATGGCAAGGAGGGCTGGTTCCGTTGGAGAAAATGCGGCCGGCGGATTTGATGCTCGAGAAAGACCAGTTGGCCCGTGCGTCGCGCTTGGCGCAGGGAATTTCCGCCTTTCCTCTACGGAATACTCAATTTCAATTGCCTTCAAAGATTCTCGTTTTGTTGAACGTCCTCTACAGCAGAATGCAGAATCTTTTACTTGAGTCGGAAGCAGAGTCCGTGAAAATTGCCATTCATTATGGGAGGTACTACTACAGTTGTACGCGGGGATTGCTCATACATGTGCAGTGAACGGTTTGAAACCGCCTCTTCTCTCCAAGTCCTTTCGTTTGGTTCGAGATATCCAGCCCACATTGTGACTATCTTTTATGATCAAAGGCTGTAGATGATACAACTGTCAAGAAACCGCCAGACCGCCTATGAGTCTTCGTCATGGGGCAACGCTAAACTGCATCTCCCAGTCGCCGAATGACATGTCAATGCATGGAGCACAGTCTATTTGAGAAACCTCGAGTACGCCAAGTGGCTGCGAGGCCGTTTACTACCGAAGGTGTAACATCTTCACGCCGAGTGACCAACAACAGATTTCTGCGATTCAAATCTAAACGGCAATCTAGACCGGTGGACTTTTGCAAGGATACTGGAGGCCGAAGCCTGTACATATCCGTCCAGGGAATAGTTAGCGCCGTCCGGTGTAGTTGTCGGATGAACAACCACTCCGTAAGGGGGCCAAGGTGTCTAATCGATCGACGCCTGAGCGAGAAATTCCGATTAGTTATCTGCGTCTGTCGTCGGCAACTTCCAAGCGCAGGCAAAAGACAATTGCATTTAACCGACTGACGGCGGAACTTTATCCCTCGAGGCATCGCCAATTTCACCGGCCACCAATTTCCGAAGTCGCCTGAGGGAATAATTCCTGGCCAGTCATGGGGGGTTGCCGATGAACCCGTTCCTGTCCATCCATAATCTGTAATCCATAATCCAGATTCTAGAATTCTAGAAGCTGTTGATGACAAACAAACGTCATGCAAGTCAGAAGGTCAGATGACCGGATATCCGACGATGGGTCTCCCGGAGGACAGTCTGCCTTTCCGGAGTATGAAGTCCATGAAGAAAAGTACAAAGTAGGTAATGGAAATCAAGTCAAATCAAATCAACTAAAATAAAATAAAATAGAAGAGAATAGAATAAATTACCCTCCGGTCGCACAGCTGCGGCGACGGCGTAAACACGGCAAATACGTGACGAGGGCGTACGGGTAAATTCCACTAAATTCTGCACGGCCAGCGCGGCCCCACCCGGTGCCGTTACGATACGGTACGGACTGCCCCTCCACGGACCCCAACAGGCCGGCGCTTGACGCCATACCTTTCAGGCCTGCCCGCTTTGCCCACCGGCCATCGTCATCTGCGCTCCGTGACTCCCGCTTCGGTTTTTCTCCTTCTTTCTCTCTTGCCTGGTCTCAGTTTGTTTGTATCGGATTCGGTCTGGTTTAAATTCAGGTACGCCCACTCCCCGACTCCTGCTGCGCCCTTTCCCCTCCTCTCTCAACTCCTCTGCCAATATCTGCCCCGCGCTGACACCAACTGTCCCTCCATTTAGAGCTTTTCTTCAGCACAGAAAGCACCAAGAAACAGAGCTTCCTCTACCCAAATCCGTCCACAATGCCTGGATTTTCGCAGGCTACCGAACTCTCCGCCTGGAAGGAGCTCCAGGAGCACCACAACTCCGTCGGACGTAACATTGTCCTGAAGGAGGCCTTCGAGAAGGACCCTGAGCGCTTCCAGAAGTTCAGCCGTACCTTCGCCAACACCGTCGACAACTCGGACATCCTCTTCGATTTCTCCAAGAACTTCCTCACCGAGGAGACCCTCTCTCTTCTGGTCAAGCTGGCCAAGGAGGCCAATGTGGAGCAGCTGCGTGATGCCATGTTCCAGGGTGAGCCCATCAACTTCACCGAGAACCGTGCCGTCTACCACGTTGCTCTCCGCAATGTCTCCAACCAGCCCATGCAGGTCGAGGGCAAGAGCGTCGTCGAGGATGTCAACTCCGTGCTGGAGCACATGAAGGAGTTCTCCGAGCAGGTCCGCAGCGGCGAGTGGAAGGGTTACACCGGCAAGAAGATCAACACCATCATCAACATTGGTATTGGTGGCTCTGACCTGTAAGTCGACCCTTTCCAGGCTTGGTGCTCTCAATTGAACACTAGTATCTCGACATGGAACTTGCTAACAGTCGCAATTAGGGGCCCCGTCATGGTTACCGAGGCCCTGAAGCCCTACGGCCACAAGGACTTGAAGCTGCACTTCGTCTCCAACATCGACGGCACCCACATCGCCGAGGCCCTGAAGGACTCTGACCCCGAGACCACCCTCTTCTTGATTGCCTCCAAGACTTTCACCACGGCGGAAACCACCACCAACGCCAACAGCGCCAAGAAGTGGTTCCTCGAGACTGCTAAGGATGAGTCTCACATTGCCAAGCACTTTGTTGCCCTTTCCACCAACGAGGAGGAGGTCACGAAATTTGGCATTGACAAGCGGAACATGTTCGGTTTCGAATCGTGGGTGGGTGGTCGCTACTCCGTGTGGAGTGCCATCGGTTTGTCCGTTGCTCTCTACATTGGCTTCGACAACTTCCACCAGTTCCTGGCTGGTGCCCATGCCATGGACAAGCACTTCCGCGAGACTCCCTTGGAGCAGAACATCCCCGTCCTCGGTGGTCTGCTGAGCGTGTGGTACAGTGACTTCTTCGGCGCTCAGACTCACCTGGTGTCGCCTTTCGACCAGTACCTGCACCGATTCCCCGCCTACCTGCAGCAACTCTCCATGGAGAGCAACGGCAAGGCCATCACCCGCTCTGGCGAATATGTCAAGTACACCACCGGCCCCATCCTGTTCGGTGAGCCGGCCACCAACGCCCAGCACAGCTTCTACCAGCTGCTCCACCAGGGCACCAAGCTCATCCCCTCGGACTTCCTCATGGCTGCCGAGTCGCACAACCCCGTCGAGGGTGGCAAGCACCAGCGCATGCTTGCCTCTAACTTCCTTGCTCAGTCCGAGGCTCTAATGGTCGGCAAGACCCCCGAGCAGGTGAAGACCGAGGGGGCCCCCGACAACCTGGTGCCCCACAAGACCTTCCTTGGAAACCGTCCCACGACGTCCATCCTGGCTCAGAAGATCACCCCTTCGACGCTCGGAGCTTTGATTGCCTACTACGAGCACCTCACCTTCACCGAGGGTGCCGTCTGGAACATCAACTCTTTCGACCAGTGGGGTGTCGAGTTGGGCAAGGTCCTGGCCAAGAAGATTCAGCAGGAGCTGGAGACTGCTGGCGCTGGCGCCGGTCACGACAGCTCGACCAGCGGCCTGCTCTCTGCCTTCAAGCAGAAGGCCAACCTCTCCTAGTGGGTTGAATATATCAAAATTGCGCTATCTATATGATGAGAACATGAGTGATCACCTTTCTATTAATTTTTGTGAAAATTGAATGCAAATAAGTTTAATGATGCTCATTGTATTTTCCTTTTTTAATTACCGTAGCCTTTAACTAAACCGGTGCCATGGAAGCGGGGACTTCCATCACCATCACACATACCATCCCGCTACAAGGACGACCAGTTTATGTTGACATGACTGGCAATCGTCCATTTTCATCGTACGTTCAATCGCCTTCAAATTCCTACATGTCCTTGCACATTAAACATCCTAAATGAACCCTGTCTTTTCACTTCCAGGAGCAGAAGGTCGCAATGCCACTTTTCCGACACGTTAGGGAAGCTCGTTAAATAGTCGATGAAGTGCTATCCCCGATGGTGCCATCAAACAAGATATGTCGCACATATCCCCTTGACCCTGGAAGAAGCGATAGATCTACAGCGATTTCAGCGTGCATGGGAAGAAACCGTCCACGCTCGCGACATTATTCGGACCCGCCTGGTCCAGAGTGAAGGTCGAAAGCTGGACTTCACGTACAGAAGTAAAAGTTTGAAGGCCCATCTAGACGAACAAGAAGACGCCCACTTTGGTCCAGGGAGCCCGTTGTGCTATGGTGCCATTGTGTCCGGCAAGCAGGCTGACGCCCAATATTTTTTATGACCCTTCATCATTCAATCTACGATTGTTGGTCACTGCCCGTTCTGATGCAAGATATCCAAGTAGCGGTATCAAGAGTCACAGCTTCAGCCAGAGGATTCACCGGCTTCATGGCATACCTGACCCAAGCGGACATGACAGCGTCGAATCCATTTTGGCAAAATGAGTTCGAGGATCTCAGTTGCATCCACATTCCCAGTTTTCCATCTGATAGCTATATTCCCTCCATCACTGAAACTATTGAGCATGTTTTGAATGACGTGCCGGCCCACCAAGCCCGATCAGACCTTGCAACATCGACGGTTCTTCGTTTCGCCTGGGCCAGTGTCATATCAACTTGTTTGGATGCTGAGCATGTTGTTTTTGGCGTTGTTGTGACCAGCCATTGTCTTCCAGTGCCCGGGATTCTGGATATGACGGGCCCTACCATTGCCACGATGCCGTTGCGTGTGCAAAAGAAGGATTCTCAGTTGCCCTAAGCTCAATACAGGCCAAAGGCATATAGATGGTTCCGTTTGGCATTATTATTGGGACATGAGACGCTGCGTCACGTGCCCCGTCTCACCCTGTCCTTGTTCCGCCGAGGGCCTTCTTTTGCGTCCGCCAGGGCTGCCGCTAAACAGCCGTTGCCAAAATGATGAATGCAATAAAACCAACGCTCACAAAAGCCCGTTCTCAAATATCCAAGCTCCTTGGATCGCCATCTCAATTGGCTTCGTTAGAACGGTTGACCCCTTTGAGAGTCACAGAAGAACCGGACTATTACAACTCGGGCGGGTTTCATCCCATTACCTTAGGCGATACATTCAATTCCGATCAGTATACCATCCTGAGGAAGCTCGGGTATGGGCAATACTCTACAGTTTGGTTGGCTAGGGATTCAAGGTCAGTCGTCCATCGTGGTTGTTTATCAAGCTAACGGTTGCTGTAGATATCAAAGATTTGTGGCACTCAAGATCCTGAGGGCGGACTGTTATGGTGGGCCTCATGATATCTTTGAGCGAGAGATTCTTTCGCGAATCTCGGAGGTTTCTGCGAAAAGCACCCATGAAGGCCGCAACTATGTATCAGGTCTTCTCGACCATTTCAAGCACACGGGGCCCAACGGAGATCATGTGTGCTTTGTCTTCGATGTATTAGGGCATCATATGGATTTCCAGGCCGCTAAATACGAAGATGGAAAACTACCCGTGAAGGCTGTCAAAGTAATTGTACGGCAGCTTCTGCTGGGGCTTGACTTTCTTCACAGAGAATGCGGCATTGTTCACACAGGTATGGCATGGGAAATCAGATGAGCAACCCGCCTAGCATTGCAATACTGACCGGTGCATTTCCTCCTTTAGACCTGAAACCAACAAATATACTTCTCGAGTTGGAAAATCAGAAAGATGCTGTTTCTCAATATCTGGCGAAGGTTCCCCGGCGCACGGGAACCAAAGATGGTGGCACAGTGCCTCTGCGTGAGGTTATCACGACACCTCTCATCGGAGAGATGGAAAAACCTCATATCAGAATAATTGATTTTGGCGTGGGTATGTAACCCCCATGCTTGCAGTCGTTCATAAGTTAATTCTCTCTAGCGTCTTGGAGGGAAAACCACCTGTCAGAAATGATCCAGTCCTCGGCTCTGAGGGCCCCGGAGGTGACTATCGGCGCGCCCTGGGATGTTGGGGTTGATATCTGGAGTCTCGGATGCCTTGTAAGTACCACTGAATATCTGTTAAGATTTGGCCTTGTAGTGCGGTTTGTTTTAACATTGTAACCGGACAACTCAAGGTCGTGGAGTTTGCTCAGGGGATAGTTTTGTTCTCCGGCGAGGCATCACGGAACGGGTCTTGGACCGCTGAAGATGATCATCTGGCGAGAATTTCCGAGGTTCTTGGCCCTTTCCCGCTTCAATTCCTAGAAAAGGGCAACCGTACCGCGCATTTCTTCGACAAAAATGGTAAATTCAATTCATGTTGCTGATCCCCCATGGTCATTCTAATGTGCTTTGGCTCCAGGAAACCTTATTCGAATTCCGGATCTCAAACCCACAAGTCTTGAGCGCCTGGTCAATGGCGCAACAAAGCCTTTCCTCAAACCTAGCGACATGCCCCAGGTCGAGGTCCCCATCTTCGTCGATTTCCTAAGAGGCATGCTTGAAATCGACCCAGGGTCTCGAAAGTCGGCGTCAGAGCTTCTCCAACATGAATGGTTGAATCCAAGGAACGGGTGAAGGCAGCCTGGTGGCAAGAGAAGAGCGCCACTAGGCGCTGACTCCGTAGATTATACATCTTTCGACGGAGGATGTGCCAATCGTGATTCTGTTGAGGCGTTCTCATAACTCTTGAAGTTGGTTGGCGGGAAGGCGGAGCATGGGCCACGTGACCTTCCCCCGGAGTGGATGTTTGGTTTGGCTCCACGGAGTCGCAATAAGCATCTCTACTCCACGCCAGAAAGCAGCCGAGTCGCTGGGCCGGTGGAGTGTCTATGACCGTCATGTTTTTCCTTCGGTCAGGGTTCTATGGCTCAATTGCCTGTCTCGCCTTGCAGGTTTCGGCCGCGGGGAATGACCGGCCAAGTACCAGGGCTGGGTACGGTTATGGCCAGCCTATGCCAGTGACCTGTCTAAACCGGACAATGTGAGTTTTTGCCATTGTGCATGCCCCAATTGAGGGCCTGACATGACCTCTCAATTCCTCTATAACCTTCTTGGGTGCTGATACTAACGGTTCTCTTCTCAAGTGACTCCGGCGAACATGTAATCCCCCCCTGACGCCTACCTGTCGCCTTCTCCTTACTGTCCAATCTCCAATCTCCCCGAAATGAAGTCGACCAACACATCACACACACATAACAGCAAGCTAACCTCCCACTCAGATCACCGATGATCTTGGCAAGCTCCAATACATTCCCTTCCCCGTCTGCAATGAGACCTCCCTCCCTCTTGCGCTGCGCTACGGCGTCCCCGAGACGGTCAATTGCACCGTCAACTCCCTCCCCGATGAACTCTACCACCTCCTCGAATACTACGTGCACTCCGACGTGCCCATGACCTGTCGCATCCCCACGGGCCCCCTCTCACCCGCCGCAGCCTCCTACGCCAGCACCGAAGACGGTGAGACCGTCGGCACCGAACTGGGCTCCCTGGCCGAGGACGGGCCCGCCTATACGCCCATCACGTTCGCGCTCCAGGGCACCCTGCAGCGCAGCCACCTCCACATCTGGACGGACATGAACGTGCTTCTGCATAACATCGCGTCGACAGACAGACCGAAGAATAAGAAGAAGAAGAAGGCCGCGCAGCAGAGTCCTGGGTACGCCGTCGCCGGAACGGCATACTCGGTTCCCGAGTTCGACGTGGCGCTGCTGAAAGGCGAGAAGACCACCGACGACGACAGCAGCGACGACGATCAGACCCAGGCGGCGGCTGTGGCGGAGAATGCTCGCGAGCCCTGGACGGCGGGCCACGGCACCAAGGTTATTCGCGGCGAGCCGCTCACCTTCACGTTCCATGTGAACTGGATCGAAGGCGGCGCGGGCATCGGGTGGCCGTCTCGAGGTACGGCCTCATCGGCAGGCGAGTCCGGTGCGTCGGGATTCTTCTCGAAGTTGTTCTTCTTCGTGTTGGCTGCGTCGGTGGGCGCGCTGGTGGCGCTGTATTGGGAGCGCAACGGAGCTCGGAGACGAGCTGGGTGGCGAGGAGATGGCATCCTGGGCGTCCCCTCGCGAGGAAAGGGGTCCATCGGGATCACTTACGGCAACGGGGGCAAGATGAATGGATATGGAGGGTACGCCTCCGCTAGTAGCTCGTCCACGTCTGGGGGTGGAGGCTACGGAGGGTTCATGGCCGGGAAAAGGGATTAAGAAATGACGATCGGGGACGGCTTGGCTATTGTTGGACTTGTATATGGCATGGCATGTATAAAGCACGATTTTTCTTAACTCTCTGGTTGGACTGCAGGTATATGAAAGGTATGGATAGATGCTCAGATTTTGCTATTTTTTTTCTCATCTAGCCAAACATGATGATTTAACTCCCGTGTTAGTATAACAATCAAAACATAAGATAATAATTGTACAAGACAACCCTCCTTCTCCACACGCAAGCAAGCATGCTCTATCCCATCATACAGTTTTCCCCTTCATCTCAGTGTCCGTCCCAAAAAAAAAAGTAAATACCAATCTATACACAATCATTCATCCCCAATCCCACTCCCTCGATCAACGACACGAAAAACCAACTGCCGATTGACAACCAATCTACCACCCCTGAGCCCGCATGCGATTGATCCGATCAACCGTATGGTTGAACGAGTACTTGAATAACCGCCTCCACCGGACAATGCGCTTGTTCTTCTTCATCTGACCCCGACGAACATGGAACCTCTGCGCCTGCGCGTCCTGCCGCACCCTGTTCTGCTGGCACGCTCTATGCAGAATCCGCAGCGACGCGGTCAGATCCAGCCCCCTCTCGGGCTCCACGGGCACCTGACGACCCAGCGAGGGCCCCAGCTTCATCGAGACCTTGCGCAGGGGGCGGTCGGGGCCCGCGCCGGTCGGCGAGATCGCGGCGCCCACGGCGCTGGTGACGGAGATGCCATCGGCGCCGGGCCGCTGGGGGGAGGAGGGGGAGGAGGAGGAGTAGGGGCTCTGGGAGTTGGGCGCCTGGCTGTCGAGGTTGAGCTTGTCGAGGATTTGGTCGAAGTCGGAGGGTTGGCTGGCCCGGGGGCCGCGAGGGGCGTTGGTGGGAGGGGCATTGTCGGAGAAGGAGAAGCGCAGGGAGCGGTGGCCGGCGAAAAATTGGCTCCTGAGGATGGACGAGGGCTGCTGCGCGGTGTAGAGAGATGTCGGCCTCGCGCGGAGGCTGCGGGTTAGGGATCGCATCTCCATGGTGTTTTTTTTGGTTTGGTCAGGAACCGGGTCCCCTGGTGGATTTGAGAGATGGGTGGGTGATTCCTGTGATTGTCCGAGTCCAGTTCTCTCCGATAGCTGACTGGCCGTGGGAGATCGGAAAGTGGCGAGGATTGAAGAAGCTCCGGTGGTCTGGAGGTGCAAAGAACTGCCGACGTCTCAAATCCGCTCGGTTTTCTGCGGGCACGTGACCGCCTCCATGCAACTTTCGCTCGACGTCGCCGACGACCGATTGGATTCGAGCTTGCGAGGACTAGCATACTGGTTTTGTCACAGACGATTTGAATCAGTGTTCATCATTCCCGATCGACCACGACAACCAACTCGCCCGCCATGTCGTCCATCTCCATCGCTACTCTTCCCCGCATGAGCCGGGACGCTCTTTCGGCGCTTCTACTCTCCGCCAGTTCGCCCAGTAAGCTGGCCATTATCGACGTGCGAGACTCAGGTACGGACTGTCTAGCTTGGAAATGGAATTGGAATTTGCAATCTGACTCATTGCAGACCACGTCGGTGGCCACATCTACTCCTCCACCTGGGTCCCCAGCTCCTCGCTCGACCACCGCATGCCCGAACTCGTCCGCACGCTAGCGGACAAGGAGAAGGTCGTCTTCCACTGCGCTCTCAGTCAGCAGCGTGGTCCGTCTGCTGCTTTACGATATGCCCGGGAGCGAGAGAGCGCGCTCGGCGTGGAGGAGAGCAAGAAGCAGGATGTGTTCGTTCTCGAGGGAGGCTTCGTCCAGTGGCAAGAGAAGTATGGGAAGGATACGAGATTGACGGAGGCTTATGCGGAGGATATCTGGCAGGAGTATTGAGTTGTTCTGTTTATAACCGGCTCTCGGTTTAGGCTCGGTTTGGTCTTTTTCTTGATGATGAAATGCTTGAAATGTTGGGCGATACCCGTGGGACTGGATTCCTTGATTGATTGACGAACAGGATAGAAGGTTAGAATTGATTCTTCGTTCATGATAGTTTTATATATACACATATTGTTACATTGGTTTATGGCAGCGATGTCTAGATTCCTCCGCCAAATCCGACGGGGCGACGCTTTCCACTGTTCTCCGGAATAATGGACATGACCTTGTAGATCTTGCCCATGCCGCCATCACTCTTTTCGACCAGTCTCTTCCAGCTGCTTTCCAGCGTTTTGCGCTTGTCCTCATCCTTGATACCCTTGAGCAATTGCTGCATACGCTCAGCGATACCCATGCTCTGCAGGAAGTCGCCCTGCTCCATGGGACCGTGGACTTCCACACCCTCGCTGGCTTCGATAGCGGCCTCCGCCAGCGAAGTAAAATCGACGTCGACACTCACATCGACCTGTCCGGGCGACGAAAGCGGAGGCACATTCTGGTGTTTCTGAATGCCGCGCAGGGAGTTGATGGGAATCGAGGACATGGTTCCGTAGTCCATAATCAAAGCCGCGCCGGAGGGGACCCGCTTCGCCGCTGCTGGAGGAGCGGAGGAGCCCTCGCGAGCAGCGGTCCGAGGAGGTTGCGACGAGCCACCGATTCTTCGTGCAAAGTCCGATGCATAGATGCGACTTTCCGGGCTGATTTCAATGGTGGACCCGGGCTGGGACTTGAGCGCCCGGTACCGCTGGGAAATCTCTGGAATAACAAGGGACGACGGCGTTGAGGCTTTCGCTAACGTCAGAGAGAACTCCGGCTCGCCTGCCTGGTTTTCGTCCACCGCTTTGGGGTTCAATGTGACCATCAGCTCTCGCCACTGAGGGGTGTTGGCGGGCTTCTGCGGTTCGTTCAGCTTGATGGGGCCAGTAGGCGTCATGATTTCCTTCTCCTGGGGTGTATTTTCCGGAGAAGGGGGAACGGATTCGAAGGCGTGCATTGGAAGGGCATCGAAGAATTCATGCGCAAAGATGAACGGCGTTTTATTCTCATCTGTGGGAACGATCTTAGCAAGTGACCTTGCAGGTTTCCAACATACCGGTAACACTTACCGTGAGGCAATAGCCTGATGTCTTCCACCCAGATCACCGGAACGTCGAAATATTTGCTGGTGCTTTTGTGGCCAATGTCGGTTTCCACCATGGCTGCATCACCGCAAAGGCGCTGTTTCTGGACCTCTCGAAGCGTAGGACTAGCTTCCACCAGATAAATTGCTTCAATGCTCGACGTGAACGTCTTGAAATTCCTGAGTGCCTATCCATAAAAACCGTCAGTATCTGCCACAAAGATCCGGCCAGGTGAGCAATTGACGCACACGAAGCATATCATCCATCAACGTCCCCTTGCCCGGACCGACTTCCATCAATTGAACCCCACTGCGCGTCCGGCCCTGCGCAATCCATTCTGCTATCGTCCATACGCCAACCAGCTCTCCAAAAACCTGGGATATCTCTGGCGATGTGACAAAGTCACCTTTCTTTCCGAAAACTTCTCCGTCGCCTTCGGGTCGAGTGGTGTAATAGCCGCCTTCGGGGGAGGTGAGGACTTGACGCATGAACGCCGCAATGGGAATTGGTCCGGTTACCTGCGAGAAGATATCGGTTAGCAGTCTGACCTGCTAGTTAACTGGGGGTTGTAGATAGGTACTTTGATGGCATTGGCTAGAGTTCGAGCCAGTGGCGTAGACCATTCTCTAGTATCAAATGTCGATGAGCATCGTCGCGATCCAAAAACCAGCGTCCGGTTAGGGTATCGCCGGAGGACCTGGGTAAGGGCACGCCTGCTCCCAAGATTCATGTTTGCAGATGACGGAGCTCGACCAGACCGAGGGAATGAATGGACAGTCAGAGACGGGGATTCTCCAATTCTTCTCCGCAGTCCCGCGACACGTGATTGCCGTTATCATATCAACCGGCGGTGCTTTTCTACTTCGTTTACATTTACTCTGCACGGCTTCGATTCTATGCAAACCCCCAAGAAAATGTCGGCTAATATTCATACAGGTCATCACTTTCGACACAAGTACACGCAAAGATCCAATGGCCGAAGCCTTCAAATCGTAGACAAAAAGGCGGACGCGCCAATATGCCGCTTTTGGTTTGCTCTTTCTTTCCTAGTCCTCATTTTTGGTAGGCATCGATAACCAAGAGCTTGTTCCAAATTAACTGCCAGTAGCCAACTCCTATCGGTTCCGATTTCCTCGGCTTCTCGAGCTTTGAGGAGCATCAACCATCATTTGATCACTGTAGAGACCCTGATCGTTGGCGTCTTGGTTCGTGTTCCTGCCGCCTCTTCCTTGGTTTCGGCCTCTGAGGTTTCGTCTATTATTGCGACCGGCGCCCCGAGTATCTTCTCGAGCGAAGAGGTCCCCATTCTGCTCACCGAACCCATAATTTCCGTTCTGAACTGTAGGCTCGGCTCCGCGATGCAAGCGGCGCTCACGGTCTGCTTGCTCTCGAAGATCGTTAAAGGAGGGTTCGGAGTAGTGGGATCCCGAGCCAGTCGACCGGCTGAAGAGGTCGCGCTTCGCCTTGGAACCACCCGTTGGCTTCATTCGCATGGAAAGAATCAGGCCATCCGCCTTCGCAAAAGTTAGCTTTAACCTAGGTGGAACAATCATTGTCAAAATCTTACCCTCTGGTTGTGAAGGTTCGCAATTGCGTTATCCGCCGCCCATTTTTCGGCGAACGTGATCTCCGCGGTCACGGTAGGCTCATGCGATGTCACCCAGCATTTCAGGATCTGCCCCGACATAGGCTCGATTGTAGACTGGATATCCGCGGCGGTGGTACCGGGCGCAAAGTTGCTTCCGATGACAACGAATGGCCCCGAAGCTCCCTTGATCGAAATCCCAACGGGTCCCTCCCGAATTGAGGCTTGTCCGCTGGCCGGGTTGAGAGCTGAAATCAGGCGATCTTCATGGGGGCGCCGTTTTTGATTCGATGCACCTCCTCGAGCGGGCGCCGACGGGACTCGTTTCGCGTTCTTGGGCTTGACGTTGGGTGCAGGTGCCGAGCGCTAAAAGGTCGACGAAAATGACCGCAAGTCAGTCCGCTGGAAAGGGAAATCGTTCGGAAAGCAAGGTGTTCTCCAAAGTTACCTTAGCCACGCCGATTCGACTCGCTAGGCTCCCTGATGTCGCATTCTGCGCTTTGTTGCCAGAGCCCGAGCCAGGTGCGCTCGCCCTTCGATTCTTGCCGAGGATTCGGTTTGCAAGTTCTTCGTTCTTCTTCTTCTGTCGGTCTAAATTTCATCCGATGCAATTTAGCGAATTGTCTCGACGATGGCAGGTTGGGATGTCTGCGGGACCCCTACCAGCGTTGATAATCTGGTCAAAAGAGACAGCTTCCTGGCCGCGGGCCATGACGGAAATTAGGGAGCTCCGGCGGAGTTGACTTAAATAGAGAAGGACGACAAGAGAATAATAAGATCCCACCGAGAGAATGACCGAGTTCGTGGATAAAGGACAGGAGGAAAATTGAGGGATAGGTGTGGTCAGCAAGAAGGGAGTGAAAGTGAGTGAGAGGAGAGAGAGAGGCTTGGGGTAAGTTTGGAGGTTCCATTATTTATGCCGGACGCTGCGCAACACCAAATTTGACCCGCGCATCCCCCTCGCCATGTCCGACGTACGCTGCTGTGCATGCTGCAATGTCTCTCTGCCTTGTAATCAACTCGGCTTCAGACACTTTGGGTTTAATATCTTTCCACCCGACCGATTTTCCCTCCTGGAACTTCCGGGGCAGGAACGATGCGCAGGGCGAAGATGGACTGGAAGCTGGGGAACCAGCCTCTCCTAGCTGCCTTCGTGCTCTGTTTTTGGATTCTTTTCTGTCCGACATTGTGAAATCCTTTAGTCCAACGTTCATCTCGCTCTTTCAACGGATTGTGAGCTGTGCGATTTGTTTGTCTGTGATTCATCTCTTACAGCCCTAACCCAATACCGTCGTCTTCTTCAGTGCTTTCGCAAGTCTTCGATCTTGCCTCGCTGGTACCGACTGTCTCTCCTCGAAGTCGCTTCATGGTGAACAACGTCCTCTGATACGACATGGCCTCGGACAATCAAAGCAGCGACTTTGGTAGACGCTACCTGACGCTGCCTTCATCCGTTGTGGTTCGCCCGTCGCCAGCAAGAAGAGTCAGGTAGGACTAATATAGCTCGCCATGCTTGGAATTGAGTGTTGATTGCTGAACTTAGGGCTACCGTTCCTTCCAACTCTCCGCAGATATGCGAGCGAAGTGTTTATCCGGTCTTTAACCCGTTGGACCCTCGGCACAATCCTATGGCCCCTGCGTCGTCGTGGTTTGACGACAGTTACTTTCCTCCAGAAGAGCCTAGTAACCTAGGCTCTGAGGGTTGGATGCAAAGCTTTTCTAAGAGATCTATACGGAAAGCACGCTCCGGGCTTCTAGCTCTCAGATCAGGGATGCAGAAACGTCCTCTAGTGGATGGCTCCCGTCACGATGGCGAAACGCTGAGGTCTTGTCCTTGGCCGGAAGAATATTCTGACCAGAAAGAGAATATATTCCCATCCTCGGTATCCGAAGCAAGTACAGAAGAAGATGTCGAATTCGGGTCTCACTTGCATCGAACCAAATGCAAATCTTCTCCCTTGGCCCATGACCAGGATAGTCCCGTACCCATGTCGCGATTCTCATCGGCATTGGCTGATCTCTCGCCTTTCACGAGAAGAAGTGAAGAATCATCAAATCCCCTTACTCCAGCTCTCACAGATTTTGTACTCAATTCTCGCGTGCATGAATCGGCCAGTGAGAATGCAGAAAAATCAGCAGTGAACGCGTCCAGCGGCGTCGACGGGTCGGAGATCGGACGGGTTGGTAAAACCATGGCCTCTTCACGCTGCGTGGCACATCCCTCGCTTGACAGTAACTCGCCAGATTCAAGCAATCACTCGGTCCGAACTAGTGAAGCCGAAAAAGGCATCGCCGATGAGGATATTGTGGTACCTCCACGCGCTCATGAGCTAAATTTCGTCGAGTTGAGTGACATCGATCTTATGATGGACACTCTCGGGGCCTTGGATCGTCTCAACATTCATGAAAGCCCTGATATGAGCCTTGCGGGTCCGGGGTCCAATGAATCAAGTCCAGGTTCCCCCAAACGGACAAGCACAGGGTTTCTATACCCATCTCGCTCGTCTAGCACCGAGAGAGAGTCGAGTCGGAGCAATGGAGAGGTCCAGTCCAATGTGTGTTACCTGATGATGTTAACTGAGCAATGCTAACTGCAGATAGGGATCTTGCAATATCAGGATCCAAGTGCAAAGTGGTGATTGGAGTCGCAGTCTGTCGCCTGTTCCCGAAAGCAGCGATTTGGTGGACTCCAACGATTTCTTCGGCGATCAGGCGGCGTGGTCAAATCGGCCAAGTGAAGAGGGGACAACCACCGACATCACTTCTGTTTCCAACGTTCTATGGTCGCCTGCTGAAAACGAGGACCTACCATCCCTGGTAACAATGGGAGACGAATTTTTCCTCGTCGATGGCAAGACGAGCGGGTTCCACCCGGATCGGGGCGATAACCCTACGAAAGCCGAGCGAAGGCTCGTTAGCAACGACAGCCTGTACAGTGATCCTAGTTTCGAGCGCAATCCATCGGTTCGAACGCAAGACATTCCTGAAGTCATCGGGCCAGGAAGTCCAATACGCATGCCGCTGTCAGGGCCACGCCGAAGAGGCCGCGACGCAAGTGATTCTACGGACGAATATCTGGTTACTTATCCCCTGTTTTTAAGACGATATCTCTCCTGAGCTCCTTAACACCCAAGGAGCTATCTACCTACCGAGTTGACCTTGTTCACTCGTTTCCGTACCTGGTCTGTGACAACAAATGACGCTTAAAGGTCTTCGACGCATAAAGTCACAATGCTACATTGTTAGGAGTCTGTAAGGCTATATTATAGCACGCGGTTGGTCCCAGGGTCTTTTGGCATCTTAGTAGGATAGGACAGTCTTTGCGGAGGTTGCTGCTTCTAAGGATTATTCCTTGAATATATGGCTGTTGGCGCGTATTGTTATATTGATAGCAGTTCATACATGCACCTAGTAATATACTTTTCCGGGCTGGGCTTGTTTCCCGGATTTCTCTGGTCTAATTGAAGCCGCATTCCGTCGATAAAATCATTAGTCCATTGATCTATATTAATGTACAACCCCCAGAAATACTCTCCAGCGTCTATATTGAGTAGCATCAAATCGGGTAGAATGGTTCGAAAATGCAAATTCTCCAAGTATTTCGTTGCTTTAGTATTTTGCAACACAAACTAGGGACATCCTTGCAGACCAAAATGGTGTTTTGGCCGGGACCGAGTTGCGTCTGTATGTGCGTTTGTCACGTCAAACATCAGTTTCAATGGCACCGATTGCACTTAGCCCAGCCGGAGGGTGAAACCTGCTCCCGTCTCCCCCGTGTCGCCACCAGCCTGGCCACCACCAAAGACACTCGCAAAGTCCAGCTTCGGAGCGTCCTGGCCGCGCTTAGGCGCCTCGGGGGTCTCGCGGCGCCTCCGCTTCTCCATCCCCGCCTTGGATGGAAACGTGGGGAACATTTCCTTAGGCTTAGGGCGGGGATCTTCGCGGAAGTACTGGTGAGACAGACATTCTTGGGTGGTTGGGCGTATGCTGGGGTTCAGCGCCAATAGTGAAGAGAGAAGGTGAAGACCGGCGTTCGTCAGGAAGGGAAATTTCGATCGAGGCAGCAAGGGAAGACTCCCTGATGAATCGGATGTCGGTGGAAGACGGAGAGATTTCGCATTTGGGAGGGATCTAAATCCAGGCCAGGATTGGGCTGTAGGAGGGCCGGTGAGAGCGAAAATCTAGATGGAGGTGTTAACTCTGCCGGTACAAAGATGCTCAGCCAGGAAATCACATACTTTGGAAACTTGGTCGACTTCATTCTTGCCCTGCAGCAATGGCTCCTTGGTTAGAAGCTCGCCGAATATACACCCGATACTCCACATATCAATCTCCGTGCCGTACTTCTCAGCGCCGAGAAGCAGCTCTGGCGACCGGTACCACAGCGTCACGACCAGCTGGGTCAGCTTCGGAGGCGGGTCTCCGTAGTATCGTGCCATACCGAAGTCGGCGATTTTGAGCTCGCCACGGTTATTTATGAGGAGGTTCGAGGTCTTGAGATCGCGGTGCATGATCCATTGCGAGTGGAGGAAGCCCAGGCCGGAGAGAACTTGGAGCATGAGGGTTTTGGTTTCGGAGGGGAGGAATGGCTCGCGCATGTCATCAAGGAGGGTTTTAAGGTCATGCTCGGAGAAATCCATCACTAGGAAAACGCTGTTGTGGATGTTCGTTAGCTGGTGTTCAAATTTTTTATCTCCGGGCGCATTCATGACGATCAAGGGAGCTCGTACTCATCCATTTTATTCCCCATGACAATCTCTCGGAGATAAACAACATTCTTATGGCGCGCTTCCAATAGAGTCTGGATCTCTCGAAGGCCAGTCACAGGGAACCCGTCCGGCGAGTTCTCCATCTTGAGTTTCTTCAGAGCCACGACCTCGCCGGTTACGATGTCCTTCGCTCGGCTGACCCATCCATACGAGCCTTCTTCGATGTGATTCAAGCGTTCGAAATTGTCCACATGGCGACAGGGACCCCATCCTTGCCCCGGAAAGCGCAGCAGCTTCGATTTCACCCGGGATGCTTGCTGTTTCTCATTTCCTGGATCGGCGGACTCGGGCAGCTCCTGGTCCTCCGCGGGCTCATTGGATAGTCGTCGGCGTTTCTTGGGAGGCGCGTCGGTATCACCATTGGTTTCGGAGGGAGGTTGAGGTTGAGATTGTCGTTGCTCGAGCTGGCGTTGTTTCTCGGCTTTGGCGCGTCGCTTCTCTTCCTTTTCCCGCTTGCGTTGGGCGACGATGGCTTCGGTCTCGGGGTCGTCGTCGGCCCACCGGGACTTGGAGGACATAATTAACCGGGTACGAGCGAGAAAGCGAGCGAGCGAATTCGAAAGGCTAGAATTCGAGGAATTGGGATGGGTCGTATGACGTGCTGGATTAATAAGGGAGAGATGGATGAAGGTGAAGGGCCGAGAAGGGCGATAATTGGATGACGCCGTTTGATTTGGCGGCGGATTTCAAAGCATCCCCGCCTTCTTCCGTCGGCCTTTTTGCCCTCCCCTTTGCTCTCGTGCCGCCACGCTCTTTTGGTTTTACTTGGACTCTCTTGTGTCTGTATTACTTTCCCTACCGTGATTTCTTGCTGTCCGATCCGTCATGATTGAACCCTTCCAGGTTGGTAGGCCCGTGGATGGCGCTGTCGGCGCATAGTCTTCCACCTACTCGAACTGACGCATCCGCACAGACAACCTTCGCGGTCCCGATGACCTGCGATGGCTGCGTCAAGGATATCTCCTCGTCCCTGAAAAAGGTCGAAGGTACGGCACGCCATCCTGCTGGGTCGGAAATTGCATCGGGAGGATCAGAGCATTGATCAGCCCACTAGGAGTCAACAAAGTCGAAGCGGATCTCAAGGGTCAGCTCGTATTCATCGAAGGCACCGCGGCGCCGAGCTCCATCGTCACCGCCATCCAGGCTACGGGTCGAGATGCGATTCTACGGGGCAGTGGAACATCCAATAGTACGTGTGAAATCCGGAATCATGGTCTACTCGAGCCGCCGCCCAGGCTAACTCGCGCGATGATACGTCCGTAGGCTCCGCCGTGTGCATCCTCGAAACCCATTCGACCACGGTCTCCAATAAGATCCGCGGACTGGCGCGCATGGTGCAAGTGTCTCCGAGCATGACTCTGGTGGATCTGACCATCAACGGACTGGCGCCGGGACAGTACTGGGCCACCGTGCGACAGGCGGGGGACATCTCCCAGGGCGCGACCTCCACGGGCGGGATCTGGGAGGCGCTGAAGTCGACGGTGCTGGGGACGGAGACGACGGCGGTCAAGGAGCCTCGCGGGGTGTTTGGGCGAGTGGATGTGGACGCCCAGGGACGCGGAAACGTGTTTCTGGACCGACCGGTGGCCATCTGGGAGATGATTGGGCGCAGTATGGTGGTGTCGAAGTCGAAGGATGGGCCATTCCGCAAGGACGACGCGGATACGCTGGTTGGAGTGATCGCTCGCAGTGCGGGCGTGTGGGACAATGATAAGATGGTGTGCTCCTGCTCGGGCAAGAATGTGTGGCAGGAGCGCCAGGAACAGGTGGCCCAGGGAATGGCGTAAGACCCTCAGTCCCTCAGTCCCTCTTGACGTTAGTCGTTCCTCTTTCCCTTCGAATGAATGAATGAATGTATGTGATATCCCACGAGGAAGTGCCGGACGGTGGAGCCAGGAACTTCACCTGACCATTGGACGTATGCAGGCGGGCCACGATAAAAATACTCGCGCGACGATCATTGGGCAGTGGCACGCAGGATTTGCAGCAGGCGAGAGACTACCGAGTGAGCTTGGACATCGAGCGATGCTGCAAGCGCCGTGGCGGGGACGGCGAAGTTTAATGTGCTCCGGAGTATACGATGTCTGTACGGAGTGTGTGTAGCAGTTGACAGTGATGGTCATAGTCCAGTCATTCCGTGGGTAGTCGTAGGCAGAGTCATAATCATGGTGATAGTCAGTCATAGTCGAAGTCGAAGTCGAAGTCCGTACGTGAGAATCCGCGGCAAACAGCAAAATGACTGCCTGAGGTTGGCGATGTGACTCCCCCTGCAGCGGCCAATCAGCCGGCGGCTTCCCCTCTCGCGGGTTATTTTTATCCTCGACTTTCTTCCTCTCGCGCTGTTCCTTGCTGCTGCATCTCTGCACGCTAGCTGTCTTGGTAGCCTGCTTCCCTGTCCTCCTTTTTCTCGGTCCCTCGCAATCAATTCCATCTCTGCGGTCATTTCTGTCCCCTATCCACCACTGTCGCCGCCGGTATACCAGATATAGATCCCCGGCGTCGTGTTGCCATCCCACCGGGCATTGAGAGTTCAATCCCCATCCACCAACGGTCGTACCCAGAGCGAGAGCCACTCCTTCTGCCAGCGGGGTCAAATCATCAAATTCCCCTCCTCAATCGACCGCGCTGGGCCGGACGGTGGGATGCTGATCGGACCACGCCATTATCGGTCTACTATCTGCTTGTCATAACCACTAGCGTCCCATTCCTGGAGAATTGACTCCCCCGGTGATCTAAATATATCCCCAATCTATCTCGATTCTCTCCACCCAACTCCCTCATTCCCGGTCTGCCATTGCGCTTGGTCCGTCGCAAAGTGGCACTTCCCCCGTTCCCCGTTCTGTGATTGACTATCACCTTTCTGCTCAAGCTGACAATCCCATCGTGACCGGCCCCCTTTTTTCTTCCCACTGGGGTCTCTGTCGTTCCCCTCCCTCCGCAGCTGAGAACCCGGTTTCTTGGCCTGGTCAATTAATATCCCTGTTCTCTACGTGGTCGGAGACTAAACGGTCCATTTCTTGGCTGCCGGAGCAAATATATTTATTGACTCGGGCGGGCATCTCGTGTGGTCTTGTCGGGCTTCTCCCTCGTCCAGCGGAGCGGTGGCTGTGCCTCTCGGGTGTCTCTATAGAATCGTCAGAAACCACACCGTCGGGCTGACGAAACGCTAGACCATCCCTCCCGTGAGCTCCTCCAACTACACCGGTGGAGCGGAGGCACGGACTTCCCGAGAACAATGTCCCTAAAACAGGTATGGCAAAGACATGGGCCCCGCCCCCGAGAAGACGCACTTGGGTTAATCAGGGTGGTAGGAAATCGAAACGTGGGTGCTGGCCCTCGAACATTATGACAGCCAGGAGTTTGACGATGCCCTCCGTGTCTTCACTGCCATTGCCGATACGTCCAAGATTTGTTTCAACTGTGGTGTGATTTATGCCACCCTGGGCGAACATGAAAAAGCGGTATGTACGTTGGAGTAGGACATGTACCACCCAGATGCTGACAAAACGTAGGTCGAGTGTTACCAACGTGCCGTCAGTCTGGACCAGTATCTCGCCATTGCCTACTTTCAGGAGGGAGTGTCCAACTTTTTGCTGGGCGACTTTGAGGAAGCGCTAGCCAATTTCAACGACACTCTACTCTACCTGCGTGGCAACACGTCCATCGACTACGAGCAGCTGGGCCTGAAATTCAGGCTCTTCTCGTGCGAGGTCCTCTTCAACCGCGGTCTGTGCTACATTTATCTGCGACAGATGGCACCTGGAATGCAGGATCTCGAGTATGCAGCGAAGGAGAAGGTTACGCCGGATCACGGAGTCATCGACGATGCGATTCGAGAACGAGCCGAGGTATGTCAAATCATCTTTTCAGCCAGACAGAAAGGATAACCCCTGAGGACTAAACTTCCGCTAGGGTTACACGGTGTTCTCGATCCCGGTCGGGGTTGTCTATCGGCCCAACGAGGCAAAAGTCAAGAATCTCAAGACCAAGGACTACCTAGGCAAAGCAAGGCTGATCGCTGCTTCGGACCGGAGCAGTACACCCACCGGTCATAAACGAACCCAGTCAGCGTTAGAACGGTTAGATGACCGGGGAGGTGAGGTTCCCCCACACATCGCAGCCCAGCTGGTGCAAAAGGCGGCCTCGGGTCGGAGCCGTCAGCACTCCGAGCCACCACTCAATCGAAACCTATTCCCCCCTACGCCGCCTCCAGACCCGGACAAAGCAAGTGCTGGCAGCTCCGCTGCTAGTCTGGGGCTGAACAGTCGGCCAGGGTCTGTTCGTGCAGCGCGACCGCCGCGGCTCGACCTCGATCGGCCGGGGGCTCATATCACCGGTCGAAATGGTACGGACCCGGCGCCGTCGGAAAAACCTCGAATTGGAACCACTCGGACGGCCTCTGAACCGCGAGGCCCGTCTTCTCGTCCCTACTCGCGAGGCTTTCCCAGCGGTCCCGAGCCGACGCGGGGCCGGCAAATCGGCCATCGGCGGGGGATCAGCGAGACGAGTTTCTCGGCAGGAGCGCCTCTCATGCACACGGAAGAGGGATATAGCTCCTATCCTCGAGCGCCAGCCAATGGGGGGCGACGTGGGGTTCCTCGGCATCAAGAGCGGTTTATCGACGAGGAAGAGGAGTACGCCAGCGAGGCTTGCGAGGAGGACGGGGCGGCAGATGATGACTTTGAGCTAGTTGGCACGCGGTCACGGCCTCGATCCCCGGCTCGAAACTCGAGGCGTACCGGCTCCCGCCGGCCGGAAGTGCGCAAATTCCGGGTCAAGGTGCACGCGCATGAAGATACCCGGTATATCATGATCGGGCCCGCGGTAGAGTTCGGCGAGTTTGAGAGAAAGATCCGTGAAAAATTTGGGTTCAATTCTCTGTTGAAGATCAAGATGCAGGACGAAGGGGACATGATCACCATGGTGGACCAGGAAGACCTGGATCTGCTGGTGATCTCTGCGCGGGAGACCGCCCGACGAGAGGGCAGTGAGATGGGGAAAATGGAGGTACGTGATACAGCTTTCCTACTGCCGATGACACCGAATCCAACACTAACTCGCGGCTATAGATCTGGGTTGAAGAACGCACGATGATTTGATGTCGGGATAAGGAATGGCGTCTAGGCGGCGTTGCATTGTTGCATGGTGTTTGTTGCATGTTTATACCCTTCGACGATTGACGAAATCTGTACATAAATCTGGATTCCTCGGATGAGATGACACTTCCACAGCACAAATCCTACCAGTTTGTAAGACTGAGGGCTGTAGATAAGATTAGATGGATAGGGCTTGCAGATCACGGGACCGGCATTGTTGACAGCGTCATCCGTTGGCATCTTCCATCCATTCCAACGTCCAAGTTTCTCACCCTTCTCCACCCTCCTGCTTTCCAACCACCACCACCACCATGACCGACCTCACAGTCGAGTTCTCCCATCTCTGCCAGGCGAGAGGCAGCCCGCCAATTCCCCCCACCCGCTACCTCGCCGTCGACCGAGCGGACGAGTTCCTCAAGGAAGCACACCGCATCGTAAGCCAACTCACTGCTCCCTCCCTCTCCGAAAGAGCATCCCCATACTAAACCTCACGAATCAAACCTCAGAACTCCCACATCTCCTCCCTCCTCAAATACCTCCACTCCATCCGGCCCTCATACCTCTCCATCACGGCCCCCCGTCACACCACAACCACCACCACACCCGCCCGCCAACCCACGGACCCGAAATCGCAATCCCTCTCCGAATCCGACCGCGACAACGTCGACTCCTCCACCACGCTCCTCCTGCACGATCTCAGCAACTCCATCTCCACGCTCTCCTCCGCCGAGACCCTCCGCCAGGACACCCAGACGGGGGTGCTCCGCAAGAAGTACGGCCACGGGGGCGCCGCCGCGCGACTGCTGTGGAAATGGGCCGCGGGGGACGCCCTGTCCGGCGGGGATGCTGTGACCGCAGCAGATGACAATCAAGGGAAGACAGCCGAGCAGATCCGCGACGAAGAGCTCGAGAAGACGATCAAGGCGGTGCGCGAGAATGTACTCTGGTTCTTGCGGCGCGGGCTCGAGGACGCGGTCGTGCTGCAGCGGGGGATGGTTGAGCGGCGGATTGAGCGCGCGCGCGAGAAGGAGAAGAGCGTCCTGTATAAGGCCGCTGGCGGCGGCGGCGTGGGTCGCTCGAGGGGTCTTTCTTCGGCTGCTGCTGCTGCTGGGGGGGCGAGTACGAGCCAAGGTGGTGCTTTGCTCGACGGCGATGGGCATGTCTATGATCGACCGAAGTCGACGATGGATGATGACGAGGTCAAGGCCATCGAGGCGGAGCTGTCGCCGGAGCAGTTGCAGCTGTTTGCGGAGGAGAACGATTCCATGGTGAAGTACTATGAGGACACGTTGAGCAAAGTCCAGTATGGTCTCTCCCTATCATCTAATCTACGAGTGAAAAAGAAAACAGAAACTAACGGGCCTCATCACAGAAACGCCGAAAAATCCCTCCTCGAGATCTCCTCCCTCCAGCAAACCCTTGTCTCGCATCTCTCGACCCAGGAGGACTTCATCAGTCAATTGGCAACGGACGTGACCACCACGCAGACGAACATCGGGCAGGGAAACAAGGAGCTGAAGCGCGCGACGGAGCAGCGCAGTGTAGCACAGGCCGTGTTCTGGGGGACTGTCGGACTGTGCACGTGGTTGGTGGTCTGGGATTTGGTTTTTTGATGGACTGTCTCCCCTCCCCTACCTTTCTGTGTATACCTGTGTGAGCGTACGCTGTGCTGTGTATCTGTAGATCATATACCCTGTTTGATCTCTTCCAATATTCTGGGTGACCGAAGAATATGTGTTATTTCTTGTCCATGTAGAATCGTCTCGTATTGAGTAGATGTCCTGGAGATCTGTATACTCAAACTAAGGTAGACATGAGCAGTCACAGCCTTCGTCTATATTCTACGCCCGTATCTACACCTGATCCGAATCCATAATATGAACATCATCTATTGATTTTTTACTCGTGTAGTAGCTATGATCATGACTCGCTGCTGGGACAAATAGATATCAAATGAAAAAGAGTCCGGAAAGAACGGTAGGGAAAGGGGGAAAAGATAGGGAAGATATAAGACAGAGAAAGGGGGGGGGAAAAGAGACACGGAACTACGTCTCACGCACGACGCTGTCGACTGCCTCGGCGAAGTAGTCGATGTTGTGCGTGTTGAGACCTGCCATGGAGATACGGCCGTTCTTCGTCTAATAGGGAGAGATTCGTTAGTGATGTGTCTATCGGACTGGGGAGAGAGAAGGTAAGCAAGAGACGCAACATACCATGTACACATGCCACTTCTCGCGCAGCAGCTTCACCTGCGGCTCGGTCAGCCCGGTGAAACTGAACATGCCGATCTGATCCGTGATATGGGCCCACGTGCCCGGGGTGCCCTTGCTCTCCAGGCGCTGGCGCAGCCCCGATCGCATCTCGGCGATGCGACCGCTCATGGTGCGCAGGTCGGCCTCCCACTCGGCGAACAGGGCCGGGTCGTTCAGCACGCGGCTGGCGATGCGGGCGCCGTAGGCCGGGGGGTTGGAGATCTCGGACCGCTGCAGGATGGCCAGCTGGCTGGCGACGTTGGCGTTGGCCTGCTGGGCCTCCGCGCCGGGGGCCGAGACGAAGTGGAAGGCGCCGGTGCGCTGGCCGTAGAGACCGAAGTTCTTGGCGAAGGACTGCGCGATGACCAGCTCGAAGCCCTGCTCGATGAAGTAGCGCACCGCCCAGGCGTCGCGGTTCAGGTCGCCCGAAGCGAAGCCCTGGTAGGCGCAGTCAAAGAAGGGGAACAGGTTCCCTTGGCGCATGATCGTCGCCACTTCCTTCCATTGGTCTTGGGTGAGGTCGACGCCGGTGGGGTTGTGGGCGCAGGCGTGCAGCAGGATGACGGAGCCCGACGGCGCCGAGCGCAGGGCGCTGGTCATACCGGCGAAGTCCAGGCCCTTGGTCTTCTTGTCGAAGTAGGGGTAGTCGGCGAGGGTGAGGCCGACATTAGTAAAGATCTGATGGTGATTGGCCCAGGTGGGAGAGGAGAGGTAGATCTGGGGTTTGGGGTTTGCGGGATGGAATTTGGAGAGGAAGAGGGCGCCGAGGTGGACGGCACCGGTGCCAGAGATGGTTTGGAGGGTGGAAACCTAGAAGCCAGCCGATTCATGAGCAACATAGATCTCGAGGCTGGACATTGAAAACAGTAGGGATGCTTACCCGTTTCTCACGGATTGCCGGACTGTCGGGGCCAATGATGACTTTCTGGGCGGCGTCGGTGAATCCGGCCAGACCCTTGATGGAGAGGTATTCGTTGTCGTAGCCTTCGGTGCGAATCAATTCATCGGCCTAGTTGCCATCAAAACCCCATTAGAAAATGAATGCCAATGAATTCTCGGAGAATTTTGTACCTTCTTGACGACGGGCAGAATCCACGGCTTGGCGTAGTCGTCACGATAGGCGCCGATGACCAGATCCACCTTCTTATCGTCGGGATCCTGGCGAAACGCTTGCGCCAACCCAAAGAGCGGATCCTCGGGGGCGGCGGACACGACGGCGGTCGAGAAGACGGAGGGGCTGTTCGAACCCATGATGTGTGAGGAGAGGGAAGCGAGACGATTACGAGCGGCGGTAGCGAAGGAGGAGGAGGATGAGGATGAAGATGAAGGAGATGAGGAGGAGGAAGAGGAAGAGGCAGGAGGCGACATGACGAAATAAAAAAAAAAAAAAAAAAAAAGAGACGGGGAGAATGAATTATAAATTAAATTGCAGAGGGGAGGTCACACCACCGGAGAATCAGCACCAGGCGGTTTCTGCTTGCGTTCACCGGGAATAATCCAGCATGAATCTGGTCGTCTTGGTTTTGGCCAGGATGGAAGAATACAATAATCGCGCAAAAATTGGAGGCAAATTCCCGCAGGAGGGGAAAGTTACCTAATTGATTGCCTTCGACCTGGCGCTGAGGGGAGATTTGGAGATGTGGACTCGGTCGCGGCGTCTTCCCCCGGATTGCGAGACCTGAAACTTATAAGTCCGTCTTCCTATTCTACACGAGCGACTGCGAGCCGAGGAAGTGCAGCAGATGCAAGTCCCGAGCCAGCATGACGACATTCACATGAAGCCGGGGCTCAGTCTCCTGAACGGGTCAAAGTTCTCGAGAGATCATGAAACGGCATCGTACGGTGCGGAGTCTTCTCTGGTGCTTCCATAGTGGAGCCTCCTGTGGTCAACATCTACGAGTACATTCACCAGTAACTTGACCGAATAATACTAATAATAATAAAAGAAGATGGGCTGACCAAACAAACAAAATGCGGAGAATGACATCGCCCGATTACCTCATCCGCCGAGGCCAGCCGGCTGACTCAGCTCCGGCTCTCCTGGTCTCGAACGGGAAGGCCTCTCCAATAATACTCCATCTTCAGGGTAGAGAATCGTTACGGCGTGAGTACGGAATACTGGCCACTGGCAGAGAAATCCCCAAGGAATGAGGAATTACCCGCCGGACTTCTTCCGAACGCCCTTGGTTTTACCCGGTGCCTGGCCTCCCCGTGCATGAGCCATTATCCATGCCGTCTGCAGGTCAGAGTCGATCCGTCCTCCCTTGACGAAGAAAGATACTCCGGTGGGCAACATGCAGTCGGGTAATTTCATCAGTCGCCGGGGGTCCCTGCCTGACTTATCGCCCGCCTACCATTCGGCGACAACCCCGGTCCCTGTCGTCAGAATGGCTCCCTGGATCGAGGGTCTCTTCCCCACGGGGGTGTCCACTTCGGGAAAGTCATGCGAGGGCTCGCCGGATTCCGGAACCGTTTGGGGTGGGTTTTCCCCCGGGTACCCCTTTATGATGCAGAACAATCCCTTGTCTTTGTATCGGTGGCTGTATGCCGCTATATATACCTTGAATGTAGCAGATGCGAGAGATGTACATATGTGCTCCTGTACCGTCCAACCCAACCAAGCAGTCTTTTAATCGCCGGTAAATCCCGTGAACGCCGTGTATCCCGTCACTTCGTCAATTCATCGCATGGAATGAGAAAAAATAAGAAAAAAGGCCCAAGATCAAGCAGAAATAATAACTGAAAAAAAAGGGGGGGGAAATGTCCGACCCACTCAAGGGCGCGAGCCAGCCGTGTAAAGCAATCTAGGCCCGGTAAGATATTCGAAAATGTTCAGTGTCACCAATCGAGTTGTACAATCATAGGGTTCCGCTCGTTCGGAACGTACGCTCACTCTCGGGCTGCCTCGCCGCCATCGTCCCCATGTGCGCGGGTTCGAATGCGGAACCGCTCCTTGAGTCGCGTCGTCAGTCGGCTGCGTCGCCGCACCTGCTCGTCGTTGTCGTCATTTTGCGCGCTCTGGTTGGCTTCTTCGCGGACACTGCGAAGTGCCGCCAGTCGCTCCTCCACACTGGCGTCGCGCATCCGACGTGCATTCAAGGATCCGTGGAGATAGTTGCTGAGCCGGTGATGCGAGCGCTGATGCGAACCGTCCGCAGTCGATTCGTTGTTTCCTTGCGTCGCGGCTTCCGTCGTCTCGTCGCCTTCGCCCGTCTCTTGCTCGCCCTCGGCCTTCGCGGGATGAAGATCGATTCGACTGGTGCATCATTAGTACAAAGTCTCGGCAAAGGGGAGATAAAAAAAAAAGAAGCCAACATACCAGAGAGGGCAGGTTCCCGACACATTCACCAGCCACGGATCGATACAATCCGGATGGAATTGGTGGTTGCAGGGAAGCACGCGCAGGTCTTGACCCTTGACAAAGTCATCGGTACAAATGGGGCACATGTAATTCGGCTGTTCCTCGCCTTCCGTTCCACCTCGCTTTTCGGATGTAGCGGCTGCCGGCGGAGCATTCGGATCTTTTGGTTGCGTTGGAGTAACCTCCGTAGTGTCGGCCGCCGCCGTTGTCGTGGTTTCCCGCCCATCGGGGTTCTGTCTCGCACCATCCTCGGGGTCGAGGGACATCTCCACGTCGCCCTTGACGGCATCCGCCTTGGGGTCATGGCCGTCGCCAAACTTGACGATCGGAATCGTCTCCAACATCGCCCTTGCTATCCCTCGCGCTCGACTCTGCCGCGGTCGCCCAGCCGTATAACGCGGTCCGTAGCGTTCCGGATGACGGTGTGCTCGGACAGCCCCGGTAATGATGATAGCCAAGAAGAGCGCCGTGATGATGCCCGTGATGCTGTACAGGATGATCATCGCTGCCGTATGTGTCAGCCAAGGTATTCACGACGCTTACCTACACGGGAGGGGGGTGGCGAACTTACCCGTATTCGGGTTGTCTGACGAGCCCCCCGTATCCTGGGTCTGGGGGGTCCCCGACATCGTGAACGACATATCGGGTATTACGCCAACGGTTGCGTTGCCTTCGGATGTCTCGTTTCCTTTGGGCGAACTCAGCTGAGTCTTGATCTTTTTGGCAAAGTCCGGGTTCAAAAAGGTGAAGACGTTGGGGTACTGGGCAGCATCTGCTTCGTTGGCACTATAGTTGCAGTGATGTAGTTCGGAGCTGTACAGAAGAACTGCCGAAGCCTTTTGTTTGGACGAGACGACGTTGGCAACGGTGGAGCTGGCGTCCAAGTTTCCCGGGTAGTCGGACTTGTCGCAGCTGATGAAGGCGATATCACTACTATTTAATTGCCGTGAATTGGCAGCGTCGACATTCACCAACTCTCCTTTAAGATGGAAGTCCTATACGGATGACGGTTAGTCCAAGAGTTGGGCATCTTTTGGGCCTAGACCGGCACTTAAGACACGACGAACCGATAGTTGCCTTCTATCCAAGCTAACCAGAGCCCCGGTCAAGGGGGCGAGGGTGAGGTTCGGAGGTAACTGGATCCGGGCACTCTGCAAGTGGAATCGCACTTGACGGGTCCAGGACAGATCCCGGGAGTTGTTGGATGGCAGGACAGTCCAGTCGGTCGAGTCTATCGCGTGGACGGTCGACGAGAGCGCGAGGAGGCAGAAAAGAGAGGAAAGGGAGAAGAGGAGAAAAGAGAGGGGAGAGGGCTGATCTTGTCTGGGCCCCATCGGAGAAGAAGGAAGAAAAGAAACGAGAGGGAGAAAAAAAAAAAGGGCCAAGCTGGGTTTCCCCACGGTGACGAGGCTTACGGAGATGGCGGAGGGTATGGGGGAGCCCGGAAGATCATTAGTCACAGATCTTCACCGGGGGGAAAGAAAGTATGCACACAAGATAGGGAAACAGGAAAGAACCCCCAAAATAAAAATGACACCAGAAATTATGGGGACGCAGGTAGAGCCACACGGTAAACGGTAAGGGCAAGCCCAAGCATGGGCTTCTGATATCACGGCGCAGGGCGATCACAAGCGGCTACAAAATTGATGCGATCGTCGAGCGGAATTGATTGGAAGAGTCGGATGGAAGTGGATTGGCAGTGACCGGGGAACAGGATTTGGAGGGATCGAGAGGGGACCGACAACGGGGCAAATTTCCCCCAAGACTGCAGTCACAGGCCAGTGGGTGGAGTGGACTATGTCAGAGCCAGAGAGGATGAGCCGGAAGATGGAGACTTCCACGTCCCAACCACCGAGGGAAGTGGAGAGAGAAGTTTCCAGGCTTTCGGCGGAGTGGGATGGTGTCGCGAGGCGATGGATGCCAATGCTTATTGCTTATGCTTCGGATGCTGCTCCTGCTGCGGCGACGGGGTGACGACGACCGACACTCCCGGGCTATCCGGGGGGAATCAGACGGAACGAAGAGAGGACCGAGGAGGGGAGGGGAGGGCAAGCGAGCAAACGAAGCGAATACGAGTTACGGGGACGGCAGGAAGGTGGAAGAGGAGACCAGGGGAGATGCGATGGAGATGGGAGAGAATACGGATTGTTGTGATATTAATAAAAAAAATCATGTCGATTTCCGATGGAGGTTCTGCCGCCGTACACGGCCATTACACTCATTACATTGGACTTACAGGTCCTGCCTGGAGGAATTGCAGGAAATGAAGGACGTGAAGTAATTACGCGTAACTCGAGGTCGTACCGTCACGGGAGGCCGACGATCCGCGACGGATTGCGGCGTTTTTCCCCCGGCCGCAACCGATCGGCAGGGAATACAGATAAGGTGTCTGGCATTCCAATTCAATTGATCATCGTGAAGATATGTCAATTGATATCTAGGAGTACGAGCTATCAGGTTGCCATGGATTGATTGGAAAACGACAGTCGCCACCGAGGAGCGTCCAAGCGGGCAATCTATCTGAGGGATTGGATTCGCATTGCGACTAACGAGACGGCGATTGTGCGGGGTTGATCCTTGGTAGGGCCAGCTGGCGTTGATCTGCCTGGTGTTATTTCTATTATTTGGCCATGAGAAGCAGAGCACCTGATCAGCATTTGCGTCATCCACCAAACTCTGTTGCCGTCCAAGATCCGTGGTTGAAGAACCAGCATTCCTGGAGTCCGTGTCTTCCAACGTGGGTTTGTCTCCGATCGACAGCCTGTTAGTGACTAATACGCCGCAGCCACACTTGGCTGTTGTCCCATCGTGATATTCCTCCCTCTGCCATTCTGGCCTCCTCCAGATCATGTAGACAGTCGACTCCCCTGGGAAACGGATGCCATCCTGGTCCTCCGTCGATCGTCTCGGTCGAAGGGCACCAACGACTGTACCAGAAGTCCAGAAAGCGATGTCCCCGGCGATTCTCCGCTTCCCCTTCCATGTGGAGCCTCCGGAATCGGAGCGGCCGTCTCTTATCGGCCTATCGATCAACCTTCCGCATACAATCACCTTAGCCTTGTCGGTCTCGTTGGATGCGAATGAACGGCTTGCCAAATAATGCCATCATCCTTCCAGGCACTTGGCTCCATTTTTTTTTTCTTCCCTTCCCGCTCGTTCACGCGGCAGGGTGAATAATCAATAAACACAGCACATTCTTAAACATGCCATCCTCGGAGTTTTGTCCGGTCGCCCGTCAAGTGTTTGTCTGCCATCTGGTCGACGGTCGGTGCTCCCACAGATCATCCGTCCATGTAAGTAGGTGGAAGATAGCCCATGCCTGTGTCAGTCGTAGGGCCGACCCTCGTTCGAGTGGAAACACTATGACTCGACATAGAGCGCTGAAAATCAAGAAAGAGCGAAATGGAAGAAGCAAATTCCCTACCTCCCTCTCCTCCGTTCTCTTTTAAAACTGCACGCGTAGATCTGTACCACCCAAGGCCGAGCAAAGCCGCCCACGGTCCCTCTCTCCCCAATCTAGGCCCTCCTTCATTACGTCAATCAGATCCTCTCCGGTCTGGAGAAGGTTTGACGGGGGGAAGGAAAAAAAAAAAGAGAAGTTAAATGGGCAGGGCATCAGACAGTTAGAGTCGGTCTACCGGACTAGCCTCTAAAACATGTGTGACCTATTCATGTCCCGCCTGCATCCTGTCCGACCGCACCCCATACCAACCCCGGAATACCAAAGCTTGGCAAGGGTGCTTGACAGTTACATGATGACTGGAGCTTAGGGAAGAAAAGGGAGAGGAGGAAAGAAAAGCAACGACAGGAGACAGGGGAAAAGGGTACGGCAGCCACTTCTGTATGGCTGTGTGATATCATCAACAATTGTGATCCGGCGAGGGTACTTGCATGTGGAGGGAGCTCTGGAGAGCAGGCGCAGGTGTCGGGAGATGCATGGCGTAGAGAGGCACAGCGATGTCTCCTTTAGCTGCTGTCTCTGGGCTCCATTCAGATGTTACATCGAGCGCCCAAATCGATCTACGAAATCCTACAGGAATATTGAACCTTGTTGATCGACGGGGAATCCGCCCTCTGCTTACCCGCAGAGCATATCCCTCCCTCTGCTCCGATATGTATATGCCTGCGAGCACAAGTCGTCTGCACAAAGAAAAGATATTGAATGTAAATCTCCAGGGGGGAAGGAGTCAGCCATGCAGGAGACAACAGGGAGGTTTTAACCTGTTGTACTGCGTCGCTAAGCGATTCTGTACAACAGTCTGTCTGGTGTATTGAACCTTGTGATTTGGGACTATACCAGTTTATAGTTTGAGACTCATACACTTTCTGTTCCATCTTTTCTTCCCCCCCCCCTCTGTATTTTCTTTCGTCGGCTGTGTCTACCGAAGTAGTAAGTGTCTATTTGGAGGGGTGTGATTTTAGTGCAAGAGGACTATGGGCGAACTCGGTAGATAGGCAAGTCCAAAAGCCATCAAATCCTCCGAAGGCCTGAACGGAGGGGGGCAAAGTCCTCAAATATATAAGGCGGCGAGCTATATACTCCCAGATATAGGTCAGATTATAAATAGGCCCGGCAACGACTGGAAATGCCAGTGGTCGGTACCAAACGTTGCGGGCGGTTCAGCCCTGGATGCACCGAAATCAGATGGACGATGGCTCCATCAGATGACGGACGATTGGCGGGCGGCCAGGTCGAGACTCTGCCGTGACAGCAACACTTGGTCCGTGTGTCCCTTTTCTGACGGGAAGATAGCGAGAGTCAAAATGTGGAAGAAACTTATTATTTAAATAATAAAAATCAGAAGGAAAAAAAAACTAAAGGCCGGCCGGCAGCTCAGGCGATCAAGTGGACATGTCTCGATGGAACGTGCTGCCGCCAACCCGGTTACTCTTTCGGCCAATTCTCGCATCTTACCTGTCCAAATGTGGTCGGTGTTTCTTTAGATTGCAGATAATTCGCGTCGGAACCAACCGCTTGTTATTAAAAGAATGGCTTGGGAGGATGATGGGTGTGTGCCTTATTGACTGCATATACCGACCCAGATCAGGACGAGAGCAGGAGTGACAGCCAGAGAGTATTAGGTACTTGTACCTGCTCGTCCGGCCAAGTATGCGCGGTGCCTTATTGTGGGTACGCTGTACATAATAAATGCTCAGGTACTCCTTTTAGGGTCCCCACTGGAATCCTTTGGCTGGTCAAGACCTAGTCCAGACGTCTTGACAGATAGGGAAACCTGGGAAGACTGCTGCAGACAAAGACCGAAAGAAAATAAGAAGATCATCAAAGGGAGGGGGGTAGAAGAAACAAGTTTAAAAAAGAGAAATTATCGCCTGCATGAGTGCATGCAGACGAACAAAGAGAACCCCGTGCAAAATGATTCGAGCCAATCTGGCGGTGCTAGGGCCTTTGTTTATTCGATAGACATTCTGCTAGATCATCCGGGCTTACTGGGGACGGGCGACCATGGCCGGTGACTGTGTCAGATGCCAAAGGGGGAAGGGAAATAATCCTGATAATAAAAACAAGTACGACGGCCAGTCATTCCTGGAGAACCCGCCTGGAGGGTGGTGTGATGCGCGGAAAATCCTCGTCCTCACGCGCTTCCCCCGTTTCTTTATCTTCGTGTAGGGTACCTGAGGTACATGGACGCTGGAGGACGATTCCCAAGCGCATCGAGCCAGGGAAAGGAACCTCAGCAAAGTACGGGCCATGAAATGCTAGCTCCGGGTAACAAAACAACCCAGATAACGCAGCGAAAAAAGCAAAAAGTAACGCCATTCCAGGCCACACCAAAATTAGCAGCCGTGCCCCCCATAGGCTACGAGGGTCTGGAATAGTTATCCTGCTGGTCATCCCCGCCTTCATTCGAGGCCTCGAACGCTGGACGGCCGATGGGTCCATCGCCAAGGGGGCCCTGATTGGTCCAGCGGGCCAGGGAGGCGTGCAAGGTTCCCTGTTGAGGGTGTCAGTGTTTCTGATGTTTTGGCGGTTTCCTTACCGTTACAGGGCCGAGGCTCCCATGGACTGAAGAGTCTACTACCTGAACGGACCAGCAGCGACCAAAGTGCAGGGGAATTTGCTTGCGTAGACCAAACCCCATCCCAGGGGTTTCAATCATTAATTATCAATAATAATAAGGAAAATCTGGTAGCGAAACAATCAACCATCTGAACGATCAAATGAAATTAAAAATCAAAGAGGAGCAGGGGAAAAAGGCACACCGACAGGAAGGCAACCTAGAATGGGGGGAGAGAACAAATCATAATTAATTAATTAAGGGAAGAAAAGGAAAAAGAAAAGAAAAGAAAAATAGTTACTGTCTCTCCCACAGAAAATGAGAAAAGAGAGAAAAAAAATAACCCGGAAACCCCAGAATGCTAAATCGCTAGGTAGAGGGGGAGGAGGTTTTTTTTTTCTGTTCCCTTTTTCCCTTTTCTTTTTTCCTTTTTTTTTTTTTTTTCTTTTTTTTTCTTTTCTTTTTTTCAAGGTACGTACAGACAGGAGAAAGGGAAAAGTACCTCTCTCGTCTAGAAAAAAGACTGCTTGCTATTGTTTTTTTTCCCTCTCTTTCCCTCTCCTCCTCGACCTGCTCTCGAGGTCTACATGCTTGACTCGTCTGCTGGGGATGCGTGTTTTCCTCCACCCCCTCTCCCTCCTCTCCCTCCTTCTTTTCAACCCCAGAATCTCGAACTAGAAGTCAAAATGTTTCTATTCTAGCGGGGCCACCCGTTGCAATACAATCCGCCATGCAACAACACCCCCAAGAGGACCAGATAAACACCCACCCACGATAAACCATCCCCAAGAACAAAGAATCAGGGCGAGGGAATTCTCCGTCCTCGACAAACATTTCTGTCAGCGCCTTTCGACGTCGATTCCATCCGTTCATGCTCTCTCATCCATCGTCTTTGCTTTTTTTTTTTTTTATTCATCTATTCCATCTATATTCTTCCTTTTTCGCCCCTTAAACCGAACGCTCCTAACGCCAGTCCACCTCCTGCCCTCGAGTATCCGACCGAGCCCCCTGACATGAGCGCTTCGATGTCCTCGCGCTGCATTTCCGTCCTTCACCTACTTCTGCGACCACAGCCAACAGGAGACAGTTGCCGCTTTGACTCGACACCACCGCAATGTCCCCTCAGTCCCTTGCCGGCCCAGCGGCCCCTCCGCCGGCCGAGGACGATCAACTCGCCATCAGCTTTTGGAGGAAACGATACGACAAGAGACCTCTTTCGGCGTGAGTTTTATTTATTTCATTTCCCTGTTTTCCCCCCAATAGTACCTTCCTCGTATTAAATGCTCGTTGTCGCTCGCCTTGGTGATCTTCCTGGCCACACCACTCTTGTCTACTTCATGGTCGCACGGATGATCTACATCGCCTCCACTTCCCACCAGGTGGTCTACGCTCAGCTTCATTTACCCACTGGAAGCCATGGAGTTAATACTCGGCCAATCAACTCTTATGATTTATTTCATCTTTTCTTATGACGGATTACATCGGCACGCATCCCTGGGAAACATGTTAACCGGACTTTCCACAGAAATTCCATAATTGCCAACCTTGACATCGAATACAACGAACTGGCTCAGACCTGGAAACACTTTCAGGACAACCTCCCGCCCGACGATCAAATTAAATTCGACCATCGCGCCCAGAAAGCCGAAGATGTCTTGGCAGTCGTGCAGAGTGTGCAGGATATCTGGATGTCCGGTTCCAAACAACGGTTGTTTACGGCTTCGATGAAATACTGCCAGAAATTTCGCAACTCCCTGGGACTACATACTGTGCTTTTGAAGGCCCTTCCGAAAAACGAATTTTATATATCCCTCTTCTATGGCGTTTTGCAGTCGCTCATAAAGGTGGAGTAGCACATACCCCTACTGTGACTATTGACATGACTGACCCGGTCGAGGCAGGCGTCTGCAAATTACCCGAGAATCGTGGAGGGTCTCATGAGGGCCCTTTTCAAGATGAACAAATCAATAAAACCGCTAACGGGAGAGGACCAAGCCGGCCTCTCAAAGGATTCGATTCTTTACATCGCCCGGTTCTATTCTATGACATTCTTCATGCTGGGGGAGATTATGGATTGGTATGTGCGGAACTTGAAATGTCGTCTGTTGACGAGTCTCAACCATGATCTGTACTCGAGCCTCGGCGGACTTCTGTCGAGGATTAAACGCAGAGCGAAGGATATCATGCGTGCCATCCCTGATGAAATGGACCTGGACGAAAAGGATGGTGACGAGACACGCAAGCCGCCTATTCAAGATTTCAAATTGTGGGAGAACGCGAGATTTAGCCAAGTTGGCCTGCAGAAGCAGGCCCGTCGATCTGCTGCACAAAATGCTATAACCCGCCAACTAATCTGGGAGATACAAAACAATGCATGGGAGCGTCTCGGCATGATGACCGAGAGAGAAAAGCTCCTGTCGAGCGTGTTGGAGAAGACCAACCAGAGAATGCGTCCCGTTGACCAGCAGAGTAGTGGTATTGCCTGCTTGATCACAACTGCTGCTCAGGATATAGGTATGCAGGACGGTTACCTTGGGATAGAGCGGCGGTCGGAACTAACAGTACCATCCTCGCAAGACACTTCCAGGTTCAAATGGTCCCAAGGGTTCAAACATAAGTACACCCGGATTGAACTGCAGATCGCTTCAAAACACCTTCAGGATTTCTTCGACTGTGACGATCAAGTGGCCGATCTTGAATCCGATGTGGATGTGATTGCGGAAGACAGTCTAACAGATTCTTTGCACCAATGGGCCACTAATTGCCATTCCCAGGTTCTCGCCGTTGGGGGCTTTCCGTCCACGGCTTTGGTGAGCCCGGTTGCCCTCATCTCCGCCTGTATTGCCAATTTCGCCCGGCAAGCCAAATTGCCTGTTATCTCCCATTTCTGCTCCCTGCCGACCCAAATAAGGGACGGAATGACCCAATGCGAGCAAGGCCTCATCGCGTTGGCCTACAGTTTAATCCGACAACTGATCGATTGCCTGCCACCTGTGTTAGAAGGTCATGCAGCTTGCAACCTGAGCGCGGAGCGATTCAGTCCCTTGAACGGCACCTTAACCTCTTGGAAAGAGGTGCTCTCGTTGATCGATATCCTCTTGCATTACGCCCCGCCCCTCGTCGTATGCGTGGTCGATGGCCTGGATAAGATTCAAGATGCATCTACCGATCAGAACATTCGGTCCCTGGTCAGGACTCTTCTCACTCACACTCGACATCAGACCGTTCAGATGCCTAACGGTACCAAGAGCCAAAGTGTGATGTTGAAGGTCTTGTTCACCGTGGCGGGACGACCGAGTTCGCTGGTGGAGACCCTGTCTGAGAATCGACTTATCCTGAGCGAGTCCAACAAAACAGACGCGGTGGCCGCCGTGGATCAAGCTCTAAACCCCGACGTGGGGGTTGTTATGATGAATGCATGAACTGTCAGCGAGTCAACAAGCGAAATTGTCTATATTTTTCCCATCCCTTTTGACATGGCCGCTCTTTTCTTTCTTATTTTCGAGGCTCTTTCTCTTCTCTTTTCTTTTTCGGGTGAAAATTCGGGACATTAATAGAATTGTGCGCAGGCTGGGAATTTCTTTTTCTAAATACAACTCTTTGATTGGCCAACAGATTTGGATTTCTTTTAATTTCCTCAGTAACCTCTTACCCTTCTTTTGCTTCTTGTTTCTGACTGCTACTACTACTACTTCTTCCTGTCTTTTCATATCTTTTAGGCTCTGCCTTTCATCTGTTCTGTGGGGGGGGCATTCTCCAATCAATCTTTGTATACCGAGGATTAGGCATACCCGGCGGCATTTCTTGAATGTATCGATTTGGATCGCACTTTTGCCGGGACTGTCCCAGCTCCCGAGTCCTTTGACCATGTTGCCTGTATATGTGTATTAATATCCATGGTCTGCGATTATGACGAGGTACAAAATATATCATTCTGCCTGGTTCTTGGCAACCCCGGATTTCGGTTTCCGTCTGCACGTGGCGCACCCCATTTCCACTCCAGACTCTTCAGCATCCGATCTCTTCTGGTTACGATTCGTGCTTCATTCCTGGTTTATCCTCTCTTGCTCCCGGGATTCATTTTTGGGGTCCTTCGGGATTCTTGTCCGTCTTTCGAGGATATAAGAGACCTCAATCTCACCTTCCGCTTGGATTGCCTGCAAACCAATCATTTGAGCTTTTCATCACATCCGACATTATGACAGTGCCCAACGCCCCTCCAAAAGTCGTTCCAAAACGGCTGTTTTCTTCCGAGTCTCCTCGGCTAGAGGACTTCAAAAAGATCTGTTCTCAGCAAACAGACAAGGCCACATATCCGCTAGCAGCGTCCGTGGAGAAGAACATTCCCATCTACGATGCCGCTGCATTAAATCCGCTTCTTCCCAGCATTGCCGACGATCTTCAGGATGAATGGCACCACATTCTCAATGCGGGACCGGGGATCTTTGTACTCCAGGGCATGTACCATCCCAGCCGATATGAGTCCACGCTCTCATCTACTAGCGCTGCCTTCCAGCGCATCGTCGACCAAGAACGCCAGTCCTCCACCACCGTCAAAGGGGACCATTTCGCCGCCAGCGGCAAAAACGACCGCATCTGGAATTCCTTTAGCAAGCACGCCACCGAGGATCCCGCCTCTTTCATCGACTACTACTCCAACCCCTGGCTCCGTCTCGTCAGCGAGAGCTGGCTGGGTCCCGCGTACCGGGTAACCGCACAAGTCAACGTCGTCAAGCCCGGGGGCGCCGCCCAGGAAAGCCACCGAGACTACCACCTGGGATTCCAAGAGCTGGACCGCTGCGCCGCCTTCCCCGGCAGCATCCAGCTCACGAGTCAGTACCTCACGCTCCAGGGCGCGGTGGCGCACAGCGACATGCCCCCGCAGAGCGGGCCAACGCGATTCCTCCCCTTCAGCCAGACCTACGAGGTGGGGTATCTGGCCTGGCGACGGGACGAGTTCCGGGCGTATTTCAAAGAGAACTATACGGCGTTACCACTGGCGCTGGGCGATGGCCTGTTTTTTAACCCGGCGGTGTTCCACGCCGCGGGGGCGAATGAGATGGAGGCCCAGCCCGACAGTCCTGGCGGCGGGTTCCATCGCAAGGCAAACCTGCTGCAGATTAGCAGCGGGCTGGGCAAGACGATGGAGAGCATCGACACGGTCCCGATCGTGGATCGGTGCTGGGACGGCCTGGTCGAGCGGTATCGAGCAGCGGGGAACACGCTGGATGCTCCACTGGAGGCGTTTGTCCTAGCCATAGCGGATGGGTATCCCTTCCCGACGAATCTGGACCGGCGGCCGCCAGCGCCCAGTGGGATGGCACCCGAGAGTGAGCAGGAGATCGTGCGCCGGGGATTGAGGGAAGGATGGGGACGAGAGCGAGTGGTGGAGGAACTGAAGCGAATGCAGTCGGATTCCTGCGCTTGATTTGCTTGTCGTGAGTGATCTGGACATGACACGTCGAAGTTTGCCAATGTACGGAGTACATATGTACCGACTCACATAATGAGGCTTTCCATTTTTTATTTTTTATTTATTTTTTTTTTTTCTTTTCAGATTTTTCCCCGGTACCATACTCACCCTTGTCCCCATCATCTAAATTTGTTTGCTTCCCCAACTCAGACCCATCAATGGGAAGAATCTACCTGTACAGTACCTTTGTGAGTCCCGTCCCTGGCCGTTGTTAGGGCCTCGGACAAGCCCGACTAGACCAGGCCAGACCGGGCACAAAGTCCAGCATCTTCCCGTCCGATGGCGAGACTGGATTGGCAGATACAGCCCGGTCAAGACGATCCAACCGGGGCTAACATCCCATGCAATACGAGGCAATAACGGGGGTCTGTTATATCTCTTCAACCCTTTCCCCGGGTAGAACCCTGACTGACTCCGGACACAGCATTCCTGTTTAGGTCTTTACTTATTAACCTAGTGCACGGGTGACCCTGCAGCTGGATCTAGACTTGTCGGGGAAATTGATACAGAGGTCCCTCAATATACTGGATGGCTTGGTATAAGCCCTAAAGCGCATGGATCCAGGATGTGTTGATGGAGCTGTGACCAGAAGATTCTTTGTTCTGGATTATAATGTTAAAACATTGAGAGCCAATATATCAACTAGCATCATTGGTCTAGTGGTAGAATTCGTCGTTGCCATCGACGAGGCCCGTGTTCGATTCACGGATGATGCATTTCTTTTTTTGTTTTTCCGCTGTGGGAATGCTCCGTCTGTGCTGGGACTTAACATATATTTTGTTTAATATAGACACAGACCAGAGGTTCCTCGATCGAATCGGATCGGTCCCGGTACTTTGGATATCGTCGGCATATATTTTTTCTTACCTGTGCTTTTTTCTCTTGCCCCAGAGATCCTCATATACTCGATAAGCAAGTTTACTCCGTATAGGAATCAATTCGTCTACTCCTTCCACGACGAAGTGCTCGCACACACATCCATGGCTCTCGTGTTTCACCTTCCTCGTACCTTGATCCTTCCGATCTGCAATGACCTGTGCGCAGCGCAGTGCCCATGGCTATTGATAATTGGGCTAGTCTGGTTTGATGATTTGTGGATACAGCGTCCGATTCGACATTTGAGGATTGGAAAGTGGGAAATAATAGCCGGTCAGTTCCGGACGGGGAGTTGATCAGGAGGTCTGGGCTTTGGTGTTTAGTTTCAGTTTTTATTCCCCTTCCTTTTTTTTTTTTTTTTTTTTTTTTTGGGTTCGTCCCCTTTCTTGGTGGCATTCTGTGGAATTCGGGTGATTTGATGGGGATTTTTATATACCCAGGGGCGTGTAGTTATTCTGTACTGGGTAGAATTAGCATGGGCAAATTTGGGTGAATTTATTTCCTTTCTTTTCTTTCTTTTTATTTTATTTTTATTTTTATTTTTTTTTATTTTTTTCGCTATACAAAAAAAACAAATGAAATATTATACATATATACATAACCTCCCCTGTCAATTGTTCGACTGTGTGAAATCCTTTTGGACACGGATCCCATGCAATGGAATCTCATCGCCACTCAGACTGTCCGTGTCTCCCCTCCGGACTACCTTGGTGCTGGGGCTCAACACGTTCGTTACCATATGCACATGGTCATAGTCCGGTCGTAGTGCTGCGTCTAGCTGTCTCTGCGGGCACGCCTCTTGTCCCGAGTCCGAGTCATCCGGGAGATGATAGAAAGAATGTCGGTTTGCACGTGTGCCGTGATGGTCCGCTGCACTGCCCGGAGGATTTTTGTCCATGGATGGGGGCACGTTGATGGGATCGGACTGACTGCCCTTGGAGAATGGCACGGAGCGACTGCGGAGAAGAGCTGGCATGGTGCCTTGGATATGGAGGAGACGAGCAGCCGCCTGGAGCGCCGGTCTTAGCGTCGGGAGACACGCAGAAATGATGCCGGCCGACATTTCGATGGCGGTCCAGGCGACGGTTGGGGCGAGGGTGTATGACGAATCCGCCATGGTATAGGAGAAGAGGACCGAGAACCGGTAGGCCGAGGCGAAGACGACGCTGAAAGGAATTTGTTAGAACAAACAGGACAGACTCGCAAACAGGCGAAGACACATACAAGAATCCCAGCCCGAAGGCAAGCGTGACGGCCAATTTCTCTGACCGTCGCAGCTGTAGGCTCCATACTTGGGGGAGCGGCAGAAACAGGATGATCAGATCCGTGACAATGGTCGACACTGCGTTGGCGATCCAGGTGCCGACCTGACTGATGCATCGGCCCTCGAGATACGGGTACCAGAGCTTCTCAACGGGCACACAGATAAAGACGAACAGGAACGTGATGCAGATGACCCAGCAGATGACGAACGTGCCGATGATGTACGCCCAGAGTTTGAAGTAAGGAAAGTGAAAGATCCGATAGTACATCAAGAGAATGCTGAGCTTGGTCCACACCAGGTTGAACACATACAAGATCTCGGCAACTACGAGATATTTCGCGATCATGACAACGTTGTTCGGGGGTAGCGTATTGGCATGAAGACCCATGCCCTCATGGACCATTGTAAATATGAAGCCGACGACCACGAGATTCCAGGCCTAGTTTTTGGTCTCAATTCTCGATCCTGGTATACAAGCAAAAAAAATCCACAGCGGCTACACTCACCATCGACCACAGAATCATCCAATCGTCCCACCATAATTTCTGTTTGCGTTCTAAGCGTGCCAGAATGCGAAGACAAACAGCCACGAATGCCAGCACCGTGACGGAAATTGTCGTAGCCGTCACCCATGGCTGAAGATTGTGCGAGTCATCGTCGTCCATTGGTAATGAGTGGTGGCCCGAGAAGAACGAGATGAAGGAGAGAAAGCCATGGATGGGACCGGAGAAAAGAAGGAGAAAAAAATAGGGTAGATGGGCGAAAGATTTCCCCTCCGATTTGGAAGAGTCCAGTCCCAGGCTCTTAGTCGTAGTTGATCATTTCTTTCTTCTGCCCTTTTCCGGGAGTTCCTGAACTCCTTGTTTCGACGCCATGGTCTTAGCCTCGCAGGCCCCTTACTCCATGAACCTGCAAGTCGGACTTCCAGAAAGTCAGATACGTAATTTGCTTTTTTGACAGCCCGTCCATTAAGCTCTGTTGCTGGCATCTGATTGCTCGGGGGTGGGTTGCCCTGGCGTGTGGCTCCACGCTCCGTCTCTGCCGAACGATCTGCAGGATCCGCCTATTGCCTTGGTGTGAAGTTTTTTCTTTCTCCCCAAAAAAGAAGCGTGGCTCAATGCCCTGTTTAGTGATAGTCTAGCACGGCTAGTCCGTGGGCCAAGGGCTGGCCAAGTGGCGCGGAGGAAAATCTACTCGTATTCATTTCATTTGGTGCGACACGTGCTGGCTATCGTTCATAATCATGTTCTGAGCCAGGACAGCCAGACGATAGCCGGAGCCACTTTTGGCCCGTAGCGCTTGGATGGTTGGCCGCGATGAAATCCGCGGCTGAGCCATCCCCACTAAGACAAAGGCTATTGTTCAGACCGTTGGGCCGCCGCTCGACGGAAGTTGTCTCTGACAGGCCTGTCAGGCCTGGTGCCTTACGGGGTATATTTGGTGACGAGATCCAATAGGGCCTCGTTGATTTGGTCGGGGTGGGTAGCGTTGAGATAATGGGCACCCCCTTCGATCATTACGAGTTTGGCCTCCATGGACGAGGTGAAAAGTTGAATTTGTTCGCCTGGAACGGTCTTTCCGAATGGCGTGTCTTCCGTTCCCTTTGAGGCGTCGGAACATCAGCACCGCTTTGCAGAGATCCGAAGGAGCCATAATCACTCACCTGTAACCAGTAGACTGGACATTTAATGTCTCTTAGTCGCAGTAGCAGTCCGTCTCTCTCCAACAGACAAAGCACCGCCATCCGCGCCTTTCTTCGGCCCTCGTCACCTTGGTAAACTTCCTTCAAGGTCTTGGTCCAGAACTCGCTGGATTCGGTCGTCGCCGCTGCTCCGAAACCGAAGCCGCCCACCATGCCACACCACGCATCATCGATGACAAAATCCGGGGTAGCCGAGGCACTCGTCCATTTCTCGAAGAAGGGCTTGAGAATGGGCGTGGGATCCCAACACCCCTTGGATCGCGAGTCTTCCGACTCAGAGTCCATCGAGGTACCAAGGGGCATGAGACCGAGAATCTACCGGCAGAATAAGGGAAGTGATTAGCATGTGACGTCCTGTCTACTCCGTCGGAAATAACCATGACGGCAACATACTCTCTCCGGCGCCAACAACGCCATGCGGGTCACCATCCAACCACCCTGACTCGTTCCCAAAGCAAACGCCTTCTGAATGCCGAAATGATCCATCACCTGCAATGCCATAACGGCTGTATCCCAGTAGGTAAAATGGTCGGAGGGAGAGCTGGTTGCGCCATGACCGAGAGGCTCAATGGCCAGCAAGTTCATCGCATCCGTCAGGCGACTGCTGTTGAACTGATCCCGGTAGAGCGAGACAGTCATACACATCGAGTTGATGAGAACGCATGTCGGTTTGGCGGGGTCGTAGCGGTCGTTGGAGAAGGCGTAACCGGCCTTGATACCGCCGAGATGGGGGACCTGAACGGTTTTGGTAGCGGCCATCTTGAGAGAGGATGTAGTGATTGCGTAGTTGAGAGGGAAAGGTTCCTATTTGCAGCGTTGAGCAGAACGAAGCGCCGAATTGCTCATACATATCATGGGCGACCCCTCCAGGTGGTCGAGTACAGCCATGACCAACTCTATTACCGGATGGAGTAGGACTCGAGGACTACGGAGTCCACACGCGGCAGACGTAGCTCACCGACTTGTGAGACATGGGCTAACTCCAATTGATCTTCACCCATGACAGGATTTTGAAGACGTGGAAGGTTCGGGCGAGGCACCGAATTGGGAGCGATCAGCGACGGACGGGTTCCGCCAGAAGATGGAGTCGTCCCGCCGTCAGAAGTTGGAGTCGCCGAGTTATTGCCGGCGCAAGTGTCGAAAATATAAATAGGACGGAAATGAACGCTCTAGCTTGCTGCACGAACACAATTATGGTTATTAAATCCACCGAGCCATGGCCCACGATCCGGTGGCATGGAAATCAGGCATTGAAGGCAATAAGCCGCACCTCATGAGCGCATTGTTCATGGATTTCATTCTCGATCGATGCATGCATAATCCTGCAGCAATGCAGCAGCAGTGCAGCTGCGGCAATGACACTTCCGGAGCTAAAAGGATGCCCCGACGTGCATCACATCTCTTTATGAAGCTGATTGATTGTTGACGGGCCGTGTCAACGTCCAACTCGATGGTTTAAGGCTACCGTGTAGGTAGGGAGTCTGTACTCTCCGTACTGTAGAGCGAAGGAAGAGAATGGAAGAGAAAGAGAAAGAGAGAGAGAGAGAGACAGAAGACGAGGCAGAGAGACTGAGATCACCTGTGCCTGACAGTACCCGGTAATCTATACAGACGCTTGCCCTACTGGGACTAGACTATCGGACTGGAGCGCATGACAGAATAGAACTAGCCCCAGTTGGGAATAGTTCATACCGACCCATACGGTACGGTCCAGGCCAACTGGCAGCTGCCGTGGCCCAGTATTAACGCCGTCAATTAATTCGCCGACCGACAGATCCAGATCGGACCTCTCAATAATGGATGATGCAAGGTACAGTACTATTACATCGACTATATGCCATGGTGCAGACATTTTAGTCGGCAATCGCGGTATTATTCTCGGTATAGAGAATTCTCCGGATGGAGCACACATCAGACAAAGACTTCAGCCCTTGCGGTGTTGCCTTCGAGTGATGGTCATGGTTTGACCCCCTTGCAAGCAGCTCCGGTGTCACCTCGATGTCGACATGTCAGACTAACGTCAGGGCTCGAAAATCAGGTCGCATGCTATCCTTCCAATCACCATCCACGACGCAGGACCGGCGGAATCGAGAACCACTCAAATCCGTCAAACGCGCTGACAGTGTTCGCCACGAACGACCCCCTGAACCAGAGCCAGACCGGGTCTCTCTCAATTTCCACTACTACTGGCTCTCAGACCGAACCAAAGACAGACAAGACTTGACTTCCGCCTGAATAAGTGGGGGCTAGACCGTTTGCGCTTGGCGAATAGGCGACTTGCAGGGCGAAATGGATCGAGATCGATCCGCGCACACACGTCGGAGCCGTAAGGCTGTCTTGGTCGGTCACAGAGGATGTGATAGATGCCCTCCGGAGACTGGTCATAGGGCCGGGTAATAAGGAGCTGGGCAATGAATCAATTTCCACCGGCCTTTGGAAGGAATGCCTGCAGGAACGGATCGACGAATTGCGGTCTCCCAGGAACCGAAAGAATGGGTGAAAGAATGAGACGAGAGGCAAGAGGCGTAGGGTGAAACATCGCCCCCGTGTTGGTGCCTGCGCCCTCAGGCTGGTCCCGTCTTTTCTTTTTTTGGATCTGCTCTCTGGTGCTTCGTCTTTCTTTTCCTCGCGTCTTCGTCCGGTCCTTTCCATTCCTCTCGCGGTCGGCCATTTCTCCTCTCTCGTCGACTTCCTTCTGCCACCCTTCCTGTCGTTCCAATTGACCACGCTCCTTTGGTTTTCTCCCAGTTCCCACGCGTTTTCCTCGGTTCGACCCACCACCCCCCACAACAACCTGTCCAGAACGAGATCTGCGATTGAATCCCCTCACGATCTCTCAATCGTTTGGCAAAATTCATGTCTCTCATTTGACGGTCTCGTGTCGCTGATTCGCTCACTGGCTACCAATTTTTGTTCGGTCAAACTTAGTCCTCGTGGGGCTGCAGGACAGCCTCTGCTGTTCTAGTCCTTCCAATTCCAACCCTAGCCTTATATTTCCAGGCCAGCGTCGCCCACCGATCGTTTCCTCGAATAAATGTCTGGCCGTCCTGGCTTCGCCGAAAAGCGACTCTCCGTCCATCGTTTTCAACAGATCTCCGACAATCCGCAGGAAGAAGGCATGGCCAATCCGAACGATGTGACCATCGAAATTCCGTTGAGCACCGTTCCCAGCCGGGGTGGTGTCCGGAACCCCAGTGTCAATACTCCCGTGTCGCCCAATCCATATCAACCGCCCGGTGGGAGCCCGAATCCCAATGCGAGTGAAAAGACGGAGTTGGTGCCAGGCACGGGCCCGGGCCGTCGTAGGAGGGTCGATACTATGGGGGCTTCGGTGGAGGAGAATGAGGACGGGACGATCACTAGCATGGGTCGCATCTACCAGAAGATCCTCAACTTCTCCATTGTCACTCGATATATGCTCTACGTTACGCCGCTTGCCATATTGATTGCCATCCCGATCATCGTGGGTGCGACGGTCGCGCAGGACGCGACTATCGGCGGCGTGCCTGTACACTGGTTTTTCACCTGGATCGAAGTGATCTGGTTGAGTTTATGGGTGGCCAAATTGGCCGCCCGTGTTTTGCCTTATGTTTTCCAAGTCCTGTGCGGTTTCGTCAGCTCGGGGACGCGCAAGTATGCCTTGATTCTACATCGGCTGCAGATCCCCATCGCAACCGTGATCTGGACTGTGATCTCCCTCGTGACGTTCTTGCCCGTAGGTGTATCGTCCTGTATGCTCGAAGGACATTATCGCTGACATGCATTCCCAGATTATGACTTTGAATCCAGTGAAGCAGAAGCAGAATGATACAGGAGCCAAGTCTTGGGAGAAAAGCATGAAAAATATCCTGTTTGCCCTGTTTGTCTGCAGTCTGATCTTCCTTGGAGAGAAAGCGCTTGTCCAGCTCATCTCGATCAGCTATCATCGGAAGCAGTTTGATGCCAAGATCAAAGAGTCCAAGCGGAACGTTCATCTTATTGGACAGTTGTACGAGGCTTCGCGAAGCATGTTCCCGATGTATTGCAAAGAGTTCTGTGATGAAGATGCCGCCGTTTCCGACTTGATCACCAGCAAAGCCAGTCGCCTGCCTCGTTCGGGCTCGGCCCCCTTTCGCATGATCCGAGAAGTCGGACACGGGTTTGGCCGTATCGGTGAAAAGGTGACAGCTGCCGTGGGTGATGTAGCCCACGAACTTACCGGCAAAGAAGTCTTCAACCCCAATTCGGCCCGGTCCGTCGTTACCTTGGCGCTGGAGAGGAAGAGGTCGTCGGAGGCGCTGGCCCGTCGGATCTGGATGTCGTTTGTCATCGAGGGCCGCGAGGCTCTGTATCACGACGATATTGTGGAAGTGCTGGGCGCAGGAAAGGAAACCGAGGCGGATGAGTGTTTCCAGATCCTCGACCGGGATGGAAACGGCGACATTAGCCTGGAAGAGATGATCTTGGCCGTTGCAGAGATCGGGCGGATGCGCAAATCATTGACCCACAGTTTGCATGATGTGGACCAGGCGATTCATGTTCTCGACAATCTCCTGCTCACAGTCGCGTTCGTCGTCAGTCTGCTGGTTTTCGTCTCCTTCGTGACGAGTGGGTTCGGTACTGTCATTGCTGCCGGGGCTACCTCCCTCTTGTCCCTGAGTTTCGTCTTTGCCACCACTGCCCAAGAAGTCCTGGGCTCTTGTATCTTCCTGTTCGTGAAGCACCCATTCGACGTTGGAGATCGGGTGGATATTGAAACCAAACCCTACTACGTCGAGCGTATTTCTCTCCTCTTCACCGTGTTTCGCAACGTCACCGATCACCGCATCACACAAGTTCCCAATGTTATTCTCAACACTTTGTGGATCGACAACTTCACTCGCTCCAACGCGATGCATGAGACGCTGACCATCCCTGTCAAGTTCGAAACGACGTTCACTGATATCCAGAACCTTAAGGAGGAGATGGAGCATTTTGTGCGCGACAAAGACAACTGCCGTGACTTCCAGCCCGACCTTGATGTCGATGTCGTGGGTGTTGGAGATATGGATAAACTGGAGCTGAGCGTCAGCATCCTCCACAAGTCCAACTGGTCGAACGAAAGCGTTCGGGCCGCACGCCGCTCGAAGTTCATGTGTGCCCTCGTCTCCGCAGTGCGCAAGATCCCGATCCGCGCGCCTGGTGCCGAAGAGCCGACGGAGGACGCGAACGATGACGAGGGGAAGCCAGACGGAGACGGTGCGGCCAAGAATGACACGACCGACAAGAGCACCGACGGGGCAATGAGCCGTGCGAGCACCGCCAACGCCCCTCAAGGGCTTGGTCTGACCGGTGCCGACTCCAAATCCACCGGATTCGATCTCGGTCGGTCATCCGGATCGCTGCAGCACCGTAACCGGGGCGGCGAAGCTTCCAGCAGCATCTTCAGCGAGGGTCTCTCCCCTGAGCACGCACGCATGCGGTCCCCCGCGCAGGAGGAGATTCGTGATGGTCCGGACGGTGACAACTACCAAACCCCTGCCGCCTCGCCGGAACAGGGCCAAGCGACGCACCTCAATGTGAACCAATACGGTAGTCTCGAGCGAACCGCATCGACAGGCCATCGGAAGGCAGGAACCCGGTCGTCCGTTCCAATGGCCACGGGGGGTGTTCCCATTCTGGCCGCACCGGTGCCGCAGCGTCCGTCGCAGACCGTCGCGCCGGAATACTACAACTATGCCGGCAACTATTACGACCCGCAGGACGGGCCTTACGATCCCAACCAGCCCTTCGAGCTGCCTTCGGCGCGGGATGCCTCGCCTGCGGGTCCCAACCAAGGTCAGGAAGAACCCTCGCCTTATCAGCGCGGGCCTGCCTCTCCCAGCCAGGGCCGGTACGAAGCCGAGCATGAACAGATGCCGGGCTCGTTCGTGTCCCGACGGCCACCACATGCAGGACAGTGATCCTGAAAAAGAAATAAAAGAAATAAAAAAGAATCTACCGCTTTGATATCAATACAATATTTCGGAAGTAAGAAGGGAAAGAAAGATCAGCGCAATGTGTGAATGATGTTTGTATTCTTTTGGTTAATACCAGCGTACGAGCGGGGCGAATTTGTCTGGAATATTTTAGCAATCGGGAATATAATTAGTTCTCGTATCATTTTGGTTACTGGACAATGATGCTTTCGCATTGACAATGAGATATTGTATGAGATGATGGCTATAGTACATACAAGCGTCCATCCCGACGCTGTTTACTTCCGAGGAAGGAAAAAAACCTCCCGTAAAAGTGAGATACAGAATGGCATATCGACAAAAACAACCCGCCAATTACCGCGAATTCGACTCCTTCCAGGGATACGACACGGGGTCATCCTTGCGCACCCAGATCTTGGACTTCCTCTTGTTCAGGACGTGCTCCACAAACACCTCGCGGGTATGCTCAGCCTTGAACTTGCGAATGTATCTCGGATCCCACAGCTCGCTGGCAATGCCCAGGTCCTTGCAGCAGCGGACGAGCGCATTGGACCGACACCCCTCGGTGGCGGTGGGAATGCCATCGGGCGAGAAATAATCCTGCTCGCCACGAGCGACCGACACGAGTCTACATCCCCATCGCATCACGATCAGCATTCATCCACATTCCTCGTAACAATATAAACCCAGGATATAAAAGAAAAGAGAAACCTACCGTCCATTACACACCAACGCATACTCCCTCGTCACGGTCTTCGGCGTCACGATGCTCTCGCTGCGCGGCACGAGCCCCCACCCGCCGGGCCCGAACGCGCGGTTCAGGATGCGCCGGTACTTGATCTCAGGCAGGTAGAGGATGCCGTCGGGCTTGATCTCGACCTCGGCGGGGTCGCACGGGGCCAGGAGGATGTCGGCGGCTTCCTTGGGGAAGGGGGCGGCGCTGAGCCCGTGGAAGGACCGCGTCCAGTCGATCTTCTCCTCCGCGGAGACGTCCAGCTCCAGCGGCTTGTCGGAGAGGCCGGTCTTGGAGATGTTGGCCGTCGTCTGGTGCGACGGCGTCTGGGCGACGATGCGTGCGGCGCGCTCTTCGGCGGGGGAGGGTGCCGGGGAGGTGGGTTTGGGGGTGGTGGGCGTGCTGGAGCTGCCGTTGGGAGCTGCTGGTCGGGGTGGTTGTTGCTGTCTGGATACGGCGGACTGCGTGAAGGTTCGTCGGGGGAGGAAACGAGCGGGCGGTGCTCGAGTGAGCAGGGACTCTGCCGTCCGGAGCGAGTGAGAGAGACGAGGGAGGGACATGGTTGGGGGGGATTGAGGGGATTGCAAGAGATGGAGAGACAGAAACAGAGAACGAGAGATACGAGCAAATCGGGATGCCGCAAAGGGAAGTCAGCTGCACGTCACGTGATGTGAATGGGCCTCCAGTAGATGGAATAGACCCAGGAGATCCAGTGGACGGAGTAGAGTAGATGGATTGAGTCAGAATCTATGGTACAGGTGCAGCAGAATGAATAGTATACAGCCCGGGGCCAGATGCATGAACTAGAGTATTGTCCTGCTCCGGGGTATTCGCAGGCCGTCACGCATCCTGGGTCTGAGTGCGCTGGTCGTTGCCCTGGCGCTTCCAGCATTCGCGAAAAGCCTCCATCTATGGATCGCACAGAGTGAGAGACAGTCAGTGTATTTCCATCAAGAGAGGACCACTCTAGGAGGTTGTATGGCTGCAATGGGAGATGCTGGAGCCCCTGCCTCTATCGCCGACCGACTCACCTCGTCCTTGCAACTGCGCCAATCCTTTTTGGCAAAATAGCAGTCATTCATCTTGTCCTGCTCCACTGCACGTTGTCAATGGACACTGAGCCTTCCAAAGCAAACCGAACCATGGGGGAGGGTAGCGTCGCCTACCTGCGCAGCCCGTACTGAAGATCCGCTTGTCCCTGACCTCCGATCAGCTCCGCTCGCTCTCGTCGCTCTCCGTCGGAACAGCTACTCACCAGTCGTCAGGTTCGTCGTCGTCGTCCACTTCCACGGGCGGGTTTTGGACTTGTTCTTTCTGCGACATTGTACTGGAATTGCACTCAGGATCGGGGGTGTGTCTGGAGGATCGAGTTGCGTTGCTCGGAATTGCTGATTGATTATCAGATCTCTCGTCTCCCATCGAATTCCCCGCCATGGCCACTTCCACTGCCAACGCCAACGCCAACTTGAACGGCAAAAAGGTCAACGTCCTGGTGTATTCCGGTGTGTCATCTCCCATCCTTTCATCTACGAGAATTACTTGCTAATTGTGTTTTTCCGACCAGGAAATGGAACCACCGTCGAATCCGTCCGCCACTGCCTCTATACCCTGCGCCGCCTTCTGGCCCCTCATTATGCCGTGATCCCCGTGACGGCCGATATGCTCATTAAGGAGCCTTGGACCCTCACCTGCGCCTTACTGGTGATCCCCGGAGGCGCCGATCTGGGATACTGCCGGGCTCTCAACGGTGCGGGCAACCGCCGCATCGAGCAGTTTGTGCGCCGCGGGGGTGCATTCCTGGGCTTCTGCGCGGGCGGATACTACGGCTGCAAGCGCTGCGAGTTTGAGGTGGGCGACAAGACTTTGCAGGTGATCGGAGAGCGCGAGTTGGCCTTCTTTCCCGGCACTTGTCGCGGCGGCGCATTTGGGGGGTTCGTCTACCACAGCGAGAGCGGGGCACGCGCGGCCGCCTTGACGGTCTCCAAGGAGGCATTGGCAGCGGGGATCGTGCCGACAGAGTTCCGATCGTATTATAATGGCGGAGGAGTGTTTGTGGATGCGGCCTCGTATGCGGACAAGGGCGTCGAGGTGCTGGCGGACTACGCGGAGGAATTGAACGTCGATGGCGGGTCGGGCGCTGCGGCCGTTGTCTACTGCAAGGTGGGCGAGGGTGCAGCTATCCTGACGGGCCCCCATCCAGAGTTGGCGATCCCCTGGAATCTGTATGTGTGAGGATGCTAACAAGACCCGGGGTGTAGGTTTGCCGCGGCCAATCTTGACAAGAGCGCCGGGGGTCCGGAGTACGCGCAGATCGTGGATGCATTGGCGGAGGATGACCGGGCGCGAACGGACTTCTTGAAGGCGTGTCTAGGGAAATTGGGGCTGCAGGTGGCGCAGAATACTACAACCGTGCCGTCGCTGTCGTCGTTGCATCTGTCCGGGCTGGACCCGGCGGACACGGAGCAGATCGTGTCGTCGCTGCGAGACGTCATCACGACGGAAGGACAGGAGGAGTATGTCAAGGACGAGAATGACACGTTCCGCCTCGAGAAGGCCGGCACATGGAGCATGGGTACCCTGAACGAAGCCCTGCCGGACAGCTCGGAGGGGATCGTCGACTACAATGCCATTACGAAGCGGATCGTGGTGCATGACGAGGTACCGTCGTCGAAAACCACGCCCTATTTCAACCACCATGCCTTCTACTCGAATCTCCGCCGATACCAGTCCCTCTCGAAGGAAGGGGCGTCTGAATTCGGGTCGAATCTGATGTACGGAGAGGTCGTGACCAGCACCAACACGATCTTGGAAAAGTGAGTCCCCTGCGATCACGTTGATGGGCTGCTCTGACCGCAGTAGGAACCCTAAGCTGTTGCGCAAACTCCCCCAGGGGTTCACGGCCAGCGCCACGACCCAGGTGGCCGGTCGAGGGCGTGGATCCAACGTCTGGGTGTCACCGGCCGGAGCCCTCATCTTTTCGACAGTGCTGCGACACCCGATCGAGAAGATGCAATCGTCGCCCGTGGTGTTCATCCAGTACCTGGCAGCCATGGCGGTGGTACAGGGGATCAAGAGCTACGACGAGGGGTACGAAGCCATGCCGGTCAAAGTGAAATGGCCCAACGACGTCTGTGAGTAAGCCCGGGTGGTTGTATGCGGTATGACAGGGATGGCTAACGAGGCGCCGCCAGATGCATTGGATCCCGAGGAGCCGGATAAGAAACGCTACACGAAAATCTCCGGGAATCTGATCAACTCGCACTTCTCCGGCAGCGAATACATCGCCGTCGTGGGAGTCGGTGTGAACGCCACCAACGCCTCGCCGACGACGTCGCTGAACGCTCTCGCCGCGCGCTTCGTGGGTCCTCGGGCGGCCCCCATCAGCCTAGAGAAGCTACTAGCGCGCATCCTCACGACGCTAGAGGACCTCTACGCCCGGTTCCTCCGCAGCGGATTTGACCGAGGGTTCGAGGAGATGTACTACAACGACTGGCTGCACATGCACCAGGTAGTGACGCTGGAGGAGGAGGGCGGCGCGCGCGCTCGCATTAAGGGCATTACGCGCGACTACGGATTGCTGCTGGCCGAGGAATTGGGATGGGACGACCGGCCGACGGGGCGCGTTTGGCAGCTGCAGAGCGACAGCAACAGTTTCGACTTTTTCCGAGGACTCGTCAAGCGCAAGGTGTAGGCGATAAAATTGTGAAATGGTGAAGTGGTGAAGGCTGGGCGAAGGCTTCGACGAGCGCCAAGGAGGCTTAGTTCGGAACTAACGGCAGGGCTGAGCAGAATTAATGTTGCGGCCTACGCCGTACAGTCGTTTAATTTCCTCGTATCCGTGAGTGTTGCTGCAAGAGACAGAGAGAGAGAGTTAATTATAGAATAGACGGTCGGCACCGCGGGTGGCCGACACGATGATCCATGGACCGGCCACAGAAGAATTCCAGAATTAATCTACACTTTGCAGCCTAGAAGAACCGTAAACCTAGAAAAATATTAGTTCCTTTTATAGTAAGAATATTACTACCGCGTAGGTGGTCATCATTCAGACAAAAAGGATTAGCGGTCATGTGCCGCGTCTTCCTTTAAAGCCTTTCGTCCTTCGCCGTTTCAGCTTTTTCTTCTTCTCCGTCTTGTCATCCCCAGATCCTCTCAGTCTTTGTGCCTGCACCCCAACTCATCCCGCATTCTGTACCACTTCGTTCTTTCATCATGTTCAACTTCGCCTGGTTCAAGTCGTCCAAGGAAGAGGCTCCTGCGGCCACCTGGAACGCCAACACGTTGACCATGGAGCAGCCTTCCAGCCCGGCGGCTCCCCAGCAGCAGCAGCAGCAACAGCAGGTGGTGACCGACCAACCCGTACGTCGCACTCGCTTCTTTGTTTCCCCGTGGGAAATTGGATGTGTCGCTAACCAGGACTTGGCTATTCTCAGTCCTCCCAGGAACCCATGCAAATGACCCTCCGAGGCGGTGGTTCGGGCGGCGTCTGCTGCGGAATGTGAGTGGCTCTCCTGATTGATCTTCTTCTCCTTCCGATCCTAATGGTTTCTCGAAATTAGCTGTGCCGGTCTCGCCTGCTTCGAATGCTGTGAGATTTGCTGTTAAGATGTTTGGATTTGACGATGGTTATGATACCCGAAATATTCGTGTTGCGATTTCTTTTTTTCTTCATTTCAATTTTTTTTCTGGTCATGTCAGGCTATTCATAATATTAGTTGATCTGCTGCAAGGTGGCAGCCATTTATGTCATCTCTTCGACTGAATAGGAGCTGATCTGTTATCCCGTCATGGCTCGCATAAGTTCGGCGCTCTGTCCCGCCGTCTGTTCCACCGCTAGCAGCGATCGACACTCGATGCGACGATGCAAAAACCTGTCGAGTTGGTGCGGCGCGATGGATGGGGGCGTGGACCGGCGAATCCAAATCGACGAATTCCACATTCAGGATCATCCTTGCTAAACCGTGTCACCGGCCTCTCCGAGATGCTAACAAAATCGGGTCTCCACTCCACCGTCTTCCTTTGAAATCGGCTTTGTTACTCCATACTGCGTAGATAATGCAGTCGGCCCTTTTCTGCCTCGGTTGCTGGCAAGCGGCCCCCTCCTTCGGTTATGTCTTATAAGTAGTTTCTGGTTCGCTCGATTGGCCGTCAGTTTTGCTGGCCACGCGGAGTATTTCAATCCACCTGATACTGTCCGACTCCCTGCCACTTCCTCCTCGACAATACATCCCTTGCCTCGCCCCTCGTCCTGGTATGGGCCTTTTCCTCGCCGTCGCGGCCGTGCTGCTCGGTCTGCGCATCTTGTGGAGTATCCTCACGTCGCTGCGTCATGCTCAGAATGCTCGCCAAAGACAATGTGGCCCCGTCCCCAAGTACCCCAGCGACTGGCTGGGGATTAGCACGTTACGAGAAGTGATGCGAGCCGACCATGCGAAGATGGTACCGCCGACATTCCGTGGTCGCTTCGAAACGATGCGCAAGCAAGAGAACCGACTTGTCACTACGTTCGAGCAGGTGCAACTGGGTCGCAAGAGTATTGTGACCTTCGACCCCAAGAACGTCCAGGCCGTCCTGGCGACGCAGTTTAAGGACTTCGAGCTAGGAGAGCCCAGACGGAATGCACTGCACTCGCTGCTGGGATCCGGAATTGTATGTTTCGCCCCTGAACTATCCCGCGATGTACGGCGTTACCCTCGGCAACAGGATTAATATGATATATCATGTGAACAGTTCACAGCCGACGGCGAAGCCTGGTCTCGTTCGCGCGGCCTCCTGCGCCCCCAGTTCACTCGGGATCAGATCAGCGATCTCGATCTGGAGGAACGCCACGTCCAAGCCGCCATGCGGGCCATTCCCGTCGACCAGTCGACCGGCTGGTCCCCCGCCACCGACATTCAATCCATCTTCTTTCGGCTGACGATTGACTCGGCGACGGAGTTCTTGTTCGGCGAGAGCGTCGACAGCCAGACTGCCGTGGTGAACGGCGACGTTAGCGATGACAAGTTCCCTTACTACTTCGACCGCGGCCAGTGGTACGCGGCGCAGCGTGGCCGGTTGGAACACTTCTACTGGATGGCCAACAACAAGGAAAGCCGCTTCATGGACTCTCAGGTGCGCTCCTACGTGGACCGCTTCGTGGCCAACGCCCTCGAGCGGCGCCAGAACGGCGACATGGAGAAGTCCGCCACGGATTCGCAGCAACCCTACAACTTCCTGAACGGACTCGCGACCATTACCCAAGACCCCGTCGAACTGCGCTCGCAGCTGCTGAACATCCTGCTGGCCGGTCGCGACACCACCGCCTCCCTGCTCAGCTGGTGCATCCTGCTCCTGGCGCGTCACCCGGACATCTTCCAGAAGCTGCGCGCCACCGTCCTCGAGACCTTCGGCACGTACGACGCCCCGCACGACATCACCTTCGGCTCGCTCAAGTCCTGCCGCTACCTGCACCAGGTCATCAACGAGGTGCTGCGTCTGTACCCCATCGTTCCCGGCAACCGGCGCGTGGCCACCCGCGACACGACGCTGCCCCGCGGCGGCGGCCCCGACGGCGAGTCGCCCGTCTACGTGCGCAAGGGCCAGTCGGTGAATTACCACGTGTTTGCGATGCAACGTCGCACGGATCTCTGGGGCCCCAACGCCGACGGCTTCGACCCGGAGCGCTGGGTCGACCGCAAGGTGAACTGGGACTATCTGCCCTTCAACGGCGGGCCGCGCATCTGCATCGGGCAGCAGTTCGCGCTGACGGAGACCGGCTACGTGCTGGTGCGATTGCTGCAGCGCTTCGATCGCATCGAGGACGTGAACCCGCAGCAGGAGGTTCGGTACGGGCTGACGCTGACGCTGGCACCGGCCGACCCGGTGACGGTGCGCCTGCACGAAGCCCCTGCCACGGCGTAGTGGCTGGATCAAATGTATTAGTATATAGCAAGGCGGAAGAGGACAATGACGAATCGCGGGGTTCATAGACGAGGATACGAATTTCTTGACTAGTAGCGTTGGTTCAAGTGTGTAATTTCATCAGCTCGACTTCACTGTATTTTTCACATCTTATCATTCTGTCAGAACGTCAGTTGTGCATATTCTACAGCCTCATTTCTATCGCATCCGCTTGTGAAGTACGATTTCGATTATTTAACCAATTAGTCATCCTGAAACCTCGAACGTAATCGACAACTTCAATCCTACGGAAGATTGAACATCCCGGACGAACATGAGGCGCTACACGGCCGTGCAGCGGCGTAGGATCGTGATAGCGGCGACTGCATTGATTATCATGGCGATCATAGTCGTCCACGAGGAGGGCAGGCGCAGAGAACGGCGTCACCGGTTAGAAAGAACCCAGAGGTCGGACGAATCTCCTAATCCTTCGATCATGTACTAACGCCGTCCTCCAGGCGTCATCGTCGCCGGCTGCGTCGTCGGGTGCCGCATTCTTCTGAAGATGAAGAATCCTCCGATTACCAGTATACACACTTGCAGCCGGCCAGGCGACCTGGAACAAGGCCACCTGGGGCGTTGTGATGTTTGTGCTGGGAAGAGAGTGGGAGTGGGCGAGGATGAGCAAGGCGAGGAAGCTGGGGACTGGCTGTGAAGAAGTTAGGAGCGATTTGAGCACATGTTCGAGCTCTTGACAAGGAACCGGAAGTAAAGTTCCTCTGAAGATAAGCTGCAGAAGGAGACTAACCAGAACCCTGGAAAGAGTGGATTATGAAGTCATACCCATCGACCGCCCCGTTGTCACGAACCACCACGGGAATCCGGCATACCGATTGACCCAGTCTCTTGACGAGTCCCTTGGAATGTATCCCGATCGATGGAACTGGGAGTCGGCCGAGTCGATCGACGTCATCGCCAGGCCAATCCGGGAGAATAACATCATCCATCCCAACGGCCTATGGCCCTATATAATTAACCAGCCCTATCCTTGCCAAGGCATTTACAGACCTTCATGGACCAACTCAACCCCTTTAAAGGCCGATAGTTTAAACTAATTCTGAAACTATGTCTCCACCCAACCCTACGCCCTTCACCTACGAAAACGAGATCTACCAAGCGGGTCTCCAGAACCAAAAACCCTCCCTTACCTTCAACGCTCTGGAATGGGAATCTCTCGCAAAGGCACAACTCCCAGCCTCCGCATTCGGCTACGTCCACGGCTCAGCGGGGACACGCTCCACCGACACCAACAACCAAAACGCCTTTAAGAAATGGGGCATCCTGCCTTCCCGCCTCGTCGCCAGCGACTTCCCAGACCTCTGCACCACCCTATTCGGCGACACCTACGACTATCCCGTGGCGATCGCCCCCGTCGGCGTGCAGCGCATCTTCCACCGCGACGGCGAGACCGCCACCGCGAAGGCCGCCGCTAGCGAACACGTCCCGTACATCCTCAGCACGGCGTCGTCCACGGGCATCGAGGACGTGGCAGACGCCAATGGCGACTCCCACCGTTGGTTCCAGCTCTACTGGCCGCTGAACGAGCACAACGACATCACCGCCAGTCTGCTATCCCGGGCCCGCGCCTCCGGCTACAAGGTGCTCGTGGTCACGCTGGACACGTACATCCTGGGCTGGCGGCCCAGCGACCTCGACAACGCGTATAACCCGTTCCTGGTGGCGGATGACATCGGCGTGGCGATCGGGTTCACGGACCCCGTCTTCCGGGCGAAGTTCCGCGCCAAACACGGCAGGGAGATCGAGGAGGATGTCGGCACCGCGGCGGCGGAGTGGGCGCATACGGTGTTCCCGGGGCTGAGCCATGGGTGGGAGGATCTGGCGTTCTTGAAAGAGCACTGGGATGGGCCGATTGTGCTGAAGGGGATCCAGACGGTAGCGGATGCCAAGCGGGCAGCGGAGTATGGGGTGCAGGGGGTGGTGGTGTCGAACCATGGCGGACGGCAGCAGGACGGGGGCGTTGGGTCGTTGGACGTGTTGGCGGAGATCGTGGACGCCGTGGGGGATCGGCTGGAGGTGCTGTTTGACTCGGGGGTGCGGTGTGGTGCGGACATCGTGAAGGCGCTGGCGCTGGGCGCGAAGATGGTGCTGGTGGGCCGGCCGTATGTGTATGGGCTGGCGTTGCGGGGGGAGGAGGGCGTGCGCCATGTGTTGAGGAGCTTGCTGGGAGATTTCAATCTGACGCTGCATTTGTCGGGGATTCCGTCGGTGAGGCCAGAGCATTTGAATCGGGAGGTGTTGAGGCGTGTGGATAGTTAGGATGTTTGGGGTTATGTGTATAATATGATGATTCTTAATGAAGCCATTGCTATATACTATACAAGACTCACTCCCACCCTTCAATCCCCCTCGAAATACTCTCCCGAATCGGCGTAAAGCCATCCTGCCCGTAGAACTCACGAAGCAAGCTCTCTGCTCGGCCCCGAGGATGAATAGTAGTGTTGTCCCGGGGGATATCTGTCGGGGCATCTGGAATGCTCCGGTTCTTCGGGCGCAGATCACGAAGAACCGCAACGGTATCTGTCCAGTGCTTCTGCTCTGCAAAGGCAAAGATGCGCTCCGACTGGACCTTGGGGTCGAGAAGACCGATGACGCAGAGCCGAGCCACGTCCTCGACGTCGACATACCATTCTGGATAGGGTCAGTTATATGAGTACAACCAAAGGCCTTGAACGTACGTTCGGGGAATTTGGCGAAGGTCGTGGCGTCTCCTCGCAGGAGTTGACGCACAGATCCCATGGTTGAGCCTGGGATTTCAGGGTGCAGGATTCTTCCAACCTAGGGCATGTATGTATCAGTTAGTAGCTACATTCTTGAAGGTATCGAAAGCGATGGACCACGCACGTTGAACGACGGCAGAACAGCATTAAAAGTGTACTGAGGATCATGCCTCTCGATCCACTTCCACGATTGACGTTCCCCTTCTGTCTTCGAGGCTGCGTAGACCGCGACGCCCTTTATATCAGCCGGGGTCTTGTCATCCCATGCCGCCGCAACGGCGACATCATCCCACGAGTCTAGCTCTGTTAACTGACGTACGAGAATTGACAGAGGACCAGTACCCACCCGCATACACCTGGCGTCCATTCGGGTCGGGCAAAATCATATATGACGCCGACGACGAGGAGGCTAACACCACCCTTCTCACGCGCTGTTTCCTCGCCGCGATCTCGAGAATGTTCAGCGTAGCCTGAACTACCCAAGGGATAATCGCATTCGGATCGCTGCTGAAAGACAAATCAGATGCCTAGTCAGACATGGTTAGTATGGACGGTTGTGTGATCATGCTTGAACGCAAGTTGTCAAGGATACTACCAGATGAATGACCCCGTCTACATCGCCCAACGCACGTTGAATGGCATCGACATCCACGAAGGAGCTGATCTGGACCGTCTCGAACGAGTCTCCGCCGTATTTCTGACGGAAGTATTCGTTCAACCATGGCTTCTCTGCGCGGACCGTCCCTCGCACGACGTACCCCAGTTCCAGGAGTTTGTCGATGACGTGGGAGGCGATGTAGCCGTTGGCGCCGGTGACGAGGATTCGAGATCCGAGAGGCAGGGCGAACGAAGCTGGATCCATGACGATGGAGAGGAAGGGAGATGGACAGACAGGTTAAAGTATGTTTTAAGGTCTGGAAGATAGTCAAAAGTTGAAGTTGTTGATTTGTAACCCCACTCGGGCTCTGCGTCGGGATTAGACTGCATGGTTGCGTCTGCATCTGCAATACATCCCCGTCACATTCTAATCCTAATGAGTACCATTGGTTTAATTATTAAAAAGCTAATAGATAACGCATTTCATACTTGAGCTAGATGTATCAATATTGAAATATCCTAGAATATACTCGACCCTATCTAAACCAAAAGATAACTACAGCATTCCCTCCAAAATCTATACCTTTGAGCATTATAAGCAAACCAGTTGATTAAATCTAAAAGCTCGTGAACAGGGCCATATCGACGGTAGCTAATAGCCCACGTATACAGGGGCTAGTAAGTCTGTTGCTTTTTATAAGCTGACATTGTCACACTCACAGACACGAGATCATTGGCCCTCTATGCCCCAGTGTTATTTTCACAAACACCAACCTCTTATTTAACCTCCTGCCCCTCCTTCTCGATCTCGTATTATTCTAACTCTGGACAAAATCCTTGCATGGACGAGTACTACCTTATATCTTATTGCCAGCTTTCCCCGGGTTCTACTTCTGCCTTCTCCTTTCATGCAAGAATGGAAGCCTCTGGTCTACCCGTATCGAGCATTCTCTCAGCTCTTAGAAAAGTCACGCCCCTTCCTGCGGATAGTGAATTTTTTCTTCTGTTTGCAGAGAACGGAATCCTTGTGCTTTTATTCGTCCTGGCATACGGGATGAACCTTTGCAATGTCACCCACCGGATACGAAAGCATGTGGTTCATGGAGACCCCAAGGAAGCATGGAGGCTGAAGGAGTCTTATAGAGATACATTTGCCCTGCAGGCCGTCTCGGTACGCTCCCTAACCTCTATGTCGACCATTCTAATGCCCAAGTAAAGGCAGCCATCATTGCCCAGATTTCCATCACAATGCTCGGTCTTGACAACATGGGCAATATCCACTGGAGTGCTACAGCCTTCACATACATGAGCATGGTCAGCGGGATCTTATCCACGTACTGCGCATTCTACATCCAGGAGAGACTCAGCACCCTCCATAGCCCCGAGGATGTCCGCGATTGGCTTCTATCGCGGCCAAATGAGCCTCTGGTTTGGCTTTCTTATACCTTCACCGGCCCACTACAGAGGACAACCGATAATGACCATCATAACCGCAACAACCGAATCCCCTCGATATTAGTTGCGTCGGCTCTATCTGCTCCTAGTGCACTCCTTAGGTTGTCGATAGTTTTCTGCTTTGTAGCGATGGCACTTTATTTGGTATTCATGTATACTGAGAACCTCGGGAGCTTAACAGGGCGTGATGCAAACATGGCGGTTCTAATCATGGTGTGTATTTACTCAATATCGTTAATCCCCCGGGTATATCTTCCCATACATTTAAGGCCGGGAGCGAGAAACGCGTCCTTAGTTATGAGTGATCCTGGGCGGCATTATGGGGCGGCAGCTAGGGTCTCTGGTGGGACTGGGAATTTATCAGATGATATACGAGATGCACTACAGGCGTCGATTCGTGCGCAGGAGACTCTGAAGGCCCTGGAGGCCCTTTTGGAGTTGTGGGAGTCTCAGTTGAGGATGCAAAATGGTGTAGAAGACCATCGCGGTGGTTGAATCCATTATAATAGTGCTTCTTTGTTCTAAATAAACATTATAATTTTGCTATACAGAAAGAAAGAGGTCATCCGCGGCGTTGTATCCCGGTATATAAAGGGGCCATGGATGGGTAGTACGATAGGCAATGTCTGGCAGCTTGCGACTAAGGCTACAACCTCCGGACTTAGTGATTCGATATATACATCTATATCGGACTGCAGGTAGCGTTCATTCATCTCCCCTTGCGTCGACCGAGAAGACTACAGAGTACAGAGTGACATAGAACTAATAGTGGTAATTCCGACGAAGGCGGGATCAAGTCAGGTGACTGTCGGGATTGGCAGGCGTCCCGGTGTTTTTTCTTTTCTTCTTCTCTTCAACCATCTACTACTCCGTAAGGTACTTTCCTATGAGCACTCATCAACACGTTTTCTCATCACCGGTGAACAGTAATGAGGCCTGCATTACCTCGAGCGCTAGATTGGCCTCTCAGACCATCATTCAAAGACTAGGCAGCTACTTATTTCCTGACAATTTCATAGTTTTTTTTCTTCGATTTACAAAGGTAATTATTCAATTAATTGATCAATCATATTAAGCCTCGTCAGTTCTTACAAAACATTAGGAAGATGGTACAGAAACCACTACAGGGTCTACTCCGTACAGCTACTCCGTACTGCTATAACAGTGGGTACTTCCTGACTATCGGTATTTCTCATTCCTCCGGAGTACAGCACCTTCGAGAACGGCGATAATGATATGTCCAACTCCCTCGAGCCACCATGGACCCATTTCATTAATCTCCCTGCGACAACCTCCCCAAGACAAGCTTTTTACCGGCCTCGCCGTCGTAAATCGCGCGTTCGGGTACCCTGAATTTCCCCGACCAGCACCTCGAGCACTCCATCGCCGTTTCATCTAAATTCGCGTGGCCCCACGCCGCATCGCAAACCGAGCAGGCTAAGCCTCAGCCGGTGTTACAGACTGCCCCCCACCGGCTGTCCACGGGTTTATCAATAATCAATAATTTGCTCATTTCATCGCAGTCATCAGTTAGTGCCTATGACCCCGGCTGACAACGCCACGCGGTCGCGAAATGAGAGACGTTCGGCGACCGTCCCCTCTTCGGCGACCTTCCCCCCTGATTGAAACCGGTTAGAGTCCAGGGACGATGGAAATTGCACTGGGGGGGGGGGGGGGGGGGGGGTTAATCTATCCGGGTCTTCGGATAGGATCGTTGGTGGTGGGCGCATCCTGGGACTCCGCCGCTCCATTGGCTCCGAAACCCGTCTCGGTTGATATGAGATTGTTTGTGGGGATTGGGAAATGACCGGCGATGGCTGCCTTGGACGGGATCATTCTATAAAGGTGGGAAGCTGGTCTGCGAGGGTTGTTTTCTTGTCACTTCTCTCACTCAAGACTGGTTTCTTGTCATTCTTTTGCTTCGTCCATTCGTTCTTGTCACTCTTTTTGCAAGTTCATACATTCGTTTCTTTTTCACTCCTTTCCATTCTTTTTCAATATGAGAATCACCAGCCTCATCATGGCCGCCAGCGCCGCTGGCCTGGTTAGCGCTTACCCTAAGCGTGACATCAAGAAGCGCGACACCGGCTTCACCTGTATGTCTTCTGGCTCTTTGAACTTTCTGAAGATGTCCTTATTGACTCCAAATAGGGTTCGGCGTCAGCGAATCCGGAGCCGAGTTCGGCGAATCCAACATCCCCGGTACTCTGGGCACCGACTACACCTGGCCCGAGACCTCCAAGATCCAGTCTCTGCGGAAGGAGGGCATGAACATCTTCCGTGTTCCCTTCCTCATGGAGCGTTTGGTGCCGAGCAAGATGACCGGCACGCCGGATTCGACCTACCTGAAGGATTTGAAGACGGTGAGTTGCCTCCACGCATCGATTGGAGAGTGCAATGGCTAATTATCTTAGACCGTCTCAGCCATCACCGAAAGCGGTGCCTATGCGGTTCTCGACCCCCATAACTATGGAAGATAGTATGTTCTTCGCCACTGTCTTGGGTGGTGCGATGTTAATGGACAATATAGCTCCGGAAGTATCATTTCCTCCACCTCGGACTTCAAGGCTTTCTGGAAGACCGTTGCCGGAGAGTTCGCCTCCAACGACAAGGTGATCTTTGATACCAGTAAGTCAACGCCCTCAGATGGCTACCGTCCAGCCTGGCTCTAACCTATCCCACTAGACAACGAGTTCCACGACATGGACCAGGACCTCGTGCTGAACCTCAACCAAGCCGCCATCAACGGCATCCGTGCCGCTGGTGCCAAAACCCAGTACATCTTCGTCGAGGGCAACTCGTACACCGGTGCCTGGAAGTGGGCCTCCACCAACGACAACCTCAAGGACCTGACCGACCCTCAGGACAAGATCGTCTACGAGATGCACCAGTACCTGGACTCGGATGGATCCGGTACCTCCGAGACCTGCTCCAGCTCTACCGTTGGTAAGGAGCGTCTGCAGACCGCCACCGAGTGGCTGCAGTCCAACAAGAAGAAGGGTTTCCTGGGTGAATTCGCCGGTGGTGTCAACGCCGACTGCGAGTCCGCCGTCGAGGGCCTGTTGTCCTACATGTCGGAGAACTCGGACGTCTGGACCGGTGCCGAATGGTGGGCTGCTGGCCCCTGGTGGGGAACCTACATGTACAGCCTGGAGCCTGAGAGTGGTCCCGCGTATGACACCTATCTGCCCATCCTGAAGAAGTACTTTGTCGATGGAACCTCTTCCTCGTCGGCCTCTGCCTCTGCCTCTGCTACCGCCTCTGCTACCGCCTCTGCTTCGTCCGGCTCCAGTGCCACCGCCAGCGTCAGCTCCGCTGCGTCGTCCGCTGCGTCGACTACGACCGCCGCCGCCGCCGCCACCACTACTGCCCCTGCCTCGTACTCGGCCCCGAACGCTCAGAACAAGGCCCCGGCTCCCACGGTCTCGGCTGCTCAGTCCTCCGCTGCCTCCGCTGTGCCTGTGAGCAGCGCTCCCTCCTCCTTCCAGACCCTCCCGGCTGCTTCCTCCGTGGCTCCTTGCAGCAGTGGCGCCGCTACTAGCAGCAGCGCGGCTCCCAGTGGCTCTGCCGGCGTGGTTGCCCACTACTACCAGTGCGGTGGTATCAACTGGACCGGCGGTACCAAGTGCGAGAGCCCTTACAATTGCGTCAAGCAGAACCCCTTCTACTACCAGTGTGTTTAAATTTTGAACAACGGGAAAGATTGGAGGTAACTCGTCTGGTGTCAGACCAAGTCCGGTATTTTTGGCTTCTATGTTAGGCATCGAACCGGATAGAACGGTGGTTGTATATAGTTCCCAGCTCTAGTAGATTTGATCGTGCCATATAATCCAGCTCATTCATAAACATCACTTCATATTGGTATCACAGGCGTAATTCCAAATCATAGACAAAGAGAGAGCGATTTCGGCCCTATTTTGAAACCTCAAATTCGAACGACCGATCTCCCTCCCCTGTCGGAACGGGCTTCGCATCGTTGTCATAAAGCGTCCGTTCAAAATACCTCACCGTGCCGTCCTGCCGCACCAGAATCACCGTCTGCTTCTGCGTCCCATACGATCCGTGCAAGTAACTCCGATCCAGCGAGTCATCGCCACCCACCCCTGACCCCTGCGCCGCCGCCCTCACCGCATCCTCCTTTCTCCCCAGCAAAGGAATGAAGATACTCTGTCGAAAGAACGGCAGATAATCCTCCGCCGTGGCATCCTCCCCCAGCTCCGGCAACGTATTGCGACTCAACAACTCCAAAAACCCGTCAATCAGCCCATCCTCTCCCTGCGCCTTGCCTTCCTCCCCACCCACATGCCCCTCAATCACCTCCTGCATCAACTTCTCCCCGTCCAAAATCTTCGGCCACGACCGGTCCTCAAACGTCGTATTACTCAGTCCGCGCGTCTCCCCCTTGTCGCCCGCCACCCAGCTAATCATCTCCATGTCCTCGCTGCGATTCGACACGATGGCCAACGGCTCCCCCACATATCCACACACCAGGCTGAAGCCGCCGACATTCCGTGCCTCCGGGCTCGCGACCATCTGCGACACGAACTCGCGCGTGCCGGTCCTCTCCCGCGGCGGGACGGTCAGCCAGCCGTTCACGATGGTGCCGCGCGACTTGTTACCCGTGGCCTCGTCGGTCGTCTTCTCGCGGTAGTTCGTCAGCACAGCGATCTTGCCGTCCGTGCTCACACCCATCCAGGTGCCGTGTGTGGCGCGCGCGAGGTCTCGGCCGCCGAGGATGTGCGTGTTGGGCTCCGGCCACCAGTTTGCGGGGGAGGTTGGGCGGTGCAGGTATTCCTATTTTTAAGAGGGTTATTTCTTTTCGCTCTCATGGTAGCTGATGGTTGATAGGAGGGGGATATTGGGAGAGGGGGTGTTTACATCTCTGTTGTTGATGACGATTAATGGGTAGGATGGATGAGCGGTGGATATTAATGCGATGCACATTGCGTTGTTGTGAGCGAGCTCAATGGAAGAAGATCACAATGGCAGGTTTGAATTTGGCAGTTATGTAGGATGATCAGTGGAAAAGATAAATATACAGGGAATATCGAAGGAATCGATCAATCGCTTGCGATGCCGATGACGAATGATCACGCGATCGGGCGGTATAGATCGTAGATTACTAGAGCAATACGGAGCAGGTTGAATGAAGAAAAGTAGAGTGAATAGAGAGTCAATGATGATTAGCAAGATGGGGAAGTGATAGTATTATGATCACCCAGAGCACAGACAGATGCGAAAGCAAAGACGGCCGCTCGGCCTTTAAAAGAGGCGATCTTGGGCATCACATGGTGCAGCCGCCGCCTGTCACGGAACGCCGATTATGTCATGCGTTGGGCCGACAGGCAGAATCTGACCGCCTGGGCGGTGATGGCGGGCAGCCCATTGTCCTTCCCAGAAGGGCTTAGTGCTCAGGTGACTCAAACTCTAAACTACCACAGATTTCACATGACCAACTGGGTCTGGTTGGAATGGAAAATAACAGAATTTGTATGGGCGGAAAAGTTTGTAGTCTTTTGTCACCACCAAAAGGGTGTTCGCGAATACAAAAATGATATAACTATGGCACATCAGAGTGAAGTATCTAAATCCGCCTTCCAATTTGTGTTATCTCCTTTTTTGCAGCTGTGGGAGATGATTGAAATCCTCCACGTTGCTTTTACTATCATTTCTTGAGATCGAGGTCTCCAGCAGTCCGTCGGCGCTCACGTGAGCGGTCACGTTGGCGGTCAGACCCGGCAGGAGCTGCCCTAGAAGGCTGCCCTAGTTTCCTATTTGGGACAGCCCGGGCATCCTGGCGGAGATGGTTTCTTGATGTTCTGGATAGAATCATGACGGAGGCGTTGATTTACCTCCTCCAAGTTTACTTTTACTGATGAATAAAATCTGGATGGCCCCAGCATTTCTTGGAATCTGCCCACTTTAGAGTTCCGCGAGATCACATGAGCTGACCCCGTCCTGCTCGCTTTGAATCGGAGAGAACAGAGTTCCGTGGCTTATCTAGTATCTACTGCTTCCATATACCGAGTGTCGACTAGACCCAACTTGATAAGCATCTCGATCGACAATCACCTGAGAAGCCATTGTGAAAACTTATAAATACGCCGCGATTCCATGCTGTCATCCGGCCATCCCCGATATCTACTACTACCGCCCCAGTTTTCTAGTACGACCAGCCATCATGACCCAGCCCGACTATGAGGTCTTTCAACTTGGAGACTGGGAGCTCCAAAGCGGAGAGAAGATTGTGAACGCGCATCTCGCCTACAAGACCTTTGGAGACCCAAAATCTCCTGCTATTGTTTATCCAACCTGGTTTTCGGGCTGTACGTCTTTCCGGGAGACCGCAGAGAAAAGAAAGAATCGCTGCGGAGGACATGCCATACGAGGGGCAGAACTAACAGGTTACACGGTCCAGTACTCAGCGACAACTACTGGCTGGTGGGGGAGGACAAGGCGCTGAATCCGCAGACGTACTTTATCGTCATCCCCGCACTGTTCGGCAATGGTCAGTCCACTTCCCCCTCGAATTACCCCGGTCCCCGTCCCTTCCCGACGGTATCCTTCTACGACAACGTCCGAGCCCAGCATGCCCTGGTCACCCAGCATCTGCGCATCGGCCATCTACGCGCCGTGATCGGATGGTCCATGGGTGCCGCCCAGAGCTACCAATGGGCCACCCAGTACCCGGATATGATGGACCTCGTAGTTCCGTTCTGCGGTTCTGCTCGCACCGCGTTGCATAACCAGGTCTTCCTGGAGGGCGAGAAAAGCGCCTTGCTGGCGGCCAAGCATGTCCAATCCGCAGGCTCGGGGAAGGGGGGAGTGCTTGGGAGTAACCAGACTTTGACCGCATGGAGCGACAATGAACGACAAATTGGGCTGAAAGCATTTGCGAGAGGCTACGCCGGATGGTGAGAATGGAATCGGCCCCATCTGGCGGAGTTGAGGATGAGGACTAATCTCCAAACAGGGGCTTCAGTCAAACCTTCTACCGCCAAAAGCTGTACGAGACCGTATTAGGCTTCCAGGGATTGGAGGACTTCCTGCAGAATTTCTGGGAAGACTGGGCTCTTAGTAAAGGTATAAATCTCCGAATTCGAGCAAGACCGATCATCGATCTGGCTAGTGGAGGTAGCCACTGACGGAGATGGTTCCTAGATCCGGATAATCTCTTGACAATGCTGCAAACATGGCAGAATGGGGACGTATCCCAGCAGGCGCCATACGATGGTGACCTTGAGAAAGCACTGGCTTCAATCCGAGCCAAGTGCTTGGTCATGCCTGCAAAGACTGATCTGTATTTCCCGTGAGTCAGATTTCACCTGCGGTGTTTCAACACTGGTTGCTGACTGGCAACGATACAGCCCGGAGGACTCCGAATATGAGGTGGCGTGCATGAAGCCAGGGATTGGTACACTTCGTGTGATTCCCTCCATATGGGGCCGTAAGTAGCCTTCTGGTTTTGTCGGCAATTTGGTGCTGATCGATCTTATTGCAGACTGGGCTGGAGGCCCGGGAGATAGCAAGGCCGATGTAAAGTGGATTGATGAGCAGTTGCGGGATTTTTTGGGGGCCAATAAGCAGGATGCATCAGTGGAGAAGATAGTGCAGGCAGGCAAGGACCTGAAGATCTAAGAGCTGAATCCGTGAAACGTGTATTGAAGTGATGTAGCTGTGAGGGAATCTCCAAGAATGAATAATAATGAATGAATGGCAGTGGCAGTCAGGTGACTGGGCTGAGTCAGCCCTGCGAACGACCCCGATCGGCCATCGCCAGTTATCAATCATCCTCCACTTCATTCAAGCTCTTCTACGCCTTCCATCCAGTTCTTTCCTTTCTCCTGGGATTTTCTTTTCTTAATTATTGGACTCGGCGGGCCTTTCATTAGTTCTGTGAATTTCTTTTGGGGTTTTCTTGCCGTTTTCTTTGTCGTTCGTTGTCTTCTCTCTTTCCTGCCGATTCATTTAGCCGCCGCTTGCGCAACCGCATGATCCTTCCTCTATCCAACCTTGTAGCTCGACGATAGATAATGGCCGCGTCCACAGCTCGACAGTGGGGTGTCACGCCCCCTATATCTGCAGCCTTACCCACCCAAGATGAGCTCGCCGCAAATGACGACTTAATTGCAGAGCTGAAGCGTCAGAACAACTTCGAAAGCCCGACGGAGACTGAACAAAGGTGAGAGCGCTTTCCGGGCCTATCCCAGCCTCTTCTTATTCTTATCCCTGGAGCGCTAACGCGTCTTTCATTTAGAAAGCAAGTGCTTCAACTCCTACAGCGATGCGCTCTCGAATTCGTCAAGCTCGTCAGTCGCAAAAAGGGATTGTCGCCTGCAGCGGTCGAAGCTGCGGGTGGAAAGATCTTCACGTATGGAAGTTATCGGCTGGGTGTATACGGACCGGGTAAGTCGCTGGTGACCATTTCATTTGGGGCGAAAGTGAGAGCTGCGATGGCTAATTGAGATTTGTGCGACAGGATCGGATATCGATACCCTAGTTCTTGGACCGAAGCACGTTGTGATCGACGATTTCTTCGCAGACTTCCCTCCCGTTCTCGAAAAGCTGGCTCCGCAAGGGGCCATCGAGAAAATAACCCCCGTGCCCGATGCGTTTGTCCCGCTCATCAAGCTCGAACTGTCCGGGATTAGTATCGATTTGATCTTCGCCCGCCTGATCGTCCCCTCGATACCTCTCAACCTGGACCTGAAGAACAATGACTACCTGAGGGGGCTGGATGAGAAGGAGGTCCGGTCGCTGAACGGGACTCGTGTCACAGATGAGATTTTGGAACTTGTACCTCAGCAGAAGACTTTCCGTTTCGCGCTTCGTGCCATCAAGTTATGGGCGCAACGTAAGCATCCTCCAAATCTTCTCCCATGTCCATGGCACAGACTAACGCTATGTGACGGATAGGCCGAGCGATTTATGCCAACATCGTAGGGTTCCCCGGTGGTGTTGCTTGGGCAATGCTGGTGGCAAGAGTGTGCCAGCTCTACCCCCAAGCGACCGGCTCGGTCATTGTCGGGAAATTCTTCCGGATCATGAACAAGTGGGCCTGGCCTCAGCCCGTGCTGCTGAAGACGATCGAAGATGGGCCTCTCCAGATGAAAGTTTGGAACCCCAAGGTAGGATATGGCAGATCGTTTGACTCTTAGGGCCTTAGTTAACTGGATGCAGATCTATCATGGCGATCGATTCCACCTAATGCCCATCATCACGCCGGCCTACCCGTCTATGTGCGCCACCCACAACATCTCGCTGTCGACCAAGGCAGTCATTCTTCGCGAGCTTCAGCGTGGAGGTGACATTGTCGATAAGATCTTCTTGAAGCAAGCGACCTGGAATGACTTGTTTACCCGGCACTCGTTCTTTACGCGCGACTACAAGTACTACCTCAGCATCACCGCGTCCAGCAGAACCAAGGAAGCCGAGTCAGTCTGGTCAGGCCTGGTTGAATCCAAGATTCGGCATATGGTCGGAGCGCTGGACCGAAAACAAACCATCGCGGTGTCTCATCCGTTCCCTAAGGGATTCGAAAGAGTCCACATTGTCAGCAATGAGCAGGAGGCGGAAGCCGTCAAGAATGGATCGACCAAGTATCAAGATAGAGGCACCAAGACTGAGACCACCGATGAAATCAAAGACCCCGCTCATCAAGTCGCCGCCCAGAATGGCCTTGAGAAGCCAGAAGTTGCCGAAAGCGTCGAGAAAACGAACGGGGATCCGTCGACCATCTACACCACGACATATTACATCGGACTGGAACTGAAGCCGTTGGAGCCAGGTTCGTCGCGGTCACTGGATATCTCGACCGATGCTCAGATCTTCAAATCAACCTGTACTTCGTGGCCTGGATACCAGCCCGGCATCAACGACCTGGCAGTCACCCACGTTCGCAAGTAAGTGCCTTCTCTTCCCATCGGTCCGGATGTTTCTAACCGTTTCCTCTAGCTTTGACCTTCCGGATGATGTCTTCGAACCTGGGGAGACCCGACCCACTCGGCCGAAGAAGAAGGTGGTCAAGAAGTCCGAAGCGAACGCCCAGAAACGCAGCATTGAACAACTAGACGTAAGTAGTTGCACGATAACCAAGAATCACGAGCAGCGAACCACCCAAGACGGAATTCGAATCTGCGTATACGGCGTGATGCTTTTCTGAGACCTAGAGTCTGGGTATAACTGATATCAACGATTTCACAGGATCCCTCGCAACCCTCAGCGAAGCGACAAGTCCCTGCCAACGGAGTTTCCAACCAGGCCACCCCTGCCTGAGACACGAGTCCTATACGAAGCTGCACCAACAAACCGAGCCGGGGCCGGTCCCCATTCTAGTCGTGAGCGGAGATGCCCGACCAACAATACGCCGTCGGAGCCCCAGATATCTCCGAACGGATGAAAAACATGTAGTAATGATAAGATAAAAAGAACAAAAAATTCCTTCCGGCTGATTCTGGCTAAACATGCTGTTGTGATCTAGCGAACTCGCCCATTTTGCGATGAAACTATACAACTGTGGTCAGGAGTTCAAGGTTGGTTTCTAATCCCCTCATTTTTCTCGCGTTTTTCTTTGATGCTGTCTTTTTTGCTCTCATCTGTGGTGATCACACTAGTCTTTGCTTTTTTATTCTTCTTTTCTACCAGTTTTCTTGCCCCGGGCAAACGGATCTACTTAGAGGCGTCCACGATAACCGTCCAGGAGACATACAGAACACCTGTGGCTCCCCCTTCGTTATTTATTATTTCCTTTCTTCCTTTTCATTTTACTTTTTGCCGCTGTGCTTTACTGCAGCCTTGCGGGAGTGGGTTTTTGGTCTACACTGTACGCAGGTGTACATATCATCTCCCCATCTGGCTTATCCAGTTTAGATCTGGTGTATGTGCCAGTTAGGATTAGTCGAATGAAGGTACTCATTTCCGTGGCCTACGGGTCACCACAACTGGTTTCCAGTAGAATCTAGAGGTAAACTCATCTTGAATAAAGTATGATCAGTATGGTGATTGTCACCGTCTATAGATAGGATCTTCCTCAACTCCACGCCTCCACTAGATCACATAACGTCGTCTCGCTGCCCACATTCCCGGGGAACACCACGAAAGGCACACCGCGATGTCGAGAAGTCGGCTCGTCGCATCGCCACAAGGGCACGCCCGGCGCGGCCTGTCCGACAATCAAGGCCCGTTTCACATTCAATCCTTTAGTCGCTGCATCGGAGGATGTAATTCCGCCCTAGAACCCAACCGTCAGTCAGACCTTAACTCAAAATGCGAAGGAGAGATGAAAACCAGGGAGACAAACCTTCGCAATCACATATCTCGGCCTCACCTCCACCTTCCGCAACACATCAACCAACGCCTCCGCCACCTTCGACCCAATCTTCAACGACGCAAGCTCGTCTCCCCCCGTGATCAGCTTCCGACTCGTCATAACCAATGTATCTCGTCCGGCGGACAAGAACGTCTCTGTCTGGCGCACGACGCTGTCAATGACATGCGCCGCGCTGTCCGGAGACGCGATCAGCTCTTCGACGCTGATCTCGATGATGGCGAGTTGCTCGTTCTCCGCTCTCGGGGACGGGGCGCTGGGACCGCGTCGATCGGTTAGGACCTTCAGCTGCGCGGTTGTCTTGGGGACGTAGGAGCCGGCGAGGATGAGGCCGCCTGTTGTGCGCGGGGTAGGGAGGGAGAGGTCCCGCGCTGAGATGGGGGGTTTGGAGCGGATGCCGAGACGGGTCGAGACGAAGGCGGCGCCGGTGCGGTAGAGGTAGTGTTTTCCTTGGGCTTCGGCTTTGGGAACAGTTAGTCTGGGGTGTCTATTTGGGTGAAGATGGAGGGGAGGAAATGGCGACGGACCCAGTAACAAGCCGGCTACGAAAACATGCATATCTGATTCCGCAGCCGCATTGACGACCACGACGCCGCCCTTCGGCAGGCTCATCAGTTTCCGAAGTACCGCGTCCGGACCACCGGTGCGGATCTCGTCGACGGTGACAGAATGGAGCTGCGCGGGGCTGAACCGGCCGGGGGCCTTTTCCAGCACGTAATCCTTCAGGTTGGAGCTCTTGTACCCGAAGGTGGCATCCTGCGCGAACTGCGTCTTCCCGGCGGGGACCAAGTCCTCGCCCTCGGCGACGTAATGGACGTCGTTGATGGTGAAGCGGCCGCCCTGGAAGAAGAACGGTGCCAGGACCCAGGCGTCGGCGGCGCCGAACACGTCCGTGGCGACGTCCGCTTCGAGCGGGAAGTGGCCGCGCAGAGTGCTGTCACCGCGCAGGACGATGTCGACGGTCTGGTTGGTGGCCTGGGCGGCTTGGGAGACGTTTTGGCAGATGGTGCGGATCAGGACCTCGGCTTCCGCTGGGGGCAGGGCGCGCGAGTTGGTGAGGATGAAGAAGCCGGCGGAGGGTTGGCGGAATTCCTCGGTCAGGGTGGGAATGTCCCAGACCGTGAGGACGGAGATGTCATGGCATGTTTGCGTGCCGGTGGGGTCGTCATCGAGGACGACGAGACGATTGAGGCGGGAGTTGGAGAGGGTCTGGGAGATTTGATCCTGGGCGTCGGCGGGGTATTCGGGGGGCAATTGAGCGAGGGTGGATTGGCGAGGGAGACTGGGGTAATCGTTTGAAGCCATGGTTGTAGAGCTCTGGTTCTGTCTGTGTTATCCCAGAAACCTCGGGAGAAAGAAGAAGTTGGAGTTCAATAAGAGAAAATCAATAGAACGTCATGCGGAGAGCTTCGGAGAGAAGGCCGAGCCCTAACGTCCACCTCGGACCAGCCACCACTATAGTAATTCATGAATGAGAAGGAGAAAATGAAACAATCTCGATTATCCAATGCAAACTCATGCTATCGACATGTCTACCAGCAAACACAATCCATGGAAGAAACACCTCAAGCGCCGTGACATGTGCGGGGAATATGTATGCAACCCGGTCATTATGGTTCAAGTCAAGTGTAGATGCTGGAGCTCAGGCAAATCCAAACGGAAATCAGACGAAAAGAAAATGAAAAACAAAGAGAATGGCCACAGTAGATCCCAAGCTGTCGTTACGCATACCCTCCTTTTGAAAACCCTCGGTGAATAACAAAAAAAGACAAAAGCCGGTTCCTTGCACTCCTCAAGCCTCATACCACGCATTGCTCAAGAGAATGGAAAATGGGAAACAAAATAAACTGGAAAGGTGAACCACATATACCCACCCACCCTAGACGAAAAAGGTGCAGGGTGAGGGAAAAGCAGACAAAAGAGAGAAATGATTAGACGTCGTCCACGGAAACAAACAGAGAATCGAGGGACGATGGTATACCTGGTGCACAGCGCCAAAATCAACCCACCACGCTGCGGAAACTGAGTGCTTCGAGAAAAGCACCGAGATCCTCCTTTTGCACTTCGACCACGCAGTGTTCGAAGCTATCAATCCGGACTCGAGTGTTGGTCTCCTGCACCACTTCCTGGAAGGCGATTCCGAATCGGTTGCGAAGGAGATACGTGTTGCTGCGCGTGTCTTTCTCGTCTTCCGACTCGGATTCGGACTCGGACGACTCCTCTTCCTCGGTGTCTTCTTCATCATCTTCTTCTTCGTCCTCGTCTGCCTCCCGGGCGGCTTTCTCGGCGGCGCGTTTCGCCCGTCTTTCCTCCTTTTCCTTCCGTTTCTTCTCTTTCGCTTCCTTCTTCTTCTTCCGCTCCTCACGACGTTTATTCAGCGCAGCGTAGTCGATGACACCACCGCCACCACCGGTGCCCACCACAACGTAGAGTCCACGGTCTTCGTCCAGTCCGGCCAGAACGAGAGGAGTACCGGCAGCCCGCTTGCGGCCAACCTTGACGGAATCGCTTCGCTCGCGCTCCTGGACCTTGATCGCCTCGGCAATCCACAGGGCCAGTTTAGTCAAGGCTCCCGGGTTTGTGAACAGCTTCACATCGGGCCCGTCTTTAACGACCGCAATTCGGAAGGCCCGCAGATGTCGAATCTGGTATTTCGAGAGCAGCGACGTGCCGGTACGTAGGATGGCCCGGTGAAGATGTTGGGCTAGCGGGAGCGATTCCAAAAGTAGCGTTGGGGACTCGGACGTGAGAGAAAGAGCATCGTATGCGCTCCAGAATCGGGGCAAGAGACTCGCCAGATCCGACTCGGTGGATCCGTCAGCATGGTTGGAGTCGGCAGCGTTTCGTGGTCGAGTTATGCGCTTGGAATCCCACGAGCCGGGGGCCTCCTCCGGCCCAACCTCCAGTATAGCACTCACGATGACACCGACATCCGTGGCGGAGAGACATGCCTTCCAGCCCCAACATCGCACAAACCCCCACCCTTCACGAGAAGCGGCATGTCCAGACGCCTCGGCAGGGACCAATCCGTTCAATCCGTACATCGGCGCATATTTGAGCAGCCGTTGCCGTAACACTCTCTTCAACTCCATGTCCATATGCGTATAATTCTGGTGGCACTGGCTCAGGCTGATTCCCATCTTCGCCAGAAGCTTGTGGAGTCGTTTTTTGCCGTTTTCCGTCCACACATGCAGTCGCGACGCCAGGTAAGGGCTGTGAAGCATGCTCTCATACAGCGACCAGTGTCTGATGAGGATGAACCGAGGCTCCGGAGATAGTCGAATGGCTTTGTCTGTCGGTGATCTGGCCGTGGTCGGGATGACGCCGTTGATTTCACCCCGTATATCGCGATCTCGTTCATAAGGGTCCGGAGGATTTAATCGATGGACTTCATCTCGAAGTATTTGGCGTATTTGCTCACCCCTCTCGCCGCCCCAGCCAGCTAGCCCCCCCGATTCCGACGCGTTCGAAATACCAACACCGGACATCGTCCGGCCACTCAACTCCAGGCTAGAAGCGCCAATGATGGCCAGCCAAAGTAGGTCGTTGTCTTCCCGACCTAGTTCGGACGCAAGGGAGTATACCAGAGAGGATATAGGTTCCGCATATGACGTACCCGAGGAATAGTACTCCCGCAGCACGCCTTCATGCGTTCTCTTCATTTGAAGCAGTCGCCGCTTCAATGACCGTGCCGAAGGTTGCTTCGGCTGTTTGGGCGAAGGGGAATTCGAGGTCGGAGTAACGGAGCGTGACGAATTGGAGGAGTCATGGCCGGTTTTTCGTTTATGGGGAGAGAAAACCATGGAGGATCCCTATAACAGCAGGGTAAGCACGATGTTAGATGAAGATGAAAATCCAAGTCAAACTCACCGAATTGCTCCTCCTTCGTTGCCGGGGCGGTCCATCATCATCCTCGGAATCATCGTCATCGTCCTCTCTTGACCACGACTTGCGCTTTTTCGAATCCTCGCTAGACGGTTGGTCGGCTTCACCCTCACTCGCAGACTCCCCGAGATCCTCCTCGTCGTCATCCACCTCTGGCATATCCAACAGCGCGCAATACGCCTCCCGCTCCTTTGTCATCTCTTCCTCGATATCCCCATCATCGTAAACAACAATCCCGCCCTTCCCTGCGCGAAATGAAGGGGTAATGCGGCCCTTATCCACCCCGCGCGTATTCCGGCGCAGCGAGACCGCGTCGTTCCCGTCCTGCCCTACACTGGCCTCGCCGCCAAACACATTGGCCAGATTCCACGGCCGTCTCGCATCGAACACCCACACCTCCACCCCTCCCATATCCTCGACCTCGTCCTCGGGATTCCCGAGGCAGAGAATCTCACTGAGGTCCACCAGGCCACCAGCACCGAGACAGATCACCACGCCGCCGCTCCCGCCGTGCGTGGTCTGCATGGGCTTGACCAGCTCCTCTCCCGCGCGGGCGAGGTCTCCATATCCGGCCACGGGTTGAATCTTATGCGGGATGTAGTCGCGTTTTAGCAGGGCCGTGAGGATTCGGCAGGCGCAGAGGGCGTCCGGTTCGAGGGCCACGAGGATCAGAACGGGTGGCGACAGCGGGTTGTGCGATTGGAGCAGTTGGAGGTAGAGATGCGATATTAGCTGGCGCGGTAGATACATGGCCGGCCAAACCAGGGATAAGGCTAAGGGCAGGAGACGAGCAAAATGGACAGACAACAGGGCCGGATAACTGATAGGAAATAAGAATCACAGTAAGAGAAAACTAACAAGGCAGGCCCTCTGCGAGGCCTTACTCCGCCGCGTCCAAACAAAGCAAGCCAGTCGGTGATGCTCAAGAGATGGTGGAGAGAGTAAAAGCCGCCAATTCCGTCGCGCTTCCCCGACGCGTCGCGGCACGTGCGGAGTCCCGTGCCAAGCCTCGAATCATCGCCGCGCGATTACGACCTTTTCTTGCTCTCTCTTTTCTCGTCTCAGCCCACTTTGCGATCGATCGAGTCGATGGATCGTCCAGTGCAGTCGTCCCGATCGTGACTTTAAACATTTCTGCGCGGCGATTTCTCTTGCAGAACCCTGTGTGACAGGTCCTTTCGAGGTGGAGACACTCAACCTAGGCGCGAACCAGACTTCGTTCGCCGTTCTCAATAAGGCACTATGACTCCTATCATAAATCTCTATTCATCTCCGAGTGAATATAGAAACCCAACGAGTGATTACCATATAAAACTGTGTTGAAGAACATAGCAATGGCGGGTCATTGCAACACTGATCGGCTCATCAAGATCCCTCAACCACCGATGGTGATCCAAGTCATGTAGACATCTCCCTATGATACGTAGCTAATATACCTTATCTGACAGCGGGAGGATGTTAATTTACAATGATCCAGCGTTACATCCTATGGTTATGCTCTTATCAGCTTTTCATACATGAACCAGCACCAAACAGACTAGTGGCTCTTAGCCCACGCCCTGCGACATGGGCCGAGATGACTCGATCCTACTCATCGGACCACGGAACTTGGACTATAAAAATTGCAGAGCTCAGATTCCACCATGACTCACACATATGAATACTGCACAGAAACATATCCCATCTTCCCTCTCCCTTCCATTCTCTCTAAACACGAAATTGCAGACCAATTGAACCTGCAACAATGGCCCCTCCACCGCGACCAACACCCCCATACACCATCCAAACCTACACATCCTCCCAACTCAGCCAGCACCCAGCCCTAGTGGCCGAGCTGACCGACCTCATCAACGAGAGTTTCGGAGTCTATGCGAGTCACCCGCTTGGCCGAACGGGCCTTCGAATGGAACGCCCGGGGCAATTAATCGAGGAGCTCGGCCCGTCCGGTCTGACAGCCATATACTTTCACCATGCCGTCGATGCAGAAGAACATCCCACCAAAGCCGCCCAGTTACCGGGCCAGGTCATCGGAACGGCGAGCATCAAGGCCTGGGCGGGTGATGCAATCTGGAACCCCGTTCGAACGCTTCCTGGTGCGGGTTTGGAACCCAAAGACGACAAGTTAGTATCCGTCGACGGAGACTTCGAACTGGGAATTGTCGCTGTCAAGCCCATCGCCGAGTTCAGAGGGAAAGGAATCGCAGATAAACTGGTGGAGGCGTGTGAGCAGGCGATTCTTCCGAAATGGGCTCTTAGAGAGGACATCCGGCCATCCTTGCCCGCGCAGGCGCAGGCGCAGGCAGGATCATCTACTCCTCGCAACGTGGCCAAAATCTCACCCCCAAGCCCCGTCAAGATCATGGTCAAGGTAGTCAAAGAGATCACGGCCTTGTATTGGGAGAGGAAGGGGTTCGTTACCGTGGGCGAACGGCTGTATCCGCCGGGAACGTCGAGCTGGGGTGTCGAGAAGGAATTTACGATGAGTGCGATGGTGAGGGAGTTGCCTGTTGCTGTTTAGCGTTTAGTGTTTAGTGTTTATACTCCGTGAGTTCGAAGGGCAGGTCTGGATGACGCACGAGCCAACACCTTATATTGTGGGTCTATTGTGCAGACAATCGATTGTTGGACCTATTCATTGTAAATATTTACAGTATAAAGAAAGAGAGATAGGCGAAAGACAATAACCCAAATGGTATAGAACGCCAAACACACCAGACTAACCTAATCTTAAACATCCTGTCCTGAATCGGATCAGGCCGCAGTTGCTATACAAATCAGAAGTGCAGACACAAGAAACAAAAGGTCTATATAATGCATGGACAAGCAATGATCAAGCCGATGACCCGCCCAAGAACGACCCCGCCATCCAGACAGCCGCGCAAACACCCAGAACCGACGCCCCGACGAGCCGCTTCTCCCAGGTTTCTTCGGTCATTTTCGCCGGCGGAACGTTCTTCTGAAGTTGTATCGACACCGAAGGCGCTTCGGAGCCAGACTCCGGCACATCGGCGCTGCTCTCGTTGCGCCGAGCAAAGTACTCGCGATCCCTCGACCGCCACTTCTCGACGAGCCGCGCGATCTCGATAAGATCCTCCTTCAAGGACCCGGGCTCGTTCGAATTCGTATTCTCAACCTCAACATTCTGCACGTTCCCGAAAAAGTCCACCACCGTTCGCAGACGACCCTCCTGCTCACCGCCGGGGAAGAGGTCCCACCGCACGCCCGGCTGAGAATGGATCTTGGACTCATCATACGAGTCGAACAGGTCACCCAGCGCAAGCTTCGAGTTGGCGCTGGTCACCTGGGTCTCCAGGAACTCGAGCACGTAGTACGTCCAGCGATCGATGACAGCAACCCCCACATCATTGTCAGCATGGTGCGAATACGACGACTGATCGAGCTCGCTGGACCCGGTAGCCACGATATTGGGCGAGTAGAAATGCGTATACATGGTATTTGCCTGGCAGGTATCGATCATGAACAGGAGCTCGTGGTATCGCTTCTTCTCCCACATCTGGCCGAACGCGTCGGCGAGATCCCAGGCGCCAATCTCCTCCGAGTCCTGGAACTTGAGGAACTGGTCGCCGCCGTGGCCGGTCATGTAGACGAGGACGTTGCTGCCGGCGTCGGAGCCGAGGCGTTTGCTGCGCGGCACGTCCTCGTCCAGGCGGTCGGTGAGGAGCCGGATGAAGTTCTCCACGGTGACTTCGTAGCCGCGGTAGTCCACCTCGATGTTATCGCCGTAGAGGTCGACGGCGCGGTCGGCGTTGCTGTAGACGGTTCCGGGGAAGGCGTTGCGCGGGTTGCAGGCCATGTCGTCGGGGAGCATAAGGATGATTTGGGAGTCGGGGATGCCGAGGCGTTTCACGGTTCGGTACAAGGAAAGGACATTGGCGAGATGGCGGTAGTTGAACCAGAAGCGTGAGGTCGAGACGAGAACGGCCCAATTCGAGGTATGTTCGGAGGAGGCTAGGACCGCGAAGAGGGCGAGGAGGAGGACTCCGAGGAGTCCACGAGACGGAAACATGGCGAGATAGTTGTCGGTCAGATCATAATAGAGATGGAGGAGTGAGCTGCATGTAAAGCGACGTGCAGGCAAATGGAGCAGATAAAGACGAGGGTCTCACGAGAGCAAGAACTACTCCGACAGTCTCCAGGGGCGGACGATTATCAATCCGACAGATCGACGGATGTTTCCGCAGTGGCCTTGCTGCTTTAGCGGTCCTTATTCAGCCGGATTCTGTCTGTGCAAAGGCGGCACTAGTCTAAGCCAAATACGGAAGTTCAAGACGGAAGTCCGAATCTCCGAGCGCCGACTCCGAGGCGGGTGATCTAGTCGCCTTAGGCTTAGCGTGAACGGCCCTAAGACAGTGCGGTTGTTACGACTCCTTGCGGGAAGCAATTCCGAAGAGAAGGTCTAGATTTACTCCTCCGCAGTTATTGAAAAAAAAAAAATCTTGCCTCTACTCGGAGCAGCACATATTCGTATATTATAACTCGATTTATTTCATTATCTACTAAAATAGGCTTATGGCAAAGTGTACCCTCCGTCAACCACCAGATCCGCCCCCGTGGTATAGCTCGACGCATCAGACGCCAGATACAGATACGCCCCCTTCAACTCACCCACCTGGCCCTCTCGGCCCATCGGGATCTTATCTTTCCAGATGTTCTTCGTCTCCTGCGGCACGAAGTTGGAGATTTCCGTCACGATATATCCCGGCGAGACGGAATTGGCTCTCGCAAATCGCACCCACTCCACAGCCAACGACTTGCACAGGTGGATCACGCCGCTTTTGGCAGCATTGTAGGCGCTCTGTAGCTGAGGGAAGTTGACAATGTGGCCACTCATCGAGGCCGTGGCGACGAAGCTCCCGTAGGTGAAGTTCGTGAGCGGTTGGCCATTAAGATCGGTGCCTTCTTCCTTTTGGCGGCGCCAGTGGGCAGCGGCGTATTTGGCGCAGTAGAAGGTGCTGTTCAGGTTGATGTCGACGACCTGGCTGTAGTGGTCAAGGGGGCCGTCCACCATGGGCCCCTTCGTCCAGGGGACACCGGCGTTGGCAATCAAAATGTCCAGGCGGCCGTTGAGCTCTTTGGCTCCTGCGTTGATGGCAGCTTCAACGGCTGCGGGATCGGTGGTGTTGACTTTGTAGGCCTTGGCTATTTATTGGTAGTTCCTTGTCAGCGGGCTATTAAAATATACAGCTAGGGAATCTTCAGATTATATCAGTAGTTGGTACAACTCACCCTGCACACCGTATTTAGCAGCAATCTCAGCTGCGCGCTCGTGGCATTTGTCATTCGTGTTGTACCACAGCGCAACGTTGGCTCCGGCTTCCGCGAGACCCTGAGCCACGGCAAGGCCAATTCCGGCACCGGCACCGGTGATGATGGCGGTCTTGCCTTTCAAGGAAAATAAGCTCAGCAACCCGGGATGTTCAGGGGCGGTGGTGTTGTCGTGGACGAAATGCCCGTTCTGAATGGGGCTGGCGGCCATGATGGGTAGCTTTGACAGAATTGACGGGAAGGAAGGCAGAATAATGGGGGAAGAGATGTCAGGAGAGAATGTGGATGATGTTATGTACGAGGGGTTCTGGCCAATTTATACCGATCCACGGACCAAGTCTCGCGAGGAGCCTGGAGATAGAGGCGGGGGATCTCCATCTGACGACTTCATAGAAGAATGTCTGTCGGGCGAGAAACACTCGGTGAGGACACTGGAGTGGATAACACCGTAGAGAGGCAGGTCCAAGACGGCCATGACGCCAGAATCCAACCACGGCATGACACGACCAAGCCACAAATGGCGTTGAACTCGTGGAAAATGCCGCATCGAAGCAGTGGACGCATTGGCAACGGCAGATCCACTCGGATGGGGAACAGGAATGCTGTCCTCCGTGTCGTATACTCACGATCGAACCGATGGCGGTGATTCCTCGGCGGGGATTCGCTGTCCCGCACTAACGACTAGTCGAGTGGGATGGAACGCTGCCAGGTCTCGGAGATTCGGCCGGCCCTTCATCTTCCACAGCTTTCGATCTGGTTTGAGCCGATGCAAGAGGCTCAACCGAGGCCAGGACTTCTCGGGTTTCTCTTGTCCGGAGATCAATCGATCGGGTTGTCTGCATCGACTCATCGAGAGTGCACTCGGGAAGGTGGACGAAGGACGCTGTTGGCGGGTCTCAGACCGGAGGGTCCCCACCGCACCCGTGGGGGATCCTCGGAGTGAGTTGGATACCAGGAATTATCCCCATCTGAGGAAGGTGGTTGAGCTGCCAGTCTCTGCTTGGGACCTGCTCTATCTTGGTTCTACACCACCCTGAAACTGACACTACGAATTGCTTCGGGTCCTGGGGTTTCGAGCAGGAAATTGCTTGATTATTGACCAGATCATCTTTTGAATCCCTGACTGCTGCTCTACGAGGATCAGGACAAATATTTCTGGGCCGCACTTCAACGAGCGACTCTTTCGGGATGAGGAATGCCTCCACAACATCGCAAGAAGCATTACATCCTCGTCGTGCGTGACTTTTCCCTACGTACTTTGCGGCGAACGGTTCGCGAAGCTAGCCTTTCCTACTTCTGGTCTTTCATCGTGGACCCCAGTGAATCCAAAGCAAGCCAATCCTGAGGATCCTGAGAACAAAAGCGAGGATCAGAATGATCAAGACAATAAAGACCTTATGGATGAAGATCAGAATAATCAGAATGACGAGGACCTCGCGAGCGAAGGCATTAACGATAATCAGAATGATCAAAATAATTAAAATAACAATGAAAGAGCTAAGCTCTTGACACCCACGAAGGTCATTTCGAAGCAGACTTTCATACGATTCGGAAGCGACAAGTGGGAAGAGTTAATCACTTCTATAAAAAAGTAATGCCGCCGCGACCAGAAACGTGCTAGGTCTATGATATTTTAGTTAAAGTATACTCCTGATATGGAGCTTATGTCTCTTAAAGAGGCTATTAAAACAGGCCGTGAATATAGCTTGCCCTTGACTGAGACAAAAAAGACTGAATTTATTCATCAACGAAAGCATTAGTAAAGCAGAAAGTTCCGATCCTACATAGCTAGAAATGTAGTGTTCCTGATGCATGAAGAATAAGGCACCCAATGTCAAGGAGACGTACATCTCAGAAACTAAATGAAGAGACAACTTAAAAAATAGAAAGAGAAACTTGAGGTTACAAATCCAGAAATATAAGAGCGTTTTAAGCTCTCTAAGTGTTAATATCATAACGTGCTATCCGATATTGAAGGGTATAATGTATAGACATTTTTCACATTTCAGTGTACATAGCATCTAGGCATGATCATTATGTCCGAGTTCTCATCTCGGTGATAGGTAATTTTTGAAGCATAAAAACATAGAGTGCATGTTCATGCAATCACTCTCACCGAGTCAGGCTGTTCCGTCGCGATGCGGCCCGGGATCCGCCCACCAGACTGTTCCTGCGTGAAGCTGCGCGAGACCCGCCAACGAGACTGTTTCTCCTAGACACGTTCCGCGATCCGATGTTCGCCGTGGAAGGACGACGGCTGTTGAGAGCACCTTCGGCACGAGCGTTGGAAAGTTGTTGCGCGAACGGCGAGCGCTTTCGCAGGGTCGGTCCGTACCAGTAAATCACGTAGACGGAAACGACAAGGACGACGGAGATGCAGACTGTAGATTCATATTAGAAAAGAATTGCCAATTTAAACGAAACATGGAATTACTCACATAAGATAGTCGAAGCGTATTCAAGATGGCGTTCACCTCCGATATCTGCCATTCCGGGTTAGCAATGTCACGTGGTATCAGAAGCCCCAAGAGTAAGACGTACTGGTGAAGAACGGCGTCGCCGGCACAGTGAGGACACCAGCAAGGAAATCACGAGCAAATCCATTGCCACCGGTAGCAGACGCAGAGTAAGGCCCGTAAGCACAAATCATGTAGTCGATCGTCGCCATGTAGATGGCGTAGTTGGCGATGCCCACAATGGCCGCGAAAACCATCGATCCGATCCAATGCAATGGTGGGCCAGATGAAGTCCACGCAAAACCAATCAGCCCAATAGGAAGGCAAGGCGCAGTGTAGAGCAGCCACCAGAGGCGGCTCTCATACTGGGCGTGCTCGTCATCCGGCTTAGAGTGGCGCTGGGCCTCGTTTCTCCGGATGGCCGGGAAGAACGAGAACCATGCGGCGACGTAGCCGACCAAGATAGCGCAGAACGAAAGGCCAATGGCTACGGGGCTAAAGTCCCATTGGGCGTACACCAAGGAGAAAGATTGAATGAACATGAAGATAAGGGCGTCGCTGAAACCGCTGAGAAGAGAAAGCGTCAAGACGATGGGCTCGGTCACGAACATCCTAAAGGGGCGGATCCAGGTGATCAAGATCTCGCGCATGGAGAAACGCTCCTTGAAGGAGAGAACCTCATTCGGGCCGTAAACCTTCGTGTCGCCGTTCTTGCGCCGCTTCTTGGCGATGTTGTCCATGATGATGGAGGTGCGGGTTTCGGGCACGAAGGCCAGGTGCATCAGTTGCGTAAAGCCTCCGAAGATCAGCTGAATCCACATGGCCCATCGCCAGTGCAGGTACTGTTCCACAAATCCTCCAACCACAGGGCCGAGGACGGAGCCACCGACCGACGAAAACACCACGAACGCGACGGCGTATTGTTGGTCCTCGGGTTCCCACAGATCTGCCACCATTCCGAGTGTCACCGAACCACCTGCCAGACTTATCCCTCCGAAAGCACGACCGATCATCACGGTTGCAAAGTTGGGCGCCAGGGCAACGGGCAGCTGCCAGATATTCACGAGCAGCATACTAAGCTGCAGGATGGGCTTGCGACCGAGTTCCTCGCTCCAAGGGGCCCAGAGTTCGCAACCAAACGCGTAGGTAACCAGGTAGATCATGGCACCGCACCGGGCGGCTTGCATGCTGACTCCGAATTCCTCCGAGATCCCGCCCAGGGCGTTCGAGTATAGACTAGTATTGAAGTTCATGGAGACCTGAACCAAGAAGATGATGGTGAGGATGGTCCATTTCTTCCAGGATGGGAAGCAAAAGCCGAGTTCCTCGTAGCAGTCATCTTCGGTGAGCACAATTCTGTCGCCTGCGGAGAATTCGAGCTGGTCGAGAGTGGTCTTTTCCTGGTCGGACAGGGGGAGGGTGTTGCCATTGGCTGCCTGGATTTGGGCAATTTGGTCAGGGTTGTTGGACACACTATCGATTTTGACCGCCATGGTGGTGACCGTTGACCATGGAGACTGCGTGAGAGGAGGGAGGAGAGGGAGAGGGAGAGGATATGGGTTGTGGATGGGGTGAGAAGAGAGAAAAGAAGGTAGGAGTCTGTCGCTGGGTGGCGGATCGTTACTGGGATATACGTCGGGGGTACCTACCTATCATTGCCTATTATATAACAGCGCGCGATTTACAGTCAGAAGACGGACGATGTCCGACCCCGGAAAGACATCACCGTCGGGACGCGGGGGTCACAGCCAGGGAAAACCAGGACGAGCATCCCTAGTCTACTAGGATCACTATAGACTAGTATAGACTAGTATGGTAGGGTATGACATCGCAAATATGGGGAGATCATGTCACTCCAGCGTATGGTTAACCCGTTCGGTAACCCGGTGAGAGAATTTCCCCAGGAATGACCCCCAGAGAGCGCGAGAAGTCCAAAACATCGGGCCTGGCCGTGCTGGAAAGCGCCCGAGCCAAGCAGGATGGCTGCTAGTCGATTCCCCCGGCCGGGGTCCGAGGGTCAAATCGGGGAAATGATCCCCACTCCCCAGTTTGATTCCACGCTCTGACGACACGCTTTCCCACTGAAAAAACTTTTCAATGGCCTTCGCCGCTGGACCTTTTTCCCAATCGATATCCCCTCTGAAGATCTGGCGGACTTGGCGGACCGGCCTCTCCGGCTGTGGATAAGGCGCCGCGAATGAAAAGCCTGGCTTCCCTCGGCTTTCCTGCTTTCTGTCGCCATTAGGTTGGACGGTCGCAGGTCAGAATACCACGTTGGAGACCGATTCTGGCCGATCCCCACATATCCCTCCATGCTAGGCGCTGTAACCCGGGTGCGACAGACGCAACGGTCGTCAGATCCCGGGTGTGACCACTCCTGGTGTTTTCACGATTCGGCGGTACCCCCGACAGCAGATGACGGTATGGCTCTCCAGGGCATCGGGAGGCCGAGAGACAATGGCGTGGTTCGGGAGGGCAGTCCTTGGCCAACGAGCCTTTTCGCGCAAATGCTTGGGTCCCGTGGCTGAGAGCTTATCCTCCAGTCCAAGACGGGCCGAGAAGTTTGGATCGGAATGCCACCCACGGGCCCTCGTATTCAGGCCCATTCCTAGTTCCATCCTCATCATTCGGGAACTCCCGATCGAGTTAGTTGGGGGAAATTCCTGCGGCGCTTGATCAACCCTCTTTCGACCCTCCCCATTGGGATACTTATGCAAAACTCCAGCGTTTGATCAGACCTCTTAATTAAAAATAGGGCTGAATTCAGCGAATCTCGGAGTACCCGAGGCGTTGCAAAGAAACGAAAGGAAGACGGGACAGCGTGGGAGAATCGCAGTCGACGTCACCTGCGCTGGTCCATCTCCACCGGGCAGGCAATCCGGAGACGCCATTGGACGGCGGTCATGCCGGGGCCCATTCTGTCCAGGTTGGGGTTGGACTTTGGAGAGACAAATGGAATTCTCCAGGGACAGGGAAACAGGATGGCTCGGTCGTGGCCCGTGACTTCCGGAGGGTTCTCCCGACCAGGCTGCAACCTTCGGTGCCTGACCCGAACCATGTCAGTGACAACGGCTGAGCACGTGGTCTTTCTTCTACTTCCATTGACTCTCGACCGAATCTTTCATGTCTATTTACATGACACCAAGGCCATTTTCTCCAGATGAAAGATACATGCCACCGAAGAACCTTACGCCGCCATCTTGATTATATCTGCTGCCCGTTCCGCGACCGCGTACACGGTCGACATGATGTTGGCTGCCGGAATCAACGGAAAGATACTTGCATCGCAGATCCGCAAATTGGTCGTGCCGTAAACTCGCAACGTCTCATCGACCACCCCTCCATTCTCACGAGGAAGCATCGCGGCAGTGCCACTAGAATGGTACGTTGTTGTCGCCGTATCCCGGAGATACTTCTTGGCCGAGTCGAGGTCGCTGAGGAATGCATCGGGGTGGTTGCGCCTCCCGCCGGGTTTCAGGAACTTGGCCAAAGGCTCCACGGTGTGCAGTTTCTCTACGTCCTGCAGATTTCGCGCCATGATGTCGAGGTCTAGTGGGTGCGAGAAGTATCGTGGGTCCACGGTTGGTTTGTCGCTAGGATCCGTAGACGCGAGGTGAACACGGCCCCGAGAGAAGGGCAGGCTCTGGATAACACCCATGCTAAGGTAGTTACCGGGCTGCAGGTCCTGTCCGACAAAGCTCTTCCCAGTGGCTTCGTGCAGATTGGCCTGTGCGAGGAACATGAACATGGAGCAGGTGGGCGCATCCGGCTGCTCGAGAATCTCGCGGATGGCCTGATCACGGTTGCTAGGATCGGACAAGAAGCCATCCAGATACTTCTTCATGGCGCTCGAGTCGTGCGGGTTCTGGAAATCAACAAGAGGCATGAAGGAGCTGGACTGCACGCCTCCAATAGTCATTGGCCCTGCTTTGTGCTCCGTGTAGAGCTGCATAGCTGCCTGCACCGCCTCCGGTTTCTGACGCAGGAGCGGATCTCCTGTCACAACTCCATCGACCACTTCGAAGCTGATTCCGCTCATCAGATGGTCCTGCAAGTTCTCGCCCACGTTAGGGTTATGCACAACTGCGGGGATATTGTGCTGGCGGAGAATCTCCTCATTCCCAATCCCAGAAAGCTCGAGAAGCTTTGGAGAGTTAAGAGCCCCCGCACACACAATCACCTCCGTGTTGGCATTGACGGTACGTATCTGGCCTTGCACAAGAGCCTCAATACCACTGGCCGTCACGTTCGGTCCCTCAGACTCGTTAAACAGGATCCTCTGGACAAGTGCCTCGGTAATAATATGCACATTAGGTCGTTCCATAGCCGGGCGGCCATAGGCACTTGCGGCATAGCTCCGTGTTTTTGTCTCGCTATCCACGGCGGCCAGATTGCTGTAGCCGCCCGTGGACTTTCCCGAGAACGGATCGGCAGTGATTCCATGTCCCGTCGCCTTGAAGGTATCCACCCAGGCCCTGCACAAAGGGTCCTGAATGACGGCTGGAAACGACACCTTGAGAGGACCCGATGTTCCGTTACTAGATTGGTCCAGCCAGTCAATGCCAATGTGCGCCTTGGTCGCATCGTCGGGCAGTTGAACAGTATAAGACTTCTTGTAGTACGGATGAAGCTTCTCCCAAGTCCAGCTCTTTGCACCCATCTTCGACCAGGCGTCGATTCCCGCCTGGGAGGGGGCGATAAAAGCCTGGCCGTTGATGCCTGAGGAGCCGCCCAGGAGTTTCCCCTGGGGCTCCTTGATCACCCGATCTCCCAGCGCAGCCTGAATTGAGAGACATTAGAAGCTGCAGGCCCGGGAGAATACAAGACACGCACCTGGGGGACGGTTTGGAGCTGCCAATCTGCCTCGGACCCCATCAGGGTGGTCCAGAGCGCTGGGATGTTAACTCTGGGGTCTTCGAGGAGGTTCCTACCGGCCTCCAGAACTACAATTGACTTGGTAGAATTCTCTGACAGCCGTGCAGCGAGCGTCAGGCCTGCAGTACCGCCTCCGACTATGACATAGTCCGCGACGGAGGGAAAGTCGGGATCAATTGGCATGGTTCCACAAAACTGTTTGAGACCGAACTAGAACTATGGATTCAGAAGACAGATACTAAGTCAAGGGAAAAGGTAAATTGGAATCATGAGGGAGCGAGGGCAATTACCAGATTCAAGAAGACAATTTATGTAGAAGTAAGCAGGGAAGAAGTAAGCGGGGAAGAAGCCAACAAGGCTGAGAACGCCAAGTACGCAATGAAGCCCGAAGTTCTTTGTTTGAACTGAACATCCAATTAAAAACAAACCTTTGTACAGGCCCTCGGAACTCCGCCTTATAAGTGTCAACATAATTGACATGGAGTAAGCTGCGCTTATCGGACAGTCCACCACACTTCATTCCTTCTTCCCTACCACCATGCCACACTCGCACATGCATTGCTATCATAACCGTGCTTAACACTGTGTTTACAGCATAACACTCGCTGTGGATTCTTAATCTGTCTATTAATAGTCCAAGCAAATACCATGTCTCCTGGGCGTGGCAGGATTCGACGGTCCCCTTCCCAGTCAGCCAGAGGTTCCTTTCCAATGAACACCCAAGGGAATGACTTTCAGAAGATCAACCGAATCTCTGTATGTGGAAGATATCACCAATGCATATAGAGAGGTCCCATGTTATCCACCTGCAGCAACATCAACTCACGAGATGTATCGCCAGGACGCTGTCAAAGCGTTCCTTCGTTCTGCTATCCGAGAATCTGTCCACAGAAACCACGCGAGATGACGAAGGCTTTCGTCGCAAATATCATGGACTCTGACCGTGATTCAGCAGGAGAAAAGCCGACGCTAGGTTTCATAGGTCACATGGATGGAAAGAAATCCTCAATCACTTTCTGATCATGCATCATCTTAGAGATGTCTGCGGCCATGTACTGTTCAATAGATACTGGAATGGCCTGGCATCGTCAGCGTTAAGTGTCTCGATCGAGGTACGAATGGCCGCGAGGCATTCAGGGATGGCCACCATTGAGCCCTCCTTTGCCAGAAGACACGGTCCATTCTTCCGATGGGGCACGGTCAAATGGATACGCCAGTCCAAGAATGTTGCGGAAAACTTCTTTGATAAAGCTATTCGGTTTTAGTAGGTGGCTTTAGCATCGATTTGCATACTGTAATAAGATTCCTAACGAAAAGACAGGCCTATAGTAATAAATTGGACAGGAAGGTAGTAGGCGGGATAAGGGCGCGAGGACCATGAATAAAGACCGAGATGATTGCTGTGCAGCGATTTGTTGGGCCTGCATAGAGATCCGGCTTGCTTATTGGAGGGGTGACATGTACTGCCACGCTTTTCTAAAGTCACCAAACCAGTTTCCGATTTGCTTTAGCAGGTGAGGTGTCGAATGAACTGGTTACTAGGTTTGGGATTCCTAAATTCCTGGTGTAGAGTCTCTGGCTATGGGGTTTGAGACAGGCCGGATATCTCCTGTTCCACGAACATGGGCTAGTTCAAATCAAAGCCATATTTTATTGCCATTGTCGGACGCATTGTTCATGCAGTCCTCGGGCTGGTCTCCATTTGAAAGAATTGCCAATGGCGTCGGTTAGTCGCGGCTAAAAAAGGGGAGGTGGAAGCCTCTGGATGCCTGAGGTACCCCCGTTGCAAACTGCCAAGGATGCAATACCGGGGCTTTTCTCTCTGTCCTACGTTGCACAACACACCTCCGGAGTACAAGCATCCGAATCCCCTCGTCCAGGATGGTCATGGTTATTCTGATCATCGTGATACCAAGTCTCGGGAGCCTGAAACGCTTGCACTAACTTGTCGTTCTTGTCGAGACTCTTACGGTGTACATCGATAGGTCCTAAATATATAATGCTCGGCGGCAGTGGATTTGAAACCCACTCTGGCGGCACAGGTCCAGCCGAAACCATCATGGACCACAGTCCAGACTCGTCGACAAAGAAAACCTTCAGACATTTGGGACAGGCCAAGAGATTCACCGCATAGAAATAATACCCAGCTGATATAGCATTCAACAACCGGAGGATGGGCAATTCCCTCACGGCTTAGATCCACCAGGCTACGGAGAAATATGAAAATCACCTAAGATTAAAGAATTTAACGACATGCTAAAGACGTGATCGACACCAGATCAGCAGCAAATCCCATTTCACAAGAGAAAAGCCAAAATATGCAACAGTCACGGGCGAGTGACATTTCTATAGGGTCTACTGCGTACGGATGACTCTCACGCAATCTCTAGTCCTACTCTGAAGCTTGACGAGCACCACGGAGTTAGCAGACGGTGTCGAGGACCTTGGCGGTCGACCGATCTTCTGCGATTCGGCGGAAATAGTCTCTCGCCCACAAGCCCACACAAGGTCCCCTGGTGACTGCGGCTGCCGCCCCGGAGCTCAGCTACAGCTCCGACAAGTCCAGAGTCCAGACGGGCAGGAAATTCGCTCATTGTTTTTTGAGATCGTCGTTGCCTTGACTGATCTCCCGGTGGCATCACGTCACCCTGACAAAGACCCACGAGCTTGAAACAGAAAACGACGACATCTGCCGAAAGCTGCAACAGAGATTGCATGAGAGCTCGTCAGCTCGATTGACTCAGGTGCCTTGCCGGGGAGATGGGATTGGGCAGAGGCAACAAGGCAGCGGAAATGACGCTATCACCCATTACCCATTACCCCATGAATAATGATACGGCATCGCATCATAGCCCTAGGGCTCGGACGGAGTCATTAGGCGATCGAGCTAGCGATTGCATAATAGGGGACTGCGGGCGGTTTCGCGTTAGGGCTAAGTATCCATAGACATGTTCCAGTCGTCAGACACTATTCGCTCTCTCCACTCGGACTACGGAGTAGTTATTCCATAGTGTACTCCGGAGTGTCTTCGACAATGTCGTTAGCATATTATGATAAATGACCATAAAGAATAAATTTATTAATATTCGAACCGGGCCCATAACGCAAATGAAGACTCCATCGCGAGAAACGTCCAGAACAAGCGATGCCCCAACCGGCCAAGACCAGACCTCAATCAGAGAATTCCCCCCTTACTTTTCCATTCCTAATTCCATAATTCCAGTGACTTGTTCCAGGGACTCCGCAGCAACCCTAACCCTGATGGATCCTGGACAATGAAAATTTTTTTTCTTTCATCCCTGAATCCGGATTTGAAGGGAGTTAGCGCCGATCGGACCGTACGGCAGCATCCGGGAAATCACGGCATCGCGAGGGCGTCCGGCGTCAGGATTCGTCAGACACAGAGAATTTTTCGGGGCCGACCGCGGAGGGACGAAAAGTGGCCGTCAGACCACGTCGGCCACGGCGATGCCTGAGAGCAATCAGCAAACGGGCAACGTCTCCTGATCGGCATGCAGACGCACCCTTGCAATCTGCATCCTTAGTCCCGCGAGTTAAAACTTTGCATCCACCATGGCTTGTAGAATGCACGGGAGCCATCGATGAACACAAAGAATTCATGACATCCATGGAACCAAAGGGCAGAATTAGTAACAAGGCCGGAGTTTGGGACGCAACCCCCGATGAGTCAGGCTGGAAAAGCACGACATTTGGCAAACCCAACTCGTCGGCCCTACGCAATCGCCGAAGTCCATGAGGCCATTTTTCACCATCGTCATCCCCCGTTAGGTATGCCTGCTTCTAGACTGCAGACGGTGGAGTTGGCACTCCCGAAAAAGGGGTGGATCCACTTGGATGAATGAGGTTTTTTCTTTCTTTTCTTGTCTAATTTTTTTTATTTGTATTTTTTTTTGAACCTATTCCCCGATTGGGACATAGTGAGTCACACCACAGGCGCCAACTCATCCGGCAGCTCGGAAGGCCTTTGTATATATACTCCCCTTCGTAACTCGTCGCCCCAGACGAGCTTTTTCTCTCCCACCTCATCTCATCCTGTCAAGGGGGTGATGGTCACTCCCCTCCTCACGTCTTGACGCCCGTTACGTTCTCAATTCACCCACCCACACCGCATTATCGGTGTTGACGCCTTCGATTCCCCCCAACCGTCACCCCGGGGAGGTATATATAATATAAATCCGAAAACACAAAAACAGAGAGAGGTCCTACATCGCCTTGCCAAAAGTTAGAGGATGGGCCAGAGGCACAACAGACGCCGCACTCGACCACGCTCTCGCAATCGCAGCATCAATATCATTCCCGTCGAACCTGCTCCGCGCCCGGTCACGTCCGATCCAGCCGTCTCTCGTCGGACTTCCGCTGCCTGTGACTCACGAGACGCCATTGCGATACACCCCGCCCCGACCTGGCACAATGGGTATATGACATGGCAGAAACGTGAACGCACGCCGCGGTTCGAGTCCCCTAGGCTGGAAGCCGAGCAGTATCGCCTCTTCGGAGGCGAACCGGGTGATGATGTCGGCCTTTGTTATCGCATGCTTGAATACTTCGACGGACTGGACTATATCAATACGTGAGTACCCTCGGCTGGACTGGTCATTTGTCATCGATCGCCTGTTTCTGACCATCGCTGTGTTTAGTTCCCAATGCCTCTCGCCATTGCCGGGATGACTAGTCAGGTCCAGCATGTGGTCGTGGCTTCGCTGCCTCGATTCCCGAAAAGTTTTTTTCTTCTTATCCTGAAACACGGAACATAAAAAAGTTGAAGGGGTTTCTTAAAACAAGAAAAAAGATCAAAAGGCAAATCCACCGTTGGATACCAACCGGCGCCTCTGTCTGCACCACCACCGTCCGCAGACATGAATCTCAATTCCCGAAAGAATGCCGGGGCACCAGGATCCATGGATACTTCTAAGTCGCCGACTTGCAGCAATGAAGATGCTTTCCTGCGTGAAGGCATCGGATTGGTCCTAAAGACTTCGCCATGTGATCGCTGGTGCAGAGATTCTTCCTGCGTGTTTGCGACGTTGAGAGCCGCCGTTCTAGAGCCGGGCTGTCTTCGTCGGTTGAGTTCGCGTTTGGTCTTTGGTCGACGCTTGAATTCCCTTTGCAGCAGTCAGGCTCTCGAACAGCCTCTTCGTTCGCCTCGGACAGCACGCAGGGAATCTCGTTCCCGTCCGTTCGTTCGGGATCTCCTGCCACCATCCGACACTGAAGGAGGAAATATTTGGTCCGAGCAGAATCATGTTTCTTTTTCTCCATTTATTGTTCGAGTGAACACCAGAGACTCGATTTGGTTTAGGAAAATCAAGCTCAGACCTTGCCTGATGCCCCTGTTCAATTCCAGTAAATAGTTGTGCAGATATGATTAGTACAATTTTACACGAAGCGGCGAATCATCGACGGACACGAAGTCCGCGAGACGCTGCCATTCGATTTGAATCTGAATTCCGTGGTCGATGGAACGAGTCAACGTAGTTCAATAAATGTAGAAGATTGGAGGAAATTGGAAAGGAGCACAGATCCCGTGAGGATGACTCAGACAGACCCTTGTGGCCTCACTTTTGAGGCCAGCAATACACTCCCAAAAGGAGCAGGCGGTGAGGCCAGGATCGCCCCGTAAAGGACACGGTCGATCACAAGTGCCGATACGACAAGAATCACTCGCAACCTTAAGATGCTGCGTGCTGGCCGGCCTTCTCTTCTGCCTCGTCCACTCTTTTGTCCCTGCTGAAGAGATTTCCCCCCCAAACGCATCGACTGTCCTCCGCAGGATCTCTCCATCTGAACGCCCTCGGTGTTCGAGGTTATTACTCTCTTTGTCCTGCCCGTCGCGGGCGAGTTCTGCAGTAAACCCGCTTCACCATGTCGACAGACTACACCTATGATGACAAGGTTGGTTTCCCACTCATAGCGGCGGTCTTTGCACGCGCAGTCTAATCCTCACATAGGGGCAATTCTTCCCGTTCTTCATCTTGACGATCTCCGGTCTTGTCACGCTCCCTTTAACATACAACCTCCTCAAGCCGAGCAAGGGTAAGTAACGGCCTTTTTTTCCATATTCCGGTCGAAAAGTCGTCGCGTCTGACACTGTCATCCAAACGCAGAGCTTGAAAACACCGCACCCCGAATAAAATCGGACTTTAAGCCGGAACATGGCGACCTCATCGAGGCACAGAAGCGGAAACGCCTGCGCAAGGAGCGCCGCATCAAGCGCATAATCACCGTCATTCTGGGATATGCCGTCATGGCGTGGATGGTATACTTGATCATTGTCACGGCGAGAACGGCACCCAAGATCTGGGATCCCTATGACATCCTGGGTATCTCGCGAGTGAGTCACTCTTTGTTCTCTCTCTCGCTCTGAATAGTATTTAACGCAGACAAACTAGAGCGCCGACGAGAAAGCCATCTCCAGACATTACAAGCGTCTCTCTCTTATCTACCACCCCGACAAGATCCGACCCGACCCCGCCAAGAACGAGACCATCGAGACTCTGAACGATCGCTTCGTTGAACTGACCAAGGCTTACAAGGCGCTGACCGACGAGGAGGTCCGTAACAACTACATCCAGTACGGTCATCCTGATGGCAAGCAAAGCTTCAGCATCGGCATTGCTCTGCCCCAGTTCATTGTCACGGAAGGAAACGGAAAGTTCGTGTTGCTGGTCTACGGCGGTCTGCTTGGTGTTCTTCTCCCCTACATTGTCGGCAAGTGGTGGTATGGCTCGCAGCGATACACCAAGGAACGAGTGCTGGTCGCTAGTGCCGGAAACATGTTCCGCGAGTACAAGGACGACATCACCGATGGCGGAATCGTTGGCGCCCTGTCTTCCGGCGACGAGTACAAGGAGACGCTCAAGGGATCGCACGCGGAAGCTGGACTGGCCAAGCTTGAGCAGAAGGTCCTCGCAGATGACTCGGTTCTTTCGGCTCAGGATCGCAAGAAACTCCAGGAACTGGATGACTCGACTCGACGCAAGGCTCTGGCATTGCTGTGGGCTTACTTGGGCCGGATTGATCTGGAGGATTCCACCCTGAACGGAGGTAAGCTTATCTATCTGACTATGATGGATTGACCAATGCTCATTCGTCACAGAAAAGTACGAAGCCGCTCCTACGGCACTTGGCCTGAACGAAGCATTCACCGCTATCACGCTCGCTTTCGGTAACGTTCGTCCCATCCTGGGATCTTTCAGAACGTCGCAGCATTTGATCCAAGCCGTGGCCCCGGGATCGTCTCCTCTTCTGCAACTGCCTTACTTCACCGACAAGATTGCCAAGGCCGTCGAAGGCGAGGATGCCAAGGACCACTACAGTGTCCAGAAGTTCATGAGCCTGCCGGAAGAAAAGCGTCGTAGTCTTACCGTCGGCGCTGGTCTCCTGTCCGAAAACCAGTACTCCACCGCTGTCACCGTCGCGAAGCAACTCCCCGCGCTGGAAGTCTCCAAGGCATTCTTCAAGGTCATGGGCGAGAAGGTCATCACGCCCAGCAGTCTCGTTCAGCTGGTCGTGAAGGCCCGATTCATTCCTCCCGGTTCCACCAACGTCCCCGAAGTCAGCGCCGCGGATCTGGAAGATATCGACCCCGATGAGGACGACCTTGACTCCCTCATGGGCCGCAAGAACAAGGGCAAGAAGGACAACAAGGAATCCGTCCAGCCTCCTCTGGCTCACGCCCCGTACCTGGCCCGCGATCACTCTCCCCGGTGGCACATCTTCCTGTCGGACGCCAAGCAGGGCAAGATGGCCGTTCCTCCCTTCACCTTCACCACCTTCGACAAGCCCCTGTTCGACGAGTCCGGCAAGCCCACCTTCAACGTCCAGACCCTCAAGATGCAGTTCCAGGCTCCTCCGCAGGTTGGAGACTTCACTTTCGCCATGAACATGCTCTGCGACAGTTACCTCGGTCTCGACACCAAGCTGGAAGTCACGCTGCACATCGACGATCCTGCCAAGGCAGCCGCTCTGGATGTGGAAGATGATATCAGCGATCCCGAAGAAGGTATGATCTTTAATCTCCAACGAAACGCAACCAGCTTGCTAACCCAACAATTTAGATTCCATCGCCGGTCAAATGCAAGCCCTGAAGGGCGGCCAGACCAAGAAACCCAAGAAACCGGCCAACGAGTCCAGCGAGGAAGAGAGTGACACTGACGGAGACGCGGGCGACACGAGCGATACCAACACCGAAACCGATGTTGACGATTGATTTCAAACTTAGATAAATGGTGCCAAACAAAACAAAACAAATCGAGACCCTTTTGTGACATGACCAACAGCGAAAACAAGGAAAGAAAAAAAAGAAACAAGAAAAAAAAATATGAATCTGCATACCGACAAATCTCTCATCATTCATCAATACCACATTCGCATCTTCACATCATGACTTTTATCTATCAGCCAACTCAATCAATCAGTCGGCTCTTTCCAGGGCAAGTAAGTAAGCTATTTAGACTATTAGGAACATTTCTGGTTCCCCCTCCCTTTCTCGAGACCAGACAGGGACAGGGACAGGAAACCCCACACCACAACACCAGAATCCCTCCCCCCCTTTTTTTTCTTGCCTTTTCTTTGGAGGTGGGTCGTGGCGCGATCATTTTATGATTCCCTTGAAAGTTTTCTTTGGGCTTGTTTTTTTCTTGTGTGCCGAGTGGGGTGTGATATGGACATGCATGTGCAGGTCCTCCCTTTTTTGTATTTCCATTTTTGCTCCGTCGAGGAAAGCACTTCTATGCTTTTTCTCATTTCTTCATTTCATGTTTAATTAGGGTTATGCATTAAATTAGGGAGTTCAGTTGAATTGATATCAATACGTCTTTCTATTTTTTATCTTCTTTTGATTTTTCTATTTAATTCAGTACTTCTTTATTTTTCAATGACCATTTCCCGAAAATTATTGTCGGATTTCTCTTGTTTTTCTTTCTTGTGGATATATTCTTTATTCCTCTTTCCGTTTTGCTCTTATGATACGGTACTGGTACGCCTTGATAGGTAGCTAGATGGAATGTAAGTGTATCTTCTCGATTTAACTTATCGCTTCTTCTTTTTCTTCTTCGTCCTTCCTCATGTCCAAATCTTATTTTTTTCTTCTTCTTTTTTTATGCTTGAATCTTTCACCTCTAGAGAGGCAACGAATGGGACGCGATAGGAAAGGAGGAAGACTAACGAGGAAACAAGAGAAGACAGGGAAATCCATACTGAGTACGAAAAGAACGAAAGGGCAGAAAGAGAAAACAAAAACCACTGCGGGATATTTGGATATATATAGGCATAGATCAAGAGGTATGAAGATAAACCTTTGCAAGCATGGTGACCAAAGGTGGGTATAACGAAAGAAGTAGAGGAAAGAGAGAAACCATAGAGCAGGGCTGCGAGCCTAGTCGGTTAGACCGAGGGGAGGTCAAACTGCTGTCTGTCCTTGACTCTAAACAGAGAATTGGGCAAAGCATTCTGCTGCGCCGAAGTATAGGTATGAATCTGTGATGACAGATGGTACGAGACGTGATGAGATGGTGGTATCGGGGTATAAACGCCAGGTCCGAGGAACGAAGGTCAACAACAAGTCGGAATGACTTGTATGCAAAGGTATAATAATTCCAGAAGGGGAGGAAATGCGACGGAGTCGTGTGACGACTGCGCGCTTGGTTCTGGGCCGAGAGATAGGAGGAAAGAAGCTAACGAGACACCAGGAAACAAATCAAATGGGAAAAAACGACGATGTCCTAGGTAGGACATTCGATACGGTGGATAAGGCTACCCACAAGGGAAATTCCAGCCAGGGGCAATACCGTGATAAACAGGCTGTTGCTGTTCATGCAAATGCAGATTGTAGTCTCCGAGGATATCGACAGACATACCAGCAGGCGTTGGCATATGGTGGCTTCCGGGCTCGGCAGCGATGCCAGAGGAGAGGCGGCTTTTCATTAGCTCTCCATTGCCATTGTTATCCATGTAGCAGAAATAGGGGTGATCCGGATCGGACACCGAATGGACGGGTTCCGGGCATTTGGCCTCGGCAGGAGCCGGCATCAGGGGCGGCCGGGGTACCGCCATGCCATGGAAGGATTGATAGTTAGGATAGGGATTGACTGGCTGCAGGGGCGGATAGTCCCACTTCCAGGATACGCCGGACTTGGGGGAAAGCTTTGTGGGGCTGCAGTTACTGGACGAGGGCTCCGGTGGAGTCGCCGGCTCCGGAGATGGGTCGGTCGTTGGACTGCAGCCGGTCGAGGTGGACAGAAACCGCAGATACTGAAGGTCTTCAGTGTCTTCGTCGGGCTCCTCCGGATTCTCCTCAGCCTGCTTGATCAGTCCTAGACGGTCCAGGATCGTATGCGTCAGTGGATACCCGTCGGGAGCTTCGGCGAGAGGCTCTCCGGGAAAGTCTTCTTTGTTGATGCAAAGCTTATACAGCCTCTGCAGTGCTTTCACGACGAGGGAGTGGTGCGACTCGAGCATCTCGACGAACCTAAAGCCCGCCAAACACCGGAATGGAGTCAGCGTCATTCCGCCTGGAAGGGAGGAGCCAGTCAGATTTCCTCACCCTCGCGAGTAGACCTTCGTCTGAGTCGCCTTCCTCTCCCGGAACAGACAAGGATGATTGTAGGCCGAACAACGGTTACATGGTTGCTTCCCATCGCACTAGCATGAATGAGTATGACTGGCCATCAAGTGGTTTGACGAGGCCGAAACAAGTGCAAATGAACAATCCAGGTGCCTCCGCTGCTTCACCAACCTTGGTTTTCTTGACTCTGCAGCGATCGCAGGCTTTCAAGACATGCTTGCGCTTGACTCGAAAGACCCGCTGGTCGTGCTTCTCGTCCCCTAGGCCCGCACGAGATTCCAGTTGGGACAGTGATGAGATGGCCGAGAGGTCATACATGGCATCTGGAAAGCCAGGAATGTGGGATTTCGGACGGAGCTTGGGTTGCTTGGGCATAATGGTAGACATCTGAGCGGCGTGACGAGGAGCACAAGCAGATGGAAGATAACAATGGCACGTTTCCTGGGTGATCAACAGGTTCAAAAGGCTGCAGCGAGGAGCCCTGACTAATCTATATCCCACGTTGCCACGGAGTCAGGAGGGGTTTCAAAGAAAAAATAAAATCTTTTTATAAATCCAACGAAGGAGGGGGAGGGGTAGAAGTGGGATTGCTTCTACTAGAGAAGCAAGCAGGTGGGGGTTTTGGCCAGATATTGGTAAGGGGTAAAAAAAAAAAAAAGGAGGCTGAAGGATCGACTGTTATTGATATGATGTTTATCAAGAAAAAGATGCCCCGCAAAGGACTTCCCCACCTCGCGATGTACACCGAGGGCGAGGGCGACTTGAGGGTGACGTGGATCGCGCTCTGTCACGATATCAACCGGTACGGTCGCTCGACGTCCCTCGGACCTTTGGGGTGATGGCAGCCTGGCAGGCACATCAGGGGGGTCCCCGCGGTTGAAACTGGGCGAGTAATTTCCTTTTTTTTTCCCCCTTCTTTTCGCCGGTGTTGTTTTCTGATACAGGTGACCGGCTGTGCTGGCCTTGACATGCCAGAGGTCATGCCTGTCGACGGTCCGAGCCGTCACCGCGAGTGAATTTTTTTTTTTTTTTTGTTAAAAAAAATGACAAGAATAAACAATAGCCGTCGCGCTGTTCATCGGCAGTAGCCGGACAGAACCCTGGTCATTTTTGGGCAGCGAAACGCTGAGAAAGCATCCAAATCACATCACCTGGCGGGAAAAATGTCAGCGACCGTCATTCTTGTCCGGAATCGGAGAGAGAGCGCGAGAGTGCGACGAGCAACAGAGCAAGGACGAGAGACCATGCAGGTCTCATCCCGTGGGTTGGCGGCACAGGATTCCATTTCCCTGATGGCGGCGATGCTTGCATCACATCACCGATAGTAGGAGAGGCACGTATCCAAGGCACGGAGCATGTGCTGCAGGATTGGGGACAATTTTGAATCGGTGAAATGGAAATCAGCTTATGCCTTTCTTGGGCGCGTATCGGCTGCGTTCACCATTGTCATTGGCGCAGGGTCGTCCATCATCATCTCATCCAGAACTATCGTATGCAGAGGGTGAGCGCGTGCTCCTCTGGATCCAGCGCGACGCCAAGCGGACGAGCAATCCAATAGGCAGTTTTCGTTACATGCTGTCAAGTTAAATCTTGTCCGATAAGTGCGCTATACAGGTCACCCTCGTTGCATTTGGAGCTGCACAAATTCTGGATTAACTCTCGCTCGGATAATCACCGCGGCAAGATCGGATCGAGTTCAGCGCTGCCTTTATTTCTTTCCTACCAAGATTTCGTCACACAGGACTCTAGTGACTCTGGGTTAATGCGTACAGGCAGTAGCGAGAGACCGTGTTTATTGGCTGCTGCCCCTAAGATCGCATCCTTGAACCTATTCCCGACAGGGGATCGCTGTCGTGCAAGAACCACTCAGTATAGCAGGCGAGTTATTAATCGGCATTCCGTTGTTTTTGTTTTTTTTTTTTTTTTTTTTTTTTTTTCTTTTCTTTCTTTCTTCGGTGGTTGCATATCATCTGACGGGTCGATGTGTTGAACAGCCACAGTGTCCGTTAGATTAATTGAAGTGTCAGTAGCGCTAGCGGCCCTCTTAACGAGACTCGGTCCAAACGTGCCGCCAGACGAGCCCAGCCCGATGGACTTGAAGTGGCCTGGGATGCACCGAGAGGTGGTGCCAAAGTCTTGACTTCGTATATATCTATGCACGTCCCGGGGGCATCAAAAACGCCCTGGTGTCAGGCCTCTGAGGGCACGTCCTCGACTTGCATTCAGAGGATGACAAGACAAGGGTCGAGAGGGGAAAAACAAAGAAAAATCAGAGGAAGACCACTCAACAATCCCATTTCTCAAGACGCATGTCACTTCTGATAGATAGATTTCTGACAGAGCAGGGATGGTCATCCTTCGATCCCATTTCCCCCTCCTTAGTACAGGTGCTAAGAACCAGGGCCAGGATCGCCGTACCCCTCCCCTCTCTCGTTCTGCCCGTCTCGGGGCCTTGAGAAGCCTCGCGGAGGGGACCAATGGAGGGGATACGACGCGGGAGACGGTGCGTGTGCAGGGACAACAGGTCCGTTCACACCCTGTCGGAGGGGTTGAGACAGTCAGACCGAGGGGGTTATTGTTGGCATCTACCTTCCACCGTGGCCCCGAGCCCTTGCGCTGAAGAACCGGAGTGCCTCCTTCGTATGTAGATTGTACTCGCTACTGTGTATTTCCAGGAGCCGTCCAGAAGTGCGACGTGGTCCTGAGCGATAGAGGGAGGGAGGGAGAGAGGATTCTGCAGTTGATATGGATGATCGTCCCATTCTCTAGTTTATTTTCTCTTCTTTTTCTTTTTCGGGGTTTTCTTTTTCCTCTTGATTTTTCCCCTTTCTCGCTTGGACTGAATCCTTCCCAAGATGGGTGTTCTCTTGACGATGTCCCCCACGATGTGCGTCAATCCGTGCGTGTCATTGGGTTTCACTCGCGCGACCAACCGCATTGACGATTGGAGGAAGGAGGACAGCAGTCCGTGAGCTGGTGAGAGGAGAAAGAGAGAGAGAGAGAGAGGGAGGGAGAGATTGGAAAAGAAAAGCGGAAGAGAAAGGAAGAAGAAAGAAGAAAGGGAGGAGGGGCCAATGAGCGCACGCCAGGAGAAAGGCCCGTCTCTTCTTCCAATCGATGTTTCCTGCCGTTTCGCCCTCCGTTGCGCTTCTTTTGCTCGCACAGCAATGGAGCAATGGTTACAGGCCTCGGTGGTCTCCTGATGTCTGGTCCCCCTGGCAAGCCATTCGATCCTTCTGTCTGCCATCTGCCAGAAAGCATCATCCTGGCATTCCGTGCATATCATGACATAACCCGGCGTAATCCCTCTTACACAGGGCTCATGATGTGGAAGGGACTAAGCAGGGAAGAGAGCTTGGGCTTCAATTCTGGTCGGGGAGTCAGATGCGAGGATGAGACGGCACGGTGTGGCTATGAACCCGAGTAAGTTCCGAGGAGGGCCTCTTCCCTCCCCCCGGTCTATACAGAACTGCCTGGGGACGATAGTGCTGATGCTTAAAGAAGATTATCAGTGCATACAGCCGACCTCCTCCTCCCTCCTCCCTACATGAGCCTCGTCTAGGCAGAAGGCTTCCATGCATATCCATATCGACAGGCAATATAGACAAGATGATGGGATAGACTCGGGGTTCATCTCACCGATCCCTGCGCTGGGGACGGAAACCTCCACTTTAGGCAAAAGGTAGGGCGCATAACCATGCCTTGGTTGGTGTACAGGGAACTCGGCAAATATGACGCTGTGGATATACATGAAACCGTGTACATACCCTCTCGCTCCCTCCATCGGAATAATCCCAAGTGCCCAAGACTAACGGCCAAGTTGTGATGCCGGAGATGGACTTAAGCGGCCAGATATGAGGACAGGGAAAAGCCGCCCTCCTTGGCAATAAGATACCTGATAATATAACACGAAGAGTCACAGTGCTGACCCAATGACCGAATTGGCGAGAATCGGAGTGACTGCCCATCCATTGGTGCTCACTAGATGCCGACTCTGACCCCGGTTCAAAAGCAAACAACCAGGGCTAATCAGAAATAAGTAAGACTGCGGGAATTCGGTGACCAGACTAAAAATCGGAATAAGAAAAAGAAAAAAGAGAACCAAGAAAAAGAAAGGTCAAAAGAAGTATCGTGCATTGATGGTCATGTCAGGACATTCTATCCGGCCAGTTGAAGATGTCCAGGAACAAGGGAGACAATAAAAAAAAAATACAGAGGATCTCTCTTTCGTTGCCTTGGAAATCGAACAACGCCGAGAGAAAAGGGAAAAAAGAATTTACAAGCGGTCATCTGGAAGAAGCATGCTAGCCTCACCGACGGCCAGGAGGTCGAAACTTTCCTCGCTGGTTGTTGTCGTGGGAGAGCTGGCACTCACACCCTCTGGGAAAACATACTCTTTCTTCTCCCGACTGGATGGAACATCCCGGTTCCTTGACTGCGCCTGCCACGACTTGTCTCCAATCCACTCCATTCCGTCGCCGGCTCCATGAATGTCCGCCTTGCGACGGGCTTTCTCGCGCTCCATGAGAGGAAGAACGGCCGGCTCCGCGGCCCTTGACTCATTTTCGCCACGGGGGCGAAGGTCGAGATTGCGATGATGCCATTCGCCCAGGAACATGCCGTCGACGTCTACTTCCTGTCGCACGTCTAACCAGTCATCCATATCCTGGCCATAGAGCTCGCGCAGCTCCTGCGGCCCTGTCGTCTTGAAATTCTTCGCCCAATGTGGCTTCGCGCCCATCTCGCGCATAAGCCACTCGAACGCCTCGTAATACCTCTCCGTACACGGGGGATCCCGGAGATACGGTCGATAGAGCGTCGCATTGAGATACAGCGTGGGTCCGTCGGCGCATGTAGGGTCAAGAAACGGGCGAGGATTACGGTTGTGCGTCGTGTCGGAGACTCTCACCTCGATTGGACAATGCACCCACACGCCTTGGACAGGTAGCGGGATCTGCGCGGTTTCCATGTCGCCGTTCAGCCAGGCGGACAGGCGGGTAATAGCCTCGGGACCCTTTTCCAAAGGCAGGGCCCACTCGTTGACAAACTGCGAGTACAGACAATTCATCAACAGGCCCTGACGTGCCGGCTCCACCGCTTCGGTCACCACGGACTCGGCTTTGAATCCATACTGCAACCCAAACACCAACCACTCCACCCACGGGAGAATCCGGGGGAAGTAATTCGAGAGGGCCAGCAAATTATGGTACACATGATATCCAAACCACTCCCCGTAGAAATTCGCGGGTGGGGCCCGCAGAGGTTGGTCCGTCTTATCGGCATGCCACACAATCGCACTCTTCAGATATGGCATCCACCAGACGCGGACAAACTCATGCGAGGTCCACACTCCCGACGACCATTCGTCCAAGACGCTGGACAGCGAGCGTCGCGTCTGCCGCCAGGCAATCTTGAACGTGGGTTCCGCCTTGAAGGTGATCTCCACAATGATGCCCAGCGCTCCGAGAGAGATCAGAGCCGCCCGGAAGAGCGCCGCATTACTGGTCGCGCTGCAGCGCACCAACTGTCCATTCGCCAGCATCAAGGTCAGAGACGTGATGCACTCGGAAATCAATCCGTGGCGCAGAGAACTCCCGTGCGTGCCCGTTGTGATGACCCCGGCGATCGACTGATCGTCAATGCTACCCAAATTGGACAGACATAGGCCGAACTTCTCCAAATGTGCGCCCAAATCCCTCAGTCGAATCCCCGCCTCCACTGTCACCAACCCGGTATCCTGCGAAACCTCCAGCACCCGGTTGAAATCGTCCAGATTGACCAGCCACGCCGAGGTGCAGGTCAGGTCGGACGGCGAGTGGCCACTTCCCGAGGTAACCAAGCGACGACGACATCGCCGAGCCAACGTCACCACCTTCTCGATCTCGGCAATTGACCGCGGTCGCAGGTACAGTTCGGGTCGCGAGAAAAAGGTCTTCGCCCACGTGTGATGGAGATGGTCGGAGGAAGCGCGGAAAGGCACCGCGGGGTCGAGGCGCGAAAGTTCTCGGAGGACGGCGGGGTCGAGGTTTGGAGACATTGTGAGAGGGAAAGGGAGGGGAGGGAGAAAAAAAAAAAAAAAAAAAAAAAAGCAGGGAACAGGGCTCCAAGGGTAGAATCAAATGCGGAGCCAATCAAGACATACTGACAGGCGCGACGAGTTGTGGTCCGTCCGGAATGAGAAAGATTCGGGCAAGTCGTACGATAAAGAAAAAGAGCAACGGCGGATGATGATGAAAAGGCAGCGGCGGATGACGGCAGCGCGGAGTGGGTCGGGGTTCGGTCCGGCCGATTTTCGCTCTTCATTAATTTCTGGTAGACAGTTCGGTTGGATTCAGAGTCTAGCATCGCTGAAGAAAATGATAATACAACCGTCGGTCCTCTATCCATAAACCCGGCAAATATCCATACATGCAAAAGAGCAAATGTCCCCTTCCCATGGGAACCAAAAAAAATATCAGCAAAAAAAAAAAAAAAAAAAAAAAAAAAAAAAACGCCAGTGAAAGCATGCAATGAGATCGCCCGAATTCAATTCGCTCCATCCCAAGGCTCCTTGGATCATGCTCCTACCCAGTTATGTCATGGCGTTGGCTCCGATGGACCGCCGTCTCTGTACAGGCCAGTTATATGCACAATCCAAATGCACGAATCTATCAACATGAAAAAGAAAAGAAACCAGAAAGAAAGGTAGGCCGAAAGATCGAGGTATAGATCAGGTTTTAGGTGCGAATGGCTTCGATGGCCGCATTCAAGGGGAAGACTCGCGGAGGAGGCGTGGAGGGAGAACGCGGCACCCATTTCCGGAACGCACTGCGACAGGAGTCGGGGATTCCTCCGAGGGCGACGTAGCTTTTAGGAATGAAAGGTCGATCCTGGAGAGAAGCAGCCAGAATGCCATACTCGTGCGCGAAGACCACGGCCGAGGCGAATTCGCCGGGTCGGTTCGATGATTGTTCGCCAACGATCCTGAAACGAGCGGGTTAGCAACTAGGTCAAATCGATATGGAATCCGAGAAAGTACTTACACGTAGATCTCGAAGAAGATATCCAGAATGAAAACCCCCTTTCCGGCGAGATCGTTCTGGCAAAAAGGCTCCACCTCCTGGACGGTGTCATTCGGTCGGATCACTGGCGATGCCGAGCCTGATCGCCGCAGCCAGAACCCTGATCGCTGTCCGAGTTCGTGGTCGATGCGAAGCAACCGCAGGCGGAAATGATCATAGTTGGGTTTCAGCCGCCAGAAATCCGAGTCCATGTAGTCGCCAGTCTCGGCATATGGCGGGAACACCTCGAAGAAGCTCTCGGGTTCCTCGCCCTCGGTCACTTCTTCGAATTCGCCCGTCAGACCCAGGTCCATGCCAATCAGTCGAGCAGCGCCGATCTCCTCTGCCGAGCTTCCTTTGCCTTTCCAGAGGTACAACTTGCCAAACATGGCCGAAATCACAAAAGGATATCCGGTGCACAGATTGCGAGGCGAGAGGTTGACCTCATCGAACACCATTTGACCCAGGTGCTTCCGCCCGCAGAGCATGAAAATCGCCGACGAACTCGAGCGGGAGCTCAATCCACGACGCGTGATCAGGATGCCGCCAAGCGCTTGGATGAACCGGGTGGTTTCTTTGCCTTGCTTGATGACTTCGAGTTTGGCGCTGTTCTCCTTCGCGACTCTTCGAGAGAAAGACTGAGCGTCATCCAGCGCGGCGTCGGCTACATCATCACCGCACCAGAGATGGACTTCCGAGCGAATGCTGCCTTCGGCTTCAAACATGTGCACGCACAAGTACATGCTGCCCTCGTACAGAATGTACTCCTGGTTCACTGGGAGGTCCTGGCGCTTGCCGTCTCCCGTGATCTCCCACATCTGCTTCTTCAGCGTCCGGATTTTTTGGTTATCGTTTTTGTTTTCCAGCATTGTTTGAGGATCGATGTCCACGCTATTGCTGGAGCTGGGGAAGGTCTTGAAAAATCCGGAAATCGCTTCCAAGGACTCATCCGCCTGGGGAACCAACGAGGCAGAAGATCTCGGCGATGAAAGCTGATCGGCAGGGGTATTGAATTTCGGAGGTACGGGAGGGGATGGCAGGGCCTTGTCGCGCGGAGACGAGTCCCTGGACCAAGGAGACCCTACGCCGGGAGTCTTCCGATATGATGGCGGCGGGTGGATATAATTATCTTTGAAGCTTGTGCGCAGGGGCGAGGGGGATGGAGACGAGTATTGAATTTGAGAGGTCCGGGCCTGGCCGACAACAGGGGTTGACGGATTGGAGGCTTTCGACGGAGGGGTTGGTCGGTTGACGGGAGAGTCCTCCAGAGATTCGATGTCTTCACTGGAAGTTCTTTCGTGGTCTGAAAGGCGTTGGCCCATGACAGGCGAAGGGGATGGGCTAAGTCCTTCTGATTTTTGTTTGATGTCAACCGAAGACATGCGCGGAATTGTCCTTCTGAACTCCGTGGGCTTGTTGGTCGCCGACGGAGTAAGCTGGGCCAAGCTGGTCTCCGGCGAGTCTTGCGATCCAAAGTCGATATCCGGCAGTGGCCAGTTGGAGCCACCAACAGCGTGCTCAGGAGGGGTCTTGACCTCTGGCTCCTTGCTATCCACATACAAGGATGGGATCTCCTGGGGTTCTTCCTTGTCCTCCGGGGCAGGCTCCGGAGCAGGTTCCGGCACCTGTGATGGGGTGGTGGCATTTGGAAGACGCCTTTTTGGGCCTCTCGCACGGTTCTTCGTTGCATGCGTAAGGGGTGCGGCGGACTTGGACGCTTCTGCATCAGCCTCGTTGGAAGAAGTCGAAGGAAGCGTTTTATCGGATCCACTCGCCGCAACGGGTGGTCCGCGCGATAGGAGGCCCGCCAAGGCAGGATTTATTCGGCCTGCAAGTTTACCTTTAGCAGCAGGACCTTCAGTGGCAGCAGGCACGGTCGTTGCCTGCGCATCAGTGCTCAACGGCAAAGCACCCACCGGTTTGATGGCTCCCTCTTCCGACTCCTCTTGTTTTTTCTCCACCACTGGTGCGTCATCCTGTTCACCCGAGTCGACGGGAGCGCTGTCGTCATTCTTTCCAACGTCAAACGGTTCAAATTTGACGGGCTCGAGCAGAGTGACAGGGGCATCAGCCTTTTGTTCTTCCAAAGTTTCAGGCTGCGTAGGCATATCTCCTTGTTCCATGGACGCTCGGGGGGATGGACTTGGGGCCTGCGTGTCTTGCGAGACACGGGGTGTTCCAAAGTCTTTTGAAGGGGATGTTGGCGTGATAGGGGAGAGGTCGTTGTTAGACTTGCCCAGATTGTTTCGCTTGGCAATGGCTTCTGGCACCAGCGATGGGGGGGCATCCATCTCTCCGGCAGTATTGCGCCTCAGCGAGCCTCCGCTGGATTTTATGGCATCTTTCTGCTTCAGAATACTCTCCTTCAGTTCGTCAACTCTTTGCGACTTCTTCGGTCCCCCAGTCGTGTTGAGTGCCGCCTTTCCTTTCAGGATGTTGCCCTTGAGCTCATCCGGCGCAACATAGTTGGAAGCTTCCGTCTTCTTGAGTTTTCCAAATATATTTTTGAATTCGGGTTCCTCTTGACGTGACTCATCCTTCACCACCTCTCGGCGTCGAAGATTGGCGCGGAAATCGATCACAGGAGACTGGGGCTTCGGCCGATTCAGCAGAGGGTCTCGAGGGGAGGAAAGGGGCATGTCGACACTTGACTTCTGGGCGATGTGAAGGGTGGGTGCGCGCTTGCGTCGAATAACATCCTCTCCGGTACTTTGAAGCTCGGTTTCCGCCGCCGGAGCTTTGTCCGAAGCGATGGTTTCCGCTGCGGGTTCGCTGCTGTCTTCGATCGGTGCCTTGTTGCCCTCCGGTTCGGCGACTTGAGCCTCCGGTTCCTCGTTGGCCTTGTGTTCAGGCACCTCCTTCACTGGACTCTCGGGCTCTGCCCTAGCCAGATTCTCTGCCTCTTCCTTAGCCTCATTCTCAGGCTCTTCTTTGACGATGTTCTTCTCCTCTTCGTCCTTATTCTCGGGCTCCTCGTTGGGCTTGTTCTCAGACTCTTCCGCAGGCTTATTGAAAGGTTCCTCCACAGGCCTGTTTAAAGTCTCCTCCGTAGATTTGTTCAATGGCTCCTCCACTGGCTTTTGTAAAGGTTCCTCCTTCGGCTTCGATATTTCCTGGACACCCAAGAGATCTGGCATTCCGGATACACTTGAAGTCTTCGAATGGCTACCGGGAGCAGCAGTCCGCATGAGACCCACAGGAGTGACTTCCTTGAAGCTGTTCTTTCGGCCCAAATCGATGCTGCCCTTGGACTGTCGGTCTCTCACCCAAGGTGGCGTTGCCGATTGTGAGGGCTGTTTCTTGTGCCTTGGGGAATCTGGTCGATTCAAGGCACTCTCTAGCCAAGTAGATTTTGTGGGACTCCACCGCTTGGGGTCCATTGTCCTCGACACTGCCGGACTAGTCGGAGGTAGAGATCCAGTCTCAGAGCCTTGGTCGTTGCCTAGTGCACTAGTAGATCTTGCGTGGAGAGAGAGGGGAGGTCTGCCGGGCGACTCGTGAGAGCGTGCAATGCTATTTCCGCCGGACACTGGAGGCGTGGATGGACGCTCACCGTCCATCCCACTGGAGGATTTGGTGTTGAGCGCGAGAGGTGGTCTGATAGGACTATCTTCAAGCTGTGTGCTGACATTGCTACCAGGCACAGGAGGCGTTGCGGGACGTTCACCGTCTTTCATCGTGGCTTCGCTGTGACTCGATCCTGGGCGGGGATGTAAGATTGGACCATCCCTACTCAGTCTAGGAGACGCGGAGAGGGCGTCTGCATTGCTAGGCGCAGCGAAACTATTGCGGTTGTTGGCGAACGAGTTTCCCCGTGCAAGTCCCGATGGAAGTTGAGCGCTCCACCGTTTTGATACACTATCTGATCTCTTCATCATCGCACTCTGCACGAAACCCCCCAGTCCCTTCGTGGGTGACGACGATCTCGAGCGCTCAGGGGAGAGTCGTTTGGGCGATACAGGCGACGACTGCTCCTCCGAACTTGGCTCAGGTTTCGGAGGCTCCAGTTTCTGTGCGCTCGATAGCGGGATCGGCGAGCCGAGACCCGTGGCCGTCGACACCGACGATACACTTGAATACCGATTACTGATACTGCTGTCTGCGAATATTGAGCTTGCTCGAGATGGAGAGCGTGACCGCGCCTCCGGAGTTTCCTGGTGGGTGGCTTCTTTTTCTTGTTCGGCGTTAGTTTCCACTGGAGGGTCATGCTCTTTGGTGCTGCTCTCTTCCAGAGAAGTCTCATGGACGTTTTCTTCTGTAGGCTTGCTGCGCATCGGAGAGCCGAGGCTTCGTTCTGTTGGTTTCAGTGGAGGGGGAGTCTCCTTAGCTGAGGGCGACCAGGCACTCGGGCTCCGAGGCGCCGCATGGTCATCGTTCGAAGTTGTAGACATGGCCCTCCAGCGATTCTCACGTGTGGGAGAGCTAGAGAAAAAGGATCTGTTGCTACCAAGGTCCCGCGACGACGGTCGTTGTTGCCAGGACAAAGTTCCCGTTCTGCTTCGAAGAGGCGAGGTGGAAGTCGAAGGAGGCTTGGGAGATGTTTCGATCTCGCTACCCTCCGCCCTCGAGCCCCTCCGACTCCCGTCCGTCGTCATCGATACGTCGTCTCGAATAAAATCAGACTTCGGAGTGGATTCCCGCTCAGGTTCGTACCGAGTTGGCTCGAGTTGTTCGGGAGGATCGATCGGCCGCGGCGTGGTGGGGGGAGGCATGCTCAATCGAGTGGTATCAAATAAAGAAGGGGAATCTTTCGTCGGCGAGATGGATCTGGCCCGCTCTGCATTGGCACCCCAGGTGAGACACGATCAGCTTCTGAGATTGACCCTCCGGAAACAAGTACAGTTGTCCACTGCACTGAGTCATGACAGCCGCGACCGCGGGCAATGAAAACATACCAGCTCTTCTCGCCTGTCTCTCCTGTCGACCCTTCAAGATTTCCTCCTCCAATTTCTTCGTACGCTCTTCGTCCTCCTTGTCGCGCCTTTCACCGAGCTCCCGGATACGAAGCAGGAAGTCATTGACATCTTCCGTGCCTTCGGCACCGGTTGTGGAAGTCATGGCCACCTTGGCACTTGACGAGTCACAAAATCAAAAAAAGAGGGAAAATACGAGACGCAAGGAAAAGCCCCGAAATCCCGATGACCAGGGCCACAGGACGACCAAAAGGGGAGGGAGAAAAAAGAGAGAAAAGAGAGAGAAGAAAAGAAGGACGAAAGTGCCAGAGTATCAACCCAATCCAACCCAAAAACAAACAAGCACCAGGAACTGTGGGGTTTGGGTTTGGCGAGAGGACCCAACGAGGGGTGGTGAGGATGGCGTGGGAAAAAGCAACGGATGGTCAGGGACAACAGACTTGAGCCGACGACCGTCCGTCGTAGGCGTAGATGTAGATAGCCGAGACCGTCGAAGGAGCGTCCCTTGCAAGGAATCACGACGAGATGCGGCTGGGATTCTCCGCCTTAAACCCTGGGCCGATTTCGCCGGTGGACCCGAAGGGGCAATAATCCTAATCCTAATCCTGGGAAGATGAATCGTCGAGGCTCCGGCATCCGAATAATTCCCACTGCCTTGCTGCGATTACGTCGGCTGCCAGACTAGCCCGGGCTAAGCCAACTAGTTTGTCGTCGCCTTCATTCTTCGAAGCCAAACGAATCTCGCCCGTTTATTATGATTTTCCTGCCTCGGGCATCCACCCGCCGCGGATCCATGGGTCAGGTGACCCGCCCCTGGCAGTCTGCCTGAGGCATCACAGTGAGTTGTGTTCTGGCGGTTACGGTGGTGCAAGATTCTAATTCATTCAGAGGTGCTTCTGCTCGTCACAGACAAGCCCTGAGATTTCTAGGCACCATTGTGAGCATGCAACGTGTGCCCTGCGTGTCGGGTTCCTGCAGAAGCAGGCGCTCCCTGCAACCCATTATATATAGGCCCAGCCACATCATCATTCACTTGATTGCCCCTAGCATGGAGGATAGTATTTGGCCGTAAAAATGCGATATAATTATGTGGCAAGTAATAAATAATAATAGTAAGACAAAACAGAAACATGGCTTTATCATTAATTGACTGTTACTTGTAGTTATCCCGTACCTCAAGCGCTATGATCAGTAGAGGAACAATCTGTCCTTTGCGTCCTGCACCACCCATTCTAGACCTTCATGCAGATTCCTCCCAGTCATTGCACTGCAGGGCAGAATTGTCCACCTGTGGGTTTGGATTGAATCAAGACCGAGTCGCTAGAAAATAGTCAGCAGGGAGACCGGACCGGCAATCATCCCAAGAAGTCCACCACATAAAAAAAATAAATGAAAAATAAAAATAAAAGTTGCAATACCTCTCGAACCTCATTCTCAGTCATACATCCCTCCACATCAGTCTTATTGAGGAAGATCAGCAAACTGGCTCCCATAAGGCGCTGTCAAAATCCAACAATCAGTCCGCGATGCTCGAAAGAACTTTCACGCGGCGGGACGGGCACAGCGTACCTCTTCAAGAAGAAGACCAGCAAGTTCGTCACGGCAATCCGCGACTCGGAGCCGGTCTGTCGCATCTACAACCCAGACCAGCGTATCGGTTTTCTCGAAGTAGTTTTTCCAGTACGAGCGCAGGGTCTTTTGACCGCCGACATCCCCTGTTGGCTTGGCATTAGCGTGTAGCCGAGACGACCTCCGTAGCCATCCTTACAGATGTTCAGTCGGTATCTGGGACGGAGTTAGCATTCCTGGATGGAAATTTTCAAATGGAACAGATGAGAAGTGATAAATACCCTTGGAAATCTATGGTTTTGATGATGAACCCCAGCGTAGGGCTGACCGTGGTGACGTCTTCATTCATGATCTGCTTGACGATGGTGGTTTTGCCCGCATTGTCCAGGCCACTGGGATTGTCCTCCTGGTCAGCAAGTCCATTGGACATCTTGAATGAAATCCAGAGAGATAGTACAGCATCAAAACCCGCATCTCCTTGTCCTTTAGACGGGCTTTCCTCAATATGGACAACATTTTGGCTGGGGGACTGGTTGGTTGGGGAGGGCAGAAGCGGGAAGAGACGAAGTTCCATCTATACAGGGCCATTCCGACATGTCACTGGATCCGAGCAATGAGCATCCTGGCATACCACGAGATAGGGAACTGTGGAGAAACCACTGGATGGGAAATTCAATATCAACATACTGTTTTTTATTGAGTAGATCTAGATTTCTTTAATCTAAACTTCTGTCCGGTTCACCAAAAACTACGCCTCTAACCTTTTCTTAAAGCGGTGGCTGGATGTGCGCGCCGGCAGTCATTCACCGACTTGCCCAAGCATTCAGGCAATGAGGACCAGGCAGGCAGTGACAATCGGAAGTTTCTGGTTCCCCTGTGCGGGCGGCCTATGGGATTGGGCCGTCTTTTTATCCTGCACTTACCTTCAAACAATCCAACCAAAGTCTTCCTTTCGTTAATTATCGAGATGTGGAGGGAGAACTCACAAGATCGAGAGCCTAAAAGTTCCAGTATGGAACTGCACTCATCGGCGGTTGCTAGTGTTAAACTGCCAGCCACAAACCCGGCTCAGTGCCCTGATGTTGCTCAGAACAACCACCCTGAGCACCCCCCCTCATCACAACAAGCACCCCCAAATGGGAACTCAAAAGACTCACATTCTGCACTAGACTCTCCACCTAAACCTTATGTGAAGATCGCGCACCCCTCAATCGCCCTTTACATTGCACCTCACCTCAGAGATCCGGCCCTGAAGGCACTTCGCCCCCCTCAGCGGTATTGTACCAGTCGTCCCTATCGCCCTATCCCCGCCCGAAGTGAAGCCAAACAAACACAGGTTTCTTCTGAGGTTCAGCCCACCTTCTTCAAATCCCACCTGGTCACTCCTCCTCCAAACCCCTCCCAGCTGAGAAAGGAGTTCATACAAACTCCAGTTCAGTCTCAGCCTCCACAACCGCCCGTTGAATCCAAGGCGAATATAGACCTGCCCGGCAAGTGACCACATCGGGACACATCTTTTTCTATATGTTTGGATAGCTGAAGCTAATGATTGAGCAGAGACACAGATCAAGCTCGATAAGATGTCTGACACCGGCTCAGATGAGATCATGATGGCGCGTGGCAACAAGTTTCGAGGTAAAGCAGAGTCATCTCAGCGTTCTGGTGGGCAATCCCCCGGCAGAGCTACTAGGGGTCGCAAGCCTCCAAAGCTTCACCTCGACTCCAACGGCACAAAGGGGAACCAAGAAAATGATCCACAAGGCAAGGCTCCTGGAGGCCCATCCGCTACCCCAGACAAGGCAAAGAAAGAGGCATTGGAAGAGTTGGAGCGACTGCGTGCAGAGATCGTCCAGAAAGCCCATCTAAACCGTTTCAAAAACCTTGAATATGATAGTGCCAATCCAGAAGCCCTGGTCAAATGCAGAAAGGGACCAGGAACGGACCCTAGTTCAGATTTCTACCGAATCATGGCACACCGTCGCCGCGAAGGAAAGGTAGCCACTGTTGTAGAAAAGACAACCCCTTCTTCCTCAGACAGCGCATCTTCTGAAACAGCAGCAGCAGCAGCAGCAGCAGCAGCAGCAGAAGAAGAGGTGACGATGGACCCCGCCATTGCATATGTTATACAATGGGAGCAATACATCCAAAGCCCTCACATCTACCCTATCGTCGAGGATGGAAAGATGCATTTATCGCAGACTCCAACTGCAGAGCATGAGCATATCGAACGGCAGATGTCGCAAACCGGCATTGATCCGGCCAACGCTCAGGTTGACAAAGACATGCCGCGCCCAGACAACAAATGGGCCGACGCCTTCTACGCAGACTGGGAATACCGGCCTCGCGCATACTCTGGCCTGGAGGCTTTCCGCGACTGGTTTCGCCGTTGGCTCGATAGCAACATTCAGATCTGCTGCTATGCAGATATCTACCACGAAGCGTTCTTCGACGGCACAGCTCATCCCGACGGTGTACGCACCATGTACATCCCCAATCTGGACGATAAAGAGACTGGACTTGATAAGAGCGATGAGATGAGTATGCTTCATGCTCATGAGACCGCGGAGGGATACTGCCACAATTGGGTGCTGCATACCAGAAAACACGAGGAGGAACAGCGGGTTCAGAAGGACTTGCGACGGCAGGCCTACATCGAAGCCATGAGGGCCCCACCCCAGAGCAATCCAAACTCCCCCAAGGCGAACGTCTACTTGCGTCCCGCCCAGTTCGAAGATTCCCAAGGAATTCTCCAGATTATGAACTGGTATGCCAAGAACTCCACGTTGAGCACTGACGTCCGGAATCTTGAAACGGGAGACGTTCGCCAGCGCATTGAAAATTGCGAGGAAAACAAGTTGCCCTTCATCGTTGCCGTCGAGCGCAATACCGGACCAATTCGAGACAACTCACCTGAGAATATTCTAGGCTATGCTTTGGCCAAAGATTCCGTTGGAATAGAGACCAGCGGTCGTTTCACAGCGGAGCTCCACGTTTTCGTAAAAACAGGGTTCAAACGCCAGGGCATCGGAAGGTGCCTGATAGACAAGCTGTTGGAGGTGTGCGATCCCACCTACATTCCCAAGGGCGGTTACTTTTTCAAGGCCACCTTTGACGAACAGCCCAGGTTTGGTGCCGGGGGTCCCCGCCGACTGGCTCGTCTTTTCTTCGCCGTTGGTTACCAGTCTGAAAGAAGCCACGAGGCCCGATGGCTGATGGAATGGCTGTTCGATAAGTACGACTTTGAGGAGCAGGCTATTCTGAAAGGAGCGAGAGTGAAGTTCGATCACTTGTAAGTCTATAGTCCTCATCCAAGGTAGCAAATCTAACCGTCGTCAGTAACGACGTCTCTTACCTTGTTCGAACCGTTGGCTATACCTCCAACATTCGATTCGAATATTGAATCTTCTAAACGTCTACTGTTGGGTGCCTAGGGAGTCACTGTTTTGGTTTGATTGAGCCGATATCTTGACGTGTTCTCTAAGAAGGCCCGATATTTTCTTTTGTCTAATTTGCTTTCCTGCTTAGTCGAGAGATTGCATTTCCTTTACCAGCCCAATGAGAAACGTTGGGAATGGTAAAGGAAAAGAAAAAGAAATATCCAAAAAAAAAGAAAAAAAAAAGAACAAAAGACAAGCAAAAGAGAGAACTGCGATTATCTAGTTGAAGAAAAATGGTGTATTTAGTTTTGCTGTTTCATTTGTTTGCCTGAACAGCGCGGAGTTTCCATCTCACACTCAGTTTAGTCCCGCCAATCGATCGGTGGATCCCTTCCAGCCCGTTCACCAATCAACGTAGCCCACCGCCTCCCCGATTTTCTTCTGCCGGTAGAGTGTCTCACCGCCTCCGCAGTTTGAACTTTTTTTTTTTTTTTCTTTTCCTCCGAGCATAGAGGAAGTTCAGGTGCGGCAGACCATTAGGAGGAAGTGGTCCCAGAAGTCTTTCTTTTATCCATTTGCATTTTTGATTCTTTTTATCTTACCATTGTCAATAATTTCCGGTGACATTATTCCAGCACTTCCTTGTATCCATCAGCGGACCCCAATTCAAAGAAATACCCGTCCAAGATGGCTCCCAACCCGGCGGCCAAGAAGCGGAGTTCCAGAGACGACGATTTCGTGCTGACGCTCTCTGACGACGAGAACGACACCTTCGGAAAGGCCAATGAAGACGGCGACGACAACGAAGAAGACACGGCTCTGGCGAGCGCGAAGAAGCGCAAGAGAGACACGGCGGAGGCTGCGGCCGGAAAGAACAAGAAGCAGAAGAAGCAATTGAAGAATGGCAAGTCGAAAAAGGACGCTGCCAAGCCGGCGGAAGAATCTGCCGACGAGGAGGAGGAAGCCGAGGCAGAGAATGCCGGCGATGACGACGGCGCGCTGAACCCCGATTTCGAGTTCGACTTTGGCGGTATTGCGAATACGGTTACCGAGGGCTTCGATGGCTGGGGCGCCGATGACAGCAAGGCGAAGAAGGAAGACAAGGCCGGGGTCGACATTGATGATATCATCTCGCGGCGAAAGGCAAAGAAGGAGGCCCAGGCGCAAAAGAAAAAGAAGAAGCAGGAGCTCGAGAGCGAGAGCGAGGCCGAAGATGACGAGTCGGATGGAGGCATGGAGGTGGATTTCAAGGATGACGAGCTGCTTGCTGATGACGGATTCGGTATGGGAGCCGACGGTGAGGCTGAGTCGGAGGATGAGAATGAATCGGGCGACGAGGAGGAGAAAAGTGGCGAGGATGAAGACGAGAGCGATGACGATGACGACGACGACGAGGCCGCCTCTGATAACGACTCCGTTGCAACGCCCGTCAACCACCCCGATGACGATGGCTCCGATAATGGGTCCGATGCCGAGAGCGAGGTTGATGCCGAGGAAGAGGAGAAGCGCAAGGCCTTTTTCGCGCCGGAAGAGAAGACAACCGAACAGTCTTCGGCAGACCTGGCGAAGATGTCGTTCCAAGAGTTCAACCTCTCGCGACCAATCCTCCGTGGTTTGGCCGGCGTCAACTTCTCCAACCCGACCCCCATTCAGCGGAAGGCAATCCCCATGGCTCTACTGGGCAAAGACATCGTCGGTAGTGCCGTTACGGGTTCTGGTAAGACCGCTGCCTTCGTTGTGCCCATCCTGGAGCGTTTGCTCTTCCGTCCGCGCAAGGTTCCCACTAGTCGCGTCGCCATCCTGATGCCCACTCGTGAATTGGCTGTCCAATGTTACAATGTGGCAACGAAATTGGCCACTTACACCGACATCACCTTCTGTCAGCTGGTTGGTGGTTTCAGTCTGCGTGAGCAAGAGAACATCCTGAAGAAGCGACCCGATGTGATTATCGCCACCCCCGGTCGTTTCATCGATCACATGCGCAACTCGGCCAGTTTTACCGTTGACACCCTCGAGATTTTGGTTCTGGATGAGGCCGATCGAATGCTTGAAGACGGTTTCGCCGACGAATTGAACGAGATCTTGACCACCATTCCCAAGTCCCGGCAGACCATGCTGTTCTCCGCTACCATGACGGACACGGTCGACAAACTCATTCGAGTCGGACTCAACCGACCCGTGCGACTGATGGCCGACTCCAAGAAGAATACCTCGGCCAACCTGGTTCAGGAATTCGTCCGACTACGGCCAGGCAGGGAGGACAAGCGATTGGGATACTTGCTCTATCTGTGCAAGGAGATCTACACGGGACGAGTAATTGTGTTCTTCCGACAGAAGCGCGAGGCCCATCGCGTGCGCATCGTGTTTGGACTGCTTGGCCTGAAAGCGGCCGAGCTTCACGGTAGCATGAGCCAAGAACAGGTACGTCTTTTAGTCCTTTTTTTGGTACCAACCCGATTGACAGACGCTAACCGAATCAAACTACAGCGTATTAAAAGCGTGGAAAACTTCCGAGACGGCAAGGTGGCGTTCCTACTGGCCACCGACCTGGCGTCCCGTGGTCTCGATATCAAGGGAGTCGAGACGGTCATCAACTACGAAGCGCCGCAAAGCCACGAGATCTACCTGCATCGAGTGGGACGAACGGCCCGTGCCGGTCGGTCTGGTCGCGCCTGCACGATTGCCGCCGAACCGGACCGCAAGGTTGTGAAGGCGGCCGTTAAGGCGAGCAAGGTGCAGGGGGCCAAGGTGGCCAGCCGCGTGGTGGACCCGGCCGTTGCCGACGATTGGGCGGCGCAGGCCAAGGGACTGGAGGAGGAGATCGACGCGGTGCTTGAGGAGGAGAAGCTCGAGAAGCAGCTGTCCCAGGCGGAGATGCAGGTGAACAAGGGCGAGAACATGATGAAGCACGAGGCCGAGATCATGTCGCGACCCAAGCGAACCTGGTTCGAGACCGAGAAGGACAAGCGCGCCGCCCGCAAGCTGGGAGCGACGCAACTGAACGGACCGGAGGCGGGCAGCAAGAAGGACAAGCAGAAGCTGAGCAACAAGGACAAGAAAAAGCTGGACGACACTCGGCAGCGACTGGAAGGCGGCGCCGGGTGGAAGAAGGGCAAGGCGGAGCGCGAGGCGCCGAAGAACCAGTCGAAGCCGAAGGGCAACAAGAAGAAGGGGAAGAAATAAGGGTGATGCATGTGTAGATAGATAGACCTTCATCAGAATCATCGAGAGTTTTGGCCGTGACTCAGGAGCCATCCTCCGTATACTCCCACGTATACTCCCCGATCCCACTCCCGAAAGTGGTTCCTGAGGATTCGCCTAGACGCGGCTACCGTCGGCGCGCAGGGGCCACGTTGCGGGCCTGAGGCAGCGAGTTGGGTCCGGTGTCGGCGTCACCGCCGGGTCTGACATGACGTTTGCGATCGGATGCGACGAGCTGCAGAAGCGGCGGCTGCACAGTCATGGGCTTATTTCAACCATGACAGGCGGGTTATTGGGCTGGTCCGACTGCGGGAGTCACCGGAAAGGAGTCCCTGTGCGTCAGAATGGCACTAAGACGACGCTGGTCGAGAGAGAGAAGGGCGTGACGGGCGGCAAATCAGGTGCCTGAAGGGGCGTCCGCTGTCGGCCGCAGAGAAAAAGGCGAACGAATGGCAATTGAGTCACTCCCATTCGTTCGTCCCTCTTAAATACTCCTCGTCCTTTCGTTCGTTTCTCTTTTCCAATCGTCTTCGCTTCTCTCCTCGTCGGATTCCCTCTCTCCCTCTCTCCCTCATTCTCCCCTGCGGATCTCCCCCCCGCCAACCGCTATCATGCCGATGTATGTTTCCGTTCCCCGTCACCGCCCCTCCCCCTCCTTGATGCCCCACCATTCGCTGGTAACTGACGCTCTCGTGAAGGCTCAAAGATCCCTCCAAGAAGTACAAGCCCTTCAAGCCGCTTCATCTGCCGAACCGTCAATGGCCCGATCAGGTCATTGACAAGGCTCCTCGGTGGCTGGCCACCGATCTCCGAGATGGCAACCAGAGTCTGCCCGATCCCATGGTAAGTTGGAAGATGCCATGAGACTGTTTGGAGCCCCGTAAGGCCGCGGTGCTAATCGCTTTCTCTGTTTGCAGGACGGCGAACAAAAATTCCGTTTCTTCAAGATGCTGGTAGATATCGGGTACAAGGAAATCGAAGTCTCGTTCCCGTCGGCCTCGCAGACGGATTTCGACTTCACTCGCCGCCTGGTCGAGACTCCCGGTGTGACCCCCGACGATGTCTGGCTCCAGGTGCTGGCCCCCTGTCGCGAGGACCTCATCCGCCGGACCGTCGACTCCCTGAAGGGCGCTAAGAAGGCTATTCTGCACATCTACCTGGCCACCAGCCCGTGCTTCCGTCGCATCGTCTTCAACATGGATAAGCAGCAGAGTCTGGAAATGGCTGTTCGCTGCACGAAATACGCTCGCTCCATCACCAAGGACGACCCCACGAATGCTGGCACCCAGTGGCATCTTGAATTCTCCCCCGAGACCTTCTCCGACACCGAGCCCGAGTTCGCGGCGCAGGTCTGCGAGGCCGTCAAGGAGGCTTGGGAGCCTACCAAGGAGGACCCCATCATCTTCAACCTGCCGGCCACGGTCGAAATGGCCACCCCCAACATCTTCGCCGATCAAGTCGAGTACTTCTGCCGCCATGTGACGGAGCGGGAGAAGTATGTGGTCTCGATACACCCTCACAACGACCGCGGTTGTGCTATCGCCGCCGCCGAGCTGGCCCAGATGGCTGGTGCGCAGCGTGTCGAAGGTACCCTGTTTGGTAACGGCGAAAGAACCGGGAACGTGGATCTGGTGACCCTGGCACTGAACCTCTACACCCAGGGTGTTAGCCCCAAGGTTGACTTCTCGGACATCAATGCCGTCATCAAGGTGGTGGAAGAGAGCAACAAGATCCCCGTCAATGAGCGTTGGCCCTACGGTGGCCAGCTGGTTGTCTGCGCTTTCAGTGGCAGTCATCAGGACGCCATCAAGAAGGGATTCAAGCTGCGCGAGGATGGCAATGCCACGGACGACAACGAATGGGAGATCCCCTACCTGCCCCTGGATCCCCAGGACATCGGAAGAAACTACGAGGCCGTTATCCGGGTCAACTCCCAGAGCGGAAAGGGTGGTGCCGCCTGGGTTATTTTGCGCAGTCTGGAGCTGGATCTCCCGCGCGCCCTCCAGGTCGAGTTCAGCAAGATCGTTCAGCGCCGGACGGAAGAAGTCAGCCGCGAGCTGCGCGCCAGCGAAATCACCAGCCTCTTCGAAGAGGCCTACCATCTCAAGTCCAACCCCCGCTTCAACCTGGTCGACTACAACATCAGCACGGATCGCTCGACCTCCCCCGCGCCGCCGGAGCCCGGCAAGGCCCTCAACACCAAGAACCTCAAGCGTCGCTTCACCGGTGTCATCGAGATCGACGGCATCCAGCACGCCATCACCGGTGTCGGTCCTGGTGCCATTTCCTCTCTGGCTCAAGCCTTGTCGAACCTGGGCATTGACCTTGATGTCGTTGACTACAAGGAACACTCGATCGGCGGAGACAACTCCTCTGGTCGTGGTCGTGACGTGAAGGCCGCCACCTACATCCAATGTACCGCGGCCGGCAGCAAGGAACAAGTCTGGGGTGTCGGTATTCACCAGGATGTGGTCCAGGCCAGTCTGATCGCCCTCCTGAGTGCTGCTAGTTCGGTAAGTCAAACTCCGCTGAACCCCATCCCGATTGATAATCCCTATGAGCCTTTTTCTAACTCTTATCCTCTCCGCAGTTCCTCACCAGCCGCGCCGGATCCCCTGCCCCCTTCCGTCCCCACCGCTCCAGCACCCTCACTGCGGATGACATCCACGCCCTGGACAACCTGAACGGCGCCAGCGAGGCCGCCATTCTCGCCGCCAAGTCCGCCGTCAACGGCAGCAACACGCCCAAGGTTGACCTGGACGCTCTGACGAAACAAGCCGACAGCCTGTAACGTGACAGCGATATATAAAAGATGAAAGGCTGAGAAACAAAAAAAGAACATGACGGAGTTTGAATCTTTCCTTTTTTTTTTTTTTTTCGGATATACTTTTGGGATGTGGAGTATTGATTATATCGCAATGGGATTTTCGTGGGAGTATCAGAGTTGGATGAAAGCTCGAATGATGGATGGATACATTGATAAAAGACACATCAATGCAAGAGACGCCAACAAAAAATGTTGAACCAAAAAGCAAGCAGACATGTACAGAATGATCACGAGAAATCCTACTCGTTGTTTTCTTTAATCATAATGAAACACAAAATCCAGTTCATTCACATTGTTTTCGTCTTCTTGGTTAGGCTTTCTGCACAGAACTCACAGTAGAGAATTCAACTTAAGTCTTGTGGCATGCATGCATATACTATCTGTCATCATGATCTTCCAAGACGGGGGTTGGGTCTCCAAACGCAGCCATCGCAGGAACCCAACCTAAACAATTAGCCCATAATATATGAGGAATCTAAAAGCAATGATGTATATCCTGTACCATCAATAGCAAGAACGAGCAGTCTTCAGGCAGGGAAGAACCGATCAGCTTGAAAAGTGCTCAACTGGACGAAGCATGATTTTGAAATTTTGTAATTACATGCATGTGTATCGGAAGAAGGGGGTATGTATGTATGTATGTATGTATGTATGTATGTACAGAACATAGCATGTCATTCAAATCATGGGAGATGGTATGGGCAAAGGGGGTAGTTAAAAGACAAAGACGTGGGATGGAAAGAGAAAATGCAAAGGGGAAATCACATGAAACAGGAGAACAAAATGCCAAGTGCAAATGGAGAGAACATATAGGCTATGCCAGAAACCAAAAAAAGAAAGGAACAAAAGGGGAAGGGGGGAAAGAGAAAGGGCTCTAAACACAGAGGATAGCCAAATATAATGCAAAGTCACCGGGCCAAATCAAGTCCACTGGTTAAGAAAGTAGCCGAACCTGATGGGGGATGAGATAGCTGCTCGCTTCCATGCGGTCTTTAGTATCCTAGTATCCGTAATGACCATCGTCGAAGTGTCTCCTCGACATATCGTTGCCACCAAGGGGTTGGTTGGGTCCGCCCTGGGCATGCATGTTGTCCGCACCCAGTGCTGACTGGTACATCAAAGCGTCTTGGGCCCAGTCGCTGGGGCCGTCATCTAGCAACTCGGTCTGTTCGTAGGAAAATGGTCGCGGCTTAGGGGGACCGCCATACTGCCGCTGGCTGGATTGCGAAGCATGTCCCGTTGCGGGTCGATAAGGCAGGGGTTCGTTTACAGGAGCCGGACCCGCTGTCTGGGTTAGAGGCGCCGCAGTAGCTGAGGTGGTGAAATCACCAAAGTCGAAACCAAAGTCTGGGTTTCCAATCGTCTGGGGGGGATCCATTGGGGCCGGTATGTTTCCACCGGTGGAAGATGTAGCCGGGCGCATGGGCTCCGTGATCTGCGAAACCGACATCATGTCCGGTATAGTAGACGGGCTGTTGAGGGTAGACCCATCGCCGAGTTCCTGCGCGACCGGATAAGAACCGCCTGATGCCTCAGGGTGTTCCATCAGTGCTGGGGCTGGAGACCGGGGAACAGCGGGCGCATCACTCTCCGGTACAACGGTGGATCGTCGCGTGCTGTTGCCCATCATGCTTCCAGGTTTAGAGCTTCTGCTAACGCGGTGCTGTGGACCGTCTGCGAAATGATTCTCGGCTCCTTCAGTGTCACGAATGCTAAACTGGGCAAACGTTCGGAGCTTCCGAGTAATCCAGGATGCTAGCACTTTACCGCGTTGTTTTTCACCAAGGCGAGACCGAGGGAAGTCCCCGTGGGGAACAAAGGCAACGATGTCGGCGACGACTTGGTGCTCGTTGAGAATGGAATTGACAATCACGGGAACGAGAGATGCCAGGTAGGCCTTTCTCGTGACCTCCACAACCACAACGATCAGATCGCCAGCCTGGAAGACAGCACTGTTGGGGCCATAGGGTTAGCAATTGCATTCCAGATCAGGTCAATTGGGTAGACAACTCACCATCCACCGGCCACAATGTTACGATGGCATCTTTCAACGGAGTTCTCGATATCCATGGGGAAATGGTTGAGTCCGTTCACCTCGAAGGTTTCTCCAATTCCGCCGAGGACAAACAGAACCTGCATCTCAACAGGCTGGCCGCCAGGTCCAATGGGCCTAGTGACAGTGTGGAGGAATCCCAGATCACCAGTCCGTACATAGGCAACATTAGGATCTCCATCCATGATCCGACCATTGAATCGTTCCTGGTCGAATTCCTGCCTAGATCCGTAGAATGACTTGGCACAAGCGTCGGACTGGACCCAAATTTCCCCGTATTCACCCACATGGGACAAGGTGCAAGTTTCGGGGTTCACAATCGCAATCTGAGTGTTGACTGGAACCATTCCTGAGTCTTGAACAACGAGCGCAGTAGGATCTGTATCTGGGTCCACAGGGAAAATAAGCCCGCGTCGTAGAGATCGAAGATCAAGCCAGAGCTCAACTGGCTCAATGCACATATAGGACCTTGTAACGACCATTGGGTTGAGAACATGGGAGTACACAATGTTGATTGCGGTACGGTCCAGACTGGCCGAGGCAAAATGCAAGCGAACCTTTTGATCTGCCAAGCATATTCATGTTAGCCTGTTGTTTCCTCCGTGTGCGAGATCCAGGCAACCTACAAATATCGACACGAGGTCTGCCCTCCGCGGAGATCATCAAGTTCTTGAGTTCGTCCAGCCGGAACCCCTTTGCAGCCATTGCGGTCATGGCGTAGTCTAACATCTGGCTAGTAGCATAGGTGTCCTTGATCTTGTACCGCGAAAGCGTGTTGAAAAAAGTCATAGGGTTTTGCGCGAAGTCAACGGGCGATACAAGGTATGTTGGTGCTCCTAGAGACTTGTTAGAAAAGAGAATCCCTGCAGCCCAAAAATAATTCACTTACCGGCGTAAATTCCCATCAAGCAAGTGTGGAGGAACCCGAGACCTAAAGTGCTACGCACGCTACCTAGGACTGGTCTTGAACTGGTCATCTGACAAGTCTCCTTCTGCACTTTGCACATGCCCATGATCGTGTCATGGCCGATATGGACAGAGATTCTCCTCTGGTCTGGTGTCCAGTACGTCCAGATCAAAGCAGGGTAGTTGCTCTGTAACCATGTATCCTTCGCAGTATAACCCATTTCGCGGCAGCCATGAGACTGCTTCGACGGCTTGGAGGTATTGTAGATAGCCGGTACGCCGATTCTAAGTACCTGGGCAGACTGCTTGATATGCTGCGAAACGAGCTTCTGTCGCATGACATGGTCCACATCGCTGTTGACAATGATTGCTTTGACGTGGAAATCATTTATGACATGAAGGAAGGCAGGGGCGTCTTCCGAGAGGCGGTTCTGGTCAATAGGAGCCAGAGGAATGACGACGACCCCAAGACAGAAGCAGGCATGAACAGCGTAGACATAGTCTTCGGAATGGGTATACATCAAGACCAAGTGATCACCAGGACGGACCTTGATCTTGTTCCGTAGGTAGGTCGCAACGGCAGAAACCTTCATATCGAACTTCTTCCAAGTGATGCCCTTCCCTTCTTTGCCACGGCCGTCAATGGAGCAATAAGCCAGCTCTTCCGCCTGCCGAGAGACACGCCATTGGAGAAGGTCAACAATCGTCGAGAAGTTGTTCAGCGATGTCGATGTACGATCATCCATCACAACATCCCGATAGTCCACGCCGGAGTACTGCTTCTCTTCCATGCCAAGCAATTCTTGCCGTGACATCAAGGCCAGTGGCGACCAGATACCTCCAACGGGGTCAACGCCGATCGGCAGATTCATCACCGACCGTTCAACGCCAAATTTGACATGAACACAGGGGAGAGTACCCGCATCAAAGTCCTTGCGACAGAGCATGTTGCCAATCTCTTGTCTTCCGTTCTTCGTAACGCGAGGAAGAGTATTGGGCGCAGTGAGTAGCACACAATAGACTCGCAAATGATGCTCTTGATAGAGCACTTCCATGCACCTTTCTGCCAGAGACTCGAGGAGAACAGAGTCCAACTGTCGAGGAGGGCCACCTGATGTTGTTGGTGCTGTTGATGCTGCGTATGACTCTAAAACAACAATCGGAAGGTGTTCTTCATTGACAAAAACGTCGAACGCAGTGCAGTCATGTATCTTGGGTACATTCTTCAAGACACTGACGATCATATGCTGAACGAAGAAATAGCGATGTTCCACGATTTCTTGTCCATGCTCCACCCATTCTACCTTCTGACGAAGACGGTCCTCATAGAGGCCAAGCACAAACACCTTGCCCTCTATCACGCAGCCAAGAAGACCGGTTCGCAGAAACTCTGGCTCCACGAGGATAGGAGTAGGATTGCCATCTTCAAACTTGTACGGTCGTGCATGGAAGATGGCTTCGGTATGCTTCGGCAGTGCCCAGAAGCCTCCGGAGAGGGAGGGCGAGTCGACCCAAATTTCGCCAATGACATTTGGGGTACACAACAGACTGGTCTCGGGGTCCACGACAGCAAGAGTCGCATCTGGGATTGGATAACCGAACGAACCAACGCGAACAGCGTGTGGCATAGCGCCGGCAAACTTTCTGGCGTCCTCACCCATGGCCAAAACCACGACCTCATTACTCTTCAAAGACTCTTTGTCAAGAAGGACCTCTCCAAGTTCATTTTTCGATTGCTCCTTCGGGGCCGGGGCCGCTGACCCCCCGCCCAGTAGGCTGCTTCCAAACCCACTGTTCGAAGCCTTTTCGGACTGTTTCTCCTCCTTCTTAGAGTCCTCGCGCTCGTCGGGATCCATTTCATGGGTCAAAGCACAGCCCATTCGTTCCTCGCCTCCCAGCCAATCGCGGACACTGATCAGCATACCGCCGTGTTCCGGCAAGCAGAGCATTGGAGCAACAATCTCTCTCGCCCTTGGGTTTCGCATCGGCCTCAGCCATCTGTCGGCAAGAATTTCGTGGAACTCCGAATCAACAGTGAGGGTGTCAATGAGGCAGAGCTTAACACTTCCGAAGTTGGGCTCCGAGTTTTTCTTGTAGTGCCGAGTCGCCATCGGATCTTGTTGGTAGTTGTAGGCAGTTATCTTTAATCCGGGATAATCGGCAGCCATGATTGTGGCTCGATACTTTGTGATCAGATGGGCGTAGAGTCCTGGGGTTTCAACCGCCCGGTCTTCCAGCCAGACAGTTGTGTGTCCACCGTACACTGTCAAGAGTACGCCTAGAATCATACCAATCCCTTGACGGGGATCCAGGTAGCTGATGATGGTTTCACCCCGCTGCCTTGAGCTGCTCGAGTTAGGAACGGTCGAGACCATCGCGCTCAAGCAAGCCATCTGATGCATGATTGTACGGTGGCTCATGACGACACCGCGCAAGTCGCCCGTGGGAGCCCGCGCGAATTCGATGTAGGCTAGATCCGGAACGACCAGAGGTGGCGTGTCGTCCTTCTTTTTCGGGTGGAAACTTCCAAATTCATTGGTCTTCCACCATTCCACGCCTCTTGGCCAGTTGAGCTTCTGCGTCGTAATATCTCTCTGGAAATTCTTCAGGTTGTTCTCCGTAGTCAGTGCAAGATGCGCCTGGGTTGAAGTAAGAACCAAATTAAGGCTCTGGTAGTCCTCCAGGCTGTTGATTGGAACCGCCACAACTCCGGCGATAAAACAGCCCATGAGAGCAACGGCAAACTCGATGATTTCAGAGTTTCGGTAGATCAGTGCCACACGATCGCCGCGATACAAATTACTCTTGTCACGGATGACCTGTGCCACCTTCTCGGCTCGGCTTGCAAGCTTCTCCCATGTTATCGACGCAATCTCCTTGCCCTTCTGGTCCAGGACCCAATAAGCTGCTTGCTTGGAATGGACCCGCGCACGGTGCCGGAGAACGGTGGGAATGTTATCAAAGTTCGCCATCGATATGTTCTTATCATGCGGGTCCTGCACGGCAAAAGGGATGTCACGGGGCTCCAGGGGAAGCATGTGGTTGATCTCCGGGCCGTGGGGCAGCTCAGACGCAGGGATCAGTGGCGGCGCCATGTTTGCGGTCGGCGAGAAAGCATCCGATTGAGAGTATCGGTGGAACCCACCACCGCCATAGCTGTCCCTGTAATCATCCTGCTGCTGTCCTGCGAAGTCTGAGAAGTAACCTTGCTGGGAATCGAGCATAGTGGACTGTCGCGTGACTCCGCCGGGCGTCACATCGTACTCTTCGTAACCCTCGTAGCCGGTCGCAGGTGGATCCATATTTTCGTGGTGAGTACCAGGGTTGAATGCGTAACTCTGGCTCATGAGCGTCGCCGTCCGAGAATCCTCCTGCATGCCAGGGCCTTGCGGTGGCTTCGGAAGGAAGAGAGAGTCATAAGATCCCGACGATGGCATCCGATCCAGGCCTTGGAGAAACGCGCTATCTCTATCAACCGTAACCTGGGTATCTGCGCTTATTCTTCGGTCGTGTCCGAGGCTTCCGCCGCCCTGTAGAGTATCACGGTTGCTAGGGAAGGAGGGATGCGAAGCGAATTCCGGGTTGGTCGAATCAGCCGTTGGCGGTCGGACGTTGAGGATTGCCTGCGGAGCGTTGCTTGAACTTGTCATGGATGGGGAAGGGTCTTCTGGGCTGGGTGAATTGAAACCGAGAGCCATGTTTGGCCCAAAGAACTGGGAAAGGAGAATCGTGCGCCGTTTCTGATACCTTTTATCAAGTCAGCCTCACCCACTTCCACGGCCGCAGGGAAGATACGGGATGTGTTTCTCGCAGGGGTAAATCGATGATGAAAACAATCAAATCCACGGCGTTGAGACACAGGCCGACTCTTTGGATATTAGGCCGACCAAGATGGCTTACCCTTTCTCTGTAATATCACCCTCCTGGACAGCGAATAACTCGTTAGCCATATATCCCTCAAAAGCGCCGCACCGAATGATGGCCGTGTCGCATTGTTGTCCATACCTCCAATTCCTTGTCCAGGTCCCGCAAAGCGGCCTGGACCTCGGGATTCTCATCGGCCATCTTCACAGAAGCGCAGGGGCGGGACTAATTGAGGGGTTCTCGCTCAAATGCGCATAAAACGGGGCAGTAAGGACGGGGAGATCCTCATCGCAGGATTCTTTGAGCCTCTGGCAGCGGGCACTCGACGAGACGAGAGGATCCTTTGGCTCGTGTGGCAGGTTGCGATGTAGTTGTCAAGGTGGTATTCGCAAGTTGTCTCTGTTTCTCCGCGCTTATTCAATTCCAAGCCACAACGTCACCTGCCGATGTGGCTAGGGTTGATCATCCCACAAACACCCGCGCGGCCAATCACGGCGCAGAGGGGCGGCACCGCCACACTCTCAGGGCGTCGTTGTTCTTGGGTCTCCCGGCAAGAACCTAGGATCGCCGTTGAACATGACGGCTTTGTTGTGTTTCACTTTCGTGGCTTGAATGGATATTTTCGCAGGTGCAAACAATGCAATCTACATTTGGGGACAATATTCCATGGAAATTGAGGTTGTTGGTGGGCATCTAGCCTATCGGCACTGGTCACTCTGTCTACCGTGGAGGTGGATACTATTTGTATTCTTCAGTTTTGCCGATGGGAGAATTGCCTGAGGGGAGCCATACAAGCCACCAAGACCAGGCACTCGACAATGCGACTTGCGAAGACAACACCAGGACAACCAAGGGTATAGATACTGCCTGGGTACCGTCTACTCCTTCGTATAGATTGAGCACAAGACAACCATGTTTCGACGGTTTCCAAGCCGAGGGGCGCTAGTCCCGTCTGGGCCTAATGGCTCCGGGGCCACTAGCGCACCGCTCACATGACCCGCCGGCGCTCATTGGGGCAAATTCTGCCCTAACTCCACCCACAACTAAGCGAGGCGCACCTGAATTTCCTTGAGTCCAACCGACACATTTCAGCCGACCGACTGCTATCGTCGACATCGCAGGTTCACCCAACGACACCGTCCGTCACCTTTTTACGAAGCCCTCCCTCGACAACAGGTGTCAATATGTCTGATCACGGGGAAGTCGAGGTCGAAAGCCCCGTTGCGGCTTTCCAGGTCCTGCCCAAGGAGGTTATCGCTGAGCAGGGTGCCGTTAAGCTCTTCAACAAGTGGAGCTACGAGGATGTTGAGATCAGGGATATCTCCTTGACGTAGGTGATCTCCAATTCCATGCGATTTTTTTCTGGCAGACCGCGAGGAGGAATTCTGGGCAGTGATTCGACTCTGGGTTTTTTGATGGGAGGGGAAATACTGGATGCGATTGCGATGGAAAACCGCGGGCCATGCCAACACGCGAAAACAACACCACGAAGATTCAGGATGAGATTGGCTGACCAGGAATCAAACACAGCGACTACGTCCAGATCCGCTCCCCTGTCTACCTCCCTCACACCGCCGGTCGCTATGCCGCCAAGCGTTTCCGCAAGGCTCAGTGCCCCATCATCGAGCGTCTGACCAACTCGCTCATGATGAACGGCCGCAACAACGGCAAGAAGCTCATGGCTGTCCGCATCGTTGCCCACTCTTTCGAGATCGTACGTGCCTCCCGCGCCAGGATGATATGCGTGTTGCAGAAGACGGATCGAGGACGCTGACAAGATTGCTCTGATAGATCCACATCATGACCGACCAGAACCCTCTCCAGGTCGCCGTCGACGCCATCGTCAACTGCGGTCCCCGTGAAGACAGCACCCGTATCGGTTCCGCCGGTACCGTCCGTCGCCAGGCCGTTGATGTGTCTCCTCTCCGCCGTGTCAACCAGTCCATCGCTCTCTTGACCATCGGTGCCCGTGAGGCCTCTTTCCGTAACATCAAGAGCATTGCCGAGTGCCTGGCTGAGGAGCTGATCAACGCTGCCAAGGGTAGCTCCAACTCTTATGCCATCAAGAAGAAGGACGAGCTCGAGCGTGTTGCCAAGAGCAACCGGTAAAGGGGTAATGTTGGGCGTATTCTCCGTTTGGTTCTGGTTTTACGTGTACTGGAGTGGACGGGGGGTTTGTTAGGATTCAGTCGATTTGCATGCATCTGCGCGACTGTATATACCTGAAGACAGTCAAGGGGAGGGAGCAACATCCAAAACAAAAAAAAGGAAAAATCGGACGGCTTTCTTCTACAGTAGTTGAGATGCGATCATGAAGACCTCAGGCTTTTTCAAAGTCGGCACCTTTAGGATTTTTTTTACATGAAAAAGATATCTTTTTGTTCTCTGAAAGTCCAGCCATCATTTTCAGTGACAGTAGATATTGGGACCTTTTCGCCGACTGATCTGGCCAATCTGTCGATGCGACGGAGGTGAGGCAAGTAACGAATTCAAAATGATGAATAAACAATATCCAACCCAGTCATAGTAGACACCTGAAAGCTCTTAATTCTGGCCAGCAAATTAACGTAATAATTCATGTGATGGAACGTAGATGCAGGCCAGTCTCGACGGTTCTTTTCTGGCGCAAGAACTCGATCGCTTATCGATAGGCCGCCCCCGTGATGCTGCCGGGAAAAAAAAAAAAAAAAAAAAAAAAAAAAAAAAAACGTCGGAGCTCAGCGATCACCCCGACCACCACCACCTCCATCCATCTACCACACATCTCGGGTTTCTTTTAGACCCGTTTCTGTCGCAATGGTGAAGAGAAAATTGGGGGCCTTGGAAAAGGTCGAGGCTGACTTGTAAGTGCATCTCAATCTTGCTGTTATGGGCGCAATGATGTCCATCCTGAAGTTTTCGCTCGCCACTAACACATTCATGTCTTTTTCTACAGGCCTAATCTCCAACATAAAATTCGACGGGACCCCAAGTAAGACCTCTGCGCGATGAAGACTTCTTTCCATCCTCGAAATCTGTACTAATAATTGTCTGTTCGCGCCAGGTCCTATGTGGAGGACTTCCGCGCTCAACACTACCAGTATGAGAGTCACCGAGAGATCTTCATGGCGGCGCCTGCGTCTGCGGCCGATACGGGAATTATTTCGCTGCGAGAACTGATCGATTTCATCGCTCATGTGGCCGACTGCTACCCTGAAATCACCAAGGACTTCCCTCAAGAGCTCATCGACATCTTGTCGCAACATCACCAGGTGTTGGAACCGGAGCTGCGTGAAAAGATCGTCGGAAGCCTGGTTCTTTTGAGGAAGAAGGACCTTCTTGATTCGGCGACGTGAGTCAATACAGTCTACAGCTCCCTATGAACTACCTGCTTATTGGCATTTTCTGCTTCCAGATTGTTGCAAACACTTTTCCCGATTCTCATCACGACACCGAGCAAAACGCTCAGGGCACTCATTTTCCAAAAGATTCTGATGGATCTTCGCTCATCTAACTCCAAGACGATAAATCACAAGCTTAATCGGACCATGCAAACCGTTCTCTTCAACTTGGTGACTTCGGATCGAACCTCGTCCAAGGGCTTATGGGCCATCAAGCTCACCCGTGAACTGTGGAAGCGGCAGATCTGGACGGACGCCAAAGCTGTTGAGGTTATGAAAGAGGCTAGTCTTTCTGAAAACGAGAAGGTTATCGTCGGCGGTGTTCGCTTTTTCCTGGGCGGCGACAAGGAGCGCGAAGACATGGAAGATGAAAGCAGTGACGATGAAGCCGTTGACGTCGGTAAAATCAAACACCAGGTTGGAATCAACAAGAAGACGAGAAAGAAGTCTCGCGCAGTGGAAAAGGCGAAAGCGACGGTGAAGAGAAAGGAGCGCAAGAAGAATCAGCCCCATCCTCTGAACTTCTCTGCCCTCCACCTTCTACACGACCCTCAAGGCTACGCGGAGTCTTTGTTCTCGAAACACCTGCAGAATACCAAGTCAAAGCTGAATTTGGAGCAGAAGCTTCAAGTGCTTCAACTTGTTTCCCGGCTGGTTGGATTGCATAAGCTGCACATCATGCACCTTTACTCTTATTTCCAGAAATACCTTACCCCACGGCAGCCGTCCGTTACGTCATTTTTGGCATCTCTTGCGCAGGCTTCGCATGACTTAATTCCACCGGATGACCTCGAGCCGTTGGTCCAGAAGATTGCCAATGAATTCGTGTCGGAGGCCTCGGCGTCGGAAGTTGCTACGGCGGGTCTCAACGCCATCCGAGAGGTTTGTGCACGACAGCCCCTGGCTATGAACGAGACTTTGCTACAGGATCTCGTCATGTACAGGAAGAGCAAAGATAAGGGTGTCGTGATGGGAGCCCGGGGCTTGCTTAGTCTCTACAGAGATCTTAACCCAGAGATGCTGAAGCGGCGTGACCGCGGAAAGGAGGCATCTATGGGTCTACGGTCAGGAGACAAGAAGGAGAAGCGATTTGGAGAGCAGGAGGCTGGCGGCATCGAGGGTATCGAGCTGCTGGAGAACTGGAAGGAGGCGGAGCGCAAGAAGAGACTGGCCGAGAAGGGCTTGCCCTCTGACGCGGAAGAAGATGAGGAGGAGGATGAAGCAGCGAATTGGGCGGCTTGGAATGTGGAAGATGATGACGATAGCGATGATTCTGGCGGATGGATCAATGTGCAGAGCGAAGACGAAATTGAGCTGAGCGACTCGGAAGACGAGAAAGACGGCCCTCCTTCGAAGAAAGCCAAGCAGGGCGAAGAGAAGACGAAGTCCGACGCCACAGAGAACAAGCCCGAGCCATCCAAACCAAGCATCGCGACCACCCGCATTCTTACGCCAGCCGATCTTGCCAAACTCCAAGAGCTTCGTACCGAAGCGGCCGTCAACGACCTTGTCTCGGGTGGCAAGCCTCGTCGTGGACAGCAGGCGAACGCGGCCCGTCATACAGACGACCCTCTGACCGCCGAAGAGATCGAAGGATTGGCTGCCTTGTCTGCCGGTAAACTCACTCGGGAGGAACGAATTGCTCATGCTAAGGAGGGCAAGACTGACCGCGCCGAACATAAGAGCGTGACGGCGAAGCGCAAGGAGCGCAAGGAATCGGAGGGCAAGAGTACTACGAACAAAGAAAAGGCACGCAAGAAGAACTTCCTGATGACCTTGGGTAAGGCTAGAAGCAAGGGAAAGAGAAGTTTGGTGGAAACACGTAACGTGTTGAGAGCTCATCAAGACCGACAGAAACGTGGTGGTCGCAGAGGAAACTTTGGGCAGTAGGTAGAGTTGGTCGTATATAGCTAGTCTAAAAATGTGTTTTTGATATAGAGCGGAATCTTTATTGTCGAGTACCACCAAACGAAAGTTCCTCATACCCTGGATATATATATCTATATCTATCTCCACACTGTCTCGATCTACGCCGTCCCTGTGGCAACCCTAGGCCCTAAGCACGTCCCAAAGAGGAGATAATGGACATCCGACACGTGCCCTCAGCGCGTCACCCCCGCGTCGCGTCCCGTCGAAACTTCCCAGCCTCATCGATTTTCTGGTCCTCCCTCCTCCTCACTCACATTCTTCGTCCCCTCTAGTTCTTCCTTTACATCACCACACCGCTCGACAAGCAAGGGGAACCCCATTATACTACCGCTTTGAGCAGCCGAAATTAGTACTATCGAATCATTCTCTCGCGTTCACGCCAACATGTCGTCTGCACTCCGCTCCACCCCGAAGACAAATGACCTCTCGAAACGCCGGCGATTTCAACCACCTATCACCACCTTCTTTCCCAACTCGTCCGAATCGAGCCCTGCCTGCGATGGCGTCTCATACAATCACTACTCCGCTAGGACCTACTCTCCCACCCCCACCGTCCCCGCAACAGTCCAGTCCTCTCTTCTGTCCGTGGGCATGCGTGTCCGCAAGTCCGTTGCAGAGGGCTACAAGACCAATGGATCCAAAATAGACGAGAAGACAACCTTCCCTTCATACAACCCCACCATCCTGCATCGCAGTCCAGGCACTACTAGCGAACTTTCTCCGTTCTGCGGCACAACGAAGGCCGGCGATTCCGTCACCCAACCCCACTCCATGCCAGCCCATGGCATGGGCTACTACAACAACAACCAACTCATCACCGACGACGGAGATGCATTCTCGCTGCCGCCCAGCAGCCAGGAATCAATCGCTTCGTATTCCACTCAACCCACTGCCCAGAAACGGTCCTTCGACACCGACTGTTTGGATGATTGTGACTCGGAATCCGATAGTTCAACTACTCTTACACCGAGCTTCCACGGCATGACTCCCACTGTGGGACGCACGATTCTTTCGCCAAAGCTAGGCCACCAGCGACGTCGGTTCATCGCCATGCAGGAACAGAAAACAATGGATGTCGATGATTTTGACGAGCCGTCTTTCCTTCGACGTCGTGAGGAAGTCGATACCGATTATGTTCCGGGCCGCGAAAGTGGCTATGAAATTCAAATGGGCGGCATGTAAGCATGCTATCACCTGTTTTTTTCCGTCTCTATTTTCCTTTCCAAGATTTCCGCTGGTCCTCGAACTCTTGTTCACGAGCATGATGCTTCCACACCGACGGGTTTCGGTGATTGCCCAGTGCAGATATACCGTCTGCTTGGAAGGCTCAGGGTCTTGAGTCTTTGCATTTTGTTTCTTTGGGTCTCTTGCTTAAACACGATACCCTTATTTGTATTTCTTCTTCTTTTTTTCTTTTTGTTTCTTCTCTTATGTCTCATGCGTATGCTTCTATGGGGTGTTATGTGGGTTGTGATATCATACCAGGCGATTGATTGTACTGTACATATTTAACAGAATACCCGAGACTTTGACAATGACCTCGTTTTGGTGTCTACTTCCAGAAAGGCACAGGTCATTACGAGTCTCACAAGTCTTATTATTTGTATGTAGAATAGCTAGCACGATAAACAAATGTTGTATCATTATGAAAACTCTTTTTTTAAAAAACACGATAGAGCCTATATCTATCTAGTTTACATACAGCACACGCACTGAAAGTGCAGAGCACAGGGCAAAAAATATGATCATGGTCGTGAAAAGGGGAGAGAGAATATCAAGGCAAGGCCAAGCGACATGATGCGAATGTGTAGTGTATAATAGTATAGTAATAATGTCAGAATTTTCAGAGCAAGCCGAAAGAAAACCATCTGAGGGTTCACCATGGCTTACTGAAACGAAGAGGGGGATATGCAAGCATCAAAGTCTCGAACAAAAAAAAAAGGAAATAAAGAAACAAGGGAACAGAACGCTCATGCCTAACTCCAACATTTGACCTGTATGGTAGGTAGGGAATCAAATGACGCAGCGGTTTAAAGCTCGTCTTTATAGTTGGGGTCCTTCTTGGGCTTCTGCTCCTTTTCTTTCTCGGGCTCTTTCTCCGTCTTGGAGTTGTCCTTCTTGCTGTCGCTCTTCTTGGGCGGCTGGTCCTTGGACGAGCCCTTTCCGGATCTCGCTGCGGCAGCGCCCATCTTCTCGTAGATTCGGTTCATGGTGCGCTGCAGCTCCCTCAGGCGAACCTCGATGTCGGCCACCACGAGTGCGGGGTCGTCGGTGACGGTCAATTTCTCCTGAGCGGCGAGTTGCGCTTCGAACCAGGTGTTGGCGGACTCGTAGGTCTTGGTGAGACCGGCCAGGTCGGAGGGCTGGAAGACGGAGTACTTGGGGCCGGTTGGTCGAGGCTTCGCGGTGGTAGTAGTCTTGGTAGAGGAAGACGCGTAGGGGTCTTCCTCGAGGTCTTCGGAGGAGTCAGACGTGGATGCCGACTCGCTGGAAGTGGTAGTCGACGAAGATTCGGTCGCGCTGGCGGACGATGCGCTGACGCTGGAGGAGTAGAGTTCCTCATCTTGCTCAATCTGCTTTTGCATGACATCAATCACCGTCTTGGCGTTCTTCAAGGCATCCTGCAGAGTCTCGACGCGTGCGGGACGATCCGAGTTTTCGCTCTTGCGCTTGAGTGCAGGGGTAACGATGTCCTTCAGCGACTTCAGCTTGTCCTTGAACTCCGCGGTGGTGGCATCGTCACCCTCTCCGTAGAGCCAGTCGCTGGCCGCTGCGGCCTTCTCCTTGAGGGCGACCAGCTGATCTTCCTTGAGCACGCTAATGAATTCTTCGTCCTCGGCCAGGTCACGGCTCCGGTAGATGAAGGCTTCCAGCTCATTCAGGGCTTCTTCGCGCAGGATACGGTTGCGGTCGGAGGTGTCAAAGGCACTCAGGCGGCTCTTAATCCGTGCGAGCTCATCCGACGAAGGCGCAGGAACTCCCAAGGAGGAGGAAGTAAAGCTGATAGGAATGGATTCCAGTTTGATCTGAGGCACGGCTTTCTTGCTCTCCTTGGCAGACGCGGTGGAAGTTGTCTCGTCAGCCGAAGTAGTTGTGGACGCCTCTTCTGGCTCCAAGGTGATGGACTCCTTAGTCTCTCCGTCTTCTCCGAGCGGCTCTTGTCCGTCTTTCTTCGAGCCAAGGCCGAAGAAACCCTTGACATCGTCGACAATTCCCTTCTTAGCATTCTCTACCTCGCAGCTGACGGAGCCACTGACAACCTCCGGCAGTCCATTGACGGGAGCAAGTCGGATAGTGAATTTGGTGGTAATGTTTGCCTCCGAGCAGCCAAAGTCTTCCTTGAGCTTTCCGACAGAAGCAGTGAGATTCTGCGTGTGGACACCGAGAATGGGCGACTCAACCAGGCTATCACCCACGGGGATCTGATGGAAGAAACTGAAGTCAAAGTCAACCAGGTTTTTCACGGTGACTTGCTTCTCGGGGCCCACTTGGGAAGTAGGCGTGAAGAGCTTTTGCTGTCTTTCCTTGTTCTCAGAAGGCCACTTCAGTACCACGGCGTAACCGGAAGCATCGTTTGCCCGGATGTCCTTGACACGGAAGCTAGGGCTAAGAGCCGCACCCTTGAAGGCAGCCCCGAAAACCGCGGCCTCATCTGCGTTGACATTAGTTCGAACCTTGGAAGACCCGCAGGCGCGTTCCAGTTCCTTCTGGACAAATGGCGTACGGATGGCTCCACCATGGAGGATCACGGAGTCAATGTCGTTCAGTTGCAATCCAGCAGCGGCCAAGGCCTGTTGCAGTGGTTTCTCAACCCGCGCGATATGTTGTTCAGCGAGCTCCTCGAACTTGGAGCGCGTGATGCGGTACTTGAAGTTGAGATCCTCCTCGTACAGGCTCTCAAAGGAAGCGCCAGTCTCGGTGTTGGCACTGAGGACTTGACGGATCTTCTCGGCATCCTTCCTGATCCTCGCCATAGTCTTGCCATGGGCCTTGATGTCCGCAACGGTGACGCGGTCCTTCAACTTCTTGTCTTCGGCCAGAGCCGCAACCATATCATCGACGATAAGATCGTTCAGCGAGTCACCTCCAAGGGTCTTGTCCCAACCCTCACCCAAGACATGAATCTCGTGGATGGTCTTGTTGAACTTTCCAACATCCTTCACAGACCGGCCCTGGAAACGCAAAACGCTCGCGGTGGTTGAACCGGCACCCATGTCAAAGACAACATGGTATTCAGGCTTCTGTCCGTCGGAGACAACGGGGAACGTACGGCTGGTTGCGTAGTTCAACCCAACGGCAAGGCCATCGGTGAGAAAGGCGTCGACGTTGAGACCCGCCAGCTCCGCTGCCAACTGCAAGCTTCTCTTTTCCTCGGCGGTGTAGAACGAAGGGTAGGTGATGACGGCATCCTTGATATCCGAGCCTTTACCAGCCAAGTCATCGGCATTCGCCTTGATTTGTTTCAGTTGCATGGCCAGAATCTCCTCGACCAGGAACGCGTCCTTCTTCTCCGCCTCGCCAAGTCGGTTGCTGCGCAGTCCAACGGTGCCCCGCTCGCCGGCGCTTTCCAGCCTCAGAGCAGGATACCGGTCGTGGTAGGTCTTAACAATTTCGTTGTCACCGTTTTCGAAGGGAAGCCCGAGGAGAGTCTTCAGGTTCACGTAAACGTCGTCGGGATACCGAGCCGCCAGGGCAAGGGCATCGCCACCGTAAAATCTTTCGGGGAACGGAGCATTGACCTCTCTGGTGGGTTTGAATGCAACCGCGGCTGATTCTTTGCGTTTCGAATCTTTCGTAAGAACGATTTCAAGGGGGATTCCGGGTTTGACGAGCGCAGCCTTGAAGTATTCGGTGCCGACATCGATACCGACAACGGCGGAGCCCGCGGCGGCGGCGGGAGTAGAAAAGCTGAGGAAAAAGACGAGGAAGGGGACGATGAGGAAGGAAAGAACTGGAGAGCTGAAGAGGCGCAACGGAGCGAAGCTCCGTTGCCGGCCCGTGGAAGCCATTGTCTATGAAGTCTTAGTTAGCGCTGCATGTTAGCCCATCCATTCACGGTGCATGTTTAGGAGATCCAGATGCATACTTTGAATGAAGTCTAAACCCCCTCTAAACAGAAAGGAAAGATAGAGACTCGGTTTAATGTGTGTCCGAGGGACAAAGGGTCACCTGTTGAACAAGCGACAATCCAAAGCTCCGGTCCACAGCTTCGCAGCAAGCTTGTTATCGTCAACTATGAATGGAGTCGGTCAGCGATAAGTAGAGACGAAACGAAGGAAAGAAAATGCGTACAAGGAATCAAGTTAACAGAGCCATTCAGACCGCGACCAAGGACAGAAATACTGGCCACCTGGCAGTAAGCATGAGTAATGGGAATCTGCGATCACAAGGAGCCGAATTGTCTCGAAGGACTTTTGAACGGGAGAGGACACGTTTGGCCGACCAGTGCAAACACCCCCCGGTGCGGCATGTTTGCATCCCCGATCGGCGCCCGTGATCTGCAGGGCTTCTGCATCTTTCTTCGCCTTTCATCTGCATCGACCGGACTTTTTAGAAAAGAAAAAAAAAAATTCAAATAAAATTTCTACTCTAGTATACCATGCTTCAGTCGAGGTGTTACTGGACATATATAATAGTACAGCACATTTATTAATATCCTAAATTGGCTTACTACTATTGGAGATGGGAATCTATATATATCGCTCCCTACTATACTAAGCTAGTATGGGATACTAGAAGGCCTGGAAGAACATACTGCAATGCGGGTTAACTGCCGAAAACCTGGACGAATATGAGTCATCGGAAACAATATCTATTTTTATTGAATAAACCAAAATTCTTTACTCGTCATCGAAATCCGAGTCGCTCATCCACCCGGTTTCATAGGTCTCCCGGATCTCTCCCAATCCATTGACAATATCTTCACGCTCATCGACACTAATAATCCGACCCGCAACTGCTTCCAAGGATTTAATCGTATCCGCTGTCCGCGAGGACGCTGTCAAAGTTGCCAGAACATTCATTTTCCCTTCTGGTTTAGCCACCGAGAACAAGTCACTCGGGAAACTATCAAGGACGGGGAATTGCAATGACGTGTGGAAGCTATAAGATGAATGAGCTAAGTCCAGCGTAAATGAGTGTGATGGTACCTACCTCTGGAAATTTGGCTCCGAGTTAAAAGCACGCTCCTTCCGGAGAAGGCTGAGATCCTTCATCGAAGGAATACCGTCCTCGGCATCCTCGATTCCGCGTCTGACCTGAAGTTGGTTGAAGATGTGGGACGTGTTGCTGTCCAGGCTGTCATAGGAAAAGTCCATATCAAACTCCTTCTGGACCTTCGACGACTCGTACTCTTTGGCGTTTGCCCCATCATTTGCCCCCTTAGGACCTGAGCCTTGCTTTTCATCGCCTGCCGGTTTGAAAATAGAAGACTGCAGCTCAAAAATCTTGTGGATACTGTCGTCGCCTGCCAAGGAGGACTCGAAATCGTGGTAAGGACGAAGACGAGTTGGCAGCGTAATGGTTTCCATGGCAGAGCTAACCAACGCCGAGGTGTACCATTGGGAGTGCGGGTTGAGATGAATACTTTGTGGAAGGCGGCTGGGCGGGTCTATGATGGGAGTGTATAAGGAGGTTTGTGGGGAGATGCTATAGATAGTCCGAGCCTTATTCATGTCCCGCTTCATTTGTGTTTGCTAAACCCAGGGGAAATTAGTACCACATACAGATTAGAGAGTAGTGCCAGGAAAATACTTACGCGGTGAACCTTCGCGCCGCTTTCGATAGCCCAAACCCAGATGGGCTTCTTGCCATATTCATCTCGCAGCCTGTCGACATATTTTGCGGCAAAGCCACCCCAGGCATCATCAGCTCCCGTGAAAATTTGCAGAGCACGTAGTTGATCACACTCTTCTGCGAATGGTCTCACGTCTCGGTCAAGTAGGTCATGCTCCTTGTCGAGATCATTGAAGAGGTCCTCGCCAACATTCCAGTCCTCAAACGGCATCACCCTTGAGTTGAGCTCGTAGTCGTTCAGCTGAACGATGGAGCGCGGATGATAAAAGAGTCGGTTGTAATCTGACCAGTACCGCACTGTTTCTGCGGAAAGCTGAGGCGCTGGAAGTCCTGCATCTAGGTTTTTCTGATAGTCGCTCTGCGGGATGGCTGCCTGTTGCTGTATGACCTCTTTTCCATCCCTGAAGGCAATAAGTATCGGGATTTAACCACTGCCTAAGAGGCTTAAGAGTATTTGGAAGACATGCGCGGGAAAGAGACTTCTTACCAAAGTCCTTGGCCTGGGTTTGCATCCTCGCTCAACTCGTAGAGGGCGTTGTATTTGCGCAGAGTGCCGAACCCGCCCTTCAAGTCATATATGACTGTTCGTGGAGTATACGTTTCAGACCCGTCTGCTCCTACACCTGGACGGAAGTGGACATCATGGTCAACGGCAGACTCTGTTTCGTTGTCATATGTAAAATAGGACTCCTGGTTGAAAATTAGAAAGCCGTCTCTTGGGCAGTAAATTTTAGGAAAAACAGGGAGCCCATTTGTTCTTACCTGTAGGTTCCAAAAGTGCGTCGCCAAGTAATTGGCCCTCTGGCCTAGTTGGAGAGTGATAATCTCATGCATGTCTGATTAAAATTGCATGTGCTATGTAAGGCGGGGCATTGAAACTGGTAGGCTAAGGAAGCTATTCAGGAGTTAACAAGGACAGTATGAAGTTGAAGTAAACAGCACATACCTCTCAAAAGCTAAGAAGACCAAGGCCAAACTATCTGCGCGAACAGGGAGAACAGTGCAATTCTTCAGTATGGCTTATGGCATCACCGACGTGGCGCACAGACCAGTCGATGGTGGGATGCGCCATTTCGGGACTAGCGTAGCAGGGAGCCACGTGATAGGGGTCATCCAGATCGGGGCAAGCGCCAGTCGTCCGGGGCAACGGTCACCTGACACAAACGGTGGGCTTGGCAACAAACAAGTTGGCGTTGTTGTGGGTGCGTCACCGATAAAGATCAACCGAACACACCTCCACTAGGCGCGATTGGCCACGCGGTTGTTATTATCTGAGTTCTCACACAGTGGCTGTCATGCTTGACTTGTTGACCTCTGCATCTCTCTAACCTTCCATTGTTGATTTCCACAGCCTTCATCATGGAGTCGCCAACAAAGCTGTTGTCGAGTCCGACAAAAGCACTCAACCCCCTCTCGCCAGAACGAATAAATCAACAACAACCACCGCCCCAATCCCCCTCGCAATCAGCCGACATTTTCAATCTTCACCGGAAGAGCGCTACGGCTGCCTCGGATGTACAATCCAAGGTCGCCTTTCTCAACAACCTATCGCGGACAGGTAGTCCAGCAGGGGCACCACAGCAGTCCGCCAGCGCAGCCGCCGCTCTTCAGAGAGCCATTCTTGGACGCGAGGAAGCAGAATCCGCGCTATCCAAAGCATCCGCTCAACTTTCTGAGGCACAGTCACGCGAGCGTCGTATTAGTGAGCGCCTCGAGTCGTTGCTGGAGGAGTTGCAAGCATCCAAGGAGCGCAAAGCCCACGAACGAACGATATTCGAGAAGGAAATCCGGAAAGCACGAAAAGAGGCGTTCCGTGCAGGATCGACTTTGGTGAAAACGCAGGAAGATTTGAAAGAAGCACGAGCCGAGGCCAAGGGGTTTAAGGAGGAACTCGAAGTGGAGCGGAAATCGAAAGACAAAGCCAAACAGGAGGCCTTCGAGCGGGCGTACGCAATTGCTGGACTCACCGAGGAGCTCGAGGAGCTGAAAGCGCGGCTGCGCGCGGCCGAAGCCAAAAACAATGCCGACCCCCTGAAGCTTCACGATCGGGCACTGCGCAAAGAGGAGGGCTCACGGGTGTCTTTGGCAGAAGGCGACCTGGCGCTGCTTGCAACCCCGGCGTCTCGGAGACCGAAGAGATCTGCAGATTATTTGGCCGACTTCCCCAGTGAGGATTTGCAGGAAACGCCCACGAAGCAGACACCCCCGAAGCGATTAAGATTATCGGATGTGACACCTACAGCGGACAAGACAGTGGATCCCCAAGAACCCCCCAAACAAGTTTCCGAAAAGGCTCTCAACGAAGCTTCCAATCAGACTCCCGCGGAACCTGCGAACGAGGCTCTCAAAATCCCTTCTGAAGAGGCTCGCATCGAAACTCCCAACCAGACTTCCACAGAACCTGAGGAGCAGGCCCTCGAAGTTTCTTCTGAAGTGGCCCTCATCGAAGCTCCCAGTCAGACCGCCACAGAGCCTGCCAACGAGGCCCTCGAAGTTCCTTCTGAAGTGGCCCTCATCGAAGCTCCCAGTCAGACCGCCACAGAGCCTGCCAACGAGGCCCTCGAAGTTCCTTCTGAAGTGGCCCTCATCGAAGCTCCCAGTCAGACCGCCACAGAGCCTGCCAACGAGGCTCTCGAAGTTCCTCCCAAAGACGCCCTCATCGAAGCTTCAAAGCAGGCCCCAACCGAACCTCACAACAAGGCTCTCGAAGTTGCCTCCAAAGAGGCTCGTCAGCAGGATCGTATGCACATGAAGCTTGCACAAGCCATGGTCGAGAAACTCAAGATCTCCCTTAGACTGGAAAAACAACTGAGAGAGAACGCAGAGGGCCTGGCCGAATTCTTGCGCATGGAATGCCAATTCAGACGTTGCTCTTGCCGCATTGTGGAGGAACTGGACAACGTTCCTGCCCAGGCACAGATCGAAAATGCGAGCACTGAAGTCAAGACGGAAAATGGCGAAAAACATAACCAAGCTCCTACTCGACAGACCCCCAACATGGAACTTCTCGACTCCTCAGTCCCGGATCAACTCCCTCCTGTTCAGCATTTCCCAAAGAACGATTCGTCGGCCTTCCAAAGCATTCGAGAAAAGACACCACCGCCCGTGAAGCAAGCGCCGGTAGGGCTAAACGATGATTCAGACGAACCCCTGATTACTTTCTCCCCCATTACCGGGACCTTCCAAAAGATTCCATCCCCAGTGCGATCCGCGAAGAAACACCCTTTCATCCCCCCAATGTCCCCTGTCGAGTCCGCCAAACGCCAGCCCACCAGCCCTCTTGCAAAGTACGAGATCACCCAGGAAGAGGAGCCTGCTGAAGATTTCGAAGCCGAGTCTGCCGTGCGGGCCCCAGTCCGCTTCTCACCAACTCCTGCCCATACGTCCCGGGATCATCGGCCCCCGATGATGGAAGCCCCCAAGAGGGAACCTAAGAAGGAACTTAAGAAGGAACTTAAGAAGGAACCCAAGAAGGAGGAAACTGTCAAAAGAGTCCCTCTCAAAAAAGAGGGCTCAATGCCGGATCAGAGCACTACCGGCTCGGGAACACCCATCAGCCGCGAAGCAGCACTTGCACAGATCAAGGCGCGCAGAAATCGGGCCAACACGACGAAACGTTCTGCCAGCGCCATGGAAACCTCCCGTCGCGCGCCGGGAACTAGTAAACCAACCACATCGGACTCAGCTCGTCGTATCCCTGGCGTACACAACCCGCAACGAAGGAGTGAGACTGGTGACATGCGGAGCCGAAGAGACTTGAGCGCACCAATTCGGCTGACGCATCGGCGGTGATTTCTGATGTCTCGATTCTAATGGTGCTCTTCATTTGGACTGTTCTCTGATGGAGATCTCCTTCATCTCAGGTTGTTTTGGCTTTTGGGCTTATGAATTCTGATACCCTGTTCATCCCCAGCGACATGGCGTTGTTTTTTTTTTTTTTTTTTTTTTTTTGGATTCCATTTTTATGGCTTTGTTTTGGGCTTTTAACTTCGGATCATCCTATCTTTACTATCTATCACCTTTATTATTGTTTATCTGTTTATCTGTTTTTGATGATGACTCTTGTGCTTCTTGGATTTGCCTTTTGCAATAACGAACCCATAACTCCCTTCTACTTTCCCAAATCTTGGCTCATGCCATATTAACCTTCTTTAGCCCTCCTTTTGATCTCATATGTCATTCTCATTTTTTAATACATAGCTTGTCTTTTTGGTGTACATAAAAGTTTCTAATTATCAGGATATGATATGTTATGAATTGTCAGGCTCTTTTGCCCACTGCTACCCACTACCCACCGTAAATGTAAGAATTCACTTCATGTCCTGCACAACTAGATAGAGTAACTTTTGATGCACATACCGAATAAATAACGCCGATTGAATTAGAGAAAGGCCTCGCAAATGCAACTAACTAGCTACCCTCTATGAAATGGAACCCCTGAGAATGACGACCGAAAATGAAGAAAGAACACATGCTGGTAAGATAAGGAAGGTATGCTGTACACAGACTTAGATGACAAAGGAGGTATTTACAGAATCGAGATTCCACAGCATCTGATGCGAGCGCTGTCGACGTAGGACTTGCGACCCCACCACGTATGGACCAGCTCCTGGACGAAGATGCGATCCGCGGCGCTCCACACGTCGAGGCCCATCTCGGTCATGTCCTCCGTGGTGATTTTGATGGGTTTGTCGGTGTCCCGGGCAGGGTCTTCGTCGGCGGCGGAGTCGCCGCGCAGGAGCGGTCGGGTGTCGTCTTCCTGCGTGGACCGCCGGCCGATGGTGGCGGACGGCTCGAGGTCGTTTTCGGGGTCATCTTCGTACGGGATCTCGTCGTCGTCGTTGGGTTCGCCGTTGTCGGCGGCGTCCTGGCTGTCGTGGCGGGCGATCACGTCGGAGAGGGTGATGAAGATTTGGGTGGTTAGACGGCGGAAGTAGGCGACTAAGGCGATCTCGGGGGGTTGTTGGGTTGATTCCGCGGAGGGCATGGATCGACGGCCTAAGGAGCCAGAGGGTGGACTGGGGAGGCTGTCGACGCTGGCGAGGAGACGGGTGTCCTGTTCGAGTTGATGCTCTTCTTCCTCCTCTTCGGTCAGACCGTCACGCTTCTCACCGGCAGACGCCCACCAGATAAAGGAGGTGTACGCCAGGCGAGCCCAGGAAAGGGGTTCGACTATAGGGCTGGATGAATAGGTCGATGCCGCATCCGAGTCGTCTTCCTCTCCGGATTGCGTGTCTTCGTCCCGTGCGACATGCTGGAGACCCCTGCGGAGGGTCGTGAAGCGTCGTGCGTCTCGCTGTGTGGCTTTGAGCTCGGCTGCCTGGGCGGACTTGTGCTGTGCCGTTGCGGTAGGCATGACGGAGATTTTCGGATACACCTTTTCGGCGGCATTTTTGGAATGAGTCGGGGGGAGGGTGACAAGGATATCGTATAGATCGGATTTCATGGTAAGAACGGTGTCTGTGCTGCAAGCGATCCACGCAGCGTCCCGTTTGGAGTCGGGAGATGCACCCACAAATGTCGAGAGGTATGGGATATCATGAATTCCAACGTTGAAGAGGGCACGAGGCCTTAAAGCGGGTATTCTGTCTGATGGAAGCAGTGGGAGGAGCGAATTAGGTAGCGAGGCCAACAAAGACAAATCATATACTGTTCCCTAGTTAGTGCATACGTCGGTCTATGAATGTCTAGAAGGACCTTACCGTAATTGCAGGGGGCGTGAACCGGCACTTCAGCCATGAAAAGTACCCGCTTGCGCAACAATGCTGCTCTATATAAGGGAAACAGAAGGGGACCGAAACAGTCAAGGAAATCAGGGAGCGACGAGGCCGGATGGAAAGGCGTCAGGGCCGGCCTGGGCGTTTCCAACACAATTGCATCGCTGAATGCGCGACTACGACGTTGATTATCCGGTCGCTCTCCGTGAGCTCGTAACCGCAGGCTGAGGGGCGATTCGACGGGAGAGTCGGGAGGCAGGCCTGATGAGTCGCTCTCGCGGATTTCGTAGGTCGCCCAGTAATCCGATAGGGGTTGTGTCTCGGACATGTTCTGCGCATAGTTTCTACAAATGGGGACTCAAGTATTAGCTTTGCTCGCAGGACAGTCTGCAACGGAAAGGAGGTTAACTTACTGCGCCAGCTCCTTGAGCTTCGGGGCGTGCCTCCAGCTCTTTCCCAGTCTTCCAGAACTGAGCGGAACCAGCACTCCGATGGCGAACATCTTTGCATTGCGTTCGGCTTCCTCCGCGGGCTGATTCACGAAAGCACTGATGCCCGAATATTGTTCGTGGACGAAGTATCTAGTCGATAACCATTAGTTGGCCATTGGGAAAAGCGCAGCTTTCCAACCATACATCAGATCCTCCGAGACATTGTGTAGACCGGACGGAAGCGACTTGTATTCGACAATGCCTTCGACATCGACTGAACACCGGCTATCAGTTAGCACGGGTGATGATGACACCTGGACGAGGAAGACGACACGACCTACCTCCGGGGACCGTTCGTTTCCAGGAGATGACATAACTGCACGGAAAGAGCGAATTAGATGCCGCCCAGCTCATTCCTGGATATCGGAAAACCTACCCGGCTTTGATATCGAAGCGGATCACGAACAGAGCCGCTATCGGCGGCGGCGATTCGAAAGCAGACGTGCGGGGTACATCAAGCCCCAAGGACTTCCGTTGAAGAGAGCCAGGTGCCATCGTAGAAGCGCGCGGAATAGAAGACTTCCGCAGACTCCATGAAGCGATAAGGAGGAGGGTGGAATCACGGGCGTGGCTGCATGGAGAGAGGGGGCGAGGACCTTCGATCCGGCGGAGTCTCGCCGCGGGTGTTGAGGCCCTCAGGCAGGACGGTTGCCTGAGGCTGCGACTAGCTGCATCGGGTTAGCGCCGCAGAGGCAGCTCATTTAACCTTTTTGGGACGAACAGTAATCATGGTAATCACCTTGGAAGTAGGCAGTCTTCTCCTATGTCCAAGGCAGCTCTATGCTATTGTTATTATTGCTATTATCCTTATTATTGCACAACACGCCCACCGCCGACTCGATGCTATGTTTAGAAGCAGGCCGCCCGATCAACACCGGGAAGAAGCTGCTCTCCAGCCGGGAGTCCATTGCGATCGGACAATCATCTGCGGGATGATCAGGACTAGCCAAGTCTTGGCAGATGCGCTGTTGACTCGTGACTTGTTTCTCTTGATGACTCCATATTATTGCCCGCCATCCTCGCTTGGGCAGTTCCAACAGCTCGAGTGCTTCGACGAATCATGGCCATCATGCCTGCCGGAACAGCTCTTCATCCCTACTATCCCCTGGATGCTCCAATCCACGGATATGTGGCCAATGAGACGCCTCTCCTTTCCCTGCTTACCACCGCCAGCGTCGGGGCTGCAGCCTTGCTGGGTGCCACTTTGGGCCTCGTCAGCTTTCTGCGACCGAGCTTGACCCGGGCGGAGAGGATCGCTATCTTGTGGTTTGTTCTCTGTAGGCACCCCTCCCGGCGGCAGATGTGGTTGGAAACGTTTCGAGTCGGAAGCACTGACCTTTTATCGTCGGCGTCGTTCAGCGGGGACTCTTCATTGCTTCTTCGAGGGCTATTTCATGATCCACCATGACCGGATGGCGTCGGCCCAAGACTTCTTTGGGCAAATGTGGAAGGAATATGCCTTGTCCGACTCGCGATACATGACGTCGGACACTCTGGTGCTCTGCATGGAGACCATGACCGTTGTATGTACACCCTCCAGGTTACCCTTGCGATGCGGATGGTATAGCTGACGCGGATAACCAAACAGCTGCTCTGGGGTCCTCTGTGCCTCCTCGTGGCATATTCGATTTTTACGCGGAGTTCTTTACGCCATCCGTTACAGCTCACGGCCTGCATGAGCCATCTTTACGGCGACTCACTCTATTATGCCACGAGTCTCTACGATCACTACGTACATGACCGTCCGTATAGCCGACCGGAGCCCTATTACTTCTGGATCTATTACTTCCTGATGAACTTCATCTGGATCGTGGTGCCGCTCTGTAAGTTCTTGAGGTTGACCCGCATGCCATCTGGCGGACAGACGGAGTAGCGGAGTACTTACAGCGTGACTAGATTATTTTGTGCAGAGTATGAGGGCCACCTCGCAGGCGTTCAAGAGCCTGGAGGCAAGGTCTGCGCAACGTAAATCTCGGTGAGGAGCGGGTCAGATAAGACCATCAGTAGACGATCCCAACGCCGGAGTCATGCAAGAGAGCCATGCGCGAGAGCCATGCAGGAAGAATAATACTATCGGACTTGGGGAGCACGCTCAAAATGACATAGCCAACACGCCAGTTAAAACGGGCTGCATCGACCGGCCCACATTGTGTGACGCGTAGATGGTGGATCGGGGTCCAGACGGCGGGTTGATTTGGCCACCAGGGCGATGGAAAGGGCCGTGAGAATTGCAAAACAATCCAAAATAGATTAAATGTCCGGGGTTATTGGGACCGATACGGTTTGTTGGAGACCAGCGCGCTCGGGCACATCCACCGTGGCTGTCTGATGGTGGCGTCATTGCAGACAGACGGCGGGATTATAAGAATCCTGGGAGACGGAGGGAGAGAGGGACAGGAGGAGTCAAAAAGAGGGACCATTCTGCTGCTTCAATCTATCACCATCCACCACTCATTGGACACGAACACCCGGGAGATACTCTGAAGAACCGACCCAATCGATGCTTGGGCACGAGGAATGACGGGGCGGTGTTGATCGCGGCGTTTGGTTTCCCGGGCAGCGTCCAACTGAAACTGCATCTGGACTAGACCGACCCAGTCAGTAAGTATAGCGGGTTGTTCCTCGACCATGATTATCCCTCTGATTATTATTGTTATTCTGGTGTTCTCGGTGTTGTCAGACGACGCCAACGGGACTGTCTTGTATCGAGCGTGTGATTGAGGATTATGACCCCGAGGGAGAGCTCTGCTGCCAGCTGACCCGACTGCATCCCGTCCGTCCGTCGTTCTTTGAGTCTTTCTCGCTTTCCTTCCTTTTCTTCGTCTTCGTTCCTTTGGCCTGCAGCCCACATTTGACCGCCTGTTCGGTCGCTGCGTCTGGCTTTTTTTTTTTCTCCCTGGATTGCCGGGTTTCTGTGTCACTCCCTCCTCCAGAAGCGACCGGAATCCCCCCTTCGAAGTCAGCGATTGTTGTCTGTGAGTACCCGACTTTCCTTGCTTGTGTCTCGCCGTAAACAAACAAGGGTGACGTACTATGGGAGCTCGAGGGTTCGCCAGCAACCACTGCGATCGCACAAGATCCTCGCTGTTCCCAAGACAATTTCTGCTCTCTCGGTCAACCACTGTTGTTGTGTTCGGACGAGACAATACTTCTTTTATTTTATTTACATCCTCGAACACCATGCTAATCATCCTGCCCCGTCACAGACATCGATGCCGTCTCCCGCCACTCCGCATCGTCCCTCCAGTCGTGGGGGCACTCCCAAATCAACCCCCGCCAAACAGAAGCCGCTGGATATCGGTCAGCCCTTGGGGATCTACGACACAAACTCCGTCCGGGCCAAGGTCCGCAAATGGCAGCAACAAGGAGGAGGCGTGATCACCGCCGAGGAGCTCTACTACGACGAGGATGACGAGAACTCCGCCGTGGAATCTAATTCCAAGCCCGTCAAGGAAAATGACTCGGTTGCAGGATCGACCACCACCCGGAATAGAAGCAAAAGCACTCCGCGGAAACGGGTCATTAGTGACGAGCATTGGAAGCTCAACCGGAATGCCGCACGGACTCCTCCACCGAAGTTGCCGCCGCCCAAGCGCATTGCTGAGTACACGACCAATGACCAGCCACAGTCATCCCCGAAAGAAACCGATAAAGGACGAGTGTCTCTGCCGTCCCGGGGCGTGGAGAAGGAGAAGACCGGTTCATCGGAATTGGCGAGCAGGGAGCGAAGAAAATCACGAGCGTCGCGGGACGTCGACTCCATAATTACAAGCAAGATCGAGGAGGAGGGTGATTCGCATCGTGATTCCTCGAGGGGCGCCTCGCGACCGGGGAGCGCGGACAAAGCGAAGCTGGCGTCCAAGTCCGATCTCTCCGAGCGCACGTCGAAAAAGGAGACCACCACCGGGGATGATGCTGAGTGGGCAGACAGCGATGCGGACTTTTCAGAGCTGTCCAGGCGACGAGCGAAGGGTCCGGAACAGAATCCCTCTCCCAAGAATCGCGCACCGCTAAAGCCCCCCAAAGGTGGCATTTTCGGACACATGCTAGACGAATCGCGAAAGATGTTCGCGAAACCGGAATCACCTAAACCTATCCCGAATAATGGGCGCGGCTCTAAGATCGAGGCATGGCTATCGGGAACTTCGGACCCGTTCATGGACATGGATCCGGACGTGGAAGTGCCTGCGCCTCTCAACACCAAGACCAACAGAGCCAAGCAATCTCCAAAGAGTGAACAGAGCCGTGACCGTGCAATGGATACTGATCCCGAGAGTGACTCGCGCCGGAAAAGTACGAGTAAACGACGAGTCAAGAGTAGGGATGATTCGACCACCAGCAGCGAGCGCGCGAAACGGATGACCGAGGAGATCACAAGCTCCAAAGATTCGAAAGGGTCGCATAGAGATGGATCATCTTCTAGCGGCAGAAAGTCAACCGAACACAAGCACAGCCGATCATCGTCCAGCGCCAAGGACAAAACTTCTCGCGACAAACCCTCTACCGAAAAAGAAGAACCGTCGGATGTGCAGGCTCCTTTGTCAAACGGCTCTGAGGTTTCGGGAAATAACCCCCCTGTTCCGGTTCATCGCAAACGGCCAATTCCCAGCACGGGTCTTCGTCGACTGTCAACCATCGAATCTCTAGATTCCTTGAGCACAAGTGTCGACAAGCGACCCGAAGCAGCTGACCCTGGGACTGCCCCCAAGGCGGACACAACGACGACGGCCGAGGAAGGAGATCCCGAGGAGAGGGATCAATTCGATCCTAACTCCCTTCCTGTAGTATCGACTCAGCTGAAAAGGCGACTGACGACCCATGACGATCTCATCTCTGTTCTTTCCTCGTCGAATGGCAGGAGCCGAAGCATCCGGTCTGCTCGAAGTATCAGATCCAACAAGAGTCGAATAATGAACGCGACCATTCCGGACCTTCTCAAGGAGATGTCGGCAGACGAGGTCAAATATATGCGTGAACTCAAGACCCTGGTTGGCGGGGTGATACCTGTGCTCTTGACCTGTGTGCTTTCGAGGTCGGACTCAGCAATTGCGGCGGGCCTGTTCCATCCGTCGATGGACCCAACGGACGAGGCCAACTTCACCAAGCCTATAGTGAACATGGGCGTTGCTGTTGAGCGGCTGAAAACGCTGCATAAAAGAATCCCTGAAGAAAATGCCGATTCCTTGCTCACCTGGGCGCACGGAGCTCAACGCGTGTACCGTGAATATCTCAAGGCGTGGAGACTTGGGTTCAAGGATGTCATTGTTAATCTGGCCCCCCTGGAGGAAGGAGAGGCTGCCGAGAACGCAGATACTAAGAGTTTGGACGAAGGCATGGCTCGAGATGAAAACGGAGATGTGATCGACAGTGACGGCGAGAAGGTCGATGTGGCATACCTGCTTAAACGGCCTCTCGTGCGTCTCAAGTACCTCGCCAAGACCTTCAAGGGCATCAGTATGCTTCAGCCCTCGGAGAAGGCAGAAGAAGTGGCAACCGCGTATCAAAGCCTAGTTACCGACGCTCGTCGTCGAGCACGCGAGGAACGAGCACGTCTGGAAGATGAATCTGCTGCCTGTATTGACGCATCTCGAGCTCGTGACCCGGCGACTTTGGGACCACTTGCAGAGGTTAAAATCGAAAAGGGACGACGAGTGCGGGCTCGCGATTTCTTTAACCTGTCTCTTTACCACTCCAGTGGCCAAGTCATCGATTGTCGCGCGGAGTTTCTACTGAGAGATTACGACTCGGATAATGGAACTGGAGGTGATCTACTCATCTGTGAGATCGACCACGCAGACCGATGGCTTCTTTTCCCACCTATGGACCTTGCATTTGTTTCGGCTCGCAACGGGGATGCCAAGGGAGAGCTTGTGGTTATGCTGCGCAGTGGCCCGGGGCATTCCAAGCCGTGGCAAGAACTTTTGATTCTCCGGATCGACGAAGAGGATATCGGGTTCGAATGGGTCCAAATGCTGGGCTTGAACCCCGTTCCACCTACCATTTCCCGAAGCCAGAGTTTCATTGAGCGGGCTAAACAGCGACAACGAGCACAGACAGTTTCAGCTAATGATGATGCATCAGCCCAGAACCCCCCCACGAGCCCTACTGGTATGGACGTTCCAATTGGCGAGAAGGCGAACGGCCGCTCCTTACGACGTTCCTCCCCCAGGGAGCAGTTGTCCGACCCAAGCACCGTCGGCTCTTCTCTGGCTACCGAATCTCGAATGTCCATCAACACCGCAATCACTCGGGAATCGGACTATTCTTTGGCAGAACCGTCGTCGGCGAAGCCTTCACCGCAATCTCAGCCTTCCATTCTTCACGCCAGGGACCCCCGAAAAATTGGAACGAGTGATGACCGGTCGCCAACAGGCCTCAAGCGGTCTAAGGCTAAGAGAGTTGCGCACAAAGACGAGGACGCCCCCCCAAGCCCAGGTTTGGCCAAGGAAACTATCGCAGAACATGATCGATCGGGAACTTCAAGTCCTTACCGGCCTGCTCCGTCAACCCCTCATCGGCATCCCGAGGATTCTGGCCGTTCTGAGCAACAGACGAAGATTCATAAAGAGCAATATGCGCCTGAGACGCCAACAAGGGATCCACCAGAAAGCTCTTCACGAGTGTCATCTGTACCTTCCATGGATTTGCCTTCGATTCCGAAATTGAGGCAAGGTAGCAGCCAGTCATACATCTCAGATTCAGTCGAATATCTCTCGGATGAAGAAGATTATGTTCCTATCGAGAGCCCGACAAGAAGCAAGCGCAAGGGCCATTCTCGGTCAAACTCCGATTCTAGTGACCAGGGCTCTGGGGAGGCACCCCCTGCACCGCCGCCACACTCTCGTTCCCCAAGCTCCACGGGATCAAGTCTTCCAAACACTCCTATTCTGAGCCCAGGTGGTGCGCGTCCCAGACGCCGCGGCTCTTCACCATTGAAACATGAATACGAGCCTTCCACAGCATCGGACACCTATTCAGACTCAGACACTTCTACCGTTCGACGCTATGATCTGTACTCAGAATCAGACTACTCCGCCTCCGACAGTTCTGATGATGAATCCGAGGATGAGCTCTCCTCGATGCCTCCAGCAAAGGCACGTGATATGGCCAATTTGGCGGCGCAGGACTCGCTCATCACGTCTGCGACTAGTTCCCTTTCTCCATCCAACTCTGTATCTCAAGGGGGCTATAGAACAGTACCGTCGCAGCCTGAAAAGTCCACCACTGCGCTGGCCTCTGTTTTTGCCTGGTCCGATAAAGGCTCCTGGGATAACGTGCTCCCCGATGATTGCAGGATCATCGTCAGTCCCGGTCTGATCGAAGCCTATGACATGAAAGATGCCGGAGTTGACGGGGAGGACATGCCTTCTAAGAAAGTACGACCGGTGATTGCTCTTGAATTAACGCCTCTTGTGCCTATCCGGCGTGGTACAGCCATCGACATCAGCATCCGCTCGCCCCCGACCGAGCGGTCAAAGGTGGCCTGGAGTAACAACATCATGTTTCGATCCAGGAATGCAGATGAGTGTGAAGCTCTTTACAGTCTCATCAACCATGCACGTATCAACAATCCTACTTATATCGCTCTGCAAAATGCTCGAGGACCTCTTGCCGACCAGCCCGTCAACATGGAGCCCCAGAATAAATCTGGAGGGCTGTTCGGATGGCCGCGTCGCAGACGAAGCTACCGTGCTTCTGCCTCTCCTCGCTCCCTCGCCGACAACTCCGAGAGCAGTGTCGGTACTATGAGTAGTGCGTTCTCGGCTCTCAAGCGTTTTGGAGCCGGGAGCAAGATGTTTAGCATATCCCGATCCTCCGTCACCTCCCGCAGTCGCAAGAACGAAGACAGCCTCTACTCAAGCTCAGCGGCGTCGAACCATTCGCCTAACTCCGGCCTTGGCCGGATCGCGGCAGCCATTAAAGGCGTCGATGGCATTGGCCTCTCAAACGCCAAGATTCGCCTCTACGTGCGCGAGACCCAGTCCAAGTGGCGAGACATGGGAGCCGCAAGACTCACGATCATGCCTTCTACTCCCGAAGAACCTCCCCGCCCTGAGACAGCCATGGGAGGACAGAGCGATGCTCTCGATGCAGGCGAAGGAGCAGACGACAGTCCACCAGGCTCCGGATCCGCCACGCCTCGCCGCGGTGTTGAATCCGAAAAGCGCATTCTTGTCCAAGGCAAGACCCGAAACGAGGTCCTCCTCGACGTCTGTTTGCCCGAGAGTTCGTTCGAACGCGTGGCTAGAACTGGTATCGCCGTTTCAGTCTGGGAAGAGACCGAAGGCGGCGCTATGCCGAAGAAGGGTGGTGTCACTGGCGGCTTCTCTCGCATTTACATGATTCAAATGAAGAGTGAAGCCGAAGCTGCGTATACCTTCGGTCTTGTCGGCAAGCTGCGATACTAAATATAATTTTGACCTTCCAAGTCGTCATCTACCATTCGGCCTTGAATTTCATATGAGAGCCCTCTTTGCCTGCCGTTTTTTGTTCCCTATCCTTTTTATTTCTCTTCAATTTCCACCGCCGTGCAAACACAACTCGCTTCCTACCCATACCAGCTTCCTTCGGAATCACACTCTCTGATATATCAAGGACAACATGCATTGTCTGCCTTTCCTTTCGTTTCCTTCTGTCCTTGAGATACTTTTGCATATGCATATCCATACCCCGGCTAGTCCCCCGCGTTCTCTGATGACTTTTTTCTTTCCCTTATTTTACGTCGTTACTACAACCCCCATGTGAAGAAAACGATATGTATGTATGTTTATACACGAAGCGAGCGATGCCGTTAAATGCTATGTTAACTTTTCTGAGACTTTAATTGTGAATCATCATGTCGTGAAGATGAAATCCGTGACTGAATAAAAGACTTCGAGATTCTCATGTGCATAATATCAGCGCAGTCGCGTCCCCTACCGAGCTTTGGACAGTGGGTGGACATAGTTTTTTTTTTTTTTTTTTTTTTTTTTGGTAACGACGCTGAATATCAATCTTAATCCTCGAGCGGGTCGGGTTCGGGTTCGGATTTGGCGCTGGTAAGTGGGGCCGACTAGGGCTGAACACTCGACAGTCGACAGTCGACTAGAGATTGCAATGCTATTGCTATGAACCAACTATCCCAAGTCAACCCTGCTGGAATATACGGACAAATTCTTCATCTGCAATCAGGCCTTAGTCCATGTCAGATCAAATATAAGCAGGTGGTCTTACAGCTAATTGTCCCGTCCCCGTCTGTATCCGCATCATCTCCTGGATCTCGCCGTCGGTAAGCTTCTCGCCAATGGCCTCCATGACCTGACACAATTCCGTCGAGTTGATCGTTCCGCTGCTGTCTTTGTCGAAGACATCGAATGCCTGCCGGAGCTCTGTTTCGGGGTTGAACTCTTTCGTGGTGGCTGTCATCAAGGTGAGGAATTCTAGACAGTAGTATGCTTTGGTTAGCGAAGTATTCTCGACATGTCAAGCGGGACGGACGAGAACCTTCAAAGTCTATTGAGTTGGTGTGATCTGCGTCTAACTCGCTGATCATGTCTTGGAGCTGCGACTGCGTCGGATTCTGGCCTAGGGAGCGCATCACCTTGCCGAGCTCCTCGGCCGTGATATCACCTGGAGGGATCTTGTCAGCTCAAGTGAGGAAGGGAGCTTCGCATTGCAACTGACCAAGTGCGTCTTCATCCTGGAAACATAGGGTTAGTCATGGGCGTGGAGATGGTCAATGAGAATGTCAGATGCCTGTTTGAACCCCGCGAGCTGTTCAGGGTTGAAGCCTAGGGTAGGTTAGCAACAACCATTTGTTGCCTCGGTAACGTCCCCAGATTACTCGCTCCCAACTAAAGCCAACTCGGGTATATATCCCGGCAGACAGGGCTCTTGTCTCAGCAAACAACACTTCCTTGTATGCCTTGTTTCTTCATCTCGACCGTTACATGAGCTGCAATTTGGTCTATTGTTATCAATAGTCAGCAAACCTACGATGAGAGTCAACGAAACTTTTCAAAAGGCTCGAGAGGTTGTTGTTAGTCGTGTGGCGAGAACAAATATCATATGCCGTTCCCTGACCCAAACCCTGGAGATAGTGAAGAATTCAAAATGCTTAGAACTGACCAATGATAACTTGGAAACCCTTGGTATACGACTATCATCCCTTGACCTCCTGACAGAAGCTTCAGGGAAGGACCCTGTTTTCTTCAGGCCATTGCCAAAGAACAAATTACCAGTCATTGAATGGGAGAAGGTGCAATTCTCCGAGTGGACCGAGGGATATAGTGAAGAATCACGCCGTATTGATATCACAATGCAAAGTCTTCTGAATCAATTTTGGGGTGCAGGGCTTCGGGGTGAAATCGAGCGGCCTTGGATCCAGCAGAAGTGAGTATTCATTTATCAATATGACGCAAGTCTATAATGAGTTACAGACTAATTGCGATTTGATCTTGAAGGTGCTATAAAGAGACACCGAGCATTGGAACGGGCGAACACACACCCGATGTTCCGTTTGAATGGCAAACGCGAGGAGATATCCAAGCAACAACACTCGAAAACCCTCACTGCAGTTTCAGGGTCATTCATTGCGCGGAACCCGAGGAAAACCTTCGTCGCAGTGAGTTGCTGCCCATTGTAGCATACATGAGATGGAGAATGATTCAATTCGACTATATTCACCACTATACTTTTCCTGTGAGACTCCCTCTTGTTCACATGGATCCTAGTTCTAAGCCTGGAACTCATTGGACTGTATTTCCCTCCCGCTAATCATCATCCTCATACAGGTATTGGTGATTTCCATATTCAAGTCCAAAGCGCGAATCTTGCAGGCACATCATGATGGAAAACACCTTTACATTTCCAAAAGCAGGTTTTACGATTTCGCCGAGAATGTGAAGGAAAATTATGAGCTTTTTGTGCGCTGGATTCATGGTATACCCTGTGGTGATACAGAAGCCTCTGTTGATATCGAGGGTGAGAGATTGGGTGACTATACAATCGAAAAGATCGACCGGATTCTAAAAGAGATTTTTCAGCATACCGAATAAAACATCATTTTCAGGTCACCATCGCCAACAGAATCTTCAAACTTCCACATACTGTTGGATTTTTGGCAGATTCAAGGTTCTTTCTCATTTTTGATATCCCCCCCCCTCGTTAAAGTTTTCATGCTTTCTTCTGAGAATTATTCAAGGTTGTATCTTATCGTTGGCCAATAGCATAATGTTCAAAACCCATCGACAATGTCGTTGTTCGTAGAGAGCAACCTATTAATTTCTACCTCGTTTCAAAGACAGCTTTGCAGACGTAGAGTACGTATGTAATATAATAATAAGAGGTAGTGAAGCGTTCTCCTAGATTAGAAACACTATAACGGATCCAATATACCCCATAGGAAGAGGGACGGAGTTATAGATTATCAGGGACGGTGGAGCCCCTGTCCACACAGAGTTGACAAACAGACTGCGCCTCCGTGCCAAGATTCAGGTCAGTGATAGGCTAACTACGCTGACTTTTGGCGACAACGTTCCGTCGCCTCCTTGACAACTGTCAGAGCCTGGGAGCTGAAGACTGTGTGCACGATGGATGATGAAATTACCCCCGTTCAAATCCAGGGCACTGGGAATGAAGCGCAGATCGAACTGAAGAAATACATCGTGGATGAATCTGCGGCGGTCGAGTCGAAATTCGCAATTTCATTAGCGCAGTTGAACGAGGTGGCTCCCACCAAAGACCTGTTGAGTTTCTGCTCCCTGGGAGGCCTAGATGGCCTTGCTGCCGGTTTGAGAACTGACCCAAAGAGAGGACTTGATGAGGATGAGGATGACGTCCAAGGAACTTGCAGCCTGGTCGAACTGGCTGCGTCGTTGCCATCCAGTTTCCCGGTCACCGATATCAAACGAGCGAATCAGCCAAAGCTACACCCTTTGCACCATCCTCTCCTGGTTTCACCAATAGGAAACGGGCGTATGGAGAAAATCGACTCCCTCCAAGGCGTCGAAAGACCTTCTGGGATTTCGCCTGGATGCCTTCAACGACAAGCTGATGCTTCTGCTGACGGCATCGGCCGTGATCAACCTCGCTTCAGGCATATATCAATCTGTGGACGCCAAGGAGGGTGGATCCAAGGTTGAGTGGGTGGAGGGCGTGTCGATTATCGTCGCTGTGGTGATCATAACATTGACCGGTGCGATTAATGACTTCCAGAAAGACCGAAAATTCGAAAAGCTCAATCGCAAGACGGACGAACGCGACATCACGGTGTTTCGACCTAGTAATCCTCAACGCATTCCGATCCAAGACATCCTCGTGGGAGATGTGGTTCACCTCGAGACTGGAGACGTCGTCCCTGCCGATGGGGTTCTGATAGACGGGTTCAGCATTCAATGCGATGAGTCGTCGTCCACCGGAGAATCCGACCTGATCTCGAAGATTCCCGCCACCCATGTTACGGCAAAAAGCCTCTCATCCTGCGGTCCGTTCATTCTCAGCGGTAGCAAGATTGCCAGCGGGGTGGGAACATTCCTGGTTACATCGGTCGTGCCAAGCTCCAGCTACGGGCGAATCTTGATGTCTCTGCATGCCGAACCGGAAGAAACCCCATTACAGCACAAACTAGGGGTGCTGGCAAAATACACAATAGATGGCGGACTATTGGTTGGTGGCGTGTTCTTTCTCATTTTGTTCATCCGTTTCTTGGTGGACCTGAAGAATATCGAGGGCGGAGGTAAAGCGAAAGGAGAAGAGTTCTTGGATATCTTGATTCTGGCCATCACCGTCGTGGTAATTGCGGTGCCAGAAGGACTTCCACTCACAGTCACTCTAGCCCTTGCGTTTGCCACGACCAGGATGCTGAAAGATCAGAACTTGGTTCGACTCCTGCGCTCCTGCGAGGTTATGGGGAACGCCACGTCCATCTGCTCGGACAAAACAGGCACCTTGACACAGAATCGAATGACGGTTGTCGCGGGTCGAATCAATCCATCCTTGGCTTTCCAGGATAAAGAGAGCTCACCCGATCGGGATAAAGCCATAATACCGCCTGCGGCGAATGTGGTGGCGTCCTTGCCTCACCCATTCAAACAAGTGATTAAAGACTCTATCCTCTTGAACTCGACTGCCCAAGACAAGAGCACGGAAAATGGAATGGAGATATCGGGATCAAGCACCGAAGTGGCACTCGTCAACTTTGCCACAAAGCACTTTGATATCAGCAACCTGAGCTCTGAAAGAGCACGGTTGGAGATAGTTCAGTTGTATCCCTTCAACGCAGACAAAAGGTGTATGGCTATCGTCGTACGGAATCCATCAGGAGACTTCCGAATGTTCTTGAAAGGAGCCCCTGAGATCGTGCTGGACCTCTGCACCCAGTCTGTCGGATACTCCCATGACGAACTTTCCTCTCAGCTCTAAACCGACGAAATGAGACAAGGGCTGGCAGATTCGATCAGCGAGTATTCTAGTCAATCTCTCCGTTCAATCGCAACTGCCTATCGCGATCTTGAGTCTTGGCCTCCAGAGAACACTCACTCACCGGGGTCCGAGCCGTCCTTCAACAGCGTTGTCCATGATATGGTCTTCCTTAGCCTGTTTGCCCTTCAAGACCCCCTAAGACCAGAAGTTGCGGCCTCGGTTCGCGATTGCCAGACAGCTGGTGTACGTGTTCGAATGGTCACGGGGGATAATTTTCTCACGGCAAAGTCCATCGCTCAGGAATGTGGAATCTATGGTCCCGGAGGAATCGCCTTGGACGGGCCCACTTTTCGCAAGCTGTCAACTGCCCAGATTAACTTGTTATTACCCAGGTTGCAAGTACTCGCCCGCTCTAGCCCGGAGGACAAGCTTAGACTTGTAACCCATCTCAAAGGACTAGGGGAGACCGTTGCGGTGACGGGTGACGGGATTAATGATGCCCTGGCTCTGAAAGCCGCAGATGTCGGATTTGCGATGGGAATTGCAGGAACTGAAGTAGCCAAGGAGGCTTCATCGACTATCCTCATGGATGACAATTTTGCGTCAATTGTTAAAGCCCTTCTCTGGGGTAGAGCCGTCAATGATGCCGCTAGGAAGTTTCTCCAGGTATGTTGTCATTGCACAAACACACCCCGTCCCGGATGCCTCTTATGAGTCTAACATATGTTCTAGTTCCAATTCACAATCAACTTGACGGCCGGAGTACTGACCATGATCACTGTTCTGGTGGGCGGAACGAGTGCGTCTGTATTCACCGTGGTTCAGTTACTCTGGATCAACCTGATCATGGACACCTTTGCTGCCTTGGCTCTAGCAACCGATTATCCTACCAAAAGTCTCATCTACCGGACCCCTGAGCCAAGAAACTCCTCCATTGTCAATATTTCCATGTGGAAAATGATCACCGGGCAATGTATATACCAGCTCGTCGTGATATTCGTTCTTCACTATGCAGGGCAATCCCTCTTCGGCTATCACACCGAACAACAGCAAGCGCAATTACAAACAATGATATTCAACATTTACCTTTGGATGCAGTTTTGCAATATGTTCAAGTTAGTCATCAATCCCTGCCCCTTTACATCTTCGCTAAAGAATCGATCAGCTCTCGCCGGGTTGACGCTGGATTCAACTTTCTGGAAGGCCTCCTTCGAAACCCGGCTTTTTTCTTCGTCCAGTCTGTCATCGCTGCTGGTCAAATTGTTATTATTTTCAAAGGTGGAAAAGCCTTTGGAACTGAGCCACTAACTGGTGCGTAGTGGGGATGGTCGATGCTCTTCGGTCTATTGACATTTCCCGTCGGGGCATTTCTTCGCATCATCCCCGACGGAATCATCGCACGGGTGTTTGATGGAATTGGGAGAGCGTGTAGACCTCTGAAGCTGTTCTTCGGTGGATTTTCTATCGGCCGAGCGACCAAAGCTCGACTTTCGGGGCTTTTGCAGAGCGTCAACTCGTCTCCAGGTTCTGACAGTGTACCGCCTACCACGAAACAAATCGCGGCTCCACAAGAGTTCGATGCAGGCGAGCCATTGTTCAATCTTCTACACGCTATAGAGGACTCGAGGAACCCCATGAGTGATGGGCCGTACGGTTTTGAAGTCCATCCTGGTACTCGGAAGGACGATATCGTGTTGATCCAGCCGGTTCAGGATGTTTGATTGGATTGCTATCATTGTGGTACACAGGCTCTCTTTGGTTTCAAAAGTGATGATTTAGAAGCTGGTCACTGCACACTTTTGTATCTGATGAATGCTAGAATATCCTTGAGATGGTGAGGCCTGCTTCAGGAACCGGTGTAATAGTGAATAGAGGAAATGTTACGCGACTCGATTGCCAGCTATCTGCCTCGACAGTACAGAAACCTCGAGTTTTCAGACAGAATTAGAAAATAAATTACCCAAATTAGCATCCAATACTCATATTAACGAGACCATTGTTTCAATGCGACGTGCCTAGTAGCCGACGTCATGGACTGCTCGGCGAGTCCGGGTCCCCTGGCGGGTGCACTGCGTTGCCGAATGCGGAAATCCTCGAGTCCCGACGTTGCAGAACATCTTCAACACCGAACAAGTCGATGATTAACCTACGATTCACGCATGTGAAGGGCATCCACATGCCACCACCGCGCTGATAAGCGATAGAATCTGCTATCCTATCCGTGGCACTCTAGGGGTGGGCTTATTTTTCACATACCCCTAGATTTCAATTTAGGGGCAGGGTCTCGACCGCTCCTGCGGCCATGGAGAAGGATGAGCTGAGAGGGAGCACGTCACCAAAGGAAGAAATGCCAAACCCTGGCCCTTCGACGGAAGTTTCTTCTGATGTTGAGACAACCCCCGGGGCGTCGACTCCGGCTGAACAGCTCGCTCCAGTGGGCTCGTTGAATCGCCAGAAGACGCCAGAGACTGGCCAGGTGGCCATCGCAGACGAACGAATCGATGAAGAGGCCACTGACGGGACAGTCGAGCATTGGATGGTGGTGATCGGGGGATTCTGCGGTATGTTCGCCTCTTTTGGATGGCGAGCAGGTACGTTTGCTGGATTCATTCATGCGCCGTTATTCCCGAGGGTCTGATGTTGATTCAATTTAGGGTCTGGATTCTTCCAGGGATATTACCAACAGAATCAGCTGCGAGACTACAGCTCCTCGACCATTGCTTGGATCAACAGCGTGGGCTTCTTCCTCATGTACTTCGGTGTAGGTGTTATTGATCCCCCACGCTGTGTCGCACAGAAGCCTCGCTAATGTCAATTTCATTTCTTCCAGGCCTGCATTGTCGGTCCGATCACTCAACGTATCGGTCCGCAGCCGCTCTTACTGATCGGGTCGGCGATGCACGTCGCTGGCCTTTTAGGGGCCTCATGGTGCACAAAGTTCTACCAATTTTTTATTACGCAAGGTGTGATCAGTTCGCTGGGCGCCAGCGCCGTATTTTTCATCAGTGTGCAGACCATAGGCCGGTGGTTTGAGCGCCAACAAGGCCTGGCGATGGGAATCGCAGCCAGCGGCGTGAGTGTCGGCGGCATCGTCTTCCCATTGATGATCCAGCGCTTGATTCCGAAAATTGGGTTCGGCTGGACCATGCGCAGCGTCGTCCTGGTACTGCTGGTCCTCACCGTTACCAGCAACGTGGCTTTACGATCGCCGCCCGAGGCCGTGACCAGGCGCAGACGCATACGCATGGCCATGCCCCAGGACGAGACTCGCCAGGCCGGGCTCCGGGACCGACGTCTATTGATGACCATTGTTGGTACAACGCTCTTTGCGAACGGGTACTTCGTTGTGCTCACATTCTTGACCACCGTGGCACATATGCGTGGGTGGAAGGACAGCGTGGATTCGTTAGTGGTGCTGAACGGAGCTAGGCAAGCTCACTCCCAGTTAACGTCCTTTCCCGACGCCGTAAACTGACCAACGATAGTTTCTTCGGTCGCATCATCCCCGGACTGATAGCCGACCGCGTCGGCAGCTTCAACACCATGTGCGTGCTGGGGACGTTGTCCACAGTGTTCGTTCTGGGTCTCTGGCTCCCCGACAGTGGGTTCGCCGGGTCCGTTGTCTTCTCCGTCACATTCGGCTTCACCTCCGCGAGCACCGTGTCTCTCGGCCCGGCAATGCTGTTCCAGATGTCGGAATTGCGGAGCATCACGCGCAACCTGGCAGTGTTATACCTGGTGCAGTCATTTGCGGGACTCACGTCGAGTCCGATCGGCGGGGCGCTGCTGGACGTCGGACACGATAAGGGCGCGCTCTACCTTCAGCTGTTTTGCGGGCTGATGACGGGCGTAGGGACCCTGATGATATTACTGGCTCGGCATTGGTTGACCCAGGGGATGATGCTGTGGGCGAAGATCTAGCTAGGTAGTAGCTCCAGGGTCGACTGCGGATAGTCCTAGGAGAGTGGAGGCAGTGGAAATGTAAATCTCATTCCAGAGATCCAGATGGGCCCACGTTGACGCATGCGGAAATAGAATCCTGCCATCGCGCTAAGATTAACCTTATATCGAGTCGTCGGAAAAGCTTTCCTTACCGACCCTTTCTTTGAACTATGGACCAAAGAAGGGTATGTTGCATTCCATTGTTTCACCCCTGCCTCCCTCACTCTCTGAGTCCCTAGCAGTCAGTCCCACCTCGGCAGACACAGTAGCATGCAACGTCGGGATGGCGGTTCGAGACGGCCCGGGAAATGTTGGCATTTCCTGGTTGGCACTGCAATGATGCAATACGGAGTAGAAACCACCAAGCAAAAGTGCAGAGAGTGAAGATGGCAGGTGAAGCGGCCCTTGCCTCCTTCGGGTTAGCCTGGTCCAGTGACCCACAGATCTCGTCGCGTCTTCAGTGCTTCTTGTTCCTCCACCTTCCTCAGTGCCACCTACTTCATCGCAATGATAGACATACATAAGGTTTGGATTGATACTACCTACGATGACGATGAAAGACGCAATCTGTTAACATTTGAGATGATCAATCCGTCAGAGGCAAACTTCATTCCAATGTCTTGGATCCACCTCGCGTCCTGGCGTTATGTTGATTTCTGGGACAGAATCCTGGAAACCGGTAAAGCCGATTCTGCATACTACTCTGCTGACTGCGCCTCCCGGTGAAATCTCACCTCAACCCCCTTCGTGGGTTGCACCGTGATGCCGAGTGTCTTCTGGATCGGCTCCGTCGGGTCGGGACACTCGAGTCCGTCAAAGGACTGCGCCAGTCGTGCCAAGGTGTATGCTGCTTCTGTGAGAGCAAATTGCTCTGGTAGCCAAGGAGTGTTAGTGTCATTTTCGGGCATGTTTCTGGACTGGAAAACTTACGACCCGGACAATGTCGCGGGCCCGCGTTGAAGGGCAGATAGTGGAACCCGCCCTTTAATCCTTGCCATCGCTCCGGACGCCACTCGGCTGCGTCCTGGCCCCAGATGTCTGTGCGCCGGTGCATCACATAAACACTGTAGGTGAGAGTTGTACCCTTGGGGATGGCCACGGGCTGGTCGCCGTGTGGGCCGCCACCGACGGGCAGAACAGTGTCACGCAAAGCCTGGCGTGTGTTTATGGGAATGGGCGGGTACAGTCGTAGAGTCTCCGAGAGAACGGCTTGCAGGTAGGCACAGGACTTGAGAGACTCGAAGCTGAGGGTGTCGGCGGAGTGCTCGAGGACTTCGGCACGTAGCTTGGACCAGGCAACGGGGTCGCGGGCCAGACAGAGCAGAGCGAAGGAGATGAGCGTGGCCGTGGTGTCGCGGCCCGCAAATAGGAGCTGGAGCAGCTGGTCGCGAATCAGCACACGGTCCTGCGTGAACTCAGATAACTGGCGCAGGAAGAGCCCGCGCTGAGACGTCTTCTCCTTCTTATGGGGCAGGCCAAGAGCACGGTCCACGAAGCCAGTCACATAGGCGCGACAGAGGCGACAGGCACGACGAAATCCCGCGTTGTTCAGCACCCAATAGAAGGCGCCTAGGCGCATGCGTCCCCCAACACCGAGTGACGAGGCCTCGAACGCCTGTTCGAAGACATTACGGCGGTCCGACGCAGCGCCGGGCCGCAGCTGGCTGTCGACACTTTCGCCGAACAGGAACTCGGTCGCCGCGTCCAGGGTGAAACGATAGATCACGGGCATTGTGTCGACCCATTCCGTCCAACCGTTCGCTGAGGATGAGTTTTCGCCGCCGCCGAGGCAATCCAGTAGCCGGTCGACATGGCGGCGGGTAAACTCAAGATCGGACACCTGGTGGCGCGAAAAGACGGGTCGTAGGAGCCCGCGCGAGGAAGACCACGAATGTCCATCGGCAGTGAAGATGCCCAGCCCAAGAAAAGGCCCGAACTGTTTCAGACGGCGAGGTCCAACACCCCAGTCAGCGAAGCTGGTCGACAGCACTGCCTTGATGTTGGTGGGCTCGGCTACAAGCATCAGCGGCTGTAGGACTAGGGGGATCGTGGCCCGGATGGTCCACGCGCCCTTGCGGTGAAACATCGGAGTGACCAGATCGTCCAAGATGTCCCCTCGGAATCGCAGCATTCGGACAACCCGCTCAGCCCCCCAAGGCCAGCGCAGCGCATGGGTGACCGGCGTGGCACAGCCGTGCTTCTTAGACAGATGGGATAGACGTCGGCGTTGGAGCAAAGAGAGCAAGCCATGATATCCCAGGAAAACCCCCAGAAGGATGCCGAGCACCTTCAAAATGGACATTTTCGCAAGATAACAAGTAGACCCGTTGGTTGTAGAGCGGACGAGGATTGCCGGCTCGTTATAGAGATAAACGCTAGGAACAGGCACCAGAAACGACGTGGCCGGAATGGTCCGAACATGATAACAGTTACAACGGAGGAATCATGATCTCACGACTAATCCCTTGATCGAGAGGAAAAATATTCGAGGTCGGGCCGTCAGGGGACGTTGCAGTCGCATTTAGAGTGGAGATTGCCATGTCGACATCGTCTCAGATCCCATGTATGACCAGAAGACTTGATTGCAACTCCCGTGCCAGGCTCGGCCCGACAACTTTATATTCGGCTGCGCTGAGCCTAATCTTGCAAGAGTGTTCTCGTTAATTACCGACTCGGGTAGTTGTCTATCCAACATGTCGTCCGCGGAACCGATTGCCCTCGTCGGCATCGGATGTCGATTTCCCGGAGCCTCCTCGACACCGGCAAAGTTCTGGGACTTGCTCAGCAAGCCCAAAGATGTCGGTGCACCGGTTCCAAAGGATCGATGGGACGGCGATTCCTTCTACAACAACCGGAGTGGTAATCATGGGACGAGCAATGCTAGCGAATCTTACTTTCTCAGCGAAAATGTGGCTGCATTCGACACCTCCTTCTTTAATATCTCGGCTCGAGAGGCTGAGTCCATAGACCCTCAACAGCGTTTGCTGCTGGAGACGGTCTACGAAGCCGTCGAGGCCGCCGGTTTACGCCTGGAAGACCTCAGGGGATCGCCCACAGGTATCTTCTGCGGCGTTATGTGCGACGACTATCAGACAATCCAGCAACGCGATGTCTCAGCAATGCCGCATTACATGGCCACAGGAACGGCGCGGTCTATCATCTCAAATCGTGTCTCCTACTTCTTCGACTGGCATGGCCCCTCTATGACTATCGACACTGCCTGCTCGTCTAGTCTGGTTTCTCTACATCTGGCGGCTAAGGCGCTGCATGACGGCGACTGCCGCGTAGCCATCGCCTCTGGAACCAATCTGATACTGGCCCCGAACATGTATATCTCCGAATCGAAGCTGAGTATGCTGTCGCCGCGCGGCCGCAGCCGCATGTGGGATGCCGGCGCAGATGGCTACGCACGTGGCGAGGGTGTAGCAGCCGTGGCCCTCAAACGACTAAGTGACGCTATTGCGGACGGTGATGCTATCGACTGCGTTATCCCCGCAACGCATATCAACCAAGATGGCCGCAGCATGGGTATCACGATGCCCTCCTCCACTGCCCAAACCGACCTCATCCGCTCGACCTATCGGAAGGCCGGCCTGGACCCGGCCAACCCTCTCGATCGATGCCAGTACTTTGAAGCTCATGGTACGGGAACTCCGGCCGGTGATCCGCAAGAGGCGTCTGCTATTCATGCGGCTTTCTTTCCTGACACTGCCGACGGCCAGATTGACCCGGACAACCGAATGTACGTGGGATCTGCCAAGACCGTGGTGGGCCATACCGAAGGCACAGCGGGCCTGGCGGCTGTACTCAAGGGCGTGCTGAGCTTGCGACACGGTGTCGTGGCGCCAAATTTGCACTTTGAACAATTGAACCCAGCGATCGAGCCCTATGCCCGGCAACTGCGTGTCCCGACAGACTGTCAGCCCTGGCCGCAGCTGCCCGAGGGTACGCCGCGACGAGTCTCAGTCAACTCTTTCGGATTCGGCGGCACTAATGCCCATGCAATCCTGGAAGCTTATAACCCAACCTCACCAAATGACAGTCAGAATCCACAAGGATGGGACGGCGCCATTCCCTTTGTTTTCAGTGCCCCCTCGGAAAAGGCCCTCGGCAACGTGCTGGCCGCCTACGTGGAATATTTGGACGGCCAAGAATCGACCGCTGACCTGACCGATTTGGCATGGACGCTATTTCGCCGGCGAAGCACCTTCTCCCACCGAGTCGCCTTGTGGGCGACATCCGTGCAGGACCTGCAAAACCGTCTGCGCGAAGAAATCTCCCGGCGTGGATCGAACCAGGCATCCACGGTGATCTCCAAGCCTAGAACAGATCGCCCCAAGGTTCTCGGAGTGTTTACCGGGCAAGGCGCTCAATGGGCACAGATGGGCCTGGACTTGATCCAACGGAGCCCCGACGCGGCGGTGTGGCTAGCCACCTTGCAGACAGCTTTGGATGAACTTCCCGAAGAGTACCGGCCTAAGTACTCCATCCTAGACGAGCTCTGCGCCGCGGCAGAAAATTCGCGCCTACACCTGGCTGAGGTCTCGCAGCCGCTGTGTACGGCGGTGCAGGTAGTCCTGGCCAAATTCCTACGCTCGCTCGACATTGAGCTGGACGCTGTGGTTGGCCATTCTTCGGGTGAAATCGCCGCTGCCTACGCGGCGGGTATCATCACAGATGTTGAGGCGATCCGCATTGCCCACCTGCGCGGGCACGTTACATCGCTGGCGGGATGCAACGGGCAGCCTGGTAGCATGATGGCTGTGGGAATGTCGCCGGACGAGGCCGAGCAAATATGCCAGAGCGATGCGTATATCGGCCGCATCAAGCCTGCAGCGGTCAATTCCTCGTCTAGCGTCACGCTTTCGGGAGATGCTGATGCCATTGTGGCCCTTGAGGCACAGCTGAAGGATGAAAGTATCTTTGCGCGGCGCTTGAAAGTTAATATGGCGTACCACTCCCACCATATGTTTCCTTGCTCGGGACCGTATATGCAAGCTCTCGAGGCCTGTCAAATTAAGCCACGCGATCCACAAGGCACGAGATGGTTCTCAAGCGTGAACAATGGCCAGGTCGTAGATTCTATGCACCTGGATTCCCTGCGTGGCAGCTACTGGTGCGACAACATGGTCCAGACCGTCCGGTTTGCTGATGCCGTGACGCAGGCGCTGCAGGATGCCTCATACGATATGATCATCGAACTTGGACCGCATCCCGCGCTTAAGAGTCCAGTACTTGACACGCTATCCGAGATAACTTCGGCTGCGCCGCCCCTCTATACGAGTCTGCTCAAACGGTCGACGTCCGGCACCGAGTCCGCAGCCCGTGCCATCGGAGATGTTTACGCCCACCTTGGTCCGGACGCCGTGGATGTCGAGTCCTATATGCAATATTTCCGCGAGCAGCCGACCTTTCATCTGGCCAAAGGCCTCCCGTGCTATCCCTTCGATCGTTCCAATTCATACTGGGCCGAGTCACGTTACTCAAAAGCAACCTTCCGACAGGCAGGCCGCCCCAACCAGCTGCTAGGATCATTCTCTTCCGATACCACCGACACTGCGTACCGCTGGAGAAATTTCCTGCATACCTCGGAAATCGACTGGTTGAGTGGCCATCGTATCCAGTCTCAGACGGTCTTTCCTGCTACTGCATACGTCGCCATGGCGCTCGAGGCAGCGTACGTGATAGCAGGTTCGCGGCGCCTGAAGCTCTTTGACGTGCGCAACTTCATCATAAAAAGTGCCATCTCTCTGAGTGAGGATGATGCCGGCGTCGAGACACTATTCGAGGTGAATCAAATGGTTGAAGAGCAGGGAGACCAGCTGTCGTCTGAATTCTCCTGCTACAGCCCTGTGGCAGGCAGGCTGCAGCTGTGCGCCTCGGCACAGATGATCCTGTCATTTGGTGGCGAGGAGGATGAAAGCCTACTGCCTGCGCGTCAACTGGAGATTCATGAGATGACAGACGTTGACATAGAGTCCTTCTACGAGCATCTGGATGGCCTGGGATACGGCTACAGCGGGCTCTTCCGCGGCATCTCCTCTCTCGCCTGGAGGCCAAACCTTAGCCACGGACATCTATTCAACGCCTTCCAGCTAGATTCTAACAGCCCGCTGGCTATGCACCCGGCATTGATGGATCTACTGTTGCAAGGTATGCTGGCGGCAGTGGGCAAGCCTGGAAATGAAAAGCTCTATACCCTGCATATCCCTGTCAGTATCGGCCGGATTCTCGTCAATCCAACTTTCTGTGGACCGGCTGCCGCTAAACTGGATTCTGAGCTGCCGTTCGAAGCTACATTGACTTCAGTTGGTCGCGATGGCGCCGTAGGAGATGCGGCGCTGTTCGACGCAGTCGGCCATGGCCTGATGCAGATGGAGAAGATTGTAGTGACACCGTTGATGCGTGCCACCGCCGCTGACGACCAGAAGCGATTTTTCGGCGAGCAGTGGTCCCCGCTTCTCCCAGATATCTCGGCGTTTTCGCCGTATCTGACGGACAGCGAAGCCGACCGCTGTACCATAGCTGAGCAGTCAGCTCTCGTGTACATGCGCGAAGTGCAAGCGCAGCTGACACCCGAGGATCGCGCGCAGCTGGACTGGCATGGCGGACGTGTGGTCGCGTGGATTGACCATGTCCTGGCGTTGACGCGCCAGGGTAAGCACCCAGTGTGTCGACAAGAGTGGCTCGACCTCCCCCTTGACGAGACGACAGCGGAGCTGGCCCGCATAGCAAACCCCGCGGAGGAAGGCCTCATGCGCGTGGTGGGCCAGAACCTGCTCCGCTTCTTGCGCCATGAAACAACCATTCTGCAGGAGCTCCGGGAGAGCGGACTACTAAACGCAATTTATAAAGAGACTGGAGAACTGGCTCACTTTAACAAGTCCGTGGGTGATGTGGTGGGACAGCTGGCGATGAGAGTGCCTCATCTGAAGATCCTGGAGGTTGGCGCCGGCACTGGCTCTGCCACGAAGGCCGTGCTGAGCAGTCTGAAAGACTCATTCCATTCATACATATTCACAGACATTTCGGCTGGATTCTTTGAACAGACACAGGCCAGCATCCAGCATCTCTCAGATCGACTGACGTACCAGGTGCTCGATATAGAGCGGGATCCTCAGACTCAAGGAGATTCTTTCCAGCCCCAATCGATGGACCTGATCGTCGCCGCCAACGTGCTTCATGCCACGCGCAACTTACGACAGACTTTGTCCAACGTGAGGTCTCTGCTGAAGCCGGGAGGGCATCTTGTGCTCCTCGAGGGCGCCAATCCCTCAATCTTGCGCCAGTCTTTTACGATGGCTGGTTTTGAGGGCTGGTGGCTGGGCGAACAGGACGGCCGCCCCTTTGGTGCGATGACCACACCGACTCACTGGGATCGTCTGCTGCAGGAGACTGGCTTCTCGGGTATCGACACCATCACCAGCGGCCACGATGACGGGTTGACTGGGACTGCTGTCTTTGTGTCACAGGCCGTCGACGATCAAATCCAGCTGCTGCGCGATCCGCTTGTAACCGGCCCTCCGTTGACATCTCCGTCTGAAGACCTTATCATCGTCGGAGGAGCTACGCTGGCATCATCCAGGTTGGTAAACCGCTTGCGCAACCTCTTACAGCCATTCTTCCAGGCGGTAAAATGCGTTGAAAGCTTGCAGACCACGGTGGATGTCTCCCCGGAGCAGTCGGTCACTGTGGTCAACCTGTCGGACCTTGACTCTCCGTTCTTTCAGGACATGACCCCGCAGAGCATGCAGACCCTCCAAACACTGACCTCTGCCGCCCATAATTTATTCTGGTTGACAGCTGGCCTGGACGCCGATAAGCCGTACCAGAGCATGAGCCAGGCGCTGCTGCGGTGTCTGATGTACGAGAACTCGAACGCGCGCTACCGTCATTTGAACATTGAGGACGAGCACGCCGTCGACGCACGCGTCGTGGCCGAATGTGTGCTGGGGCTTGTATTGCCGGACTTCGATAACGATTATCGTCTGCAACGTGCCATGTGGACCATCGAGCCCGAGCTACGCCTGCGGAAAGACGGCGTGATGCTGTTCCCCCGAATCATGGCAGACGAGGCGATGAACCAGCGGATCATGTCCCACAGACGCCGTGTCGACCGGAAAGCCGACCTAACCGAGTCAAATGTCCTGATAACGCGACGAGAAGGCGCTTATGAACCTATTGCGTCTGCTTTGCCCTCAGCGAAACCAGAATCGGGTTATTCTCTTATCTCCGTCATGGCGTCGACCTTGACGGCACAGCGCGTTCCCGGATCCGGATTCCTGCATGTAGTTGTCGGGCAGGACCTTCAGGCCCAGAGACCGGTGGTCGCTTTCACAAAAGACTTGGCGGCGGTGGTTTCGACCCCATTGTCTTGGACTGTACCGTGCGCCGACTCATATGGCAATGCCGCTGCCGCTTGTACTTTCCTTGCAGTTTTGGTCGACATTCTCGTCGCCATCGACCTAACCGAGCATACGAACCCTGCGACCTCGTTACTGGTGCACGAGGCGAATGAGAACATGCGGATTGCGATCCAGACTGAGGCGCGACGCCGGAACGTTGCGGCGCATTTCACCACAACCCGCGCCACAATCGCACAGAGCAACCCGGACGTACATCTAATTCATCCGCTTGCGCCAACCAGAACCCTCTCGCGGGATCTACCGCAAAATATATCTCTATTGGCGCAGTTCGATCATACCAAGTCGGGCGAGCTCTTCAACCATCTCACTAAGGTGGCGGCACATAGCGGCCATGCGCGTCAGGAGAGCCTCGAATCGATACAGATGGCCGAGGCAGTGGTGCCATCACCGTCGAAGATGGAATCCGTTGCGCACCGCCTTCAGAATGCTGTCGGTCTCTGCGCCGCCGCAGCCACCTCTAAGTATAATGGTTCAAAGACGGTGGGCATGATTCCAGTGCAGTCGGTCTCCGCGCACGCTGTGGATCTGTCTCGAACTCAGATCCTGGACTGGCAGGCCGCTGCCACGAAATCTAGTGGAGTGCCTGTTAGTGTACAGCCCGCTAGCAGCGACGTCATTCTATCTTCTGAGAAGACCTATCTGTTGGTTGGAATGACCGGAGACTTGGGGATTTCCGTCTGCGAGTGGATGGTCTCAAAGGGAGCACGTAGTGTCGTTTTGACGAGCCGTCGACCGCAGACTAAACAGACTTGGATCGACTCCATGGCAAAAATTGGTGCTAAGATCGTCGCCATGTCCATGTAGGCAACATCTATAACCCATTCCCTTTCCTCCCACCCCGGACACTGACTGGGCGCTAATGTGATTATCTCATAGGGATGTGACAGATCGCGATGCGGTCCAAGAAGTGGCCCAGCGAATTCAAAGCACCCTACCCCCCATCGGGGGAATTGTGAACGGTGCTATGATTTTGCAAGATCAACTGTTCGACAATATGCCGTTTGAGAGCATGGATCGGGTCCTCAAACCCAAAGTCATGGGCACTATACTGCTCGATGAGGTCTTTTCGAATGCCTATCTAGACTTCTTCATCTGTTTTGGATCACTGACCGGTCCCGCCGGCAACAACGGACAGTCGGCGTACGCAGCGGCAACCTCGTTCATGACCAACTTCATCCACGGCCGGCGCAAGCGTGGACTTGTTGGCAGCACCATCAACCCGGGAGAGATCCGTGGCGTGGGGTACGTTGCGCGCACGTCCAATGAACTGGTGCAGCTCCTGCGCAACGCTATTGGTGACACCTCCATCAGCGAGGGCGAGCTGAACGAGCTCTTCGCTGAGGCCATTCTGGCTGGTCCTCCAGACTCCGGACGCGAGGCAGCTCCTGTAGCCGGCTTCCCCTTCGTGAACCCGGAAGAGCAGCCAGGAATTGTCTGGTTGAAGAACCCCCGTGCTTGGGGACAGTTGCTGTATTCTTCGGCGACAACGGCGGAGGCCAAGGATAGCGACACGATATCGTTGAAACAGCAACTCGCGTCGGCGGGCTCCGAGGAGGAAGCCAGGGGCATGATCGAGGACGCCCTGTTGGACAAGGTCCGTATGAAGCTGCAACTGCCTGAAGATGCAGAGGTCACTGTCGATCACTCGCTCATGGAGCTGGGTGTCGATTCACTGGTGGCCGTGGACTTGCGCACCTGGTTTGTCAAGGAGCTTGGGGTCGACATCCCTGTCATCAAACTGCTGAACAGCTCTTGTATTGGTGAGTTGGTCGACTATGCGCTGGCGAAAATCCCGAGGGAGGAGCTTCAAGCGAGTAAACAATCAACGGATGAACCGAAGGCTGCCCAGTCAGCAGAATTGGATCTTCGTGATGCATCACCCGCAAAAGCAGAGAGCCTCCAGCCCCCCCAGCCTATCGAGCAACCGTTTTTTGAACGAAGAATCAGTGAAATGTCTATGGACACGCAGCGAACAGCCTCCTCTTCACCGGATATTTTCACGCCTCTGAGAGAGGACGACTCATCGGGCAGTGGATCGTCGACGCCCCCAATGGAAGGTCAGAAATCACCGGCGCTCAAGTTCTCGCGCGTCGAAAAGCTGTCCTATGTGCAGTCCCGATTCTGGGTCTTGCAGCAACTACGGTCTGATAAGACATACAGCAACGTCACTTTCAAGTTGGGCTTCAGCAGCCCGATCGATGTAGCACGATTCCGTGCTGCTGTACAGCATATTGGAGAAAGACATGAGATCCTACGCACCTGCTACCGTGCTGACAGCGAAGGCCCCTACCAGGCCGTCCTCGCCTCTTTTCCTCTGAGCCTGGAGATTGTGCACGTAGACGACGAGGCTGGGGTTCACGACATGTATCTCAGTCTGCGGCAGCACGTGTTTGATCTCGAGAATGGCGACAACATTAGAATGACTCTAGCCATCACGCCGCAGAACCAACAATTCTTGGTGATTGGCTTCCATCATATATGTCTGGATGGTGTCAGCTTCCAGCTCCTTGTGGGCGAACTGGAACGTGTTTACATGCAAAGGTCCCTGCGGCCTATGTCGCGACAGTATGCAGACTATGCGGCAGCGCAGCGTGCGAGCTACGAATCCGGCAAGGTGTCCAAGGACATTGCATACTGGCGGCAAGAATTTGCGACCTTCCCCAACCCTATCCCACTGTTCCCAATGACCCGCGTATCTGCGCGTACAGTGCTTGCAGACCATCCTAGGGAAGAGGTGCGCATCGAGCTGCCAGGCTCAATTATGACTGCCGTGCAGAGCCTCGGGAAGCGCATGCGCGTCACCCCGTTTGGCGTGTTTCTGGCGGCACTGCGAGTCTACCTGGCTCGCCTGACGCAGTCCACCGACTTCTGCATCGGCATCTCCGACGTCAATCGCATCGAGGAAGAGGACGAACATCTCATAGGTCTCGTCCAGAACCTATTGCCCTTGCGATTCGTTGGCAGCTTGGAGGGTAAGAGCTTTCGCGAGGTGCTTACGCACACGCAGACCAAAGCGCGGGGCGCTCTGGCGCATTCGCGCGTGCAGTTTGACCGATTGCTAGATGAGCTGGCCGCGCCACGCTCGGGCTCCTATAGTCCCCTGTTCCAGGTGATGCTGGACTGGCAGCCACAGAGCGCTGAAAAACGTCCTTTTGGAGGCCTACAGGTCGACGTGCAGGAATGGACTATCAACAAGACTGCTTTTGATATGGTGCTCTCCGTCATGGAATCAGGCAAGGGGACATCTGTCCTCAAATTCCATCTACAGCAGGCGCTATTTACCCCCGAAGCGGCTCATCTCGTTGCTCGCGGCTTTGTGTCACTGCTGCAAGAATTGGTGTCCTCTGAAACGACCCGACCGGTCACAGAACCGTCTCTATACTCGCGCGCAGACGTGGAGAACGCTCTTACTCTCGGACGAGGCCACAAAATGCCATCGCAGTGGCAGCCTACACTCTCTCAGCACATTGAGGAAGTCGCGCGCGCCAGACCAGATCAAACGGCCGTCACCGACGCCGTCAATGGACACAAACTCACGTATACCGCCTTGATCTACCGCTCGAACGTGGTGGCTAGTCATCTGGGCGAACGCGGCGTTGGACCAGCATCCACGGTGTGCCTATTTCAGCAGCCAACTGAGGATTGGATCGTCTCCATGCTGGCAATTTGGCACCTTGGAGCAGTCTATGTCCCCTTAGATGTGAACAGTTCGCGAGAACGGCTGGCCGTCGTCATTGGAGACTGCCAGCCGCAGGCGATCATCTGTGATGACGAGACAGAGAGTGTCCTTTATGCGATGGCAGTGACTGGCCCGCCGTCTACTCTCAATACTGACAAACTAGACATGAATGCGCTGCTTACTACCAGAGACATCCCGAACATGTCAATTGCGGACGCCCGCGCGGTGATTCTATATAGCAGTGGGACAACCGGGAGACCGAAAGGCTTCCAGCTCAGCCACGGCAATCTGCAGAACCAACTCGAGGGATTCACGCGCCACTGCGGACTCGAGGCGCCTGTCGTGCTACAGCAAGGCGCTATGACGTTCGACATCTCGCTCGAGCAAGCGCTCACAGGCCTCACAACCGGCGGTCGAGTTGTAGTCGCTCCCCGATCCGTCCGCGGCGACCCCACGGCCCTGGCCCGCATCGTCGTCGATCAAGGCATCACCTGCACCATGGCCACTCCATCGGAGTACCTTCTGTGGATGCAACATGCTTCCGATACTCTCCGGACCGCGGGCGATAGCTGGAAGATGGCTTTCAGCGGGGGCGAGACGTTCCCCGGGAGTCTCCCGGCCGCGTTTGCGGACCTAGAGCTAGCCCAGCTACGCCTTTTCAATTTCTACGGACCAGGTGAGACAACGATCGCGTCACATCAGATGGAGGTAGACTACCGACGACAGGACGGTGGCTCTTTCGACGGAGCCGTCATCCCGGTCGGCCACGCACTGCCAAACTACACGACATACATCGTGGATGTGGACGGGAATCCTGTGCCCACAGGAATAACAGGTGAGATTGTGATCGGCGGCGCTGGGCCATGTCTGGGTTATCTGAACCTCGACGCCCTCACCCAGACACAGTTTGTGCATGACCGGCATGCTACCCCCGAGAATGCTGCGCAGGGCTGGACGCGTGCATATCGCACTTCCGAAAAAGGCCACCTACTCCCAGACGGTGCGTTGGTACTTGAAGGCCGACTGGATGGCGACTCGCAGGTCAAGGTGCGCGGAATACGGATGGATCTTGGCGATATCGAGAATGAGATTCTTCGCGTGGCAGGCGGGACACTGAACCGGGTGGTTGCGTCCCTGCGCGAGGCCAACGACGGGTCCTCTTTCCTCGCGGCGCACGCCGAATTCACCCCAGAGTCTGCGGTTGGCGATAAAGAGGCTTTTCTTCGCCAGATTCGGGCAACGCTGGCTCTTCCGCAGAACATGCGGCCGGCGTTAATCGTCCCCGTTGAGACCATGCCGACTACGGTACATGGCAAGCTCGATCGCCGAGTGATCGGGGCCCTATCATTGCCGGAGCGCAAGCGATCCAGCCTGACGGTTGATCTGTCGGCGCTGGCGGAGAACGATGAGTGGGTAGAAAGGATTGGTGAGCTGTGGGGAGAAACGTTGGAGGGAACGTTGAGTGATCTGTCGAATTTGGATGCAGACACGGACTTCTTTCTGGCTGGAGGAAATTCGATTCTGCTGGTCCGACTGCAGGCGTTGTGTTCGGAGCGATTGGGAGCGAAGGTCCGCTTGATCGATCTGGTGGAAGGAAGTACGCTGGGTGAAATGGCCGACGCCGCGCGTTCCTCGACCACCGAGGCTCTGGGGACGTCTTAATGTTCATTTAATTTAATCTAGATTGGTGCTTCGATAGGGAATTTGGGAGTCTGATCTCTTATCGTGCTGTGGCGTTCGGTTGTCTTTAGTCAATTTGTTGTATCCACAAGTCACACATCTACCTAATTGAAGTCCTATTCTCTGTTCCCCCCTCCCCCAAGGTCAGTAAACAACTATTTTCGGTGCTTGAATCTCCCATTCCGGCGGGCGTCATGAAGTCATTGATTCAGGTCAAAAAAGTACAATACAACCTTGATAGATTGCTCAGATGTAACGCACTACAGCTATATGAGGGCGTACATCCACTCAAGTACTTCGGCTGTCGTCAAACTCCCCTGTCTACTCGTGAACCAACTAGTATATACAGCCATGACTATCTCCACTAAGACGTCCCAGGCTACCCTTCCCGATGAACCGTTGTTCCGACGGATGCTTGAGAATGCCACCGAACGGCCCTCTCATCTCTTAATCTCCGACAAAAGCGTGGGCGTCGAGGCCGATAGCGCGACAATCTTCTCCGACCTCCTGCACATGCTCAATACCATTCGTCAACATGAAAACACGGCACACTCGTTCATCAGTGTGCTCATGCCCGTCAACTACGAGTTTATCATTACGGTTCTGGCAGTGCTTGCTTCCGGCCAGGCATTTGCGCCAATCCGTAAGAATACCCCAAAGGCAGCCTGACAAGAGGCCTGGTGTTCTAACAAAGAGTTTTATACTCCATTAGGCTTTGGCCATACAGCGGAATATGCACTTGGCCTGATGAAGCGCTGCCGATCAACCTGTCTGGTCTACGGAGCTCTTGAGGAGAGTTTTGCCATCGATATCCAGCATCTTGCCTCTGTCCAGGGATATCCCATCCAGATTGTCCCTTTCGGAAGAGCGACCAACCCATGTCTAAATTTCGAGGACCTCCATCTTAGCTTGGACACCGACATCACTCTCAACCCCGACCGTCCAGCCATGCTTGTTTACAGCAGTGGGACAACCGGCGAGAAGCCCAAGGGAATCCTCCACAAGCGGAGCTTCTTCGACCGTCCCGGCCGTATCAATCCTCATTCCATCTTCCTCATGATGGCCGACCCATTGCAGACAATCAGCTCCATCAACATTCTGGCCCTCACTGTCTCCACGGGATGTCAGTTGCGCTACATCTCGCGCACCGACGGCGTCCCCGAGATCTGGGAGCAGTTCCGTACCGGCCGCATTTGCTCCTTCACTGCAATCCCCGACACCTGGAACGAAATGGCCTGGTACTACCGCAACCGCATTCACAACCTCCCACAGGAGACGCGAGACAGTTATCTCGAAGGCGCGCGGAAAGTCATGTTCCCCTACACGCAAGGCGCGAGCACGCCCGCATCGGTCCTGCGCTTTTGGAAAGAGGAGCTGCAACGACCGGTTTATAACGTATTTGGAGCCACGGAGCTTGGAGGCCTAGCTCTTTGCACTGGTCCTGATACTGTCTCCGATGACTACGTAAGTTCCCCCTTGCCTCCCATTTGCCCTTGGTGTACATGCTCATCTCGCACAGGAATGTATCGGCAAGCCCAAATCTCACATCACTGTCAAGCTGTCCGAGGGAGACCACGGAGAGCTCCTGATCAAGTCGCCTACCGTGATGTCTGGGTAAGTACTATTTGCATCGAACCGACAGACATCAAATCTGGCAGACAGCATCCACTAACACAAAAGTCTCCTCTTCCCACACAGCTACCTAAACGACCCCCAACGCACCAAGTCCGTCTTCGACGAAGAAGGCTTCTACCACACCGGTGACCTAGTCCACCTCTCTCCAGAGGGCGAGTACATCTACGAACGACGAATCAGTAAGCGTACGCAATTCCTTCCCATCTCCTACCAACCCTTCAAACCCCCAGCCCAACACTAACACATCCAACCCCCAAAAACAGCGCTCAAAGACCCCGTGTCCGTAATGGAACAAAATCTCTCCGCTCTCCCCTACCTCCAAGACATCCGCGTGACCCAACTACCGCTAGATCACGCCTACGGGTCCTTCATTCTCGGCCTCGTCGTCCGGATCTGTCCACAGACCATGAAGTCGAAAACCACCACGCAAATGGACCGCGCCGGCTGCTGGCGCCGGCTTCAGGCCGTGTTCTCTCTGACTTTCCTTCAGCTGGAGAATATGGTCCCCATTGCTGTTCGGGTGCTGGCGCCGGACGAGAAGATGACCTGGGACCGCGAACAGCTTCGTGACGCGTTCCCGTATAACGTCGATCCAACGTTTCGCGCGGACTATGAGATCGGCGTGCATCGGGCTTGGTTGAATTGATTTTTCTCTGTTTTTCTTTTGGGGGGAGGGGGGCGAAGGGATGGTAATAATTTATATCGAAGGGTTAGAGTGAAGCATTGGTGAAATGGGTATAAATTGATAAGGCGCATAGGGATAATTACTATAGCGAAGGAAATTATAATAATCATCGTAATACTGGTTATCCGGTTGGTTGGTAGGGAATCCTTTAGGTCCTTCAAAGGAAACCCTACTACAAAAACCCCTACATCCTGAGCCTTTGATTCATGATTTTTATATCTAGGACCTGGAATGATATAAAGCCTTTAATAGGTAGGTTCCTAGGGACCAAGCAGAAAGGGGACCAACATGAGGTCTAATATATCAATATAAGTTATCTTGACACGAATAGTGTCCATTTATATACAAAACAAGATGCGAATCGAAAAGCAATTTTATTCTTGAGTCCCCAAGTGGCATTTCATATAATACATTCGTTAATAAGTGATAAGGTAGTAAGCGATACCGCGCGAACTCGACGAGACGCACATCATTCGAACACAACCGGCGTTGAGGCATCGTTCTTAGGCTCAGGAACGCTGGACTTCTTGAAAATGAATCCAACTCGATTATCCTCCTCTCTCAAGACGGACAGAAGAACATCGTCATCGAGGACTTGCTCAGCATTATCCACTTCGCTGGTAGGTTTGGAGAATAGATTTGGATCGATGTGCGCATAATGGGATAGCGATTGCTGCATGTTCAGTCTTTGCTTGTTCCCTTCTGCACCGGATCTGCTATCGGATGACTCGTCGTCTGTCTTGTACGAGGATCGCCTGGAGCTATTGCGGTTGCGGTTGCGATGAGCTTTGATGTCACGCTCTTGCTTCTCGATGTTCACTTGGGAAGCCTTGATGAGCGTGGGTAAGTCAGGGAATTCCTCGTCCTCATCCTCGCCCTCGTCCTCGGCCGTAGAGGACCCATCTGAACCAGAGATTTCGTTTTTGCTAGTGTTATCTTCAGCGGCGACTAGCTGTCCTGACCCCCCGCATTCGCAATTTAGCAGCTCGTGAGTTTGACATTTGCTTTCTTGGTCGAGACGGAAGAGGTCCTTCAGCTCATCACGAGAAAACTGAGCCACGCTGTCTTTATGCTCCATGACACTATCTGCAAGCCCCAACTTTGTCACCTGGCGCTGCCAAATCTTTTCTTCTAAGCTGCCTTTCAGCAGTACCCGGTAGATACGACAAGGCCGCTTTTGACCGTCGCGGTGAATTCGAGCCATTGCTTGAATGTCAGTGGCTGGATTCCAATCGACGTCAAAAAGGACGAGACGACTGGCGCCTATTAGGTTCAGCCCTGTTCCTCCCGCCTTAGCGGAGAGTAGAAATGCGAAACAGAGATCGGTGGGGAGCCGATTGAAGTCTTCCACTAGGGATTGGCGCCTCTGCGCTGGAGTGGAGCCATCAAGCCGGAGGAATGGAAGGGAGAGAGATGTCAGGAGGGTAGCTAGTAGGTTCAGAGTGGAGGTGTAGTTTGAAACGAGAACAATCTTTTCCGTCGTTTTCGTATGCAGGTTGTATAATAGTTGATCTAGAACTCTGACCTTCGCACTGGATGATGGCGAAAAGTGCCGTAGCAGGTTGGGTGGAAGAGAGGACAACAAAGAAGCAATCGTCTTGCTAGGTCTCTCATCTTGATTTCTAGGAGAAAGCAGCGAAGGGCTGTTGCATAGTTTCTTGAGAATTGTAATGAGCTGTAGAGCGTTCTCGGAGTTTCCTATGGCGGATTGGAAAACCGGTGATGCAAGCACGTTTTGGTAGATGTTGGCTTGGGTGGCAGTAGGGTTGCAAAACAACACATACTCTGATTTCGGTGGGAGATATTTAGCCAGGATGTCAGCTGTCCGACGTAGCATAAACTTGGACGTTAGTTCTCGAAGTTCGTCACTCCTGGCCTCTCCTTTTTCTATATCCTTTTGGGTCGCTTCAGGCTGTCTGCTTTTCACGATTGGGACTTCAAACTCTCGAATGAAGGCCTTGAAGGTTCCAAGAACACCAGGGTTCACGAGGTCTACTGCAGCAAAGAATTCCTTGAGATCGTTCTGGATTGGAGTTCCAGACAGAATGACCCTTTTAGCCGCATTCAATGACTGAATCGCCTGGCCACTTTTGTTCTGGAGAGTTTTTAGTCTGTGGCCCTCGTCAGCGATTATGATATCGACTCCAGCGCCGCGCGCTAGACCCTCCTGAACTGTTCTCAATTTTTCGTATCCCACAACCATGATACTGTAGGCTTTGCCCACCGTGAAGTCAGTTATCCGCTTTCTCTTGTCGTCATAGACGAAAACACCAATTCTTTCATTTCCTAGCCACTTGCGAAACTCCCTTCGCCAATTGTTGATAAGCGTAACTGGACACACGATGAGAGCTTTTTTGATCACTGGCTGACTCTCGTAGATTGGATTCTGTTTCAGAAGAGTCCACAGGAGAGTTATTGTCTGCAAGGTCTTGCCCAGACCCATGTCGTCTGCAAGTATAGCACCTTCGCCATTGAATGATCGCATACCCATGACACACTCGTAGAGGAACTTGACACCTTCCCTTTGATGTGGTCGCAGATGCTTCCCCAGTATAGGGTCAACCACCACGTCCACAATCCGCTTTCCAGAGGGCACGGATGCTGGTCGTGGCATCACCAATGCTCCTGGTTGTGTAGGGTCGTGACGCGGGGTCGGGTGATCTTTGGGCGTTTGAGGCACGGCAGTGGTGTCCAACAGTGGGCTCTTATATGCACCCATCTTCGATTTCGGCTTTGATGACGCAGGGTTTGGAATGGTAGGAACACGGCTTTTCTCGTTCGGGGCTTGTGTTTCGGGCATGACGGGTTTCGAAACGTTGTTGCGTTTTTCCACACAGGAAACAGAAATCTTTCGCGGCGGTGATAGTGTGATCGGTGTCTCCTTGCTCCCCAATAGCGTTTTATCTGAAAGATATTCCTGTCTGGGAATTTCTGAGTCGACCTCGACCTCTTTGCCACCGACCGAGAGCATCACCCCAGACTCCAGGCGAGAGCCGTGCATCACCCGTCCCATTTCCTTTCCGGAGACATCTTTTAAATATGCGTATCCATCTCTTGTGGACAGAATGCCGTCGCCGTCCCAGGTCTTGTTCTTTTTGGTAGTCGGTTTTCGCCTGTGCGAGATGGCCCATTAGAAACAAAGGCGACGGGAGGATAGGATATCCGCCATACCATAGAACATTGAAGTATCTTTCTCCCTTCAGATTGTCACCATTCTGGCTCTCCTCTGGTGGCCCAGGGATATTCTTCACCTGCACCAAAGGCTTTCTATTCTCAGCAGAGTGCTCCTGGTGGACGCGTTGTTTTTTCGCCGGGGGACCGCTGCTTTCAGGTCGGTTTTTAGACAGAGTAGATTCAACAGTGGTAGGCTCAGATGGCTTCCTAATCAAAGGAGGTTTGAATGGCTTGAACACCATCGCGGGGGATGGAAGATGGACGCTGGGGAGATCGAGAGGACGAGCATCCTCAGGCCGGCGGAACGCGACGACCCCGACGCGCAGTCACGTGGTCTGAAATTACCCTTCTGGGACATCGCCATGTGACTCGTCACCCCCTGCACTTTCAGGCATTGCAGGCAGCAACCCCCAAATTTCTGGGGAGAATTCCCGTACTCCGTACTCATCGATATACGCGGAGTATGACCCCCTCCCACTGCCAATCTTCAAGAATCCGGGGTCTTTCGTTTGGTGCGCCGCATTGGGAATAGTCAGTGCTGGCTGTTTTACCCAATCTGGAAAGGCCTCAGGCAGAGACCAAGTCCTCCTTCAACGTGGTGCAGATCTCCCCAAACATGCCTTTCGCAGACGATGAAGAGTTGTCTATAGAGTATTATCCCCTGCAGTGTGACCGGAGAAGATTCCGAAACCTCCGAAAGCGACACGGCATTCAAAATTCGTTGCTCTTTCAGTTGTCCACGTACGAGTGTGTACTGCTTGCTGCTCAAGACAACCCTACGCAAGGGGTATGGATGCTCCTGGTCACAAGGATGCTATTGAAAAACGAAACTATATATACCCCAGAATTATCTCATATACTAGAGAAACATGACACAGGCTTTGGCTCTTGGCATTATATTTCCAAATGCTGTTTACTTGGATAATTTTCATCACCGGCGTGATCGCTGCGGAGTATGACTATGTCATCGTCGGAGGCGGCACGAGTGGGCTAGCGGTAGCCAACAGATTATCAGAAGATTCCAATGTATCTGTTCTTGTTATCGAGGCGGGAGACTCTGTCTATGACAATCCAAATGTGACCGATATTAGCCGTCTCGGACTGACATACGACAGCCCTCTCGACTGGGCCTTTCAAACCACCGAGCAAACCTTTGGCGGACGCCAGCAGGTAATGCGTGCTGGAAAGGCTCTGGGAGGAACCAGTGTTATGAATGGTATGCATTTCGACGGTTCTGAGAATGCCTGATGCTGACGAAATCAATAGGAGGGGCTTATGCACGCGCAGAGCCATCGCAACTAGATGCCTTCAAGAGATTTGGGATAGATGAATGGTCATGGAAGAGTCTTTATCCGTTTTATCTTAAAAGTGAGAGCTTCCATGCACCGGACCAGGGACAAATTGATGCGGGTGCCACATTTGTCCCTCGCTATCATGGTTTTCGTGGACCGGTCAGTGTTGGCTTCAGGCCGATGTCCAAGGGGGAAAATGACCTAACATCGGCAATGAATCGGACCTTGGCTAGTATGGGCCTGCCTTGGAACTCAGATCTGAATTCAGGAGACATGCGAGGGTTCACGCTTCATCCGTACACTGTTGATCCAGATGATATCCGCAGTGATGCGGCACGTGCGTATTACTGGCCAAACAAAAACCGGACAAACCTCCACGTGAAGCTGAATACCTTCGCGACTCGACTTGTCTGGTCGGATAAGGACGAAGAAGCCGAAATTAGAGCAGAGGGGGTTGAAGTTCATGAGACGAAACATGGAAAACGAGATGTCATTACTGCCCGGAAGGAGGTTATTCTGGCAGCTGGTGCTATGCGGTCGCCTGTTATTCTAGAGCTCTCCGGTGTAGGGAGCCCAAGGTTCGCTATTGCTGCTTCTGGTAGAAGTTTCTGATGTTAGAGGGCTGATTATTGCAGGATCCTTGAGAAACACGGAATTCCCGTGCGCATTGACTTGCCCAGCGTCGGCGAGAACCTGCAGGACCAACTCAATACATCGATTGTGGTATCGACAAAGACCCCAGTAACGGGAACCAGAACAGTTGCTTTTGCTTCAGTCGAGGATGTATTTGGGTCGTCCGCCGAATCTGTCGCCAAATCTATTCGCTCTCAGTTATCTCAGTACGCAAAGGCTGTGGCGCAAGAAAGCAACGGATCCATGAAAGAAGAAGATCTACAAAGGCTGTTTGAGATACAGCATGATCTGATATTCTTGGACAAGATTCCGGCGGCCGAGTTTGTTTTCATTCGACAGGGTACTCACACGCTTCACACAGGATACTGGGGTCTTCTTCCCTTTGCACGGGGTAACGTGCACATCTCATCCTCGGATCCGTTATCACCACCAACGGTAAATCCGAACTTCGGGATGCTCGACTGGGACGTTCAGATCCAAATTGGCATGTCGAAGTTCCTTCGCCGCATGTTTCAAACGGGCGAGTTGAAGGAAATCATTGACAATGAGACCTTACCGGGCTTGGACGATGTGCCCGAGGACGCAACCGATGAAGAGTGGACAAGGTGGATTGGCGAGCAATGTAGGTGACACCACGTAATTTCGTGTGCGACTATCTGACGTCGCTTAGATACCCCGAATTATCATGCTATCGGGACTACTTCTATGCTGCCCCGCGAAATGGGTGGTGTGGTGGATGCTCGACTCAAAGTCTACGGAACTTCAAATGTTCGGGTGGTCGACGCTTCCATCCAACCCCTGCAGCTCTGTGGCCATCCAGTAGCTAATCTGTATGGCATTGCGGAGTGGGTTGCCGAAAGGATCAAGGAAGACCACTCAGTCAGTCATGGCTTGTAGGATCAATACCGTGGATGGGTACTGATGTTGGGCGAAAAGCCTGGTCCTCGTCAAGAATTGGGATGTCCGTCTACTCTACACCAAAGACAGTTAGGGATGTATTCCACAATCAAACTCTCGGCCCCCAGAAAACAACTTGCTTAGTATGAAATAACTGCTGGAATCTCCACATGAGCCAATTCCAAACAAGAATGCATTCAACGTCAGTGGGGGCTGTCTATTGTTGCGCCTAGGAAAGCAAGGAAAACGCCCTTGCCGAGTTGAAAATGGTAGTACCATGCGAGGGGAGACCCACGCTACTGAGCTCCATCCATGATATCTCGGTTAAGTAACTCCACACTCGACGGGGAGAAGCCGGAGTATCGGGCCATCGAGCCATCGCCAAGCGAAGGGGAGACGACGATCCCATAACGATCGGGTAAAACAGCCAGCAGTTCCACCCCCGCAAGGACCGGGGTTCCCCATGTCTGCAGGTTTGAATAGCAATGTTCTCTGGGGTTAGGGGATCTGCTAATACCAACATTCTTCTAAGCTACTAGGACATGTTGAATGGCTTGATCACTGGGCTTGACGTCATGAATCTATCTATGAGGTTTACCCGGGGTTTACCCGAATGCTCTTGCGCCTGAAGACAACCGGGAAAGGAAATTCCAATGAATGGATCTGACGAATGAATCGGAAAGCAAAAGGAATTATGGGGTTGTGGGACCGTGGGGATGCCTTTTCACTGGCATCGTGTGTCTTTCTGCGTATACCCTCACAGAGGGAGGAAATCCGTGTCTGCCAGGATATAAAATGGAGGTCTCACACCAGACACAATCCCCTACGACAGGTGTGAATCCCCAAGTTTCTCAGCAAAAGGCGGAGTAAGAGACTACAATGTTTACAGCTCTCAACTACCTGGTGGTACTTGCTGCATTCACAGGGGCAACAGGGGCGGCATGGAATCACACCGATTACCTTCATAGTCCCACAGCCGACGAGATCCCCAATCGTGAGTAACCATCCCACATTCCTGAATGGCTCTATCCTAACACAGTCCTATAGCCAATGCAACCGGACTATATTGGGAGTATGCATTCGATAAAGCAACCTCCTTTGTGTCCCAACTCACTCTCGAAGAGAAGGTGGGCTTGGTATCCGGCACCGAGGGCCCCTGCGTGGGCAACCTCATGCCCATCCCTCGCTTGAACTTCACCGGACTGTGCATCCAGAATGGGCCGATGTCACTCGAGCAAGGAGACCATGTCTCAGTATTCCCGGCCGGGATAACAATCGCCGCGACATGGGATAAAAACATCGCTTACGAACGTGGGAACCAGCTTGCCGCAGAATTCCGTGGCAAAGGATCCCAGGTTATCCTTGGGCCCGTTGCCGGCCCACTTGGCCGGACAGCTCTTGGTGGACGGAACTGGGAGGGATTCTCGCCGGATCCTTTCTTGACAGGAGAGCTTTTCACCGAAACCATCGTGGGAACTCAAGATGGCGGTGTTCAGGCCTGCGCCAAACATTATATTGGCAATGAGCAGGAGACTCAAAGACAACCAACTGAAAACGAGGATGGCAAGACAATCGAAAGTGTCTCATCTAATATCGACGATACTACCATGCATGAACTCTACCTTTGGCCTTTCCAACAAGCTGTAAAGGCCGGTGTGGCGACAGTGAGTGACCATCTCAGGCAAGAAAGCCCAAGACAGTCGACTGATGAGCGCAACAGGTGATGTGCAGTTACAACCGTCTGAATCAGACTTATGGCTGCCAGAATAGCAAGATTCTCAACGGCATCCTCAAAGGAGAACTCGGCTTCCAGGGCTATGTGATGTCCGACTGGGGAGCTACCCACAGCGGGGCAAAAGCCATCAACTCAGGAGAAGATATGGACATGCCCGGAACTCCCAGCTTCGGACCTGTCTATTGGGGTCCGAATCTCACAGAGTCAGTGAAGAATGGATCGGTTTCAACCAGCCGTCTAGATGACATGTGCCACCGAGTCATGACACCGTACTTTTATCTGAACCAGGACCAGGGATTCCCGGGTGTTGACCCAAGCTCGAAAGAGCTTAATGCACTTTTGTTCGATGGCCGTAAGTAATTAATACCCAAACGACGACACTCACTAATCGCTTACAGCCGAGTTGTACGAGAACTACAACTATGCATATGGCCCGGTTACAAACTTGGATGTTCGTGGCAACCACGACGAGTTCATTCGCAAAGCCGCTGCAGAGGGCACTGTACTTCTGAAGAACACCAACAATACACTGCCATTGAAATCACCAAAGCAGGTCGCGGTGTTTGGTAACGATGCGGGTGATTTCACCAATGGAATGTCCACCTTCTATTTTGACGGTGTCAAGAACTACGAGTACGGCGTGCTTGCAGCGGGCGGAGGCTCAGGTTCTGGCCTATTTAGTTACATCGTGAGCCCGTTGGAAGCTATCAAGCAGCGTGTCGGATTTAAGAAGAACCTGGTTCAGTATATCTTGAACAACACTGCTATCATCGATGAGGATAGTCCAAAGTAGGTACAGCTCCCAGATCAAGCGAACACCCACTGACAAGGTCACAGCATGAATGTTCTCCTGCCTTCACAGCCAGATGTCTGTCTAGTCTTCCTCAAGAGCTGGGCTACGGAATCGGAAGACCGCACCATCATTGCCCACGACTGGAATGGAGACGAAGTTGTGACCAGAGTCGCATCCGGATGTCCCAACACTGTCGTGATTACGCACTCCAATGGAATCAACGTGATGCCATGGGCAAACCACCCTAACGTTACCGCTATCCTAGCTGCCCATTTGCCCGGCCAAGAGGCTGGCAACAGCATCGTCGATGTGCTCTGGGGAGACGTGAATCCTTCCGGTCACTTGCCCTATACCATCGCCAAGAATGAGTCGGACTACTCCTTTGCCCCCATAACCAACTCAACGGAGCTTACCAACACCGAGGATCCGACAGCTTGGCAGTCGGACTTCAGGGAAGGAGATTTAATAGACTACCGTGAGTGGCGTGATTCTCAATTATCAGAATTCGGATTTGGTAAATCAAAAAGACGCTGACAAGCATTCCAGGGCACTTCGACTTCCACAACAAGTCTGTCCAATATGAGTTTGGCTACGGTCTTTCCTACACCACATTCTCCATGGAACGAAACATGACCATCACCCGCACCTTCCAAGACACCTTGTCCGCCGTTCCCCCGTCTGCGAACACCGTGCCTGGGGGTAATCCTCACTTGTGGGACAACCTCTATCAGATCACCACAACCGTGAAGAACACCGGCCACACGGCCGGCGCTACGGTGCCACAGCTCTACTTGAGCATTCCCAAGCTGTCTTCCACGTTCAATATCGAGGCAACTAGAGTCCTTCGTGGCTTCTACAAGGTTCACCTGCAACCTGGGGAGTCCAGAAAGGTCACCTTCAAATTAACGAGAAGGGATATTAGTCGGTGGGATGTCGTGAGGCAGAAGTGGGTTATTCCTGAGGGAGATTTCAAGTCTTGGGTCGGATTCTCGAGTCGGGATTTCCGTGCCAGTGGCTCGTTCACGCCGCTTTCTTAACCTGCTTAGAGTGAAAGCTGGGATGATGTGTATATGAAGGTAAAGATCTAGTTTAGATATGAATCAAGTGTAATGTCTTGAATTTTATAAACTTGCTTGACTATCAAAGCCTCTCGCTAGTAGTTCTTGTAGGAGTTGAAACCGCTTCATTCTAGGAATGAGTGGAATTACGGAAACATATTTCGGTCACTAAGAGGATCATTCTTTAGAACTTAGAGTTACTATTGTTCGCGTCTATGTCTATTCCTCAGAGTTACATATCATCCCTAGAGACTAAGAACTCAATTCCTCTAATTCCGAAGTTTCTTCTGCTGCTCAGCCCAGTCCAATGCACTTTTCCTAGCGCTTTCCTCTCCAACCTCTCCAAAGATATCGACGCCAAGCCTCGCGGGGAAGTTCATGCGTTGATGTCTCTCCAATGACTGGATAGCCTGGAATGCATCCTCAGGAAGGACGAAGTCTATGATAGTCGCACTTAGCCTTTTGCTATTACACCACTTAGGATGGTCTGCTTACCTTCGAAGTTACTTTGAATTCTCTCCGGGGTCACAGACTTAGGGAGAACCACTGTTCCTCGCTGGACAGCCCAGCTGACGAGGATCTGAGCAGGAGTTTTGCCGAGCGATTTGGCGGTTTCGATGACCAAGGGGTCGTCGACAGCTCTGTAGTTTTGTTAGACTGCTCAATTGCATCCTCGACGGTAGTTTGACACATGTATACATACCGCGGGATGTTGTAGATGTTATTGCCGAGGGGAGAGTATCCTGTTACAACGATGCCCTAAAGAACGTTGAATATGTGTAAAACTTGAGTATAGGGTGCGAAGTTACCTTCTGCTTAGACCATTCCAACAAATCTCTCTGCTGAAGGAAGGGGTGGGCTTCGATTTGGTTCACTGCAGGCTGTATCTTTGCTCTGGAATTCCAGGTCAATGCATTGATTTTGTCACATAATTGAAAAGTGCACTTACGTCTTGAGCAATTCTTCGATTTTCTCTTTGGTGAAGTTGCTGACACCAATAGATCTAACTTTGCCTTTGGCTACTAGTGCCTCCAAAGCTGTCCAGGTATCTTTGATTGGAACGTCGATCACATCGATGAGACCCGTCTTCTCATCCACCGGCTGGATGGTAGTCGTGGAATGACGGAATGCGACTGGCCAGTGGATCTGACACAAAGGACCCCGCGTCAGATTGTATTCAGCAAGTTATCCACACAGCACCTACCAGGTAAAGATCAAGATAGTCCGTTTGCAAATCGCTCAACGAACGATCCACCGCAGCCTCAACGTTCTCGGGATTGTGATCGGTGTTCCATAACTTGCTAGTGAGCTTATAAATAGCCATGTTAGCACTAGTATCAGGCTCTCGGAATTCTATACTTACAAAGATGTCTCTGCGAGGCACCCCGGATGCCTTGATACCATCCCCAACTTCACGCTCATTGCCGTATACCGAGGCGGCGTCGATGTGACGATAGCCGCCCTTCAGTGCCGCCGCAACGGCCTGTTTGACCTCGTTGGGCTTTGATTGCTACATGACGATTAACGTATGCTTCCCTCGATGAATCGCGCCGTGTATGCTTACCCATGTGCCCAATCCTACTGCGGGGATTTCATAGCCGGTGTTGAGTTTGAATGTTCGTCCGAGAGCCATTGCTGCAAACTATGCTATTACAAGTTCGAGGATACTTCAGTTTCTCCAAAAGCAGATCGTGGGTCAATTGACCTTGTAAAGTATACAAATCAGCCTGGGCAATAAGGAGAAGGGTAGTTCTTTTGAAAGGTATCGGATGGCTGATAAAAAAGAAACGTCACCCCACGCTTAGCGGCACTTCGAGAGCGTCAATGAGGGGTAAAATGCTATCATAAGGACATTTTGAATCCTTCGGCTGCTTTGAACGGCCATCATAGTGGCGATGATGCGTCTTGGGAGCATTCAAGTGGGTCATTTTGGTGGTGCCTGGAAAAAGGTCCGGTTTTCCGATTGGCGGATATCCTTATCCGACATTGTTGCAGCTCGCAGTAACTCCGAGCAGCACAACCCGCTCGTTCTATTGCAGGGATCCGTTCGGTATTCTTTTCGTGTTTTTGTCAATCACAATGAGGGGTAGGTGGGGAATAGTCTCCAACTCATAAACTGTCTTGCGCACGGAATTACAGTGACCATTATCTCTCTGTTTTGTACCTTTGACTCTCATCTTGAAGAATTCCAGCCATGGCGCCAATCAAACAAATCGAATATTTTCGGGTTCCCCCAAGATGGCTATTCGTGAAGATCACAGACGTCAACGACAACTTTGGATGGGGCGAAGCATCACTTGAAGGGCATTCGGAGGCAGTGGAAGGATGTCTCAACGCCTTCATTGAACGATTCACAGGAATGGAGGCAGAGTAAGTACGATGATTCTCTGCCGGAAAGGAATGCTAAAGTGATATTGCAGCGATATCGAGCACATATGGCAGAATGGCTATCGAATGGGATTCTATCGAGGGGGGCCGATTCTGATGAGTGCTTTGTCGGGAATAGATATCGCCCTCTGGGATTTGAAAGGTAAACTATTTTACGCTCTTAGATGCATTGGAGCTTAGACAGGATTCCTCGAGCGATACAGTGCTAACTTGCTGTTTGTCAAGGCCGACGACTTGGTCTGCCGATATATGAGTTTCTGGGAGGAAAAGTGAGGAACAAGCTCAAGGTGTACGCGTGGATTGGCGGCGACCGACCCGGTGATGTTGAAGCCCAAGCGTAAGATATACTATCCAATTGTCCCTTGACGCGGAGATAAACTGACACATTCTTGATGACCCATCCAGACGAGCACGCATCTCGCAAGGTTTCAAAGCTGTAAAAATGAATGCGACCGAGGATCTCGGCTGGTTAGACTCTCCGCGAGCCTTGGATGCCTCCGTCGAGCGATTGAAAACCGTGAAGGCCTTGGGAATTGACGCCGGAGTCGACTTTCACGGAAGGGTGCACAAGGCCATGGCACAACAGCTCGCTCATAAATTAACACCACACGAGCCGTTGTTCATCGAAGAACCACTCCTTTCCGAGCACCCAGAGTCTGTAGCCGCTCTGTCAAAGCTGGTTCCCATCCCCATCGCTCTTGGGGAGCGATTGCATAGTCGTTGGGACATCAAGCCGTTCCTCGAATCCGCATCAGTCAGCATCCTACAGCCAGATATCAGCCATGTCGGAGGCATCTCTGAGCTTCGGAGGATGGCGACCATGGCAGAAGCGTACGACGTGGCGCTGGCTCCTCATTGTCCGCTCGGTCCTATTGCTCTTGCAGCTAATCTTCACGTGGACGCTGTCAGCGCCAACTTCGCGATCCAGGAGATGAGCTTGGGCATTCATTATAACGCAGGCTCGGCAGATATCGAAACGTATATCAAGAACCCGGAGGTGTGGAATGTGCAGGACGGTTTGATTGACTTGATGAATGGGCCTGGACTAGGAATTGAAATTGACGAAGAAAAGGTGCGGGCAGCTTCTGTGAACGCAAAGGCATGGCGGAGCCCAGCATTCCAAGGTCCGGGAGGAGAATGGCGCGAGTGGTAGATGTTTATTTTAGCCCAAATAGACCACAATAGAACCCAGTCATCGTTTGAACATGAAGTGGGAGAGATATTTGCAAGGTGTAGAAGACCGACCAAGTCGGTTGAGCCGTAGACCGAGATAAGCCTGGGGGCCTCAGGCTGCGGGGTCGATTGGGCCTAGCCTGAGGCCGCCAAACCAAGGCCTTTAGCTCGACTCTTCGCTCTCGCCGTCTCCTCATTTCTCTCTTCCCCACAAATCACTCCGCAGTTCACACCCGCTCGCGGTTGACCACCTGGCTTCCATTTAACCATCATTATGACCTTGCCCTGATGGAGTCGAATGACACTCCTCCTACCAAACGCCGATGCGTCGGCAAGGATCGAGTTCGCGTCACGCGTGCATGCGATACTTGTAAAAAGTACGTACATTGCGTGTATGCGCCAGCTCTATTATGCGCCATGTGAAAGAATATCGATAATTATCACACTAAAACTGACCCAAATATCGCAGAAAGAAGTTGCGCTGCTCAGGTACGCTTCCTTGTTCGCTGTGCCAGCGGTCGGGGCAACATTGTAAATACAATGCTGGCTACACCAGGGGCAAACTGCCACCAATCCCGCTGCTACATCAACCGAAGGAAAACGAAACTGCTGTTACTGAGCGACTTGAAATGCCGTCGAGTGTGGCTCCTAGCAAAATGCAGCCTTCACCAGCCATAGCGAATACGGAAAACGAGGGTCGCCTATTGTTACCAGTGGATGAAAATGCAAATGTTCCGTCGTCTCGCAACTCGCCCGAACCCCATCAAACAGACATGGAGGGCCATTATGTAGGCCCTTCCTCCGGGGTTTCATTTCTGATTCGTGTCCAGAAGAGGCTACATCAGAACATCGCTTTCTCGCCGAATACGACTATCTTCAGCTTTGGCGATGCCCCATTGCCCAAATATGACGCGTCCTTCCTGGTTCTTCCGACTAAAGACGAAGCCAAGGCCTTGATGAATCGGTATTTCGACTTCGGGTTTCCTACACATCGATTCCTACATCAGCAACAAACTGAAGGCTGGCTTGAGGAACTGTATGATGGCCTACAGGACCCTCAAGGCGTTGGGCCTGGGGCAAGGGAAGTGAGGGCGTTACTTCTGATGGTATTTTTACAAGCGAAGCAGTACTTGCCGAAGACGGAGTCAGCCCTAGGGGCTTCAGTAAATAGGTTAGTGATATTCAAGAAATTTCCCCAGTGTGGTTCAATTATTCATGATGTCTGCTTTGGTACAGCGCGGTTTATTTTGGTGCGTCGGAACATCACCTCGCAGCCGAGACAGGGCCTGTTCGCCTCACTAGCGTCCAAGCGCGCCTAGCGCAGTGCTTTTATTTATTATCCCAGTCCCGGATCAATCATTGCTGGAGCCTCTTTGGCACCACGGCTCGTCTTGCTATTGCAATCGGCCTGCACCGCAAACGACGCCGGGAGCATTCCCTGGGTGGCGATGACTTCGTGGATCAGGAGTGCCGTAAGAGAATCTTTTGGTGTGCGTACAGCTTGGACAATTACCTCAGTGCTGCCTTGGGCCGTCCTCGAATATTTCATGATAATGAAATTGATCAAGAACTGCCCGTAATTGCCAATGATTCGCAGATCAAAACCAACGCTATTCTCCCGGCTACCTCCAGTGCTCAAAGCATTATGCTTGCTCCTGTATACCATGCGAAGCTGTCCAAAATTATTAGTGGCATACTCCGTGATCTGTACGGTATCCAAAGGACAACCCTGCAGTCGCAAATGTCCGCAGCCGCAAAATACGGGGCCGAGCTCTCCCAATGGCGAAAGAAACTGTCGGCGTTTCTTGATTTACCAAGTATCGATATGTTGATCACTCTATACCAACGTCAGTATAATGTATTAAATCTCGCCTTTTCACATGCACAAATACTACTCTATCGACCCTTCGTTCTTAAGAACTTTGCCGTACTGGCAAGTGGAACGAGCAAGAGAAACGACAAGCTGCACGGAAGCATCAATGAAAATGTCCAGAGCTGTTTAAACGCTGCCATGAAAATTGTCGGCATCGTTCGCGATCTTTGTGAGCATGGAAAAATGTACCATGCTTTTTGGGTAAGTTCCCCCTATGACTCTGACTGTGCTTGTTTAACGATTTGACAGTTTACCCATTACTATGCATTTTCAGCAATTGTTGTGCTATACGTTCATGTTATTCAGAACTACTCTCAAGAAGCCAACACCCAAGGAAATTCTCTGTATTTCCAAGCAGGCGAACAGGCACAAAAGGATCTAGCAACGTGCGGGTCGACATCTTCTTTTGCGCAGCGCTATGTCATGGTCCTTGAGGAGCTCCGAAAGGAGGCACAAGAGTCAATCAAACGAAAACAACATAAAAGCACAGAGCTTTCCTCAGCAGATCAGCCTCGCCTTGTTATCACCGATATATCCATCGCTGAGACGCAAAAGCAAGGTGATCTTGGGGATCAAGCGGGTTATCACCATTCCGGTGGCCACAGCGCAGAGAACGGCATTCCTCAGGCCTCTGAAGGGATGATTGACCCCCATTCGCAGTCTTTGGAGTCATCCGAGATGCCATTAGACTCCCAAGGCTGGATGGGAGACCTTATGGAGGACACCAGTCCCGCTTCATACATTGCTGATCTAACCAGCTGGGGTGAATTCGATTCTTTGGCCCTTACGGGGCTGGGAGAGCTGGGATTTTTATTTCCGTCAGAAGGTTCTGCGGATTTTGGGAGTTGACCATTATTTTGTTTCTTTCTAGCTATTTATGATATGGATGAACCTCTTGGATTCGGCCTTTGGTGGTTATCTATCGCCTTGTCTGATGCTTTGATGCTGGATTTCTTGGAACTGTATGATCGAATAATTGTCCCCACGTTCCACCGAAATCCGGGTACTGGGGATTGATCGGAATTTGGCTGATCGTAAAGTCTTCCAGGAAGCCAAAACTAGGTCGGCCAGCCGGGGATCAGGCCATTAGCTGCGAATCGGGTGGCGTTGTGCTTATCCGAAGCTGGACTGCTTTTCCGATCGCCTCCAAGGAAAGGAACATCCGCCAATGAAGTCGCAGACCAGAAACACTTTGAAAAGCCATGCATCACCTCCGCAATTTAGCTGCGTTTCCTCGCTTTATCAAGGAATGCTCAGGAGCTATCTTTTAGATGTCTCACACCGCTCAAGAATCTTGGAGGACCAGACTTGAATCATGCTCACGACATCTCAAATCAGCGATGTCCTGTTGAATGGGGACGCGCCCTCAAAAGGCGATACAGGTAGTCCGAGGCTTCCTCCAACACCTCCGGACGAAAAGGAAGTTTGTTTGAATACCATAAATGATGTCTTGTTGGAGCGCGTCCAGACCGTACCAGACAAGCCCCTTGTTGGCTATCCGAAAAGCTCTCATGGTTTGAGCGATTATGTCTTTTACTCTGCGACCGACCTGGACAGGTTCACTTCTGGGGCAGTTCAATCCTTAAAGGCCTCTGGGCTATCAGAAGTAGGTCAATTCTTACTCATGATATTATTTGCGCTAAACAAGCGACCAGTTCCACAATGAATCGGAAAACAAAGTGGTAGCGATCCTAGGCGTTTCCAACCTCGACTATGTCATCTCGCTGCTGGCACTCTCTCGCCTCGGCTATGCAGTGTTGCTGCTTTCAACTCGACTTAGTACAGAGGCGTACACCAATCTATTGGCGAAGACCAAATGCACCGATATAATTTACTCTCCTGCCACGCAGGCTGCAGCTAAACGAATTCAAGAGGCTGAGGCCATCAATACTTTTTTAATACCGGAGTTTTCAGTGTACTCGCAATGTACGACAAAGCCCGATCTGCAAGTCACTGGCACCCCTGAAATGGGTCGGAAATGGGCTTTCATTATTCACTCGTCGGGATCAACGGGACTTCCGAAACCGATCTTCCAAACACACAAGGCTTGCATTGCCAACTATGCTTCAAGCAGAGGATTCCGAGCGTTGCTTACACTGCCGCTTTACCACAACCATGGACTGTCAACCTTCTTTCGGGCGATGTTTAAAGCCAAACCGATTGCAATCTACAACGCCAATCTGCCATTAACAGGGAAGAATGTACTCGAGGCCCTGAAGACAACCCAGCCGGAGAGCTTCCATGGAGTTCCCTACGTCCTGAAACTCCTAAGTGAGGTTGATGGTGGCGTGGAAGAATTGGCAAAATGCGAGCAGGTCCTGTTCGGAGGAAGCAGTTGTCCGGATGATCTTGGAGATCTGCTGGTCGAACATGGTGTCAAACTGATCAGTCACTATGGCGCGTACGTTCCCCTGGATAACACAGTTTTCTAAATTTCATGAAGCTAACGTTGACGTGCAGAACCGAACTTGGTCAGCTTATGACATCCCAACGTCCCGCTGACGACAAGGGCTGGAACTATGTTCGACCTTTAAAAACGGCCGAGCCTTATTTGAGAATGGTCGAACTTGAGGACGGCTCCTACGAATGTGTTGCCTTGGACGGGCTTCCTGCCAAAGTCAGCTCAAACTCGGACGATCCGCCGAACTCATTCTACACTCGCGACACATTCCTCAAGCACCCCTCCATTCCGAACGCTTGGAAGTATCTGGGCCGGATCGATGACCGAGTCACCCTTATCAACGGGGAAAAGGTCCTGCCTGTTCCTATTGAGCATCGCGTGCGACAGAGCAAGTTTGTGAAGGATAACCTTGTTTTCGGCGTTGGCAAGCCCTTGCCCGGGATGATGGTTGTACCAAGCGACGAGTGCCAGGGGCTGAGCAAAAGCGAAATACTCGAAAAGATCTGGCCTGATATTCAAGCCGCAAATGAGAATGCAGAGGCATTCAGTCAGGTTTCCAAAGACATGGTAATCATTTTGGACGTCGACTGCACTTATCCAGCTACTGACAAGGGCACCATGATTCGGAATCGCTGCTACCTAGAATTCAGTGATGCTATTGAAGCTGTGTATGCCATAATGGAACAGGGAGATGCGAACTCCGCAGAGAAGATTGCCTTGGATATTCCTCAACTCGAAGAATATTTACTGGAGCTTTTCAGAACAGAGCTTGGTTTTAAGGTGATTCAACCCGGCTCGGACTTTTTTGAAGCAGGGGTGGATAGTCTACAAGCGATCAAAGCCAGAGCCACGATCAAAAAGAGGATTGATATTGGGACAGCTGAACTTGGTCACAATGTGATCTTCGATCTTGCCAACATCAAAAAGCTTTCCGCACATTTGTATGCCCTGCGGACAGGCGAGGAGCAAGAAGAAGAGGACGAGCTAGAGGTGATGTCTCAGCTGATCGAGAAATATTCGTCGTTCACACCTCGTAAGACAGAGCCGGAAGTCATTGTACGTTTTCAACTGCCGGGTCGAAATATTCATCTGCTAACCATGTATGACAGTTACTGACTGGTACTACCGGCTCTCTTGGCACCTACGTCTTATCCAGGTTAATGCACATGGACTCGGTAAAGCAGATATACTGCCTTGTCCGAGCGTCATCTCCCAGCGCTGCCCTAGATCGAGTGCTTTCCACGTTGTCTGCAAGATCTCTCCCTATGGTCAACGTCTCCAAGATTGTGGCTCTGCCCGCCCAACTCGGCCGGGAGGACCTGGGTCTACCTCCATCTATCATCGACGAGCTTCGCACTTCCCTCACAAAGGTCATCCACGCCGCCTGGGCCGTGAACTTCACCCTCGGCGTCCGAAGCTTCGAGCAGCAACACATCAAGGGAGTCCACAACCTGATCAACCTCTGTCTTTCCAGCCAGCGATCTGTCCCGGCCGAATTCTATTTCTGCTCCTCCATCTCCGCCGTCGCCGGGACGCCACTCCCTGCCACCATCGCCGAAGGCCCCATCCCCGAGCTCTCGCATGCCCAGAACATGGGATATGCCCGATCAAAGCTTGTCGCCGAGCGGGTAGTCCAGGCTGCAGCCGAGAAAACAGGCCTAGTGGCCAAGGTGCTGCGGGTTGGCCAGATCGTCGGCGACACGGTCACCGGCAAATGGAACACCACCGAGGCAATCCCCTTGATGCTGCAGAGTGCCGTCACACTCAAGGCCCTCCCGGAGCTAGAAGAGACGCCGTCCTGGCTCCCCGTCGACTGCGTCGCCGACGCCATCCTCGACCTCACCGGACTCAACCCCAACCCGGAAGCCAAAGCCTTCGCGCATGACCCCAAGGTCGTCTACCACGTGCAAAACGCATGCACCTTCAACTGGACACGGGATCTTCTTCCGGCCTTGAAAGCCGCCGGCTTGGAATTCGAAGTTCTGCCGAAACGCCAGTGGGTGCAGCGGCTACGCGAGGGAGAGCAGGATCCTCAGAAAAACCCCACCGTTAAACTGCTGGACTTCTTCACGGAGAAGTACGACAATGATAACCCCGGTCGGGCCGGACTTGTGTTTAGCATGGAGAAGTCGGAGGCCGCCAGTCCGGCGTTGAAGGGGGGAGTGGAGCTGATTGACAGCGGGTTGATCAAGCGGTTTGTGGATGCTTGGAGGAGTGAGTGGTGATGTACATACGTACTTGATTTTCTCGCCAGGTCGACAGCCTTCCCTTTCCGTTTTAGTGCTCACCCCTCGCCGCTTTTTGCTCACTGAGTAGACCTGAGCACGCCCTGAGCAGCCTGAGGCGATCACTGAGCACGGGGTGAGCGGAAGACTGAGTGCCCTGAGTGAGTAACCTCAATAAACTGCACCCCAACTAGCGGTCTCCCCCTTGCCCGTTGCTCCACTCCGAGTTCACTTTTGCCCGCCACACTCCCCAAAAAACCCAGCACTGCCATCACGAAAATGACGAATCAGGGAGGCTATTTTTCCTTCTGATGCCCACGACCTTTTCCCCAGGAGGAAATGCTGTACTATCGCGCTGCACCAACATGGCCAACATTGTTCTGGGCTTTCTCCGTCGAAAGACAACACAAGCCCAGATGTTCATGGGAGCGGCCCTGGATATCCCAGGAGTCAAGGGATTGTCGGAACACCAATTAACGCTAGTCTATTATAGATATATTTTGAATTTTGATCCCGAATACCTACTGGTAGAATGGCATGCCAATGTTTCCCCATCAAAATGCATAATACTGATTAAAAGAATAAGATTCGAAAGTGAGGACGTAGTGTTGATTATTTGTGGCTATCCTGGCCTGGAAGGCTTGCTAACTACAGTATAAAGTCATAACAGATTCATTCTAATCGGGTTAAATTCCTTACATGGAGCCCTATTCTTTCTTGTCCAAGCAATCTGTAGAAATTGCTGGCATGATAGTTGATACGTAGTACATGTGTCAGTAGACGTCATACGAAATATTCGCACGGAAATCACTGAATGATATCATAGCCGACGCATGATAGTATAGAGGAATCGTAGATCTTAGAAAACCTAAACTGGCTCTTGGGATCCTCGCTGGTCTCCAGAACCTCGAAGTCCCTGAACAGAACCCACTGACTGATTTGTAAAATAAACCCCTGAAACAGAAAGATAATGCATCGAGGCTATTTAAACTCGCAAAGGGCGCTCTAATCTAGCAGTCTTGGTCAATCCCTCTCAAGTGAAAAGCCCCCAGTTACTTTCAATTTCTTCATGAATGGCCTGTCGAAAGAGAAGTCTTTTGGAATACGTTGGAAGATGATTTGCGGTTCGATATATTTTACTTGGTCGTCGCTTCTGGTACCAGTTACGGGCCTTTGTTTCGGACAAGCCTTTGATGTTTGTTGCGCAAGGTAAGTGTAATCAGAGTAGACGCGGTGAATCTTCATTTTGTTGGTTTCGTTCATTCTCACAGAATTTATAGACGGTGCGGGAGAATGCCCGGTGTATCCGTGGCTCCAAGTTGGGAGCTGTGTTCTGAATCAAAGAGGTTACTTTAACGGCAACCTGTGGCCCCTTGTGTCGTCATAACCCCAATTAGTTGGTGACTTGCCTGAATCAATGCGCTGACGTGTTGTGCCTAACGGCAATATTCAGGTATCTACTATCGCTATGTAGGTTTTCTAGACCTTACATGGACCGCTTCACCAGGGGGACTTTGAGCCTCGGCGAGGCCAATGAAGGCATTTATGCCTGGGTTTGCTTCCTAGCCATTCCCTTATCTGGCGGCTGCAGAATTTTGCGCTGTGTTGCACAGCTCCGTCAGCGCTCCGCTGATAAGAGCTATTACGCTTTTTCCTCTTCCCTGATTGGTACTTGCCCCTAGTTGCGTTCGTAGTGCAACTATGGTGAGCTTGCAGATGAGACGGGTAACACCTGTGTACATATGGTCCTATTTCCGCTAGGTATCTCGCAAAATCTGGCAATGCTGAATTCAAGGATCATGATCATGGGTACATTGCTGATGCCGTTTCCACTAGCCAAGTGCTTCGTTGCTTTCTTCTCGAGCTCAGTTGCGACCAGTTGTAGTGAAAATGGTGTTGATGGCCTTCAACTGACACTGCGGGTTTGGTAGGAGGGATTTGTGGGTTTGACGCTGCCATACACAGTCCTTCTGGTGAATGTTAAGAAGCTCTAATGAGGGCGTTGGGTGGGACCTCGGCTTTGCAGGTGGAACAGAGAGAGAGCGATATCATCGATTGCGTCAGGCTTCGGGTGGTGGGAACAATCCTGGGCGAGCTGAAGAGATGTGGTATGTGGTACATGTACCTGTTATTGACCGGCTGTGTTGGTTGAATGCGTGGTCGAAACGCGGAAACAAGATCTCGCGTTTCTCGCGTTTCGACATTAGACGATTCGGTTCGGTGACAAGGTGGGGCGATGGGTTGAATGAGAGCTTCAGATTGGGCTGGGCCCGAGTTGAAATTATTTTGGCCTCAGGGCCCAGGAGTTGTGATTCCATCCCTCTCTATTCTCTCGCAACTGGCAGGTTTTCCGTGACAAGCTGGCTGCATTATGACATAACTCTTCTTTTCGTCCTTCCTCGCCGGCTGCTTAGATCCCATTATACATACAGAGCCGGTGAGTACATCCTATGCTTTGGGAGGAAGTTCTTGCTTATTCGTGCTCTTGATATTTCATAACCAGCCGCATTGTTTACTGACGTTATTCTTCGGTTAATGCCATTCATTGCCCCGTAATAGACGTTGTAGACTACGGGAGCCGGTTCGCGGGAACCACTATAGCAATACTGCTTTCCTGTAGGTGCTGATAGATATAAAGAACTCACGCGGACTTACTGGAGTAGTACTCTGCACACTGAGCGGAAGATAGGAGTAGTTGTAGTCTAGGCAGATGATGTTATTTTAGCCTATTCTCAATGCTCGTTGTGGGGGAGACGCAGTTGCAGGATTGCTTCTTGTCACATATATTGGCAGTTTCTTGTGAAGGAAGAGCTGCACCGTTCATGTGTCAAAATGGAATAAGTAGGCTCTGTGGGAAGTTTGTATCAAGGAGTAAAGAGTAAGGTTCGCAGGAAAAACGAGTGGAATGTGGGCTATGTCTATCACGGTATTACGCACGTAGGGGCTATGAACTTTTGTCAGATTGGTAACGCAACGGTGAAAGCGTCTTGTACGTAAGAATGAGAGCATTTGGCTAGTTGCACATTGTAGTGAGTGTGTATGCCTGAACGTTCCTGACATCGCGGTATAGGGAAAACAGTTCGCTATACCGTGGGTGTTGCGCTGGCGTAATATAATTACAAGTGCGGTCTCCCGGACTGTTTCAATACACTGCGCCACAGGGACATACACTTCGTGTATTGAAGGGGCTTGTATGAACCCGTATGTTACAGATTGAGAAGTTTCACATAATAGCCAATCCAGCGGACTGGGCAATGGGAAATGATAGGATGCGCTGCTCCCAAGGGAATTTTGGATACGGGACCACTTGACTGCTCATTCACGCTCTGTCGTGTTTTAACGTTGATCAGGTCATTTAAGTTGTATCTGACCGCTTAGTATCTGGTCACCACTCTTGCTCACATCCAGTTTTGTGTATTCAGGTTTCTGCACCCCACAAGGTCTACTATTAGTGTTGCGGGCAAAACCCATACCGCGATACAGAATATGTTGCTTTACTGACGGAACAAAACTGCATCGAATAAATCGAGGTTTGCAGCAGCAATTGCCCAGTTGCTCATACTGTACCATTCCCCTTCCAATGTTCAGGCACCCCTGGCCTCATTGATAAGGTCATGAATGCAAATATGAAAGAATGCCCGCCCGGCCTTTCACCCGAGGTTGTCGAAAGATGCCCGGGTATATTCTATCCATTCAATACCCAACATCCGTAGTGTCACGGATGGATATGAAACATATCAGACGCAAGGTGGCAACCTTCTTTAGTGTATCGCGAAGGGGGGTGGATTATCACAGCTGCGTCTATTCCGGGGCGGAAGATGTCTGCCGAAGAGGAGAAAAATTGAGCGTGCGAGGGTGCGAAGGATCAACCGGTCAATGGGCAGGGGATATCTTGGATCTAGCAGCACGGGAGCGTGAAGTGGCTTCAAGTAGATCACCAGGTGCTGGTAGCGGGAACGTAAGATGCTGATGAAATTGGTCAACAACAGAGTCACATGACCCGCGATGCACGCACTTTCCTGTTCGAGAGGGCTGTCTATGGGGGCACCGGGTTGTGTTGGAGGCTACGAAGTCTCCTAGGATAGATGAATAGGTTCCGCCAAATCATGGCAGTCCCGGAGGACAGCGGCCTGCTTCCTCGGATATGGCTCCTCACTCATAGGAACCCAGACCCGGGTTCTCGAGCGAGCAACCGTTCTGGAGAACAGACATATCAATCCTGCAGTTTCCTTTCAATGTCGTGGGACTCGAAGGCCATCATAGGCCCTGTTCTTATTGCAGGAGCGTGCGAGATATTTATCTGCGCATTTGCCATAAAGCACGGCTGTCACCTACACTTATTTCAAAATTACACGTGCCTGGCTTATAACTCCAACCATGGCGAAATATCAGTGTCTCACAGACTATTCTCCGTTCTGGGCCAATCCTTTATACCGCGACACCTGCATTGGCTTGAATGATGATAAACCCTGCCCTTGCGCCCTGGATATCTGCCGCCGCCAGCATGCCGAGATTTGCTTTTACTATCTGCAATTAGAAGCGAACAAGAAAACACATCTTCAGACTATAGCAAAGTTTATGGTATGTGAAAATCACAGCCACGGCGCCAGCGAAATTGCCAAAAGCTGGATGCGAGATAGCACGCAGCAACAGATAATTCCCATCTCCAACTTGCCAGAGACAAACGCAATACACGGAAGCCGGCAATCTCCAAGGTTGGCTCATTATCACAGCCCCCCAACGTTCTGGAAAGCAATATTCAACAATGAGTTCGCTAGCACAGCCTGTTTGGCCCGAGCCTACCGCGCGTCTGAATCTTCGGCCATGCTGTCTTCATGATGGCCATATCCAACAAGTCAGGAGACAGGGAAAAGACGGACACTTACTTATGAGACCATTGCATTCGCAAGGACATATCATATGTCCTGTCAAAAGTGACCTTGCATGATATGATGTAGAGGGCTCTTGTCTCTACCCGCCCGTGGTATTCCGTTCACACCCAGCTTCTCTGCATTGCTGTGCAACTTTGGAGGGGGGTGACCTTGTCCCTTCGTCTATCTGGGTTCCATCCAGGCCAGAAGAGTTAATATATATACTAGCCACTATCATTATAATTTAACATTTGGTTTCCGCCCGCCTTGGTACTGTTTCAAGCGCGATATGAACGGGGTTAACGGCCGACCAACGTGCAGGATAAAAATTTGTCGAATGCGGATAGCTAATGTCTGTGCTGGCTGCTACAAGGCACCTAGGCAGCGGATTGGCATTGTAGCACGAGAGTGATAATCTTGGCGTCCAGACGACACGAAAGTCCGAGTCAGTATCTACACCGTGCCAAACTGCGTACGCCAGTATCTGAGCCCTTGTCGACACTGCGGGCCACTTAGCCACACAACGGCAACTCGGTGGATGAGTAAGTTCTGCAGCAGGGCACGACGCTTGATAAGTAGTCGATGCACCTCCGCATGTCGGATGCAGGCGATCTTAACCCGCAGTCGATGGAATAGGGCCAATGGTGCTCGCAACGATGACATTGAAATGGGTTCGAAATTCTCGGTCCAACACGGGCACCATGGTATGCAGTCTTATCGCCTCGAGGTAATACCATCCGTTCAGTCGGCAGGATTTTGGGATGCTAAACACACGCAGAGACAGAGCGTTCCAATCGCCGCTTTAGAAAGGGCCGCTAATTCCACAAGGTTAGCCGATGGCCTGGCGGCGCTCGGGCCAAAAGGGCTATATCGCCCAACATGGAACAAATACGTACCTCGCGCAAGACTTTTTGCGTCCATTGGTGCATGATATTTGACGTTGGGTCACGATCGCAGTGATCGCCTTGTGTTTTTGCTTGCCCGAGTTGTAATCCTGTCTCATCGGATTCCTACGCATTGCTTGGTCTAATGTTTTCGAGCCTATGGTCAAGTAGGTGGAACCCGTGCATCGTGTCGCCGAAATCTTCTGCTTCCAGATGATTCTCTCTATCAGCTTTTGTTTTGTATATGATAAACCACCAGAAAGTCGGCCGATGAAGCCAGAAACCTTGTTTTTACCCTCTCACGTGGATTCTGCGTCGGTCGCGTTTTTCTTTAAAATCTGGTTCGCAGTCTGCAGTCATACCCGCAGTGGGCGAAATAAACATTATATCGACTCGCCCGATGCACTGATTAACTGCATACTCTTATGCCTCATTAAGTCGTCTGCTTGGTCGATGGCTAATCGAACGAGACCAACGGATTGAAGCGGACCCGGAGTCGGCGTACTGACGCGTTCAAATCATGGGCGAATCGCGTGGAAATGCGACTAATTTGTTGACCTCTAATGAAATCACAGGCCTCAAAAATGAGCTGTTCAGCTTCTGGAAATGCACCTGTCATGGTAGTGCTTTTTAAGAGCAGAAAAGAGGAAAACGACCATCGAGACCGGAGCACCAGCACGCGGGATAGTGGTGGGGAGACTACAAAAGGGGAAGTCAGGTTATAGCGAGGTAGAAGGTGGCGGAGCCATGTGATGAGGCAATAAGGGATCGCACGTCGCATCTCTAACTCACTTCCTCTTACTGAACTTTTGTTCAATCTGCCAGCCACGTCCATTTCCGCCCAGTTGAGTATCTCGACAACTCGTTGCTCCATAGAGGCTTTGCTCGGGGATGATCGTAAGCCCCAAAGACAAGCCTACTGGGTTTCTTGCCCACTTTTGCTCAATTACTCATGCTGACGGTAATCGTGCGCCAGATACCCGAGCATGCGATGGATTGCCCGTTTCTCGCCCCTACCTATACCCGCCCCTTTTTTTGTCGTGTCGTCGCAACTGTCATTTCACCCAAGCCCTGTGTTCCCCGGAGCGAGAATGGTGATGGTTGGGTTTGTGCTCCTTCACCTTGAGGATTTCCGATCATTCCCGTACGCTGTAAAGTGCATTGTGTTCCTTGTTAGTTTCCTACGTCTCCATATTGCTGCCCGAGATCTCCGTTCAAACGACCAGACCCCGTCGTCATAGCGCACCGATTCCATCCTCCGAGTCCGTCATGGTGAACCTCCCGGCGGGAGTGGATGGTCACATTGGGTTCTTGCCCGCTTCGCTTTAATCATACCAGGGCAGTGTTGCCGACGGTCAAACGGTCATTTTATGGCCATACTCACCTTGCTGCGGGGAACAGACCCATTATCTGGTAAAGGAGGTTGGATCTGCGCGGCTGGTCGCGGTGGGTCCGCTGGAGAGACAGGCTATATAAGGCCGGTCGTGTCCCGGTGTTGAGGAGGTAGGACCAGGTTTCTTACCAGCACGGCCCTTGGAGGCGAGCTGTGTCGGCCCTTGGAGGCGAGCTTCACTTCAGGCCATGGGCCCCGTGTTGTATGGTCAGCCCACGCCCTCTTAGAGCAGCCCTCTAAGACCCCCAGCGAAGGCAAGACACCTCTTCGTGGTGCTGGGGACTAGTACTCGTTCATCATCTGATGTATGAAGAAGCCAAGACCTGCCTTGACTCCTAGTTTACTGTACATACCGTACATTAGGAAGTTGTCGATGCTATAGGCCCCTTTTTCCCTATTTGTTTAAATTCCCATGCTCGTACTGTGCAGTAGACTACCATCCAGCCAGTGTTTGAATAAAGTGAAACCGACGTTATTCAGGCCCGCCATGTCACTAAAAGCAATACCACCATAGAAAATGCGTCGAACCGTCTTCCCGCGTTCTTGTCAAATCAGACTATGTAGCCGCAATAACAGGAGAAAATCGGCTTTTAGCAGGCCAACGAAACAAAGAGTGCACGCGTCCATTGGCGGCTGCGCACAGTTGCCAGCTGCTCTGCCACCGCTCAGTATCTGCTAATAAAGAACATTTCTCATTTTAGGACAGACCTGCTTGAGATAAGCAATTACTGTGTAGCATGAGAACCAGATGCCTTGAACGACTGACACATCAAAGTCCCCTTTAAGGAACAAACCCGACTCTACTGACGGAACGGGCAGGGCGGTCATTTTATCGGGATGACATATTCTTGCCCGTTCACTGTAATCGAATTGCGGGCAACTATACCTGAATCTGACCATATGGACATAAAAAGGGATCAACCCATATTGGAAGTTTCAGGATACTTCGAGCTAGCAGCGGAACTTTTTTTTTTTTTTTTTTTTTTTTAAAAAAAAAAAAAAAAAGCAAACCATTCTCAAATTCCACCCCAACTGGCTTATATATTGTCACTGACCAGGACGAGTTTTTCCAGCATGCTCTTGGATTTGCCTCCTGAGTTATTACAATTAATATTTCAGCATGTGAGCTATCTGCATCAACAGGATCCATTAGATGCTGATGATCCATAGCTAGGAGACTGCGATTTATGGGAATTATTCAATGTCTCAAATAGTATACGGCCCAATGTTGCTAGATGCCTCTTCCAACATGTCGAAATCGATTACCCACCATCCAACTTTCCCGAGTCCCTGAATGGAAAGCCTCTGCCAGCAACAAGGATATTCCAGCTTCTAGGCCAATGGCTACCCCTTATTCAAGATATACGCATATTTTGCTATCGGGCTGTGGAGCCCTGTATGCTAAACCTACTCAGTCGATTGCCTAACATACGGCGATATTGGTACGGAGACCTTCGGGATCACTTTTGCAACGCCAGGGAATATAATGACTGACAACTCAATAGTATTGACGCAGAAAGGAGTGATGAGAGTTCGTATGGCGTCAAAGAACAGCTGGCTGATCAACCTGACCTTCGAGAGTTATTCCATTCCAGCAGTGTTCCCAGCTCCTGGCCGGTACACCTCCCTTTCCGGTCACTGCACAAGCTTGTTATAGAGTATTTGTCAAGCGGTACTCTAGTCATCCCCGCCATGCCGGCTCTTTTAGATCTCGATATTCAGTTTGATGACGGCTTTACTCTTAATGAGGAGCCTCTCAAGAATTGGGATTGTACTGTTCTCGTGGACTTTACGGCCCTGCCAAGTCTTTCCAGATTGGGCCTTGAACACTTACATCTTGGTAATATGATATTTTGCGGCCACCCGGATTCTCTCAGGACATTCGAGGTCAATCTTTCCAAGGGTGAATTGAGCGACATTCTCAGCATAATTGGAATCAGACTCGAACAACTCATCGTGGGCTGGTCTCACGTCACATGCCAGGCCCTGACTGTTGATTTATTATCCCTGAAGAAGGTTCATCTGAAGGATTCGAGTGGCATCTTTCCTTTTCTGCTCGAAAACGAACTCCCAGCTCTGGAAGAAATTATTTTGGAGACCCCCTTTCAGGGAGAGTTTGGGGGATTCGACTTTCGCCGTGCCTTCTCAGATGATAATAAAGCTCGGCCGGACGTGATGCAATGGACCAAGAACAATGGGTCATTGGCTTCATTCTTTCATTTAGGTAAACAAATACCTTGCGGAGATTCTAGTGACTCCTATAGTTTGGTCGATCAGATCTTATGGACAGCGAAATAGACCTGCTTCTACGATCGTTTGGTGTGGTTTGTTCTAAGCCTTGGCGATAAATTTCCTGTCCACGTTAATCGCTTTGCTAGTTCGGCGCGGTCGAATTAACAACCAACTTGAGTGATATTCCACACTTGATTTAGTGTAATGACTATCGTTTTATATTTAAAATATTTCTTGGCGTTTCTGTGTTGAGCTCTGTCGCAGGGAGCCCAAGGCTCCTCAACGCTTCTGCAGCATTTGAACAAAGCCTGTTGTTACTCAGAGGGAAGATGCATTGTTGCCTCCTAAGAGGAAATCTATGGGACTAGATATACGTATTGAGATGCAAGACTGTTTACAATCAACTTGCTTCTTCTATGAGTGAACATTAAATTATTCCCGATCTTGCAGTCTTATTAACACTCACTCTTCGACTCTGTTCCAGCGCCGCACCCGCAAATTAAGTCGTATTAGTGTTAGGCTGTTATTGAGGTGATTTATAATCAGTATGTATGAAGTGTAGCTTTGCAAAACCAGTGGCTGCTTGAATCGTAAGTATGCCCAAATTGCAACTGCGGCGAGGTACAGCCATCGCAATTTTAAACACGGGAAATCGACCGGGACAGCGAATTATCTAGGCCATCCTCCTCGCGGTAAGCGAGGTTTAGGAACGGTGTATACCTATCCGCCTTTAATAGGTCTTAAGATATTAAAATAAACTGGGAAATGACGCGGTGAATTATTTGAAGAAGGGAGTACTTAGCGATAATAAAGAACAACTAGTTAATCAAGCAGAGTTCTTGGGTAGATGATTTAAAGGTCAAAAAAGAGGACAAAAAGAATAAAGGGTAGGATGACGACATCTCTATACGACAAACAGGTATTTCTTCTTCAATTCCCTAATAGACCGATTGTTCAATGGATCAATGGAGATCTTAAAAGAGCTAACACGCCAAATTGCCATCCAAGTTAGAAATGGCCAGATCTAAAAAAAGGGTCAGGAAACGTAAAAGGCAAATGGATTTGAGATTCTACCCACTCATATTAATGTTGGGGTAGTTGATATCGCCCGCGTCAGTCAGACAACCACAAGATAGCCAACTTCCATGGACGCTGCAGGATGGGCAAAACCTCCCCATGTCACCACTAAGAATTATTAGCTAGGACTTTCATATTCAGGGTAGACTGACTCTCGTTCAAATGTAAGAGTCCCATTATGATTGCTATAGCAGGAATTTAGATCCAAGTTACTTTTGGCCACGGTGCCATTCGTTCTACTGCAGCTTGCAACAACGTAATGCTGATTCTTAAGCTCTAACTGATCGCAGGTGCTTGAAAATCCGCCCGCAGAAGAAAGAGCAACAAAAAGAAAGCTGCCGCTTATTATAACGATATGATGTCTCATTATGAGTGAGGTTTTGGTCAAGTTGGTAATAAAAAGGGATAAAGCTAGAGAGTGCGAATCACGAGTCGACGAATGAGGCTTTGTATATTCAGTATCTGCCTTATCCGCATGTCGTGAGCTCGGCTGGTACTTTATATAGCACCAGGAAGAGTTTAACATTAAAAATACATGCTGAGTACACCTGTTATATGCCAGTCCTTATCAAGGGGTTGGAGACGATTGGGATATCCAGGAGATGGAACCGTCCGGGGTGACCAGAAAACAAAATGATCAGACATGGGCAATGGTATGACTATCCTAAACCGTAGCTGCGGTATGATGAGGGCTCCACGGGCTCTCTTGCCGAGAACCCTCGCGAATATAACCGCTCTGAACTGACCGGCAGTAAGAACTTCCCTTCCCTCCTACAGAATTTGGGTTCTTATACATCCCTCAAAGTATGTAGTACCAAAAACCTAGCTGTTGTGAATCGAAGCTCAATCTGGTAGACAATAGAGCTTCGTATATGGAGTTTATTCCGGATTGAATCAGATTGATTTCCAATCAATCTGATATTCGCCTTGTATATAAACCCTCAAGTTTTCAGATGTGAATGACAACAATCAATCTTCCTCTGAACTACAACGCTAGCAAGCTTGTCGTCCAGAATGAACATTCATGATCCCTTTATCCAGACCCTGCAAATATGTCTACCACTCTTGTCACCAAAAGCACCGGTCGAGCGATAGACAGCCGATAAATCCCCCTCTATGGCTGGGAGCTTTACCTCTTTCCGATATATTGCCCGGTTTTTCTTATGCTGGAAGTGGCTATTCGCGTTGGTCTGTCCTGACTATTAAGGTGTTTTGCATGCAACGCCACACAAACGGACGCGACTTGCCCGGGCATCATTATGTCCCGGTGACTCACTTTGACTTACCCCTTTTAGCTGGACCTGGACATCAGCCGGTCATCTATAATCTCTTCAAAAAGGACCAGGAACAAATCCATCACATTCCAGATGCTTGACGGATTCCCGTCGAGCCGCCGAGCCGCGTACGTAAAGTTCACAGCTATAGCTACATACCAGTGGTATATTCTGCCGTTAAAGATAACTGGAAACGACGGTATTTCTGACGATCCCCCTTCCCTAGCCCCACTCCACCTTGCCTGAGCAATTGCCCAAGGTTGTAGTGGTTAATGGTACCCGTGCGTGATTTACTCGGGTATTTAAAATGACCTACTATCCACTCGTTATTTTCATATTCTTCCTTCAACTGCTGGATACCGTGTTTGATCTTTTCTTGTCAGCGTTACAAATGCCCTTAGTGAGAGAAAAGCTGAAATAGAACCAGTGTAGATGATCTGGAGCAGAGAAATACCCGACCTTGCAAAGAGAAGACCCACCCGAATTCGTTGAAAACGCCTGGGTATTTTCTTCCATCCCCAACCCTCATAATCTTGGTCAAACAGAAATCGTGGCACCTTCATTCTTTCATGCCGTGGCCGTGTTGTCGACAAGTAACTCGGTCTTTGTAGTTCACAGCCGGAGCTGGCCTACTCTGCTGCTGTTTTTGCCCGGGCACTCCCCCTTCCGATCACCGGCACGGCCAGACCCTCGTAAAAATACCAACTATCATCATTTACAAACGCCCCTTGATTTTACTCAATTCGCTCTATTTTAATTCCCACATTAACTGGCCTTCACACCGAGGAGCCGCCACTAACAGGCTGCTGGGTCTTCTGTCTCAACCCGTGGCCAGTAAAGAGTCCATGCCATTACGTTGAATATTTGGCATGTGACATGGCTTGTATGTGGGTAAATGCAGAAAAAGACCGGACAAAGCAGGAGGGAAGACGCTCGCCGATCGTGCTTTCCACCATCTTTAGTTTTCTCGTCTTGGAACCAGGGAGGCAGGACCACTAACCCTTTTCGGGTAGTTGACCAGGGGGTACGACTTTTGAGTTCTTCCCAGATCTCGAACACGTCCGAACAAAAATTACTTGTTCCTCTAGCAGCTTATACTTGACCCATCACCTTATATTAGTTACGCATAAGGGCATTATATAAGTCTCAAAGAGAGGAATTGTGTACAGGCTCCTTCTCACGTAGGTAGAAGTGAAATATATGTTAAAACCATATTTATAGATTCCCTAGTACCCAACAAAAGTCGGTGTCAAGTGCTGACCAAAATAACTACACAGATAACCTTGCCTGTCCGGTCAATTGGGCATTCGATTTACCTCCCTGGAAACAAAAGTGGGAAACGCGACGGACCGGGCAAATCGCCTCCTCTGGGTTTGGCGACCCACTCAGGACCACTCCATGAGACTTTTCATTGGCGTTGCTGATCCGAGGTTTTAAAAACCTCCAGTTCGTGCTGGCGTTTAGTGGCTGGTTCAATTCCCATTGTCCTCAACCTTCCTCTAGCCGACTTGCCAATCTCCTCGTTTCACTGGGAACTGTACCTTTTTAACGATGGATTCCTGTCCTCAAGAAAAAGACCCAGGAGTTGATTGCAGTTCAGCCCTTGCGGATTGCGCTACAACGGTCCGCACTGTATTTTCTCCCACACAGCAAAGGTTGGAATCAACCCTCGAGCTGTCGCGGTCACTTGCAACTGTTATTGAGGGCGATAATAGCCTTGCGCGTCATTTTGGCGTTCCTCTTGCTAGTGACTCTATGGATAGGAAGATTGACTCATTATTTGACAAACTTCAACTTATGAAAGACGATGAAGGGAAGGTTGATAATATACACAAAATCAAAACCAGTGTCACCCCTCCAGACTTTTCTCTTTATTCTATCGAATAGAGACTAGACTGTAAATGGTAAGGTCCTAAATTTCAATCCAATCAGGTATATTTGCCAAGCCTTTTATCAGGCGCTTTACTTTCTTTATACATAATTAGAACAAGAGAAACTATATTTGGGGGTGACACTGGTTTCGCAGCCGAGTGTACTATTTGCTGGCTCGATATTGTCCTCGCACCTTCCTATAATCCAGCGCGACGAGAAGATGGCTGTTATTATTTACAGCTTGATGGACGCAGTGGGTTGATTCGGGTGTCAGAATCAGACCACAACTTTATCGAGTCCGGCCTTCCTCAAAAACTCATTGATCCACGCTCATACCCACGCGATGTAAAGTCCGAGGAAGAGACGATGAAGTTAGTCGGGGGGTTGTTATTGAATTTGAACAAAGTTGCCTCGCAGAGTAAGTATCCTCTCAAATCATCGTTCTCTTGCTATTTTTATGTCCCCATGCTTTTACCTGTATGTATTGACTTGGGTCTAGTCATCGGCTTGAACAACAAATGCCGGGAAAAAATAAACCAAAGGCTTGAAACTATCAAGCATGTTAGCGGCGGCTACTCTCAAGACACTTGGATCTATGATAAATCGAATCATGTAGATCTGCAGATGACTGAGCCTCCAGAACTGACAACACCGAAAAAAGTCGGAAATCGCAAGCGTGAGTCAGGATTTGCGAACATCTTAATTATGTAAACAGACTGACATTTTTCGGTAGCGCCTTCTGCAATGTCACCATGGAAGCCGGAGGAACTAAATCGTTTACCCCGGTGGTTCCAAGCTCACAAGCGTTTAAAGAACAATCAAATCGAGGCTAGATTTGCGAAGGACTTCGGTAGATTTCGAACCCATGGTGCGATCATGGCCGCATACTATCGGGCAAGAAGAGAGCATGGAAAACGTCGTATAGGTTTGAAACAGAGACTCCAACCCGGTGACTCCCCACCGTCAACGGCCAATGAACCCGCTCGTGTTGCAATCCCCAACCGCATCGATTCATTTTCACCCACGTCCAATTCAGGTCCCCGGCCTTCCGCTTCCTTTCTGGCTCCTCTCAGAAGTCTCAGGAGTCCGGGAATATGGAACGGTGGAACCCCTGAGAAGCAGCGTACAAAGTTGTCCCACCGAACCAGACACATCAAACCAGTAACTCCTCGAGACACGACAGAAAGGGCTTTGTGGGATGATTGCTCTTTTATCAGCGCTTCAGGGACCGGGGTAGAACAATTCGATCCAGCGAGTACCGCTGTCCTCAACCCCGAGCAGACCACAAGAGACGGCAGATCATCACGAGGAGACCTCCCGTCGATCCAACCTACCGATACTCGAGAGGGGAATAAATCTAACAGAGACGTCCAGGGAGTGTATGATTTAACTGCACCCGCAGTAGCTCCCGAGGCCCGATCACCAACAAGGAAACGGTTAGGGACTGATGGACCGATGAGTGGAAGTCGCTGGAGGAAGGTGCGAGGTGGGAGGGAAGGCCATGATCGCTGGAGGCTTTATAGAATCGGACGGAACCTGGTGGTCGCAGGGGGAGCCAAAAACGGCTCCCTCAGGAGCGAAAAAAAGGTACGGTAGAGCAACGGAAGAGCCCTGCGCCAGCATCATGCGTCGATGAATGAGGGATCAACGGAGTGGCTAGCGCCAGGGCCGGGCGCCTAGGGGAACGGGGGATGGTGGACGTGGTGGTAGTGGCCGTGGCCGTGGGATTACCTCCACGTGACGCCAAGCTCGGTGATCGTTAGAACGACTCGTAAAACGGCGTCGAAGGTAGCCTTTTACGGCCGCCGGCTAACTGTGTCATCGTTATATAGAGTATATCGAGGTAAGGCCCTTTATCTGCACTAGCAACATCATTCACTTAGAAGTAGGCATGTGTTAATATTTTAATTTCGAAGACTGAAGGCAGAAACGGCTGCAGAAACCGGGGCTCGTGGCCAATGACATTGAGGATCAATAGCCAGGACCACCCATAGAAGAGACAAGTGGTTGCGGCGTACTGCGGTCCGTACCCACAATCCCGCAGACCCTTACCTGAATGGTATTAAGAGCAACTGCGGAACGTCCCCTAGCCCTTCCCCAGGAATCAGACTCCGATCCAAAAAACAACTTCATAAATGCCCAAAGATAATCAAATTCGTATGCCGAGGCAGTGAAAGGTCCAGACAGATTCGGAGATATCTTTTCAGGCATGGTTGGGTTTACCGTGACAACATAAGCTAACTTGATCACGAAAATCTAGTTGACACCGAAAACCGGAGAACCCTTTTTCAACTATTACCCCAGACTGCGAGCTATGAAACGTTCCAATTTGGCCAAACAGCCGTACCCCTTGATAAGGAAAGAACAAGATGGAACATCTTCCGCATGTTGATAAAGTCCTGAGAGCTTTGAGAACTCTATCTCGCAGTGAGGGCACTTGTAAAGCCAGCCTCCATCTTCAAGTCCTTCATTGGTATACTTCCTATTTTGATAGCATTCGTGGGCTATTTCATCAATTTCTTCCTCGGTAATGTTTGATGGGCAGCTCCCAGACTCGAGATGGATCAGGACTCCAGAGAAGGACTTGAATGTCTTGTAGCAACCGCAGCATTCCATCGTTCGGGCTTGATGTTTCTGTTGGTGCTGAAGAGACAGATGCGTCAGCATCGAACGCAAAACATTAACCGGGACACTTATACCATTTCTAAATTATTCTTGGTCGCAAAGTATCTCTCACACTTGACACACAAGTGATGCTTGTCAATATCATGCTCTCGAAGTTTCTCAGCGGACTCATGGTAAAGATTGCAGTCTGAACAAAAGTGATGAGATCCCATTAGGTGATCATCAAGCTCGGCATGAGTCTCGAAATCTTGTGATGAGGGACATCGTAAGCAAATATTATGTCTGCTAGAAGCTCTGAGATGCGCATGTTTAGAGTTGCTTGAAACAAAGACGCGGCAGCACCTCTCGCACCAATCGTGTTGGGACGTGTTTCTGCAGTGTGCGTAGAGGGAGCCTTCAGAAGCAAAGTCCCTCTCACAAAGAGCACACTCATAGTTTATTCCGTCGAAGGCAAGATATGGGCCAAGTTCCATCCTTAGGTTCATAGTGAAATAGTTTAACATGAGTTGGGTGAGAAAAAAAAGCGGGGTCACCCGTCCCACTGACTCATTGGCCTCTTTAGGCCCAAGCGGTGGTGAAAGGTGAAATTTGTGGGAAGCGATGGATGATATTCTATTGGGTGGCCGGTTCGGCCACATAACATTTCACTACTGAGCCGCCACCTCCTCTCTAATTGCTGCCCGCGGGCCAAATACTAGAGACTTTATCAACAAAACAACTGCATTTCTATCTAAAAATTAATTAGGAACTCGATTAGGACATTGTAACCGCCTATGTTCTAAAATATGGCAATCACTGCACCGCGGAGGCGCTCGTACGCGTGGTTCAATTGCAGGAAGTGCAGGATCTAGAGAAAGCGTATCTTGAGCTTCATCAACCTTATTTTCGCGCTGAAATCGCTCTAGGCCTTCTTGAATAGCTGATCCTTCTGTAATATCTAGTTGCCTAGTAGAGCGTTTCTTTTTTTGAAGCTTCTTTTCATGAGAAGCGCGTAATTCGCGGATTTCTTCGCGTGCAAGAATAAGCTCATTAAGATGTAATTCATGACCTTTAATAAGCTTATCAAATCGCATCTCTAGCGAAGACGAAGGGTTCTGCGTACGCGCTTCAAGCAGCTTCTTTGCTGTAGATGCCTGCTTCTCCAACTGTCTAGTTGTATAGGGCGTTTTTGGTGCTGAATTGGTTGATCGACTACCTGGTGGTGTAGGAGTCTTCAATTGAATATTCAGCTGACTGAGTACCCTATCTGGATTGAATGGGATAAGGCCAGCACCTGCGAAGCTATTTCGAATAGTACCTGGTTGAAAAGTGCGTTCGCGAGCTTGTGGAAAGACCTCTAAGAAATCAAGTTTGTCGATATGATTGATTCCTAAACGTGCCTTCTTCTCCACTAACCTGGCGTACGCCCGCTTTAGAGGCGAGAAGCAGCCAACATCTAGAGGCTGTAGTAGATGTGATGAATGTGCAGGCATGCAGATAGGAATAATATTATTTTCACTGCATATCTGGTCGGATTGAGGTGTAAGATGACTGCCATGGCCGTCGAGAATTAGAAGACGATATCTTCCAGTCGTACGGCTAGTAGTAACAGGAATAAAGAGATTTTGAAGCCAGCGAAGACCTATCTCGTCCGTAGTCCATCCATTAGGACTAACTTCAATCCTGCTATCGCGTGGGAGCTCAATATCTTGATACCAACCCTCTGTATGGACCTTCCCTTTAAAGCTCACACATGGAGGAAGCGCCCAGCCAGTAGAGTTAATACACTCAATTGAAGTAACCCATTCGCGATTGCCTGGCTGTACGAGGGATGCCTTTCCATAGTAATCAGCTCTAGTAACTACTTGAGCAGTAGCTACTAGGCCCATAGCGAAGCCAGTTTCGTCAAAATTGTAGATATCTTCTTGTACGATCCCGTGTTGCATTATCGTGAACTCAGGCGTTCTATCAGAAAAAGTCCGGGTATGTGGATGCGAAGGAGAGCAGCATAGGAGGCCGTCTGCAAGTAAAGGGAAAAATGGAAAAAAAAAAAAGAAAAAAAAAGAAAAAGAGAAAAAAGAAAAAGGAAGGTTCTGGGGCCGGGAAGTTGCTCCGCGTGCAATTCGCGCGCAACTGTCTCCTCCCCTTTCGTTGATTGCCCGGGCATTATTTTGCTTCGATGGGGTGGACCCACTTTGACTTACCCTGAGCTGGGCATCAGCCCATCTGGAACAAAAAGTGTTGAGTATCACTGTGGCTGAACCTTATGGCAGGGATTGAGAACAGATATATATGAGACATCCCGCCCCTGTAAAGATAACTCTTCAAGTCAACTAAAAAAAAATTAATCTTACTATCACTTATCTTAACAGGTTATGAGCCCGGGTTGCTCACACAACACCTGAGAACGTCATTCAAAAGGCTAAGTCTCCACTTGAAATGATAACTCTAACAATTGAAATATTTGATTAACACTGTCAAGGAACTGCGGACATGCTGTAAAGAGCATGAAGACTCTCGAAGAATAAAATGAATTGAGCTTCCTCCCTCCAGAATCACAAAATCATATGACAGACACCCATAGTGTTACGAAGATAACGCTGACACCTGTGATTCGTTATTGCGACCACGGTGTGATAGATATCACGGTGCCGCAGAGATAATGCTGACACCTGTGATTCGTTATTACAATCACGATATCACGGTGCCTCAGAGATAATGCCGATATATGTGATTCGTTACGATAACGAAAAAACGCAGCTCAATAGGAGGAATTGGATTTAGACAAGCTGTATCGTTCCCGCAGCGAGTTTCAGACATCGCTCAAATGCCACCTCTACATCAAAAGAGAGCATCACGTCAGTATCAGAAGAGACCATATATACACAGTTGGACAGACAGGGAACTCAATCTACTTTCACACTTCCGGCAGATTCATCGTTGGAGTGCCCAACAAATTCGAAACTCATTTTTGCAATCGCTATCTTGCGATGCTGTCCGCAGAGCCTATTCCCGTCTATCTGCTGAAGAACGCAAAAATCGAGCGTCAATTGTCTCAAAGCGCCACAGGGCTTCTAACACTAACTTAACGTGCTCCGCCCTTGGACCTTGTCGTCTTTATACTCCTATACCCGTCTCACGTCCAATAATTTTATCTTGGGATACTACTGAAACCCCCATTATATCCTCGTCGAGCTCCGAGGACGTAGCAGTGATATCCGATTACTGCAGTGAAAAGCGGTACAACCTTCGGCCAAACAGACCCAAAAGGCTTCGGGAAATAGAGTCGCGATATCTAGTGAACCGTCTTGATTTTCCTCACTTCTTCAGATCATACAAGAACTATTTGAAGTTGCGTGGGGTGCCAGATAGAGACTACGCTCCTCCATCCCACTCGCCGACACCAGACTCCTCTGACCACAGCCCTTCTGTCGTCTCGAGCGTACCTAGTGTTGTATCCAGCCTGGAACTATTTGGCCTAGAAGCACGTTCTGTCAGCTCATCAGACCGTGACCCCTCTGTCTCTCCTAGTTCGCCCAGACACGTCCCAAGTCCAGAATACTTTAGCTCAGAGGAACATCCACCTGCACCATGACTGACATCACGAAATTCGAGCAATTCGGCATAAACACTTTCTATAATGATATCCCAATACTTGATAATGCCAATGACTGGTTTAAGTGGAACCAGAAAGTCAATGGGTTCATTCGAATATCCGCTGTTGCCGACGATGGAATGACTCCGCCGATCGAAGAAGATGAAGCACGACAATGGACTCATCGCCAGAAATTCTACTCTGCGATGATCATGGCAAAGTTGACACATAACGCAGCGCAGAGGATCAATGCTTTCGAGATTTCTCGAGTCCATTTACTCATTAAAGCTGTAAAGGACAACTTCAAACCAGAAGGTACTGGCACATACGTCAATCTCCAGCGGCGGCTTATGTCCCTCACAAGAGAAAAGTGCGGAAGTGCCCAAGCCCTTGGAGCTGAGATCAGGAAGATCCATGCTGAAAAACTCCTTCTCGACCCTGACTGCGTAACATCCGAAATCGAGCGTACCTACTTCTTCATGCACGCGCTAGGATCTGAGTACGAAAGTTTCCGTGATCATATATTTAGGCAGATGGACCTTGTTAATGAAAGGGACGAAAATGGAAACATCACCAAAGCGGCACCAACATTCGACTACATTGAAAACAAGGCAATCGAGGAAGAGCATAGAAAGGGGCAGCTGCGCAAACAACCAACAGAAGTGCAGGCACTTCCTGCTCTCGCTATAATCCGAGGACCAGGTGACAAGAAAGTCATACCGTCATCCGACGGAACGACATGTCGAATCGAGATCGATAACGTTCCATGTTGCTCATTCTGCCGGAAACCTTATCACATAGACTCTGAATGCTTCAGCAAGAATCCAAGACTGAAGGATCGGAAGAAAGAAGGAAAGGGCCAAAGATCAAAGACAGGCAACTCAAACACAGGCACACGCCAGCCGTTGAAGAGGCGGCCCTCCACGGATGACGAAGATGATGATGCGGGTGGCCCAAGGGATCCAAAGAAGCCCACCTTCATGGCGACTAAGGCCTCCGGAGAAGATGTCAATAAAGCATTCGGAAAGGACGTTGAAGGCAACCTTATCCTGTTCGACTATATTCCCTCAATGATGGCTACAAAAACCCTGTCGATCCGTGACGCGTGAATTGTTGATAGTGGATGTGCTCAGCACGTTTGCAATAACGCCGCGAGATTTGTAAAGATGGACAAGTACTATGGACCCCCACTGAAGAGCGTCGATACCTCAACGACTCCCTCGGGAGTAGGAACGGTAAATATCCTGTGCAATGTACGAGGCAGAAGGAAATGGCTTGTGCTTGATAATGTCCTTTACGTTCCATCTGCACACGCAAACCTCATATCGGTGCTCCAGCTTCTCAATCGAGGAGCCAAAGTCGAATTCTCAAGCCAAGGGGCTAGTATTCGCAACAAGTCAAACGGAAAGAACCTATACACTGCCAGCCAATATCATGGAGTCTACGCGCTCAATCTATGGACGAACCTTACCTTTCCCTCCTACCATGTCAGTCCGCAAATGACTCTTTGGCATAACCGGCTAGCTCACATGAGCGATGCGAACCTACAACGGCTTAAGAAGCAGGCCCACGGCATCCGGGACATGGACCCACGTCAGCCATGCAACCCTTGCCTCCAGGGACGAATGATTGAAAAGCCCCACAACCGGTCAGGACGGAGCAGAAGAGGGGAATATGCAATGGAACTCCTCCATATTGATGTTGCAGGGCCATTTGATGAGGGCCTGGATGGTAGTCGTTACTGGCTGACAATCGTCGATGATTTCACGGGGTGGATCGAGATAATTCCTATACCACGACGACAAGAATTTGTGATAGAATCACTACGGTTCTTTCTTGATCATAACGAACGCCCTGAACGCAAATGTAGACGAATACGCCTCGACCGGATCCCTGAGCAAGTGGGAGAAGAGATGAAGTTCACACTATTCTCACGGGCAATCCAAGCCGAGGTCACAGGGATTGATCAACACCAGCAGAATGGAGTTGCTGAAAGAGCCCACAAGACAATTTATGACCGGGTTGGGCCTACGCTAGTGCATGCGAAGCTACCACCCAAATTCTGGCCAGAAATTGCTCGAACCGCAGCTTTTCTCTCCAACCGGTCACCGTCATCAAGGCACAACATGACTCCGTATCAAGCATGGTACGGTGACAAACCGGACCTATCACGGCTCAGAGTGATCGGATCCAAAGGGGAATACTTGATACCACCCAAGCAGAGGAAGAAGCTCACAGAGCCAAGAACAAGTCCATGCATTCTACTAGGCTATGAGGGAAACACCAACTGCCGTATCCTGCTGGAAGACGGACGAATCGTTGGGACCCCAAATGCTGAATTTCATGAAGTCCTTACAGCTCCTTCCACACAGACGAGAGAAGATGTGGTAGCCAGACGAGACGGCTTACCTGCGGTAACGGCTGCTGCCGCAGGGGGAGTGAGGCGGTGGGACTAATAAACCAACCGTCGGTAGGCATACGGCAAGCATCCGTGCCCGCCTCGGGGCGCCAATTGTCGATGGCACCACCAGAGCGGGCCCTACCTAAGTCGAGGAAAGATATCTCGCACCTACTGCCTCGATCGAGTAACGATAACTCGCGAGTGCTAACCCAGTCGAGTGACGAAGACTCGCAGCCACCTGTTGCTGTACAGGGAGATAGGACCTTGTCGCCCACACGGAGTGATGATACCTTTGGACCATTTGCAGATGATTTACAAGACATCGTCCAAAGGAATGACTCACCACCCGGCGGCGACCAGCAACAAGACGACGCTCTACAAGGTCTAGTCTCAGGAGAATGGGAACGATATCCAGAACTCCAAATTGACCGCCCAGTTCATGAAGTGCGACAAGAGGCACTGGAACACCACCCTGAACTCAAAATTCGTGCTCCGCAGGTCACATTAGACACCTTTAGTGACAGCGAAGAAGAGCTTGCGTTAATGAATATACCTGAAGAGAATGTCATCCCAACATTCTTAACAGTGGCTGCAAAGGAAACAGAACCTTTTGAGCCAAAGACTCTGCATCAAGCGAAGAACGATGCAAGCTGGCTTGAGTGGGAAAGAGCAATGCTTGAAGAAGTAAACTCGCTCAATCAAAATAAAACGTGGGAGCTCGTTGACCCTCCCAAAGATCGGCGGATTCTTAGCGGAAAATGGGTCTTCAAACTGAAACGAGGACCGCATGGCGAAGTCATCCGCCACAAGAGCAGATGGGTTGTAAGAGGCTTCACACAAGAAGAGGGCATCGACTATGACGAAACCTTTGCCTCAGTGGTCAAGCCAATGAGCTACAAAGCCCTTTTCGCAATCGCGGCGGCCCTAGACCTAGAGATCGAGCAAATGGACGTCAAAACGGCATTCCTGTACGGGTACATAGACCACGAGATCTACGTTGAACAGCCTCACCACATGACCGACGGCACATCAAAGGTCTGCAAACTCCGAAAAGCACTTTATGGCCTAAAACAAGCTCCTCGGATCTGGTACCAGACCCTTACAAATTTCCTACGGAATCTCGGCTTCGAACCAATCAGTGCTGATCTTGGGATCTTCGTCCGGAGCAATATGTACATCGCGGTGTACGTCGATGATCTCCTGATCGTGGGACCAAGCATTGCGGAAATCAAGAAGATCAAGCGAAGCCTTAGAAACCGTTTTCAGATGACAGATCTGGGACCGTGCAGCTACTATCTCGGGGTTTCCGTCCAGCGCGACCGTCAAAACAGGATATTGTACCTAAGTCAAGAAGCGTATATTGACAAGGTCGCTCATCAGTTCGGAATCAGCAACAGCGCTCCCGTCAGCACGCCGATAGAAACTTCACCACTTCCAGAAAATAGTCCGGGATACAGCTCTCCAGTAGACCAAAGAACCATATACCAACGCATTGTCGGATCTCTGATGTACATTATGCTTGGAACTAGGGGGGACGTCGCGTATGCTGTCTCCATGGCGAGCAGGTACCTAGCAAATCCCGGACCGTAACACATGAAATTGGCTCGACGTATCCTGCGGTATCTCAACGGCACAAAAGGCCTCAGACTTACATACAAGGGTCATCCCCAGATGCTGAAAGGCTTTACGGACGCCGACTGGGGCGGATGTCGCGACACCAGACGCTTAACCGCCGGATATCTCTTTAATATCGGGAGTGGAGCAATCAGTTGGCAATCAAAGCGCCAAAGCGTCGTTGCCCTCTCGACCTGTGAAGCTGAATTTCTAGGCCAGACACAAGCAACAAAAGAAGCAATCTGGCTGAGAAGGCTTCTTAATGAGTTAAGCATGAGCCAAGGAAAAGCCGCAATGATAATTTGTGGTGACAACCAAGGAGCTATCGCTCTGTCCTCGAACCCGCAATACCATTCCCGCACGAAGCACATGGAAATCCAACGCAAGTGGCAAGGAGAGGTCCAGAACCTTGGAACAGTGGAACTGAAATACATCCCAACAACAGAGCAAATTGCCGATGGGTTCACAAAGCCTCTTGCGCGAGAACGATTTGAATGGTTTCGGAGAGGGCTTGGCATTGAGTGACACCTCCCGGTTTATGGATCTCGGGCAGAAACTAAGCCACACGGGCATCCTTTCCTTCTTTTCCATTTTAAAGGTTTTTAAAGGTTTTAACGGGGCCCTTCACAACCGTGATGGATGGTCACTGGCACCCCTAATGGTGGTTGCCATCGAGTGGGAGTGTTGAGTATCACTGTGGCTGAACCTTATGGCAGGGATTGAGAACAGATATATATGAGACATCCCGCCCCTGTAAAGATAACTCTTCAAGTCAACTAAAAAAAATTAATCTTACTATCACTTATCTTAACAAAAAGAACCAGAAATGGAAAAACCCCATCTTAAATGACTGGCTCCCACCACGCCACCAGGACACGTACTCAGCAGAAGTCTACCCCCGCGATGTACAAATGGGAATTCTATCCCGCGCAAATAACCGTGTATGCTGGTCAGAAGAAGACGAATGCAGTAAAGTATAACCGGGCAAACGACGGGCATTTCTGACGATCCCCTATTTCCACTCCATTTTACCCGGGCAATTACCCAAGGCGAGGATGATCAATGGTATTCGGATATCTGCAATGACTTACTATCCACGCCATTAGGAGGACTTGGCCGGTCGACGATGGGAATATACCGCTGAGGTCATTTGTTTCGTGTCCCTGCCAGTGGCTGCCACTTGACCAGCAGGCTGACACATTCTGTTATCGACGCAGTCGCTTCGGATCGAAAGCCCAAGACATACCCGGGCATCTGACCGCGCTTATTGCAAGGGATCTCTCGCAGCGATTACCCTACTCATCAACTAGGCGTCTCTATAATTTTGAGGGGGAACATTATTAGATTCCCGTGGTGGAAAGCCCGCGGAGTCGGTAAGGGGAGGTGTCCAGTCACCGGAAAAGGGCGAGGCAGATCTTAGAGCAACTAGGAGTAGTAAAAAATGCTAACAGCATTTCTTAAAACGAGGAGGCATTGAGCCCTTTGGTAAATTCTTACGAGCACCACAGCTCATTCTGGTATATAGAGCTCAACATCAACCATTTGCCATCCAGTCTCTGCTCCTCGTATCCCGACAGTTCACCTCTTTCCCTCCCTTCAAAGCCAATACCCTTCAAAGCCAATACAGTCAACGTCCATATTCATTCGCAAACTTTACCCCAATTGACTGGCCCGGATAGCCCGATAGAACGATGTCTCAGCCTATTGTCCATCGTCCGAAGACACCGACCCTCCAGCCGAATACTCTTCAAGCACTTCATCCCAGCGTTTTACCTGAATATGCCGACGCACCGTCCGATTCATCAGCCTCGACATCGGAGTGCCCGTGCTGTGCGCCGTCCCCATTGCCAGACCTAGAGGCTCTCGGCGAAGCTATTCCAGAGTGCACACTTGACACCTTGGGCCTCGCGTCAACACCGGAAGGCCAGTTCCAGGCTTCTGTGAGTTTTCAACCGACTACTGAATTCAGTACCCAAGCTGTCGCAACTGTCCCTCACAACAAACAGGCCAAGGGCCACTGGTTGCTGGTCAACTTACTCTGCCATCGGGCTTTCGATAAATATCAAGATCGTACTAGGATCCGCAATTTCAGCATGTTCTAAATATTATGGAACATTTGGCCCTAGCGACTTCCTAACGGCCGTCTCGCGAAAGACTATCCGGGATGGACTGACCTGGCTCGAGGCCACGGTCACTCGAGGCGGCATACCGGTAGCCACCGCAACTGCTTTGTACGATAAGATTCACTCAGATACTATGGATGACGCGCAGGTTCAGGAAGCCAGCCAACGCTGAGCTATTAGGTACCTGATAGGGTTTGTAATTTACTTGTTGTAAAAAAGAAAAATAGTGGATTTCACCTTTGGATGGCTAGCTTCTAGGCAGACTTGACGAATGCACATGGAATAGATAGATAGTGAATGCTAAAAATGATTCAACCTCAACCAATCAATACCGTTCACATATAACACAACAAAAATTCTCCCTATCTTTTAGTGCGTAGGAGCCTTTTTATATGACTATTAATAAAAAGCCATACTTATTATTATATTATGTGGGTGAAGCTTGATTTGACATAACAGCAAGAGTCTTTATACTATCCTAGGAGCTACAAGTATTAAGTAGATGGCGCTTTACAATAATTGAATCAACTAATCATCTGCCAAACACCAGGTATACCAGGCACATCAGGCTTCAAAAAGAGCAACACAAATATAGGTAGTTTCTGGCTTTTTAGATAAAGGCCGCACTTGTGTTATGCAAGGCGAGCGAATTATGCTTATTGAGTATAATACCGAACAAACAACTGCTTTGTCTCTGCCCATGGGCCTGAAAGGACTATATTATGCGGGGATCTTCTATTGTGCGTTATGGCGTATCTATCAGCTCCAGTTTTTAATAACTCGGTAACTGCCTCCCAAGATCCTCTTTCAATCAGTCTGTGTAATGCTGTGTAACCCGAATGGTCTCGAAAATTGACATCCGCCCCATTCGCAATAAGCAAGGAACATAGCTCTTGCCCCTGGTATCCAAAACAGTCCTGCCTGATATAATGCAGAGGTAGCCGCCCCTGGCTGTCTCTTAGGTTTACTAGAGCCCTATACTCAAGTAGTATAATAATCAATCTAATATATCCCCTTCGCACAGCAAGAGAAATAGGTGTTAACCCTTCCAGATTCTGAAAGTTAACATAGCTCCCCAGGGATAGAAGGGTCTGGACGTATTTTTCTCTGTTTTGCCGCTCGATCCCCATCTGCCTCCTGCTTTGGATGGTGTTAAAAATCAGTGTTTCCTTCATTATCCTTTTAACACCATTCACATTAACCCCTTCGCTGACGAGCCAGTTCAACATATCTAGACTATAGCTCAATAACAACACGGCTAGATGTAGTGCTGTTTGACCCTCAGTATCTCTCGTCATCAGGTTAGAACCGCTCTCAAGGAGTGTCTGCGCTTGTTTGATGGCCCCCTTTAAGATTGCGAATAATAGAGGGGACTTCTGCTCAGAGTTCACAATATTAACATGGGCTCTGTGGCTAATAAGGGCCCGGATAATGGCTGTGTTATCCTTCCTGCAGCTTCGCGGCTTTGTCGCAGTATAGAAAAGAGCAATCGGCCTTTCTCTATACTGGTGCGTTCCTCTGAAATTCGGATCAGCACCATAATGTAGCAATACGCGCACCGCGCGTACGCACGAATTGGCCGTTGCTACCTGGAGTAGTATCAGTCCGAAGTCATTCCGAGAATCCACTGGCACACCAGCCTTTATTAACATTCAAGTTATTACCGGAGCTACGTTATTCGAAGCAGCGATATATAAGAGCGTGTTTCTGTCCCTTAAGGTATTAGGGTTAGCCCCATGCTCCAAAAACAATACTACTTTAGATTCCTGGTTAGTCCGGATTGCCTCCGTCAGCGGAGAACACTTCTCAAACACCAAAGCATTTAGCCTAGCACCAGATTCCAGGAGAGCTTTGGTGATTACCATGTCGGTCCGGCTACTGGTCGCCACAGACAATAGTCTTCGGGCGTGCAGATCAGCAGCGTCTGGCAGTACTCCATTCCCCAGGAGAAGGCGCATAACATGGGTATGCTTATATAATACAGCTTTTATAAGTACTGTCGACTAAACCTCATTAGGCAATTAGATATTAATATTAGCGCCTGCATCCAGCATTCTGCTTATCCCACGGTCGCACCCCTAAACTGTGTACCATATAAGGGCTGAGCCTCCGTTAAATATGATATTTCTTCGATACAGATTATTAATGAGAATACTAAAGAGGTTTTTGTTATCTCTTAAGAGGCTGTAAAGGTCCTTTATTAACGCCAGTTGGTCCGCAATATACGATATAATCTCAGGCGGAAGAGCGCGAAAGGGCATTATGTAGGACTCTCCTGTATGTCCGTAATTGGTAAGCCCACAGTGGATTCCATCGTACAATAAGAACAAGGTGCTTACTCTCACCTCGTTCCCGCTCTGTAGCCCATAAATACTAAAGTAGCACCCAAAACGTGCCGAGATAACCGCCTGGCAGTTATATATTTGGTTGAGACCTTACTTGATAGCACTAGCCTTTCATAGCACTAGGCTTTCATAGGCATATGTATCCTTTTCACTGATGTGCTGAGTGTATAAAACAAGATTAGGTCTTCCTGTTTGCAGATCGAGGGGTTACAGGACTTAAATACTACCCCAAGGGACTTCTTAACACTCCCTTTCCTATCAGAGCTTCCCACTGGTGGATTCGGCGATAAATTAGGAACCTTATCTAATGTTAGAGACTATGACACATGGGCATGTTGCGCCTTTTGCACGCTCTTTTGACATGGGACACAGATCATTATGACTGGGCATTTTATGTGGACATTTACTTGATGTGCTATATAGGAATAGGAATGGCTTCGCAATAGGAATGATACACGCTGCAATCATTTTTGGATTTGCTCATTATATCAGTTGCCCTACAGGACCCCGCGGCCGGTATTAATAGACAGTCCTGAAGTTGGTCGCCCCAATATACTTTCTAGTTTATAGGCTTATAAGATATTCGGGCAATGCTTATATTGCCAGAGAACAGTGTCCAGACAGATAAAAAGACCCAACCAGACGAGCCCATGATGTAAAACATTAGCTTAGAGAGGAATTGCCCGATAGTGGCTCCCTATTGTTATATAGTTATAACCGAAATCACAAGCAACATTACTACCACCAAAGCACGTTCATGAGGATTGTTTCACTTGGTTCACTGGGCATCTGCTAGCCACACCCTATGCTTATTATTTATAATAGCACGCTGCCCTGCAATAACAACCCACTCGATTACCATATTACTTTGGCTTGTGGGTCGATGATTACACTAGACACTACGCGAATTCGACTCCAAGCTGCTAAACATGCTCGGAAACAGTCTGTTCCAAAGATCTGAAAGACAAGCGACAGCAATAGGAATAGCAGAAGTAAGGGAGCTAATTCTAGGAGCACTGTCCGCACATTTTTTAGTATCTAACCACTGTGGTAATTAACATATCCCAGGGGTTGTTATTACTCCTGTATTTCAAGCCTGAAGTGAAGCTGGCCATCTACTCTCGCGTTTAGGAAGCCGCTTAGGAACTATATAACTACTACGGCAAGCTCAGGGGCATAATCCCGTGGGGAATATAAATAAAAAGAGCAATAGAATATGCCAAGTATAAGAATACCTCCATCCCGGGTATGATAAATCCTCCATAATCACAGATTATTGAGGAGTATCCATCCAGAACTTGCATGCTACAGAAAAGGCGCTATATACTGTGTAGCAGAATAAATAAGACTGGGAATAGCCAATCCATATATACTTCTTATTAAATAAGGCTCTAGATTCCTCGTGCCTTCTTATTCCAGGCCTAAATACCTGCGTGCGTAACGCATGTCCGCATCCGAGATTCGTTTTCTTCGCTATAGATATAACATTATATCCTTTATTATAGCAGATGCTATTCTTACCCGCCACACCCGCCGCCTTATGAACTGTTTGACCTTATCTATAACATCCGACTCGAGATAGGGAAAGACACCGATGAGCTGGTTGAGTGTGACGGGTCTTTCATATAACAGCCCAGGCTAGAGTAACCGCCACCATCGTTGTTCTATTCATATTGCCGCACTCCAAAGCCGGTCGGCCGTAGTGTAAGGGTATTGTCCGGCCAGGTCCTAGACATCTTATAATGGACGGAGTCGGCGACTGAGACTCTTATACTGTGGACTCAATACACCTAAGAGCCCTGGCAGTATATCCGGCATAACAATATAACAAAGTGTGTGATACGATCCGGAGGCAGCCGGCTTTGAGTACTTTATTATAAGCTGATTATGCTCTACCGCCCACTAGGCTAGTGCCATTTGTATCGGACGGAGATCAGGCACCACACCCTGCAGCCAGTCCACGGTGAAAGGCCCATATATCTGGAGTCGTGCAAAGGTTACCTCTTCGTATGTAAGGCCCCATATTTGTTCGACCAGCGTGGCTAATGTAAAGGAGGGATCCTGAAAGGTCTGAGCTTCGTTAATCTATAGCTGTGCACACTTGAGCTGTGCTGGGGATAAGCTTAACAGCACTATTCAGATATAATCCAGGACGAGTGGAGGACGTAGGCTGGCTGATAATTCTGGTGGGGTTTACGGAAAAGCTTTTATTGTTATGCGTAAAAGTCAGTCCAACAAACTCTAATACAGCATCAAGGGGAGAACATTACTTAATTTAAAGCCCTCAGCCGGCTATAGTACGGGTAGCTATAAGAAAAAAAGAAGTTCTAATCTTTGGTCTATATGGCTAGTACCTTAGCTATAAGGAAAGTATTCTAATATCAGGATTATTCACTGTAAAGGGCATAAAAAAGCAGGCTTTTCCAAAGACTATTTTTTCATAGACCAAGAATACAAAGATTCTTGCCTGACTTCCTTGCGCGTGTAACCGGGCCCCTGGCCAAGTATACATAATCACAGTAACAGTTGACTGTTAAATATCCAATAGTAGAGGTAGTATCACTAGAACAAGGGTCGAGGCTATCCCCATTAGAATATAAATTAAATATCTCTCTGTAAGAGCTTATACTAAATCGGCATCCTTGGCCATCCCATTTAGGGCTTTAGATTGGTAATAAATGTTCTGTTAGATCCTTTAAATCTGCTGTCAAGCAGCGCTCAGCTATTCGGGCCCAATAGTGGATTCGCCTCTGCTGCCCGGTCGTGGTTCTCAGCTTCCGCATTCCCGGCTGAAAGTGTGCGCAGTAGTTCCAATCTCTGGTACCAGTTATTTCCCCCATGAAGGAATCCTCAAGACTTGTCTCGCTAGCATAATGCTCCCTAATCACGGTATATCTTGACTTTTTTCTGCCGTTTATTGCCTGTAAGATGTCGTGTCGGATTTTTCAGTCACTATGTGGTCCATTGTTTAACCGCGAAAGTCATTAAAATTCTAAACCACAATTGTCCTCTCCCTAGCGCAGTGAGATTTTTACCTTAATATAGTTGTTAATTACTGGACAATGAAGATTAATCGCACTCCCCCTCTGTAAAATACATATACTAACTACTATAGGTAACTATCCTATTAACGAACAAATTGTAAACTGCTGGTGGAAACACGTGTTGGTTGTGGTAGTATTTGTTTACGAGAGCCTGAATTTGCCTATATTCTTCTAATCTTAATCGCTCCAGCTAAAGCAGGCCATGGGGTATCTTAATAGGAAGATGGGTCATAGACCTAAAGAAATCAAGATTTGCGCCGTGAATTAACCGGCAGGGCTTTAACCTGTTATTTTAATAGCTAATCTTATATGTGACTTTAGCGTCCAAGGACTTTCAAAGATAGCACTGGCGGTAACATGATGTCAGTAGCATATAGAGGCCCATAATCCGCCGGTGTTTTGTGCACAGCCGGTTAGGATTATTCCCGCTAAATCTATTAATATAGAATCTCTTTTCAGGCAGCCGGAAACTTATAATATCACGGTCAGTTGGGGCAGGAATATAAGGATACGATCAATAAGTGTAGATCCGGCCATTTGGCATCTTTAGTATGGTCCAGCTGCGGATTGCGTATAGCCGCCAGAAATTATTGTGGCAACAGAGAAGATTATTATGCTACTTGCAGATTTATTCTTGCTTCACACGATTCTGTGAAGACACTATTTATATATACCGCAGAATTATCGCAGGGTAGAAACGAGTGCATGAGAGTCCGGGCTATATAAATTCATAGTATTGTGGTTATGTGGGGGCGGCTATCAGCCCGACAGTAATGGCTGTCTCATGTCTAGGCATTTCGAAGATTTAGATGCATGCGGGTTAAATCAAAAGCTTTACCATGCAATCAGGGAAAGAACAAGGTCTAGTGGGCTCTCCCCAATTTTGCCCTTTCAGGAGGATATTGAGGCCGGATGGCTGGCGGTCATTTGTACCAGAACAACTGATTGAATTCGCTTGTCGACTCTGACACTAATAAGACTGCTACGCATGCCACCCATTCTCAACCGGTGCCGGAGTATAGAAAGCAACAGATTTACCCCCCAATTGTGCTGGATTTAAATCGTGGACGCTAATAAAATACGATCACCAACAAACTCCTTGCCGTAGAGTCGTCGGTGTCGGTCACCCCAACCCTAGCAACAATTCTCTCCTCCCCCTTGCTCCCGGAACCCCCCGCTTCAGCGCCCGATGTAAACATATTGTGTCCCTTAGACCTTCATACACGGCATATGCACGTTATCCGACGTCTCGTCCGATGCCACTTTCCAATAGGTGCAGTTGCTGGCTCTGCAATCCGGGAATTTGCAAATCCCAAAAACATCCGGCGCTCCGAGGGCAGGGCCCCGACGACTAGCTTTCATGGACAAATAGTAGTGATATTCCTCCATCGGAATATTGTAGCAGTGGTAACCCTCCGCTCGGTCAAAGATCCATTCGTAGTGTAGATGCGGGCCATTGCGTCGAGGGCAGCTTGGATCGTTCACGTCAAGGATGCCGGCATATTGGGCGGTAGAAAGGCAGGCGAGGAGCAGTATGAGCATAGAAATAACGAATAATATCATGCTGGATTATGCGGAGATGAGCAGGAATTTTGGTGGTCCAGGTACATATGTGGGCACGCTACGATGTTATATATCCGCATATTCGTACCCCCTACACATTAAACCCATTTGACAACTACCCAGGCAATACAGGCTCAGGTGCCTTGCCTATTTCATCCCGTCGTTTGTGACACACCCTAAGAGCTTGCTACAGGGTTCACCTGCATATCCTCATTTAACCCCCTACCAGGCACCGTGTGACCCAGCCTTGGCTTTCGGGATCCGCCTGAGGATAGCCTCCCCTATCTATCGTGTGCCGTTACACTTATCAATTTGACTCACAAACTATCCAACACGTTAATAGATCCTAGACTATTATCCTAGCTCAAAACATATGTCGCCCAAAGCTCAGCGTCCAGTCCCGTTTGCCGGTCGAACACGGTATATAGAGATGCTTTTAGAAGTGGATTACATGTCTTGGACATATAACGCTATAGCCAGCATAGCACATTAGACCTTGCTCGCCGGGTATCTCATAGCCCCTGAGACATTCACGGCTCTATAGAAGTCTGGTTAGGTCCAGGACGCTCTGGCAAAGGACCAAGTCAAACAGGCAGTACCAAATATCATCTAAAATCTCCTACTTTTAGTAATTACCTGTATCCTGTTTGTTGTGTCTACAGCAGCACTAGGGTGGCTCTACTAGGAATAGCGTAATAATTACATCTAGCTCGCTAATCAACTCTTCATGTAAGTAGCCTGTTCCTTTCCCACTTTGCGTGAAGCGACAAGACTGACCCGAGCCTAGGCCCATTATTATAAACGCAGCTGCCGGGCTTGCCACCACTATTATTAATATCTACATCGCACGGGATGGCGATTGGTCTATTATAGCCTTAATTACCACTATTATAACCAGAGTCACGCTGGTAACATCCTTCTCGCTAACCATAGTATTCAAGTTTGTCAAACTCAAAGAGGTACAAGAAGCCCATATGCGTGAAGTATATCTCAGTAGTCCGGAAAGAAATGCCTGAATCATTAGTCTCAATACGTCTACCAGCAAACATACATACCAAGTCTGTCCATTTCCAAAACTCTAGATTCCTATTTTATATAGCACATATCCCGTAACTACTTTGGTTACCACAGCGGGGCATGTAATATCAAGTTCGTGGTGTGAATGCTTCAAATTAGTAAGCTATAAATAGAAGGCCTATGCATATGGCACACTGCATTCTCTCGGGTGACCGTGCTCGATGGAATATTGAAGATGAGGGAAATAGGACCGGTGTTTTTTTTTCGCGAAACAAAGCTGACTCTGGCAATGCTCGATGGATGGTTTCCGGATTGTGGCGGTGGAGGACTGAAAAGCTCCTAGCGCTGCCGGGATTGAATTGATCGCAATTGTTCGTAAGTATGTCCCTGAGTACTGGGGTCTGGGAGAGGTTAATACGAATCCTTGGGCTAGCGAGAGACTAGTGCTGGAATTGGGAGTAAATCTGATGTGGGCTTTGCCTTATACCTACCACGCTGGTACATCTACATGCGGCGACTGACCCCCCTACATTGAAAATTGTCCTTTGTGTCCTGCCAGGGAGCCAAATTGATTGGTTCTGTGGGCTTGGTAACGCATGATGGAAACAAGAAAACCGGCAGATTGACGGCTAAATATAAGAAACGTAAGTTTAAGGAATAGCTAGCACTTCTCCTCTCTGGGCACAACTCAAATATATAAAAAAATGACTCGCAATGATATGGTGCGTCGGATACTTTGTCTGCCCACTGAGGATCACTCGATGATAGCACAGCACTCTCCCCGAACTAAGCTCCAAATTTAGTGGCGATGTGGATCAAGCCGTCGCCAACGAACATCAACGCGCCCCAATAGCATAATCATCGCCTAGAGCCACCACATATGGAGAACTGTTGGTTCCTGAGGTGCTATTAGCTATATAACCAAAGGTATAATGGCTTCCGAAGCGGCAGGCCTTAGACAGCTTCGTGGCAGCTTTGATGAGATCTCCACACATGGTTCGGATAGGATAGTCTAACTGTGGATTTTCGTCAGCCGTGATCTCCTGTCCATCTCAGGCAATTTAAGCGTACTTTATTACAGAAGAAAATGGAAGAATGTCCCAGATGGGATGGGCGAGCGCAGCCTCCTAGTTGCACCACACATATAGTGTCCGCAACATCGTGAAGATAGTCGATGTTTTTTGCTGCCTCGTCCAGGCGAGCTATGCCGTACTCCGGGAAGCATTGTGGCTTAATTACTTTATCCTACTGTCTCGTCAGTTCTGCGGTCACTGGTCCTTTTCATAGCTTACCATTGCTCGAGCGTAAAGATCTCTGCCGTAACAGTGATTTGCGATAGGGAACCAAGTTATATTCAGTACCTATATACTTCCTGTCAGGGGTTTCAGGTCGTATCCATCTATATTGTCCAACTTACTTGATGGCCAGTAATAGAATCAAATGCGACTGAGGTTCCATCGCCTCCAAGCACCTAGTTCTCTCTGTTAATGAGCGCGATACTGTAATACATTGACCATGTCAAAGAAGTGTGTGGTAGGAGACGGTCCGTTGCGGATGTAAAATCCAAATACATCTCATGGTGTGACTTACTGCTCCCAGTCCGGCGGAAATGAGGGAACCAATGATTATGTATGTCTTTATCGCTCGTTGGTGTTCATAATCTGTGAGACTCCCGGACAGCGCTGGAATACTGGTATTTAAGTCACCAATGTTGTCCTGCTACAGTGGGATCAAAGCGTTTTCGTCTACGAGTGAAGCCTGGTAAAATGTGCGCCACCAGATTAATGATGCTTGATGGTGCAGCTATAATAGACTAAGGAACCCCCGTAGTGGCCAATTGGTTGATCTGTCACATAATTCGATGGCTGTGTCGGATATCGAGGTCATCAAGTTTATTTAGCCTTTGAATCGGTGCAGTATTTTACACTACAGTGCGGTTGACTAGAGTGTTGTGAAATATGATGGCACCTGTTTTCAGAGAGGTTATATAGAAGCGACAAGGAAGTTAGGTTGCACATACATAAACGCTCCTTAATTTAATTCAATTCGTACCATTCAAATTCCCACATTAACCGAATTTCACACCAATAAGTCGCTAGTAACAGACTGCTGGGTCTTTTCCACAACACGTGACCAGCAAGGAATCTATACCATTATCCGGAAGCGGCTTGGGGAGATGCGTGAGAGGCTGCGGACTACTGAGCCTAATCTCAAGAAAGGCACTTATGCAAAGAGTTCCAGGACAAACAGAGCAGACTGGAGGGGTAATAGTGGTGCGTCGAAGAACGCCTCTGCTTCCTTCACACTGTCGCAGCAGTAGCAGATGTGCTATCACAAGAGGAAGCTCTTTGGTGGGTATCTTACCTTTCTGCTGAGCCCATCCAACTGTTGCCAGTCGGCAGTCCCGCAGTGTCGCCCGACGCGTCCATTTGTCTACAGGCCTGACCAGAAAGGTCGATAGCTGCAGGTCCTATCTCGTGGATGAAACTCATATACACGCTCTAGCGAAATCTGCTTCCGCTTCAAACACTTTTCATTTCTTTAATGGCCCCACTGCGGGAACACTAGGCAGAGTCGGGCCTGTACTAGTAATTTTGGTTCTGTCATGAGATAACATTACATTACACTACAAGATTAGGAGCTGTAATGAACAGTAGGGGCATGACAGACTGAAGAACTATTGAAGGGTGCTGATGTTTTTGAGTATTTTTGAAGACTATAGCCACAGTAATTTTTATTATTTTCTCAATGCTGGTCGGTACATAACTTCCGCCTCTTCATGCTTGCCCTGGCTGGAAAGGACTGAACCAAGGTTGCCAACGTTGAAAAGCGTGTCTGGATGCTTGGGCCCCAGCAGTCAGCGATCTCGGCTATCTGAGAGGTGGTCAGCGGCGGGCTGCTGATTAGCGCATCGCGGATGAGGTTGAATTGTGAGATGGTGAGTCTAGGCCATGTTCTGCAGCGGCATTAAACACAATGATATACGAGAGTTTACAGATGTTCAACACTTAGAGATTGGGCGGCTTGGTCTAGCAAGATCCAGCTCGTCTCACGGAATTTATACGGGCCGAGAAAGGTCAATTGGCGGTAATTGCCGCGGCCAAGCCTCGCTGGCTGACGTTGTCACGGACTCACGGCCTGTTCTCGAGGCAGGTTAAAACAAATAGCACAGAGCTGTCTTGATGATCGCAAACAATGAATCATAGGATATCGACTATTGAAAATGAGAATGGTTATCTTTTGTCACAAATTATTGTTTCACTTTACGATCTCCGAAGTCAGCTCAAAACTTTTAGCACGAATCAGGTCCCCGGTCGCAAGTGAACTCGGCTCAGAGGAGCGAAATCATAGGACTTGGACATCAAGCACCCCATCACAGCCTCAAGGCGCCCATCAAGGCAAAAAAATTTTTGATGCACGAATCAACCCTGGGCACAACAGGTTGGCGCGTAAGATTCCGGATGATTGGGTGAGGGAGAGATGCAATCCCAGCCTCGGGCGAGGCGCCATGGATACCCCGCCTGAGCACCCTCAGCTGAGCTGACAGCCTGAGATGTATTCTCCAGAGAGGATATCAATTATCCCACTTCCTACCCACTTTCCAAGTCGACAATCAAATCTGATCAAGCATACTAAAAAACTAATTTAACTATGCAAGAGGCAACGACTATCCACAGCGGAGATCCGAACCCGCTGGACAGTACCGGACTCTGCCTGCTGTCCCTCGACGGCGGTGGAGTACGCGGGCTTTCGACCCTCTACATCCTCAAAGGCTTGATGGATAGGCTGAACCGGAAACGGCCGCAAGGAACCCCAGCGAAAAAGCCATGCGAGGTATTCGATCTGATCGGAGGGACTAGCACAGGCGGGTGAGTTTGTTGATTCTAACTGTTCCATATATATCTTACTAACAGACACAGACTGATTGCAATCATGCTGGGTCGACTGGAAATGGATGTCAATGAATGCATTACGGCATACGTACAATTGATGAAAAATATATTTAAAAGCCCGTCAAAATGGAGCATTGCTGCAAGCCTGTTTGGCGATATTCGGCCGCAATTTGATGCTAGCAAGCTTGAGGATGCGATCAATGAAGTTATTAGTAACTGTGGAGCCAACCCGACTGATCTCTTCAATGATCAGACTGAGCGGGGCTGCCGGGTGTAAGTATATGACTTCAGAAGTATGAATCATACTGACATTATCAGATTTGTCTGTAGTATCACATAACAAACTAAATCAATCGTGCGCCTTCGCAGCTACCCGGGCCCTAATAACCTAGACGTTCCCGCCACAATCTGCCAGGCGGCCCGTGCCACCTCAGCTGCCACGACCTTTTTTGAACCGGTAGCAATTGGAGCACGCATATTCGCGGACGGCGCACTCGGGGCTAATAATCCGGTTGATGAGGTAGAGGGGGAAGCGTCAAATATCTGGTGTCCAGAAACTGGTGACCTGAAGCCACTAGTGAAATGTTTCATCTCGATTGGCACTGGCAACCCAGGGAAAAAGGCGTTCGAAGATAACCTGCTCAAGTTCATGTCTAAAACCCTCCCAGAGCTTGCTACAGAGACTGAGAAAACTGAGAAGAATTTTATTGCCCGATGGCGTCAACACTACGACAGCAAACGGTACTACCGGTTCAATGTAGAGCAGGGACTGCAGAATGTTGGGCTGGCAGAGTTTCAGGAACAAGGCCTGATTGAAGCAGCGACGGAGGAGTATCTTGATCATCAAGCAGTGATGTTCCAGGTGCGGGATTGTATTCAGAACCTGGAGTCCAAGCAGAGTGTGTACCTAGACAACTTTTCTTAGTCTTTTTGTCTGCTAACAATTTTAAATGGACACAGACGGAACCGATCTCCAGTTTGCTATAGTGATTTAAGTCAGTACTCCATTATCTGATTGATGAAGTTAACTAAAGTTATATAGGAGGACCAAAAGAAGGCTATCCTCCTAGAGCAATGTATGACAGTAGTCTATATCTGATTCTATACAAGGAGTGCTAACTCATGTTCAGGGAGTGGCCGTACCCGGTGGCATGTACCATTTGAACAAAACCCTAATTTCACTGGTCGCAAGGCTCTTTTTGAGAATCTCAAACAGAGATTAGAACAGAAATCGCACAGCACTAAGAAAATGGCAATCATCAGCCTTGGCGGTGTGGGCAAGACACAGCTAGTCCTTGAGCTTGCCCACCAAGTCTGAGAACAGTGTGCAGTGTTTTGGATTCCAGTCAACAGCTTGGTCAACCTTTAAACCAAATACCAGGAGATAGCCCAGAGCCTTTGTTTGCCAGGCTGTGAGAAAAATGGTGCTCATGTCCTGGAGGCAGTACAAAAATACCTCAGTGATGAGAGCATCGGCCGGTGGCTACTAATCTTCGATAATGCAGACAACGTGGATGTGTGGACAGAGCTATTTTTCGCGGAAACAAGAAGTAAGCGGTTGATTGACTATATGCCCCGCAGCAGGCATGGGGCAATTATATGGACCACCCGCGATCGCAAGGTGGCCACGACTGTTGCCCGGGAAAATACTGTGGCTGTGCCGGCACTGGACGAGGCCGGAGCTTCAAAGATGATGCGGAACTATCTGATCAATCCTGACTTGACAACAGCCAGCGAATCTATCTTTTTATGTTTGCTGGGAAAGCTTACTTATCTTCCTCTTGCAATTGTTCAAGCAGCAGCCTATATCAATAACACTGGTATATTACTCGCGGAGTATGAAGTACTCTTTTCCCAACAGGATGACGAGGTGATTGAGTTACTGAGTGAAGAGTTTGAAGATGACAGTAGATATTCGGAAAGTGAGAATGCAGTGGTAAAAACCTGGCTTATATCATTTGAGCAGATACGTCAGCGAAGTTCTCTCGCGTTTGATTATCTGCGACTGATGGCCTGTGTGGATCCTAAGGATATCCCTAAGTCACTACTGCCGCTACCGGAAACATCCTCACGAAAACAACAAATAGACGCGATTGGTATTTTGGACGCATTCTCATTCATCACCAGATATGAGGGTGGATTGGCATTTGATATGCATCGTCTAGTACATCTTGCCACACGGGGGTGGCTCAAAGGAAACGGAGAGCTGTCTGTTTGGCGCACAAAAGCAGTGATACGGCTGAATGAGGTACTATCAGACATTCGCCAAACCAATCGGATGGAATGGCGGGGATATATTGCCTATGCGCAATATGCTATCAGTGGAGAGAGCAATAACAGTAATAATGCAGTTGATCTTGCGCAAAAGTGTGGGGACTGTCTGAACTATGATGGGCGATACCATGAAGCAGAAATAATGTTTCAGAAGGTTTTTGAATGTCTCGAGAAGATACTGGGGCCCGAGCATCCAGCCACACTCGCCAGTGTCAACAGCCTTGGCAATATTCTTTTTTGCCAGGGCAAGTACAAAGAGGCCGAAAACATGTACCGACGAGATTTACAAGGATCTGAAAAGGTGCTTGGACCCGAGCATCCAGATACACTTATCAGTGTCAACAGCCTTAGTAATATCCTTTCTAGCCAGGGCAGGTATGAAGAGGCAGAGGCCATGCACTGACGAACTTTAGAAGGATCAGAGAAGGTACTAGGGCCCGAGCATCCAGAAACACTCACCAGTGTTAACAACCTTGGTTTAGTCCTTTCTCGCCAGGGCAAGTATGAAGAGGCGGAGGCCATGTACCGACGAGCCTTGGAGGTATATGAGAAGGTACTGGGACCCGAGCATCTAGACACACTCACTAGTGTTAGTAACCTTAGATCAGTCCTTAACAGCCAGGGCAAGTATAAAGAGGCGGAGGCTATATACCGATGGGCCTTACGAGACCGAGAGAAGATACTAGGACCCAAGCATCCATCTATACTTACCAGTGTTAACAACCTTGGTAATGTCCTTTCTAGGCAGGGCAAGTATGAAGAGGCTGAGACCATGCACTGACGGGCCTTACGAGACCGAGAGAAGGTGCTAGGACCTGATTATCCAGACATACTTATTAGTGTCAATAACCTTGGTAATGTCCTTGACCGCCAGGGTAAGTATGAAGAGGCGGAGGCTATACACTGACGGGCCTTACGAGACCGAGAGAAGATACTAGGACCCGAGCATCCAGATACACTCACCAGTATTAACAACCTTAGTTCAGTCCTTTCTAGCCAGGGAAAGTATAAAGAGGCTGAAAACATGTACCGACAAGATTTACAAAGATCCGAGAAGGTGCTGGGACCCGAGTATCCAGACACACTTATTAGTGTTAATAACCTTGGTAATGTCCTTGACCGCCAGGGCAAGTATGAAGAGGCGGAGGCTATGCACCGACGGGCCTTACAAGACCGAGAGAAGATGCTAGGACCTGAGCATCCAGACACACTCACTAGTGTTAACAACCTTGGTTTAGTCTTTTCTAGCCAGGGAAAGTACAAAGAGGCTGAAAACATGTACCGACGAGATTTACAAGGATCCGAGAAGGTGCTGGGACCCGAGCATCCAGACACACTCACCAGTGTCAATAGCCTTAGTAATATCCTTTCTAGGCAGGGCAAGTATAAAGAGGCGTATACCATGTACCGACGAGCCTTGGATAGATATCAGAAGGTGCTAGGACCCGAGCATCTATCCACACTCACCAGTGTCAATAATCTTGGTGATGCCCTTTCCGGCCAGGGCAAGTACGAAGAGGCGGAGGCTATAATTCGACAAGCCTTAGATGGATATCAGAAGGTGCTGGGACCCGAGCATCCAGACACACTTACCAGTATCAACAACCTTAGTAATGCCCTTTCTAGGCAGGGCAAATATAAAGAGGCGGAGGCCATGCACCGACGGGCCTTACGAGACCGAGAGAAGGTACTAGGACCCGAGCATCCATCCACACTCACCAGTGTTAATAACCTTAGTTTAGTCCTTTTTAGCCAGGGCAAGTACAAAGAGGCTGAAAACATATACCGACGAGATTTACAAGGATCCGAGAAGGTGCTTGGACCCGAGTATCCAGATACACTTATTAGTGTCAACAGCCTTGGTAATGTCCTTTCTAGGCAGGGCAAATATAGAGAGGCGGAGGCTATGCACCGACGGGCCTTAGATAAATATCAGAAGGTGCTGGGACCCGAGCATCCAGACACACTTACCAGTGTTAACAACCTTGGTTCAGTCCTTTCTCGCCAGGGCAAGTATGAAGAGGCGGAGGCCATGCACCGACGAGCCTTGGAGGTATATAAGAAGGTGCTAGGACCCGAGCATCCAGACACACTCATTAGTGTCAACAATCTTGGTAATGTCCTTGACTGCTAGGGCAAGTATGAAAAGGCGGAGGCTATACACCGACGGGCCTTACGAGACCGAGAGAAGATGCTAGGACCCGAGCATCTATCTACACTCACCAGTGTTAACAACCTTGGTAATGTCCTTTCTAGGCAGGGCAAGTATGAAGAGGCCGAGGCCATGTACCGACGGGCCTTACGAGACCGAGAGAAGGTGCTAGGACCCGATCATCTATCTACACTCACCAGTGTCAACAACCTTGGTTCAGTCCTTTCTAGCCAGGGCAAGTATGAAGAGGCGGAGGCCATACACCGACGAGCATTACGAGACCGAGAGAAGATGCTAGGACCGGAGCATCCAGACATACTCACCAGTGTCAGTAACCTTGGTTTAGTCTTTAACAGCCAGGGCAAGTATGAAGAGGCGGAGGCCATGCACCGACGAGCATTACGAGACCGAGAGAAGATGCTAGGGCCCGAGCATCCAGACACACTCACCAGTGTCAGCAATCTTGGTAAGGTCCTTGACCGCCAGGGCAAGTATGAAGAGGCGGAGGCTATGCGCCGACGAGCCTTAGAAGGGTATGGGAAAGTTCATATGCATAATCAAGAGAATGAGCCCAGCTATATTCCTGGGAGTTTCAATGTCCTGGACTATCGCTGCTTACTGGGCAACATTCACCCTTTGATTTCTGCATTGAGAGCTGACCACGCTTCGGCTAGTGATAATCGGGATATTGATTAACTCTTTCTGTCTAGGTTGGGCATTATCCTATTAACCGTTTCTTTTTTTGTACAATCTTATCTCAATGCAATATTTTGTTTACTGTAACCCTTGATACTGTATACTAAATCCTTTGAGTCACTACCGTCAGGAAGTAGATTAAGTCTGCAGCATTGTAACCTGCACGACCATTTGAGCCTTTGTAATTCTGCTCTCAATCATCCCGCTGATCTTGTATGGTAATGTAATGATATGTAATGATGAAACTAAAGTTACTAGTGCAGGTAACGGCTCTCTCTAGAGTCTTGGCAATGCGGCTATCAAAGAAATGAAAAGTGCTCAAAACGGAAGCTGATATCGCTAGAGCGTGTATACCATTACTTGGTCTTTATTACTAGGGCATTGAGCCCAATGGCTCCAAGACATCCGGAGAGTGCGGCTGCACTCCAACCCCACAATAAAGATCGCTTGCACCCGGCAAAAACAATGAGCATCGAGACAATCACATGCAGGGAATCTACAACTAAGTCGGCTTGTCGTGACGACCGCGTAAAAAAAGGGCGCGGTAGCCATGGGATTGACCAAAAAGAGATCAATATAAGTTTCCGGCTCCCTAGTATTCACACTTTGATAAGTGATCATCCATGTTCCAGCGCTGGTAGGGTTTTATCTCCTTATTCAGATGGACAGTTGAGTGATCCCAGAGTGTCCCAGCGCCTACATTACGGGAGCGATTTTGAACGGATACAGCCAACCCATCGAGAAAGATTCTTTTTGCTGTCGTGCGATGAGAGAGAGCAAGACCGACTTAATTTTCTCCATAAGGTGTTCTCTATCGCCAGACGGTCTGATGACCTTATTCATGTTCCTCACCTGGTGAAGGGCAGGGTCTTGGACCTAGGCTGTGGGACGGGAATATGGGCTATAGACGTGGCTGAAAGATATCCAGAAATGTTTGTCGTGGGAGTTGACCTTTCTCCAACCCAGCCTGATCGGCATCCTCCCAACTGCGAATTCTACGCCCCATTTGATTTTGAACGCCAGTGGGAGATGGGAGAGGATTCATGGGATGTGATGCACCTTAGAATGGGATGGGGTAGCGTGTCAAATTGGCCCAGTCTCTATCGGAGGATCTTCGCACACCTGCGCCCGGGTGGCTGGTTTGAACAGGTCGAGATAGACTTTGAGCCACGTATTCTGACCAGTTCCTCTGAGCACTTGCCACTGGGACAGTGGTACCAAGCCTTCGAGTATGCCACCGCGCAGACTATGCGGCCATTAACTCACAATCCTCCAGAGACATTCGGCTTCTTGCAGACCGCTGGCTTTGCAGAGATCTGTCACCAAACAATCCAGTTGCCATTAAACCAATGGCCGCCCGATCCCCACCAACGAGAGATCGGTCGCTGGTACGGCCGGGCGTTCCTGCAATTGATTGAAGCGATAGATCTCGGCTCTTTGAATCGCACCCATGGACTCATTACCCAGGCCAAACTAGAAGCATCCGATCGGAGTATTCACACCTTTCATGTGTTGCATGTATACAGAGCCCAAAAGCCTCCGTCGGCTAGGTCCTGTTCGTCCTACAAATGCCGGCGTCACGAGCAAACATATGTGGAGCGCTGAGTAGAAAGAAGGTTTAATAAAAAAAGCAATGCTTAGTTTACGTGGCGCACCTAAATAAAAAGCCGTGGCCATAGTTGTCTGGAAGATATATTTTGGAATGGATAAAGAGTGTTTTCAATTGGTTCCTAGTAGGCACGGTTCTCATTACCACAGAAAACATTAGACTCTTCGACATGGAACAGTTCTTCCAACGTACCCTTCTCCGGGGCATCTTCTACGATACTCTGGGGACTTACTCCTTGAAGCCATCGCGTACGCGCCCCTCACTTCCTCAAGTTGCACCTCTCTCCAGAATCAAGTCACAACCGGTAGGTCTTATTTCCCACGCTTATCGAAAGGAAGGCACTAAAGTCAATAGACCTTTTCAGTCACCAAAAGCCTAGGCTTTCCCAGAATAATTTATTAAACGGCTACAAACCTAGCTTCGATGCCCACAAGCTGGAAAGGGAAGCAATAGATTGCATGGAGCTTGATACAGCTCAAGATATGTGCCATTATCGGGGAGAACCCCATGGGGGAATCCAATAGTTCTTGTTAGATCAGAACTTAACTGACTGCTGCTAGCCGGCAGTAACGGCTAATCTTAATATCTCTTTCCGCAAGCCGATAGACCCAGAAAAGCCGATAATTCTTTTGCACGACCTGTGAGAATTGAGGGGCGGAAGATCTACATGGAAGGCAGTATTAAATTTCGTGATGGAAAACTGGGGCTATGATTGACATGACGCGGGCGAGCGCACTATTCATTCATCCAGAATTGGAGTGGGAAGTACGTAGAAAGTGTTTACAATAGCGTTTGATTTGGATCATCGAGGGCAGCACAAGGCTATTAAGTAGGAAAAAGAGAGGGTGTGATACGTGTGAGGAGTATTGGCACAGAACAGTTACCGATATACCCCAGGCAACATATTTTTGGGATCTTGGAACAATTGATTAAATACCCCCATACCACGTACGGCTTCTTGATTGACTTCACTTCTCTGTCCTTCTCCCTTGGGTTCTCTTCATGAGAAGTTCTGAATAGGCCATGACGAGAAGATCCGGGAGTCTCCTGCACTATTCATTATTATGAAATAGATCTCGGTAATAGGTCTGACCGCTTATAAGCACGTCATGGGACCCTCTCTCAATGATTTTGCCCTCTTCCAGCACAAGGATTTCATTAACGTCGCTTAGGAAAGATAGTCGATGGCTGCAGTATGATAAGTCAGATTTGCCAGTATGTGGTAAGAGATGAACATACGTGGTTAATAACATAGTCACTCCCTTCGCTTTCAGAAGCTGCCAGACCCTATCCTGCGCCCTATTGTCTAACTGGCTAGTGGGTTCATCAAGTAACAAAATAGGGGGTCGACGCAAAAGGACCCGGGCTAGGGCAACAAGCTGCCTCTGCCCACCGGAAAGGTCGACTCCGGGGCCGATAAGAGTGTCATACCCCGCTGTAAATCTGGAGATATGCTGATCAAGCCCAAGCTGTTGACACAAGCCTTGAACATCTTCCAGATTCATGTCGTTTTCAAGACCATATGTCAGGTTATCGCGGATTGATAAGCCGTGAACCAGTCCCGGGTCCTGCGGTACGAAGCCAATATGTGATCTGATTGAACGTTCATTTAGATCCCTTGTATTATACCCATCGATCTGGATATAACCACGGCTATGCTTTATAAGCTGTGAAATGAGACGCAGGATAGTGGTCTTTCCGGCGCCGTTTCCACCAACGATGGCCACAGCCTGCCCTGGGTGGACTTCAAAGGTCACGCCGTCGAGAGCGGGGGCGCCTTCTTTGTAAGCAAAATACACGCCGTTGAACGAGATGTTGCCTTGGCATTGTGCAAGGAAGTCTCCTGACGAGCTGCGAGGCGTGGAATTTACCAGAGCATTTGACACAATTTCTGCATCAAGCGATATCCGAAAGGCCATCACTGTGTGCCAAACAGACTTAAAAGAAGCAAGAAGGTCTGTCCAGTGTTCAGCCAACAGCAACATGTCTTCCGTGCTCACAGCAAATAGGCACAACACTCGTCCGAATGCTGTGATGGCGTCAAGAACGAGCTCCCGACATGTGATGTGCAGGTTAAAGTAGCTCTGTTTGTGATCCTCCTCATTTTTGACGTGGCATAGTCTTGCTTGTTCGTCGAGCTGTCTGTTGTTCAGTACAATCAACTCCCAGGAAGATATTTGTCCGCGTAGCACTCTGTCGCGGCTGTCTCTCGCGGCGATGTATCTATTTCGAGGACCGTCAATTCCACGCGCAGCCACCTGCCATACCGCGGCCCATAAGAAAGCCGTGATCAACATTATTATAAAAGGCTTGCACCCAAACTGATCGAGTGTACTATAGCATAGCAGCGCTAGCCTGAGGACCGAAGGAACGAGCTTTAGGGCCGCCAACGCAAATGCGGATTGTAAGCTGGTGGCCGCGGATAGTAATCTACTCGGGTCCCGACCTTGGGGCCCTAACTCACTATCGATAGTCAGATCAAAAGTGAGTTTCACGGCTGCTGTTTGGAGCTGCACTGCGAGTTTGGCCCATATCTCCCTCTCTAGATACGTGAAGATGATAGGGATGGCCAATTCCGACCATAGCAAAAGCAGGATCCCCTCTAGCTCGGAGATGTCTACCGCAATGTTAGCTCTAGCTACAAGGTACTGGGCCAACTTACTATTGTATATGCTTTTATGTAACAGCACCCTAGTTTGGTTCACCGCGTGGGCCGCCAGAATGGGCCTCAAGAAGACACAGACGGATAGAAGTAGCCACTTTAACGTAGAACTGGGGCCATCGTAGACCCAGAGCAGCTTCAATGGAATCTAACCATTTTAGCCTCTTTTAATCTCTCGGCTGCTAATTCATACCTGTTTATGTCCTACTAAGGCTTGGAACATTCGACCAAGTACTTTGCCAGCCCATAGACTGGTTAATGTCAGATTAGGAACGGAGGCTCTATAAAAGGGCTTCCATAATGCAAACATTGCGATCAAAATCGGTATCACATAGTAGATTTGTGGTGACGTGGCGATCCAAGTGGTCCCAAGGGGAAGGTGAACCTAGAAGTAGTGAGTAACTCCATAGACCAAGAACGAAGGGCGGCGGTACTATTTTGGGCAATAGATGGTTCATATTACTATTAGACGACGTTTGTTGAAGGGGAATGATGGTATTAACAGATTAGGATAGTTGACTCCAAATCTTTTTGGCAGTTGGGCTTGGGTGATCCAGGAAGCGGCGGCCACGCTTATTATATACACTGGCCCCGGTTCCGGACTAATGGTCTATTAGGACGAATTATTTCTAAATCTGTGGCTTTTACTGAAATTCCTCTGGCAGCTAATTATTGCTAGTTAAACGGACGGTTCAATTAATCATACAAAGATACATGTATACCCGCTTTATTGAATGACACGTTCTTTCTCCGGACATTTTAGCGCCGAACGAGCTCCTTGTTCTACTCCCCTTTCTTCTCTTTCTTTGGTAAGAGACGACAACAATAAGCCATTTGACTTTTTGTTAACTAAGTGAAATTCTAGACAGTTAGTTCAGTGGGTCCTAGCAAGTTAACGTCTAGTACCTACGGGGTTAGAGGAGAGCGCCTTACTAATACGGCTCTTGAGCATGCGCTCTGTTGATTTTGATGTGTGTTCCAAAAACCAATCATGCAGCTCGTGAATATTTAGTCCTCCTTCAGGCGAATGGAGGAGGCATTTATAGATAAGCGCGGGATATGCGCCATCGAAGCAAGCCCCTTCTTTAGGCCGTGGGAGCCCACTACAGGAAATTAGGATACCGGAAAGTTGTCCTGTCATTCCTTCCACATCCAAGGGACTCTCTCGCGCATCACCTGGACAATCTTCTAGGGATAGTTCATCAACTTCACAGTCCTTGTTTATCACTGTATAATCAGGCCTTCCTGAGCTTGACTCAATCACGGGCACCGTCACTCACAAAGAAACGGATCGAGTAAAATTTGAACCCAAACTGATCACTGGGCTAGTATCGTAAGGTAAATCGTGCAGTTTCATTACTTAGTGGTGGTAATGAATAACCCTACTGATTTATTAAGGTGAAAGATGATTCGACCCATAAAAATCGTACCCGTTAACGTACAAGGCCTAATTCATTAATCTCGACTATAAAACTAGAAATAGTCCGTCAACGTATCTGAAGGCCATGTAATAGCTTTTCGCAAAAGCTATCGTAAAAGACTTGGCTCCACGCTCCCCTGCAGCTACGGACTGAATGCGGATACAAAGTCGCCGAATAATAATACATACCTGAGAGGTTGACGATGTAAGACATCACTAGAAAGCGAGTCATAGTCAAATGCGTGGCCAGTCCTTGATTTAGTAAAAATCTGCGTTAAGACTCTTTAAAGCACGCCTGTGCTATTAGGTATATGCCCAGATGGGCAAAGACCCAATCATACGGCCCAGGAAAGCTAGCACACTGCACCAATGTTCCTTCTGCTACTTGGACTATCGACCAACTAAGGTTCGGACTTAGGGAACTACTTATAGCCGATGAAAACCGGCGGTGGGGAAACACCAGCGTCACTCCCAGAGTCCATCTCGGTCGCGGCCACCTTCTATGTATCTACCTTGATAGTATCTACCTTGATAGTACCTCCACTCAAGGCAAATTAGAGAATCGATGCAATTTTATTAGTTACAGATGGGGTGCTCTAGCTATACGCCGTTGCTCTTGGTTTTATCGGGCGTTTTGTTTTGCCTAAGGACCATCGCAATCCACATGCGTTACAGTAGTCCTTTTTCCCACTGGGACCCCTTCTCCACAAAAGCGTGCGTTAGGGCTTACAGGAAACACATTCATTCTTTAGCGGTTCCTCCTTTCCGCTTAGCTATATGGAACGCAAGCAAGAAGACGAAGACTCGGTACTCTGGCCTTCTGGTCCCCTCTCCGTATTTTCTCCACTATCAAGGTCTAACAAAAGTCATGTCAACTGAGGATGGAGATATTTCAAGTCTTATATACATACCTGCTTGAGGGTGTTCAAGTCCGATTCGCCACGCATCAATAATGGTGTATATCAATGTGCGTTCGTTTTCGTTAAATAATAAGCGGATCTGGTCAACAGACACTTTCAATTTGTCAAAATGGACGTGATTCAGAATCGACTGCAGAGTCGCCTCGTAGTCTGCCAGACACTAAGGTTATCTTTCTTCAACTTGGTAGTCAATGTTCTTACCGGATTTTGTTACCAGGTTAGATTTCTTTATCAGGAATACCAAATCACCAGCGAAATGGTCGACAAGATACCCACTGAGAATCTGGCAAGTGTCTTAGGGTAGAAGTGCAAATAATAGTTTGCGATAGAGCTTAGTGTAGTACATTCTGCTGAATAGTGTGCGATTCCTTTCAGGCGCTTCGCAACCGTGAATCTGGTGTTTCCAGACAGCTTGCTCCCCCCTCACATCTCTCGGTGCGCTCGGCGCCACTCGACAATGACGATCACGGGCTTCCTTAATCTGATCTGCTTGTATATTCGGCATCTAGATTTAAGTAAGCTGCTGAGTTCTGTAGACATCCGCACCACTTACGAAAGATCCGTAGTTGCTAGCCCGTCCGCAACAACAACAACAATATAATATAGGAAACAGATCATCATTGATGGCTTTTCGCTGGAAGATAATAGGTAGGAGATTTTTGCAGCACATAGCACACAAAAACTGAGTACTATGATTTGCGAAGTTATACTTCTGGAATGAATCATCTGCTGGAATCTTGGAATTGGCGTCTCCCTGGCCCTGGCCACGTCCTATATTATTCATCTGTTCATCAGCCGCTGATCTCTCTTGCGCCATGTCTGTCCACTCGATGCTTTCCATGTTGCTCCCAATATTCTTATCAAATAAAATATAAGCTGACGTTGTTCTTTAAGATGAGTCTAGGATCAGTCGTGAAGAACATGATGATATAGCTGGACTATATAGAATAGTATGATCATATCACCATACCGCATATAAACAGAATACGGACTGGGAACGTATTTATCTGAAAGCGCCAGCAAACTTACCAAAGGCCCTAGGCAGGGGCGGGCGCTTATCAAATGTAACATTGAAAGCGGTATTATGCTCTACGTGTCCGGGTTGTGGATGATTCAAACTTTGGCCGCCTTAGGGTAGGTTAATTAATTTTACGGCCCCCAATCAATATCAATTCTTTAAATCAGGTCCAGTATTGAGATACCAATAACCGCGAAAAATGTAACAGTCTATAAAGTAGAATGGACCACAGCTTGTTTTGGCTCCGAGGTAGCCCGGCTGTGATATCTTAGCTTGGTGTTTCTCTAACCATACAGCACATTCACATCTGAAATGACCCCGCAATGCCTTTCCTCAATTCTTGACGTGCCGCAGCACAGCCGTTCAAATCCTCCTCCTTGCGCTTCTCAAGGCTGGCGACCACCAACTCCAGGCTATATGCTTCAAATCCTTCTCCCCTTACCGCGATGATTTCCCTTGCCAGTCTCGAAGTGTGGTTGCGGTGGAGCCCGAAATCGTATACGTGCTCCACCACACTAACAAACCCCCGGTGTTCGAGATCGCCCTTGTAGCAGGAAGGGAGGTCAAGTGAGCGACGATCGTGTCTATAAGCATCGTCTATCTCTGTAGAAGACGTGGGGATTAGTATTATCCGCAGGGCCCTAGAGCTGAATTGAGCTGTTCCGTATTGCTAGTACGCCGTTTGGTGGGCAGCATCGAATAAGCTGGCTAGCCCGCGAATTGAATTAACTAGACTAGTTGCACCTATAGGATTCATTCAAGATACTAGCCAAGGGCTGAGGACCGCCTCCGAATCCACCGACATGTACAAGGCCAACTCCTGAGAAGGGGGTGTACTAGTGCGGCTTCGTAATATCATTTAGTAGGAACTCACAGTTTGGCGGTACCCTATATTCCGTTTGTTAGATTTATCTTGGCAATTGAACATGGTACGTACCACTCGACCGTCATATGGACCATATCGATCCCGAACACCTACCCTGTTAGCCCTCCCGTAATAGCGATACAGAAAATGACCTACTGCTGACCATTATCTCCTATCGGCTAAATAATACAGTCAGCAGCATAATATATCCTAGCAAGTTTAATGGAAGTACGTCAAACTCAATAAATAGCCCAGCAGCCGGTACCAGTTCGAATACCAAGCCCAGTTGGAGGCCTACCGACAACGGCCGAGCTTAACCGCCCCTTGATAATTGAGGGCATAGCAAAAGCCACCGGCCTCCTGGAATGATTCACTATCCAGATTAGGCCAAAAAATGGAATGCATACCCTGTCATTCTCGTTCTGTCTTTCTATCAAGAAGTCAGCTAGTATTCATACAATACCAGGCTCTCGTACTGTATCCACAGGCCCAGGATGTTGCAATCTAGAGCACTCGAGTCAAGGCGCCCATGCTATAATGAGTTTCGCAGAAAAACCTATTCAAGGGCCCAAAGCCTCTGCCTAAGTGTAAGGCAACACTTAAAAATAAACCTATAATAGTGATATACTCAATATCTCTATTCGTTAAATCGGCCTCCATTTTGTCTAGGGGACGTTTTGTGTTCCAAAAAATACCGGCTCGATCGGAGCACCTTTTTACAACCATTTTTTAGACATCACTCATAAGTACCGCGATTGGCCCACTACCATGTTTCTTACGCAACCCGAATGCTAGTAAAAAAGCAGGCCTGAAAAACTATAGCGCCTAATGCTTTTACATCATGTTTGTCATTCTTCGTCAGCAGCATTCCAGTCCCAGCAGTTGCAGGCCTTCTCAGAAATTGTAGGAATGGTCCGATCAAGATTTACTGCACTCAGCCAAAGAGAAACGAAGAAGGATCTCAAGTAGAGAGGAAGATAATATTTAGGGGTTTACCGGTCCTGTGCTCTTTTCTTTATGGCTCCATCCTGGCCCTATTTGTATCAATCCAGTTCGTGTTGTCTCATAAAAGGTAGAACATGGTCACCAAAAGTGTCCGTTCCAACCGGACTTTCAGAGCAGCCTTTCCAAATAATGACACCACCACCACTATGAACAGGTTCCACCCAAAGAGGGCCAAGAGTGACCAGAGCCTGATGGGGGTGGAGACGGACCTCGCTTGGCCTGCCTTCAAGTTCCGCCTTTGTAAGGGACTGGGAGCACGAGTAGATTTTGAACATTCCATTCTCCGCTCCAACAGAATCGTAAAGGGGCCGGAATATTGAGATGGAGTTTGGACTCGGATGGGCTCTCATGGGACCCATCGTTAGTGTATTTGGTAGGAACCGGACGACTCGGACCGGTTGGTGTATGACTTGCTGGTAGCCTTTGCGTAAGCCACCTTTAATTAACGCGTCCACCTATCGCAACCGACTCAGTTAGGTTCCATGGGTCTTGCCGGGTTCAGCTTACATCAAGACCATGCTCTGCGCACTGATCAAACAGCGCATCGGACCTCCCTCCTTCCCAGTGCTTAGAAGGATTTGCATAGCCTCCTGATAATTGCCCAGACAGCTGGTCCGGTCCTATCGCCTCCTTGACGGATTCAATAAGCTCAGGTTTCAGGGCCGAACTGGTGCTGACAATCCTGTACCCGGTCGACTCCATAACTTCATCGTGCCAGAGGAGATGTTCGAATGAGCTAGTCTCCGCCATGATTTGAGCACGCTAGTTTGTCAGGTGACCTTGTGGGGGAAAGAGAGAGAGGGTTAAGGATGTACACGCCGTAGGAATCACAAAAGAGGGCAGCAGCCTTATAATGGTCCATTCTGGTTCTTAAGAGAATCTTTGACATGTATGTCTTCCAATAAGGAATCATTGCTATTCTGGAACGTTGTTATCCATGACCACGAACCAGTGGATTGTTTTGATACGGTAATACAAGTACACCCTCTCTAATCCATTACATACAATCCCATATCGTACATTGCGGTGACCCCCCACACTTATACACTATTGTCAAATTTTCCTTCTTATCTCATATATCCTCCTAGTGGAACCTGAGAGAGCCTCTCCCCAATTCTCTGACCTTGCTTTTCTCTGATGGATGTTTCATCGCGTTGTAGGTGGTGGTGGTGGTGCGCCTGGCTTTTTGACTCCCGTAGTGTCATATGCACCTCGTCCCATGTTTAACGTGGATAGAAGCGATAGAAGAGATAGAAGATCCATCGGTGCTCTAAAGGGGTCGATATTTAGCGGTCAAGTGTTAAGCTATACTTACTTAGTGCTAGAGCTGTACTTACTTAGTGTTCAAGTGGGAGATATGTGAAAAGAAAAGAAAAGAAAAGAAAAATATTTCGCAGGTGTAGATGTCTCGTCTTTTGTATTTGCACCTTCGCCCAGCATTTACTGAAGCAATACATAGTGGGGCCCGGAGTTTAATATAGAGAACCAAGGTACTAGTATAGTGAGAATCTCCCCCAACCATGCGTCGAAAAGAGGGGAGGGGTGAAACTTCCTCAACGGCGAGATTAGGACAATTCCTAATTAGGGGTGGTTAGGGTAGAATCCCTGAGGAGGCCATGCCACGTTAGGTGACGGAAGAAGTCACTAGACCGGTTACTTAGTAGCCTTATTCTTGCAATGGACTACTTAGTCGATGCGTTCTGTAATGTTCTCGGAGATAGAGTGTCTTTACGCTTAGTATGAGTTTCTCTGGATTGTCTTCAAGTGACTTTTACAGGATTAAGGGAACGGTTCCGTCGATAGGGCAGTGACAATATTAGAGATTTACCCGCTATAGGCATATAAACCGAATCGATGTAGACACACATTTACGCTGATTCGTCGCCAGATCCAACGTAGAATTGCGTAGGTCTGCTGTCGTCTGTTACTAACCACAGGATTGCTTGAGTACGACTGGTAGAAAACATACTAAGTTATAGATACTATAGTGATTTTGCTGGCGGGTTACAGAAAACGCATTCCCGTCGTTCGCAGGCATATCCCACTTCGTATAGACCGATTGGAATCATCCAGGAACAAACTTGTTTACATAGAATAAGACGAGGTTCGGGTTCCTCGAAGCCGCAACTATATTTATAACGACCTTGGTAACACATTCTGTAACGTGATGGTATTAGCAGTAGCAGCGAACACTTCATGCACCTCTTACCTCATTCAGCGGTGTAAAATGAAGATCCCACACGGGAATTAAAGCGAGTGACAAAGTTATCCTGACAATTCAAACTTTGGAAAAAGCTGATTTGGAATAGACGATAGCAAGTCTCCAAAAGGAAGGGAATTCCTCACATTATATACTGGTAGGCAGTCCATGGTTTGTTTGTACATGCGATCTAATATCGTAAATCGCTGTAGGTAGCCGTATTGCCTACTATCTTCGAGCCTAATTACCTAAAATACAAGAAGGGACAAGCCTATGCATTTGATCTTTTTAAGTATGGAGGCGTTGAAAGTCCGGGCGAGATTTCACGGCCTCTTGAGTCCATAGCTCAACTTCATCCTTATGCTTGTCTCGAACACAAATTCTGTACTCTTCACCGCCACCCTGAACGGGCCTAGATTCATAGACATGAATAATTTCATCATGGGTAAATAGGCGCGTGCTTGGATCAGGAAGGGAGATGACTTCATCATCCAAAGAGCTACCTGGAAAAGAGAATAAGTTCACGCAACGTTTCGAATAACTAAAGAAAACACTCACTCCTCACAATTTGATTCCTCTCGGCCATTCTTTTCAAAGACTCGTTTTGTTGGCTAGAATCCTTGTTCGGAATGGTCTCCTGCATATCAAAGTGCTCATGGTCGAGAGTTTGAAAAGCTCTCAGCTGGTTGATTAGACTCGGGGGCTGGGAGACATACGCTGTTGATTCTGGATTCGTTGGCGTACCTTCTGCAAGTTCTTCGAACATCTGGCTACATAGGCAAGAGATCCCCAAACGGAATCGATATAGCAATATTTCAAGGACCATAATCAGCTGGTATTCGGTGTACATGCGGTGAGCACCTAGGGCAAGTCTAGGTATCTTGAGACCTGGGACGAAGAGTAATATATGGCAAGTTTCAATCTATAACCGTGCGCGTTATGCATTTTCGGCGTAGAGTTGCTGATCGTTACCACTAAATAAAAGTAGATCATTTAAGATTCTTCAGCTTCGTTATCTTGATTCTAGTCTTCACTATAGGCCGGTTCGTACCCGTAACAAGCCTAAATTCCTCCCATGTACACATATACTGGACACCTCCAACTCAACTAGGACCTTCACCGTAAAACGCCGTATTGAGGAGACCTACTAAAAAGCCAACATACTTACAGTCCGTTGACTTAATTAGCTACGTACACGAGTTTTCATGTCGATCGTTACTTTCCTTAAATCTGTTCTTTGAAGGTTTGCGTTTTTAACGCTGGAGGCGCAGGCACCTGCTTGTTCCGAAGATACTGTAGGAGGTTAATGAAACGGAATGTAGCTATCAGAAACAAGCCAACTTAGCACATCATTGACTCGTGTTTCTCGTGAAGAAGTTGGTATGATCGGACGTGTGATTTCGACAGTAGTGAGAGTAACCTCCGAGCCGAACATAATTATTTCGCCAGGAAGCTGACAAAGATGAAGGATTGGCCTTTAGTAACTTGCGGTGAGACTTTGACAAGGCTTTCATCTTTATGGTCTCGGTGATGGCTTCACTTATCTCCGCAGTCGAGTAAAGTAATGAGTGATCCCCTGAGACAGCCTTTCAGTAAGACGGCGATCTTACTGATAGACAGTCGTGTTTACTGGGGTTCGTCATCGGCTCCAATTTTACATTCGTCGCACAGTTGCAAGGGGTTTGAATTCGATCGACCTCTGCAAGTCACTGTCACAATTAATTCTTAGTACTAGACTTAGCCAGCGCCTAGACATAGCTGTCTATCCGCCTATGCTAACCAGTGCTGGTAATCCGGGGCTAGACCTGGTCGTATTCGGTACAAGAGGATGAAGAGTTCTGGGTCTAGACCGGAAGCAATTTTTGGGCGCCTATCAGGCTTGGATGGCTGGGTACGCATTGTAAGACCCAGTAGTTGCGACCCCAGCATAGGGCCATCCCTATTGCATCAGTCAAAAACTTTTTTCTGAGCATTATTGCCGTCATATTTGACAGGGGGTAAACTAAGGGCTGGGGAAAAGATCAAGTTGCTATCGAATCTGGCTTCCAACATGCACTCTGTATGCGCCGTGAGGTCCGATAGTTATGACCCCAAGCATAGGACCAGCCTTGTTGCATTAGCTCGCCAATTACATGATATAGCAACGAATCAGAAACATTTTGCTCGAGATCCACTCTGCGTAGGATTTACGGGGTCGGCACCTTACCGAATATAGTAAGACGAAGTCAGGCGGAACTTAATGGCTAGTGTGGTCAAGTCAGTCTCAAACCTTTGCATGCGTGCCTGCTTTCAAGCGGAAGAGCATGTAGTGCGCTCCAGGGGCTTTCCCGCGTTATCCTTCCTCTCACGTCTCTATCCCATCTTGTATTACTGTGGAACGGATACTCGATGATGAGTGTTTCTCGCGAAATAAACTTGAATATACGCAATAGTTTGATTCAACTCGAGATACATGTTCGTGCGGCTGGAGACAGTGTAAGGAGTGTTTCTTCTTGTCAAAAATACGTGGTCTAATGACTCCTGCAGAAAACAGCAGATGAGCTGCGAGAAATTATTAATTCTCCAGATCAATTTTCCTCGCTTCAGAGGCTTCTTAGCGAGTGGCAGCGACGACAAAAAAGACCAGATAAACTGGTACCTAAACGCCATGCGTTCTTTTCTCACTTCAAGTCCTCCGATGGTGTGCCTCTCAGTGAAAAGCAGGTGAAGCGCCTTGTGACGGCCACAAAACTTTGGGAACTAGAGGATGATTGTATCATGCAGCTCGAAAAATGCGCTTTACTATGGTCACACTTTCCTAAATTATTTTGGGACGGTGTAGGCGAGGAGAATACCATCAAACGCTGTGTCAATGACCTAATCCAGATGGGAACGGTTAACAAGTCCAAGCGAAAAGTGATCCTAATAACTCTGTCCCAGAGCGTTGAAAAAGAGCAGGAACGGATTCGCGTACATAGCACAAAGAGAGTAAGAGACAAAAAGAAAAACAGAGACAGCTCCCGCAAGCGAGAATCCCTCCTCCTCACACGCTCACTCAATAGCTTGGCCTCGGAGCTTTGGCCTGGCGCCAATGATTCCCAGCAGAAGCAGTTGAGAAAGTGCTTCACCGTTTGTTCACGCTACGGTTGGAAATGGTGTCAGTTGGAAAATATTGAAATAACGCTGTCCCTATATCAGATTGATTCCAACAGGTAAAAGACCTGTGTCCCTTGACGGAATCTTATGACGTGCTGACTTTACAGTTATGAGACTCGAGGTTGGGAAAATATTGAGTTTGATGCGCTGAATGCATTTATCAAGACATTACCTCAGTTTCGCATTAGACAGCGTCTAAAAGAAGCTTGGGGCTCTATTACGGATTACTACCGCGGAAAAGGGCAGCCAGTGCCGGCTTCTGAGGAAGGCAGTATGTCACCCCGTTCGGACACTTCACAGCTTGGAATACTACTGACTCACGATAGCACAAACGCGATATACGCAGCAGCCCACTGTTAACCCAAATGACACTACGTTTTCCTTCTGTCTTCCATTAGTTGTCCCTCGGTGCCGAAAACGCGATGAGGAAATGTCACGCCCAATGAAGAAGCACCGACCAATAACTAGCCAACAGCCTCACGGCAGCAAGGCCAATGTGCCGTATTGTAACCCTGTCTCTGGAGCTTCGATTGCCCAGCGAACTTTCGATCTCCAAGCTCAGCCAAGTCTGAGCGGTCCCGAGAACCTACAGTCACCCCTAACTACTGGTTTCTCTGCGCAACCAATACCCTCTGCTCAGTCACTAGTGGCCGCAACGGACTTTTTTGACAGCTCCTTTGATCTCCAAGCTCAGCCAAGTCTGAGCGGTCCCGAGAACCTACAGTCACCCCTAACTACTGGTTTCTCTGCGCAATCAATACCTTCTGCTCAGTCACTAGTGGCCGCAACCGATTTCTTCAACAATTCCCTTGACTACCAAGGCCAGGCTAATATTAGTAGTCTACAGCATCTGATGGCAGCAGAAAACTCTCAAAATTCATATGTACAGGCACCTCCCTCTGCGATAGATTTAGGTACAGCTTTTGGCCATTTGTAATAGCAAAAAACTTATTAATGTACACCTGACATTGCATGTCAAATTTGTAAATTTGTAGCACCATTAGGCGAATATCTTCCAATTTGAGACTCATTTCTTTTCAAAAGCAGAAGTCACCAATGTATAATTCCCACTAATGACGCGCATCCGCCTCTTCCTTGATATACGGTAGAAAGAGGAACGTGCATCGATGTCTTTGCTCTCCCGCAGAATAAACCAATTGATGTCTGCCTGGGACGACCACCATGCTCCCTATGTCCCATTTGCCAACACGAACAGGCGATCCTTCTGTCCCTTCTCTCACTGCCACGCAAGTATCTTCTTCTAGACCAAATATCGGTATGAATATAGCAAATAGTAGTCCCTCAATGGTGAATTTGCCGTCTTCCAATACAAATATGAGAGGTTTGTTGCGGAGCTTAACTTGAAGTGGATTTGTATGGTCGTCGATAAGGAAACGATGCTCGGAAGTCGGATTGAGTATCTTTTCAATTTAGGATCTTCTCGCACGTACTCGGAAAATAGTGCTCACCTTGGGAAGATGTTTCTCAGTAATTTCTGCCGTTATCGCTGCAAGACTTGGTGCTGTCGAGGTTGGCATTGCTAAAATATTTGACCGTCCCATCCGTAGAGCACGCTCAGGGTCGACATGTCCAGAGGCATCCCTGACAATAGTTCGGAACTGGGCTTCCGGTTCTATGTAGCTGAAAAGAGGGTATGATTTCGGTCCGGTCATTCTTGACTTTGACGTCTCTGAATTATTTTAGCCTCGGGGAAGATCACTGTTCAGCAGGCGGTGAACGTATTAGCAGAAAAGAAACCCCGCCAGAAAGAAACCCCCGCTATTAAGTAATCTTACTCACAGAGAATAGGCTGGATTTATCTAGTTAGTGTACTAAATCTCTTGAATGAACCCACGTTGGACGATAAATAAGGCGTTGCAGCAGTTGCTGCCCAAACGGCTGCGGGTGGAAGACATGGTAAAACACAACAGTCAGCACCCTGGATTCGAATAGCCCACGTGAGTCTATCACCTGACTCGAAATTCGCAGAGCGCATAATTCAACGACATTCCTTTATCAGCGCGATAGAATGTTAAGGTTTTATCTTACGAAATACAACAGAAATACTTTTCTGAATTGAGTTGGGTCCTTGCCAGTAGAAAGTTCTTCTTTGGAGACAAATGAGCAATTGGTGGACTTAGTGTATGGGGTGAATGCTAAAGTTACATTCTTGTTCAATTTAGCTAATCTGGCTGTTCTCGGAACATTCCGATATCATCTTCCGTGTGTCAGATTAGCACCAGTATATGCCCATACAGGAGATTTCAATTCAATGCCCTGCTCAGATTGTGAGTTTGAGTCTGGAGTTACGGTTCGGCGACGCTTCTGAACCCCAGGGCGAATATAGCTGGTAGAACCCATGCGTCGCTCTTGGGTCTCTCGTCTTGACTCAGCCTGCGAAGGGAAATCACAGGGTTGTCTTGACGATATATAATTTCATGACGATCTAGGTCTGGATAGTCATTGGTAAGGTCGGCTGGCACAAAATCTTTCAAGTTCAGCCGTAGAGGTGTTGCACCCAAGGCCTGTCCGTTGTCCGTTCGGAAAACCTTGCTGGGTAAGCAAGTTGTAACCGTTAAAGGCAGGAAACATACTTCTTCATCAACTTCTTATGTTGCGTCAAACACCTCAATTTCATTTTCAACGCGATATGCGGGACGCCATATGGATATATTTGCCTTTTTTGTCTTTCGATACTCAATATATAAGCATACTACGGCGTTGATGCTACCGTCAGTTCAGAGGATGTAGTCAACAACTAGGTCTCTGATGGCACGGCGTTTGAGAGTAGCAGATTTCAACAATAATGCCCAGAAATCGCGCCTTGGTATATCCAAACGATGCATCTGGTTCCCGTATAATATACTTCTCCTCTCTATTTATCACCTCTGGCAATTCGACTCGCGACGAAACGAAATGCTATAATTTTTTGGGCAAATTCGGCCTCCGGGCAACCACTGATTGTTTCCAGCTGATGATTCATCCCTCTAACCATTTCTGCGCAAATAATTTCATGGAGGGGTGTAGGCATCCGGGTTGTCAAGAGCAAGCAGCGCGGACCATAATCGTAGCTGGAGGGACAGTTAGAACAGGTTAGACCATCCCACAGGGTCCAAATTAACCGCACTTTATATTTGATACGACTGTCAAGATCCGCATCAGACTTTAAAACCTGTAGTATGTCCTCGTACGCTTCGTGTTTGAGAGAGTAAACAAGCCAACGAGTCGGTCGGGATCCTCTGTAATGACTTCGAAATCCGTTGAGGATTGAGCGTATAGTAGACGCGATTTTCCCGTCAGTCGGGGGAGGTGTTAGGGGAGAGCTAACGAATCTCCCAGGGGGCGTAATTTGATCTGCCATGACATATCGCTGACATGGTAACAATGTTTGCTTGATGGTGACATAGTCCAACACGGATGCCTGTAGAGTGCATTGTTGGTAGCTTTAGCCGCCGTAGCCTTGCATCTTAGTTCGCGAGGACGCCATGTCGGAACATGGGTTCTTCCCTTGCCCTTTGGTGTCAGGCTGCACAGCCTTAGTAAGCATCTCATTAGTAACGTAAATCCTGGGCGAGTGGCCACCCCCTACCCGAGTGGCCCATCTTATACTTCATACAAAATGCTACTTCTTTATACTTATATATCTCAACAACCAAGGGTTATGAGGACTTATTGTCTTATATACAGGATAAGAAGGTGTATTAAGGTATTCTATTAGAATCTTAGATAGTCTTTCCTGCTTAATCCTCAAATACAAGTACAAGTAGCTGTATTATTTGGTAATTTTAAAGAATCTTGTATTATATAATAAATATTAGAAAAAAGATTTAGAAAAGCTAGATATAAAATATTTATAATATAACTACCCTTTAGGACTTCATAATATATTACTATCTTATCTAGTTGTGGAGATATATAAGCATGAAAAAGAGACATTTACCAGCTGGGCGGCTCGGTAGGGGTGGGCGACTCGCCCGGGAATTACGTTAACTAACTAACTAGCCGTCACCTGCCCTATCACGTGTTCCAGTGCAGTCTATTTTGCTTAGTACATTTTACTTTTGACTTCTTTAATTGGCTATTCTGTTGCCTAAATAGCCACAAACGCGCAACACCTCTAGTTTAGGCCGGCTGTTTCAGGAGGCGGGGTAATAAACCAATGGTTTGTTGTGTGTTGAGAGGGAGAGTGTGGAACGAAGTGGGGCAGCCAGCCTGGTCGCTCCGGTCGCCAGGTGTCGCCGGGCACCATCTAAAGCGCACGCCGGTGGCCGTGTCCCAGAGTGGGGCGGTCTTGCCATCAGAGGCGGACGCCATTGTCTGCCCGTCAGGTGAGAAGGCCACTTGGCTGACCGAGCGTTATAGCCGGTTTTCATCGGCTATAACTAATTTCCTAAGGAAAGGTCTATCATGGACGAACGAGGAATTTGATCGCCTAGAAGAATGGCTCCCTGAGCATCAAGCTCTAGATCAAGAGGAATCCGGAGCGCTCCGGATAGGTGTTATAGTCTTCACAAAGCTGTTTCAAAACCATATTCTAGGCGGCCAATGGAGATCATTTCAGCTTCAATGGCTTTTCTCAGAGAGCAAGGCATTCTGCTGTCCCGAACTCCTCCACCGTGAATGTGTATGGTTTTTTTTCCACGCGACTTGCTTGGGCATCATTCTGTTCCGATGACGCACCTTGGCTTACCCCTTTGGCTGAACTCCGGACGCTTGGCTGATACACGTCGAGTCACCGAGCTGCGTATGTAAATTCTACAGCTACATTACCAGCGGGCTATTCTATCGCGCGTGAATAACCATGTCTAATGGTCGGAGGACGACTGGAAAGACAACCGGGCAAACGACGGGCATTTCTGACGATCCCCCTAGTCCCGCTCCACCTTGCCCGGGAAATTGCCCAAGGTTGTTGTGGTTAATGGTGTTTAGGCGTGATTTATGTCGGTATTTGAAATGATTCACTATGCACACAAATATCCTTCCTTTAATTACTGGATTCCTGCCAGCATGGTGAATGTTTCTAGTCATACTGAAATAGAAGCAAGCAATTTGCCTTTATTTTACCGACACAGCCAGACTCTCGTAAACATACCCATCATACTCTTTTTTTGGAGACGCCCCTGGATCTTATCCAATTTGTTCCATGCGGATTCCCACATTGACCGGCCTTCACACCGGGGAGCCACCAATAACAGACTGCTGGGTTTTGTGTCTTTACCCGTAACCCGCAAGTAATCCATGCTATCACGTTGGTTATTCGTCGTGTAACATAGCCTGTACGTGGGTAATTGTAGAAAAGCCCAGGCAAAGCGGGAGGGAAGATGCCCGCCGATCGTGGCTTCAACCATTGTTTTCTCGTCCTGGAACCAGAAGGCAGCGCCACTAATCCTTTTCGGGAACTTGACCAGAGAGTACAAATTTAGGTCCATCCGAGAATCCGAACAACGTCCAGAACAAAATTACGAATCTAAATTCCATTTGGGGGGATAGGTTAAATGTGTCCATTTAGAAACTTATGCTCGTCCCATTACCTTATATCACGCAGCAGTGCGTTTTAATTACTTCAGGAGGAGTTGGCGTGTCCGAGCTCCTTCTCCTGTAGATGGAAGCAAGGCATATATATATATCTATACACATGATGACTATCTTTATGGAACCCAAGCGTATTGGGAGCTACAACCATCATTCCCTCGATCAAATGCCCAGATACCAAAACCACCCGTCTCATGGACTTGCGTATTGGTTCTAATTTATTCCTTTATTCCCCAATACCCGGTCGGTGTTGAATGCTTAACAGTATAGCTACGCAGATAACCTCGCCTACCCGGTAAACTGGGCATCCATTTATCTCCCGGGAGACAAAATAATGAAATTTGTAATCTTTCGTAGGGGAAAAAGTAAAAGACTAGACCAATTATAATCTAAATACGTATTAAGCGAGTGTCTCCAAGGCTGCGATTAGCTTCACGAGACCGATTAGACACCATTGCCCGTCAGTGATGCAGCCATCCAAACTATCTGCAACTTGAAAAATCACTACACGATGCTACTGTCGAGAACGGACGGCTTTGCAAATAGAGAGAGTTGACCGGTAGACGGTTAGAAACATACTGTTAAGCTTGCTTGTTGCTATCTTACCTGATCAGTTATCTTGTCCGTATCCCCGCCAAGCAACATAATTATTATATAAGGAGGCCTTCTGTTTGGCTGGCCGCGCGTCTCACATAAACACGCAGTAATCAGACGCGTTCGAACGGGCAATCCTGCGCGTCACTAACTAGGTGTATGCTATCACACACCTTTGTTCGCCATTTAGAACCCCTAAGATTAGACCGTCTATCATATCAATGTTGCCTTCTGTTTCCCAGCGCCTCGTCGCCTGCCTTGTCCGTATATATTAAAGGGATATGTCCTGAATGGCGCAGGACAAAGTCACTGGCCTGCCAATATGCTGTTACAAGGGACAAGAACTACCAGACGGACATGAAGAGGCCAAACAGCGGTAGACCGCGTTTAATCTGAGCTTCGTCAATCCCAAGATAACTCCCAATATACTGGGCCTTATTGGCTCCTTTCCCCCGCTGTAACCGCTTCCTGGATTAATGATTCATGGTCTGAACTGACCGCTTCCACACCAGAAGATCAACCATAATTGCCTTACAGGCCCTCAGAGAAATATCCAAGCTGAGGATTGCACAATGTGTCGCAGATTACTCGACATACCCTGAAATCTGGTATTCTCGGTTGCCAGGTGTCACACGCCTGCATAACGGGCTACGGCGCCGGGCTGCACACCCACGCGAAGCATTTCTTTGAGCGAGGATGACCGTATAAGACCGAACATGGTTAATCGCCGTCTAGGTACGGATCCCCCGGCAGATTATCCAATATGAATGGCTCCCAGCCGGAAGGACGGGGCCATCGGCTGCGTCCATCTGCACCGCAATAACATTATGAACTGGCTAAGCGGTACGTGGTTGTGGATTGTATGTCAACTTGGGGCGCATACTTCCCAGGCTTCGAGGTATATGCTGCTGAATCAGACATCGAAGTGCCTGCTGACATCCAGCCTGACGCATCTAGCACCCGAATACGAGATGACACCGTCAACCAGCGAAGCGAAAGACATAAACCACCCTCCCATGATTCCAGGATCGGCTTGCCTCCATCTATGTCTCGCAGTTGCGCCAGGGATATAGCCTCGTCGGCTGCGCCGTTTGACCGGCTACGGTGCCAATGTTGCGGTGGCACACGTTCACGGTCTTACCATTGCCGACACTACCATGACCCCATAGCGTATCCTGCCATAGGGGTCTGCTCTCGCCGTCGGACGGGCTGCGCAAACATGAAGATGTCGAAAGAATGGAGTATCCTGGGCCCGATTCCGGAGCTACCTGGCTGGGGCCATGCGATGGACCAGGGGTGACCGTTATCGCGCAAGAAACAGATGTCAGCCATGTTAGTAATAGAACGTCCGTAGGATAAAAGCAGGGAGATTATCGAATCGATCAATATGCATAAGTAATCGTCAAATAAGCGGCCATCCGCAGATCTGTCTTTTGGAATGGCCACGGCTCTCAAATATTCGGGAGACGACCCACTTGAGGTGGTTCGTGGACGGTTCGGCAGCGTCGGCCGCTGTGTCAGTGTCTAGCCACTCATTGTACGGCTCAACGTCAATATCCAGGAGCCTGAGCTCATCGCTCGTCTGGCTGAACGATTGCCTTGACCTGGTTGCGGATAGACTGTCGGATACCCACTGTAGACGAGTGACCTGTTAGTATGGCTTGGCCGGAAACATCAGCCATCCCCAGACTTGGAAGAGTGTTCATACCGCCTACAAACATACTCACTTGACGTGTATTTAGGCACTCCCTCATAGTCTGCGCCACATCCAGAGACCCTTCAAGGGATCGGAGTCTAGTACCGGGTTTATGAAAGGGCTCATTCTTGCAGGTTTGGCGGTGGTAGAGGGAGAAGTGGAGGATATATCACGGTCAGCTTACGAACGGCTGTCTGCTCGACTGTCGCAGTACCTTGGCTTCTTGGCGATCGAGGTCAAGCAAATGTTGCATGTTCACTCAACGGCGATTGTCTAGACATTGTTAGCTCAGTCCACCGTTCTATGGGAGACAACGACGAATTGCTGCGAAAGCGCGGTACCAAGGTCTTCCGTTTTCCAGACAACGATGAGCTTCCGTACCACGGCGTGGTGCTGTTCACTCGCTAGGACACGTGTCTGGGTAAGCGAGAATACTCGTACAATCTCGACATCCTCTACAATGAGAAGCACGGTCCGGAAATGAGCGAGACCAGGCGGTCTCCCGTATGGCCCTAGCACGGGCGCGGTCTTTCGCACGTTGTAAAGTCGTTTGGCTTTATAAAGCGCAACTGCAAATGCAGAAGACTGTGGGCGGACTAGCACATGTAGCGTACAGGAGCTCGTGACTGTAGCCAATGTATCTACCTCTCCTAATGTGCACTCCAGGCCCGTGAAGTGCTACGGTCCCTGGGTTTGCGTTGGTGAACCCTCCGGCCCTGGCGTCTTTCCAGGATGCGATGTAGAAAAGCAGCAGTTGGCCGGCAATGCACAAGCCTGCATGTGGGAGCCAAAGGTACACATATTGTCCCAGCTCAACCTTCCACCGAGAGGGAACGGTGATGTCCATCCTCAGCAGCTCATGACCCGGGAATACGACAATAGAAGGCCAGGGGCATCCCCCGCGCCTTATTAGAGGGACAGTCAAGGGATCCGCAGTCAGGGCGACTAACAGTGACGCTGCAGCCACCAAGTATCGGAGGTATTTTGATCGACGCATCTAGACATGGCAGACATCGAAGCCAGACCGGTTGACCCCGAGTGATAGTGACACTTCATCGCCAGCTGCGGGTGACGGCGAACAACCACATGCAGCGTCACGGGAAAGATCAAGATCATGAAACATGCTGCTTGTTTCTGATTAGATACATGATTGGTATGGGGGAATATGCCACACTGGATATTTCCAGAGATAGTGAGTGATATCTCACTAGAAGGAACGTAATGCTGTCGTATGGCTGGCACTGGTTGGTCATCATTTAGGATAGCAATAGCTCCATGGAGCGGGGTGGATGACGACCATCCGGCCAATTCATCGATGCATCCATGCTACCGCCGACCAATCAATCCCAGAAGATACGCGGGAAGGCCGAAGGTTAAACCTGTCTACAAAGAAATGAGATTAGTAACCGCGACCGCGAGTTTGGCAGCACGTCGGCGCACAGTGACCCAGGATCGAGCTCGCAAGGCCAGTGGCAGGATGTTCACTGAGCAGAAGTGTGACCATGGAACCCTGTTGAATGTGAGCATATCGAAGTGACAGAATGGTCTCGAGGGCGAGTAGCCAAGGAGCCACCGTACGAGCCAACTTGCCAGGGCGATTGCGGTGCATATTCCATACCAATCAGTCTGCGATATGTGGGCGATATGGCCATACCAGAGGGATGTCGCTGGAGGCATTCTGCTAGTCGGGGTGGGTAGCCTGGGGAGCAGGGTGTATTTGTATCCCGTCTGCGGTGCCTTCTGAGAGCCCTAAATTAGATGCTTGCAACAGGGAAGTTGGAGTAAGCAGACTTAATGGGCATTAATGCGGGTGGTCTGTTCCATCTTACTCGATCTATCTTTGGACCCTGACCGGCGGCAGAATGACTGGGATCTAGGAAAGTGATAGACAAGAAACTGAGGGGCCTCTTTCTTAACACGCGGGCGAGATGTTTCCGAACTAGAGAAAAACTAACCGGCGCATGTACACACACACACACACACAATTTATTAACGCCCGGCGGCTGAACCGAAAGGGCAACTATCACTGAACTATTATACATGTCCAAATATATATGCCTTGTCTCCTCGAAGCCCATGCATGACCACGCTCATTTTATGTTGTATCAGCAGTCAGTATCATCGCGGTCCTTGTGGGTTAGTAATTTGGTTGGTAGACTAGCTTGAAGGCGCTTCTTCAAGTGTTCAACATCCTATTCTCGGCAATTGAAGCGCGTCTACCGTCTCTGGCACAAGGTGGTTGTTGTAGGTTAGTTTGGGGAGGGTATCATTGGTGTTGGCTAAAATGGTTAAACAGCTTCGAGTCGGCCTCGATTGCAAATTGTATTGAGGCTTGTACTGCTTCCAGGTTCGGCGACCAGCCCTGATCATTGGAAGGGGATTTTCCGCCTAGAAAGAAGGATATGTTCTCTCGGTGGGTATGGGTATATTGCAGCATTTCCGTCTGTTGTGCGGTCTACTTCTGATATCGAAAGAGGAAGTGCTTGACTGTTTCACTTGCTTGTCCACAGGCACACTGGTCCGTCTGTGATATATTGATTTGATAGAGATATCCATTTAATCTTGCCATGCCGGTTCGGAGTTGAGCCAGCACGCTCGCTTCTTTCCATGATAACCGGTCATACAGTTGCCGGGTGTGTTTGCCTGGGAGTGCTGCATCCACTCGTTTAGCGTGTCTCCCTACGCTCTCTGGCAGGCCATTTCTGGGGACTGCTTGGGAACGTGCGATTTTCAGTGTGGTCAACTTCATCCTGGGGACCTGTTTTTGCGGGACAGTGTCTTTTTGTGTCGCGGCTCTGGCCTGCTCTTTGGCCAGACCTAGCAGTTTATTGTCTTTGTTAGCGGGGATCCAACGGATATTGATCTGGTTTCTATGTCTCCGCAGTCTTCTTATTAACTTGTATAGTTGGCAGACGAATTCCTGGCCCGACTGTTGTCGGGGATTTCTTAGTGTCAGAGCCGCCGCTTTGTTGCTCGTGAGCAGCGAAATTTTATAAGCTTTTAATCCTATTGCCGTGTTCAATGCATGTGCCATTGCTGCTAGCTCTGCAGAGAATGGATTTTGCTCCGCTCTTGCACCTAATGTGATAGAAAAGGTCTTCAGTTTCGGTTTTTGATACTGAGGCGGCTGTTTCTCGGTTGCCACCCCAAATCCTACTACCGCGTTTCGTGCCGAACTGCTGACCGCGATCTGCATTGGCCTGTCTGGTTCGGTTTGTGACTCCGGGATTACTTGTATATCAGCCTGCACGCGTGCCTCCCATGGTGGTAAAGTAAACGGATTGATAGTTTCAAGTGTTTCTATCTCGATGTTCTTCAGCGCGTCCGCTATATGGTATAACGGTGAGCAATAGAACCTCCTGAATTTCTTGATCCGCGCTGTATTTCTGCGGAGGGGATTGGTCTCTGGTAGGGTGTGGATGTCTGTCCATATCTTCACGGCCTGTCTCCAGAATCGCTGTTATATAGTAGCAATGTGGGCCTCCGCCTCTGCTACACTGGTCGCAACCGTGAGGAACGTTCCTACTATGGTCTGCGCTCCTACCCTTTGGACTCGGTTGATCGGCCCGATGGCCTTATCCTTGCACGCGTGCATCCAGACATTAGACGCGTAGTCCACCACCGGGGCCACCGTCGATGTGAAGAGCTGCCGCGCTGTTGCGGGGGTTAGGCCTCGAAGTCGTCGAAGCTCCATCGCTGCCTCCAGGCCCTTGGACGCTGCCCTCGCGATATGTTCCTTGTACTTGAGTCTCGTGTCCATTAGGACCCCCAGGACCTTGACATGGTCTTTGGGCTCAACAGTTTGTCCCTTGATAGTAAAAGGATCCTGGTCTACTTTGTGCGCCTTGGGAGCAAAGTGTATGATAGCTGTCTTGTCTGCTTTGAAGGTTGCTCCGCTCCTCTTTTCCTAGTCGAGTGCTTTACTGATAATTGTTTCAATACCTTCCCGGTTACTCCGTGCAGTTGGCCCGGTCACCCATGCGGTGAAATCGTCCACAAAAGCGATCGCTCCGCCCTGGCTGTCGATCTGTCGTTGAACAAGGTCTGCATTGAAGAAGAGGAACAGGATCGGAGACAGGGGCGAGCCCTGTGGCAGTCCAGCCTGTGGCAGACTTTAGACCTCAGACAACTACCTATTGATTTGGATATTCGCTGTTCGTTCCGAGCAGAACGCCTCAACCCATCGAAGCAGGATCTCCGGTATGTCTCGGGCTTTTATCCTCTGAATCAATTGTTCTTTGCACACTCTGTTGTAGGCTCCTTTGACATCAAAGCTGATCAGGCTTAACACCCGTCGGCCGCGCCACGCCGTGTAGATTTGCTCTTGCAGGAGCACGAGTGCTTATTCCGCGGACTGTTGTTTTCGGGCTCCGAAGTGGCTGGTCGGGAGCAACCCGTGAGTCTCTACCGCGTGTGAGATTCTTTTTGCGACCACTAATTCTAGTATCTTTCCTAGTGTCGCTAGGAGTGAGATCAGCCTCCATGCCTTGGCGATTGCATAGTTCTCTTTATTCAGCTTTTTGAGTGGTATAATCTTCGCGTGTCTCCACTGTCTTAGCAATGTGCCTTCCTCCAGCAAGGATTAGAATAGATCAAGGACCCTGTGCTTGACCGTGGGCCACGTCATCTTCCAGACTATCACTGGTAGGCCATCTTCGCCAGGCGCCTTCCACGACTTTGCCGCCAACAGTTGCCGCTCTACCTCCTCTATCGTGATGGCGGGTATCTCTACCGGTGCTTTCTCAGGTCTAGTTCCTTCATTGTCAATATTGTCTGGCAGAGGCGGAAAGAATTTAGTTAATAATTCTTCTGCTTGCTCCGTATGATCAGTGGTGGTGTTTCTATTTGTTCTTAGGAGCTGCGGGACCTTCCCGAATGCTATATCCTCCCCCGATTTCAGGTATTTAGCGGCTTTCCAGATGTTATTATTGTCTGCAAGAAATTTGTTCCAGTGCTTTTTTTTCTGTTTCCGGATAGCGTCATAATACTGTTTTGCCGCACTTTGGGCCGTCTTTTCTAGATGTGGTACCTTTCGCCCTGCCCGTCGCTCAGACCGGGCGCGATTTCGCTAATAAATATATATTTGGCGGAGCTGTGTCAGGTCAGCTGTCTACCATCTCTTCGCGTGTGGCGACAGTCTTGCTTTTGGTGTCAAGGCATGCACTGCTTCTGAGACTGCAGACATCAGTCGATCGGTTTTCTGCTGCACTGTGCCTTCCGACGGAGTGGCAGCCAGGGTGCTCGCGATTCTGGCGTTAATCTCTTTCCATAGCGCGTTTTTTAGTAGCAGCTGTTCCTGATGCTTTAGGATCGGCCATGGGGTATTAAATACAGTCTCGATGGCGCAATAATCCGAGCCATAGTCTGTCTTATATATCGCACACTTAGCCACCGAGTCTGCCAGGTTTTCTGAGGCCAGGACGAGATTAATTATAGACTCACAGTCCCCGCTCTGTCCTTTGCCATGCCATATCTTTGTGCCTTGTTTGAGTAGACTGCTGAGGGAATATTTATTTATAAGGTTAATGATTAGATCCGCTTCACCTTGCCTTGTCAGCGACACGTCATCTCCTCCCCAGAGTTGGTCATGACGGTTGAAATCTCCCACAATCATGAGCTCCACCATGGTGCCCGTGTCGCGCTGTACTTTCGTGATCACCTTTCTTAGGTAATCGCACACGTCGTCCAGTGCTGGGGCATCCCCTCCCTCTACGTAAACTGATACCATAAAGATCAGTCGCCCGGGAAACCGGATAACTGCTGCTGTCAGATCTGGGGATTTAATTGTTACTTGCTCCGCCTTTATATCTTTCTTGATCCAGAGCATACTTCGGATCGCCCATCTGCCTTCCCTCCAGGTAGAAGGCACCATCTTTGTCCATTTATAATATCCCATCGGGGTAGTCAAGAGCCGGCCTTGAATTCTCCTCGCTTGGGGTTCCTGAATCGCTAATGCCACTGCATTCTGGGTTTCTTCGTCGTTCATTAAGCTCTCGTGCACTACACCCTGTTTCCTCACGTTCAGTTGAATTACTCGGAGAGTTTTATTCATGACGTGATAGATAGAGCCTCTGACAGTTTTTGCTGTACGATTTATGAGGGCCTCCGCATGGAACGTACTTTAGAACCGTTTGGTCGCAGTTACTGTGGCGATGGCCTTCCGCGGCGTATTTTGCACACCTCTGGATGTTCTTGTACTGGAATGCTTTATGGCTAATCTTCTGACAGTTGTAGCATTGTATCGGTCGTGGTTGGTGTTTAAAGACTCTGGTCACACCGGATTTCTCTCCGGCGTGAAAGAACCTGTCGACCAGAAGTCTCTGCGCATCAGCGCCTTTCGTTAGGTAAACCATTATTGACCCATAGGCCTTTGCACTCTCCTTTCTGCTGAGCCACGCGATCTTGGCAACGGTGGCTTCGTTCTCCTCGCTGAAGGCTGCTGCGGCCCCTACCCGGATATCCCTATTTTTATCGAGCACTGCGGCCTTATTGACGCTGTTAACTTTGATCGGGTAAAGCTCGTCACGGAGCACCCAGGCTCCCGCGCCAACCTTTGTTTCCGCCACTTTTTTGACTAGCTGGTGTTCAGTTTCGTCGCGGCATACTATTCTGATCCGGTTTATGTTTTTCGAATCTACCGTGACAGCGCGACAGCGCCAGTGCATGTGGTTTTCTATCGTCCGAATTTCTGTCTCAACCGCCGCCCGTATTAGGCCTGCGGACATCCTCTCACGTTCATCATCTGCCATCCTTGAAGTGTCTATCATGCAATATAATATGTCGGTGAAGGCGGTCGGTGTCGTGTTCGATGTTAAGAGAGTCCGTATGTTGCTCGGGTGACTGGTTGGAGGGGTGCGGGCGACATCTGCATAGGACAGGGAACTTGTGGGGTCTGAAGGACTGATTGTAATGCGCAGGGATTGAATTTCGCGGAGGATCTCATCGTGACTGTTTTGAGAGTATGCCTCAGATTACGGTGTCAGGGGTCTATCTGTCAGGGTCTGCAGCTCGTGTCAAACTTCTGCGAGTACGGCACTAAATTCTTCTTTGACTTTCTGAAGCTCTTCCTTATGTAGTTCATCTCGCCGTCTGATCTCTTTCCTGAGTTTGATAAGCTCTTTAACAAATATGGTGGCGTCTAGGTCCTCGCTCTCTGTCGAGGAGTCGTCCGAAGTCACCGTATTATGCTGGGCTACTGGTTTGGCCCGGGTCTTCTTCTTCCGCTGGGGGTGCTTGTTTCTCTGCTCGGTATCGATCTCTTGGTCTCGAGCATAGTGAGTCGGTGGTCTTGTGGTACGTTTCGGCCTCGCCAATCGTGGTGGTGAATTTTCGTGTTCGTCGCGGTCGGGCGGTTCAGGGGTTCGCGTCTCGGCCCGTCCCGACATTTTTTCCTAGCAACGCAGCCTCTTCTATATGATCACACTTAAATCCCAACAGTGTACAGGGTTTCCGGCAACTGGTGTCACCACTGACGTGGCGTTACAGTAGTGATGAATTGTTCCGGCGCATGTACAGTAAAAGTCAAAAGTAATGTCACCCCTAAGAACTGTTTCTTGGTTTCTCAGACCCTAGCACGAAAGACACTAGTACTGATTAGGAAGATCCCGGAATAATAATATTCCCTCAGTTACGACGTATTGTACAATACCGCTATTAGAATGACGTCATGTTTGGTCTTTGTACGGTTCCATACACGGGGTCGAAGTGGCTGGAAGCTTCCATGTAAACTAGTGCAAACCGTCGAACCGTCGAATCCTAGGCTCCTTGGTTAGGCCAACCGTCAACATCTTTCCTGTTCCTATCTTGCCCTTGATATACTGGGTTCATGTGACCGATCTGCCACGCACAATTTCGGATTCTACGGTACACAAAATTGCTGGCCGTATAGGGGCTCGAACAATTGTTTCTTGCCTGCTTACTGCAGTCGCAAAAGCGCCCGCGTTGAAAATACTCTCATTGAAGGCAACGATATGAAATGGCCCCCGCTCTATATCTCCTTTCTAAAAAAGGCCCTCACCTTTGTAAATAGGATAGGAAGCCCTGCGCCGCCCCCGAGCGCAAGCACGTAACGGTTGATGAGAGTGGAAAGAATAAATACTGTAGAGGAGCGCCTCTGTTCTCATTCCGCAGGAAGAACCGATGCAGGAGAATGTTCGAGTAGCTTGGTCAATCATTCTGCGTCATAATGTCGCTGCATGGGTCATGTAGTGCCGACGATGATGCGTCTAGTATTTACAGCCGACCACCCCATATACCGAAGCTTGCGCAGCCATCGGCTTGTCCAGCCCCGCATGATCTGCCCGACATTCAACCGCTCGATCACCAAATATACCTGGCTCGCGGATCCACCATCGCGCTGGAAACCACCCGGGCACGGTTGCAGTGTGCCAAAGCCAACCGGCGACTCTCGTTGCCGGAGACCATCGTCGAAAAGAAGCGACAGTGGCAATGTCAGGATCACGAGAATCGCTTCTTTGAAACCTGTCTGGAAATCCTGGAGGATTTGTCCGCGGTCGCCGTCGATGTATCTCAAGAGCTGATTTTGCAATACGAGTTCGAGCCAGAGACCAGCCCGGAGGGCAACGCGCGCGTTCGACGAGCAAACCAGCGGCTTCGCAGCGCCCTGCAGCAAGCGCTCCAGCGGGAAGCACGTGCGGAGTTTGAATGGAAAAGACAATGGAATGTTCCTCGGATCGGAGGACCTTCCGTGAGGTGGGTCTAGGGGCGGGCAACACTTCATTAGGTGCTACTTGGTCATGTATATGTAGCGCCGTCTCATCTTGATCTATGGACAGACTATACCGTATGTCATGGGACGCGACACTCTTCTACTTCCCACCAACTGTCCACCCCACGTAGCCGTTTCCCAGCCAAGGCGTTTAGGAGCGTAGTAGATATCTGCCTCTGAGGTGGTCCTGGGGCTCTCGAGATGAGCGTCTATCCTCAATTGACGGCAAAGCCCCTCCTTTTCGCCCCAATGGCCGGTGAGGGAATCGTTCACGACCGTCTAATACCTGCGGGGCTAGTTGCGGTCTGGACAACAGCGGTGGTCTGCTGGCGATGATGATATCGTCGCCATGGCCGACGCCCAACCCGCTCCGCTGCCATCCATAGCTGCGGCTCGGTGGTGCAGGGATAAGGCCACCTAGTGCCCAGATTTTGACCAACATCCCCTGTATACGCGGGTTGATGGCCTTGTGTTCTGAGGAAGCAGGGCAAAGAGGCCATGGACCGGTGAACCCAGCGTAGTCAATCTGGCCATCCGGGTAAAGCTGGTAGCGCGCCGAACCGCCCTGACGTTTCCATTCCACTGTACTGGAGGACAGTTATGGAGCGAACCACAGTGCAATGAGAAGCTTCCTGATCGCCTTCTTGTCTTCTTACCCCATCAGGGCAACAGCTGCATGGGCGGGAGTGGCTCTGTGGCTGCCCAGGCACGTCACGGCAGCACCGGATAAAACTAAGTGACACGAGATTTTACATGATCTGTACAGATTGTCTAATATTTATAACGTCTGCTCGCGCGCAAAAAAACTACACAATTGACTTGGCCCGCAGCGAACTCATTGTCTGTCACCCTAAGAATAGTCCCGAGATAACCAACTCCTCGCCATCTTCAAGACCGTTGACCATCGAAAATCATGAGGCAGATGTCGCTGGAGCAGGCCAATCACCCGGATCGGCTTGGCATAGCTCGGATGCCTCTGCGCAATTGCACGCAGGAGCGTGGTATCGTCAATCACTCCATGCGCCATTGCGGCTTCCTCGTCCAGACAGCGTTGAATTGTTTGGAGCTGTCGTTGAAAAAAAGCAATGCCAGCCTGACGTGCCCGATCGTACAACCGGGCTGCCGTGGATTTTGCGATCGCACAACCACCGTCCTCTCTCAACCGAGCCGTGCGTCGGGCACGCCGCCCGTGCTTGTTGCCGCCTTTGGACAATGATCCTATATTTGCTTGGCTAGTAGATACTAGATGCAACAGTTCAGCCACAAAGTGGTCCATGGAACGCTTCATGTGCTCATTGCTCGTCATGTCGCCTCCAGGGGTGAAAGGGGGGTTGCTCACCGGCCCCACTGTTTTTTCACTGATAGAGGGAGTCCAGTAGCCGGTAGGACTATTTTGACCGTCAGCCGCTGGCCGCTGACGAAATTGATCTGTCTGAGCATTGTCTCTGGACTCGGTTGGTAAGTTCACAGAGGATGCCATTGGGTTGTGGAAAAGAACTAATGCCTGTGAATGGCTGTCATCCGGTAAGGTATCCTTGAGTATTTGAACCGACATTTCATGGTTCCTGTCCATGACGCTAGATTCCGGACGGTCTGCATATGCACTGTACGGAACTTCCTTGACGAGGTATTGGTCGCCGCGTGAGCCGTCCATGGGGCCGGGCAGTTGCAAGCTTGGGTTTGAACATATCATGACAAGCCATGCCCAATTTATCAGGATCAGGTTACGGTATACCGGACGTGCCGGTCTCCCCAGGTGCCAAAAAGGAGATCCTGAGCAGCCCTTCACACGGAAACGCGCGTAGGATAGCCCTTCATTTTCCTGGGTGTACACGGTAAGGCGATCATGTTCTTGCTCCATTAGCACGCGCAATGATACGCCCCATCAACTTTGCTTTGTTACAAATATAGATAAGAAATAAGTTGCAGTGAATCTATTTGCGGCCCACACTTTGTTGAAACTCGCCCTGCGGAAAAGGAAAGTGAAAAAACCACTATATATCATTTTAACCATTAGCACAGCACCTACAGTAACAAAGGCAGGTTCAGTAAGGATAATGAAGAGTACCCGGCAAATCGTCAAGCGTGTAGGGGCTTAATCCAAACTGGAATCTGGGGCATATTGCAGCTGGGGAGCCCAGGAACAATACATCTCGGTATCGTTGTTTAGTTATTCTTTTCACGAGGGCCATTGTACCCACGTATGGGAGAAAAACACCCAGTATTTGCACATCCGGACTACCTGTCGCTAACCTAGATCTGAATTATTGTGTAATAAGACCGGATTGTCTTGCTATTAATACTAGTTTCGTTTCTGTTAATATTCAAGTGAAGGCCTCAGAAGATACTAAATGCTGTACATAAATACTCCCTTCCTCACAGCATCATGAAGACGTCGGCATCGCATTCCCGACAATATTCGTAGGACTTCCGGAGGAGCTCCTTCAGCGAGCCTGTTTCTGGCAAATCAATTTGAAGTTGTTGGAGTGGCGTGTACGGTGATCTTCTGTTCTTCGGCCATCGTATATAGAATCGGATTCTTTCACAGGAGTCTTCGGGCCCGAGAAGATAGTTGGGGTATAAATAGCCCAGGGGAACGTCGGTGCGGATCCATAATCTCTCAGAATCGAATGCGAAAGAAGCTCGGAATGTATATGTACCAGGCTGGGTGTTAAATGGTTCTAGGGGATGCGACGAGGTGCGATGGCGGCGGTAGGTGTCGAGTGGTTGTGATATCCATCTAGAAGTCCGATGGAGTTGTCTTTCAAGCGCACATATCTGAAGAGAGAGAAGTAGTTGTCAGTGCTCAGTCTCGTGGACTATCTTGCGTGCAGAGATTTCTCGCGTTGATGGTCTGGTACGGCCTCGCAGGAATATATTTTTATCAGTCAACGCTCAATCAAGGTAGAACTCACAGGGAGGGAGTCATAGCGCCTCAGGCCTTGGGTCGCTGCTCTCCTGTTGTTTCCGCCTCGCGGCTCTTAGCCAGGGGTCCGTAACAGAAATGCGCGCGTCAGATGGGGACCGGCGTCAGGTGATCATCCATGGTACGCCGGCCTGCTCGCAAGCGGTGGGTAACTCCCCGCATATGATAGGCTGGGACGGAGAATGAATAGCACCGGCCGACAGCGACCGGCATTATTGACAACCTCATGTGTCTCTTCGTCTGCCCAGATTCTTCGACATGGCCCACCCAGTAAATATCCAAGAAGATCGCGCCTCCCCAGCGTCGTGCGAGTTGAATGCAAATGACAGCACCCCTCCTGAGCAGCGTAACTTCCCTTTAACACCCCCACCGACCGGAGAACGACAAACACAAGACGCGTCGACTGTGGAGCGGGTTCTACGTACCTTCAAGGACCTTCGAAGCTCTTGTCCGACGTCGCTTCCTCTCACGGTGAAGCTGAAGCCAGTGCAGTATTCCAGACTACTTGGTGGACTTACAAAGGACCCAGACCTTAAGGCCTACGTCAACGACAAAGTGCGGTATGAGGCCCGTTTTCCCTCACGTATAATATGCGACTAAAAGTACTAGCTGGGAATTCGACGCAAAATCTGAACAACTTGATGTCCGGATGCCGACCCCGGTGCACGATATTTTCGTGACCTCCATCGCCGGCGAAATAGACAACCAACTCCAGCGAGTAGTTGACGTTAAAGGTCCGGCCAGCAAATTTGCGGCGCAGATCGTGAGCGGTGGATCTTCCCGCATCCTTCTAAGGACAGATACCACTGAGGATGATCAATTGGTGGATTCAGACGTGTGTCTCTGGCGCCAACCCGATGCCCAGTTCCAGCACTCTTTGGCAGCATATCCAGGCGTGGTACTCGAGGTTTCGTATTCGCAGGACGGCAAAAACCTCCAGAAGCTGGCCCGCGACTATATCATGCACTCTAATGGAAATATTAAAGTGGTGATTGGCATCGATGTCACATATGAAGGGAAGGAATCCACGTTGTCCTTATGGCGAGCGTCATATACGCCGGAAGAAGGCGAAGATTACTATAATCTGGATGTCATGCAGGAGGTCAAATCGGAGGTAATCCTGTCCACTATCTCTATTCAAATCCCAGCTGACAGAGATTAGATATTTCGAACGCGAGATGGTTGCCCCACGAACACAACTAAGAGTATCCGCGTTTGTCTTGCTGACTTCGGGCCGGATGAGATATCGGGTGAATATGAAGCAGTGGTTATATCACTCAGTTACGATACATTGCTCTCTCTTCTCACCCGTGCGGAGCAGGTGCATATCGCACGAGAGTCGGCTTCCGATAACCGCGGAGTCGAGTCCAAACGCAAGATTAGAAAGCGGAAGTTACCATCATCATCACCGGCTGAGCAGTTGAGATCCGATGATGAAGCGGAGCATCAGCGCCAGGAAATGCAAGCAGAGGAACGGGCTGCTGCGGCGGACGACGATTTCGAATTGCCATCATCCCGCCGGCGGCGGCTTACGGGTTAGAAGGAGATATGTTATGAATGTTTCTGCGGACAGGTCAGGGTTTTCCATCCAGAACTAGAAAAAATTTTGCCTCATCCGAGGAACGGTCTTGAAGCTACTTGTAACTTGGATGATATTACAAGGAGATTGTTTGGTTATTGCCGACTATTTCTACCTACGGGGAGGAAAGGTGACTGTACTTATCTGCACAGGATGGAGCTGGACACAGTGCGGAAGATACTATAAAGCAGTTCTATGAACGAGGAATACATTTATCCTGTTATCCAAACTCGCCAGCCTCTCAACGTGGATTGCCTTCGGTTTACCCTGGTTGATAGGCCGTTCAGAAGTAGAATTCTTGCCAGGGCTTATTGTAAATTCGGGAAAATGTGGGATGATCGCCCAATCAAAAAAGTACTGTCTATACAGGTGCTGTCAGGTTCTCAGAAAGATTGCGTTCTCCTGTTTTAACCCTCATGCTCTCCAGGAATTAAGGCCCATCACACTCACAGTCTGCTGGCCCAGGACTCGCTTGTGGCGCCTAGCAACTTGTCACCATTTGCTTGATACTGCCAATAAAAGAGAGGCTTCCAGGCATTGTTGCCTCAACCGTCGTTTAGCACAAGGGATGCCGTAGCTCAGATATTCTCTAAGCAACCCACCAACCCGTGGCCTTAGTACAGTATGTCGTCTTTTTATACCCGCAAGTGAGTGAGGTTCGACGAGCGAGAGCGCTGAATGGGGTGTATGCACCAATACCCCTCATTTCAAATCTCGGTGAGCCGTTGCTCGCAAACACTAGTGCATGACTCATTGTGATGCTGATAGTGGGAGACAAACTACGCAAGGGGGCAAGAAGGGGGTTAGAGTCAACCAGTCCATCCCCGACGCGCTATTACAAGTCGAACTTTACAAGCCGATAAGAAATTTTGGTAATCCAGAGGCAATAAATCGCAAGCATTTTGGCGCTGGATATACCGGTATCAGTCTGCAGATGAAGTGCTTTCGACGGAATTGAAGAATCGAATTCCACATAACGCACTTCCATGGCTGCCCAGGGCCCTGTAAATATGCTTTGGAACATTTCGTATCCATACTATGTACAACATCCGCTATCTACGCGCTACTCGAGGCAAGGGAAGGTCACGCTAAAGTTTTCGTTTATGGCGACATTACATTCCAATGTCAACTTGTGACTTCACCGATTTTTATCAGCAAGGGGGCATAATCGGTCGGCGACGTATATCTAGTGGGTTATATAGCATGCATCCATATCATTTGTATACTGAATTATCCTTCCTTCTGGAGTGACGTCGCCCTTAGCCAAATAATCGCCAATATGACGGAGCACAGACTGAATGATCTTTTGACCCCTCTATTTCTCAATGAGTATATCAGCAATGAGCTTCGGAGTATCTTCATTGACTTTGTCTTTCACGGTCGACCACGAAGAGACATCGATGGAGCCAACGGAATGAACTCGTGTGTCAGTGACGATATATCAGTAACTACAATATGTTCTCTAGAACCGACTCCTTCAGATTCCCGTCGATTCCAGAAAGTTTCATGGGTACCACAATGCGCATCGCGAACTGTTCTCTGGGATAAAATGAACCAACTGCTTCAAAGGCTGTGGGGTGATGCCATAGCTGCTGCTCAAAACGGAAATACATATCTGAGCACTCGGTGGGAGGTCGGCTGCTTTCGGAGGAGTGAGAATGGCAAATTGGAGTCCGCTCCTTTTGCATCCGACGATTTGGTATTGCTTCAGTAAAGAAATCCTTCCTGAATATCACCATTGGTTCCATCGCTGACGGTATGAAAGTGATATCTTCATTGAAAACCCCGTCATGGATCCTGCGTTGCTGGCAAAAATTGCCCTTTTGGCGATCATTCGGGGCCATCCCAGTATCGAAGATCTTGGTTACTGCGGTATGGCTTTTGTAAACCGATTTTCAGGGCAGTGGCCGGGAGTCCCGTGGAAACAATGGTGTTGCATGAATGATCCCTACTGTCATATGCAGTTTCACGCCCGCTATCTTCGCCGGTGTCCAGCAGATTGTGCTTCATTGCCAAACTGCGAAGGTTTACTCATTCAACGTGAATCTATGAACACCCAATTCCTAGGTGGCTGCAAACTTCGCGAGAGTCGGATAGCTATCTCTGTCAGTTCAATGATGGGCTCGAAGCCAGCTTCGTTCTCAACAGTCACTCTGCGAGACCACAAATCTGAGGAACACCATGACATGCGTAGTCCGCGCGCCAGAGAAGATGCTCGAATTCTTATGCGGGCTAACAACTGTGGTGGTTTCCCATGTGTTGCCGAATTCCAAGTCGAGACACATGTTCTGCTCCAGGACTGGCAGCAAGAATGGAACAGTACATTAGGTCATATTGAGCGGATAGTGGTATGTAACAGGCGTTCTATGATCTTTCTACATCTAAAGGCATAATGCTAACAGTAAGCCTTAGACTCGGAAATTCCGCCTACAGGACTGTCGGATTTACCATAAATGGCTCGAAATTTCTGAGAAATATATTTGCGAGACAAATGAGGACATAAGGCATCTAAGATCTAGTTTCACGTGTTGTTTTCCAAATGCACCTGACCAAATAAATGCGAACTGGGACAACTTGGTTGAAGGGCAATTGGAAAGAATGGCGCAGCTTAAAGGAAGAGTTAGAAAAGTTCGGGATACTGTCGTTGAGCGAGAGTTGATTTTCCAGTCAAACTCAAGAACGCGCCATGCTCAGTGTTTACACAGACTTGCCGAGGCCGCTACGGACAGGCAAATCTGGTGTAGCTGCATCAGGCCCGCTCCCAGATGTGCTGCCAGGCAGTGTTTCCAGAGGACTCAAAAAGGCTCTATTTTTTACTCGGCCTATTTGGCTTTATGCTTCTGGGTCAGCACATGGTCTAGAGCTAAGCCCAACTACATACCTATCCTCCTGCTGCTGCTGATTTCCGTACCCGTTATCTTTCGGTCAACAGGGGTTAAAGCGAAGTGACTCACTTTGATACTGAGTTACAGCATATTGATCAATGTTTAATCCAATACCATAGGCAGGAGTAGTAGGAAAGAAGCAAGATACCGTTTCAGTAAACACAGTAGAGCTGCATCTCCAAAAGCAACCGCCCCCTCTGATTTAATAAACTCCCAAAAACTGGAAACGTCATCCGTAATCGCACTGATAACCTCCGTTTTGCTTCTTAAATCTTCCTGATAATCCTCCTGATCCATAATGCTCTAAAGGAGGGAGGGCTCCCTCCGACTTCTTTAGGTTCCGATTGGCCCACTCAAGCCCCACCCACTGAGCTCCACGCACTATGTTCTTGAGTTGCCACACGCGCCCACGCGACGCGTTTATCAGTCTAAATAAAAACACCGCGATTCAGCTTTTGTCGACTATATCTATCGCTAACCACCTTTTCGCGTGTCGTACTTTAATCAAACAGAAAGGTTGTAATGGAGCAATTTCGCTACCTCCCCGAATATCGAGTACTTATATGCAGGCCTTGCGGTCGTGCTATTCCACCTGCGCACCTTTAGAGTCATCTACAAGATCATCGCAAAGAATGGCTAGGCCTTAACTCCGCTACGGCAATATCCCAGCTTAAGCAACAGCTCCAAAAATATGAATTAGCCGATCCCTTTCAGAAACAAGTCCCGATTCCACCCCCCTCTGCAACCGTCTCCTCACCCGGCAGCAAGCTCCCAAACCGATCTTATTCGTGATCAGATCTACGAGCGGATCCGACAATTAGAGCAGCAAGAGGAACAGCAAAATCGAACTATCACAGCAGATAGCCACCGCACTGCTATCCACCCCTGGCTCGAAAGGACTCGATGGCAAGACTATACCCAGGACTATACCTTTACCGAATTAGCCGCTTTTGCATATATGCCGGGTATAGAGCAAGAACCTCTGTTGCAGCTCTGGATAGAGAGCCTTGATACTATTCTTGATCAGGCTGTTGAGTCCATCTCTACCCACCGAATCAATATGTTTGATCAAGCTCGGATTAATAGCTTTGTTGACGACGCATACCGGCGGCCTAGCCATCGGCCTGTTTTCTATCATGTCCAGCCCGCAACTGAGAAGCGTTATCGACGGATCTGAAGTCGTCTTCTCTGCTTTATCTACCGTCCTACGCAGCCCGGACAGTCAATTCGATTAGGCCACCGCTTAACCGGACTACAGGCAGGTCTGCTCTTTCAGATGAGACAATCAAGTCAGTAATTATGTTCTTCTATTGGGCGGCCGGTATGGCCACTTATCGTAGGGTGGCACAGGCCCAGTAATTTCCGGGTTACTATGCAGAAATCGCCAAGCCATTCAATAAGTGGCTAGCGCGTGGAGCTGGCGCGCTAGGGACCAAAATGATTTTCTTGCAGGCAAATTCCACTGTGGATGTATTATATGACAGACACTGCCGTCTGGATGGCTAGAGCTCCGGTGAAAATGCTTGTATTCAGGTAGGTGGAAGATAGAGCTGGCTAGGTAGACTAAATACACACTGTGCGTCACATGCACAATCACGTGAGCAGCCATACAACCGGCAGGTTCCAACGCACCCCCCCTATGGCTGCGAACGAGCAAGGTTCTGCAGTAAAAAAAACACCAAAATAGACCATTCTTCTTCACAGCTGCGCTTCCATATCCCGTATCTATCCGGCCCGCAAATCGGCTCGCAGATCGGTAGGTAGGCGCGAAAAATGACCGTATATCGACCGTACGGTGTAGTAATAGTCCCTTTCGTGCAAATCGTTAAAAAAAGACATGAAGAATCTCTTCAGTAAAATAAGTATTCGAATCGTAGGCAGCGATCCATACGCTCTTTTTCCTCTCACAGTGGAGGCAGCGTCCACGCGCTCTTTATTCCTAACCCATCCGAAACTCTGTATCATCCCTGATCCGGGGCCTCATCCCAAATCTAGGGTCCAAAACGATGACGAAGGTAGATAGATTTGTACTGTAAGTCGAGGTCGAATTAGTAAGAAAGAAGGTCGTCTTTTCTCGTACGCTGGTAACTCAGCGTAGTAAGCTGCATCTGCGTTTCGCAGTGCAAAACAAGGGAAACGGTAGGCAAATCGCTTTAGAAGCGTCGACAAAATCGCTCGAAACGTCGAGGTAGGTGGACGTAGTAGACGTAGTGGGGGGGGAGGGGAGTACGATCCTCCTTGTGGACCCTCTCCCCCTAGGCGTTTCCCCTAATAGGGGCTTTTGAATCAGATAAGTATGGATAGAGTAGATAGATGAAGCACTTTCGAAGAGTTGTGACTCTTAATCTGACAAGCAATGCCTGCCGAAGGACTAGAAAATCGGTCAGAAACGCTTAGTATTCTCTATCTACGAGTCCTGCAGTGGGCTCAGATATGCGGTCGCCCAGTGTGGGTCATCTGATGCACTAGCTACATGCAGCCTAGCGCCGCAGCCATACAACCGAGCTCCAACAAATAACATACCATGATTATTCGCTAGCCTCTTAGTAGCTGCTATGATTCACCACTACAATTTCTGCCAAGTTACCCGCCATAAATGCCCACCCAGATTGTTCACGGTAGTTAACTACCTTGAATACATGCCCGCCTTCGCACTAACATGCCATGATAAAATACTCACCATCAAACAAGTGATCGCACTATGTAAGATATCCATCACTCCTCATTTTTTTCTTCTCAATTCCAAAACTTGTAGGGTCATCTTTTGACGATTCTACCATACCATGGATCTTGTATCCCTGATTTTTACTCCACTATATTCCACAGCATCAATCTATATAACCTCCTGGTTTTAATTTCCATCGTCTCCAAATTTCCTTCTTCGTTAGCCTTGCTGGCTTATGACGGGGTTGGACGTCTTCTCCTTGCAATCTACACCTTTTCCAGAGTCTAACCTATTGCTCCCCTGACCTCGATCGTATCTCAGGTATATTATCGTCCTTCTTCCGTTGATATAGTAATGATCGTTGTCTTCTCCAGAGATAACCAAAGAATCGCCCGACGTTGTCTTTTTGATCTACATACATGGACCATTGCGGTGAGTTACCCATCACGTTGCATTCGAACTAGCTACTGACTTCTTCGTTAACCATGTCAGGGTTATCTCGCCTCTAGGCTTTGCGGAGATTGTGATTCCTTCCAAGCAATCTGAGCCGGTCGAGGGTTTCCAGAAGAAAAGTCGTTTAGTCTGGCGAAACAAGCCGGCCTGTCCCAGAACTTCGACTCCCTAACACGTTCAATTTGTTAGCGCTCAGGTAGGCTTCGTGCAGGCTTCACAAAATTGCCGTCAACTGGATCTCATCTGTACTGTAGAAACTTTAGAGTTGCTTTCCAGTGCAGATTGGAATCTCTTGGATATGATCAGTCTTCAATGATCCGGATATTTAAGTTACTATGCAGAGAGCTTCCAAGGTTTGAAGTAGTGGAATGCTGATATAAGAGAGGCTAAGGCACGTGCCCCACGTTGGGCAATTCCTCGTCCAGATTTTAAATTTTTCAAGCCGATGTACATGCCTCCTTTACTTATTTCCAAGCACGTTTCAAACCCTTACCATCTCGTCGAATCTACCCGCCTCAGTCCAACCTCCAATTACTATCCTTCCACAATGAAGGTCTTCTCTGAAGCAGACATTATCTGGTGGAAAGCGAACCCTTACTACATTCAATGTCCATTTTGTGAATCACTTCATCGCCATGGCGTCAACTGGAAGGCAAACAAGTTGAGATACTCGCATTGCGAGAAAATGGAGAGTTACCTTTGCTGCTTCCCCTTGAATGATCAAGGCAAAGTTGCGTATGAAATTGACAAGGTACGAGGACGATATATCAATATTTGCGTAGCCCATGGTGGGGATACCGAGTATTACCATGGGAATGATGATGATGCCAATGCCGATGATACTGTTGATGAGGGTGATGATGATGTTAATTGTCTGGCGATCGAATTGGCTCGAAAGGCTACAATTGCAGCACAGAGTGAAGAAACATATGCGAGTCTTCATGGAGATTCGAAAGAACTCGTCATTATCAATCCAGGACACGGGATTGCGCCATTTGAGCAGAAGCAAATTTTTGGGCCAATCAGCGACTGTGTCAACGGGGAAACAAGAGCGGTGCAAAGATGTTTAGAAACTCCTCTTGAAGCGACACTATTTGTTCGAGGAAAACATTATGGAAGGAGTGCTCTCATGGAGGCAGCGCTTTTTGGCCGGGTTGATAACGCAAAGGTTCTCCTAGAAAACAATGCAGACAGATATATTAAGGACGGCGAAAATCGAGCAGCCATTGATTTTGCTCGAGAGAATCACAGAAGTCGACGAGAGAGATACGATCGTTTTGGAGGCGACCTCACGTCTTCATCCAATCGACGGCTGGGCCATGTCGAGGACACGTTTCGAAGGGATATTGACCGTCAGGAGATTGTACGGCTCCTCGGCGGAGAGAATAGGAAGTCAAAGATTTTCTTTGGGAGCCCTCCCACATTATCAGTGTCCAAGTCCTATTCATTCACACCTTCACCAATGCAAGACTCGCTTGTATTACACGGGCCGATTGAAGAGTACCCAATCACTCGGGGTGGGAAGACGGTGGCGCGGCTAGAACGAGGAGGAAAAATTCCCGTCCATTGGCGCAATGAGCGGCTGGTCACATGGCTCGGTGTAATCCATCAGAGTTGATGGTCGACAGTGGACGGATGATGTATTTTATATCTCGGAATCAGTGGGGCATATCTTGCCTTCTCACCCCTATGATTGGGGTAAAGACGGTCGATTCAGTACATGCCACGCAGAAAAGCAGTTGATAGCATACTTTATCGATCGCCATGTTTTCCTCCCACGCGATGGCCTTCCAGACTCGAAATTGGAGAAAAAGATTTTGCGGGTAGAGGAGTCGCATGAGCGGTTTCTTTCAGTCACTGAAATTGGTCGTCAAGTGAAATCTCTCAGAGAGAGGAAGGACGCTCTCTATCATGAGCTATTCGATGGAGACGAAAAGCTCATCGGAAAATAGGATAAGATCAAGGCACTGAAGCTGGATCTAAAATCGGTTAAATCAACCCTAAATGGGCTAATCGCTAGTACCCGTTCCAGGCCATTATTGAAACTAGAAGCCCGACTGAAGATACTACATCAGCGACGGGACAAACATGCTGATCTGATCAGCATGGCTTATGCGCCACCACCAGCTTCCTTAGCCGAGGCTATTATATTGATCAGTTCGCATCCCTGTCAGGACTGTATCGTGTTCAAAGACAAAGTTAATAAGCGCTTTGGTCTATCTATACAGCTATTCGCGGCACTCTGACTTAGTTCTGAGTTTCATCAAGGTGGGAGGCTCTGATTGTTTGAAGTGAGGTACCCGGTAGGCGTTTTATCACACAGGGTATTTCATGTTACCGGGATTGGTGTTGACTATTAGGGTCTATTAACGTTCTAACGTCCGTCTGTGGTGGCATTTTCCTTGTCGGTTCCTCCTCAATCCCAAATGCCACCCAGCAGAAATGTTCAAAGTCGATAGGGTCAGCGTAGCCTTCCCAATAAGCGTACTGGTATTGGTGATCGACAAAGCTAAGGCGAGGGCAATCGGCCATGATCTGCGACGCGATCTCGGGCACGGGGGCCCTCGCCCCGAAACATCGCGCCATCCGTCCTAAGCTCCGGCTGATATTGTCACCGGTGAAGTAAGGGTTCAGACGATGTTCTGTCATCTCCTGACGTAGAGTTTGGAGGTCAGGGAGGCGTTTCGTGTCATCGAGGTAGTCCCGCAGGTCCAAACCTCGGTCGAGAAGTGTCTGGAGCGAAACTCGATGTTCCACGTACTGTTCAGAAATTTCCCATTCAAATATGTATTCGTGCTCGAAAAAATTAGGGTTTTCGATTCCCTCCACCTGTTTCGCAAGCATTTTCGCGTGGTGATAAACGGTTGATCTGGTTTTGGCGTCTGTGTCCGGAACAAAGATAATTGCAATCCAGATCCGTCTTGGGGTCTCGCCAAAGTTGCAGAACTTCCCGAGGCCGCGATGAAGGGCTTCAATAGGGCGGTCACTCACGGAGACAAGCGTAGTAGGGATCCTATTCGCTCTGTTCCGGTGTCGATCAGATGCGCAGAGGAGCTCTGCCTGCGATAGGCGAGAGCCAACGCGGTCCCTCCCACATCTCAGGAGACCAGCGCAGCGTGAAGAAAAGCAGCGGTGAAAGTATCGGCCCCGGCGGCGTTGGCTCATGTTTGAAGGACGTTTGATGTTGAAATTACCAGGGCCGCGAGGATGAAATCTCATGTGCTCTACGCACAATCGACAGCTTATTTCCCGAGCTTTTTCTCAAGGGCTCATCATCCCTTAAATACAGATTCCTTGCGCTGTACAGCACCTAAACCCTTACATTTCTTTTCTCCCTTTAATACATCTGACCCAGGACGACAAGTCGGGTCGAACTGACCGATCACATCAACGCACCCAGGCAGGTATGGGACATCTGGACCTATTCGGGCATCAAGTCATGATCGAAGAACTTCCATCGAGAAACCCTCGTTACTAACCACACAGTGATGGACTCATTCATATATACCATACTCACTGAATCCGTACGCTGACATTATATTTGTCATCACTATTCGTCTAAATTAAACTTGTTTTAACTGTCATATCCCCGATCAAGTTCTGGCGAACAAGCAAAAAGGCTCGCCAGACAAAACTGGAATCTTGGACCGAAGCTTTAAAGAACAGGCTGCCAACGTCCAAGGTCTAATGAGTAGACTGGACAGGTGTGAGAAAAGGGGCGAGGAGTTGTGAGATCCTACGATCTAAACGGATCATCGGATGCACAACGACTGGGGCCGCAATGCCCTCTCGAGATCTTGGTGCTGTCTCCCCTGGAATCCTGTAACACGATAATGACCGAGAATATTTAGCACATGGAGAAGGTCAAATCTTGGTCGTCAACAAAGTGGATGTTGGATGTCGGGAATGGAAGAAAAAATAATTGGGTCCCCATTGGGGGCCCATCGTGGGCTGGGGGTTGGGCCATGGGCTGCGTGGTAGGGCCCAAGCCCACCGTGGGTTGGGCTATGGGCCGAAGACTTCGGCCCATCCGTGGGCCCTGATGAAGCCTAGTCACGACCAATAAAAATTTCACCTCCGCTAACACCAACATTAATCCAACTGGGATCAAGTCTTGAGCGTATCGTGGAGGTAAAAGTAGGCAGATCCCTGTAGGCTACGAAAATAACCTGGGTAGGCCATTGTTACAGTACCAACCCGTGATGGCAATATCTAACTATTCTCAACCTCTCCTCGGAATTCAGCTTAGTGCTGGCGGAAAGATTTCAAAACCAGCTGCATCCCCATTTACATGATATTGTGGTTCGGCCAGAGACGCCCTTCGCGCCAACCTTAGCACCGTACTGGAGTAGCAGTTCAACAGTAGCTTCATCCCCCATTTTAGCAGCCAATGATAGTGGTGTTTCACCTCCCTTATCTTTCGCATCAACTTGGGCACTATGCTGAAGTAACATTTCAATAATAGCTGCACGCCCGTGTTGAATAGCTAATATTAGCGGTGTTCGGCCAAACACATCTTTCACATTAGCGTTAGCACCGCGCTGGAGTAGCAGTTCAACAACAGCTGTACTCCCATATTGAGCAGCTACCAATATTGGCATTTGGCCATACGCATCTTCTGCGTCAACTATAGCACCGCGCTGGAGTAGCAGTTCAACGACAGCTGCATGCCCATGCTGAGCGGCTAGTGAAACCTGTCTTCTGTCTCTCTTATCCTTCATGTCAACCTTAGCACCGCGCTGGAGTAGCAATAGGATGACACCTTCATGCCCCTCAGTAGCAGCACATGATAGCGCGGTTTCACCAGATTTATCTTTCATGTCAATTTTAGCACCGCGATGGAGTAGCAGTTCGATAACAGCTGCATGCCCATGTTTAGCGGCTAGTAATAGCGGTGTCCGGCAAAACATATCTTTCGCGTCAACTTTAGCACCACACTGGAGTAGCAGTTTGGCAACAGTTGCATGCCCCCATGTAGAAGCCCATGACAGCGGTGTTCTGTAATATCTATCTTTTGCATCAACTTCAGCGCCATGATGGAGTAGCAGTTTGGCAACAGCTGTATGCCCATATCGAGCAGCAAAGAATAGTGGTGTTTGGCCGTTCTCATCCTTTGCATGAATCTCAGCACCATACTGCAGTAGCAGTTTAATAAGCGCTGTATTCCTATATCGAGCAGCTAAGGATAGTGGTGTTTGGCCAGACACATCCTTTGACTCAACTTTAGCACCGCGCTGGAGTACCAGTTTGACAACAGCTATATGCCCATATTTAACAGCTAGTGACAGTGGAGTGTTGCCTTTGTCATCTTCTGCGTTAATATTGGCACTGCACTGGAGTAACCGTTCAAAAACAGCTGCATGCCCATGTTTAGCGGCTAGCGATAGTGGTGTTCGGCCAGACACATCCTTTGACTCAACTTTAACACCGCACTGGAGTAGCAAATCAACATCGCCTGCGTGGCCATTTTCAGCGGCTAACAATAGCAGTGTTTTCCCAGCTTCATACGTCGCCTCAACGTCGGCACCATTTGCAAAAAGCCGCTGAGCCCCAATCCATAGCCCCTTCTCGACCGCGAACCGCATTGGACTCCAACCTTCATCTTTGTGCAGGAAATCAAACCCAGTATTGTCGGTAAAGAGTTCCATCAATGGCATTTGGTTGCTTATTGCTACACAGTGCAGCGCTGACAAGCAGTCCCTGTGTGCAAATACGTTCGTGCTGTCCTCAAGCGATGAGTACCTATTTGATGTTGCCGACTCGTGGAGCGTCCAGTCCTGAATCTCTGGTGAATCCGCATCTTCTTTCAGTTGAAGACGCTCAGCTACCTGCAAATGCCCACTCGCTTCCGCTAATCGACGTGGCGTCCAGCCGTATTTGTCCTTTGCCCTGGGATCAGCATTTTTGACAAGTAAAATTTGGACCACCTCTTCTTGTCCAGTCATTGCTGCACAATGCAAGGGTGTCCAATAGATGCACTGGTAATTGGTGTTAACATCCGCGCCGCTTTGAATTAGTATTTCAACCAACTCTCTGTTCCCGTTTTCAGCAGCAAAATGTAGCGGAGTCAAGCCAAGTGTGACATCATTTGTCTCAGTATTTACTTCATCTTCTGCCTTGGACGTGGCGCCGTTGTTGATCAGGTATTGTGCCACTTCTGTATGTCTGTTCATTGACGCATAGTGCAGGGCAGTCAGGCCTTTATATCCTTTGGCATTGATAAAGTTTGTTCTGTCTCCTCCGGCTGGGATCTTGTTGGCGAGCTTCTCTATGATAGGTCGAAATCCCATTTGTGCTGATATATGCAGTGCAGTATTGCTGTAGTGGTCTTTTGTGGTTAATTGAGCCTCCTTGCGTAATAGCAGTTCCACAATAGCAGTGGAGCCACTCCAGGCAGCACGGTGCAGGGCAGTCTGATCGTTCTTGTCTCGTGCCTCCAAATCAGCTTTGCCAAGCAAAATTCTCACAAACTCTTCATTCCCTCTCTCAGCAGCGAGATGCAGTGGCTGCTGATCTAGTTTAACCTCTGTTATGTCAGCATGTTCAATTAGTTGCGAAAGCATTTCATGAGCCCCTCTCCATATTGCACTGTGCAAACTTTCAAATTCTGAATCATCAGTTAGCTTCTTTTCTTTGCTCTTTGTTTCAATGTTGTAGTGTGTCATACTGTCTGCCTTTTCTGATGTAATCACGTCTTGAGAGTCCCCAGGCACACCATTCCTATCAGTGTGGCCACTGATTATTTCGATCTGTGAGTCTCTGCCTTCTGATGTAATCATGTCTTGAGAGCCCCCAGGCACACCATTCCTATCAGTGTGGCCACTGATTATTTCGACCTGTGAGTCTCTGCCTTCTGATTTTGGCTGCGCCGAACGGAAGTATACAGCACCAACATACTGACACAGGAGCTTTCCGTCCGTGCTGCCCTCTTCAGTCACGAGTAGAGCTCTTTCCACTTTCTTAGCATCGCACTCGACTAAGAGATAGCATGTTTTGCGTTTAAGGGCACCCTGGAGCCGCTGTTTAACCAGATCATTCATACCGCTCCACGAGATTTTCTTTTCAAGCTCATCAGTCACAGAGATAGTATACCAGTTTCCGCTGATACTGCCATCAGAGTGAATCTCAAGGAGGCATTTTGAAGGACTAGTAGATGGCATGCGAAATATATCGCTCGGGCACCAGCTGGATCCTTTTGACATGGTAGAAGCGTTATGGAAAAGATGTCCTGTTGAAAGCTGGGGCAAAAGTTGAGGTGAATCAGAAAACCTTTTTAAAATGTCTTTGTAAGTCTCCTGCTGCAGCTCATTTGGTTGAACATTCATCAATAGCCCACAAATACGAGACATGTTCTTGGGCTTAGATGTGTAGCGCGGACGTAACACACACAAAAGTTCATCTAGTGTCGTGATTTTCTTCCGTAAGTTCTGAATGATCTGAGTTGCCTCTTTTCGGGCATTGTCGGGCTCGTCATATTTCGCAAGGATATCTTCATCAAGATCTTTTATAATGGGGCCACAGTGCCCTTTGAAAATCACCTTTACCTTGCGCGAATTGGCCAACTCTAACGCAGTCCACCCTCGGCTAAACCATGGCGACATAAGTGTGAGAAAGCATGCGGTTTCAGGATCCCATTCCCAGTTCCGAAAAAAGCAGTCGTGTACCAAGGTGATCCGCGCGTCCTGGTAATTGTTCTGGATCATTAGGAGAGCTTTTTCTCGGGCACCTTGCTCTTTAGGAATACAGATAGTGCCCCACCAAATTCCTTCACATGTTTTGCAATGCCTCGGAAGAATGTGTATAAACACTCATTAACTTCTCCATTTTTCCAAGCCCCAGAACCGGTTCCATCTGCCCAGACGTGGGAAATGGCCATGTATGGCCGAGAAGGTTCGAGCATAGCATTTCCGGATAACTGCCACACGGTCGACTTTCCCTGATTTGCAGCTTCTTCAAGTATCTTTTGGGAAAATCGATGTAATAGCGAGCAGTCATTTTTCTTCTTGCACTCATGACGCTGGCTCACCGAAGTAAAATCGCGCTGGGAGTTTTCACAAAAGTCAAATGTACACAACTCATGATCATTCTGCTCCCCATTCGATCTTGGTATTGGAGGCGGCTTAGGATGGGGAAGCAGATCTGGTAACCTTGGTCCTGCAACAGCCCATACACGGTTTGGACAGAGGCCAAGTTTTTCTGTTGCATACTCGAAGTCCGCTAGGATATTTCGGTGATCTGAACCTTCTTTCATTGTAGTGTGTTTGTAACGCGCTCGAAATATCCTGGGGAGGATGGTTGGGACTATATTGCCTTGTTATTATGATAAGCCTTTTAATCGGCTCATACCAGAATTGACTTACTGATGCTTTGTAGAGTATTATAGATAAACCTGCTGTGCTGAAATTGGGAAAGACTGTTGCCAAGGTGGGGCCAGGTAAAGACTTGTCGTATACTGAACAGCTGTAGGACCAAGAATGTATACTTCAGCCTGATTCAGGACAACTAGATGAAGAGAAAACCTTTTCAACCAGTGAAGCCTGACTATATACTTATAGTATAATATGGATCCTCTCTTTCTCCAGTCGAGTAACAATCTCCTGTAAGCTAGCTGACTTGTGAGATTCTGATCTGTCAGGTAAAGAAATGCTGGCGGGGGTTCCTGTATAATTGAGAGCTGGGAAGGGTAGAACATTCATTTCAGCACTAGATGTTACACAAGCTTCGCCCTCTTGACACACACAGTGTATAAGCTCTGCCTCTGTGGCTGACTGTAACCCGGTGTCAGCAAAGTGATACTTACATGGAACTGAATCCGAGTATTTGCAGCAATAAAATGTATTTTGCTTTTTCCAGAATGTATATAAATAATGTTTGTAGAGATTTGTATTCTTCTACATACTATAGCGGATGGAGAACATGTACTGGGTGAGTGTGAGTGGTTCGGAGGATAACATGCAAAGCTAAAGCCATGAAAGGAATATACCATTGCCCGATAACTTCTGGTCTGACAGACGTGTCCTAGTCTTACTAGTAGTTACTTTGTATTTATTCGAAGGACGATTATTGTTATTATTATTATTATTATTATTTTCAATTCAACGATTCGCTAATAAGTAGAACTGTCAGCCGCGAGGATTAGCTAAGGCTACTCGGGATTCAGCCAAGGCTACTCGGGATTCAGCCAAGGCTACTCGGGATTCAGCCATCGACACGATTTCTTTAGAAGGCTTACGAGGTTGGTTGTTTTCATTTACCCCGACCCCTCGCAAAGTAAGCGATATGCAGGCTACCACAATTATATATAACCTTGTATGTACATGTAAATCGACCCACTTCCTGAAAACGAACTTAGAGCCTCGTCACGGCCTATCCTGGCCTAATTGCCGTTCCGTGTGTTAGGCTGCCCCTCTGGCGCACGACTCCGAAACCGTTGTGACACCTCAGCAAAGTCTAGCTTAGCCTTGACTGTTCTAGCCCGCGAGATGATGCCTGGATTACCTTTCTTACCTTCGGTTGAGCCTCCCAGCAGACTCGAGACGGTGCTGAATGCGTCTCCTACTTCTCTCCTCAACTTCCTTCACGGTTCCTTCAATCTTGGACAATCCACCAGCACATGGGTAACTGTCTCTTATGCGCCGCACGCGCACCGGTCGTCCTCGCGGAAGCCAAAGGTTTTGGCGTGGCTAGCTAGCCAATTATGGCCCGTGCGCAACTGCGTTAACAGGTACGCCTGGTTCCTGAATAGACTGCAGTACAGCTTTCTGGTATAGATTGCCGGTAAGGTGTTATCCATCTTCTTCAGGTGGTCACCTTTACTAGATGCTCTCCATTCCTGCTCCCACTGAGTGAAGATGGCGCTTTGAATACGCGCTCTCTCTCTCGAGAGTAACGGGCAGAAAGGATGGGTTTTCCCAGGGTACGCAGCGTTCTTAGCGAGTCGATCTGCAGTGTCATTCCCTGGGTTATTGCAATGCCCTGGTACCCACTGGAGGTGGAGCGCGACTCCCTTAGCTTGGATTTCGGTGGCGGCCTGGAGGATCGCGTGAACGATCCGCTGACCAGACTGATTCCTCGCGCTTTGAACTGCCTGCAGAGCTGACCTGCAGTCACAAAGGATTGTTGCTTTTATTTGTCTGCCCGCTGAGCCTCTTAAATAGTGGTGGGCCAAGAGACATAACTACACAGCCAAGGCTGCCCGTGGCTAAGCCTTAACGAGTCCTTGCAACTGATGTAAAGCAGCTTCACCAGGCCCGCTTGTACAGGCCACTGCCCTAGTTTTCAGCGCGCTCATCCTTCGACAAACGGCTTCCAGATCTTGAGGCCCCGGCAAAAACCTTTCACCCCAGGTGTCTCCAGGTTTGCTCCTTAAGCATACATCACCGGCATTTCAGCTAAAACGACATCACTTCCGTCGCCCAGCCGCAAGTTCTCAATGCGAGTGAGATAGTAAGGAGAGTCAGAGCCGTCCCTACTAGGACGACACCACTTTGGCTGTTAAACTTCAGGTCCCCAGTGCGAGTAAGATAGCTACTTTCCGTCTCTCTATATACCGACACACGCGTCCGTCCTCTCGGGCCACATAGACAGTCTCGTCGAGCCCCAGGGGCCCTTCCGTCACTGCCATTATGTGCCACACCCCACAGAAAAGCTTCCTGCTTCGCGTTACCAGCGCAGATCTCTCTCCGCTAGCCGACCGTATCTCGCAAAGGCTGCCCTCGTGGTATCCCCAGGTTCCCTGCACGATACCAGAGCGATCCTTCACTAACCAAACTTATGTCCTCGGCTTCGCAGGCCTCTCGATCATCCGTGGCTGCGCCTTAACGAGCTCGTCGAGGTTTGTCACTGGATCGCACGCCCCTAGCAGAAGAGACAGTCGGTGCATCTGACCAAGGCTGCCCGTGGTCAAACCTTAACGAGTGACTTGGAGTCAGAGTACCGGCAGTCCTTCCACCAGACTCACACAATCCAGTGCTCCGCTGATTATATCCTCCCTCGCCGCTCGACGCCAATCCAAATTGTGTTCAAGTTTCCTGTAGGGCGTCTCGTTTCAGGGAGTATTCAAGTTCAGAGGTGTCCTGTCTTCTGTCTAGGCGATACCACATTCACTAGAAAAGCAAGTCTAGCTCTGGTCTCGAGTACGAGTCGAGTAGACAGTCGTCGGATGGTTTTCATACCCCTTTTCCTCTGATTTGTGTGGGTTTTTGGGAGGGCTCGGCAACCACGGAAAACTCTGCGGCTCGGCCCTACCCGCACCACCAGGATTCTTTTGGCTTCCCCTCCACGCAAATGGAAGGTACTGACACCGGACACCACGAGAAGGTAGAAATCCATCGTCCTAACTGCTTGACAATAGCAGTCACCCAGCGTGCTCGCCAGGGGCACACACTACAGTACTAGCAGTGGCGTACGCTCCCAATAAGTTTGTGTCCGTTTCTTCACCTCCATTTTAGATAAGCTCAAGACCTATCCAGGCATAATATGCATCGATCTTTAGGACATTGAACTTCGACGATCGAGGAGACCACCAACGTACTGGACAATGATATATCTCTGAGATAGTGATCCTACATAAAAGGGGAAATGACACTATTCAATTCGTTGTTGAAAATATGATGAAGAATTTCAAACTATTCACGGGGTTGGATTTATCGAAACCAGCTTAGCAATGTTCACGTGCCATTTCATTGCGGTAAGACAGTAGAATTCCAGTCCAGATGTATTCCTATCTTTCTCTGACTTTGCAGAGCAGCAGTAAAATAATTAGAAAAATCAAGATTAACTAAAGACACATGACGAATAGCCTAAGTAGCTCCATGGTTGAGCAGAACTCTCACTACATCAGCATGCCCATATTTCCTCGCGCGGACCAATGGGGTCCACCCGTAATAGTCTTGTTCGTCGATATCAGCGCCATGATCGAGCAGTAGCTGAACAATATTAGCCCGGCCGGTATATGCAGCAAGGCATAATTCACTATATTGCGCAGTGACATACAGAAGCACTCGTACTATATCTTCATCTCCCTGAGCTACAGCCATGTTCAGAGGCGTGATGCCGGCAGCTTCCTGTCTGCCCGCGTCCACACCAGATTCGATAAGAAGCCGAACAGCTTCGTAATTTCGCCTGCGCACGGCGTACCCCAAGGCGGACCGCCCACCAGCATCTGTAGCATCGTGGTCGAATTTTCCTGATTCAAGTAAGGCTTTGAAGATGCTATAATGACCTTTATCCAGTGCAATTATGAGTGGAGACAGGTGTTCGTTCTGCGGGCGGAAATCGATGATTGGGCACTGGAGGAACCAGTTAACAACAGCCAAATGACCCCGAGAAGCTGCATGTCCTAATAGGGTCAGATAATTTTCATCCAAGACATTTGCCTTAATATCCAGCTGTTTTAGAAGCAGGTCCGTGGCTTTCTTATTACCCGCTTTTGCCATATAGAAGAGTGCTGTCTGGCTGCCGGAGTCCGCAACATTAATATTAATATTCTGGCGCTATAAAAGCTTGGTCAGAGAAGACATATTATAATTAAATACTAAATAGAATAACACTGTCCGCCCCTAGAAGTCTGTTACGTTAATATCAACACGACCGTCCCGTAGGAGGAGCATAATGTGGGGTGTATTATCTTGTTAAGCTGTGACGTGAAGTACAGCCAGTCCAGACTTATCTCGGGCATTTAGATTTACCCATGCTGTTTTAAGAAAGAAGTATATTACAGATAGATCCTCTTCTCTTACTATACAGATTAGCCCAGAGCTGTTCTCATAGTCTATATTATACTGGTATAGGGGCCTTTTTAACAAGCAGTAAAGACCGCTGTTCGCCCTCATCAATACAAAGATGTCACGTGTGCTACAGAGCACCGCGGTGATATGAAGAACTAATTCTGGCGGAAGGTCCGCAAAAGACATAATTCGGAAATGCGGATGGCATATACACTATTGGTTGAAGCTTTATAGAGACGAGAGTCGGTTGTGTGTAGTAAATCAACAATACTAAATATACCAGCGATGTACCCATAATTAGCAGAAGGATACACATGATATAGCGCCCTTTTTGGAGCCTACATGGACCAACCCCCCAGTTAATCAATAGGTTAGTATTGAGAGTACATATATCAGCTATAGTAAGGAATATACACACTCAGGGAGCCTTCTGATGATACCTGTTAGTAAGACCTGTATTAAAGGAAACAGATGTTCCTGCAATAAATAATTATATAGGCTAATGGGCCCTCAGAAATAGTTTCCACGACTGCCCTCCACTTACTATCTGTATATCTGAGTCCTGACCGTGCGAAGTTGAAACGAGCTCACTATAATTAAATATGCGGTTACTTGGTGAAAACTAATCACATAACAGCGGGTGGTGGCTTTACTAACAACAGGACTTAGCAGACAGGTTCCGCAACAAGTTGAGGTAGCGTCCTTGTGCAGAGAAATTTGAAACCAGTCTCAGAGCTATATAAAGACCTAATAGAGTAACCAAACCTTAGCTACATTTACAATTCTGCCAACTGACACCGAGATGTTAAGCTCCTCAAAGCACGCGGGTTTTAGACAACCAACTGGAGTCAGTAAGAGATCGGTGAAGACACAGCGATAAGCTAACTAAGAGGCAGAGTCCTTGAAACACCGGATAAACAATTTAGAAGCTGAATTTTAAGAAAACAAGCGCACGAAGACAGACCTGGAAAAGCAGCTTGAGCAGGTCCAGGAACAAACCCAGGACACAAATAATATAAATCATGATCAGAACAAAAGTAAACTAAAAGATTTGTTAAATCAGCTTAATAGAGTAGAACAAAGAGGCGAAGCCCTTTCTGCTTAGATAGAAGAGACGCGCCGAGAACAAGATGGCTCGGAGATAGAGACAGATAAGGTGGATAGGGAAGCTCTAAACTTTGCACAAACCTGGGATGAAAGCCTTCCTTTAAACAAGAGCGACACGGTTGTTAAAACAGAAAATGTTAATAATCAGCAAGCATCTTAAAGCAGTGGCGGGACAAAACCCCGGCTAATATAAACAGGAAACGCGCCAATCCAGTCGGCTAAATAAAAAAGTCCAGTATATTAAGGCTTTACATTACAAATCGATGACGACAGCGATAAAGATATATTAATAGATATATAATTGTTATCTGTATCCGAGGGTGGTATTGCGGACGCGTGGTTCCGAGTACGACAAACAATAAAAGCGATTGTGCGCTTTGGGCCAAAAAGGTATCCCAGGTATAAGGTTCAACCAGGGAAAGGGTATAGTACTGCGAACCTTCAAGAGGTATTAGATACCGAGACGCGGATCGTATATATTACAACAAAAGATGAAACCAGGAGGAAACGACGACTCTACGGCATAGACAATATTGCAGGATTTAACAGAATAGCTATTATAAGAAATGGCGTGATCAATTCGACCTCAAAGGCACCAACCATATATATTAAGATAAAATAGGTTAGCATTAAGGAGCAGCATGCAAACCTATACAGGAACAAGAAGAACTGGGCTATGAGGACGGACCTTATCTCTATTATTAGGAAAAAATTAGCAGATAAGAAGATTAAACAGCTCTGGGATACCCAGGAGAAACGGTACGCCGAGTAGGATAATAACTAAATAGGACAGTGATCTTTGGACTGCTCCCCAACCCCCTTTCCCCTTAATATATATTAGAATGTTCGCAGGACCTTAGGAAATGTTCTACCAGAGGCCCACCGGAGCCCAGCAGTTAAGCGTGAAGAAGGGCCTTTATTAATAACAGGCCTATATTACCAGGACAGCACTCCAATGGTCTCCGGAGGCCAAGCATTTTATGACTTCTCTCTAACGTCTAAAGGCCCCCAGAACCTTGAGCCTACAGAGGCTAGCAGTAGCACTGCTCAGGACCACAGGCAAGACAACACTAGTAATTTAAACACTGACCAGTAGAAGCCCAAAACCTTCAGCTAACAACAGTATGTAGAGAATATGAAGTTAGACATAGGTCTAGATAAAGAGCTCAGAAAAACAGACCTGGGATCATACATAAAACAAATGGCTTTGATCAGGGCCAACTTCGATGTGTATCAGGATGCAATGAATACGCATGGCTATGTAGAAGTGTATTAAGCAGGAATTGACTGACTTCACGGCCATTGCTGGCGATGGTACCAAATGGGTAAACTAACCAGGTGGCATTATTTTGCTTGTTTTATCCAGACTCAGCCTACAAGAAGTTCATATAAGATAAAGATTCAAGCACATATACGAAAGACTGAGAATTATACTATGTGGACTTATGGCACTGGTAACAGTTCTAGAGACCAAATTTCCTAGCAGCAGGCCATTCATGGTCGTTCTTAAAGTGCCCCAACCGCGGTGTATAACCCATAACCAGACTGGCATGAATTGACATCCAGCGATCTTCTATATCGGCGAACCTAGCAGATGCTCATAGGATGTCTCAGCGAAGTCTAGATTACCTTTCTTATCTTCAGTTGAGCCTCTCAGCGGTCTCGAGACGGTATTAAATGCGTCTCCTACTTCTTCCCGCAACTTCTTTCGCAGTTCCGTTAATCTTGGACAGTCAACCAGTACATGGGCCCGACATGTCCATCCACCTACGGGCCAGAAAGCACCGATGGCTGTAAAGTCTATCTCGTGGGTGCCATTCAAATAACTACAGGCAGCCGAGGTGATAGCCGCCGCGCGCGAAGGGGGGTTCTGGAAACCCCTTCGCCGTCAGGATCGATTTCCCTCGCGTCAGCGAGGGACCAAAATGATTTTCTTGCATAGCATAATAGCTAGACTTATTTATCTCCTGTTGTTTATCCGATGGATCGTGCCCAGCATGAACGGTTTGCTAACCACGCCGCGCAGTATGCTGCTGTAAGCGAGAGGGTGCTTCGAGAAGGACGTGCCAATCGGCCTGATAACACCACCAAAGTGTATGCTCGTGGGCAGAAGCGATGGAAGGTTCTTCCTGCCCAACCCATTGCCTCTCCTTCTCTACTGCTATGGAGGCGCTAATTCTCCGAGGCCAAGTAGGAATGGTGTTCCGAGATGCAATTTGCGGATGGGGAGCTTGTCAGCAACGACAAGCTCCTGCTGTACATTGATACGAAAATCATCAGTCGGTCGCCCGAAGGAGCGAGGGGAAAGAAGAGAGCTCGTACGGACGACAGTGGGGATTCTGTCATTCCCACCATTTCAGAAAGGACGGTGGAAGCGGAGGTGTCCGCTATCATGAGTCTCTGGAACTTTCAGCACAGCAGCCCGTCATGCCCGGTCAAGGAGCCCCCTGTGCGAAGTGAGGCTCTGAAGATATTGCTTAGGTCAAACCTAGCTAGGGAGGCCTCTAGGAAGAAAGAAGAGTTCAAGGACCGCGCGCTTGGCACCCTTCAGGATGGCTATAACACGGATCAGATGGCCGATATCATACGCCTCTGCTGGGAGGGATGGGAGGCTGACGATCCTAAGCGATTGTTGCCAGTAAGCATAGAGTCGCATCTCCGAACGGCGGTGGATTTCTTGTTCTGCCACACCATGCTGCTCAGAGGAGAGAACATTCGCGCAGCTCAATTACCCACACGGTTGTTGAAAAGTTCCGTCATTTTCTTTCTGCGTATTGGAAAGAGGCTTACTCTAAAGATCGCCTTTAGCTTTAAGCAGGATGACAACGGTCATGACTCATCACCAGCAAGAAGGGGTGAGAAACGAGGACGCGTGTCCGCCACAACAACAATGCTCGCCGAACGTGATGCATATATTGCTGCGGAAGAGGACGTGACCGGGCGTCCAGCTGCCTGGAACACGGTGTATGAGCTAATGGCATGCCGTATCAGCGCATGTCAGTTGCAGTCTGATTGGTGTTGGGAAGACCCAGTGGATAGCAAACATTATAAGTTCAGAGAACCCCATATTGACTGACTGGTTGACCATGTGAAGAAGGGTGGGAGACTCGAGAGCCACAACGATGTTCCTCGCGATATTCGTTGAGATTTGATTCTGGAAAGTCACACTGGAAGAAAAGCTAAGAAAGTAAAATCGTCGGCAAATGAAACGCCTTATCACCCAGTGAGCATTAATGTTAATACACAGAGTCCACCGGCTCCATCAGCCGCTTCATCATCACCGAGATCTTCGCCCCCCGAATTGGTCATCCGTGGGGATCAAGTGGTAGCAGTGAAGAACTACTGCAGATGGCTGGAGTCACAGTATACGGATGAGTCATACAAAGCTGACTTTCGACGAGCTCGTGACATAGTTTTGAAAAACCATATGGACCTTGAGCTCATCTTTGATGACCCAGATCCTAAATTTTTCACAGATGAGGGCATTCAAATCGGAACCGCCCGTCGGTTTATGCGTGACATCGTTAAGTGGGACAGATTTGTCAAAAATAATTCGCCACCAGATCATATGAGCCATGATTACTTTGATGGCACTGCATAGAGTTTATCTGTCTTAGGCAAGGAGTGCCTTAATTTACGTGAGTTAGAAACGAATGGTTCAACTTTTTATCGCCAATCAAGCTAAATAGAGTCAAACCTTTACATTGCTGTAACCCTACCACCTTCGATGACAACCCCATGCAAAGAAGGCCTTCGCCGTCAAATGAACAATTCAGGTCACCTGCCCAAACCCAGGGTCAAGATATATCCTCGTAGTCCTTAAGCATATGCGTGAAACAATGGTGTCAAGCGTCGATTTTGTTTCGTTTTTCTCGGTTTTACATTTCAATAAGTCGCAAAGCATGTTATACATATATAATTTTGGAAGAACCAAATGTCAACAAGGCGATGATACGTTCAATCATGATCTGATCCATTAAAGCCTTCCTGCGTTGATCGCAAGCATAGTTATTGCGGGTCCCCACTTTTAAGATGGATCTTTCTTCATTTCCTGACTACGGAAATCGCTTATCATCTTCCGTGTCGAACACCACGACCGACCTTTCGGTCACAGGGCGGCTGATAGTATAAATGGATATGATCAAACTGAACTCAACATACAAGAGCTTTACCATTTCGTTCGGGCATAGATTCGATTTCTCTAGCAAGTGGTCGTATGGCTCTTCTGACAGAACAGGCGTGATCAGGAAGTCAACCAGCAGGGGCTAGGGGCTAGGGGCGCTTGGACATCCCCAAAGATTTAAAGGTTGGCGCTGATCGGTATGATGAAACTTCTGGCTGCCACCATTTGAGAAGTGGCTGGCAACTTGTCGCTGATCCTGCTGTCACTGGCCGGCAGAGTGCAAGTTACGCCATGATGGTCGTGGCGCGCGGTTAATGAGGTTGATTAGGTGACCAGAGAGAACCAACCAAATTGATCTGGGTCGGTTCGGGCCGAGAGTTGAACCGACCGACCAAACAAGACCAGCCTAACGAATCATAGCTTTTGCCGTGAATAATCATAATTAGTCATGTTGACTTGTGCGATGCATGAACCTTCGTTCACAGCCTCAAGCGCGATGCATATTACCCCGCTTTGCTTACTGGAAAGACAAACCTCAAGCATATTGAACCCGATCTTCTTGTCCTACGTCGCCACTCTGTGTGTGGGATATGCTTATGCTATATCCATAACCATGGAGACGACGGCGAGCATCATCGCTGTTATTCAACTGACGGGAATCATCGTGAAGCTATGCGGAGGTTATATTCGAGAGGTGAAGGATGCAAGAGATGAAGTTCTCAACCTCCAACGGGCGGTTGAAAACCTTTAAGGGATGCTCTAAGACCTGCGGAAAATCCTTCAAAGCCACCAGGGAAAATTTCTACCCGTATCCTCACGGCTAGCGAGCGATATTACTGATTGCCTTGCCGACCTCCAAGCCCTGGAAACGAAACTAGATCCGGGAAAAGGAAAAAGTCTAATAAGGAAAGTTGGGTTACGTGCCCTGAAGTGGCCCTTAAGAAAAATAGAGGTGGAAGGTGTCATAAAAAACCTTAAGAAATATTAATCTTTATTCCTCTTCTCTTTGCAAGTGGATCAGACGTACATATATGAAGCAATGTTCTCTGACTATATAGTTGATATGATGGATATATAGTTCCCTAATAATCAGTATAGCTGAGAATAACGACCTTCGAAAATTGGAAGCCTCAACTAATGCAGGCTTTAAGTTGTTCTCCGATCGAGATGAAATCGAATGTCTTCAAGGCACAAGGACTGAGCTCCTCCAGGAAATAATGGAATGGGTTTATTTATCGTTATCTAAAACCATTTTCTGGTTAAAGGGAATGGCTGGGACTGGAAAATCTATAATATCCCGGACCGTGTCAAGGTCGCTTGATGATACCCGTCACCTTGGTGCTAGCTTCTTTTTTAAAAGGGGTGAAGGGGACCGAGGGAATACAAAGAAATTTTTCCCGACCTTAGCAAGTCACCTTGTTTTGTGGAATCACGAGCTAAGGCCTGGTGTGCAAAAGGCACTCAATAATGACCTAGAGATTACATCGAAATCACTCCGAGAGCAGTTCGAGAAACTACTCCTTCAACCACTGCTGAGTCTTGACCAACTCAGCCGACAACCTCAAACTACTGTGATAGTAGTTGATGCTTTGGATGAATGCGAACATGACCGAGATACCCGAAACATTGTTCGACTCCTACCTCTTCTACAAAATATGAAATCGGTTCGCCTTCGGGTTTTCTTGACTAGCAGGCCTGAACTCCCAATCCACTTCGGGTTCTCAGATATCGGGAGTAATGAATATCTGGATCTTGCCCTCCATGAGATACCCGAGAAAGTGACTGAACGCGATATACAGTTATTCCTGCAACATCGATTTGCCCAAATCAAACGTGATAAGAGAGTTATCCAGGACTGGCCTAGCGATGAGGCCATCCAGGAATTGGTCAGGATATCTCTTCCACTGTTCATTTCAGCTGCGACTGTGTGCCGCTACATTGAGATCTCTAAATTGGAACCTAAACTGCGCCTTGCAGAGCTTCTCAAGGACCAAAGAAAATATGTTATCGGAATGGAAAAAACTTATTTACCAATTCTGACGTAACTATTTAATGATCTAGAGAGTGATAAGTCAGAACAGCAGTAGCTTCTACAGGAGTTTCAGGATATCGTGGGTGTTATTATTCTTCTGGAAGCACCACTTTATATTAACACACTATTGATATTCCTTGGGATGGAAGCGGATCGGATCTCCAATCGCTTAGAATCATTCCAGTCAGTTTTAAGCATTCCCGATGATCTAGATCAGCCTGTCCGGATCCTGCATCTATCGTTTCGGGAGTTTCTCGTCCAATCCAAAACACAATTCCACGTGGACGAGCAAGAAAAGAACATGGAGATAGCTCAGTTCTGTCTGAAAACTATGCGCAGCTATTTACGCAGGGACATTTGCAAGCTCATCGAGCCTGGAGTGCTTAAGGCAGATATCAACCTTAGCGATATCCGCCATTTTCTACCATCTGAATTAGAATACTCCTGTCGCTACTGGGTATATCATGTCAAACAAAGTCAGGTTGCATCTTCTAACATAGAAGAACTGCGAATATTTCTCCAGAATCATCTTCTTCACTGGATGGAGGTGATGAGCCTGCTGGGTCTTGTATCAGAAGTGGTTGGTATGCTTGATCTTCTCCGCACAGTTATACCAGTAAGTACAGAGTAGACAGTTCTCGATTTATTCATACTGATAGGTATAGGGTGATGAACATTCTGTTTTCGCCGATTTCTTATATGATGCAAAGCGGTTTGTTCAGAAAGTCCGTCGAATAGCGGATGAAGCACCACTTCAGATTTATCATGCAGGGCTGGTATTTGCACCTCAAACATCAATTATTCGTAGAGACTTCCAGTCAGAGCTCCCTGATTGGATTCTCCAGTTTCCGCGGGTTCAAGAAACCTGGAGCGCAGAATTACAAACGCTCGAGGGCCATACAAACTGGGTTGGGTCAGTGGCCTTCTCCCCCGATGGCCGGCTGCTGGCGTCCGGCTCCGGTGATAAGACAGTACGGCTCTGGGATCCCGCCACGGGCGCTCTAAGTGAAACCTTGAACACTGTGGGTTTGATCACAGAGCTCGAATTCTCTGAAGATGGCTCATATTTGCACACCAACGTAGGATGGATGAAGATTCAACCCAGTTGTGGAATTCTTATCCCTAATATGTCCAAGGCGAGCTCAGAGATATCTCTATCAGATGAATGGATAGCCCTGAATGGAAAAAATGTCTTGTGGCTCCCTCCTGAAGCCAGGTATTATTGTTTAACGACTAGATCCAATACACTCAGTATAGGGCATATATCAGGCCGCGTTAGCTTCATAACATTTCGGGATTAAGACGCGTCCATCGTTCCTTATTTTCTTACCTCCTATATTTTGTAGTATCTTTGCAAAAGAAGGGTGTGGGAGAGAGGTCAAATCTATTTCGACGTATTTGATTCGAGAACATGCTACTTGGTTCTTCTAGACTCCATCCGGTGGCGAATCCACAGGGTGTTGTCGCCACTACCTGCTGGGTCACAGGCATTGAGAAACCCGAATGCCCTGGATTTAATTATCAATCTCTGGTTCATAGGCCAGCATATACTATTTCTCTTATCGTCGATCAACTTCCAACAGAGCTTATGATTTGTGATATGAATACATAGAATGAAAAAATCTTCTCAATCTCTGTTTAGTTATCTAGACTTCAGGGTTCACCAGTGAACTCAGCTATGTACTGTGTAACAACTCTAACATACTGTCTTTGTGCTGCACTGCTATACCTGCATGTCGAAAGTGTCCATCTGCACTCTCGCCTTTCTCGCCGATAACCTGGACACATTTTCGAAGGAACGCGTGGAAGCCCTGGCCAGGATTATCCACGAATGTTGGCCATGTTTTCTTAATGTAAGCCTTGAGCTCAGCAAACATCTCCTCGATAGGGTTTAAATCCGGTGAATAAGGTGGTAAGTAAAGTAGCTTAACTCCCGCATCAGAACATAATTCTCTGACTCGCTCGGAGCGGTGGAAGGAGGCATTATCCATAATCAGGACGGATTTTGGTTCTGGAAACCGCCCACAGTGTCGTAAAAGCCGCTCAATAAAGCTTTCAAAGACCCCAGCATCCGTCGAGTCTCGGTAGATAGTAGAGATAATAATACCATCTTGGGCATAAGCCGGGAGTATATGGTAATGTTGACCGCGTTGAAATTTCGACACTTGGATAGGCGTCACGCCAAGCGGAGACCAACCAGTTCGCCTAAATCCAACCTGTTTATCACACCCGGACTTATCAATAAAGACCAGCTGATATGATTCAAACTTGGACAGCTGATGGCGGTAGAATGCTGTTAGCTGAGGGTTCTGTTCCTTTGCTTTTTGTCGAGCTTGCTTTTTCGTCCATCCTTGTTTAGAGAGGGCCCGTTGAATGCTCGACGTGGATGGTAGAACATTAAATTCATCCCAAAGGAAGACAGCCATCTTTTTGATATAGAGATCGGGCTTTTTGGTTAGGTGATTGCAGAGAGCTTTGATCATGAGAGGGGTGATACTGGATGGGCGACCAGCACGCAGCAGACGAGGTTTCGCAGTGCTATACAATCGCAACTTTCTGCGGATATACGAGACAGAGCGTGGGCTACATTTTGCAACCGCTGCAATTTGTGATGTAGTTAGTTTGTTGCTACTTATCATATGGACTATCATTTTGTGCTGTCGAGAATCAAGATGTCGGGCCATTATGGGTTGTTTTGTTGATGAACCCATTGGAGTTCTTGGGTCAAGGTGGCATGATGGTCTAGGCAGCAATGTCGGTCTCGTGATGCCGCTTACTTGATGGGCTTCCGTCCTGTGTCATACATTTCAGAACCCAAACATACCAAAATACGAACTAACCACGTACGGACGATATAGGGCTTAGTGTTAGGGTTTGAAAATAGACCAGCAAATGCAAAACGCGGAAGGACAATTCGGGTGTTGCTGTAATTGCGATTCGGTCGCTCTGTAGCAAGGGTCAGCGCGAGAGTATTATGGAGCGAGGGTATGAAGCCCCTATGCAATGCGCCAATGGCCCGGTAGCTATTCATATTAGCGATTGAACATAACGATGGCTTTCAAATGCCGTGATGGCCATATTAAAGCTTCAGCTGTGACACTACGTAAAATAGCCAGTACAGAGTCAGTCAGCGGAAGACTGTATCTAGTCGCCGTCGACGACTTTCCAAGGTCTGTGTCGAACCGGATGCGAGGTCGGCGGTGACATATTCCCATTCTCACTCTTTACCCTATCCTTCCAATCCCCATCAACCGCAATACAGTATCTGCAAGGCACACCTCTTTTTCTTTCTGAGCCATGTTCAGATTCTGAGGATATAGAAGCTAGCGGTTGACTTTGTCCTTCAAACCTAATGGGCTTCTGCTAAGTTCGCCGATGTAAAAGATCCCATCGATGCTAATGCATGTCACTCTGGTTATGGGCTATGCACTGCGGTTGGTGCGCTTTTAAGAACAACCATAAACGGCCGTCTGCTAGCGCATTTGGTCATAATAAATCTTATCATTGTAATGCGTCTACGCAGTATAATCTTCACGGTCTTTTTTATATGTGCTCAAATCTTTCTCACAAATGAACTTCTTATAAGCTAAGTCTCGATAAAACAAGCAAAAGCCAGCCACTTGGTTAGCTAACCCATGCGGTACCATCGCCAGCAATGGCCGCGAAGTCAGTCAATTCCTGCTTAATATACTTCTATATAGCCATGCGTATTCATTGCATCCCGATACATATCGAAGTTGGCCCTGATCAAAGCCATTTATTTTATATATGATCCCAGGTCTGTTTTTCTGAGCTCTTTATCTAGACCTATGTCCAACTTTATGTTCTCCACATACTGTTGTTGGCTGAAGGTTTTGGGCTTCTACTGGTTAGTGTTTAAATTACCAGTATTATCTCGCCCATGGTCCTAAGTAGCGCTACTGCTAGCCTCCGTAGGCTCGAGGTTCTGGGGGCCTTTAGACATTAAAGAGGAGTCATAAAATGCTTGGCCTCCGGAGACCATTAGAGTGCTATCCTGGTAATATAGGCCTGCCATTAACAAAGGCCCTTCTTCATGCTTAACCGCTGGGCTCCGGTAGGCCTCTGGTAGAACATTTCCTGAGATCCTGCGAATATTCTGATATATATCAAGGGGAAAGGGGGTTAGGAAGCGGTCCAAAGATTGCTGTCCTATTTAGTTATTATCCTACTTAGTATACCATTTCTCCTAGGTATCCTAGAGCTATCTAATTTTCTCGTCCGCTAATTTTTTCCTAATGATAAAAATAAGGTCCGTCCTTATAGCCCAGTTCTTCCTGTTCCTGCATAAGTTTGTATGCTGCTCCTTGATGCCAACCTATTTTATCTTAACATATGTGGTTGGTGCCCTTAAGGTCAAATTAATCACACCATTTCCCACAATAGCTACTCTATCAAATCCTGTAATATTATCTATGCCGTAGAGTCGTTATTTTCTCCCGGTTTTATCTTTTGTTATAATACATGCGATCCGCGTCTCGGTGTCTGATACCTCTTAAAGGTTCGCAGTACTATACTCTTTCCCTGGTTGAACCTCGTACCTGAGATACCTTTTCGGCCCAAAGCGCATAATCGCTTTTATTGTTTATCATACTCGGAACCACGCGTCCGCAATACCACCCTCGGATACAGACAATAATTATATACCTATCAACACATCTTCATCACTGTCATCATGGATTTGTAGTATAGAGCCTTAACATGCTGGACTTTTTTATTTAGCCGACTAGATTAGCATGTTTTCTGTTTGTATTGGCCGGGGTTTTGTCCCGCTACTGCTTCGAGATACTTGCCAATTGTTAATATTTTCTATTTTAATAACCGTGTCGCCCTTGTTTAGAGAAAGGCTTTTGTCCCGGGTTTATACAAAGTTTGGAGCTTCCCTATCCATCTTATCTGTCTCTATCTCCGAGCCATCTTGTTCTCGGCATGTCTCTTTTATCTGAGTAGAAAGGGCTTCGCCTCTTTATTCTACTCTATTGAGCTGATTTAACAAATCTTTTAGTTTACTTTCATTCTAATTATAATCTATACTGTTTATGTCCTGGGTTCGTTCCTGGACCTGCTCAAGCTGTTTTTCTAAATCTGCCTTCGTGCGCTTATTCTCTTAAGATTCAGCTTCCAAATCATTCATCCGGTGTTTCAAGGACTCTGCCTCTTAGTTAGCTTATCACCGTGTCTTCACCAATCTTTTACTAACTCTAGTTAGTCATCTGGAGCCCGCGTGTTTTAAGAAGCTTGACATCTCAGTATCAGTTGGCAGAATTATAAATATAGCTGAGGTTTAGTTACTCTATTAGGTCTTTATATAGCTCTAAGACTGGTTTTAAATTTCTCTGCATGGGGACGCTATCTCAACTTGTTGCGGAACCTGTCTGCTAGGTCCCGTTGTTAGTAAAGCCACCACCTGTTGTTATGTGATTAGTTTTCACCAAGTAACCACATATTTAATTATAGTGAGCTTGTTTTAACTTCGCACGGTCAGGACTCAGATATACAGATAGTAAGTAGAGGGCAGTCATGAAAACTATTTCTGAGGGCCCATCAGCCTATATACTCATTTATCGCAGGAACATCCGTTTCCTTTAATACAGGTCTTACTAACAGGTATCATTAGAAGGCTCCCTGAGTGTGTATATTCCTTACTATAGCTGATACATGTATTCTCAATACTGACCTATTAATCAACTGGGGGGTTAGTCTATGTAGGCTCCAAAAGGGGCGCTATATCATATGTATCCTTCTGCCAATTATGGGTATATCGCTAGTACATTTAATATCATTGATTTACTATACACGACCGACTCTCGTCTCTACAAAGCTTCAACCAATAGTATATATACCATCCGCATTTCTAAATTATGTCTTTTACAGACCTTCCGCCGGAATTAGTTCTTCATATTACCGCGGTACTCCGTGGCACACGTAACATCTTTGCATTGATGAGGGCGAACAGCGGTCTTTATTGCTTGTTGAAAAGGCCCCTATACCAGTATAATGTGGACTATGAGAATAGCTCTGGGCTGATCTGTGCAGTAAGAGAAGGGGATCTATCCGCAACATGCTTCTTTCTTAAAACGGCACGGGTAAATCTGAACATCCGAGATAAGTCTAGACTGGCTGTATTTTACGTCGCAGCTTAATAAGGTGATACACCCCACATTATGCTCCTCCTACGGGACGGTCGTGTTGATATTAATATAACAGACTTCCAGGGGCAGACAGCGTTATTTTATTTAGTATTTAATTACAATATATCTTTTCTGACCAAGCTTCTGCAGCGCCAAAATATTAATATCAACATTACAGACTCCGGCGGCCAGACAGTACTCTTCCATGCGGTAAAAACGGGCAATAAGAAAACCACAGACCTGCTTCTAAAACAGCCGGATATTAAGGCAAATGTCTTAGATAAAAATTATCTGACCCTATTAGGACATGCAGCTTCTCGGGGTCATTTGGCTGTTGTCAACCGGTTCCTCCAGTGCCCAATCATCGATTTCCGGCAGACAGGAAGCTGCCGGCATCACGCCTCTGAACATGGCCGTAGCTCAGGGAGATGAAGATATAGTACGAGTGCTTCTGCATATCACTGCACAACATAGCGAATTATGCCTTGCTGTATATACCGGCCGGGCTAATATCATTCAGCTACTGCTCGATCATGGCGCTGATATCAACAAACAAGACTATTACGGGTGGACCCCATTGGTCCGCGCGAGGAAATATGGGCATGCTGATGTAGTGAGAGTTCTGCTTAACTATGGAGCTACTTAGGCGACTCTTCACTTAGCTTCAGTCAAGCTTGATTTATCCAATTATACTATTGCTGCTCCGCAAAGCCAGAGAAAGATAGGAATACATCTGGACTAGCCTTACCGCGAGGAAATCGCACGTGAACATTTCCAAGTGGGTTTTCGACAAAGCCAACCCCCAAAGTAGTTTGAAATTCTCCATCGAATTTTGAACAACGAACTGGAAAGTATCATTTCCTTTTTTATATAGGATCGCCATCTCAGAGATACATTATTGTCCAGTACGTCGGTGGCCTCCTTGATCGTCGAAGTTGAATGTCCTATGGATCTGCCGGAGTTTCCCTGTCTTTTCGAACATCGAGTTTAACCCAATCAATGGGTCACTACAGCAGAAGTAAACATGGGTGCGGAATATGTCTGAATAGGCCTTGAGCTTATCGAAAATAAAGGTGAAGAACAGGACGCAAGCTTATTAGGAGCGTACGCCACTCCTAGTACCTCCCAGAGCTGAGGTTCATTCTTGAATGCGCATAGGAGAGGGTACTTTTGCCAACCCAGAGTTCTATGTGGGGTAGCCGCAGTTGAGGCATAAAAGTCATTATTCGGAAGGGACGCCGCGAGCCATATGTTGATATGGCACTCCTGCACAGGTGTCGAAGTCAACTCAGGCAATTTCCAAACCATGTTTTTCACCACCACGACATGGAAGAACGAGGACCCCGCGATTTCTGTTTGACTGGGATTATGAGGGTTGGGGATGGAAGGAATACCCAGGCAGTTTTAATGATTTCGGGTGGGTCCGCAAGGTCGGGCACTCTGCCGCAGGCCATCTACACTGGTTCTATTTCAGTATTTTTTTATGGCCGGGGACATTCATCGTGCAAACAGGAACACGATATCCAGTAATTAAAGGAAGGATATGAAAATATTGCATAGATAGTAAGTCATTGCAGATACCCGAGTATATCACGCCCGAACACTATTAACCACCACAGCCTTGGGCAATTTGCTCGGGCAAGATGGAGTGGGACTAGGGGATCGTCAGAAGTGCCCGTCGTTTGCCCGGTTATCTTTAACTGCATCCGTCTTCCGACCAGCATACACGGTTATTTGCACGGGATGGAATTCCCATTTGGACATAGATGTAGACTTTTGCTAAGTACGTGTCCCGGTGGCGTGACGCGAGTCAGTCATTTGGAATGGAATGTTTCCGTTTCTGGTCCTTTTTGTGATAGATGGCGGGCTGATGTCCAGCATAGGGTAAGTCAAAGTGGGTCCACCCCATCGGAGCAAAATAATGCCCGGCAATCAACGAAAGGGGGAGGCAGTTGCACGCGAGTTGCACACGGAGCAACTGCCCACCACCAGAACCATTTTTTTCATTTGCAGACGGCTTCCGATGCTGCCCTCCTTCGCGTCCACATACCCGGACGTTTTCTGGTAGAACGCCTGACAATAGCCATATTCCCCCGCCCCTTGATTCGAGCGGTGAATTTACCGAACTGATGCGGTAATATCAATAATTTGGCAACATTTAGGCAGACGGAGGATGCAGCTGGGCCCATCTTATGAAACGGGTACTTAAAAACTACGTCGCACATCCTGAACTCTCGTTTCGGTTCCAAGGCCTCCCGTAGTCTCAGCTTTCAAGCACGGGCATTTTAAGCACAATAGCAGAAAAAGCTATTTTATTCTCTGCATGGTGTAGTTACACTATCAGGCCGTGACATGCGAAGAAACCGGGCAAAAAAATTTGCCGGATCAAGTTTGTCTGAAACAAGAATGAACACAGTCAAATTAAATGAAAAACTTGTCAGCGGGTATAGGCTGGTGCCTTACCCGCTTCGCCGTTTTATACTCTTCTTTATTGGTGACCTCACGCAGTCAAGAGGGACAAAGGAGAGTATAGTTTGGCCATAACGGGTCACCTGTCGCTGCGGTCTTTGACCGTAGCGTCAGATAGGGCCCCATCCGCGCTCCCTAGTAGGGAGGCAATGTGTCTGTATATTGCAATAATTTCTATGTACAGAGGGAGGTGGGAGGGAGAAAATGGAGTCTTGACTGCGTGAGAGATGAGGAGCTACCACCCGAGGTAAGCAGTTGACTCCCATGAGGCAGTTGCGGGAGGGGAGGAAGGAACCCCTCAGTAAGGTTGGTGTGGTCATCACGTAAGGCAACACCAATAAAATATCAAATGCCACTGAGCCAAAAAAGGGTCAACCCTACTTGACTAGGGCCATTTGCATAACTTATGCTCATCGCACTTCAACATAAAACTACTCCCTCTTAATTCTTGGCCTACCGCCAAGACGCTAGTCTGGAAAATGAGTGTAGGTGAGTGGGCTCTGGCACACGCATTCATGTGGGCAACTCCACCAAGCCGTTTAAGGCACTATCCCCTACTGGATTACGAGTAGAATTGCCCATCCATAGAATATGGAATGGCTTATTGACTGTCAGATACATCATTAATTGAAATCGATTAAATACAAATGCTAATACCCCCAAGACGATATCACAGGCACATATCTCTGTTCTTAAATAATTTGGCTTCCCTTTACCGAACAATGTGGCAGATTTGTGCAATTACTGAGCGAGTTATGTAATTTGATCTCAAGGGTCCTTTGAACGATGTGAAAAAATTTCCCACATTCGGGCGGGATGACCCAAAGTCTGACGTATGTTAAACCGGTAGTTGAAAAGCTGACATCTTTGTCACTAAAGATTCGACGCCAATATCGGCAACGTGCTCCTGCAAGGAGAGGAAACCATTTGCCGCGGGGCCCAGCTCCACCCGAGAGGTTTCAGAACATGCCATATTGTGTTTTCTCGCAAATCCAAGATAATCTTGGACAGTAAGCTTTTGAATACATGTGGTATCCAGCAGGCTTCCAGCTTTTGAAAGTGTGAGCATACTATCCCAACAGGTACATAGATGACATACCTATTGTGATACCTGTTTTTTCAAGCAACAAGTAATATACGTCCAACTTCATTTTCATTATTATGGCTTCAACAGGAATAAATCCATGACAAATATGGTGACTCGGTGTGACGTATTGTGCACCGTCTTGGTTGCGGAGGGAATATTTCTCAATTCCCAGTTCTTCGACAAGATCTGAAGTCGCGCGGCAAGTGATGCCGAGCAATTGAAGTAAACCAGGGTCTATAATATAGACGTAGCATTCCCCTTTGTCACAGAATGTCGGTCTTTTGCTAATATTATAGATTCTCGCTGGAATTGTCGAAACGGATATAGTTGGCGGGAATGATCTGTCTCCGTCTCTCAAATGATGCTCCACGTCTTCTTTAGTGAGTTCTTTCTCAGTATATGAGAAATTTCCCATTGCAGGACTAAGGAATCCTATTTTCTCGTAGTTAATGCTCACTGAAGCTGGGGAATCAAGCCTGATTTGAGGATAAACATCGATCGGTGGTCTAGATGTTCCCTGATCTATAAGAAATTTGTTCAGAGTCCCTTGGATATTTGACAATCCAGCGTTGAATTCCTGGAGAAGTGTAATGAGGTTCTGGATAATTCGTGATTCGGCAGTCAATCTTTGGATCTCAATGTCGTGCTCTGATTGGCCGTGTGTAGATAGCTCTGCATTCTCAGGCCCTGCAACCAACTGGGGTATGGCGTTTAAAATTTCGCCTTGTATGCGAGGAATGTTAAATCGGAAAGAATTAAATACGCGTAATGTATCTCTGAGTTTTGATGTTTCCTTCTTCAATATATTTAACCTGGCTTGGTTGCCGAAGTTGGTAGCTCTCTTTCCCAAATATTCTTCGGAAGACTCATCGGCAAAACCGACGTATTTCGATGAAGGAAAATGAGTGCGTAGACCGTATTTATCTCTCTTCATTTTTGATGTCTTTAAAACTTGATAATGCTGATTCAAAGGATTGTATTTTGACTTCAATTGCCAAGTACATCCATTTAAATAGGATAGTTATCCTTCGTGTATTAAATAAGCAATTTACGCTGCACTTCATCCGCTTCCGGACAACGCAACCCTTTGGTTGCACGGTGACAATCGATGGCATGGTAAGAAGAATCATACTACATCCTAATATAGAATTATCCCTACTGCTTTTGTAGTAACTGGGCATTCCTGATCTTAATTATATTTAGAAAATTGCTGCATGCAGAAAGGTTGCAGGCGACTTGGGATGAGGCTACGGTAACCCCCACCCGAGACCTTGAGGACTGAAGGGATAAAGCTCGAATAAGAAACCCTGATGCAAGCATTATCCGACAAGGCGTGTCGACACGTACATCGCAATAGGCTTTAATCTCTTGCTGGGCTGTCCCCAAAGATTTGGACGAAATAGGGGTTCAATGAAAGCACCAGTCGTTGTTGATTGGCCATAGATCAGACATAGGGCAAGGAAGGCCAAACAATCTATATTCGCCCATTTACGTAGCAGAACCTTTAGGCTTCCTACGCTTATCGCGTACCAAGATCTCCGTGGGTAATCCATTTCGAAGGGAGCGGCGGGTAGTTTCAAACAGAGGGATGGCGGTGATAAGGTCACTGAGTTTATGGTATCCATAGGTACGAGAGTCGAAGTCAGGATAATTTTTTGTGAGGAGCTGACCGACGTTAGAGAGCCTAGCCCAGCCATCGTCATCGGAGACTGCTTCTACCGTTGTTCGCGACTGATTTGCTAGGCGGCTATTATTTTGAGTGTGTCGGGCCGATAAATGATTTTCAGGAACGATAACGCTGTCCGCATGCGGAACAAGCTCATCGAGATGCACGAGATTTTCAGTGTAGATAAATTTGTCGCATGCAGCGACGAAGGCCTTGGGCGTTTTATGCTCACCGAATCCGTACACGGTCGCTCCTGACTCGCGGATACGAGCCGCCAGCCGGGTGAAATCACTATCGCTTGAGATGAGGCAGAACCCATCATATCGGTTAGAGTACAGAAGGTCCGTTGCGTCTATAATCATAGCTGAGTCGGTCGCATTCTTCCCATGGATATACGAGAACTGCTGGATTGGTTGGATCGATTGCTTAAGAAGTTCATTCTTCCAGCCCTGCAAATTGGGTCTAGTCCAATCTCCATATGCTCGCTTCGCATAAGCTGTACCGTATTTCGCAATTTCGGAGAGGAGAAGATCAATGAAGGAGGACTGAGCATTGTCCGCATCAATGAGAACTGCGAGTTTGAGAATGTTGTCACCAACCATGATTGAGGACGTGTACGAAATGAGAGGCAGATCACAGCTAATGCTTGGGGTATGTCATCCACAAAAATAGATTGGGTTTTCCTATTATCAGGTGTCTACGAACTAGATCAAGTCATGACGACATATATATGGTTAGACTGAATAATACCCAGTGTATTCTGTAATTGTTTACAAGACACACACCCCCGTTACTGTAAAGAGAATACACATGTGACTAGAATCTTCTATGCAAATCGGACAAACAGCTGACGCCAAACCTAATACATTGGGCAACTGCCGATTTAATTGATCGCCCCATACTGTATCCGTGATTTAAAGATTCTTAGCCCCACGCTCGATATCCACAAAGTCAAAGCTGCTATGGCCCGTTCATCTCCCGCCACATTGATAAATCTGCCTGCTGAACTTCGACTTCAAATTGTCAATTATCTTGACTACCCTTCGCAGTTGATTTTGTCTCAGTCTAATAGGTATTTACGCTCTATTGTTGGGGTTGAAAAGCCTACAACAGTGGAGCAGAAGTTATCATACTTGTGTCTTGCAGAGACATGGAGAAGGTAATATCACATGAGAACTTATAGTTGCATCGCAATGGGATACTGACAATAATAGGTACGATGATAACTTTGCTTGTAGCCGCTGTCTCAAGCTTCGTTCCAAGGATGAGTTTGCCGACAAACAAGTATCGGGAAAGAGGGGGAAACAACACACTGAAAATAATCGTCGATTCTGCCTCGCTTGTGGTGTCTGGAAAGGCATATACCAAACTGGACAGGTGATACGGATTAAGAAACATGATCACTTCCTCTGCTGTTTGTGTTGGGAGATATGTGGATATGGGCTATATTGTCGAGTTTGCAGTCGCTGCGAGGATTGCCTTCAGCCTGCAATGGCCAAAAGCAATACCGAACCAGCTGTTTCGGGACAATTGAGGGAAGATAGCCACTGCCCTAATTGCCTAGAACACCGTTTGAGATATTTGGGAGATCCTGAGCCGACCCCATCTGCGAGTGCGGAGGACATGCTACTCCAGCTACCTCTATCACTGAGGATGGCCGAATTCAAAGAATACTATGGGATGATAGCTAGCCCAGAATGGTTTGAGGAAGATATTGCGAAGGGAATTTTCTAGTCTGATATTACACTTCTTTGCCTTATCTGCTTGCCATATATACATATATATCTTATCCATAGCTGTTTTTGTAATGTAATACAAGTGGAGCTTTTGCTCGATTACCAGACGGGCTCCCCAATTATTCCTGAAATCGGAGCCCATATACCTTTATGTTCAAGTGACGATCAAGGCAAAGGTTTCCACAATTAATATCCCCAAGTAACACACCGTGGCTGTGGCAGAATGCCAGTGGCTGCTCTGCCTGGTGAGCTCATTGAAAGAGCATATACTCGGACGGCACTTTTCCTTTGCGTAGGAATCGCCGGAAATCGCCATTCTCGGCGAACTCTAGATTAATGTTCCCATTTGAAGTATCAAAGTGTTGTAAATTAGATGAAGGTCTATTTTGCAACCGATGGAATTGCTGGTAGATCTTCAACTCTATAGAGCTACAATCCCGCGCATCTGGATTACTACTATGGGAATTTTGGCGACCTTCAGAGTATCAGGGTGGCGTGCGACGGCACCTGTTGTCCCAAAGGCAACGATGTCTTGGCAGTCAATACCTGGTGAAAGATTTGCATGGCTGACACTGTCTATCATGATGAATAAGAAGAAGAAGAGGAGGAGGAGGATGAAGACGATGAATAAAGGGTTAATTGATATGTATACAAGGCTGGGGTGAAGGGATGTTTGGATCTGGCACTGCATATTAGGAAGCTAAACAGCCGTGTCGAGCGCCACATCAGACAGCTCCACAAAAAGCGAAACTACAACCAGATACCCGTTATAGTTGCTTGCATTAGCATATGCACTTCGAAGAGGGGAAGGCTGACAACCCACCAGCGAACGAATATAACTAGCACTTGTGATAGCAGTCCATTTCCAATATGGACTTGAATTCCTACACCTGCTTAAACACAGTCAGTGTCCAAATGGTAAAAGGAAAGAAAAAGAAAATCTCACGGGCTTCAAAAATATCTGACCGTTCATCTGTTGAGCCTACAGAGCTAGCTATAGACGACGAGATTACCCAAAAGATGAAAGAGCTTGTCTCCAGGTAAGAAGCTTGGGCAACCCTTCCAGGCTCCTATACCAACTAATGGCCCTTTCATTAGCTATTATCTTAGCTCGAAATACAGCGATTTATATATTATTTGTGAACACGAAAGCTTCCTAGCTTATTAGAATATTGTTTGTGCTTAGTTAAAGTACTTTGAGGTCGCCTGCGGAGGGGCATTCAAGGTACGTACGATTTTTCTCCGTTGTTAGGCCCAGAAAGTCATAAGAAATAGGAGAGTAATGAGGAAATAATACTTAATAATCGAGATCTAACGCTCGTTAGAAAGATACTAGAATTCCTTTATACGGGCGACTATATATATGGGATTTAAACAAATTTAAATATGAAAGTCTAGCTTATATCATAGCTAGAAGAATCCTTAGAAATACTAGTAAAATACAGCTCTATAAATACAATAATCGGCTAATCTTATTTTTATGCGCAAATATACGCAGAGGGAGAGTATTTTTAAATCCCTAGTCTAAAGACAAGAGCAAAGTAATATTTCCAAAATTCCTTTATAGAGTCTCCTACTCGAAAGTCTTTCGCCTCTACTATTATTAAAGTATATAGCTTAACACGAGAGAGTGATCGTGGACTCAGGGCTCTTATTATCCAGATAACGAGAGATAATCTACGAACGTTGAGGACGAAGGGGAATCCTATATTAGATCACACTCTTCTTGAAACTGTCCCGGACTTCATGTTAGAGATCTGTCTTTCTGTCCTGGACAAGTGTGCCGAACACTGAAATTCATACATGTCTTGAGGTTCTCAATATTTTATGTTTCAGTGGATCTGTCTTTCATTACTGGAATTCATATTTGAACGCTATCGTGAAAGGTGCCCGCAGCTCATCCACATCATGCCTTAACATAATTGTTGAAAACATATACCTGATCTGTTTATTGTCCTCTCAAAACTGGTAGCTCTCTTAATGTGTAATTGAAGCGCAAACCGCGCAAGCATATTAGCATTGGTATTACATCATTCGCCAGCCGCTTAGGAGGGGTACGGGTATGAGCGAAGGCAGAGGGCAAGTCTGGCCGATATTTCAGCGCAACCGTCCCTCAGCCGCCCTCAGCGCTTTGCCTCGCAATGCTCAGCAGGAGGGGAAGCTGATTATGATTGGTTGAACTACAGTTCCAACTGTCCTGCTTGATCTCTGTCTACCATCTGTGACCTGACCTCGCTTCAGAAGATGTGGAGCCACGTGTACTTCATAACGAAGGCTAGGTCCGTGGCATCTTCTTCCCAGTCCCAGCGATTGGGACTATTCATGGGATGCTATGATAGACGAATCACCTGTAGCAAACTCTGAAACGCCAGACTCAACAGGCTGCCGTTGGAAATACCGGTACCCTCCAACTCTGAGTTAACCATTCTTTGTCGGGCAGAATTTGCGGTCGGCATTTGCGGGGTCTCCCTTTGTCGATGAGCCTCTGTCTTTCTGGATTTCCAGACCGAGGAATAAATCCACGTGGCATGCGTCGAGAATTCGGGGAGTGTCGTTTCTTGGGTTTGGAGCTTCAGTTGTTCCTCAGCTGCGATCTGGGACTGTTCGGCTCGCTCACGTCGCCGCTGTTCTTCTCGTAGTCGCCGCTCTTGTATCTCTTGGAAGGCCATTCTGAATACAGTTGGATGAATGGCGATCGAATGGCTACGTGAGGGGGTTTGTATGTTTTGGGGCGGATGCCTACTAGAACCCTTGAACTATAAGTACAAGTGGGATGCAAGCAAATTTTAGAGCACACTAGTGGCGCTATTAGTGGGACCAACAAAGTCCTCGGATGTGAAAACGTCAAAAGAGAAACATTTCTATTCCATTGATTGTCTCTTGAAGTCTCCCTGAAATCATCCATTCAATAGCCTCCGTGATAACCTGCACGGTGTGATCGAGCTTTACTGATTGATGAGAAAGTTTTCTCGCAGTCTGTGCACCACCCATGATAGTCAGTATCAGGTTGCTGAAGACCTGTCTTATTTATGAATGATCTATTGCAGTCACTGCAGTAGGAACCACGATTTTGCTGTATTCTTGATGAATATGAATTTAACTACAGATCGACTGCCGGCTTCCATACGATCTGTTGGATGGTCTGTGTATTGCTGATAAGATGCTCGTTCAGGTTTCGTGATTATTTTAGACAGGGACGAATAAGTCTACTATAGTTTCTGTTCTAGCTGAAGTACCTTTTCTATCATCAAAGCCGAGAAATCGTATGAAAATGTGGTAAATGTTCTTAAGATATTATGAAACAGCTGCTGGTGTTGAAGAGCGGATAAATGCTGAATAGCAGATCTTGATAAAATGTCGCGTAGCTCCGAGTGGGGAGGGCTGTCTGGCCCGTAGACGTACCGAACTGTACCGATAAATTCCGGATATTTCCAATTTGGCTGAAGGTGGGCCTTCGAGGGGCTGAAGTGAAAGTCAGCCTGAACACGGCGTGTCCTGTTCCATCGCTTTGTCATGTAGCCAGTAGAGAGCCACGATGTCGAGGATCCCTATCGAGGTTTGCAGTGAGGCGTGGGATTATGGGCAATTGCTGCGCCTCGCCAAGCCTCACTCCTTGCGCGCTTAATCCAATTCCTGGACAATCCGAGTTTCGCTAAACTTCAACCTGTGCACATAGGGAATTTTGACCGCACGCACTGAGCAAGTTCATTACATCTAATTAAATTACGAGGAGCGCAAGATCTACTACTTTTTCAAAACTCGAGCAGCCCCTGTCCTAGGGAACTGAAGCCGAGATTCAAACGTGAATAAGAGCTCCTAGTCTACCATCTGTCTATCCTTGGGTTTTTGAGATTGATCTGCAACCATGGAGCACAACTGTTACCACGAGCCGCTAAAGAAATATACAAGACGCATCGTCCCTACGATGCCGACTCGCTACCAAAACTCGCAACGATGTCCGAAGCGTTGGGGGTACCTTTGGGATTGTCGATTGTCCGCTTACCTGACTCTATAGAACCGCAAATGAGTTTTGATAAGTTGGAGCCACGTAGTCACTAGTCCTCGTCAAAGGTTAACGCATTGACAGAATGTTCAGAGTGAGCGAGCCGAAGATCCGACAGCTCTCAAGGGAACCCGAGCAAAAAGGTAACGGCATTGTCGATTAACCATGGTGCGTTCTAACCGTTACGTCAATCGCTAGTGTCATATTCAGTTTCTGGACAAAGATGCTCAATCTTATTGGAATTGCATTGAGGAATGCAGGCATCTGCTCTCAACGTATCGATGGCAAAACAGGACCTGCCAAAATCAAGAGCAATTCTCGCTGTATGCCTGCCCTGTATACCCCCTCCTCCGAAATTCTTCACGACGAAAAATCTAAAACGGCCCAACAGGCCCTATCCACAAACCTTTATAGTTACTCCGTGCCCAACTTCCACTGGCACCATGCGGGGTTCCCTTTGTCTCCTTCGGAAACTTAATACTCCCCGTCCGCATATCGCCCGCATCGAACTGCCTGACCCAGCCCCTATTTCCATACTTAGCAAGATAACTTGCTCTGGCTTGGGCCCTCCATGCTTCAGTACGGGTCTCAATGTCCTTGAGGTAAATGTCAATCCAGTAGCAGTATAGCTCGCGGAGACCCCCAGTGCCACCATTTCTACCGAGCTCATCCGGTTCGCTTTTCCATTTGTACGTGGAGTCGAAGTCCGCGAGCGCCTTTTCGATGCCCTTTGAGGCGTCGACAAAGATTGCCCACACCGTGGGGTCCTTCATGTACCAGAAGACACCCGCAGTCTAGAGTATTGGTGATAGTATCAGCAATGACACCCAAGAAACAAATGCCGAGCGCGGTGGCAAGGGATCGGTACTTACAGCGCGATGCCTGTTTTGCGTTAACTCCTCCGAGCCCAGGTTGCGACCCGACAATTGATTTCTCTGGAAAAGGTGGTTCTTCCTGCTGTTCATCTCTTCTTCTGCTAAGACAAGTCCGTCTAGTTTCGAGTCGCTGCCTATGCTCTGGAACATACGTTCCCAAAGATGCTTTGTCTTGCCCCAGCCTTTGCCTTGGGGGACGAACGGCGCCCTGGTGTTTGGCGCCAGCCCTATAAGAACTTCAGACACCCAGTCCCTGCCGGCTTTGCTGTAGCCGGCGGGTAGTGGGCCATCGATGAGGAATTCAAGAAAATACTTGACGGTCTGAGCCTCGTACACGTGTTCGGCTGGGGCATCTCAATTAGCCAACACGATCTTTCGAGGGTAGGTAAATGATGGATACCACGGTAAAGGGAAGTCACTTACTGACATAATCGTCAATTGACATACTGTATTCATCCTGGCTGAGGACTTTGACTCGAGGACTGCACTTCCTGGGCGCGAAGCCATACCATCTCTTAACCTCCGGCTTTTTGACTGCTGTACCGCAGGATGGGTATGAAACAGCGAACACTGTTTCACTATCCCCCTTGTACGTCCATTGTAGTTCCTTTGTACTACTTTTACGCTTTTCCAGATCACTGGCAGACAGGTCGTCGCTCGGTCGACAAACATCTGTTTCTTCTGGGTCGGGGTCATATTCGCAAACCTCATCTCGCTTCGTTAAACTGTCCGTGTCATAATCTCCAGATCCGCACGCAGGGCAGTCTCCAATTTCTTCATCCTCGCCATTCGGACAGCCAATGGGAATATCAGGAAGTAGAGGTCCCCACACCTGTGCACGCTTTTCTAGGAAGTGCTTTCCATGCGCCGTGCCCTTGGCATCAATGTCGAGATAGTTCCGGCGTTGGAGAGGGACGGTGAGACCGTTGGTGGAAGAGTTTGTTGATAAGTCGAGAACGGAGATCTGACTGCGCTTGGTGTCAGGGGACCAGCATTTCGAGTACAGCTCGACGTCGTTGCTGGGCAGAAGGTAGTAGGGTGTTCTTGGGAGGGCCCAGTCGATGGCCTTTGGTGCGTCGACTGTAGCGTACAGGTCCGCTCCCGCATCAATCCCATAGCACACGCTTGTCCCAGAGCTTCCTGTTCCAGCGGATGCATGGAAAGTGATATGGCCGTCGGCAGTCAGCCGGACAGCACAGTCGTCAATGTCAAAGAAGAGATCATCCCACATAATTCCGAAGCTAATCGACGGCTTGATATGGGCTGTCACATACCCGTTAACCCCCACAGACCATTCGACCTCTGGCACCTGGGGATTCTGGAACCCACTTTTCTTGGGCGATTCCTCAAGCTGAGGGGTGTAGTCCTGCGCATCGCCATCTGGAATGGGATAGGTCTGTTCGATGTCCCAGCCAGCAAGTTTGACTCTGCTTTCTAGGTTGACGCCTAAGGTAGCCGCGCCTTCGATCTGACCATTAACTTCGAAGTTAGGGCCAACAGTGACGATGCCTGGAACGGTAAAAGCAGCCCCAAATTTGTCAGCTGAGAACAGGCGTTTGTTCCCTGTATCGAAATGGTAGGTTGCAGCACCATCAATGACAAATGATGCAGTTACCTCTCCTTTTGTCCGGAAGTATAAGAAGGAGTCGCTGAGGTCGATGGGACGGTGATCCAACTTTGCAATCACCGTAAAGCCGTAGCTTACATGTGCCTCAACATGTGTCTCTGCATGCACATCGAGGTAGGCCTCCACGCTGGGGCAGGAAAGCTGCTGGTCGACTATCTTCAAGATATAGTCTTCCGTGAAAGAGTGACCAAACTCAACTGTTTTCTCAATCGTGCCGATGATATTCCTCAACCAGTCGATGATACTACTGCCGAACCAACGCTTATGGAGGTCATCGCTAGATACACCGCCGAAGTGAGCGTCGTCGCGCCATTCTTCCTCCAACCAACGACGGTGATTCCCATTGACCTCGTGCAAACTTCGCTTGCGTCGTTTCGTGGTGTCTGCTGCTTTGTCGACAATGTTATTCCAATAGTCCACGTCATTGCTGTAGTCGATCCGCAGGTTCGTATCTCCCAGGTCACGAGGCACTCGCTTGAAGTCATAATCGAATGTTAAATCATAGACAGTGTCAAGAAGGCCACGGCGTACCAGGTGACCAGGCAGCGACTGGTTGGCACTGGGTGTAACGTCCTTGATCACGGCATACTTTCCTGGTCCGCAACCTCGAGGCATCTGGATAATTGTCCCGGGAGCACCATGTCCCCAGTGAATGTTGCCGCAATTCGACTGTTCCGAATGATCTGTACATACCATTCGCACCTTGTGCTCACCAATTGTACTGGGGTCAAGACAGTCAAATACCTCCCAGTGGGAGCCGTCTCTTTTGTCAAGTGACTGTTGGATCTCAGCCGGACTGGTCATAACCACAAATCCGAACGGCGCTTCATCTGGCTCTTTGTCAAGAAGCATGGACTCTTCTGGTTCTGCGCCACCCCACGTGGGGTCTACCTTGAGTACGAAGTCGGAGTTGACTTCATTCTCATCCGGTGCGTTTGGAAACAGATAGTCCAAAGGAACGGGCAGGAATGGAGAAACATCATCAGGGAGGTCACAGCAAAAAGTCCGCTTGCGGGCATTAATACCACAGTTGTCCCCCTCACCGTCATATGAGTTTGTGACAGCAACCTGCCATCCAGTATCACAGTGGTTGTCGAAGCAGCTGCCCGGTTTACCATGCCAGGCGCAATTCTCCCACTTCTGTGCGCTGTTGCAGCAGAGCCTCTCCTTACACGCGCTGTCCCGCCAGGTCAACTCGTCCTCGTTATCCTTGCATTGCTCGTCACATCCAGTCCAGCGACAATCGGGCTGCTGAACCTCTGTGGGGCAACAGAAGAATTTGCGCCCGTCAATGCACCAACTCCCATGATTGCCCCATTTAGAGGAGACAACAGCAACCTCGCCATCATGGCACTGGCCATTGCAAAATTCTCCGCCATTGTCCCCACCGTGCCATGTACTGTTTTCCAACTCTAAGTTAGCCAAACGTGTTCACAATACGCTAGTAGGATCTACTGTTGAGGATTTGACTGCTGTACATACCATTTACTGACATCAGGGACCGATGAAACTGGACAGCATATGGCTTGTTCGCCGTCAGGACGGTTCAAGGGCCAGTCGTTGTCACCACACCAGAATGTATCAGCCTTGATATATCCCTCGCGGCAGGTGGGTTTGCTGCTGCACTCGCTTGCATAGCACTCGCCCTCAGAGAGCTCTTCCCAGTTATCTGCGCTTTTGGCCTTCTTGCCACGGAACCCAAGCTTTTTAGGATATACCACACCTGCCAGTGCATTCAGCTGCGGCGTGTCGAGGTCCACGGCCCAGATCAACAGGCCACCAAGGCCTTTGCTGTTAGCAAACTTTATCTTGTCTTGTATGGTATCCTTGTCGTCGAATGACACCCACTGGTCCTGATTGAATGTGACATACTTCACGGCATTCAGTTCGTCATGTACAGGGGTAAGGTTATTCTCATGTAGAATATCCATAATCTCTGCATATGATAGGATACCAGATTGCCCTGTACACGGGCCAGCGCTGCCGCCGCCTTTGAATACACATCCGGGCTTGGAGCAAGCTGGGTCAGCGAGTTGGTATGAGCGTCCGTAGAATCCTATACCCATGTTGACTTTTGAAGGATCAACATCATTGCGCCAGAGAAGGTCTAACGCCCTGTCAATTTCTGTGAGGTTCGTATGTGCGAGGACCTGGGATCCGATGGGGTTTTCCGAGTCCCATATCCCGTGCAGGTCGTAGGACATTAGGTTCACATATGTAACGGCCTTGGAGCTTGCTTTCAGGTCGAAGTGGCGGAGATACTATGAAGATCAGCTTCTGATACATTCCGGACGGCGCATGTCCATGGACTTACCCAGTAGCTGGTTGGTGCTGTAAAGGAGATCTCAAAGTCGTCCGCATGGTAGAACCCGGATAACCTCTCAAGCAATTTGGTAAAGTTCTCGCCGTCCTCTTTGTGACCACCTCTGTCGCCGGCACCTGGATATTCCCAGTCAAAGTCGACACCGTCGAATCCGTACGCAGACGTGAAATGGTCCAGCTGCGCAATAAACTTTTCTCGTTTCTGCCACGAAGAGACCATATCGCTAAACACAGGCTGCCATACAGTATGGTTATCATTGAAGGTCCACCCTCCAAGTGCCAGAACAACTTTCAGGTCAGGGTTTCTCTTTTTCAGGCCGGCGACAGCTGCAAAAGTGAACTTCTCAACAGGGTCAGAGTCACCGTCGGGACCATCATCCATAGGGACGATCTTGAACGTGTCTGGTTCAATATATCCAAAGGAGTAATATAGGTGCGTGAGGCTCTCCACGGGCACGTCGTCAATGTCCATGTTGATGCACCTCTTCTTGTGATTCCACACTTCATAGTACCCAATAATGCGGTCTCGAACCTCACTACCAGATGCCCCTGAACCCGGTTGATCGCAATTGCTTTGACAACCGGTTGGTTCGTCATCATCATCATCACCATCATCCTCGCCCTTGTCACAAAATTCGGACGTCATACCGCAGAATCCATACTGACTGCAGCAGACGTTGAGTGGGCACTCCTCGCCCTTTTTCTTAGCGTATACGCCGCACTCTGCGTGGGCATCGCAGTTGCTCCAGCAAACATCATTTGGGGACTTTCCACTTTTACCACAGTATTTCGGTCCAAATCCGCAGTATCCAGACTTGGAACAGCAGGCCCCGTTTCCGCATGGCTTATTCTTATTACAAGAGTAGGGGTCGTCGCTTGTCTCAGCTGCTATGTCCAGACTGATGAGAGTGTTGGTTGAGGCAGATGCGGACTGGAGGATTTGGTTGGCCTCGCAGACACCGTTGGGTGGGTGGACTTTTGCTTCGAAGTCGGTTGCGTCGTGCAGGATCGGTGAAATGGAGACACAAATTTCCTGGCCCCCAGCATCGCGACGTTCAGCTGATTGTGGCCTGGAGATGCTTGGAATGGCATTGACCAGCATAGCAGCTGCAAGGATGCCATGGAGCCGGACAAGCCAATGTCCCAACATGGTGTTCGACAGGTGAAAAAACGTAAAGAGATAATCAAAGAGTGGACGGCAAGTAAATGCCACAAGAGCGGCCAATTGTCTTAAATGGGGGATAGAGAAGAGCACAAAATGAAATTAATGAACGAAGGACCTGAGAAATTCGCGAGGGCTGCGTTTCTCCTAAGTGTCATGCCGTTGGGTTATAAGGCCCTGACCGGCCATATTGCCTATAGGGAAGAACCAGAGAACGCAAATACGGACAAAAAGTAATGGGCCGGCGTCGGAAGTTGCAGCGAAACAGGGTTCGCTAATGCTTTAGGTACTTTGTTCGTGACATCTATACCGATTATCCTATCTAGGAAGCCTATTCGCTGAGGTAGTTCGGCTCTCCTGCCTTTACCGACAATGCCTTGCTCGTAATAAAAGCTTTGCCCCTGAGTCCAGATATGTTACTATGGAACTTTTACCTAAGACATTCTCTTACACTGATAATGCAAGATTGAACGCCGAAGTGTGATTGTAAGTACATTGTACCCATGTATCCCTACCTCTCTAAGGTGATAGTATGTAGCACGGAGGAGAGATTGATTCCGTATGCCGCAGGTCCTTCTAAACGCGGCTAGATAGTAACGGCAGACCCTTGTTTGATGTTTCATTCCGAAATATGCGCAATACTCCACAGGGCGTGGGCTGGACGGAACGTGCAAATCGATCCACTTTCATCTGCGGCTAAATGGCGCTATCAACAACAACCCTGCTGGCTGAGCGATTTTCCTTCCAACCAAATTGTCCAATGCCCTTGTACATGTGATAGATGTGATAGCCCTGACCCCGCATGGTAATCTCCAAACATTGATCGACTGACAATTTGAGCGCACCGGACCGCCAGAGCCCGGATAGACACAAGGCTGATACTTCGAAGCGATCCAGGCTAACGCAGGGGGCAGCAAGGATGAGCGAGGGTTTCTTGTGTAGCCTCGTAACACTGTTTTCCTCTGGCAGCGTTTTACGGAGCTCCTTGGTTTGACTTGGATCTTACTGAATAAATATTATTGCAAAGTAGAGCTTGCTATGTCCGGCCATCCCACAGTTATCTCAAGTCAATTTTTCCTATTGTTTTTCCCTTGCCCTGTCATCGGATATGGAATACCACCTATGCAAGACACTGCTCTTCTCTTTGATTATCATCGGTAGCCATGCAAGCCAGTTCTTGACTGACAAGACCCTACCCGAGGGAAGATTTTCAGATGCCTGCACCAACGCCCTCGTATCCAACATCTCCTGCGAGTATCAAGTCGCCACCTTTCTCCAAGACCGATACTACCCAGTGGACTCCCTCGTAGAGGCGTGCACGCCCTCGTGCCAACAAGGACTTGCTGCGTACGAACACGCCGTCTCGTCTGCTTGCAATGACTCTGATATTTACCGGAAGTCTGAGACGGGATATGCTCCAGCGTATGCAATACCTATGCAGTATCGCTATTATTACAATAAGACCTGCATCCGAGACGGCGAGCGCTGGTGCCATGATGTGGCTCATAACATGGCGACCGGGAAGATTGAGGCAGATCGTATGTAACTTCATCCCGTGAGGCCATTCTTGCTTACTCTGTTTATAGGATGCGACGACTGCTCTATCAAGCAATGGCAGTTTGTTGCCGGCTCGCCCATGTACGCTGGTAATCAGTTGAGGTCCAGCTATACCGCTTTAACAAAGAGCTGCTCCAAAACAGGCTTCCCTTTGGCACCCTCTTCTTCTTTGTATGCCTCAAAGAACTTACCCAGCAGACAATGACTGACATTGATGTAGGCCATCTTCATCTACCAGCACAACTGCCTCACCAACTCCTTCCGTCTGCAGTGGTAAAACATATACTATCAAATCCGGAGACACATGCCAGTCAATTTCCAAGTCTCAGGGTGTCGGCACTGCACAGCTACTGGTCGATAATGGTCTCGAAGCCTATTGCAAGAACTTTCCAAGCCAAGGTGAACTATGCATCGACCGCACCTGCACCACACACCCTGTGGCCGCCAATGAGACATGCGCAGATATTGGACGCAAATACGTTATCACCCAAGTCCAACTCACCACTTGGAACCCGATTCTTGGTCAGAACTGCCGTCACATTGAGCGCTCAGTTGGGAACAACATATGTGTCTCGCCCCCAGGAGACGATGGCTCCTGGACGCCCATCACAATCCCAACTTCAGTCGCTCCGACAACAACAGAAACCGCAACACCGGCTCCTGTCCCAACGAACCTGGCAAATGGCACTGTAAAGCGTTGTTCACAATACTATCTCGTGGAGCCTGGGGATTATTGCAACAAGGTCATTCTCAAATATAGCATTTCGCTGGATGATTTCTTGTTTCTCAACAAGGGTGTGAACAAAAACTGCACGAACCTTTTTGCCAACGAGTCTTACTGCGTCTCGCCTCTTGGTTCTATTGATGACTATCCCGGTGCACCCGGGTATATTGACCCGAGCGCCAGCTACTCGGATATTCCCTACTCCAGCTACCCCACGGCAGTCTATACACCTCCTATTAATGCCAACGTAACAAAGCTTTTGCCCATTTCTCCGGGTGGTCGGAAGGATTGTTATATCTACGTAGCTGGCCCAGAACTCCAGATCGATGTCTCCGGCACCTTCTACGCGTCCTCCTGCGAAGCCGTCGCCGAGGCAGCCGGAAAGGCCGTGGAGGAGTTAGAGCAATGGTATTATTATACACCCCGTCAAATGCCCGATTTTTCTAACCATCGCATGTGCAGGAATCCCTCTATCAGCGCCAACGGGACGTGCACATTCAGCCCGAGCTACCGATACTGTATGAACCCGAACAGACCTACAGATAGTGGTCCTGTTGCAACAAAGCCTCCTGTGCCTTCCTCCAACACATCGGCGGCATCTCATACTACTATATCCTCCGTGAGCACCACGACCACGGCGACCAAGACCGCGCCCACGACCGGAGGCCCCCCTGGCCCAACCCAATCCGGCATACCCGATAACTGCAACAAATGGCACCTAGTTACAAGTACGTACGCGCGAATGTTATAGATTTTAAATAGAGCTAACGATCTTAAAGGCTCAGACGAGAATTGTGCTACCGTTGCCGCAAAATCCAACATAAGCCTCGAGCAGTTTTACGATTGGTATGTAACTTCCTTCAAAAGAGTGGACGAGGCGTCTAACATTGGTACAGGAACCCTGCTGTTTCACATGACTGTGTGGACGGGTTCTGGAAGGATGAAGCATATTGTGTCGGCGTAGCCAAGTGAATTATTAATGCTAGGTAAAGGAGACTCATTGTAGAGTAACGATTCTAAGAATTGGAATATACCTAGATATCCTCGGCCGCTCCACATTCGCACCACGTATTGCACTATGATCCCTGCAGACCCCCGTACTAGCGGTAAAATATGTAAAACATAGACTTAAAAAGGCCGCTGTTGCCGCCCGATTTCTTACACTCTTCTTTACTTCATCCATTCTTTTCCAAGATGCCAGATCTCACAGATTTGCCTGCTGAACTCCTCAGTGAAATTCTTTTTCTTGCTTTCGGAGTCGCTCCACGATATGAAGAGGGCTACGATGATGAAGGACCTCTTGATATCAAATCCTTAAGCCGTCTTCTTCTCGTGAATCGGAAACACTATCTGGAGTTCTTACCGCTACTCTACTCCCAATGGACCTATAATGGGGCCCGACATAACTATAGCACGCTCTGGAAATTTTTCCGCACTGCAGTTAGAAACCCCGAACTGATATCCACTGTGAAGGTGCTTAACATCGGTAACTGGGGTCTTTACGCTCCGATTTACCATGATAGGAACCGCGAGCTACAGGATCAGGACGAAAGGCTACAATTCACAGTTGCGGACAAGGAGACCGTGAAAATTGCGCTTCAGCGTTCAGGATTGTTAGAAGATCTTGCCTCCCAGATTTCTGATACTATCTTAGCCGGCCGAAGTGAATATCAGATTCGCGATCGACGGCCTCTAATGGCGCTTCTTCTAACTTGCCTCCCTTGCGTGTGGAAGGTATATGCGCACATACCTGCATCGGACCGATTCCTAGGAGCTGTTTTGCAGGCAGCAATAGGTCGGCAACAGACCGGTTCAGGTGGACAGTTGACGTGGCTGCCCAGCCTAAAGGAATTTCATGTCCTCTGTGAAGTTCCTGGGTATTTTGAGGGAAACCCGAAGATTGTGGATGAAGATATCTATAATCCGTCGCTGAACTTTGGGGATATATGGCCTATACTCTATCTTGAAGGTCTACATAGAGTCCATCTGTATGACTTTGACATGGACGGATTCAGTCAGCTGCGCCACCACAAGATGCATAGCAGTGAGTTCGAGCATGAATGCCATATCGAGCACCTACATGTTGCCACAAAAAGCAAGTCCATCTGCAGAGCGGAGGACGTGACTGCGTTGCTTACTCTACCGGCGGCATTAAGAAGCCTTTCTTTCTCCTGGGATGACGACAAGGCCAAGACCAAGGAAAGGATCAACGGCAAGAGGCGCAACGTTTGGCAAATATCCAACAATGAAGTCTGGACCGCCATCCTGAAATATAAGGGGACATTAGAATATCTTGACGTCTTTCACGACTTTCCATTAGAGCCACGCAAGCATCGACTGACGGATTACTTTGGCTCCCTTTCAGAATTTGTGAAATTGCGCTATCTTTCTATACAGGCGGAGACGATAATCGGTGGCTACGTTCAGGGCTTGGTAGCTCCAAATCAATTAAAGGAAGCACTGCCGGCCAGCCTGGAAACCCTGGTTTTCGCAGCAAAAGATGCCGGAAAGAACATTCATGACCTTCCACTCCAGCTCATGGAGGTGGTATCGCAATTTCCTCATCTGACAGCCCTTGAGCTCACGGATAACTACGCCGTAAGTGCCTCCTCTCCCCGAGGAGCAACCCCAGCCAAATACCAACCGCTCAAAGAAGCGTGCTGTTGCAACGGTGTCCGGTTCAGTATGGAAGACCCGTGCAGGCCTACTGTCCCATTCCAATACTGCCCTTTTCCTTCGGGTATGCGGTGCGTGAGTCGATGGAAGGAAACATACAATATGCGAGTAGACGCTGGTTTCCAGTATGATCTAATGCGCGACCGAGCTACCCGCAAAGCAGCAGGACTTCGAGAAACTCCGCGGCCACCTGAAACCCGGGTTTGGGCACTCAAAACACGCGTCCTCCCGTTTCAGGATCACGGCGGAAATCCATCCTTCATGGTCTTTGAGAGTAAAGAGCATATTCTACTCCCTCCTCTGTTCAATTTTAACATCTACTTCACTCATCCCGAGGGGCCACTAGCTCAACCCAGTGACATGGAAGATGATCTCCGAGCTATGCTCGCGAGGATTAGGACCGACAGTTGCAGTGACGATAGCTATCGACTTGACGTCTACTTTCTACCAAACGCCAGCAGCGAGGATTGTATCGCGCATTATGAGGCCGAGAAAGCGACCCGCGAAGGTTCAAGAGGCATGTGTCTTGAGGCAGAGATCAGGATAGATACAGATTTCCCACCACCGACTACCCCACGACTCCCAGGCATGCTCGAGACCTACGATCATTCCAGACTCAGTGGAGTGTTGTTCATCCATCCCGATCGCAGCTGGAGAAACGGCGCTCAGGGCATGCACTATATTAGGTATGGAGCAGACTCTGAGCTTGGGCAGGGCTTTTACGAGGACTGGCATGATATGATTTCTGATGGGCATGGGCGTCTGGGCGAGGTGATCTCGGATCTTGCTCGAGACAAATGGCAAGATACTCTTGCTATTTATTATGAGGCGACGCGTAGGGGGTGGACGAATTGGTGAGGTTCTTCTCTCTCTATCCCTGTGTTCGACATTCTGTGCATACACTCTCTTCATTCAGCAGTGTAGGAATTGCTTCAGTTTATCTTGGAATGACTTGGAGGCTCGTTAAAACCCTGCATCTGTTACGGTATTTTCCTCCGATAAACGTTTTGCAAACATGAGCAGTCATTCTATCTGCGTTGGATACAACTTCAATTGTTTTAAAGGGGGGCTTTCTTCGATCATGGTTTGAACATCCTCTAGGACCCACAAGTCAGCCAGCTCGCAACCAACAACAACCTTATAATGTCATTCTTTTACCGACTTAAGTGCGATCTAGTGCAATAACCTAACAAATAAAGTCTTACGCTGGAGGTTTGTCATACGCACTGTCTTATATTTCTTTGATACCGCTAATAAACTGCCATGTATATCAAACACAAAGACAACTACATAATCCACCCCTTTAACTAGATAGTTATCAAAACACTCAGCATTGTGTATGCTCACCACTAATCACTCCACCCTATTTCTTTAAACTAACTTTAGACTTCAAATAGAACCGACTTCAGTATTATAAGCATCTCTATCCCTCTCATCCTCGCCGCCCGCATCCCCACGATCTAGAAATTATTCTTTTGAGTGTTTTTCTCCTTTCGTATTTTGATTATGGTCACCGCTGTTTTATACGCCTATTATTTAGTTAAAGACCTTACAACGCTTTCCACCACTTTGGGCTGAGCTTTTCGCAAAGCTCTTATCTCATTGATCAATATCTGTGCGCTGGGCATCCAGAGTTTATTCACAAAGTGGGGATGGTTCCAATTGTATAGATCGTTGGGGAGTTACAAATATGGATACGGATATGGAAATAATTAGGGGAATGCTGACTGGTCAAGGACCAGAAGCACAATCTTTTATGGGAAGCGCAGGAGTGGAGCGTTTGGAATGGGTGGTGGTGAGAGTCATCTGTATAAAATGAGGGTCCGTGGGAAAAAAAAGAGCACGGATTCATACGGGGAAAGCCAAGAGCGGATTATGGATCCGGAGTTTGGGAACGGTGGTGATGGTGAAGCTGGTGGTGGCTTTGGGGAGGGCGTTGTAGTGACGACGGATGTTACTTTTGCTCATGAGAATTTACATGGGAGAGAAAGATAGGAATAATTGGGTTGCACAGATAGGGGGAGCCAAAAAAGTCCTTTGTAGTCTTATAAGGCTAAGTCTTTCATGCTTCAATTATCATTTTAATCAGGTTGATGTGACTATAGTGGAATGTAGCATAGGTTTTGTCACCCAGGATCACTGCTATCAGAGGATTCCCAATCAAGCCATTCACCCATTTCAAGCCTAATGGAAGCCGTTTACCAAATTAGAGCATCACCAGCAAGTCTTTTCTCGAAACCTTGATTCGGCATGCTTCCCATTCAGTGTTTTATGTAATTAATGGTGTCATCCATGCGGGTTAGAGTAAGCAACGTTCATAATGAGTGTCACCTTCCATCAAAGAGTCTCCCACTGCTATTATAAAATATGCCTTCTTAAACCCAAGCACATTGAAGAAGAGCGATAACCGTCCAATGTCTTTTTTTAATCCAGGCACAGACTATATCCTGCATGACTGCGTCCCAATCCAGGAATCCAAGACAAAAGGCATTCTTCCTTGGATCAAAAATATTTATCGACAGTCTCGAGGGTTCGAAATTTGCACGTTCAACTCGTCGATACTTTCAAGTGTACTGAAGAAACAATCCGCAAACTGGCCGTCTTTAGCCCAGGGCTACATTTGTGATGTTATATCGACGGTTCATATATTCATTCGCAAAGCATCAACTGTATCTTGTAGAGATCAGAAATTAGGTGAAAACATTCTGTCATTGGTATTGGACGATCTCATCGACAAATCCCGACATGCTCTTTCGACAACGAACTTCCTACTGCAAATCGAGAGGGAAGGGACGCCAATGACACAAAATCATTACTTGAATAGTAATCTGAAAAAATGGTCTGAGCTAATGCCTATTATCAATCTAAAGTGACTAACTTGTATCCCAGTCGTCAGGAATGCATGTCTTCGGAAGCGAAGAAGTCTTCATTTTCCGTGGAATATCATAACGGTTCCAGTGGAGAATGTGTTCGACTTTCTGATCTAACTCAGATTCACCATATTAATAATTTACACCAGACCGTTCAAGACATCCACGACATATTGAAATCGTACTACAAAGTTGCTCGTAAAAGGTTTATTGAAAACTTGTGCTTGCAAGCGGCGGACTTCTATTTAGTCACCGGGCCAGAAGCTCCGATGGCATTGTTCTCCCCCTCCTGGGTCTATAATCTATCATCTGAACAATTGGAGAATATTGTTGGGGAAGAATCCTCTGTGCGAAGGAAACGCAGACTGCTGAAGAAGCAAGCCAAGGGTCTTGAAACTGGCAAGAAGATCTGCTTTAGCTTCAATTGAATTACCCTCTATAATAGGGAGCTTTATCTCTTTCCGATATATTTTCGCATTGGTCTGTCCTGACTACGAAGGTGTTTTTGCACGCAACGCGACAACACACGGACGCGACTTGCCCGGGAATCATTTTGTTCCGGTGACCCACTTTGACTTTCCCTCTTTAGCTGAATCTGGATATCAGCGGTCATCTATAACCTCTTCACAAAAGACTAGGAACAAATGCATCACGTTCTAGATGCTCGACGGAATCCCATCGAGCCGCCGAGCCGCGTACGTAAAGTCTACAGCTACATACCAGTGGGAAGTTGTACCAAGCGCAAATAACCGTGTCTGTTGGCGGAAAGACCGCTGCAGTTAAAGATAGCCGGAGGAAACTGCGGCATTTCTGACGATCCTCCCCTAGTCTCACCCACCTTGCCCAGGCAATTGTCAAGGTTGTGGTGGTTAAATGCTGTTCGGGAGTGATTTACTCGGGTATTACTATCCGTTCGATGTTCTCATACCCGTCCTTTAACTGCTGAATATTGTGTCTAATCATTTTTTGCCAGCGTGACAAATACCTCTAGTGAAAGGGAAGTACTGAGATAGAGCCAGTGTAGATGGTCTGGAGCAGAGAAATGCCTGACCTTGCAAAAAGCGAACCTACCCGAATTCATCGAAAATGCCTGGGTATTTCCTTCCACCCCCAACCCGCATAACCTTGGTCAAATAGGAATCGTGGCGTCGTCTTCTGTATGTACCGCAGCCGTGCTGTTGTTTTGACCCAGGTACTCCCTTCCATGTCTGGTCAGCAACGATCACCGAGCAACTGGCCTTCAGATCACCGTCACGGCCAGACCCTCGTAAACATACCCATCATCCTCACCATTTACAGACGCTCCTTGATTTTGCTCAATTTGCCCCATTTAAATTCCCACATTAATAAGCCTACACACCGAGGAGTAACAGATTGCTGGGTCTTCTGTCTCAACCCATAACAAGTGAAAAATTCATGCCGTAATGTTGTATATTTGGCATATAACATGGCTTGTACGTGGGTAAATGTAGAAAAAGTCCGGGCAAAGCAGGAGAGAAGACGCCCGTCGATGGTGCTTTTCACCATACAACAACACCCGTTTAGTTAGTACAAGATATTGTAAGGCAGGCACCTTGAAAATGCCTCATACACGAGCGTGATCATGCCTGTGATGCCAAATGGAGATAAGGTCACTCAGAAAAGGAAACAGAAACTGGGTAATGTGTGAATAACCCGAAGCCATAGTTAAACTTCGAATATGGCAATCTTGTCTGGCCGCTGATAATCGGTTTTACAATTAAACATGACTAGGAATCCCGCAGCAAAGTTCCTTAAGCAAGTTGCTGTTATTGAGAAATTTAAGCTGGGTATTGAAATACCAATCTAAACCATGAGGTTATTTCACTGATCTGTTTTGTGGCAGAATGTGGCAGAAATAGTCTTGGCAAAGAGCTGATTAATACGCCGAGCTTATATGATCATATGAAACGATTGAAGGTCTTGATTCATTCTAATCTACTGCAAAAAGAAGCCATATTTATGCAATTTCAGGGGCTTCAAAGATGCAATTCTAGGGGCTTGATCATACGATTCAAGCTCTATAATCGTACGATCAATATTGATCGATTGATCAATTGGTTGAGCAAGGTGATGAAGTAATTGCTTAGTCAGTTCCGCGGCCACACACCCCCTCAGCGCCTTGCGTAGGGCCATTATCTCCCTTCTTGAGCCATAATAAGGTCCTTGATATCGACGAGATTCAACATCTTCATGAATTTGTGGTGGTTTTGAGCCGGGAGGGGCTTTGTGAGCCCATCTGCAATCATTCGATCTGTAGGGATCCACTGTACGTATAGATCTCCTTTCTGAGCTTCCTGGCGAAGCCATGAGCGGTGTATATCAACGTGGCGGAGCTTAGAGCGTTGCTCTACGTCCTCGGAGTTGACCAATCGGACGGTTTGTTGATTATCGCAAGAAACGATCATTTCGTGTTGGGGATTAAAGCCCATGGTGCTGAAGACCCTCCTCCACCAGTATACTGCTTTGGCTGCTTCCGATAGAGCGAGGAATTCAGCTTCGGTTGTGGAGGTCGTCACGGCTCGCTGCTTGCTCGCTTTCCATTCCACGGGCCTGTTGTAGAGCTTCATAAGGAACCCTGCAGAGCTCCGGCGGTCTGGCCGATCTCCGAAAGCTGCATCTGAAGCGATGACTGCGACCTCTTGATTGTCTGTTTCGGCGGAGTATTCGATTGCATGGAACCGTGTGGCGTAGAGGTAAGCGATGATTCGATCTGCAGCGCGAATATGATCTGCTGACGGGTTCTTGAGCGCTTTAGATAAGCGGCTCACCATGTGTGCAATATCAGGTCGTGTGATCATTGCGGGGTACTGGCTTAACCCTATCTTCATCGAGTATTCCTTGATCTTTGCCTCTGTTGCCTGGCCTTCGTAGGGATCGAGGTTAAGCGAGGTTGAATGCGGTGTATTCGGCCATTTTGTGAGATCATTCAAATGGAATTTCACGGCGATATTCTCGAGATATGCATCTTGGCAGAGCCAGAGCTTCTTGCGAGCTCTATCACGAATGATCCTGACTCCGAGAAACCAGCCCACTTCTCCTATGTCACGCAGCTCGTATTCCTCCGCGAGGGCTTCCTTGAATCGTCTTGCGGCTTCTTGGGCTTCGGCGGTAGGTAGATTGATAATGATAATATCGTCAACGTAGACTAATACGATCATATATTAATTCACGAAGAGGCACTGCTCTTCAGGTACGGGATGGAGGCCAAACTTGAGCAGTGTAGTGGAGAGGGCTTGCTGCCCAAAGGCGTGGTGATTTCCGCAATCCATATAGCGCTTTCCTGAGCTTCCATATCTTTCCCTTTGTATGGAATCCCTCTGGCGATCTCGTGTATATGGCTTCTTCGAGCAGGGCGTTTAGGAAGGCGTTCACGGCGTCTTTCTGATCCGTATCGAGGTCAAAGGCAGCTACCAGTGCCATGGTGGCTCGAAACACTCTCGCAGATGCTGTTGCCGCGAAATTATTAGTAATAGTATCCTTTTCAAGGTCTCCTCTTACACAGATCCGTCCTTTCGCTTTTATGAAGTTGCCATTTTCATCGAATTTATATGTAAATACCCATTTCAACGGAAGAACCTGTGAATCGCGAGCTTCCTCTTAATCAACGAGGGTGAAGCAGTCTTTTGCCTTGAGATTTCCTACTTCGATCTGCGCAGCATGCAAGAACTCGTTCTTGAGCGGGTGTTGCAGTATTTCTGCATAGGAATTTGGTGGAGGGGGAAGCTCGTTACGGTGCCAGTGTCTTCTCTCTCTACCTGCGAGCTCTATAGCCATTGAGAAAGCCTTTTGAGCGATATAGGGATCGGGGATGTAGGAATCGGTAATCGCGTTGCTGTAGAAGAAGTCTGGATCCTTTCGGGTAGGCCTTGGTCTTCGCTTTGTATGCAATATATTCTCTTCCCGGGTTCCGTCATCGGTAGGACCTCTTCCTTTACGTCTTCCACCCCCTGATCTTGATGAGTTGTGTGAATCGTGATCATCCTCTGACTCGTGGAGTTGAGCGGGTGGTGCAGGTGAAGCTTGTAAGCTCTCTGCTTCAAGTATCGAGCTCTGCAGCGAATCCTGCAAGAATCCGGACGGTGATTCGTCTCGTGGAGGGGCCACTGAGCGTTGCGGCGTTTGATTCAGCCTCTCGGGTGTAGGATCTTCCGGGAATCCTCCAGGAATTGCTTTAGTGCGGCCACGGCTTGAATCGATTTCTTCGTGAGCTTCAGTATGTGGCTCAGGTGTTGATTCAGGTGTTGGTAGAGCGCTCGGTTGCACGGGGTTACCGTGATAAGAGGTCTGATCTACCCTCTGGCTTTCCTGACTTCTATCGATTTCACCGGTTTAAGCTTCTTCTGATCCCTGATTCTCTGCAGCTTGTGGAGGTTCTCCTATTTTAATGTGATTAGTCTTTTCGTCGAGGAAGATCCCTTCGCCTCTCGGTAAGTCCAGCACCTCTGTGGGTGGCTCTGGAGATGCCTCGCTAAGCAGGTCTTCAAGAAACGGTTGTGTAGGATTATAGGATCGTGTTTTGTCAAATACGACATCTCTCGCTTCCTCAACGCGTTGTCTTTTCGGATTCCATATATGCCAGATATTCGAGACCACAAAGCCAAGGAGGATACCTCTATACGCGCGGGGGGCCATTTTATCGCTTAGCGGTTAGTCCTGTCTCGTATATGCAACACAGCCGATTACACGGAACGCTGAGATATCTGGCTTTTCGCCTGTAATCATCTTATATGACGTTTTCCAATTCAGAGCTTCAGTAGGGGTGCGATTAGCGATATTCGCTACTCCTCCCATAACCCATGGCCAGAGATCTCGAGGCAACTTAGCCTCGATCATCACCTTCCTTTCTTTAAGTATGAGAATAGCTCCTACACGTTCTGCAGCGCCATTTTGCTCAGGCGTATTAACCACGGAGTATTCATGAATGATTCCTTCAAGCTCTTCTTCATGCTTGACCGCATTACCAAGGGTTTGCTCGCGATCGCTTTTAAAGAAGATGATCTTCGTTTTAACGAGACGTTGCATCTGTCGAATAAAGATATTAAAGGCTCTTACGCAGCCGTTCTTCAAGCGGTGGGTAAAGACGTTGTGAAAGCGCGAATTCTCGTCATAAAAATGTGAAATCCACTGATCTCCATTCAATGCAGGCTTCATTTGTATGAGGTCAAAGTGTACGCGTTGAAGCGGCACTTTGGCTGTCATCATGGACTGCCTTGAGATCTGTCTCAGGGCCTCGGACACCTTACATACCTCGCATTTCGGATCATCGTGTTGTTTTGCTCGAAAATAGTTAATTTAGACACCTTGAGCGGCTTCAGGTAAGTGACGAAGCGCATCCCAATTCAGATGAGCCATGCGGCGGTGCCACAAGTCGATGTCTCCCTTCAGAACGTGAGCTCTTGCTGACCTGTGTGGATCGCGATCTGGTTTAATCATCGCAAAGCCGTAGTGAGTGCTTTTCTTCTTCTCAATGATCCAGAATCCTGATAAGTGCTCCTCTACTCGGAATATAACCCTGCCATTTCGTGAGATCGTGTTGCGGGCCATACTAAAATCGTAGCCAGCTTGCTTAAGCTTCTGCGCGCTTAGAATGTTTGTATGGAGGCCTGGAACGAAGGCGACGTTAGTAAGAACGATTTCTTTATCCCCTTTCTCTCCTCCGCAATTTGGCCGTATCCTGACTTTTCCGAATCCTTGGATCTCGATAGTTGAATCCCCAGCGTGAAGTTATCCTCTGCTTGATTAATTAAGTTCCTCGAATCTCGATATCTCGTTGCATACATGCGTACAAGAACCGGTGTCAATAATGAAGCAGTTTTTAAGCGGGATGTCTAGCGAGGCACTGAATGAAAGGGCCATAACGTGATATTCTTGAGGCCTTTCATCGCCTTGCTTCCAGTTCTTCTCAATGATCGATCTGACCATTTGAGCTTGTGTTGATGATCCTGCGGCAAAGTCCTTAAGCTTCTTCATAGCTTTGCTATTTAGCTTCCAATTTGGTGGCCGTAGGTCAGGATAAAGTTGCCAACATTTCTCCATACGATGCCTTAGTCCGCATACGCAGTAGGGAGATGATCCTTCCCCTTTCTTCCCTGCATCTTGAGGCTTTTCGGCGTCTGCTGGTTTATCGCCTTGACCGTTAAACGTGGCGAAATTATGCGCTACTGCTGAATCGTCATCTCGGCCGCTGTTAGCAAGATAAGTGCGGAAATCGCTCAGCAAGTTGCGGTAAGTGGTGTTGCGAATATTGGAGTAGTGCAATCTTGAATATAGAGGATCCACGGCTTCAATCGATCGAAGGAAGTCCTTCTGTACGTGCTTATCTTGGCTCTCGCTCATATTGAGCCGTTTGATCGCGAGGTAAGCGTGGTCAAAATCCTCAATCCATGCATTGATCTTGCCTTTCCGTGGAGATCTCTTAATAACTGCTTTATACTGCCTCAGGGCCTTCTCTTCCATCTCGTCCTCTGTCGGCTCGTATTGCTCCTTCAGCACCTTCAGTATCTCGAATCGTCGCTTCTCCTCGATCAGGGGTTGTATGTGAATCGCGATAGAGCTCTTGATTGCCTCCTCCACCTTTGCAATATTATTTCGAGTATCCTTATAATCTTGAAGATCGAGTTGGTGTGCGCGGAAGTTGGTTTCCGTGAGCTCTGCGGGCCTCATTGGCTTCATGGGGGCTCCAGGGCGTTGTGGAGAGTCCTCTGGATTGAAGTGATCCCATATATCTAGCTGTTCGGCATATTCTTTGATGTTGAGGGTCTAATTACGCCAATCATCTCGGCTCTTTAAGATGATTTTAACCTTCGTGGCGATATCTGAATCGAATGAGGAGATCATATTGGCTTCAGCAGCGGGTCAGCTTTGCTGAATCGCTTCCTTTTGCAGGATCCCGTTGGGGGGGTGCCGTTTTGTGTTTTGCTCGGAGCGGGGAGCTTGTATAGCTTCAATAATTGATTAAAGCGGTATGTATGTCCTCTAGAGCGGAACCGGGCTCATAACTGTGGCAGAAATGGTCTTGGCAAAGAGCTGATTAATACGCTGAGCTTATATGATCATATGAAACGATTGAAGGTCTTGATTCATTCTAATCTATTGCAAAAGGAAGCCATATTTATGCAATTTCAGGGGCTTCAAAGATGCAATTCTAGAGGCTTGATCATACGATTCAAGCTCTATAATCGTACGATCAATATTGATCGATTGATCAATTGGTTGAGCAAGGTGATGAAGTAATTGCTTAGTCAGTTCCGCGGCCACACAACCCAACAAGACGGTGATTGGGAAGCAGATGAGGTCTATGCCCCGACAATGTCAGATCCGGTCAAGAACCTTGATCTGAATAGTGATGTTGTCGCTTGTTTGTGCGAGTAAGGCTACCGTCAAGCTATTCATGCCAGTATTATATCTGCTAACCTGGCTGTTTCAGTCTCGAAGCAAGAGTGAGGTAGGTAGGAAGTCAACTTGACAGTGGCCCAAAATCGGCTGGAGCCTGGCCTTACCAAAAGGGACTACCGAGATGGATCTGCTGACGAATCATACGTGTAGTGCGGTTGAAACTTTCATGAAGACCCAAGAAGAAGCGAACGAGGCTTTGCGGCGGAGCATGGAGGACCTCCGCACGCGGGCCCCGCAGGTCGCCAAACGCTCGAGCCGGATAAGCAAATGATTCAACGACAAAAGCCCTCACGAAAATAGGGTTGCAAGGAGAGCTTAACGGTATGATTCTACCATATGGCGCCAGATAGCGGAATGGAACACTTAATTAAGGATCGGTCAGTCAATCAATCAATCAATCAATCAATCAATCAAAATTCTATCCCCCCGATGAAGCCTATCTATCTATTGAAACGACAGGCTATGCAGGCGCTTCGCCAAATGAAGCAGAATCTCGAGCTCGTACGCCGTATAAAACCCCACAAACGCAGTAGACGAATAAAAAAAAATGTAAAACACAACCAAATAACAGCTCCCACACGCCTGCTGCAGCCTACCACGCCTCCAGGGCGCTGTTCTCTCCCGCTCCGTTCTATCTACACTAAGCCGGATCGAAGTAATCGCGAGTTAGTTCTCCTGAACTTGGAGGCACATTGCACCTTGGAACTTCGGTGTGGCCGAGGCTTGCTTCGGGCTAGCATTGTTCTTTTTTGGAATGAGCTGGCGCTATAATCTCTCCTAGTTCTGGTGTACCTAACACCCTTTTCCATTTGATGAGCAAGTTAGTCCCTAATGGATTGAGCTGTGTGATATTCCCTACTTTATGCGGTGTTGGGTTAGGCTCATGAGATGCATCATTCGGTATGCAATGTCGTAGGGCGTGCATGTTTACGGGCTATCGAGGTACGTGCCGCGTCTACTTTGTGGAGGCTACGTAGTTCATGTGGGACTACGAATGGGGGTTTCTTGTTCGAACGGTCCAGGAATCGCAAATCCCTAAACGTGTCGGCCCCACATCCGAACGTTCCGAGTGTGGTTTAAATTGCCAAGATGCCTGCTTCGTTCGCCTAGTATAATTGCATTTACTCGCTGGTGCTTTGCAAGCTGGCAAATAGCGTTCGACGGGCCGTCCCGAGAGATTGGTACTGAAATGACGATGGTTATTGCCCCACAAACTATTGGCGGCACTGTCTCAAACGCGATAGACCGTCGCCGACGCAACATAGGGCAGTTGAGCGGCCGCTCAATTATTGGACTCTCATTACAATCAAGCAAAAGTTCTCCTTCCTAGTCTAGCCACGTCATTCTGCCACTCTCGACTAGATTTAGACCTCCGGCATACATCGACCCTTATTGCCGAGATAATTCATGACTTTTGTCGGGCCCTAGTCACTGTCCACGTTAGCCACACATGTGGATTCGTCATGCCTCTCCATATGGCGTAGTACTATCGACCAATCATATCCCAGTTTGTCCCTGCGTTACTCTTTATGGGAGCTCCTGCCATACGAATTTCCCGGTCCCTTCTTTGCTCTCCGGCAGACCAGTCGAGTGCATTGGCAATCCCCAAAGACAAATGACCTAAGCTCCTCGCAATCGGGTTGCGATAAGACCGGATCTCGAATGTAACCGCAGCCCAGCACCTACTACATCAAACATATGATGTGCCTCTCCGAACGCCTCTCGGAGGCTGGCGTCGAAAATGCGCGGGTGTAGCAACTGCCACGACGGAGTCATGGATCCACTGGAAGAAACTTGTCCAATATAGAATCTCGGGCGGGATGCCGCAGACCAATTTTGAGAGCATCCCCCACCGTGATTCAAGGAAGATGTTCCGTGCAAGACGATCAAACACCCGGAAGCGGGCTGACACCCACCCCGCACTTGCCAGCCTCAGGACAATCAAACCAGCTGCCAAGTCGTTAGTATCTACACGTCGATCTTGTCCGAAGATAGAGAATTTGGAATAACCCACTGGAACTAGAACCCACAGATAAATCCACAATGTCCTGTATGGTGCATTCAGGCCCGAAGTGCTCCTGGATCAGCAGGGGTATTCCATCGGGATTCCCCATGGACTCCTCCGCTGTTAAGGGCTGGGATGGTGCACTTCATGCTGGGACGCTTTTAAAATTATAACCAAGATACAATGGGATGATCGATTACGTTGAATTGTTGACTGGCTGATTGTTTCCTTCGGTTGAGCAAGGCGATGAAGTGCTGGATTAGTCAACACCCACGGCCACAGTCGAGGCTCATGTCACGATCATGGTCCGGGTGCAATCGTCTGGTCTTGGCAGGATGAAGATCGGCGGCTAAGCCGAGGTCAAGAGCCTGGGTTCTTTGACTGCTTTTGTTCCCATCCTATTCTGTTCCCATCCGGTTCTCCTTTAACCGTCGAGAACAAGTCTGAACGAATTTATAATCTCTGTGACGTGACCAATAGGCAAACTCGATGGCCGCTGCTCCTGGCCAGGTGCATACGGAAGGATGCGCTCGGTGAGTTTAGAATGACCAGCCTGGTAGCGCTAAGTCGTGGTCAGAGCAATCAACGTTCCGTTTAAACGCTCGCACGGACAAGTTGGCGGCCACTGATGACCAGCCGGCTGGCCTTATAATAAGACTAGCTAGGATAGTTTGTGGCTAGCAGCTAAAAACTGAACCAGAAATGACGCATCAGTCCTAATATCACGATGAATCTTTCCCAGTCGCATCCACATGCCCACCGTGCAGCCCGACCACCACAGTCTACCGTGTCTCTGGCTAGTAGTATGAATGCAGTTTCGCCAGAGTTACCATCTCGTGGATTGGTGTAAATCTCGGTGCTTTATGGGAGAACACGCAAAAGGGGTTTACGAAGTCAGCCACTCTCCTTTGCTAATAATATATATACGGACAGTAGCAGTGCCCACAAGCGTTCATCACGGACTTATATCAAACGCAGTACATGGTGGTTTATAGATGTTATAGAATGGACGATAACTATTCGAACATTGGATCATACAGTAGACGCGAGCAAAGGCGTAATAAACTGCCACATAATCGTTGCATTCACTTAGACAACTTACACTCGCCATTTTCCCCGGCCTTTGGGCCCGAGGTCTTCCATTCCCATAACCGGGACGGGTAATCCAGAAATTTTTGCCCAGGTTTCATGCATCATAGCCCTAGGGCAATCTGGGAATAAGTCGTCGTGGGCTTGAAGATGCCCACCATGCCATGCCCACCTTAACCCTTATGGCCAAATCAACTTCTCTAGTAGAGAACTTTCGATCACTTTTAACCATCAAGTCGCAAGTTAGTCATAGTCGGTTAACAGCCAGTAATCCTCCAGTAATCCTCCAGCCATCCTCCATCTCTGGGCAATTAGATTCGGTGATGCCTAGTGGAGAACGCCTAAAGGTTTTGTGCTAAACCTAAATGGCCGCTTGTGTTTCTGCTCCATAACATGCCCGCCTGCTTCGATTAAAAGAAAGGGAGCTGGGAACTAGCGCTGCACAATTAGTCTTACTAGTTTACCGGAAGGACTAGAGATATAAGGCCGGTGCCACCCACCCAGTTCGGCTGATTTCAGAGCCAGGCTTCCTAGCCTCATTCACTAAATATGCTAGGCACAAAAGTGTCTTTACGGGATATACTTGCGGATTGCCGTTTGTGCTTATACAACCTTCGCAGGGATAGTGGCCCTATATCATATCTCCCCCTTCACAGGTATGGTGGCCCTATGTCGTATCTCCCCCTTCGCAAATATAGTGGCCCTGTGTCGTATCTCCCCTTCACAGGTATGGAGGCCCTGTGTCGTATCTCCCCCTTCACAGGTATGATGGCCCTATGTCGTATCTCCCCCTTCGCAGGTATGGTGGCCCTGTGTCGTATCTCCCCTTCACAGGTATGGAGGCCCTGTGTCGTATCTCCCCTTCACAGGTATGGAGGCCCTGTGTCGTATCTCCCCCTTCGCAGGTATGGAGGCCCTGTGTCGTATCTTCCCCGACATGGCCTTAGGCCCTATATTGTATAACCTGTGCCCTGGACCATCACTACGATGCACCCCCCTCAGCGAAAAACAGACACCTCTACGCGGTGCTGAGGACCAGTACTTGTCCATCACCCGATGGCCCTAGAAGCAAAGATCTGCCAAATCCCGTATCAATTCGTTTATAGTTTAAGAATTTTGCATATCTGTTCCTAAGAAGATCTAAAATACAATATGTAACTAAGCAGCCGCACGATGACGAGTTCAACCAAAACCGCCCTTTCGTATGTACAGCATAAAGTAGTCCTACACTTAAACTTATGTAACGTAATTGAGGCACCACCATCCGATTTATACCACCGGGTAAGATTCTAGAGCCTTTATCAACAGAGAAATTACATTCTTATAGAAGCATTGATTAGGAACTAGACTGGGACATTAGCACCGTCCTTGATCTAGACTATGATATTCACTGCAGCATAATGGCACCCGTACATGTAGACCCCTACAGAAAGTCTTATATCTCTAGATGTAGAATAATAAGCTTTAAGATGTCTTATTCTCTTACTAAAATTGTTCTGGCCCTCCTAGATCGAAGCTTTTTCTGTAGTAGCTAGCAGTTTAGTAGGTTATTTTCGCTTTTGAAACTGCTTCTCACGTACAGCTAGTAGACCTGGCTTCCATGTGCTAACAGGATA